CCCTTAAAGACTTTATTGACAAACAGCTGGCTACTGGTGCCATCACCCCATCATCCTCTCCTCACGGCGCTCCGGTCCTTTTTGTCCCGAAGAAAGACGGCAAACTTCGCCTTTGCGTCGATTTCCGTGGACTCAATCGTATTACCAAAAAGGATCGTTACCCACTCCCACTCATATCAGATCTTCTCGACGCTCCGAAAAGAGCTAAAATATACACCAAATTGGATCTCGCTCACGCTTATCATCTAGTCAGAATCGCTGAAGGTGACGAATGGAAAACCACCTTTCGGACCCGCTACGGCTCTTACGAATGGAAGGTCATGCCGTTCGGCCTTACGAACGCCCCTGCGGCTTTCCAACGGTTTGTTAATGACATCTTCTCTGACATGCTCGATGTCTGTGTCATCGTCTATCTTGACGATATTCTGATCTACTCTGATACGCCAGAAGAACACCGAGAACACGTCAAGGAAGTTCTTCGGCGGTTACAGAAACATCGGCTTTACGCCAACCCCGACAAGTGCGAATTCAATATGGATACTGTTGAGTATTTGGGTTATATTCTTTCTCCCGACGGATTGACTATGTCCAAGGAGAAAGTTCAGACCGTTCTAGAGTGGCCGGTTCCGAGGAAGGTTAAGGACATCCAGTCCTTCCTGGGTTTTGCAAACTTCTATCGTCGTTTTATTTATAATTATAGTGATATCGTTGTGCCGATGACTCGGCTTACCCGAAAAGGCGCGTCCTGGATCTGGGACAGCAGCTGTCAAGAGGCCTTCGAAAATCTCAAGACTGCTTTTACTTCTGCGCCGATACTGGCCCATTGGGAGCCGAATCGTCCACTTATTGTGGAAACTGACGCTTCCGATTACGCCATTGCGGCTATTCTTTCCATCCAATATGCTGACGGTGAAATTCATCCTCTAGCCTTCCTTTCCAGAACGCTTCATGCGGCGGAACTCAACTACGATACCCACGACAAAGAGCTACTGGCCATCTTCGAGGCCTTTAAAGCTTGGCGTCATTATCTGGAAGGTTCGGGTGATCCGGTGGACGTCGTCACCGATCACAAGAATCTTGAGTATTTCTCTACTACCAAGGTTCTCACACGCCGACAGGTCCGATGGTCTGAATTTTTACATCAATTTAATATGGTCATTCGCTTCCGACCGGGGAAACTCGGCGAGAAACCCGATTCGATAACTAGACGCTGGGACGTCTACCCTAAAGAGGGGGATATCGGCTACGCCCAAGTGAACCCTCATAACTTTCGTCCTATCTTTACTAACGAACAACTCACTGCGTCTCTTCGAGCTACCTTCCTGGAAGGCCCAGCCTTACGAGCCTCGATTATCATGGATATCGAAGCCCTACACCAAGCTATCATTCTCGCCCTTCCCGCCGATCCGAGCTCCGTTGTTGGTTTGGAACTTGCAAAAGATCCTTCCAATGAACGTTGGAGCTTAGGTAGCGACAAGCTACTACGCCTTGACGACCGTATTTATGTTCCTAATCACGGCGATCTTCGCCTTCAAGTACTTCGCTATTTCCATGATCATCCACTTTCCGGCCATTTCGGCCAGAACCGCACTCTGGAAGCTGTACGTCGTCAATACACCTGGCCCAAGGTCAGAGACTTTGTTCGTGACTACGTTACCTCTTGCACTATCTGTGGTCGCAATAAGCCCCGCCGTCACCGGCCTTACGGCTTGTTGAAACCTTTACCGGTTCCGGTTCGGCCATGGGATTCCATCTCCATGGACTTCATTGAGCAACTACCAATGTCGAATGGCTATACAGCTATCCTAGTCGTCGTGGATCGATCTTCCAAACAAGCTATATTTATTCCAACTCACGACACCATTACTTCCGAACAATTAGCTGAGCTTTTTGTTATTCACGTCTTCTCTAAGCATGGTGTCCCTAATCATGTTACTTCCGATCGTGGTTCCGAATTTGTTTCGGCGTTTTTCCGGGCTCTCGGTAAAGCGCTCTCCATGGAACTTCACTATACCTCTGGATATCATCCGGAAGCCGACGGGCAAACTGAGCGTGTCAACCAGACTCTCGAGCAGTACATCAGGATTTATTGTTCCTACCAACAAGATGACTGGTCGCCTCTACTTCCGATCGCCGAGTTCGCCTATAATAACGCTCCCAATGCTTCCACTGGTATTACTCCATTCTTCGCTAACAAAGGATACCACCCAAATATCACCGTTCGGCCCGAGGTCGACATGAAGTCTGATCTAGCCAGAGACTTCGTCGTCAATCTCGATGAACTCCACGTCTTCCTTCGAGAGGAAATCCTTTTAGCTCAGTCTCGTTACAAGGAACAAGCTGACAGGAAAAGGATCTCGCACCCGGAGTTCCCGATCGGCTCCGAAGTTTTCGTTCTTGCTAAGCACATTCGTTCTACTCGTCCTACTGAAAAATTCTCAGAAAAATATCTTGGTCCTTTCAAGGTCATCAGTCGACCTGGTACTTTGTCTTACGAGCTCAAGCTCCCAGACTATCTTCGCCGCATTCATCCGGTTTTCCACGTCTCACAGCTGGAGCCGGTTACGCCGAATCCTTTCCCAAATCGTACTCAATCTCCTCCACCTCCAATTGAAGTTGATGGGGAAGAGGAGTACAACGTTGCCGAAATCCTCGACTCCAAGCTGGACAGAAGGTATAAACGTTGTCCTCTACGTTATTACATTCGGTGGGCCGGTTATGAAGGTACCGACGATGAGTTCTCTTGGGTTGCTGCTGATGAATTACATGCTGACGAACTTGTACCGGCGTTCCACGCCCGATACCCTCACAAACCTGGACCTTGATCACAAAAAATCATTTTATTCCATTTCCCTTTTTCACCGCGCTCCGCCGAAGTCTACTTTGTGCGTTTAGAGGATAAACACGATGATAGCAAATTGAGTGTTTATCTCCTTTTCTTAATTACTTACATTCTTCTTCGAACTATTTGCACTTATATTTCATTCATACTTATACTATTTACACTTCGAACTAATTATTTCTTACGCCGCTTCGCGGCCCATTCGCTTTCCGATCTCAAATCGAGTTAACATTTTTTATATATACAAAGACCAAACAACAAAGAAAATTGTACAACGAGGGCAGGGCGACAAGAAGTATACAAGAAGAGGCCGAAGGCCGATGTCCGATGTCCGATGTTACTCTACTCCGCCCTCTCCTTCCCTTTCTCCGACCGGGCCTTCTTCGGCGCCGGTTCTCCCTCCTCCTCTACCTCCTCCTCTCCTTCTCCATCCTCTTCTTCTTCCATCCTCCTATCCTCTTCCTCCTCCTCACTATCCACGGCCCTTCGCCTCTTCTTCGGCAGCCGCGAAGGCCCTGGTTCCGGCATCTCCGGTGGCGTTTTCCTCCTTCTCGCGGCGTCCGTCATCAACCAGTCCAATTTGCGGTTGATATGGCGGTTGTAGGTGTTGTCCTTCAACTGGCCCTCTCGAAGCTGCCGGTTGTCTGCCAGCAGTTGAGCCATTTGGCTCTCCAAGATCGCCAGGCGCTCGCCGATCGGTTGTCCTCCCCCCTCTCGCTTCACCGTCGAAGGACGCCCGGAGTACGAGCATCTGACCTTTGCGTCGTGACAGGGTTTACAAATAATTGAACTCCTCTTGCCAGCCTGCATCTGGCAAGGGATCTTCTTGTTCCTGCATCGTTCGCAGGGAACTCTTTCATCTTCGTCGTCGTCGTCGTCGTCGCCGTCACCGCCGTCGTCAGGGTCCCCGCCAACAGGCTACAAACAAGACCAGGAATGTTAGTTAAGGTTACTGTCGAAAACTTACGATTACTCACCTGGGCCTTGGCTTTGCCTTTCCCCTTTTCCCTTCGAATTTCCACCACTGGTCGTCGTAGGGAAACCGAACTTCCTCCTGGAGAGGAACCCCGCTGACTTCGAGCGGTGGCCGCCGCCGCCATTACCCTCCGGCGCTCCTCCAACTCCCGAGCTGCCGCCTCCTTCTGCCTCTGCGCTTCCTCAGCAGCTTTCCTAGCTGCCTCTTCCTCGGCCTTCTTCCTCGCCGCCGCCGCCGCTTTCCTTGCCTTCATCCTGCGGACCTTCTCCTCCGCCCGCCGGATAGCCTCATCGTCGTCTTCTTCCAACTCCTCCTCGTCGTTGTCGACAGGGTCGGCGGGTGGTGGAATTGTTGTTCGGGACCTCGAAGGCCCAGCGGTAGTAGCGGAAGTGAGGGTGGTAGTGGTGGTACGGCTAGCGGACATTTTTTGGACTTAGAAGTTTTGGGAACTTGGGTCCTACCGGCGAAACTCTGGGCCTTTTATACGGCAAAACTGCGCACGGACCAGCGAAAATTTTCCTTCGAATTGTACTTGGTGTACGGTGAACCGAAAATTTTCACTGATGACTAACGCCATTTCCCGGTACTAACGGCTTTCGAAAATTTTCCTGCTGACTGATAGGCCAAATCCCCGATCCTGACGGCCTTTAAAATTTTTCCTTGGTGACTAACCAACTACCGGTATTAATGGCTTTCGAGGGCTCAAGCCTAAGAGGGGGATACTGTCAAGTCCATGCCACGGGCCTCCATTCCGCCGCTCGGTATTCCGAAGATCTGCTCTTATTGTAATCTCTTCCTATTGTTCTTTCTCGCTACACATATCCTTTCGTTCTAGTCTCTCATTATTGTCTTTTACTCTTTCGTGCTAGTCTCTCCTTATTGTCTTTTACTCTACCCTGCAGGTACTACTCGTATAGCTCCTAGTAGTTAGTCTAGCGCTCCGCACCGATGCGCCGTTCCGTAGATATAAATACTGCCTGTACGCTACTGTAGTTCCTCAGTTTAATTATCAACTTAGATCAACTTAGATCTCCCTTCTCAACTTAACTCTTCTCTAAGTCTTCAGGCTCAACGCCTCGAAGTACGTTCTCCTCGACCTTAGGACTTTGACGTTCTCTGGTCCGCTCCTCGTCATCGGCGATACCGCCGCTCCGACCTGGCTGCTACTTAGCTCCTCTCTCTCTACTCTCGCTCTCCGGGGACTAACGGCGTAACGGCGGTGTTGTTAATAACTTCACTACTGTCCCATTCGTCTTCCGCACTTAGACACCCTGTGGCCTTGGCACGGTTACACGGTGTACATGATCTTAACATAGCCTTAGCCAAAAAAGATTTGTCTGACTGAAAGCCGTTGTCGCGCCATCGGAAAATTCCACCGGAGGAATATTGGATCATGGCGTAGCGAGTTTCATGAGGTTGTATGGGTATAGTTGAATGTGTGATCAGTGCAGACGGAAAGAGAATGCTGGAGCCTGGGGGAAACCGGATGACCAGCTTCAAGTCCCAAAGGACTAGTTGACCACCTTTGTCGGGGTCAAAAGGGCCCATGGCAGTATCTACACACCACCCTGAGGCTCGGTTGTCAGGATCCATGTGAGGCGGAGAATACGATTGTGGTCCCAAGTTGAAGGTAACAGCAGCAAACGAAGTGTGAGGGAAGGCGTTTCGAAGACCTGGATGCTTTTGGAGAAGCTCGTGATGTGTGGTGTTGTATTCGACATAGTTCTTATGGCAGAAGCTGTTGAACAATACTAAAGATGGTTAGTTCGCAGGAGATTTGGGGAGCAGGAAAACGGCACCATTTGTGAAGCCTGATATGCGCCGGATGGACCTGTTCTGTAGGAGCTCGCGCATAGCCTTCTGGTTGGCTCTACCGGAGATCTTGTAATTCTGTGGCTTCACCCGCCCATTTCCATAGCCATAACCTACAGTTCTAGAAGCGAAATCTCCGCGCCGGCCGTGCTTCTGAGCTTGCGTGAAAGTACTGGCCTCAAAGCATTGCTTCATAGCACTAGTAGCGTCAGATTCGACACTCTTCCACTCATATCCTACTGAGCCACTGGGAACGCCGCCAAGAACGGCAATGATGCGGTCTTGAATGTCAACGAGGACAACGCAGGTCCTAAAAAAGGATAAGTCTACCAAAAAACCTAGAAACTATTGCTAAAACGCACGCTCCGTCCCATTTAAGCAGCTTGAGGCCAGAAAGCGAGCTGATTGCATCCAGGTTTTTCCAGACCTTCAGAAGACCAGGGGATAGCTTCTTCCGAGGGTTAGCATTCCATCCACTACAGGATACAGGAAGGGAAGCTGCATCGAAATCTTCGAGCTTCACTAGCTCAGCTCCTTTAGCGAGCTCCACGGCATAAGGCTTGGCCTCGTGAAGTTTGACACGTTCGACAGCTTCAGCAGCGCGTTTAGCACGCGATCGTTTCGTAAGTTTCGCATGCTTCTTGTTGTTCCGGGACTTCGAGGGAGCAATGTTGGGAATATTAATTGAGGGTACTGCTTCTGTGTCGGCTTCCTCGTCGGCTTCCTCGTCCTCGAATTCTATCTCTCCATCTTCTAGGGGTTCTCCAGCATCTTCAGCAGCGATGCGCGCGTTGTTGTCGGCCTCGAGTGCAGAAGATAGGTCAAATGAAGGGAATCTTATACGAGCAGTGGGAACAACATTTCCTGTGAGCAAAAACGTGCTTCAGTTATGTTAACGGAACAGGCCAAGGAGAGGTAGATTTTTTTTGAAAAAGCGATCAAACGAATCCTCAACCAACAGAGCCTTGCCTAGATGATGGGCTGGGCGTCTGTTGGCTGGGACATGCAAGGTGGAAGAAGAGTAAATATAGATACAGAAAAAATCACTCACCTGTATTCAAGCCCATCTGAGGAAGAGGGTCGGTGGACGCGGTGGGGAGGACACAATCAACAGAGACGCGTGACGGCGGTCGTGGTTGATTCCGTTTACAAGTGCGCGCTCCGTTTCTTTCACTTCCATTGCCTGCTGATTGCCTGTAACCATACGTTTTCCCACCTGCCCCAATGATCCTGCATCTCACACAAGCACCGTTTCCCCTGCTGGCTCTGTCTCCTTCCTCAGCTTCGATCCTCCATTTTCTTCTGCGACTTTTTCACCAATATCCGCTTTCTCCGTAAAGCGATTCGGAGCCATCCCAATGACGCCCATAAACAACACCACAGCCGCCTAGAGACGCCGAAGCTCGCGACAAGAACAGGCTTGGTGCGTGGACTCTTTTCCATTGCTTTATCCCAGCTTGATAGGTCATCAGATCAAGTTGTTAAATCTTTCCGTGAAATATGGTGTCCTCAGGACATCCCTCCACTTTTTCTTACCAGCTCCTGTGCCGCCGTTCCCGCAACAGCTCCACCAGTCGACCTTGAAGAGAAACTGTCAAATTCAATCTCCATCTCCATCTTTATTTGCCACTTTGCTTCCTGGTACCACCAACCCCGTTTCCATGAACCGCTTCGTCCGCGAAGTTCTTCGATGCTCCAGAGCTTCTGGGAGCATTCTTCTGATGGCTATTGAAGCCGTTCGTTCAACTCCGGCTCTCGAAAACCATTCAACCAGGCGACTCCTTCGAGGGCGAAACGGAATTGGCTGACTGTAGCTTCCAAAAACGAACTCGCGTGCGAAGCTAAGCTTCGTATGGGAACGGGCGCTATCCAAATTACAGGTCCCTGTTCTGACTCTCCTGCTGTGTTCGGTGGGGTCGTGCAAGGTGCTGGATCCGCTCTCAGGTAGAGCAAAGCGCCATTCGGCACTTGTGCCTCTCCCCCATCTTCCATCATCACTACTACGGGCACGCCGAGCCGATTCCGCTCTCAATAAGAGCAAAGGACCATTTTCGGCACTTGTACCTCTCCCCCATCTTCCCTCACACTTGTGCCTCTCCCCCATCCTCCTTCACCACCACTACGCCCATGCCAAGCCGAATTTGGCAGTTTCAGTTTTTCCGTCACCGCGCGCGTTTGAACTCCGTCTTTATTTGCCATAGGTATCTGCTGGACACTTGTACAGGGCACTCCTTCAGCTGATTCCCATGCGTCCTTCTCCGGTGGTACTCTGTACAACTTTACACGAATCTGGGCTCCACCTCCCATCTTCATTTGTTACAGGCGTCGTGCTGCAGGCGACTCGCTTCCTGGCAAGATCTCCGCGCGGGGGCTCACCTTATAGCTTAACGATAAGCTTACATGGGAATCCGAGCCTTGTGGCCGTCCGCATCAACTTCGGCTCTACCAACGTGTCTCGCAGAACCTTTTGAAGACGTCGAATTTGCTCTCCAGAGCACGCGGCTCTGTTCTGTGTGATCAGGCGATTCCTTCGAGGGCAAAATGGAAACTGCTGACTGGGTTACTGTGGCATCTGAAGACAAACTCATACGCGTGAAAGCTTTGCTTTGGAATGGACACCATCCGAATTACAGATGCCTATTTTGGCTCTACTGCCATATCTAGTGGAACTATGGAAGACGCGGAACCCACTCACAAGAGCAAAGGACCGTTTTCGGTGCTGGTGCCTCCGCCTTATCTTCCTTCATTGCTAGTACAAGCCCTCCGACTCCTGGCCTTACCCACTCACCGACTTCGACAGATTCTGCACCTGGTGATAGGACAGTGCAAATGCGCTTCTTCCTAGATGGCGCTACCCTTGCATTTTGTGAGGGCGCGTAGAGCACAGACTTACGCATGCATCTAGCTCTATATAGGAAGACGCTATACTTATGTTGTATATATCCATATCTACGTAGGAACACCTAATGCATTCGCCGGCGGGCCGGTTTTTGACCCCTTCATGAATAGGAGATTTGCCTTGCGATGCTCCTCTAACCCTTGCACTCACCATAATGGGCATCCAGAATCTTTGGCCTGTAAGTTATCATGTCTATCCCTTGTGACCTTTCTGAGCTCATCGTATATCCCAAACAGTTAGTAGATGAAGCTGGGTTTACTTGCAAGCTCAAGAACTTTGTTATGGAGCATGGTTTTATCAAAGACCACCACCGTTCCCGTACGGTGATTATTGGAGTTGACATTAGGTATGTCATCGCCAAAGCCATGCATATCTCTAGTATCTCACCCTTACAAAGTTCATTCTTGGATGGCTTCCGTGCATCAGATAGGGGTTCTCATGCCAATCGCCGCCTTCATGCATCAGACTCGACCCTTACACAATTCTTCAAGCTACTGTGTGGTTTATCAAAGGCCGGTGCACATTGCATCTTTGTCTATGACGGTGATGGGCGCCCACTTATCAAACGAGGAATTCGAGTTGTCGCGCGCGAATCAGACTACTACACACATTCGAGAAAGTTGATAAAGTATTTTGGCTACTATAGCCATACAGTAAATGTTTCTATCCAGTCTACGCGAATAATGCTTACCTCACAAACACAGGCTCCAGGTGAAGCAGAAGCAGAGCTTTCAGATATGTACAAACGGGGTATTATTGATATTGTGCTCTCTAAAGACAGCGATGTTTTTCCCCTTGGGGTTGGATCTATAATGAAACTCATCGTACCGTAACAACTGCTCCTTTGCATTCACTGATATGTATATCTGACCTGAATTCTACGTAGGAAGGAGCCGAGAAATCTCTGGGGAGATCTAGATGCGCGCGTTTACCATGCTGAATCCACAGGCTACTCTCAGGGAGGTTTCATTCTGATTGCTTTATTGCTTCAGAATGATTTCGGTAGCGGTGTTGATGGCATAGGCCACCAAACTGCTCGCGGCCTTGCTCAGAGTGGATTTGGGGATGATCTTCTCAACGCCTACCAGTTGTTCCTAAACTCGCCGCAACAGCTTTCTGAAGCATTCCGCAAACTGAATAGCGATATGGCATATGAGATTCAATATAATGAACAAGGTAAAATGGGTTTATGTAGTCCTTTCCGGGCGGATATCCTCCGGGACTCTCAATTTCCTACCCTTGAAGATGTCAATGTCATGAACGCATTTCTAAAGCCATTGACAAGTTCTTCACCTGGGCTCAATCCTGCCCCGGTCTCTCTCAGCCTACCCACACTCCCTGATGTCACCGGAATTTCCGAATTTTGTGCCGAGCACTTTGCCTGGTCTCCGATGCTTGCCCTGAAGCGTTTTCACACTCATCTCTGGCCTGGTATTGTGATCCGAATGCTTTCCTCGGTATGTACAATCGAATCGCTTCACATACAATGCTAATGAATTTTTTCCAGAAATATATAGGTTATAATACACAGAAGGCGGAATTCCTAGTTCCCCGCTTGCAGAGTCAACCTGAGACAAACAGCATGGGAAACTACTATATCCCTACTCTATCGACTACTGTCATGAACCACAAGGCATTGAATCTCCAAGCAAAGCATGTCGATGAGAGCATTCCCATCACTTTTGATACTGCCTTTTTCGTTCAGCTTACAGGTCTCCCTCCCTCAACTGTTCAATGTACTCGCAGAGTTGATGTTCCGGTTCCCATGCTCGCAGTGGCTACGAATCAAACAGGGAAAGTTGATCATTTGAGTGAATTACTCGGTTAGTCCATTCTTTTTGTACTTCAATCCTCCGTTTACCCTTGAATTTTGTAGGTTCACGTCCAAACTCTGACATATCTGTTCGGATCCAACACCGAAATGATCTGGGTTTGAGTAATGAAGCATCAAGTGAGTACCCAGATCTCTCTCGTCTCCTTCAAACAACCAACTATTCTGCATCTGCCTAGGTAGTTCACAGGTATCTATCAGCACACGCAAACACAAGCATACTCCAGCCTTTGTAACAGATGAGAGTAGCAAGTATAGCCAGTCGGGCATTAAATATTTGGGTGTCATCGAGCTTTCTGATAGTGAAGATGATGAGCTCGATGACCTTGTATGTACATGACTGTAACTAGTCTCTCAATCATGTTTGTAATTCTATCATTGCGACCTGAACACATAACTTTCGAGACACCCCTCAAGGAAACGGAGATTAAATGAGATGAGCGATGTTAAAAGTAATCTCCCTGACCTTTGCATGGTCTTTTTAACGTGTCCACTAAACTTCGTGATTCTTGAAGCAGGGAAGAAAAGCTGAAAAGACAGGATCTAGCATTCAAAAGATGATACCACTGTTAGCTGTAAAGACAATGCAGTGACTTGACGTTAGCTTGCCGGACTCATTACTTTATTACTTTACCAAACGTCTAAGAACAATATTATAGCACATCTGCGCCGCTTATCAGCATTCAATTGTACGATTGAACAAAAAATCAGGCTGTATAATGCCTGCTCGCAAGCTCAAGTCCACTCACTAATCTTAAATTTATACTCGCGGACTGATACTCTACCTCATAACAAGCTAAGTTCATATCTCAACTGCATCCCCCCACCAAGTACCATGCAGCTGCGCTCAAGATTGAGATGAAGTCAGTCTAAATAAATAGAGACCTGGATGGCATGATGCATACAATAGATACGGCAATATGCATCATACAGTACTTCAATATTATTATGATTACATAGTATGTATCCACATCCTCGGAACTGCTGATCTCCGTCTCCTCTCCTCTCCTCACTCTCACTCAGTCTCAGTCCTCACCAGCTCCTCACTTCTTGCTTCGTCCTATCCTATTTGTCATCTGACCTGATAAATATTCTCTCGATACATATACCTTCACGCAATAGGGATCATGGAACCTCAATGTTGTCAAGTGTGAGTTTCCATTCTATTCATCCTCCTTATGTTCTTGCTCGTTTGTGCTATTACATCATGTCTCATTCTTCATCATTTGACTGCGATGTACATTTGCCAAGTTACTCTATGCTGTTGCTACTCTTGTCTCGCTGAACTGGAGGAGTCTCGCTGAAGTGGAGGAGGGGAGGCGGAAGCATCGAACAATGAATTGTTTTGCTCCCGCCGCCGTCGATTGCCCGCTCGTTGTCCGGAGCGCAGTTCTCCGTCGGGTCGATGGAATGACAGGTCCCTGACGGGGACACTGCATTACATCAGGTCACATCTCGTTATGATCCGTTACGAGATGTGACCCGCATGGTCTTTCCTGTTGGTCTCAATTGCACTTCTCAGTCTTTCACTCACTTTGTTTACACTCTCTGGCCTGTCGCCCATTTTTTCCTACATTTTCGGCAGCCTTGGACACACTCAACTGAGAGATCAGGGAGTGGTATTGCTCAATGGTAGGGTGTGGAGATGTTTAAAAAATATTCAAGAATTGGGTGATCATCTTCAACTTATGATATGGTCATCCTACTCAAAAAATATACAGCAACAATGAATACTCAGATAAGATGATGTCACAGTACTCAACATTCCAATGGACGACATGTTAACTGAAGGATCTAAATGAAACATGTGCATATAACAGGGAAAAGATTGACCTAGCCTGTTGAGCATCATAAAACTCATCTAAAACAAAAGATGATATAAGGGCAATCATCTGCAAAACCTGGATGTTCGCGAGAGCAAGGGTACTAGCTGGAGAGCGCTGTCCAGCGCTGAAAGCACTCCCAGCAGTTTTTCAATACTGCTGGGAGCGCTTTCCCAGCTGGACAGTGCTGTCAGCTGCTTTCGAGCTCTTAGCCGAAAATACAGGTTTTACAGATGATACCTTGGTCTGCTTCTTATTCTCCTCCAATCAAGGTATTGAAAAGAGTCTTCAGCACAATGAATGGATGGAAAATATCAACAGATGTGCCAAACCCCATGACTCCATCCCAGTAGGCCCGTCCAGCTTGTGCATCCTGATAAACTGTGAGTAGTGCAACACACACAAAATAGCAGTATGTACTAATTAATTGTTCTGACCTTTGTGGCAAGAATCTGAACTCTTCTCAAATACCAACGCAACAAACGGCCCACTTTAAGGTCCTCTCCTGGCAATGGTGTAGTACTAGGAATACCATAATCTTCAACAGGGACGGAGATTTAATAGAGCGTAAAGTTGACACCATATGCTATCATTGGATTGCTTACCCAATAGATGAGTGAGCTGCCTGAGTAATGCCAATCCTCTTAGGAACAATAGAATATCTATCTCAAAATGTGGAGTGCTTACCAGAAATTGTCTGTCTTTTTGGAGTGCTCCTTGAAGAACTGTTCTGAAAAGTCCGCAGGTAGTTCTTTGGTGTCCACTTGTGTTTTGGCAGAGAGTACTTTGTGAAGCGCAACCGCACCCAATAAAGCTTTGGTACATCCTTGGCTGGTATTTACTCAATGAACAATCGGGTGAGAGGACTCATCAAGAAAGAAGCTAGTACCCGTATAAAGGATCCACTACACGAAATCACAGTCAACTCAAGAAATTGATTGGAATAGAAGACCTTACCAGATGACACACTATCTCCAAGGGCTACAAAATTACTTGGTAGGTTCACCGTTTGATGATATCGGATATAAGCTGTGGGGGCTGAGGGGCCAGGGCAGATAGCTTAAAAACCATGACAACTAAATTCAAATAGATGATCTACTCACGTATGCGAAGCTGGGAAGAATGAACCTCCGGTTGAGATGCCTCGATGATATCAATGGTCTCAATTACCCATCCCGGGATCGGATTCTTGTGAGTCTTGAGATCCTGTATCAATGATCGCATGGCGTTGAGAGACTCGTATTTTACAGGATCGTCGCTTGATTGGCCGACAAAGATCACAACTACGGGAGGGTTTCAGTATTTACCTGCATCTCTAGTAGTTTATCGCCAAAATATACACACTTCGGTCACCGTCTACCTTGGTCATGACGAAAAATCGGCGACCATTGTTAGGATCGTCTTCCCAGAACCCAAAGAACATGGTCTCGGTTGTTTGATCATTGGGAATCGGTAACTTTTTCAAAGTATCGGGGGTGACGTCGCATATAAGACTGGAATATTGTAATTTCTGGTCGAACGATATCTTTGCGTCTTTAAGGTCTAGTTTACCGTCGATGTTGACATCAGTGCTGCCGTAGCCTGCTTGAGACAGCCATTTGACTCCTGCTCGTGTTACTCCGGTACAATCTACATGAAGGAACCCGCGAAGTTCCCGTTACAACAGACAACAGAAAGATAATGCATTAGCGCCACGCACCAATCACCAAGTTGGCATCAAGCTCTTCGATCTGAGAGTCCGTCCGCCGAATCTTGACTCGACCGATACGAGAGGGGTCATCAGAATGTGGCGATAGTCCAGTGACCGTTCCAGCTATTTGCACAATGTTGCGGTAAATGCCTCGGCCAAGTACCAACCGTCTGATTATGATAGTGAGCACAGAGGCAGAAGCAGTTTGTGAACATACCTCAAAAGTGTTTCCAGGCCCGCTCGACTGGAAACAAGTGTTTCCGGCAGATGCCCATGATACGATTCAACTGGAGCTGGGATGAGCGTTCCTGCAAAATTCATTTTCCTGTCTGCTGGATAAATACTACAAGGTGGAATACGTGAGGATCTGACTGGATACAGAATATCATAGTCACTTACGCTATTCCTGAATATCGACACTGTTCAGCGAGGTCGGGGAATAGTTTTCGAAGTCCGGCATACAAGAGGGCTTGGCTGCCTGAAGCAACGGTATCATTTAAAATGTGAATGACGATCTCAAAATGATTCAACGAACCGTGTAGCGATTGGTATTGCATGACACGCGTGCGCTTGTGCTCTTGCTCCCAAGCGAATCTACGCATACCATCTTCACTGGTCAACCATTCTTCAGGCTCGACAATGATGACATGCTCGAAAAATTCGGAACAAATTCGTGCTGCGAGTAGTCCGGCGATGCTATATATGATGCATAGGGCTGAGAGAGATGCCTTCGCATATATGTAAAGCTACTGACCTCCCACCGCATATCAATGCTGTCCCATCCAATCTCTGCTCTGGAAAACGTGTCTTCCCTATGTTCTCAATCTCGGGGATGCCGGAGGAGCGATTAAAGAGGTATCGACGGAGTAGTCTCCAAGCTAGGATTGTCAATCCATAAAAGATAGCAAGCAGCTGAGCTGCAGCTTTGAGTTGACTGACTTGATTGACCATGAGGTAGACGATTCTGTTTGTGAAGAACTTACAGTACAGGTGCATGTATTTAAGGCATCCATAACGCAGACAGCGTACTGTATATTTTGGAAAAGCCCGTACGTGGTGAGTATTACATAGGCGGGGAGCCGGCCGGAGGAAGCTCACCGCATCCAGTGGCATCGCTGTTTGACAAAAGAACTTGTTCAAAGCGATTAGCAAATGTATCGACTGAGAAGTGGACTCGGAGTGGGCTTGAGACAGGCTTGAGATATACATAGCATGCCGTTCAAAACATTTATGTAACGCGAAGACGCGAAGAAGCGATCAGCTCTAGTATGAGACCATTTTCAGATTTTGAGGGATAGTATACATTTGCGACTTGTAAGAATAAAATTCCTTGTGTGTTCAATTTTGTTGGTCCAATAGATTGAGTCCGAGATAAGTCAACCGCAGGTTGGCTTATCATAGGATAAGATAATGAGTGGCGATTGAGTTCGATTAGGCGCCTGTTCGTTCTCACCCTCGACGCTCACCGTCCGACCTCTTACAGCCTCATCTTTTGTCGTGATTTTCGGATACAACCATGCAGCTCCCTCTACGTAGTCGACCGACCTTACAGAATCCTGACAGAGTGCATATAACGCACAGTAGTGTCGAAGCTCGGAACATGTTCGCTTCTTGGGACATAACGACGCGTCTAACATTCAACAAAGAGAACAATGCAAATAACATCCGTCGCGACTTACAGCAAGCAGCGCATCTCAGGGATCCGGAGAACACCAGGTCACCATCGCCAGTCACTTCAGAACTCACCATCCAGCTGGAGGAATGGGAGAAGATTCGTACAAACCCAATTCGTTTTGACTCCTTGAAGCACCTGATTCCGGATTTCATCCTGGAATGGATGGAGAGTCGGAAGATTCAGGTCAAAGATAAGAGGGAGAGAGAGGAGGATACTAGCAGAGAAGCTGAGGAGGAGAAGAAGAAGAAGAGAAGATTGGCTGAACCTTTGGTCCCCGTGGTGAAGAATCCGCTCGTTCCTTTCCAAGCAAGTTTCCACGATGCATTATACGAAATCGCACACGTCTCCCCAATCCCTCTCCCTTTCTTCAGTAACAACGCTCTACAGTTCATTTCCGCCCGCGCCCACTCACTTCCGCATAAAAAATTCAAGTCAAATGATCCCAGGAAGAGTGGTTATTTCATCGACATCGAAGCTCTGAAGAAAATGCTCAGGATCAAATACGCAGACGATGATCAACTGGAAGGCCTCGACTACATTCTTTTCGTCGAGTGTGTCAACAACTACATGAGATTCGAGACAAGTCGCGACCCAGCAGGTCCAGCTGGTACACGAGCACAATTCATTATCCAGCACTTCTCATTCTTCCTTAACAAACGTCATACAGCCAAACTCTATGCCTTCTGGAAGCCAGCGGAACTCCGAATCAGAAACAAACAATACCTCGAATTCACAGGTTTTATCCAGAGTGTGTATGACTCGGAATGGACTAAGGTAGAGAGTCAAGTTGAGTTTGAGGATACTATGGCAAAAGCTCGCGGCGGGTCATTGTGGTATTCCTACCCATTCCAATCCAACACAACCTCAGACACATCTCCTCCATACCAGGGTTCTCCGATCGGGGATATGCCACCACTGTCGGAAAACACCATCACACCTGACAGTGTCACTAATACCCAGGTAGTGAATCAAGATATTGCCGAATAATATCGCCGCAACGATTTGCAAGACCGCCTTATATTATTTTTGGACATCGAGTTTTATGCTCTGTTATTATAGGGTGTTATGCCTATTATTATTTTGGGTGTTATGCCTGTTATTATTTTGGGTGTTATGCCTCTTTATTATTCGGGTGTTATGCCTCCTTACGATTTCGGGTGTTATGCCAATTACATGCTTTTGGGTGTCATGCCATTCTTATGGGTTTGTTATAGTCTCGCCGGTCTTTATTTGTGATGCATAATGCCATGTATACTCAACAGTCAACTTATATCTATATTATAAAGCCTCAGCTCTAAATGGGGTACAGCTTCACCTTATTCGGAGTGCGCTGGGAAGGAGCCTTGGCTCTGTTTGGGTATCTAGCCCTCTCCTCATATATGGGTGGGAGCGCGGGGCTTCGCCCCCAGGCAAAACCTTTCTATATTGATACCGACCTTACCTACAAATGATATTATCTAGGATATATACGAGGACACTCAAATAACTTATCCTGCTTGAGGCACTGGAGATGTCACGTGGAGTTGAACTTTCTAATCAGCGCCGCCGATCTGTATCCATAAACGCACCTACATAGTACCAGTATCGACATTTATTTTTCATAAATCCGAGGGTTCAGAGAAATTCCCTCTCGTACTCGGTCCTTCAACTGCTTACCCTGAAATCTTCATCAACGCCAACGTCAATGACCATGATTTTCGAAGCCGGCCCACACAGGCCCACACAGGCCCACACTAATCCTCACTTGTAAGTTGTGAAGAGTTGTGCAGCTGTATGTGTTCAACGGTGATGAACAATCTTCATCAAAGTATGTGTTTACAGTGTATTGAAGCTTGAAGTCTATGATTCTTGTACATAGGTTGACGTTTCCAGCGGTATCAGTAGTTACTCTGCACCTTGGGTACTAATACCGATCGCATCCGGTCACCCGAGTCACAACCATATGAACAGAGCGAATATTATTTCTTAGCTCAACCTTGACTTGGAATACCGTCTGCTGATGGCATGGCTTCCATGTTCGCTGACAGAGGGAAAGTATTACAGGTGGATTAGTGATGGTGCCGTATATTAACATTGTGAAAGTCCTTTCATCTATATGTAGTGGCAAGTTTGCGTCCTTTATTCTTGAGAGGCATAAATCTGTAATAAAAATCAATACCCTTGCGCGCGAGCTGAATGGTACAAATGCCGTACAGAGTACCCCAGCTGAAAAAAATTTATGGTCATCCCCCAATTACTGTATTGAACAGAGTTTTGAGAACAAGCGAGGGATGGAAGAAATCAATGGATGTGCCAAAACCCATAGCTCCATCCCAGAAGGTCCGTGCGGCTTGGGCATCCTATGTAGTCAGAGTCCATGTCAATGATGTGACATACGGAGGATACCAATGTATGCCAAATTTTTATTAATTATTCTGACCTTTATAGCAAGAATCTGTACTCTTCTCAGATACCAACGGATCAAACTGCCGACTTGGAGGTCTTCTCCTGGTAATGGTGTAGTACTGGGAATCCCATAATCTTTGATCGCATGAAGAATGTTCGATAGAACCCAGACTGAATGATAGTTTACATTACTTACCCAGAAGATGAGTGACCTGCCTGATTTCCCAATCCCGTTAAGGATAGTATACATATCTCAAAGTGATTGGGGACTTACCAAAAACTATCTGTCTTATTGAAGTGTTCCTTGAAGAACTGTTCTGAAAAGTTTCCAGGTATTTCTTTGGCATCCGCTGGTGTTCTGGTAGAGAGGACTTTGTGAAGCGCAACTGCGCCCAATAAAGCCTTCGTACATCCTTGGCTGTTATCCAATGCAATGATCAGATACGTGCAAATAAAAACAATAAGACGGAAACTGGTACCCGAATATAGGATCAACTACACAGATCAAAGTTTCGCTCAGAAATATTAGCAGTAAGGATGAAAGAGCGCACTAGAAAAAACACTATCTCCAAGCGCTACAAAATTACTTGGTAGGTTCGCTGTTTGATGATATCGGATATAAGCTGTGGGGGCTGGAAGCGGAGAGTTGTGAATAACAATCAAGTTGGAACAGGAATCGACTTACGAACGCGAAGATGAGAAGAATGGATCACCGGCTGAGATTCCTCGAGGATATCAATCGTTTCGAATACCCATTCCGGAATCGGATCCTTGTAGGTCTTGAAATCCTGTACTAATGACCGCATGGCATCAAGAGACTCGTATTTTACAGTCTCGTCGCTAGATTGGCCGGCAAAAATCAGAACTGCGGGCGGTTTCAACATGCACCCTTATTCAGTGAACAAATTGGACATACATCGATTACCGTCCATCCTTGTCAAGGCGAATATCCGCCGTCCTTTTGAAGTATCATCTTCCCCGAACCCATACGAGATAGTTTCTAATTTTTGATTACTAGGAACTGGTAGCTTTTCCAGAGTGGCGGGGGTGACATTGCATATAAGAGTGGAATAATGCAACTTCTGGTCGAATGATATCTTTGCGTCTTGTAAGGGAAGTTTACCGTCGCCGTGGACGACATCTGTACCATAGCCTGACTGAGACAGCCACTTGAGTCCAGCACGAGTTGTTCCAGTGCAATCTAAACGTAGCTACTCTCAATGTTCTCGTTTCCCAGAACAAAGTTGTAGTATCACGTACCAACCACCAAGCTTGCATCGAGCTCTTCAACCCCCAAGTCCGCTCGCCGAATCTTGACTCGTCCAATGCGAGAAGAGTCATCAGAGTGTGGCGATACACCAATGACAGTTCCAGCTATCTGCGAAACGTTACGATACTCGCCTTGACCCAACACCAACCGTCTGAGAGTGCGAATCAATGGAGGGCTGTATTGTGAACAGAATTAAAAATTCAGAATGTACCTCAGAAGTGTTTCGAAGCCCGATCGACTGCCAAGAATTGCTTTGGGCAAGTTTCCACCATATGATTCGACCGGAGCTGGGATGGGAGTTCCTGCAAAGTTCATCTTTCTGTCCGCTGGATATATACTAGAAATGAATGATATGAGTATCAGATTGGAGACAGAGCTATTTGGTCACTCACGTCATCCCTGAATAGCGGCACTGTTCATCCAGATCGGGGAAAAGTTCTCGAAGTCCGGTATACAAGAGAGCTTGGCCGCCTGAAGCAACGGTATCATTTTCTCGCAAATGCGGATGTAAGTCCAAACTTGATAAACGAACCGTGGAGGGATTGGTATTGCATGACACGAGTGCGCTTGTGCTCTTGTTCCCAACCATACCTGCGCATACCATCTTCGGTGGTCAACCACTCTTCTGGTTCGACGATGATAACGCGTTCGAAGAAGTCCGAACATACTCGTGCTGTGAGTAGTCCAGCGATGCTAGATGTAATCCACAAAATGAGAAAGCAGCCCTATGTAGTAAAATATTACTGACCTTCCCCCACATATCACTGCTGTCCCGTCCAATTTCTGCCCTAGAGAACGTGTGGTTCCCAATTTCTCAATCTCAGGGATGCCAGAGTAGCGATTGAAGAAATGCCAGCGTAGTACTCTCCAAGCTAGGTGTGCCAATCCATAAAGGACTCCAATAGTGAGAATAAATAACTGAAATGCCGCTTTGAGTTGACCATCTTGGGGTTGAGTAGTCATGGACGGAACGATTTTGCTCTTTTGATGGGAGGATAGGAACGAGTCCAGATTATATATAACATCTCTGCCAGATATCCCGCAGTGAGGACGCGTCGTTTTGTTTTTGGAAAGCCCTTTAGACAGTTCGTCGTATGTAATCTCTTGCGATAGATTTTCAGATGGTATACCGGAAACTTCCCGAAAACCAGCCTTTGAATGCCTTGAGAGGGGGAATCGAACAGAGCTCCGCGCACAACTCCGTTCCGTGAGCATTTTACGGTGAATACCTACCATGAATTCTAAAAATGCGTAAAAGCTCTGGACCAACTCTAGCCGCCCTGCGGCCGAACGCGTAATAGAGGGTGCTTACTTAGCCATGATTCTCTGTGAAGATAGGGAAAGAATCTGCGTTGAGTTAACATTTCAACATGTGCACTGGGAGGTTTCTGTGCGGGGGGAGAATAAACAGGTTTTAGTCAAAGGTTGCGGCGGAGCTTGAAACGGCATTTTGAAAACAAAACGAGAGCAGAATTGACCAAGATATCGTTCGAGTAATCGTCGAAGGGTAATGATTGAGAGATAAAATTGAGGACTACAGATCTACATACAATGAGGAACACGATCTCAATTACCTCGTCTAAACTGTATGCCCTGGAAGAAGCTAGCAATGCCCCGTAACATGTTTTGCTTCTGAGGAGGGGCAGGTGGAGGTATGTCACGAACGAAGGCACGCGTCAGCGGGTCTTCATCGTTCGTGCTTCCTCCGTTTTCCGTTGACCGTGCTTCTAGCCCGGCAAGGGTCGAGACTTTGTCTTGGGCCCGAGCTTTGGCGGGCGCAATGACCCATTTTTTCACTCCCTCCAACAATTTTTTCTCGCAAAATCGCATGACAGTAGCTTCTTCGACCCATAATCCTGTTGTCCATATGCCTAGTGTCGTTCTGGTTGGAGGCGGTGTCGAAACAAGCAGGTTCTGCAACGGGTTCGCAGCGAGCGGTTCTGCTGTCTTCTGTGTGTTCCAATCTACAGCAGGATAGCCTGAATTTTGTTGGGAGCGTAACCAAAAACGCTCGGTCCAACTTTGTTCTCGTATGCGATTAGCCATTACGATGTCCGTGAACAGGCGGTCTCCGACGATGATGAGCTCATTGTCCTTGATGGGATCTCGAAGCGAGCGAAAGTAAGAACGAATTTGCTTCACACATGAATATGCAGGTTTCATCGACGTATGAAAGAGGACAGGAACTCCGAGATGGTGTCGAACAGACTCGGCCTGTGTGCAGGGAATATCAGGTTGAAGCATTTTCTTCTTTAAGGTCTTACAAATTACACACCTGAATTCCACCCGCATCCACATGTGCTCCAGCAGTGTTGCTGACGACGAGAACATTGCCCTTACCAAAAACTTGTTTACACTCCTTCCACGCGTCTTCAATTTCCGGTACGATGGTATCCTTTCCGGGAAGAGTCTGGTAAATTGAGCATTTATAGTTACTGTTTTCACTGAGAACTCACCAGGCAATTATCTTTGTCAAAAACAGCTCCTCTATAGCCTGCACGCTTTAACGCGTCAAAATCGAGATGGCGAATATCTTTCTGTCGTCGACTTGAATTAGCATGTAAGCAGCCAAAAATTAGAGAGAAAAGCGCACCTCTAACTGATAAACTAGGGACAATTATTCTAGGGTTTACCAGAAACTGTACGGGAGCTAGAATGCCTGGTACATTGAGCGGCATGAAGCGTGAACCAGAATTTGTCCTCGCGCAAAGTGGTAGTTGCTGATAGGAATCGAAAACAGCGGACCGTCTATCCCGCTCAAAGCTGCGCTAGCCACTTTCAATTTGCAAGCTTTACTTAAGTTCTAACCATAACAGCGAGATCCTCTGCCTGCTAAAACCAACAATGGCGTCCTGTGATTTTTGTGACGGTCTTGGTTTGATCGCATTCTTACGTTTATCATGAAACAATAGAACTGCCTCTGACCTTTACGACCATCTTCTTTCCCGAAATGTCTTCTTCGAATCCAGCATCTCATACGATGACTGAAAGGTGGATCGTTGGCCCACAAGACACTCAATTTTACACCAGAATCTATGCACCTTTGTCAGGTACTCCTCGCGCCCTCGTTGTCTTCGTTCACGGCTTCCAAGAACACGTCGGTCGGTACACGCACATACATCCATCTCTCGCAGAAAATGGTATTGTATTGTGGGCCTTTGACCAACGTGGCTTTGGACGAACAGCACTGGACAATGAGTGTCGCAGTAAAAATAGCTCTTGGGGCAAAACAGGATGGTCAGACCAGATGCAGGACGTGGACTGGGCGGTGCGTACAGCACGGGAAGAGTTTCCCGGTGTACCAGTGTTTTTGATGGGTCACTCCATGGTGAGGAACATATCTTTCAATGGTATCCTCCCACTGACAAGCCTATTTGCGTAGGGTGGTGGCGAGGTGTTGAGTTTCGTGACCCAGCAATCCTACGAAAGCCCGCGTCATGCAGAAACCGTGGTCTCATTGACCGGAGTTATTGTTACTAGTCCCTTGATCAAACAAACAATACCCGCGTCCAAAACCCTGCGTTGGCTAGGGGGAAAAGTCGCAACTATATCACCATATAGCCTGATCCCCGCTGCTGTCAGCCCTGACGTAAGTATCAACCAATTCAAGGTGTATGCTGTTCATTGATGATATGCTTTTTGCAGGACCTATCTCATTCACCGGAATTTAACGACGCGTACTCCAAAGACCCACTGATCAAACCAACGGGATCCCTGAGAGGAATTGGAGAGATGTTAACGGAAGTGAGTTGCATCATGTTGTTGGTGGATTCGTTGGACCCACAATCAATCCTATTTCCCGTCTTTTTGACCTCTCTTTCCATAGGGCGAAAAATTGCTATCGACAGGATGCCATCACTGGCCAAAGAAGATTCCAGTACGTTCAATCTTGCTCTTCCCCGTTTCGATGATGAATTCAATGTGTGTCCTACGTTGATCAAATAGGTCCTATTTATCCACGGCGACGCCGACAAAGTTACGTCTGCGAAGGCTACACAAACATTCTTCAAAGTTATCGACGCAGAGGATAAACAAATTATAATATATCCCGTAAGAGCTCTCTAGATATTCTCTCACATCATGCCGCGGTCACCTACGCGTTCTCTATTTCTCCTCATCTTGGACTTAAACGCTCATCGTGTCATACTATCTACAGGACGGGTTACACGAACTACAAAATGAGCCTCCATCCATCCGCCAAAAATTCGTAACGGACATTGTCTCTTTCGTCCAAGGTCGAACCTCCACTCCTGTAGCGCAGCCTAATTCCACACATGAACACACAGGCAGTAATGACAATAATGCCGGTGTTACCGTTGCTTTGCCCTTATCAAGTTCTAGTGCACCCAATTCCACAGATCCTAACACACAATTGTCGCTGGAGATTGATCGGGATGGGGATGACATGAAAGTTACGCCGAAATTGTAATCAAGTGACTTCACGCATTGCGCGTTGCTGGTTTTTATTTACTCGGACTATCAAAAACTGTACATAGTGAAATAGCCAGTCTTTTACTTCAGAAGTGTGTTCTAAATTGGTGATTCTCGAAAGACTGCAAATCTGCCAAAGAGTGTCGAGGATTTCAGACCACTTGAATTTGATGTAGGGCAGTATTCATTATTCACCCACAAATCAGCGTAAGAAGCCCAGACAAGATAATCGAACTACATGAATAATATCGTCACATTCTACAACAAACATGAAAACTTTCAAGGCGTAGCTCGTTCGGGCCATCTGCGCACAATATGATAAGCGCTCATGTAATCAATTTTGGAAATTTGACTGACCTTGGGTAAAGTGAGCATTCTCTAACGGTGTAGCGGTCTGCCAGCCAAGCTAGAAGTCGCTGTATGATTTCAGAGTTTAGTTCAAAATATAGATATATGGGCATCAGACTCACTTCGACTCCCAATCCATATCCCCCATGCTCACAAGTACCGTACTTCCTCTGGTCCGTGTACCAATAATATGTAGAGGGATCCATTCCTTCCCGTTTGTACGCAGCAATCAGCTCGTCATAATCTGATATCCTCATTGAACCGCCTGCGAACGATGAAGATGAGCGATTGAATTGGACAATTTAGATCATGAGATATTCTTACCAACAATCTCCCCAACGTTGGGCATCAGTAGATCACAGCTCTCAGTGAACACCGCATTGCTACCCTCTTTCTTTGGCATCCTCTTCATATAGAATGCTTTCAGCTCCGCGGGGAATCCATACAGAAAGACCGGCTTCCCAATGATGTCCGTCATCTGCCGCTCTGCAGCTTCAGCGATATCATCTCCCACAGCGTGTTCAACCATGATGTCTTTCCCGTTTTCGTCCTTGACCGCATTCCCATCCTTGTCCTCTTCAGGACGTTTGATTCCATGTTCGTTGAGCCAGGTTATGGCATCCACATAGGAGAGACGTAGGAAGGGGCGTACAGGAGGTTGGAATTTTGGGTTAAGCTGTTTGACAAGAGCGGCAGAGCTTGGATCGGCGAGAAGAATGTCTACTGATTCGCAGATCTGGAAAGAGAAAAAGCGGCGTTTGCATGAAAGATACGACTATCATTGAGATACTTACCACTGCCTCAATATGGGTCATTAAATCGTCAAAGTTGATAAATCCGAGTTCAGCCTCTAAGTGGGTATACTCGCTCAGATGGCGTCGTGTGTGACTATTGAGTCAGAAGTTTAGCCTCCAAATTATTTGATAAATACAACGAGTGTCCATACCTGTTCTCCGCCCGGAAGCTCTCTTGCACGCAAAACACATCACCTAGACTTGGTAAGCACGTTTCGAGGTATAGCTGGGAGCTTTGCGTCAAGAACGCAGGCTGGCCGTAATAGTCTAATTTGAATAACGTCGCGCCACCTTCTACCATGGTTTGCACAAGACATGGCGGTGTCACCTCGATAGTGGAATGTTTAACGAATGTTTGGCGGAAGGCAGCCAGAAGGGCCGCGCGCAGTCGAAGTACTGCAGATGCAGTTTCACCACGGAGGACTAAATGGCGGAGATCAGCTTGGATCGAAGGGTTGGTTTTCTGGAAAATTGCAGTTCGACTTCAAACTTTGATATGCATATACAGATCGCAGACTTACTTCGTTCAAACGGTTAGTGAAGGCGTCCTCTGCGCCGGGTGCAGCGCCTACAAGTTGCCAGTGATCGACGATAAGTTCGTGTCCACCAGGAGCGGTCTTTCCCTCTGGCACAACTTGAAGCATTCCTACAAGTTCTACGGTTGATTCTAGAGTGAGCGTGAGTGCATGGTAAGTTTGGTTCTATCGATTTCTGAGTGTCGATTGATAAACCTGATAAACCTAATAGCAACTTACGACGCGGCCTGAAAGAACAACTTGAAGATATCCTGTACCATCGCGTAAAGTAACAAAGGTGATGTCTTTTTGTTGTCGTAGACGGTGGACCCAGCCGAAGACACGAACTCGTTTAGATCGATGTTCAGCAAGTTGTGATATCTTTGCCTGGAACAGAGTTCATGATATACAACATTTAAGATGAAAAAGTAATTGTTGAATACCTTGATAGCTTTTGCTAGACTGGTATCTTCAATAAGAACGATACTTTTACTCTCCTCCAACAGCCTCTCCCGCTTTTCCCGTTCTTCGCCCTTTTCCTTGGCTTCGCGTTCAGCAAGTTCCTCCGCTTTCTTCCGTTTCTTCTCTAATCCGTCAGCACCCTTTTTGCCCTTTTTGATTGCAGATTGAGTGGGTTCATCATAGGATGTATTTGCGTCTTTACGAATGAGATATTTGGCATCAGCAGTAGTGAAGATGGCGAAAGCAAGAGATTGATAAGGCTGGGCTTCTGTTCCTTGTCCTGTGGTATCTGAGCCAGTGGCTTCATCAATGTAAATGATCGACATCTTGAACGATATCGCGTGAGGAGGAGAAGAAGTATTGGGAGGTTAGAAGCTGAGTGGTTGATCTTATCTATACCTTGATCTCGTCGATTATGACTCGAGCCAACTGTTGACTTCAACACTGCTTCGTTTTCGCATTCAATTGGCCGATACAACACCACGCTCTCATTCGTACCACGTATGCGCATACAGATAGACCGATTTGTGATTTATTTTAGGCAGACAAACGATGGTAGGTATACATAATGTGGAAACAAATGAAAAAGAGGGTAGGCCGTATAGGGAATGTTAAAAGACAAATCGGAAATAAGAATATTAAGATTACAGTTCACAAATCTGAGCGGAAATCATTATGCTCATAAAAGTCGCCAGGATTAAATCCCGCACAACATAATCGTATCACATCATATCATATGATGCCTGTGCATTTCATTTGTGCGACGAAGAGCCTGCTGTACTTTGTCTCAATCGTGCTCTCTCCAAAGGCGTCATTTCGTCGTCGACCATAGCTTGAAGAAACAGTCAGCCAAGAACGAAGGATCTCGAGAAATCGGTAGCTCACAGGTATTCGACTCATCAATAGATATGTCTCCATCTTCGGTTCCGTTATCATCTGTGCCACAGAATTTCGGGATATACGATTGACGACGCTGAAAAAAGCTTCAGGCATTGTTACGGGGTTTATCAACAAACAAGACGAACTTTGTGTCGTTTATCCTTATCGCCCTTCAGAGAGAAAAAATTACTTGTCGGATCGGGTTTATGTTCCTCTAGGTCGACCAGGTAACGCTCTTCGTCTAAACGCGCAGCCGCTTGTCTGCAGTCTCTGAGCCAAGATGCTCCTACTGCTTTCGGTCGTTTTGCTTCGTCCAGGGCACTGAGCAGCAACACATCAGTAGAAAGAAAGAAAAGACGAAGGATTACATTACGAACAAGTACTGCTCCACAGTCCTTTCACGACCAGACGTATACACAACATGCGTACACTGTGGCCCAATTCTCTTAACAACCTGGCAACTCAGAATGAGACTAGCAAAAAAATGTTTCAGAGGCCCACACACCCGAGCACCCAGATTCTTCGCAATATCAATATAAAGTGATGATGTATCCTGTCCGTCGCTCATCCATACATCCACAAATACCGTACAGCCTTCCAACACGGTCAACTCGGGAACGAATTTCGGAGGAGCTTGAGGCTGGGAAGTGTTACCAGAAGATGGGTATGAGCTACTGGAGCTACGAAGACCCGCTCGGCGAGGAGGAGATGTCGGTGGCGGAGGCGGACCCATCAATTCCATGGTAGTCGTATTCGGCAGAGCACTCATTGACTGACTCAACGTAACTGGGGGTCTGTTCAAGCCATTGCCCATTTCTCTGGCTTTTCCTTCTCTGCTGCCACCCATGACGGCCTCTAGCTCAGAAATATCCATATCACTTTGATTCCCACTCATAGAGATATCAAGTTTAGTGGCTTCCCCGTCACTCATTTCTACATCGTTATCTTGGTGCACATAACCACCGCCCTTCACGGGACTAGCGACAACACTGGGTAAAGTGGTCCTCTGGCTAGCTTTCTTGCCTCTGGAACCAAGTGAGCCGGGACCAACGGGGAACCGATTCCCAGTGCCAGTCTGCATCGACATTCCCAGTCGTCCGCCACGCATAACCACAGCAGTTTTATTCTTCTTCTTCAAGCCAGGACCTGTGCCTACTGGAAGGAACTGGGACATCTTCGACTGCGCCAATAATTCAGAGGAGGACGACATAGATGATGCGGGTTTGGAGTTGGAAGCGTGACCATTGGAGGTTGCAGTCGACGCCTTACTTGTGCTTGGCCGACCAAGTCCAACAGTCGATATCGATTTTCTCTTTCCCTTTTCCAACACACCATCCGTACTCCCCCCCTCGAATTCAATACTGGAATCTGGATCGTCACGGTTGAAGCCCATACTAGTTTTTGGACGCGTTGGTTCCCGAGCGGGAGGGGGTTTGGAAAGGGCTGCCAATGCATGGTCGAGTCGTGCCAAAACACTGGTGTCGGAGTTGATTAAATGGGGCACTGTAATTTTGAAAATCAGGGCGGACGTTCATGTTAAATATATCTATAATTCCAGATACTCACTAACTGGGACATAAGAGAACATCGAATAAGACTTAGTAAGTTTGGTGGGTGAGGAAGGCGCAGAACCCGGTTTGATGCCTGGTGCCGCGGGCGACTTGAAGATTGATGATTTGGGCCGAGCTGGGGTAATAGGGACCGGGATTGCCGACTTTTTGCTTGACCGGGTAGAACGTGCTGAGAGCGGGGCCGTTGAAGTTGAATTGGGCGAAGGAGGCGAGACAACAGAAAACGATGCTGAAGCCCCTTCCGGGGCAGCCTCCTCAGATTTCAAGCCTCGTGGCGATTTCCTTTTTGGTGAGAAGCGGATTGAGTTTTTTTCATCACCGGAAGGTTTCATTCGGGATTCAGCTGTATCTGAGGGTGCCTCCATCTCCACGTCCTCGCCACCATCGCCCTTCAAAGGCAATTCTACATCTAGATAATCCTCCGGTAAGTCTGATAGTTCAGACAAGGGTTCACCATCATCGGTGAATACAGGGAGCGTCTGAGGATTAGATATGTCAACATCAGCAGGAGACTCCTTGTGTCCAGAAAGGTCGATCGATGATGAAGAAGCAACAGCTGAAGGGGCAACATCCGCCACTTCAGAAGAAGCGACCGCCTTATTTGCCGCCTTCTTACCCGCCTTCTTACCCGCCTTCCGAGATACAGGAACTTTCTTCGTGCGTCCCGACGTAGTTGATTCTTTAGTTGGCACCTTCGAGGAAGCACTTCGGGTCGTACGAGGAGGAAGAGGAGGCCGAGCGACTTTCTGTCGTCGGGTTCGAGAATTAATTTCCAGGCTAGGCGAAGATCTTACCTCCAACGTTGTGAGAGAGGGAGAGTGTGGTTCAATTTCCATTGGTTCGTCGTAAATTCGGGCAGTCACATCCGGTTTATCCATGGTGTCCACATGTTCGTCATGGGCACCGTCCTTGGGATATTCATCTTCGCGATGACCTGGTTCAGAGAATAGTGGTGAAGGTGCTGTAGTGGGGGGTTCAGAAAAAAGTGGTGAAGGCACTCGGGGTACTACGTTTGTGTCTATTGCAGGAAGTGAGTCGTTTCGTGCAGGGTGTCGCTCGACAGTGATTTCATCCGCCCCTTTCATTTTAACGTCATCCATGGTCAATATTGCTTCGTCAACGCCAATCAATCTCTCTTCAATGTCGGGGGAACTGCTCTTCGGAGGCAAGGCACCAAACTCCAGAGGTGATGGTGAATTTCGAGTAGGAAGTGGCTGTAGAGGATAGGCAGGTGAACCAGAGATTTTGCCAATATTTGACAATTCGCCTGGAAGATCCTCACCCTCATCCTCTAGGAAGATATGTGGTATGGCGGGTTTTTTGACATCAGGTTTGGTACGCGGTCTCATTTTCCCTATAATTGTGGAAGTGCTACCCGATTTAACCTCTACGTTCGTGCCGCTTTTCCCTTTACCTTTCATGTCTGAGCCTTTCTTTTGCTTGGTAACCTTACCGATCTCTGTGGCCTTGTCCACATTCACGCCTGACAGGTGAATGGGAATCTCAGTCATTTCCGTAGATTTTTTCTCTTTCGCTTGCATTTTCCCCGTTCTACGCATCAACACATCAAATGCATTCGTTTCCTGACCTCTTGATGCTGCAGGGCGGTTAGAAGTCGCTTGGAGCGGAACAACGCCTTTGAGATTGGTTTTGGATGAAGATGCGGTGGCATTCGTTGGCCGAGGAAGACGACTCCGAGAAACTTTCACCGGAACAACGGCTTCAATAGATGTAGTTTCGCTGACAGCTTTAGGTTCTTCCTTACGGAAGAGGGCCTGCGAACAATTCAGAGAAACGAGACCCGATAAGGGTGGAATACACACCTGCCCCTCACCTGAAGCGGCGAATCGATCCTCTGTATTGTCAACATTCTCAGTGACCTTCTTGAAGAAAGGTGTTTCAGGAAGTGGCGTAAGTGGTGATAGTGGAACAGCGTGAATGTCGGCTGGCACAGCAAGAACGTCCGTTTGTCTAGGAGTAGCAGGTAAAGGTGCATCGACAGAAATCTCTGCTACGACACCACGAGCAGCTCCAACCGTTTCCTCTGGTTCCTCGCCAGCCTCGTCAGGGATCGACTCTAACGTTTGGCTCTGGGGAAAAAGTGAGCCGGAGGTTATTCTGAGTTTGGGCTCCCAACTTGGAGGACGACGTCGAGTAGGAGAAGTAGGAATGTCGTTGATGTTGATAACTGGAAAATCGCGAAATGAAGGAAATACAGGAACAGAACGAGCCCTCTCCTTCTGCGGAGGCAGAACTGCGGGAGATTGACGCCGCGTGGTCGAACTACTCGATGATTTCGGCTTCGACGTGGTCGCGGACCGTTTGCGTCGAGTTCTGGCAACAATCAGGATGGAGTCTGAAAGGTGGCGAGAATGTGCGGGTTTCGAAGCAATGTTGGCTTCAAGATCACTTCCTTTTGGCGACGACTTAAATCGTTTTAGTCGAGGCCAATCTGTCGATGTACTTGGAGAAGGGGACCTTTTGTCTCCTAGCTTCTTCGGGGACAAGTTCATCTCATCCTCTTCCGCTGAATCCTCCACTCTGGCTTCACTTCCTTCTTCAAGTTCTAATCGAGACCGATTTCTGACCGCTAGTCGTGCGTTTTTTAGCGGCGAACGAGATAATTCGACTGAGGCTTCTGGGAGAGTTAACTTGGACCTCGTACGCCCTTCAAAGAGTAGACTGTCCCCCATAGCAGTGTACCTCAGCGATCATAAAAGAGATTAAGCAAGTAAGGAGACGCGATGGTTTATTCTGATTCAAGTTCACGTTCAGGGTTCAACTTCGGGCGTTCGCACACTGTGCTTCGAAATCACGTGGCGTCCGTAACAAGAATTATATACGCGTTCAATAACTTCAATTCCACTGATCATGAGCTTGTTGATAAAGTCTTTACTAATAAGTTACTTGCATTGGGTTATTGATACACTGTTATTACTTTACGCGTAAGTGACTATGGTAGCTTTCCGGTCCAACAGATGATGCTTTAAATACTTTTCCAACGTCTGACCCCAATCCCTTCTATTATTTCGTCCGAGCGACAACCCTCAGAGGTCCCCTTGAAGTCGCGAAAAAGTCCTTCATTGACTGTGGCCATCGTTCCCAGTCAAAATCTTTGGCAAATGCAAATCGAAATCTCTGCATCATCAAGCTGATCACCATAAGCATCTCCCGTCTTGCTAGTTTCTTTCCAACACAATTAGCTGGCCCGAATGAGAAGGAAAGGAAAGCTTTTCTGTCATGTATCTTCTCTGAGAATGAGGTTTCCGAGTCTGAATCCGAGTCCGCGGCAGAGAGCCACCGAGAAGGAACAAAGTCGTTGGTGCGAGGATAGAAGCATTCGGGATTTCTATGCATGACATATGGAGGAAGGTAGACTTGTGTGCCCTCTGGAAGAAAACTGGACAAGTTTCAGTCAGTTTAGGTTTCCAGATCATCAAACGAGATGCACTTACTATCCAACGATCATTCGTCCACCTTGGGGTACTTGCCTTGGTCCGCCAGTCAAACCAGGCGGCAGTAAGCGCAGAGCTTCATCCCTAGCATACATTCATAAGCGTTCAATTAAGACTCATGTTCGTAATCGCTTACAAGCAAGCCGACAGAAATTTGAGCTCTGACTGCTTCGAAATATCAGTCGCATCTACATCTGCATACACTCTATCAACCTCTTCCTGTACACGCTGATAATGCTCCGGATGTTTGAGGATTAAATAGAAGAAATTTGTCAACGCCACCTATTAACTTCATTTAGGCTTTGAATTCTGCAAAATTTATTTGATTATTCACTTACACTTGTTGTATCTGCCCCGGCAACGATCGCCATTAGTGCATCGGCGACAACTTCCTTCCTTAACGGCTGCTCTTCCTTTTCGCGTGCTGCCTCATCCGTCAAATGATACCAAAGGTCTTTTATTTCAGCCCCTTTCTTCAAACGATCCTGTACCCACTTCATAGCATGTGCACGCATCTTCAAAGTCGACTGGGTCGCCCCGGGTATCCTATTTCCGAGATAGAAGAACCACGGGATGTGAGAGACAAGGGCTCCTGTTCTGAAAATAGGGTGAAGATAGTGAGCTGATTTGAAAGGGAAAAGTCTGAAATAAACAGATGACCCACATCATGTGGTGCTCTAGCAGTTCAAGGATCCCCTTCTCGTCTTTTCCTTCTTTGAGCATGTCCGAGCCTCCGCCGAATCTAATACACGACAGGCGCGATGAGCACACGACCCAGCACATGGAAGTAAACTTTGTAGTACTCACACAAACTCTGCCATGAAATCGTAGCTAGATAACAAAACATTGTAAGTATGGTGTGCCCCCACTTTTAAAAATAGACATATAAACCTAAAGTAATTGAACCAAGTAGTCAAATCAACTTCCCCCTGCGATTCTGAACGGGCTTGTATTCCGTCAACAAGCTGCGTAGCACTTTTAGCTAGAATCTCGTCGTATTCCTCCAGAGCACCCGCATTGAACCCACGATTCCAAACTCGACGTCTATTCGCATGCTTCTCTCCGGTGAGAGTAAGCAAATTTGAGGGAGCTTGTTCGTCTTGTCGAGCGAGGTACCCTAGTAGACGTATCATTCAAAAAGTCAGTCTTCGACATCTACGCCTTTCAGTCAAACTAGAGCCTAGAGCACTCACATTTTCCCTTTGGCAGTCCTCCCGCGCCAAGGACATCGGTCACGGCGTTTGGGTCGATGACGGAAATTTCGTTGGGACCTATGAAGTGATGTAGGATGATCAGACTTCATATCACAGAATGACGGATTTAGAATAGGAGAGATGATAGAGACAGAAAAGACAGCAGAGCGGGAATCAAAGCGCGATTGATTCCCCATGCAGAGATTGCGGTGAAAGTATCATAGGTCTGGTACTTCAAATGCAGTTGCGACTTGTCTCTCAACTCATGATGAAACGGAGTTTGAATATTCAACAAGATACAAGTGCCCCACATACCAGTTCGAACTACAGGTCCATACTTGTCATGCATCGCCTTGAATTCGGTATGCTGCCGTCCTTGCCAGCATATCCATACGGACCACAATTTCGATACTTTGTGCATCATGGGTCCAGGTACCTTTGCCAAGGGATGGAATGGTGAAAGCCGATACAGGATGATGGAGGATAATAGGGAGGCGAAGAAAGCTCCATATGCAAAGATGTAGTTGGTCCATTGCACGGTCGCTGCAGGGCTAGCATAAGCTAGCAAAAGGCAGAGGACGACTGGCTCGACGAGCAGTAATGCCAGGACATAGAGCACTGTTCGACCAAAAGGCTCGTATTTTTGGAAGAAAAGGTGATTAGCCTGCATTCAGAGGAGATTCAGGTGGTCAGTACAAATGTTGTCTCTGCACGATCAAGAGGAAGATGCGCACTACACCTAGGATTACCGCCAGAACTTCCGGACGGAAAGCTATATCAGTTGTAGGATACATGAAGATAGGGTGAGTAATGGATTGCAGGGTATGTGCGGCCCACCTCTCGAAATTCCATCCTTTAAACCTTTCAAGATCCCGGCTTGGTTCGTGAAGATTTTAAAGAATGGATACCGAGACTGACTCACAAGCAGATTTAGGCTGTACGCAGTACTCGGAAACCGAATATGTATAGACCCTCCACCAACACACTGGATCAAGAAATGGAGTGTTTGTAATAGCTGTTCAACTTCCACGCAAGTCCATTCGCATTGTAGTACCTCCATTGGTCAAACAGGGACGGACATTGAATATAGCGGCGCTGCGAATGACTCAATGAGATTTTCCAGGTCTGGCGCGAAAATCATCTGATCTATTCCGTCTCCCTGAATGGCCTCATAATTACTTCGTGCTGAGGTTTGAGTCAAACAAACGTTATATGTTGCTGACTCGCTGATGTCTTCTGTGGGCATCCGTTCAAAGCTTGATGGTAACTTGAGAATTATTTGGTTTCAGAAGACCACTTCCCGAATGTAAAGCAGTGCATACACTGCAGCATATTCATTGCAATAATTACAAGGGGCCGGTGATCCTTCTATGTGAGCGGTGAACCATATCCGGAAAATTAACAATTATCACTGGAAAGAAGGATAGAGGAATGATAGACTGACCGTCACCCAGTGAATTCCGACCTCGTGCGTAAGCCAAAAGATTGGGTAACGTCAGAGCGTCTCAGTCGCGAGTACATATTCGGTTTGAACAGATTTGTATCATTAATACCAGTGCATGTTGAGGTCAGGGTCACCTTAACTATGCTCAAAGTGTTATCATCAGTTGTTGAGCTTTGGCAAACGCATGTTGTGTATTTAGCCAAATTCCGGCGAAATATTGACCCCCCACCAGCCACTGAAAGCCCTCCGTTTTCTTCGAGCATCAAAATGAGACTGGACTGAAGACGGGTCATGACAAAGAAAGGCTTATACTTAAACTGTAGCGAAGTTCGAACAGCTGTAAACAGGTAAAAAGGTTCGTGTGATCCGATTCGGTGATGGATCCGAATATTTGAGAGTAGCAACTAGCAAGAAGCAGGAAGTGACAGCAGGCGGGCCCGAAGCGAGAGGTTGTATCCTATTGTATCTAGACTGTTATTGAGATCTAAGCAGATCCAAGCCTATTAAAGTCTCTGGAAAATGGTGTGCAAGATAACGAAGTAGTAGGCTAAGCATCCGGTTTGGTTTGTACCAAGTACGTTCGATTGAATGAATTCTTTGAACCGGAGTAAAGTAATCTCCAAGCGGATATACATATGGTGTGCGGACTCGGTGCGGATTGTTTGAGGCTGGTTTGAGCTCGTCTAAAGAATAAGCACCCAACAGCCACCAGGAACAAGACAAGAATGAATGAATGGAAAGGAACATGCATGCAGAATGCCTCGGTGATTGTATACACACATCATATAGAGCACGAACGAATTTATTTGGGCGTTGTTTTGTGATGCCAAAAAGCTGCACTCTTGTTGAGCTAGTGACCTCATCCTCCTAGCTTCATAGCAGAGCTAGACATACTACGTGTTCGGCATGATTGATACGTAGATGGAGACGGAGTTTGTAGCCGCGTACTCACTCTACATTTTGTCTTTGGATGTCTCGGATCCGTCGCCGAATCTTTGGTGACATTGCGGGTCCGGACTAATGAGTTCGAACGCAGACGTCTCGACGAGTGTGCAGGCATTACTGAGGCTAAGCCATTGTTCGCATCGGCATTCGCCGACACACAGTCATCCGAGTCATACGGAGAATTCAACGCCATAGTATCAGGACGGTCTGTGCTGGTCACAGTCTGAATTCTAGGAAGAATTTTCACTCGGCGCCAAACGTAAATCGGTGTTGCCGAAAATTCCTGTGGTTCAGTAAGAGACGGAGAAAGAGTAGCGATGGTAGTGGAAGTATATTTTGCTGAAACACAAGGGGATGCAAATCGGACTCTTGCACCCGAAGATTTATCTGAGTGCGAATTTGGCGGGTCCGTTGCACTCTGCATGTTTGACTCCACACTACCGACACTGCATCCTCGCAAGTATGAGTCTACTTCTATAAGGTCGTCATCCTCGTCCTGGACATTATCCTGCGCCCTTGAATTTCGCAGATGTCGCCTGGTAAATCGCATCGTAAGACTGGATAGAGTGTGTGCACCTTCCCGTTGGAAAAAACCTGCTCTGCCAAGTGATCCAGTTTCTTCAATGGGAGTAGATGTGTCTTCTTCATTGTCTGATTCCTCGCCCGAATTATCACTGCCGTGACTTCGAGATGAAGGAGCGGCAGGTAGTCTTTTACTCCTTCTATATGCTTTATTATGATCTTCATCCCTATTGTATTCATTTCCTGCCCTATCGACAGCATCACCGTCGAGCGCCCGAAAAGAGCCGCTACCACACAGTCTTTTTCTCGGCCTGTGTGAGATTCGTTGTCGATTATCTTCCTTTCCGATGAAACTGTTGTCTTCAAAGAGTGAGGATGCAGATGTGGACGAAGAAGGCAAGACACGAGGATCGCGTTTCCTCTTCCCTAGCGTAACACAGGGAGTGGTACTGTTTCGTGATCGATATTGTTCGATAAGGGTCTCGAAGTACGCCATGTTCGATGTATAACGGATAAACCATGAGTTTGCAGATCGGGAGGCCGCCCAAGAGCGTGCATTCGATCGAGTCTAAATTAATGGAATTCAACACAACGAAGAAATGAAGAAATAAACGAGTACTGACAAGATTGGAGTATAATTTGAATGAGTTCCGCTCATCAAGACCTATCCTGGGGGACGAAGATGTGTTTTCGGAGAGATAAGCGACCAAGTTCATATCCTCTTCGCGTTTGAAGCGTGTGGACTTAGGCGCAGAAAGAAGCGGCAAAGAAGCAGAAGGACGACTGCGGGACGTCGAGGGCGAACTTATGCCGACGGAAGTCTCGGAAGAAGAATCAACAGGAGTTCCCAAAGTAGAAATGAGATGTTTATTGACGTTGTGTTCGCGCCGATATATATCGACGAGTCTGTCGAAATAATCTGCATTCTTCGAGTATCGGTGACACCAGGACTTGCTACTTCTTTCGTGTTGCTTCCCATCACGCTAGAAACTTAAAATCAGCACTTTCTCAATGTGATGTGAAGTGCCAACGAAAGGCAGCACCTGAGAAAGTACGTTGTACAACGACAGGCCTTTCCTCTGTCCACTCAGATCGTTCTTCGCGATGTGTTCCACAAGGAGAGCATCTTCAGCTTCTGTGAATCCGTATCTCTTCTGAATCTGGTTTGTCACTGTTGGTGGGATTGAAATACTGTGTTCCAATTGATACTGTTCGATGAGATGATCAAAATAGTCTGCATGTTTCACATAATAATGCTGCCAGGATTTCCAAGAATGACGAGAATCTGCATGCTGGATAGAATTTCGGTCAACTCTATACATATAAACTGTGAATGTTATTTCTTGCTTACTTGTTGAACGAGTTTCTTGTACAAAAGTTCCCCTTTTCTTCCTTTGAATTCCGAGTGACTTTCCGCAATGAAGTGTACCAAGAAGGAATCGTCGTCTTCAGTAAATTTCATTTGTTGATAAGAGGGATATGACAGGCTTTGACTTGTAGTTCTAGGTGGTTAGAAATTTGGGACCTGCCCTCAACGACGCCACACACGCGACATAATGAAATCATTTATCTTTTGTAGAGTAAATGACTTCCAAGAAAGAAAGTAAATCTTTTGCACTTCCGGACGTTCTCCGTGACCTTGCGCTTCTTCGTGTCTCTCAAGTTCGACTGGATTCCCTTGTGCCTACATTCCCCATATCTCCTTCTCGTAACGCAGAGCTCGATTCTGACTTGGAAAAGTCCTATCAGTTTACCAAAGAGGCACGAGCGGCAATCCGGCTACGAAACGCTGGAAAGGTTGAAGACGAAGCCGGTAGGCTGGAAGCTGTAAGGAGCGGTCTGGAGGAATTTGTAAAGGGTATTGAGGATGGCAGAGTGTGAATTTGGTACGTGTATTGATTGTTCCAACATATTTCTGCATCGCTCATTGCATTAAACGGTCTAGTTAGAAGCACGGCAACTGTGGAATATTTTTCAATGAATATCATGGTCGTCTAGTCTCTGGATTCGGACGTGTACGATACTGTATCTTGATATCTGCGGCAGAGCTCGTAGCCATTCAGCGCCCCTCCCGCGCAGCTCAGCCTAGAGTCTGTTTCTCGGACTTATGTTAACGAAGCTGCAGACGCATATCACAGTGGCATAGCCATACGCACAAAGCCAGCGGACATCAACCTACATCAACCCGCTTTAAGGCAGTGTTACTTCCTGTCATTTCTCAAGAGCTTAGAGGATTTGATTCGATGCTACATTCAGTAGCATCAATGCTTATCATCTCTACTGTTACTTTCATCAATCCCATATCTGTCAGTCATGCGCATCTCCCGGGAACCTGCGTCAATCGACGAATCGACGACCTTATTTCATAGTCTTTTCACTGTCCACGCAATCATACCGCCTCGAACCCAATCAAATCGGTTCAGTATGGTTCAACATTGAAACGATATCAATACATCCCACTCCATCCCCGAGATTGGCTTCTTGTCAGTCTGGCGTTGGCAGAATAAACCTGAATAAACAAATGGTACATCTTGCTTCATCCCGATCCCGAAATTTTCCATTGGGAAATGATCCGAATTTTCAGGATTCCTAATAATTGAAGATAAGTACTTCAGTCCTAATACTCTGAATTCGAAACACAGAGATCAACAATGGCGCTTGGATCAGCTTCCTTGCGCCTGGCTTGCTCAGTTCCCGAGTTTTACTGCGACTAGTTTGTTTGCACTTGCACTTGCATAGCAGAAAGATCCAGTTGGAATATAATACGAAGAGCTACAGATCAACACATAGTGCCACTATTGTAACCGTGCGTTGGGAAGTATGGCATTACTGCACTGATGAGAGGCTTTGGAAGACAAAGTAGTATGTCACAGCTATGTCAACTCAACGTCGCTCGAAACGAACGAGAAATGTTGTCATAAAACAGTCAAATAAAACGGTACATAGTGGTGTCCGCCAGGTGGGAAGGCATTCATGTGGAGTTGTATTTGCTGTGAGTGATAGTTACCTCGTCTCTAGAATCTCTAGAATTCAACAACATCCGTGAGACCAACTCGGAAGGAATCATTCCGTGTGATAACAATGTTGGTTAATTCTTGTATATCTGCGAGTGAGCCAGGGATAGTCATTCACGTCAGGTTCCGGGCCTTCGAGGGATGTATATACTGAACATAAGTGAGTGTAAGATGGCAGTACATATAGGTATGTTTAAGTCAATAAAACTGTGAATGATGTGGGAAAAGAATCCATGGTAAGTGTTCCAGATGCGTTTGCTTTGTGAAGGTTGATTGTCAGTACTGTAACCCAGAATTACATAGTCTGCATTTCCGAGCTTTCGCTCGAAAAAGGCCATGTTAACAGCGTTCCCGCATCAACGGAGGGGCAGTTGGGAATCCACGAAACAGATCAGACAGTACAAGATCACCACCAGTCTCACAGGCTCTCACAGGCCAGAGCAAAAGGTGATCCAGCGTCAGACAATGTCATGAAATACATGGAATTTCGCAATCCGACGTGCAGGCTATCATAAGTTCTATGGTGACTAAGATTAGAAGGTATCCAAGGTACCGGGGCTGGGGTTTACGGTAATGGCGGTGTCTGTGACAAAACTACTTCGTGATTTGCGGAGTCTGGTATGAGGTCTGTCGAACTTTGGATTGGCGACAGAGGAGACGAGAAAGAGGTATTCGCGCGGCGTACAGGAGGTGAAGGGCGAATTCCGGGAACGAAGACAGGATTGCTGAGGACCACCACTCGACTCGTGATTGCTATCGTGATTCTTGACTCGTGGGACGAGGGTCTTGTATTCAAAGTTGGGAGAAACACTAGCGATGAAGTTTGTAGATGTTGCGAGCGTGGAAGGAGATGTGATCACAGCGGTAAATGTGTAAATAGTTGAGGAGGAGCATTGGCGGATGGCACCAGTAAAGTCAAATCACAACTCAGATATCCCGCTGAATGATGGTTGAAAATCACTTGAGGAACTGAAGAAATGTACTGGACCATTACTTTCGTCAACGGAAGGCGAATCAAAGGTTGGCGGTATGGCGTAACAGACGAATCCAATGTTGGCACGTTATCTGACGAAGAATTTTTCGGAGCTCTTGATAGCGTTAGAATTACTCGATGAACTCGGAAACACAGGCCCAGCTCGAGGCAACGAAACCAAATGCGTCGACGTGGTCTGCAACATATTTGCAAAGATCAGCAATGAGAGCAAAGCAACAATTCTTGCCACGAACCAATATATCTTCAACAGTCATATCTACATCATCCATGGCGATATCTCTCTGCGAGCCAGACGTGAATTCAGGATTAGGAAGAGCGTTCAGGGAGACTTGATGTTCTTGCTCGATGTTTTGGTCATTGGCATCGTCCTGCTATGTATGATTATAGTATGGGGATTCGAAGTACTGGGAAGCACGACTGACTAGAGTGGGAGCGGGAGCATCAGCCCTACATTTCTCTGTCCATCGTTCAAGGTCGTCTCTAGCTTGCTGACGCTTCGTGACAAATGAAGGAGATCGTGCTTTAGATGATGTAGCAAGCGCCTTTCTGAAGACTCCTGGAGGTATGTTTTCTGATAAGGGAATGGATTTTGCGTCAAAATATGCAACAATGTAATATACGAACCTTTGTTGTCTCGAGATCTACTTCCATTCTGAAGCTTCGATGGCCTCTTCTTAGTCACTACTTGGGCTTGATGGGTGGCAGAGGCTGATGGCGACTCAGTGTTGTTTAGACGTAGGCGAGATGGTCGCATAACATTCGCGTATTGGTTGATAACGTGCGCGCGTAACCATTCTCGAATTTTGATGCTGTCCCCAGTCACTGGAACAACGGACTGGAGAAGATTGTCGGAACTCGACCAATCCATGAGAAGTTGCTGGGTTATACCACATGAGCGATTGAACCACTAAGCTGCGCAAGAAACAAGTACGGCTCACTTGAATATCGGTTAAATTGAATCCAAACGCAGGTGCTTCTTGCTCAAGTATACGTGCAATGATTGCGTCTCCGTAAGTTGCATCTTTGTCTATTGAAGTTCGAAGACTTTCAGCGAGATCTTCAACTTGTACAAAGTTAGCATCCAGTGCTGAGAATGATTTGGCTCGCCAAACATCTTGTCCCAGAGCGAGATGGTGTAGTAAGTGAGGAGCAGACATGTATGGTTATAGAGAGGATGGGAAAAAATAATGAAAGAGGCGCGCATGTTGGTGACTGAAAAGAGGGAGCTTGCTTGTGCTTCGACCCTGGATAATGAGCTGCTCCTCGTATAATTTCGTGAAATGTCAAGTCTTGCTCATATCGACCCGACGTAGCAACAACAAGCACCCGCTCGACATCCCGAAACGTCGGTGCCTCACAGTTCCTTGAAATCAAACTTTCCAACGACATTCACTAATACTTTCGCTTTTTGTGGATTATTTAAGAACTTGACGGTGCATGCTCATCGTGAGGACGCAATGTGCTTGAAGAGCTGCCACATGCACAAGCAAGTAAGTCTTTTCTATCTTTCGAGGAAACTCCCTTAGTTACGAACCGTCATTTCGCGGCATCATTCTATATTCGTTCTGAACCAATTGACTTTTTTTCAAGCATATCAAAATCAACCTTGCTTATGTTGCCAAGCCGTCAGCAGGAACAGTGTGAAATTCTGGATGAAACTATAAAAACCCTCAATCATCGATGCTGTTCCGTTTCTTCCCCGTCGTCACCGCCAGCGTCCTTACTCTTTCGTTTCCTTGCACTGCGTGCGCCTTGCTTTCTTTAAATCTTCGTTCTTCTTCGGTATCTTTTCAATTCATCGTACTGTTTTCACGGAAACACAGAGCATCATGCGCAGCGCGTTCAAGACCATTTTGATTTTCTTTTCCCTCTCGAGTATCGTCACTTTTTCGGCTGCCGTCGACTGTCCCACTGCAGACAAAAATGGCTCACCGTTAGTTGCTCCTGGAACTGATGCAGGTGATGGCTTCAGTAAGGAACTCCTTCTACACAACCACTGTGATTATGACACTAAAGAGGACTCACTTAGTTACATGCACTTATCAGGCTTCTGGTGCATGTACATATTTCGGGCAGGTGAGCGCGTTATTGTCTCTAATCATGCATCCACTTACAATATTCCATAGAACGGAGAATTCTCGTCTGGACCCAGTACGTGCCCCAAAGGCTTTGCTCAAGGATCGGGAGCAACAACAAGTAGCACGGAGCAGCAGATTAGCACAACTAGTAAGCAGACTCCCGCTCCAGAGACTACAACTTCGGCTCAAGTGACGACCACAACCTCCGCTCCGCCGCCACCACCTTCGACTACAACGACCACCCCTCCTCCGCCACCACTTTCGACTTCAACCACCCCTCCTCCGCCGCCTCCTTCCACTACGTCCACTCCACCACCCCCGTCTACTACGTCCGTGACTACCTCAAAATCTGTAGTCTCTACCACTTCTACTACATCGAGCAGCACTCAAATAGCCGTAACAACTTCGTCCAGCGCCACAGCAATCTCTACAACTTCGTCGACCCAGGTGACCTCTACTGCTAGCGCATTGTCTACAACAGTGTTGTCGGCGGCAGGCAGTAGCACTTCGGGCTTTGTGACTCTTCCTTCTGCTTCGCTCTCGACTGTACCTGCTGTCAGTACTAGCACTTCGACGATAGCGGCACCTTCAACATCAACAACGTCCGCCACAACGAATAACAATTCGGCAGCATCGGTGTTGCGTCAGGGACCTGTTACTGCTGTGATTGGCATTTTGATGGTATTAGGAGCAATCAATCTTGTTTGAGAGGCATACTTGGCAAGGTGACATCGAGCGGTGGTGATGAGGTACATGAGAGGATTTCTGACGCGGCTAGAATATTGCACAAGGGTTTGGACAGGACGGACATTGGTTCATGACATACCGTGAAGGACCTTTCAGATTTCGAGTCTTACTTTCATACGTACATACCACAGGAGGGAATAGCTACGCTACCATTGGTATTTAGTACTTGGGTATTTATGTACGACGGACTGGCACACCGCTAATTTTTAATGGTTGAAGACGATATTCATCCTTGCTCCAAGATAGAGTCACTGCAGTAGCAATGACTTGGAACACCGAAAGGTTCTCTTCGATTCATCCCGATGGACAATCGTTGAAGCATTTTTGTGTCCAGACCAAACAGTTACTGAGGTCTTCTTTTATTTAGGGGAACGAGTATCTCAGTGGTAGTAAGAATATAATGAATATCCTACTCGGCTCCATAGCCATGGACCACACCCTTCCTTGGCTCAGTCACATCTGTACTTATCAGCCAGTAACATACTAGTTGTATATTGCAAATAAAGACGCAAGGTAAATAGGGTGTATCGCGAGTGGTTATAAGGCCTAAGTATCCCCAACGAGTATGCTCAGAGGCACCAGGAATGGTGGAAAGCCTCAACTAAGACATCAATGAAAGGAATGAGCCTGAGTGGCTGGGAGATGCACATAGAACCTCTAGCACAAGACAGGTGCAAAATGCTTCAATTGCACTTCTGTTCACTACGTGACTTCTAGACATGCTTGGAACACGATTTTGCATCCCCAAAGGCTTTTTGAAGCGTCCGCGTGCTTGAATACCTTGTAAAAGTTTTGAAATTTTCGCCGAAAGCTTCAAAACACTTGCAAACCGTTCACCAAAATCAATATTGAAATCCGTAGATCCACCACTCCGGGGGAGCGTGTCAGCTAATCTTCTCACATTTTCACAAGGATTGAATTTGTGGTCGTTGATGAAAGTAGAGGCGGTTGCACCCTTGGAAGGAGCCTTCTGGGGACGTTGAAAGATGTTCTTCACCCGCAAATCGGTCAACTTGTCCCGTGCCTCATTCAGCTGTGCATACTGAGAACGGGGAACGATAAAAACGGATATGGAGACGGGATCGATGAGCGAAACAGGGGCAGGAAGAGGGCCAGACTCCCAAACGCCAATATCCGGTCTTGTATTCGACAGGCGGGCATTCTGCGACACGATCCCAGAGAGTCTCGGAAGGGGCATACATAATCGGAGTTTCAGAGACCTAGGCAGAGAATTGAGTTTATAAAAAGTTGTTTGTGAGCCACGCACTAGAAGAACCCATTTGCGGTCGCTGTTTTCGAATGGGAGCTATGAAGGAAATGAAATTATCTCCTGGACCTCCAAAGTCGAACGTCGGATCATCAGGGTCTTCCACTAGGTTATCGTCTTCGATATGCGCGAACATATAGTTGAGCTCTTTGCCGGCGGCAGGTGTGGCGGTCATGGTGGTGAGAGGTTGAGAATGGGGCCAGGTAGTCACGCGACTCGGGAAAGGAAAACCTGTATCTAACATCGGTACAGTGACAAAAGTATTATCCTCATCCCTCGACGAACTTCTCAGTGGCAGAGATACCTCTACATTCTCATACTCTCCGAATGCCCCCCCCCCCCCCCTGGTTGTCCAGAGTGTTGTTCATTGTCCTTCTGTTTTGCCCGGGAAGATTTAATCAAGTTCAGAGTGTGGTGATTGAGAGAAATCAAGAACTGCTGTCCCCTATCCTTACCTGTGCCATCAGCCCGTCCTTCACCGTCGGTTTTCCCCTTATTTCCTTTCCTACGTCTTGTTACCCATCCCATACCATTGCGTTTTTCGTACTCTGAGTATACTCTGTTTGCAAAAGGCAACTTATGCCCATGGCTAAATTCAGTGTTTGATCAACAAGCTCCTTATCCTCGGGAGGACATTTGAAGTAATGGCGGTCAAAGTCAGGTTGACTAGTAAGAAAGGCCAGTCTGACGAGCATCGAATTTCAGGCTAAAGTTTTAGGTCTACTTTCACCGACCCTTGCAACCAGGCTAACTCTCAACTGATTGGACTAGCCGACTTGTGTACCACAGGAGGGGTTAGCTACACTATGTACCATCAATATTTAGTACTTAGTATTTATGCACGACGCACTGGCAAACCGATATTCCAAGACCCTAAGTTCTGACTTGCGACACCGAAAGGTTCTCTGTCTTTGATAATTTCCTCTAGATGGACTAGCGTTCAAGCAGTTTCGCGCCCAAAACTAAAGAGCTAATTGTCCCATTAATCCTTCCCTGCCAGTTTCCTTCCAGCCCAATGCCTGAACTCTCCAACCGCATTAGATACATGCTTGTCAGCCTGTCCAACCCCTACAAAAGCTTTTTCTAGTTGCTCGTTCCAGCCAGCTTGTATAAGCGATATGAACGGACTATGCTCGATGCGGGAAGCTGCAGGTGATGGGTATGTCGATATCCACGCGGGAGTCGGGGAATGAAGGAGGAGAGTCGATTGGATGTGAAGGCTGTGGATAATTTCAAGGAAAAATATTCCAGTGAAACTGAGTGTGAGCACAGCTACACAAAGAAAATGCAGCTCACTCTGTGGATAATTGCTTCGTTCTTTTCCGGAGAGGATGTCAGGAACTATGAATTGGATATGCTTTTTCGAACTCACCTCGCTTGAATGAGGTTCGAAAACCCATAATATATCTTCAACAGAGTTCAAAGTTCAGCATAAAAGCCCACGATATCGAGCAAAGAAACTTGGAGAGCTCACCCCTCCAGCGACCAGCGCGCCCGAGACTGGACCTAGCAGAAATGACATGATTACTTGTATCTCGTGGGAATCTTCCCGCACTGATACAGTATTAGCATACTCAGTTAAGCGACCATAGAAGCACTTTACATCGCTACGAGTATAAGGTCTATCACAGTTTAGCAAAGACTATATATTCTCCAGCAGTTTCATCGGACCAATGCAACTTTCACCAACCCTAAACGACCTTTTTCCAGCCTGATCGCACATCCTAGCAGCTCTTCCGCCTCTAGGTTATTAATCGCGTATTCGGGATGTACAAGGCGACGAGCATTGATTTTGTCCAGCACCATTCTCGGCTTGGACTCTGAATACGTATTTGCCTCTGTTTCTTTGCATCCCGTGGATCTTGCTGAGCATTCGGTCGGTGTCACCTTCAGTACGTCTTCAAATGACTTTGGGTCTACCAATGGCTTCGCAACGTCCATTAACTCCCTATATCTCCCTAAGCCCGCCAATCGACCTTCTACTGCCTTATGCTCCTCCGGGCTGGTCGGGTTGAAGAGATTGATACAGAAATCGAGCGATCGTTGGAGTTCGGATTCAGACAAACGGGAACCCATATCTGATGCTCCCTGGATGACTAAGAAACACCTTCAGATAAATCACCGCTGGTAAAACTTGACACGAAAGGGCACTTGCCAGGTCTCAAATAAGTGAAAGCCCTATCAAAATTGTCCTCATCGACGTCTGATAGAACGTCAATGCTCTGTGCACGCATCTGTTTGTAGGCGCTCAGTACAACGACTTGGAATCTTATCCGATAATCAGCTAGCAGTTTATAGGAATTATAAGTAAACGTACCGCGTATAACTCACTGCCACCCTCTTCGTATGCCACATTGCCGCCTCAACCTCGGTACAATTTCTTCGACGAGAAGCACAGATCGTCGCGGCAGCGGAAAGTGCACCGGTGAAAGCAAGATGGATACCAGACGAAAAGAATGGGTCGATGAAAGCTAAAAAAAGGTAGGGAAGATCGTTAGGAATCAAGTCGAACGCTGTGGTGTTCTGAAAGGTCACCTCCCGCATCTCCTACAATCCGGAATCCATTTCCCGCATAACTCGGAGCGGAATAACTAAAGTCGCTGGCGCTGCGGACACTTCCGGGTTCCAGCTTCGCCTGCTGGTGTAAAATCTCTTCCTCGATAGGAATTTGTATTTCGTGTTCCGAATCTGACCCATTATGCACGACGTCCTTCCCGCAAAGCAAACGTGCCACTCCCGGAGCCAAGCGCAGGTTCGCTAAATAACGGCCGACGAGAGAACATTCGTATTGAGCGTCGGAAGACGAAGGACGTGATTTGTTATATTGTTCTTGGTTCATGACAATTCCCACAGAGGTCTTGTCGTTGTGTAGGGGGATGAACCATGCCCAGCCAGATTCGTCTGTCAGAGCTTCGAACCATGGTGCCCCTTCTCTCGAAGTGCCTTTACCGTACATGCCGACCCTAGGCTTGTGGTCTTCTTTATCGTGCTCGTTATCAGGTTCTTCATCGGAACGATTGTGCCAATAACCCCAAACGGCGATATTTTTCAACGATGCGTTGAAATGTCGATTCTTGAGATATCTAGTAGATAGCAAGCCAGCGCGACCAGAAGCATCGATCAGGTGCGTAAATGTGGTGGATCCATGAACAGCCTTGGTAGTGCCGTTCTGAGAAGCATTAGGAGATTGAGCGGTACAGGTACGCGTCCAGGAGACCGAGACAGGCTTTTCGGGGTCTATTGGGTCGAACGCAATATTAGTGACCTTGGTCTCTTCATAAACCTTGGCTCCACACTCCCGCGCATGATTGAGTAGTAAATGGTCGAACTCAGAGCGTATCTACATTAGAGTATAGTCCGTAGGTCAGTTCTATGAAGCATATACTGTATGCTCGAACGATCCTCACCACGTTCCATGCGTTATTATCAGCGCCCAATGCAACAAAATCGGTGTCTGTGGGTATATGCCATGTAGATTATCATGAAAGACAAAGAAACGTTGAAAATGCGACACATACAGCCTTCTCTCTTGAATTGGTTGAACTTGATAGCAGAACCGGGCTAGAAGTATACGGTCAGTCTACGCGTATACAAAGCATTGTCGTGCTACTACACACCTTTTTCGTGAACCCGTGTTGAACTATCTTTTCCTCCGCGCCAATAAATCGAAGGTATGGCCGGACGGATGGTATGAGGCTTTCGCCTATCGCACCAAATACGATTACGATTTGGAATCAAGCTTTGAAAATAGAGTAACCTGCCTATATGATACCTGGACTCAGAAAAGTTAGTCATTTTATGGACCAGAACCATAGTTACACACCTAGGAAACTTCGTCGACTCCAAGACTGCGACATCGATTCCTTCGCGGCTAAGAACGGACGCTGCATAACTTCCTGCTGGGCCCCCACCGATAATGAGAACTTCGACGTGCTTCAAGTTTGACGAAGATTACAACAGGTGAACTGGAAAAGCCAATGCAAGCACTCACTTTGGTAGGTACAGCCAGGTCTTGACGGGTTTCATACATTGTATGGTGCTTGAGGGGAAAAGGAAGTAGACGGCGTCTCACATTGCACCGATCGCGAACTGATTTATAATGTTGTAGACGTTGTTTTTTCAAGCCTTCCAACTTCTGGTCTTGGCCCTTCTTCAACTCATCCACTTGACAAAGACGCGGAAAATCAAAGATTCGATTACGTATGACGAATCGGGACCGGAGGAAGGGAAGGATGAAGAAGAGTAATAGTTTATCATGAGTACAGAAAGTCAACACAGTACGGGGACCAAAGTTTGGACGCGGAATTTGAGAAAACACTGAGAAAACACGCGTTTGCGAAGCTTGTAAAGTTGGCTGGTAGACTACACGGAGAAGACGTCAATAAACACGCTTTTTACAGTTACAAAAAACTCACCCAGTATTCTCAGCCTCTTTTTTTCTCTTGCCCTCGATGGAATAATTGGAATGTGTACTGTCAAAATGACATCTGCACGTGACGATATATAGCTGAATGGATGATCGTCGACGTCCATTAACGTCTTATGCATATGACTTGTGCTCAAACTTTACGCTAGCAAATCGCCCACACTAAGCGAGGCAAGGTACTTACACTTGAGGAACGTTTTGTGTACGCTTGGCTTCTATTCTTTGCCTAATCATTTCCTAACTTAGATCCCGACAGGGTCTTACTTGACCAGACTTGACCTAACTCGCATCAAGCTTAATCATATTCCGAATTCCAGTCTAGTCTGTCCCCTGGCGCTTGATTCGATAGTTCTCAACGAAAAAATTTAGCTGATGGAAATCTTTCTGGAATGCTACGCCAACCATTTGCTCAAGCTTCATGATTTCCGCTCAGCGTTAGACCTCATCGCTGAACATCATTAGGCGCTTCACATCTCTCTTCAAACCGGCATTTTCAACATATAATCGACCCCTGCGTTTCCATTCATTCACTCAACAATAATTAGACAGAATATGTACTTCATTCTCATTTCACTGTTCGATCTGGACTAGCTCTGATGAGGAACATCGTCCATTCCATCGATTTTTTGCTGTATGTATCGCACTAAATCAAGATACATACTTATGACCTGTTCGTTCTTTTTCTTCATTTCTTTTCCGTGGCGCTAACACTGCTTTCAAGCTAGTACGTTGTAGGACTAATTTTACATTGAAACGCAGGCAGGAAGCTAATTCAGCCCTATTTAGACCCAGCTTCGAGGCAACAACTCTCCAAATTGGCTTCTCCATAACGCCTTGGTCTGATCCGGGTCTGATTATGAAGCGTATATCTCCGTATGTAGTTCAATACCTCGCCTGTCCATCGCTGATCCCACTGCGGTCTAGTTGCTCTAGTCATAGTTAGTTATGCGCATTTGGTGCATTTCAAGGACACCACGAGCGCCCCACCGCTCGGATCTTATATCATATCTGTTCAGAATGGTGGAAGAAAAATGCAGATGCTCGTCATGGAAATGCCAAGTCGTGTGGTCCCGTACCTGCAGAAACAAACTTAACCATAAGTTGGTATATTACTATATGGTACGTATGTGTCCAAGTTCTGTGTCCCTCGGCTTCGAGAGTAAAATCCGGCAGCCTCATTTCAGCAGAAGTTTTCTGATTTTCCTATAAGTAGCTCATAAAAAATTGAGTACTGCAGAGGATTTTCGCTTCAGCCTTATCGAATATTCTTCTTCGGCTTCTACCATTGTTCATTGTCTATCGCCAATTGATTGATTCGCCCCTTCAATGACCATCGAAACCTTGTCATTGGTCTTACCGCCTTCGGTGAGTCTTCTATTTGCTCTTAAGCTCACTACTTAACACAATTTCTTTCGACCAGGAGGTGGATGTCCTTATTGTAGGAGGTTGGTCTCGCGCTCGTCCCATCTATCCGGAACGCGATGAATGTTAAATATATTTTGTTCATGGCAGGTGGACCCTCTGGAAGCTATGCTGCTTCTGTGCTCGCCCGCGAGGGAATTTCTGTAGTTGTCCTCGAAGCTGCTAAATTTCCCAGGTACGCATTTTTACCTCAAGGTCTACCGTACAATACTTGCCAAACTTACCATACACATAGATATCATATCGGGGAGTCCCTACTTCCCTCTGTACGAGGCTATTTGCGTTTCATTGGAGCGGAGGAGAAAGTCGCAAAATACGGCTTCACTCGCAAAGTAAGATCCCTCGAATATTCTACTTCTGTGGCCCGGTCTTCGGTTCACACTATGTCGTTCTAGCCTGGCGGAGCTATCAGGTTTAATCACAACAAGCAGGAAGCATGTTAGCATATTCCCTTTGAATTCTTTGTGGCATTCACTTATGATAGGACCCACAGACACTGATTTCGTCTCCATTGGACAAGAGAATAGTTCATGGAATGTGGTAAGGGTTCTACAATTATGTATGTTTTTATTCTATGAACTCATTCTTTTGTTTTCTAGGTACGCTCCGAGTTCGACGACCTTCTCTTAAACCATGCTCGGTCCTGTGGAGCTTCTGTCTTCGAACAGACCAAGGCCACCGCTGTGAACTTTGAATATGTCAACGATTTCGAAATCAAGAAGCCTACGTCTGTTTCTTGGGCTTTGACACCGCCCGGGAAAGGACAAGCTTCGTGTAAAGAAACCTCGAATACAGCCATTCGAGGCACTACTAGCTTCAAGTATCTTATAGACACTTCAGGTCGAGCAGGCTTAATGTCAACCAAGTATCTTAACAATCGACATTTCAACCAGGCGTTGAAGAACATTGCCATCTGGGGCTATTGGGAAAATGTGGGAAGCTACGGTGTCGGGACACCGCGAGAAGGCGCTCCCTATTTCGAGGCATTACTGGGTAAGTGGCTCGAATGGAATGAATTCGTTGTTTGAAATGTATATGTCTAGATGAATCTGGTTGGGCTTGGTTTATCCCTATCAATAACGGGACTACCTCGGTTGGATTTTGCAGGAATCAAAAAATGCACAACGATGACACGGAATTTAATCAGCCTGCTCCTTCGGGTCTTTCTCTTCCCCATATCGCTCGCTCCACAACTGCGACGCGATACATGACCATGCTCAGCTTAGCTCCCGGAATAATCAAACTGATAACTGCACAGGGTTCTTTCGTTGAGGGTAGTGTGAAGAGCGCGAGTGATTACAGTTATTCTGCCCCTTTATATGGCGGACCAGGATTTAGAATCGCTGGTGATGCAGGAGGTCGGTCTCGATCTTGAGATTCACAACACAAAGCATTAACTCTTCATAATTCTGCGATCTGTCGATGTTGTGTTTTAGCTTTCATAGACCCTTTCTTTTCAAGCGGCGTTCATTTGGCGTTAACCTCTGCACTGTCTGCTGCTGCTAGTGTGAGTGCGTCGATTAAAGGTGATTGCACCGAAGAAGACGCAGCGAAGTGGCATACGGCCCGATTTGCAACAAGTTATACAAGGTTTGCTCTGCCAGCCATCTGATACTAGCAGACCATTGATTGCACGTCTCAATAGGTTTCAGCTTGTAGTCCTGAGCGCGTACAAGCAGCTTAGAGCTCAGAATTTGAATATTTTATCCGATATTGGTGAAGACAATTACGACCGTGCCTTTGCCTTTTTGCGTCCTGGTAAGTAGAATATGATTATCGAATTCGCGCCCGGCTTAATTTCATCATTACTATAAAAGTTATTCAAGGCAATGCGGAAATGGGTGTACGGTTGTACGAACGCGAACTGCAGGAATCACTTGATTTTTGCGTGAAGCTGTTCAGTGACACTGCACCTGAATCCCACATCGAGCTCGTCTCCAACTCAAACATCGCACAAGAACTACTCGATCTCACTGCACCGGTTGTTCGTCCGCAAGATTTGGAAAGAGCTCTCTCTGTCGCCTCTCCATTAAAAGATACAGATGACTTGGAAACCCGTCGGACCCAAGAAGCAACGAAAATGGTGCTCGAAAAGATCAATGCTCGAAAGGTATTGAACCCGGAATACACTTTGAACGGGTTCGAAGCGGAGGCCCTAAACGGATTTACAATCCGCTTGCAACGAGGAAAATTGGGCCTTAAAAAGGCATTGGATATATAGAGCGATACAAATAATTCACTTTTTATGACTTTAAGATCTCCCTCCTTCATGTATGCCATTATTGTACAAACAAGTCCCTGGAGTGCACTGTATAAGACTGGTGTAGTGCAGATCCTAGTTCATTCAGTACCACATGTCTCTGATGCGCTGATCACTGCGATTATCTTAGTTCGAAGAAGATGGTGAAGATGAACGAATATCAAATGAAGATCATCTCTGAGGTTTTCACCTTGCTTGCAAGGTCTCTCAAGGTCTATTCTAGTACCCCAGCATTGGACCAGTTTTTGATGTGCAGGCACACTTTGAATTTCAGCTCATCATCCTTCACCTACATAGCATATGAACTCTAAAGGCCCTGTGCCCACTCGCCACACGCCCTATGCGCGCGCGTTTTGAATCTATGATGTACCGAGCAAGGTATGGTCCACCAGTGGAGCCTAGTTTCCATAATCACACTTTACTTTGTTCGTGGTATGGTATCAGCAAGACCTCGGATGCACAACTTGAGGCATAATTGTTGTTTTAGCCTTTGGTTCAGATTCTGCATAGAACTGCAGAGAAGTACCTTCTCTTCTCTTGATAGACCGGAAACCGCCCCTCTATGAGGGCGAACTTTAATCAAATTTTTTGATTATTTTCTTAGAGGGCTTGGTCACCAAGCCAATCTCTTTACAGTCTAAAAGCATCACCACTACCCAATGTGCTTGAAGTTACTTAATATTTCCGGCTATCCTATCATGCATTTTACATATGGAAGACAACACTGTCGGAGGAGCGCTTTATACATTCCTGTTTGTCATTGGCGTTGCACGATGTGGCTGTTCCAGGCTGTTCCCTGCTGTTCCCTGCTGTTCTCTTGTGGAAGCCTGCCTCGCGTAACAACATATATCGACATTTATAAAGAAGGGAATCGAGCTTGAACAGCTCCACAACAGTCCACAACTTGCTGGTCAAGTTCCTTCTCTGTCTTTTCTGATTCCGCTTGTTTGCAAAACGCAATATCTGACTTTGCCGTTACTATGCATTTCAATAAATTAGTTGTTTATCTGTTCCTTGGGAGTGTCTCGAGTGCGGTAAGCGCACCGGTAAGCGATATGCCTGTTGGTTGACGCATTAACTATTCAATGCGAGCTCAACTTCTTCCTACATAGGTCAGCCGCGATGTGTCGACCAAAACTCCCTCTTCCAAGTCAACAAGAGGCATCAGCGAGAGGTCAAATGCACAAGGTGCCATTAGCACGGCAAGTAACCCACTGCTTCCAAAACAATATATGTCATTGAACGCATACTACTCGGTCGGTATATCTAGGTCGAGAGCAGTTCTCAACTTGGAACAGAACTCACTGGCACTCTTAGCTCCTCTACTCAAGTGGTCGTACCGGTGAGTCTTTCAACTCGTACAGACTACAATGGTATTGTCTAAACGTGTATAGGTTGAGAGTCTTGCGGCAACGGAGGCTCTGGATGATGGTTGGGTACTGGTGCCTCGTCCGACTCCGGGACAAGATCCAGCACCAACAACGTCGGAGCCAGAGCACCACGAACCACATCCCGCGGATCCAACGACACTTCCCGAGCCACAATACTCCTCTGCACCGGGGGAAATATCCTTGGGGAAAAGACCCAAGCTGATCACGGTCAATTCAGTTCTGATTCATATTCTTTCATATTTGTGGAGAGGTTCATTCAACACACAAGGCATATATGACCACACGGCGTGAACCCATCCTTGTGATGATTCATAACTTCAGAGCTGATGGAGTGAAGGTCATGTGTTGGGTGAAACCATATGTATATGGATGCATAGGGATCTGGCAAGAGCGGGAACACGAGAATTACTGATCCATCCGCCTTACCCCGGCGGGGGCCCCAAACTTACCGGTCCCGGATAAATCTTGATAATCGATGAACACCTGTTTTTTCCTTTCTACTAGTTACTACATACAACTGTTATTGCTTTTATCATGACTGCGAATATCCCTTCTCTGACCTTAAATAACGGTACTCGGATGCCCTCTGTGGGACTAGGGTGAGCGACCCTCGGGTTCAAGTCTTTGCAATGTCGTTGACAGCGCCTCAAAGGTGTTGGATGGGAATCCCTGGAGAAGATGAACGAGTGTATTATATGTGCTTGAATGCTATCAAGGTGGGGGACGGTACTTGATTTTCAACGAATGGTCAAACAACTCAATTTAGACGGGCTATCGACATTTCGACACGGTATGGATCCTTGCAGTTGAGTCGCAATTAATCAGGATTAATTTGAATCCTGGATAGGCTGCAGGATATGGTAGTGAGATTCCTGTTCCGATGTAACAGTCAGCTCATCCTTCCTTACAGGTAACGAAAAGCAAGTCGGAAAAGCCATCCGGGACTCGGGAATTCCTAGAACTGAGATATTTCTCACTACAAAACTGCCGTAGGTTGGAATTTAATACAAAGGTTAAGATGCTCATTCAACTCAGGAATTCTGCCCATGGAAAGGTTCGCGAGGCGTTTGAAGAAAGTCTGAATAATTTGGATTGCGGATATATTGACCTTTATCTTATGCACTGGCCTCAAGCTGGTAAACCTGGTCAGGGAGTACAATCCTGTTTTGCAGATAAAATAGATCTAATCGTGTACTCACTCGTCAGACTCCGGGGAAATTTGGGGCAATAACACATACCGTCCTAATGAGAGTCCCACCTTTGTTGAAACGTGGAAGGACATGGAAAAACTCCTGGAGGGTGGTGAGTTCAATGGCCCAGTCCATAATCCTCGTCCTAATGCCCCCAATATTGAATGTAGGCAAAGTAAAAAGTATTGGGGTTTCGAACTTCTCGATCAAAACCCTCGATGTTCTCCTCCCACAATGCACGGTTGTTCCCGTCACGAACCAAGTCGAGATGCATCCCTGCTTACCCCAGCATGACCTTAAGCAGTATTGCGAGTCAAAGGGAATCATTTTAACTGCTTATTCGCCGCTAGGTCTGCAATACACTGGATCTCGAATGTCATTTTAATGATAATCTGTTTATACAGGTCAGCCCACCGGTACCGACCAGGCTATCAGTCTATTCAATATCGACACGATTAAATCTATTGCTAATAAGCTCAATGTTGACTCAGCACAAGTTCTCCTTAGTTGGGGTGTTCAAAGGAAGACCGCTGTCATACCCAAGACAGAAAACAAGGCGCGCATGGAAAGCAACATGACTGTAATGGATATTGACTGCATCAATATCTGCTGGCTAACTGACTGGTGGTTGCAGCTTCTTCGACTGTCTGATGAGGACATGAAAAACATAGATGAATTACACCTACAACCCAACATGCACCGAACTCTCACCTTCATTGGCTTCGGTGAACGCATCTTAGGTGAAGGGAACATATTCGGTTGGACTTATGAGGAGTTAGGATGGAATATGATCGATGGTTTCGTTGTCTCGAAGTAATCCTACGATATAGCCAAATAGAGCCAAATATTTGTGATCTTTAAATAAACTTAGATAACATTAAAAAGATTCCAGTTCAATCAAAGTGAGAACTTAGAAGGTGAAAACATCGGAGTGGTTGAGGCCATGAGATTGTCGTGAAAGTTCGTCAGATTAAATGTAGATGTCATTGTCATGATCAAGGACCTCGCTGTAGCTGAACCCTGGATTTGATCGTAGACCTACTCGAAGAATTACTCCTTCATGGGAGCATTGTTGAGAGCGAGCAGGAGGTTTATGTACTTGTTACCTGATTATTGTGTAGTCCGGGGCCACTCGACACGGCAGAGAGAAATCGCACCCAAACAGAGAATTGACTCGAAAAGGAAAAGGCAGGAGCACAAACTGCTCTACCAGAGGTTGACAGTTGGTACACAATGTTGCTAAGAGCCTAAGAATTGGTAGGATTGGGCAAACGAGGAGCCTGCCATGTGATCATCCGAATAGGCATTTGCGGAAGGTGTAGCCAAAGGACGGGGAATAGTGAAAACGGCAGGTAAGGAGTGATGCTTTGACCGTGGATGAAGTGACATCCCCGCGGATCGTCGCGTCTGTGCTTGCTTGTGACCAACTCGAGCAGAAGAACGGCGCAGACCAGGAGAAAATTCATTTGGTGGGTCGGGGTTAAGAGGAGGACGAGGGTGAGATGGTAGTCGAGCTAATCGCGTTGGACCATGATCCACATTATCAAGGAGTCGAAGCTCTGTATACATGTTGCCTTCAGAATTGGCTCCTCGCATCGGATTAATTACGTAGGCTGTCATTGCTTGAGGAATACTTGGAGGTAGAGAAGCCCGATTGTGGACTGGATTTCTTTCGCCGGCCACTCCAATGTCATGGCCACTCTCCCGGGACGGGAGTGCAGTCCTCGGGACAGCACGTACATATCCTGTCGAATGCGTGTTATCAGTGCCATGCACAGTCAAATTAGCATCTGAAGATTTCGAAGGAAAAACACGGCCTAGTAGGCTATCTGCCGAGGCATCGCCATGGGACATCATCATCGTCGGAGCCAACAACGCCTGAGGTGGAGGGCTGGCAGGTGGGGGACTGAATTGTGGAGGATAGTTTGCTGTAGGAGGTGAAAACATAATCTTCGGCTCTTGTCTCTGTACCGAATTTCGGTATTGAGACTGGCGCTTAGAAGATTTCTGGTACCCATTGAATGCTGAAAGCGGGGCTAACATGTCTTCGTCTCCATATGGCGTGACAGGAGAATACACTCCTCGCTCAGCTTTACTTTGCCTTGATGATAGTTTAGACCGGAAGAGACTCGGAGGTGGCGGATCGTCCATGTCGTATCGACTTTCGGTCGTTGCAACGTGATCTAGGGAAGCCTTTTGGGAGCGTAGTTTTGAGGGATCTCTTGACTTTGACTTCCTTTGACTGGCATGCCTCGAATGAACAACTGTGTGGTCCACGCCATCATCTTCAGTGCCAGATTGGGAAATGCGATTGTATATGGACTGCCACCACGATCTCCGGGGTTGGTGCGAGTGGCCAATATCCTCCACATCTGAAGGAGGCTTGGTATGACCTCCACCAGGATTTTCTGTACTTGTAATTAGAAAGAACCGGGAAAATAGTAAGTGGAACGTACGAGACCCGTAACCACGTCTCTCCAGCTCCCTCTCAATCTGTACTTCCAAATCGTCACTCTTCTCCCTATATATTCCGTACCCATAATCATTTCCGTGACCAAGCCACTGTCTTCCCCGAGTATCGTCGTAGTACTCTTTTTCCACACGAATAATAGGAAAACGCAAAGGGTCCACTTTCTCGTTTGGCTCTTTCATAACTGGCCCGGGCGGTCTGGTAAGTCCAAAAGCATTCTTGTAGTGGGCTACTCGTCGGGCATTGATGTCTGGTTTTGGGTCATGTCCACACATCTTCTCCCAGAGGTAGATACTCCCTATCCAGAGTTCTCGGAAAGTTTCGCGAAAATCCACAGCATGCCCGAGAGCACGCAAGCGGGACATGCGGTAAGCTGGTAGTTCCGTCAAATCAGACTCCCTGGGCCTGTACGTTTTATATGTGAATGCTTTGATGTGTAAGAAACCAAAAAGCCTGCACAGTAATGAGATTCGGTGCACAGAATTCATGTTTATCGATTGAGACGTACATCATTTCAAAAGTTTCCAAAAGAGCTCCAATACCAATGTTGATATCGTCTGCAGTCATATATGTCGTCTGTTTGATGTATCCATCGTATGAATATAGACTCGTATGGTTAAGGAGGAGGATTTCTTACGTCTTTGATTACACCGACCATGCTAAGGACGGAAAGAAAAGTTGCTTGCCAAAAAGTTAAAAATACTACAATCTCGTTAGCTCAGATGGTATCATACTATGCTCCGGAGCCGCACACACCGATGGACTTGACGGAAAACAACTTCAGCAAAGGTTTCTGAGGTGCAAGGATTTTTGATACCGGTACATAGAGTTGGATCAAGCAATACATTGCGACGGTAACCGAGATTGAGACGATGACGGTGATCTTGGGGAACGACACTTTGAGCAGTATTTATGAGATGAAGTTTACTTCGGACGTACATATGAATGGCCCCAACCAAGACCCCAAGAATCCTCACAATATAACCCTACATAGTTGAGGAGAACAGCTGCAAGTGTAGTGCTGAAAAATATCAGGTTGCATCCAGAAGGATGTTAAAAAGACTGACTGACGTAGGTCGAATAACACAATACTGCAGCACACCCCATTTCATCATTTGAAGAAATAGAAGCCCATCCTAACGAAACGTCGCAAGTCGGAGGGATGTTAGGTGGATCAAGAAAGGCGACGTACCGCTGGTTTCCACTTTACAAATCCGAGCGGAAAAACCCATCTACTTGGAGACTCTCCTTTTCTCAAAGCTTCACGATCGTACTCCCTAGACAAGCCGTTTTTGATAAATACAGACCTTTGCTCGTCGGGATCATGAGAAAGATAATTGAGCAGTAGATAAAAGAATGATGTCAAAACAGTAGATTCGTAACCGTCACGGACAAGGAGCAGAGGAGTGGAATGATTCTAAGCAAAGATCCAGTGAGTTCTGAGGGTCTGCGGTAGGCCAAGGTACACACCCAGAAAAGATATGAAGCCATGCTGATGGTAGCATAGATCGGGACCATGAAAAGGATGCGAACGATATCTGAACTGGAGTGTTAAGTAGAGCGCCAAATGGGCATAATGAATTGATGAAGCTCACAGCGCTGTTCACGTTTCTAAATAACATTGATTAGGCGCATATGAATGGTTAAACACAGTTCTTACATTCGTGTAGTACACCAAATGCTTGTTTATGAGCCAAGCAGATGTAATGATGGCTATTGTGGTAAAGAATCCAGCGACAATCCAACCAACCTGGAGCAAAAAAAGTATTAATCATCTGGATAGCATTAGTTCGCCTAGAGTGCTGACATGATGAGCTGGACAGAAAAGAAACGTTTGAAACAAGGCAATGATAATTTGAATGACGTCGGCGTACCTTGGAAAACCAAATTTCCATTCTGCAGCAACGACGGGGAATTAGGCTTGAGCTCCGCCCAGCATCTTCCATTCGTGATATTTGACATTGTGTTTAAGCAAGTTGAGCAGAAAATGAGCGAGAGTGCATGTGAAGCTTGATGAAGTAAATCGTGGAGGAATAAATAGTCGTGAATGTCGTTAATTAGGGAAAAGAGGAGCTTGAGCTTTCGTCCAGAATGACTTGAATGGCCAACGGTGAATAAGGATAGCACGGTGTTTGCGAAGAGGAACAGCAAGAGGTGACCGGTATCTAGCTAAGCGTGAGAGAATATCACATATAAGCGCCTATCTCTACGCCGCGGCTGTCGTTGTCAACGCCTTACTGAGTTAGAGTCTCACAACGAAGAAGAATTTGTATTCTTTCCCCTACATACTGAACTCGGGAGCGAGAGCCCCATGAGAGCATTGGAATCGTTTCCTCTGTGTCCTGATATGCAGGCACAAAAAATGCCTTCGATGTGACTTAGGCTTCGCTGCTCGTAGAAGGGTCAGGTAGCTAGAGTGGGTAGGGGGGATTGTCCTCTGTCAGTTATATCATTATCAATGTCCAAATAGTAATACGAAACTTCTACATACATGTACATACAACATTCATAGTCTCAACCCACTCGATACTTGTATGCATCCTCGTTAAAAATTCGCTCTAGCGCATCAACCTCCTTCTGGACCAGAACAAGATATGCTTCTGTTTGAGCAACTATTTGTTCCTGGTTGGGAACTCTGACATGGGGTCTATTGATGGTAGGATTTGAGTGAGGATATGAGAACTGAGAGACAAGAAACTGACTGGGCGGAATAGCCACTTGCCATGCATTCAGCAACAAAGTCAGCCCATTCTTTCCTCACCTCCCAAAGTTTGACTAGCTCATCGGGAGTCAAGTCTTGAAAGGAAGTACACAGATTAGTTATGCTAGATGCAAAATAGCTTCGAAACACTTCTATGAACTTTTGCTTAACGTCTACTGGAGATTTGGACGTCCATATGTAGTACAAGTGCTAAAAATTAGCACATGAGATTGAAAGATCTCAGTGGTTTCAACTTGGTACGTCACCAGATTGCAATACTGCTTGAGAATCTCAACGTATTTTGTTCGAGTTACTTCATGAGCGTCGGAGATGACCTGCAAGACTTTTCGATCGCTATCAGTTAGGCCGCTGGAATATTGTTTGTGGTAGTGGGGCCAGTATCCGTCGCACGCTAATGCGCGACCAGCTCGACCATTTGCCCTTGCACGCCATTTCTCGATGTTGCTCAATACTTCTAGGAGATCCGGGATATACGCGGAGAGGATATTAGGATATATCATGTTTCGCACGACCAGCATCATGAGCTCAGGTGGTGGTGGCTTCGCGGCAAGTTTCGATTCTTCAGAGGAAAGGCCTTCGGTGAGAGTTGCTGGAGCGAAATCAATCAAGTCTGTATTATGTGTACAAATGCCACGGAACAGCGAGGCTCACTATATATATTTCGAAAATCTTCTTGTATGTGTAGTTTGTCTGTAGAGGCACGAGTATTGGCTTGGTGGGCCTGGCGCCGCAGTTCTGCGCGATAGCTAGCCTCCATGTTGGTTGAGGTTAAGACGCGCTTATAGCTATTGCTCATCACCTGCTTTGATGAAATACGTCACGTGAAATACTCGTGGAAATTTCACATGCATGATGAAAAACTATAACACGCCACGATAAACGCCGGCCAGCTTCTGGGTACGATGTCTATGAGAAATAGGTTCAAGAAAACGATACAACTTCAAGATGAAGACGTGGATTCTGATTCAGGCCCCTCACAAACGGACTCACCCGCACCGGAGACCAGTGACCCAGTGAAACTCGAGCTATGGAACAAGAAACATTCACTGCAGACGGAGGTGAACAAACTGAAGCGGAAACATGTAAGTTCAGTTTTTCCGGCTGCCTGCTATACTGACTGGATATAGGAAAGCTCACTGTTTGCTACTCGCAAATTTCTCTTTCCTCTTGGTGTTTTATGTGCGTGCTTGACGATACTGATTTTGGACGACCCTGACATTTCATTCCTCAGTCGGAATCCTCCTTGCCTTCGCCTTCGTTCAACCATCTGACATCCAAGATATGCATGCTCAGCTCACGCTACTCATGGATCAGTACGACGTTACCCTTCCGCAGCTTCCTGATTTCGACTTTTCCCGGTTTGAAACTGAGTGGAATAAACTTCGAAGTAATATACCTGAACTGTGGAAGTTTAATCGAGACGGTAGAGAGTTCCAAGTGGGAGAGAGAATGAAGGCAAGAGGTTTATCGGCTGAGTACCCGGTTGTGTTGATCCCTGGAGTTATATCCACGGTACGTTGAGCGCCCCCACAGTTCCACCGATCCTCAGTCTTGTGATGTGTTTGGTTATAGGGTCTCGAATCGTGGTCTACTACTCCAGAATACCGGCCGTTCTTCCGCGAAAAACTTTGGGGGGGTCTCAATATGCTCTCGCAAGTCACATTCAATCGAGATAGGTGGATCGCGGCAATGATGCTTGATCCTGTTACTGGTCTTGACCCTCCCGACGCCAAGATACGTGCGGCGGAAGGAATAGACGCCGCCAGCAGTTTCATTCAAGGATATTGGATATGGTGAGTGTTTATTTGCTCTGGAATCAAATTCAGCTTAAACTTTGGCGCGTAGGTCCAAGATTGTCGAAAATCTGGCCGTTGTAAATTATGACACGAATAATCTTTATCTCGCCCCATACGATTGGCGGCTATCCTACTGGAATTTGGAGGAAAGAGACGGGTACTTTTCAAAATTGAAGACTACAATCGAAGGTTTCAAGTTAGTAATTCTGTTGTGATTTTTTGTTGGAAACCGCCCAAACCACATACGTCTATAGGAGACGACAAAAGAAAAAGACAGTGGTGGCTGCTCATTCAATGGGTGCAACCGTGTGTCCATCTTCCTTCAGAGCTAATAATGTGATACCCACCTTCAATCAATACCCGTTCACAGATATTTCTGGTACTAAACATTTTACTCGCATTCAATTGATTGTGAATGCCTAGCCTGATTCTTTGTGTTGTTTTTCTTTCCAGTATTTGTGAGTCTTATCATTAATACAACATTGATTAATTCATTCATTGACTCCTCTACTTTCTTACTCTAGCCTCAAATGGGTGGAATCACCAGAGCATGGCGGGGGCGGTCCTGACTGGGTTGAGGTGAGCGACTAATTTGATTCGGCAATTTTGATATCTTCCAGACGCCCAGTCACTGACCGGTGTAATCATAGAATCATATAGAAGCGTATATATCCATCGCTGGAACACATATGGTAAGTCATTGCGGATTTCCATTCTTTGTTGAATTTCTATCACAAAAGTTCGTGATCGCTGACCTTTGTTTTTTCGTTGTATCTAGGGTGTCGTACGTTTGTCTGGCTTGTATACAGTGTATCTACTGACGTACATGCCGATGTAGGCCAAAGCTATGGCAGCGTTCCTTTCTGGAGAAATGAAGGACACAGTACAAATGAATCCTGCAGGATCTTACGGCAAGTCATCGGTACGATCTTTTGACGGGTAGGTCGCTTACTGTTTAGTAGTCCTAGAACGTTTCTTCTCTCGTGCTGAAAGACGCAAGTTGTTTCTGAGCTGGGCCGGAAGTGCGAGCATGTGGATCAAGGCATGTTTCATTTCACCTGTTCTGCACTTCCGACCTACACCATGTCATGTCACGCTCACGCTCACATGCAGGGTGGGGATACAATATGGGGCAATTCGACCTTTGCCCCAGATGATCCTAGCGAGGATTCTAATGTGCTCGATGCAAACGACGTAAGAGGGCGGCGTAGCGGTCACACTCATGGCGAACTTATCTCATTCAGACGTATCCCTGCATCAGTACCTATTCCAGAAGAAGGCGAGACGGAGACACGCCTGATGGAAGAGGATAATGGGGTTGGGGTGAAGAACATGACTTCAGAGATGGCAGGGGATTGGATATTGGAGCATACGCCCTCGAGTTTTCAGGTGTGTTTGATGCTGTTCGATGCCAATTGCTATCTCGATTCTGATGCACTAGGCATGATTGCAGAAAATGATGGCAACAAATTATTCCTTTGGAATCGAAAGAAATGAAGACGCCTTGAATCGCAATGACCGAGATCACACAAAATGGACTAATCCACTCGAGGTCAAGTGCGCGCTCCCCATAGTTTTCGCTCAGCATTGAACTAGTTTTGACTCTCGGAAACAGATTACCCAATGCCCCGTCGATGAAGATGTTCTGTGTTTACGGACATGGGAAGGAGACCGAGGTAAGGCCATCAACCTGAATAATATTTTCCATCATATATCTGTGTATCATGCTCACGACGTTTTTGTGCTACAGCGCTCATATTGGTACACTCGCGGTGATTTTGAACATGACGAATCTGCTGCCGATGGAATATCACCTCTCTGTATAGATCCAGATACAGGATCTAATCAAACTAGTCCCTGTGCTGGGTCGACTCCTCGTAATCCGTTGGATATGCCTTTGCTGAGAAAGAGCTGGATTGATGCAGATTACACGGATGAAACTGTGAACCCCAAAGTATGCATAATCGTGTTGGTTCTGGATACCCCAATACACAACTGTTATGTCTCATCGTAGAACGTGTCTGTTACAGGTTCGTAATGGCGTCAAAATGGGCGAAGGTGATGGGACAGTCAGCCTGATCAGTCTTGGCGCTATGTGTGTGGAAGGGTGGAAGAGGCGCAGATGGAATCCTGCGGGCATCAATGTAACTGTCGTTGAAGTAAATATCACTTTCTGTCACTGTGTCCTGTTTTCGTCTTTCTAATTTACTTCCTAGCTTTCCCATCGTCCAGTCCCATCTATGCCCCGAGGCGGTGCTAACACTTCCGACCATGTTGACATTCTCGGTTCTACAACCTTGAACGAGATCATTGTGAAGGTAGCTACAGGTGCGGGCAATGAGATAGAGGAAGCGTTTGTTTCAAATATCAGGACTTATGCTCAGCGGATCCAATGGGATTGAATTGATTATTGCTGAGTGCTTTTAGAAAGCCATGCAGCTGTGATCTTCACTAGGTAAAATGATCTCATCTCAGGCGTTGTGAAATCCGGTACGATTTGATAGTCTGGTCTTTGTAAAATGTTCGTCCTGAAACAGTTATAGCCAAGGTCATATACAGTCGTGCATATGGGTTCCGAATGGACACTGCATCGCTTTGATCTCACAATTGATCGGCAAATACGAGTTGCAATTTTTTAGGATTGATGAATTGATCGAGAAAGGAATTATATCTTTTGAGTCAGGGAATCTATGTATACCAAGTTTCCAACGATACATGATATTCCATCTATACGCACAGCCATTTTAACATTGGCTTCGACAGTTTTCAGTCCCTGCATTGCAATCTTCGGTCAGAACGATGCGATGCGATTAGAACTTTCTTTCCCTGCTACTTACGGTTCAGTTATAAGTAAAATGCATCGTGGAGGTAGGAAATCATCAATTCCCGTTCTTTTACAGCTGGTCAGCGACTGCTTAATTCTTTCAATATGCTCCCCTTCTTTTTCGATATGCAGGCATTCTTTAAATTTGCGACAGTAACTCTCTTATCCTCATGGATAGTATTATTACTCCCTAGTCGAAATCGACTCAATAACCAATCGGAACACCCCGAGGGGCGTCCGTGGATGTCCTCCCATGGTCAGCATGCGTTCATAGCACCTGGACAGGGAGACGTAAGGTCACCTTGTCCGGCCCTAAACACACTTGCAAATCATGGATATATGTATGTCTTTTCTTTTCACGTTTCGTGCCATCTTCACCCTAACTCTATCAACAGTAATCGCTCAGGGAAAGGCATCTCTGCTTCATCCCTGATTGATTCGCTCACGTCTATATATCACCTTTCTTTACCACTCGCCACTACACTTGTCGCTGGCGGATTTCTATCATGCTCCAGTGGCGACATTGGCGAAGGAATTTCACTCCACGCACTGGCTGCACATAACAAGATTGAGCATGATGCATCGCTAGTACATGATGACGCCCTTCCAGGAGCGAAGTTTGTGTAACAGTAGAGTGACGAGGTCACAGTATTGCCACACGGATTGGTGTAGGTGCTCGATAGAACCGTTGTAAACTGGGGAGTTATGATTCTGGAGAACCTATCGTACTGAGTACATCGAAACCCCTTATATACGTAGAAATAGAGGATAACTAAAAGGGGTAATTATTGTAAGGCATAGGACATGGATAGTAAGCATGTTTAAGTAAGAGGCATACTAGTTAGGACAAGTAACGAGTAACGTTCCGTTACATACGCCCTCCAAAGATCCTCCCAGGATCTTTCCTTTAATTCATCGCAACATCGCCCTCGTTCGCGTTCTTAACCGAACTGGAGGGACCCGGTAGACTATCAGCCTCAATGGGAGGGGCTTCGAAGAGAATATCGAAATTAACCGGAGTAGGCGCGGTAAGCGGCGCGCTGTTTTCGTATGGGATGGATAATGACTTGAAAAAGTCATCTGTAATAGCCAAGGTCATATCCGAAGAGCTCGCCTGAGGAGCGGACACAATCTGCGGACCAGAATGCAGAGTACCTGCCTGGGAAGCGGGATCGAGGTTAGAGGTGTCGGATTGGGTGGTGGTAACCTGGGGGAGATTTGCTGCGGGGGTATGTGAGCGAGAGGATGAGGTGGACGAAGAAGAAGGGCTAGGTGCATTCAAGTTCGGCTTCCACGTCCCATTCTTCCTTCTGACATGTGCCGGGTTAAAGGGTTTTCCTTTCCGTCCATTCGCTTTCTCGGTGTGATAACTACTGGGGGCATCCGACATCGGGCGCATGGCCCGCTCACGAAGCAGCTCAGCATACAGAACTTGATCTCTTTGGGCAAGGTTGGCAAGACCCAAGGCCTCGACGACGGCATTGGGTGCATCGGCACCACTCGTAATGTGGTGGAACATCCTCCTGTCGATAATAGGACCAGCAACAGTAATTATACCAGATGCTGGGTTGAATTCGGCCATCTTCTGGGGGTGGATGTTAGCATCGCTGTTGAGCTTTCCGGCGATGTAAGAATAAGCCATGGGTACGTCGATTCGCCGTACTGAGGCATTAGGTTTGCGGAGTTTAATGTCAGTCTCCAGGCACTGTACAAACTCCTTCGGAGTAGTGGTGTAATTTACGCCAATAGAGGAACGTAGGAGAACTTTATCTTCTCGTACTCTCTGTATGTAGGGGGGAGAGTAGATAGCAGGACTTGTCTGAGTATCGGACATATTACTGGGGTGGTAAGAACTCTTTTCAGTTCCTTTTAAGTCTTTTTCTTGGTCTGACCCTGCACTTTCTTCATCTAGGTCCAGTGCGAGTCGCATGAGACTAATCATTGCAGCAGGTGCACTATTCATTCCCAAATTAGGTCCTAAGTTCGGATCGGGTACGTTCTCGCGCCCTCCACCTGTAAGCTCTGATATATCGGAGATCCCAATAGCTTCAAAATAGTCTCCAAGCGCGTCAAGGTGATTGATCTGGTGGTATGATAACCAGGTAATGTCACCGGATTTCCACTTTATTTGGAATAGTGAGTTCATGCGAGTCCCAGAATGGGCAAGAATTCGGTCTACAGCCCATTCTCCTTCTGTTTCACCAAAGTCGGCCACTTGAGTTTCCAGCCGTCCAGGGAAAAGACGGTCATCGTTTGGAATGTGGATTCGTAGGAGTGATGCGTGGAATGCATCGTGGACGCCGCGCTGCTTAAGCCTATTGGGCAGATCCATTTTGTAAGTGGAATTCCCGAAGTCTTTCAGGATCTTATATGGTCCGATGAATTTCGGTACTAACTTCCGTGCGTACCCTTTAGGAAAGGTTATGTTCTGAGTGGAGATGTAAGCAAGATCTCCTTCCTTAAAAGGTGCTAGTCGGCGACGCCGATTTGCGTCGCGAGTTTGTTTTACTCGAGCAGCAAGAATACTATCGTGAGCCTGCATTATAGCTTGTTTCATTCTCTGTGCGTACACCCTGATTCCTGGGTATTCATTCTTATCTGCTGCATTCCAGAGGAATGAGCGAGGCATGCGACCGGTATTAAGGAAGAACGGTGAAAATCCCGTTGTTTCCGACCGAGCAGAGTTGATTGCAAATTCAACGGCAGGTAATTTGATAACCCAGTCCTCCTGGTCAATCGCAACACATTGGCGAAGCATCTGGGTGACAGTACGATTCGCTCGTTCAGTAGAGCCATCGGTCTCAGGATGGTAAGCACTTGACATTTTCAGCTTCGTACCAATCAGGTTGTGAAGGTGAGTCCAAAACGTACTTGTGAAGTACGAGTCTCTGTCACTGATGATATTCTTAGGAAGTCCGTGATGTTTATATATCTCAGAAAATACAAGTTCGGCAATCTGTTTTGCCTTGTAGGTAGTCTTACTAGGCACAAGATGTACCATTCCAGTAAGTAAATCAATAACAACTGTTATCATGTCGTATGTTCCGTTCCGGTCTTTGGATTCTGGTAGAGGACCGACGAAGTCGAGAGCCATTGATTCCCAAGGGTACGACGGTACTGGTAGTGGGTTCAGCAGTCCGTATGGTCTGGTGTTGTTTGGTTTAGTCCGTTTACATGTTTTGCATGTTTCGCAGTAGGTGTTGACATCTGGGACAAGGTCTTTCCACCAGACGTAGTCTCGGAGATAATCAATTGTTTTCTTTGCACCAAGGTGAGCAAGGAGTGAGTGTGCTTCGTCAATAATCGATTCACGAACATTTCTACCATTTACAGTTACCATTGGGATGCACAGAACCTTTCGGTCTTGCATTTTGAGGTAAACCAGTCCGTTAACTATTTCAAAGTTGCGGAACTCTTTCGGTTTCTCAATAATCTTTTTGAACATTGTATCATTTTTGTACTGATTTCTTAATACAAATTCGAGGTCAAGTTTCGAACGGCTGGCGGCTAATGCTGCTATTAGTGACATGTCTGTTGAGACTTCGGGTGTCTTCTCCTTTTCAGGCCAGGATTCAGGTAAGTCATTCTGTGCCGTTTTCTCAGGCATATTTTCACCGGAGTCTCTGTCTAGGTTTGGGGATTCATTAGGAAGAGTGTCTGTTTGAGGGATACTCCCGCCCTCCTTTCGTTGTTCACGGGGACCATGCAACACGAAACGTTTGTTCTTCATCCGGCGAGCAAATTCCCAGCTCGTTTCAACTCGTTTACCAGTATTTCGCGTTGTCATTGCAAATAATTCTGGGATTGCGCCAGCGGCCTCAATGTCAACGTGGACCGGCATTGTGATATTGTGGGAGAACAAAGTGTCATTATCCACAACATCATGGTAGGTGTATTCACTTCGAGCACGTACAGTACCAGGTCTGTCATTGGAGTAGAGGCGCGAAAGTGCGTCGGCCAATACGTTTTCAATTCCCGGTACGTATTCAACTTTGTAATTGAATTCAGAGATCTTCTCTAACCATCGTGCTTGCCGTCCCGATAGATCCTTTTGCTTTACCAGGTGCTCAAGACCTTTGTGATCGGTAATCCAGGTGAAGTCTACGCCCTGGAGAATATCTCGATGGCGGAGCATTGTCTCCACGCCAGCTAACATCTCAATTTCATGTACAGGGTAATTTTGCTGCGCAGAGTTCAACTTGGCAGAGTAGAATGCTGCTGCTCTAGCGTTCTGCCAGCTAGGACCTTGACAGACGGCACCACCTACTCCTGTGGCACTGCCATCAGTGATCATCCAGACTGGCGGTGCACCTTCTGAATAATCTAGAGGGACTCGATGGTGATCTTTTGCCCCATTAGCCAACTGTTTAACATTTTCAAAGGCCCGTTGCTCAATGTAAGTCCAACGGAATGGAACTGTATCACCTGTTATTGCACTTAAATGGCCCATAGGTATCCGTACTTGGGCAATGTCATCTGCAAGGTAACCAACTGATCCAAGGAAACCTCGCAGTAAATCACGGTTCGTGGGCGTTGGCCACCGAACAATGGCGTCAACTTTGTGTGGGTCCATTCGGATACCCTTATCATCGATGATACATCCTAACACCTTGAATTCTTTAGGCATAAAGTTCAATTTTTCTTCAGAGAGGTATAATTTTTCTTGTTTAAGAATGTCTATTATTAATTTTACATGCTTTATGTGGTCTTCGAGACTCTCAGAATAGATCACAATATCATCAAGGTATACGTCCATGAACCGACCAACGTATTCTGAGAAGAGGTAGTTCATTAATGCTTGGTACGTTGCAGGTGCATTACAATCACCTTGTTGGATGACAAGACTCACCATGTTTCCATCAGGAGTAGTGACAGCTGACCGCGGAACATGTTCAGGGATGATTCGGATCTGTTCGTAGGCATCTTTCCCGTCGATAATTGAGCGAAACTTGGCTCGTGCTACGCGCCGTTTGATGCCCTCGATATCTGGCATTGGTGAGGAGAGTTTTCGAGTATTTGCATTTCGTGCACGAAGATCGACAACAACGCGCATCTTGGTACTTCCTGGTTTCGGAATTAGCATCATTGGGACTGTGTTTCCTGAGCTGGTCATTTTCCACCTACCGGATTTCAGGTAGGCGTCCCGCTTTTCGCTCCATTGTGCTCGGAACTTCTCGGGGCATTTTGATGGGCGCCATGGCAAGATTTTCGATTCGTCTATCAGCGGAATCGTGTGGTTTATGGCTCTGAGGGGTGGCAAGTCAGTTTCTGCCATAGATCGGCATAATGGTTTAGCATAATCAGTCAATTCTTTGCGTACAGTGTTAATACGATCTTCGAATAAGTCCATAGCGCGGGATGATAATTTCGACACATTGTCACCTTGAATGGGTAATGATTCATTACTGCCAATGATAATTCGTGGCTCATTGAATCCAGCCATTACTTTGTGCTGGAATAGGAACGGTGTTCCGAGTATTATATCATAGCTGGACAGATTTGCAACATCAAAGTACCGTTGCTCGGAGATTCCTTGGTACTGAAATTGAGCTTTCACACCCCAATTGATCTTTGAGCGAGATCCTTGCACAGCAAGCTGCAATGGTATGGGTTTGGTTAATTCTAATTTTTGTGCTCCAAGCTGATCTGCAAATGTTGAGGAGATGAAATCCCCGAGTGAGCCAGTATCTATTAAGGCGCGCGCAGGATGTCCATTGATTTTTACCACAACTACTAACGGTTTGGGAATCCGTCTCGAAAAGTCTTTGGTAATAGCGGCATTCCGCTGAATCGCTGGGTATGTTCCTCTCGGGATCTGTACACCATTCAACTGAATAGGAAACTGATGGTGCAGAGAATCTAGTTGTTCTTGTAGATCTGTTTGTTCAATAGGGTCATACAAGCACCCATGAAGAGGCTCCGAGTCTGTACTGAGCCTCTCTAATATTTCTCGTAGGTCACGGTAACCACGGGACAATTGTTTTTGATACCAGCGGGACAGGTCGAAGTGAACATTTCGAAGGTACTTCAAAGGTAGAAGTGTCTGAAATTCTCGGTATGTGTCAAATATCTGATAATTCTCAGAATTTAATCGTCTGGCTGTAAATCGTGGGTGCTCATTGAATGTGTCTGATGGTGTGTTTCCAGGGAGGTAATCAATGCGAGAAAGCCATTTCTCTATCCCTTCTGCGTAAGCATCATGCATATGGTAAGTCTTGAAAACATCTAATCTATGAGGTCGAATATATTTTCTTTCCATTTTTGCACGTTCTACTGCATAGTAGTATGGGAGTGGGAATTTTGGGTCTTCTAATTGGATACGAGGAATGTACACCCATTCGAAATTCTCATATTCTGGGTGGTCTATTCCAAAGTAATCTGAGTCACTGATACAATAGTTTTCGCAGTCTATAGCATACACAAAGAACCGTCCGCGATTATTCTTTGCTTTGTCTGTATCAGTGGGGTATGGTCCGGCTGTGTCAAGAAGATACATGGCGCGCTGTGCCAGAATATCATCAATACAGCTAGGTAGGGAATGTGATGTATACCCGTAGTTCGGGTGGTCTAGTTCATGATAAAGCCACGGATGCCGATACTTAGGCCCCGCCTTGGGAGGAATGTATTCAAGTTGTTCAGATGAACATTCGGGCCCCGGATTGGTCTGGTAAAACTCATTACTATCACTGGGGTAACTTTCATAATCTGCTGAATCTATGTTCATCATTCCCAAGCCAAGCTCAGTAATTTCTTCAGTGGTCTCAGCTAAGGCTTGCAAGCTCTCGACATCAAGATCAAGACTAATATGGTGACTAGCAAATCCCGGAGGCCCGTTGGATGAAGACGGGACTGTTTTTCCATCTGGGCATTGACGTTCCATGTGGCCTTGTCCGCCGCAACGGAAACATCGGCCTGCTGCTCTGTATTCATCTTTTTCCTTGTCACTAAGTTCACGATGCTGGGTCCGGGGTTTCGGGTTGCTGGGTTTCGAGCCCTGCAATCCATGTTTCCCACTGTTTGTACCATTGGATCGTCGGTAAGTGCTATTGTTTTTCTGGTGAGATTTATTCCCGAATTTCTTTCCAGATAAAGATGGGCCGGAGTTTCTATTTTCATTATTCCTATTCATTTTCCCTGACTTGGATTTCTCCGTTCTGTCAGTTTTTGACTTGTTCGATTCATTGGTCAAGTCTACATTTTCAATAAGCTCGACAAGTTCAGCTTTACTGGCAATCTCTTTGTATGAGGAAAATTCAGGATTCAATTTCTCACTCCAGAGGCCCTTCTGGATTTTCTTATCCAGGCTTGACCATAGTTTATGAACCTTTTCTCGTTCATCAATCATTCCAATAGTATTGAAAAATTCATTCAGTTCTGACAAATGATCCCGTACAGGTTTGCCATTTTGGAAACAACGTTTGAGCTTTTTCCGTTGATCCATCCGGAATGTCAGGGGAAAGCAATAATTGTATAACTCGGTGAAGAATTTCTTTAGTCTCCAATCAAAGGGAGAATTTGCAACTGTAGTGAGGTAAAACTGATATGCTTTCCCAGTCAAATATTTTGATAGCTTTAGCACTCGTCTGTTCTTGGGAACGCGCCCATCTCGGACATATGCTGTCCCTTCAGTGACAAATTTGATATATGAGCCAACATCCGTAGCACCATCATAGTCTTCTGGTGGGTCCGGTTTTAAAATCATCCGTGTAGATTTTTTATGGGGGCGACGCCGTTTTGAGTGCTTACGGCGCTTCTGGCTACCATGTCCATCTGAGCTGTCAGACTCAGAGGATGTGCTGTCTGTGTCTGAGCTGGTCTCGGATTCTGAGGAGCTGGATTCAGAGCTAGAGGAGCTAGAGGAAGGTTCAGAGGGCTCGCTATGATGTTTTCTGTGCCGGTGTTCCACAGCCCGCTTTTTTTTCTTGGCTGGAGTCAATAATTTAGACAAATGATTGGTTGGTGCCAACATATCACTCGGGCGCATCACATATTGAGCAGGATCGGACTTGTTTAATCTATTACTCAAAGTCCGTGTTTTTCTCGGACGTTGTTCAACAATATCCCTGACATGGGATTCAATTAGGTCAGTCAAGGCTTCAGAACCAGCACGGTTTTTTGACTGTTTGGATTTCTTAGAAGGCTTCTTTGGCTTCTTTGTCAAGGGTTCAGGTTCAGTGGCAACTTTTGCCTGCTGTTGGGCTTCATGGAGAGCCACGAAATTCTCAAGGACAGCACGCTGCTGATCAATATCAACTTCGTTGTTAGGCAAATTGATGTTGCCCCAGTTCTTCGGGTCTACACCTTTGCCTTTGTCATTGGAGGGTCTTTCTCCATCTGAGAGAGAACTATCTGTGCCGTTATCTCCCTGAGCAGGGCTCTGCCCAATAATTTTCATTCGATGGCGTATTGCCTTTCTTTCAGCTTGAGACAATTTCTTTTCAGCCTCACGGATTAATGCTCCTTGAGCAATAGTCATAACAGGAGGTTTCTTGGCCTCACGTTGTTTCTTAGCAGTAAATTGAGCGGGTCGCAACTGATATTCATTCTGGCTACGAGCAGAGTCTAGACTAACAGCTCTGCGGCGGGGGCCGACCTTAACCCAAGGGTTAGGATTTTCCTCATGCTCACTTTCCGAGCTATCTGCATTATAATTTTCCTGCCGGTCACCTGTCACAGTGCCAGCATTGCTTTCCTCATCAGAGGTGGCAATGTTCTGAAAGGTTGTCTGACTGTTGGCCAGGCCAGCAGAACGTTGACCATCATTATTGATGTTGGAGTGTTCCTTGTCATTGCGGCGGTAATTGCTGGGTCCACGTCGGAGATTGTAGTGGTTGGAATTCTTAGACATTGTCGAGGATAGTGTTGATATTTTTTCGAAGGGTGATTTTCGAGTTCTGAGATTTTTTCGGTGTCCGTTGTCGGAGTCCTGGGTTGATCAGACCTGGGGGTGCCGGTGATGGACGTCGAGGATGAGTTTGTTTAGAGAGAAAAGTCGCAGTTGTTGGGGGTTCAAAATATGTAACAGTAGAGTGACGAGGTCACAGTATTGCCACACGGATTGGTGTAGGTGCTCGATAGAACCGTTGTAAACTGGAGAGTTATGATTCTGGAGAACCTATCGTACTGAGTACATCGAAACCCCTTATATACGTAGAAATAGAGGATAACTAAAAGGGGTAATTATTGTAAGGCATAGGACATGGATAGTAAGCATGTCACCTTGCTTGCAAGGTCTATTCCACTCGGTATTTGACCACTTGATGTGCAGGCACATATTTGCTATGTTTGATTTCAGCGCTGTCAGCCAAATCACTTCAATCATCTTGCTTATAATTGGACACCCTCACCTCGCGGCGCGCCCTACGCGCGCCGCATTTTTGATCTCAAGCAAGGTGTGCAGCCACAACAGTGGGGCCTAGTTTAAGTAAGAGGCATACTAGTTAGGACAAGTAACGAGTAACGTTCCGTTACAGTTTGCTCCTACTCAAGTCAATCAAACACTGATAAACGATTTGCTCCATACATATCCTGATGGGCTGGGTATCGACGATCTCGCCGAGGCGCGCCGGAGTAGAGAGATGATGCTGCTCCAGGACAAGAAACCAAAATTGAACACGTTTCATGAAGAAATTGGTCATGGGGAGGCGGCGTTGACTTGGTTGTTGATGAAGGACAACAGGGGCGTTGTAAAGCCGAAAACGTTGAGACAATGGTACGGAATAGAAACATTTCCGGAGACGTATGTCATTCCTACCGAGGAGATCTCACTTGAAATGGCAAGGACTGTGTCTGCAGAGATTGGAAGGATTATGAAAAGGCACTCATAAATTATAGAATTATTAACAAGTGTAGTCTATCAACTTAATGTAGCTTGTAGAATTAGACTGTAAGTATGGAGTCATTATTTCGATGTTAATGGAGCAGGTACAGGCAGGTACTGATAATAGGCAATAATTATTTACCTCGAGGGTGATTCGTCAGTCGTACATTTTACAATTTAAAAAATCAAACAAAGGGCGGTATGATTTAGCTTCGACGGTCGATGTAATTACATATAACCGCAAGCTACCGAAAGTAAGAAAAGATGAATCAGCGAAAGATGGATGGCAAGCTGTAAGTCGTCCGACGATGATCTCCCACGTGGTGAAGTGTTTGCATGAAAAGTTCGATCAAAGCAGGTCAAAGCGTTAGATATCAACAGCGTAACAGGTAGATTAATTGGGCTCATGGGTCATGATGCATGACACGAGGTGAAGAGGGATCAGGTATGTCCGTAACATGGTTTGTGTGGAAATTTCCGCGATGATTCAGGGACCCGAATATCACTGGTCACAAAAAACTTGCCCGAGTGCCACTAAGATTTGAAATTGACAAACAACGAACCAGTAACTAGAGAATGTCAAAGAACACATAAACCAACAACAATTTGCCTCTTGTACATAGTAATACATAAACCATATCAATCTCTTCCTCATACTATACAATTTTCACAAGAACAGCTCTGCTTGTCCGTTGATGCTTTTGAGAACGACGACACATTTCTCCTTATTCCTCTCATCCCAATAAACCGAATTACGAATTATCACGCCCTTGGTCGGGCCAGATCCGAACACCCTCTTCCTCCCTAGCCCTGCTGGGTCTTCAGTATGTTCATTATGCACCTCCCCAAAGATGTTCGTACTTGACAGGGCATATGTCCCTTCATATGTTGCAGGTAATGTAACTGTCACTCGTCCGTTGGTTGTGGACGCTGTCAGGTTCAACGCGGAGTCTGAAGGTAGCGAGGGAACAGAAACGTCAACAATGCCGTTGTTGTTGGTAGTAGATATGAAAAGGCCCGATGAAGATTGTGAAAACGTCGATGAATGGGATGGTCTATGGACATTGATAGTTGCTTCTAGAGCCTTGTTCGTTGTTTGTACAACAACGTGCCCGCCACCAGTCGAGTATTGGGGTAATATCTCGATATCCGCTTTCACTTTTGTATTCCTTGCTTTGATTTCTAGGGAGTGTGAGGTGGTAAAATGTCCTCGTATTTCTGAGTTGATAGTGTAAAGAGAGGCGAAGTTCGATGTTAGGGACTAGGTATCATGAGCAAAAAAGATCCTTTGAACAATAAGGATAATTCACCCACTTTAACGTTGATTTCGCGATTTGAGGTATGTATCGTGGCGTTATCTGCTGTCAGCGACTAGAAGCACCATTAGTAAAACAATGCGCAGGAGGGGCAGTAGGTTGACTCACAACTGCATTGATAATCCCATTCCCAGCTTTGAGCAGCAGATTCCCGAAAGTGACAAACTCATCCAACGGCTGGGAAAAGAGGTGATGGAAATTAGGAAGATCGGTCTCGAATGCGTTAAGACGGAGAATAGAAGGTCCGCGAGATTCGGGGAGTACCAGAGTCACATCATAGGACAATTGAGAGCGGCGATATGAAGAGGTAGGCCAATCTCGCAAGGAGAACAGCCCGACACCAAGGTGTTTCCGCTTCCCTGGCTTCCTTTGAATTAAACAGACTGCAGTTTGGCTCAAAAAATCGTTGGAATCTCCGTAGTTGGCAAAATCCGTATACGTGATCTTGACATCAACCCTGGCCATGCCTTCCTCTAGGTCAGAAGAAGGCTCAATGCGTAGCCCCCCCGTGGATGACCGGCCGCGAGATAAAAGAAAAAGGGTTTCGGAGGTTAGGGGGAGGGACAGAGAGGTTTGGACGGTTCCGTAGTTGAATTTGTTTGAGGATGGAAGTAATGAGGATGGTTTAGCCGAAAACTCTTGAGGCGGAGTGAAGGTATCAAGGGTGAATTCGGAACTATAAGATGAAACCCATCCAAGACTACTGTTTTGCATCTCAGAGCCTTTGGCACACGAAATGACCGCGATGTTATTTGGTATCGAAAAGTCACTGTGCTACTTGATCAATGTTATTAGGAACTCAAATCAGAGAGTACAATCAACTTACCCAACCCTTACTCGTCTGATATCTCGTTGAAAATGACCCAAAGAAGATCGCCGCGAGCACATAGATAAGGAGCGCTACAGCAAATGCTTTACAGAACCGCTGTCCAGGAGATTCTCTCCTTATGGATTCGTTTGCTTCTACGTCTGTAGGGAGACTCGATATACTTCGTGGCCCATTTGGACGTGATGAGCTTGAGCTTCCAGTATATGGCTGATACTGCTGCGGCTGTGAAGGTAGTGTGCGGCCAGCTGTGGCACCATAAGCGGGTGGTGGTGGTGAATCAAGTGGCGATTGAGGATTCGATAGAGCCCTGTTGCTCTTTGCAGGGGAAGGTGGTATATCGCCTGAGATGATCATTTATAAAGAGAGGCAAGGAGCTTGGTTAAGTCGATATACAAACTGATCATATATGTTAAATGAAATATATTCCTTCTCATCGGCCATGAAATAGACCGACCTCCTCATGTGCTATCTTTTTCTAAATAGTTTGAAATGTTATCATCAACGCTGAACGCTGCGCCCCCGCTGCGGGGATAACTGCGGATAGAAGAGCATCATGGAATTATCAGTATAAAGGACGTTGAGAACATTGAATGATGTCGACGAGGATTCAGCTTCATCTTTCCGCAGCATCACCCGCAATGGGCACATACTATACACCTTTTACATAGTCATTTCAGTCTAGACTATTTGTACAGTTGCAGGAAATGAGAAGAGGGAAAGGAACAAAGGCAGAAATAAAAACGAACCAGACGTTTTCGTAATGGAAGGAACTATCATCGAGAAGAAGAGATTTTCACGAACATATACATATTGTATAATGGCATGCCCAGGTAAGGAAGCGAGTCCAAAGCACGTACAGAGGCCAGGATGAGTAGCATAAGTAATACAAGGAACCATGAAACCATGAGTATAACGGATGCGAAATGGTGTTGCGAGCGAGACAGCGAACATACTTAAGGTTACGATAATGTTTGAGGATGATAAGGACGATGATCAGGTTTAGAGAGAGGAGAGTCAGATAAAGAGTCAGAAAGGAAAGCAGATAGAGGACAAATGTACAAGAAATCGAATGCAGAGCAGTCCCAACAACATTGGCGGCAGCCTCGGACTAGAATGAATCATGTTTGTCTGCTAGGACCGGGGGCAGGATTCGCGGCCTGAGGTTGCGCTCTCTTTACTTTGTTGAGATCTTCTTGTCTCTGCCAAAGTAACTCGGCCCACAGTGGATGGGGAGGAATGTGCCCTACCAGCGCATTCAGAATCTCCAGCCTACAATAATAACATGATTAGAACAAGCTATTAGAGAAAGTTATATATAGAAGCTCACCATTTAGCCTTCTCCTCATCCGTGTCTGCGAAAAACAGAATTTCCTCCTCGGGGAACACTAGCCTGAAAGACCTCTCTACCCCGAACAGTCCATCGTATTCGTCATAGTATAGACTAGCCCCGGAGGCAGGACTTCGTACAGCACCATCACGCTTATGTGGATCCTGGTTGTCCTCAACCGTGATGGCGTTGCGGAGGTTGATTGTAGCAGTCACCCGTTTTGTCACATCGTTGAATGCAACAAGATTTGCACCGATCACCCGGAATCGACGCCGCCGCCAGGACTAATCAATGAAGTATTTTAAGTGAGAAGGACAAGAAAATACGACAAGGAAATGATACACTCACGCTACAGTCTCCTCCATTCTGTGTCAACGTTCCCTCAAAGTAAGTCATCTTATGCCAGTTCACATGCCTCAGCCCACGATGACATTCTTCCAAGCTCTGCGGAAGTTCTTCTGGCGGAAGACCAGGAAGCGGCGGGAGTCTGAATACCTGCAACACAAGCTCTCCTACCTGCAATGTGGAGAACTTGTTTCCTAGCTCAGCCCGTTGGCCAATGAGCGGGAATGTCGTTTCAAAGAGCCGCGTGTCACAGCGACCAGCAATGTCCTTGAATGAGACAAACGCACGCGCAAGGGTGCCGTCTGGTTTGAGGTACCGTGCAAGGTTCTCTGTGAGACGTTGCGGTGGAAGCTGCGGAGGGGGAGGCGGAGGCGGGGTGTTTTGTCGCTTATCCTTGTCTTTGTTCTTCTTGGGAGAGGAATGGAAGAAACTTCGCATTCCACTACTTTTTGATGATGACGAGGGATTTGCCGCCATAGGAGGTGGACGGGGAGGAGCAGGAGGAACAATAGCCTTGAATTGAGCAATAATATGAGGATCGCGACGAACTTTGAGCGTTAGTGTGAATTCAAGTTTGCTGTGCTCAATCCTGCAAAGTCAACGATGAACACGATGTGACAAGATGACGTATATGTTGCACTTACAGCTCAAACTCTTGTTCGATTCTACAATCTTTGCCTAGGCGGAAATCAGGAGTAGTTACGAAGTGAATTCCATTGTTGAGAGTGCAAGAGACGGCGGTCTGCTCCGCAGGCATGGGAACCACAAGTCCTTTAGCACCAAGCACTAAAAGATCATGCTGTGAGCAACATGCACAGGCTTGTCGTAAGGTGTTTAAAACTTGCCTTTAACAAATACTTTACCATAGGACTTTCCAGGCTTCTCTTGGTTCCTGAATTCTCTGATTTGTTTAGCGTATTCATTCTAGTGAATGAAAAAAGTTAGCCAGAGCATTCAATACTAGAGGCAATTCAACGTACCATATCCGAAGGTCTACGGACGGTACGCCATGCCTTTCCTGCGTTGACGTCTCCCGGACCAGCCATGTGAGAGACGTCTGAAGAGGCGTAGATAGTCCCTTCATGTTCGCGGATAAAATACTTCTTCTAGAGAAAATAACAACGCATTCAAAAATCGACATCGAGATGAAAGAACAAAATCTCTACCTTCTTCTTTTCAGATCCATGAATATTCTTCTTCAGCTCTTTTTCAATTTCGTCACTCAGTGCATCATCTGAGCCAGTGGGAGAGGTGTTCACATCGAGTGACAGTTGCGAATCTTGTCCTCGTAATGCAACACCCCTTCTCTTTGCGCCCAGATCCTCCGCGTCACCAGTACTCATACTTCGCCTCCTACTAGGACGCCCGGTAGGCACGCTCAGTTGTGCTCTCGCTACACCCAGAGGCCTATCATCGTCATCGTCATCACCCTCCTCCATCCTTCGCATCTTCCTTCTTTTCTCGATAATCATCGCCTCGCGTGCACGAATGTTATCCTTGGGAGGTGGGGGAGGTGCAATGGACGATGACGTACTCGCATTACGGCTGGGCATCGCAGAGTGCACGGAAGACCCTCGAGGCGGACCAAGACTTCCGACTACGATAGAATCCGTTGCAGCGCGTTGCATGAGTTGGGATCTAGGAGCATCCTCCTCGGTGGTCGTCATTGAAATATCGTGCGGTTCTTCAAGAGTACTTCCTCCGACACTAGCGACATCATCCATGAGGCGATCCAGGGCGCTTCGCATATCCATTCGTACGTTGACGGAGCCTACGGGCATGTTTTGAACAGATTTCGGAGGAACTTTCGAGGATTTTGTATTGAAATCAAAGCCGAGATCAGATTTATCTGAAGTCGAAGGTGTGGTGAGATCCTCGCTTGAGAGTTCCAGGTCTAAAAATCCTAGCTTGCCCAATCCAAATTTGCTCCCCAAATCGAACTTGAGTTTTTTACTATTAGTAAAAGCGGGAGCCTTCAACAGTCCAAATTCCTCGCCGTTGTCGTCATCATCAGCATCATCATCATCGTCCATGCCTGAATCAACTTCGTCACCGCTGAAGCTCTGGTCGCGTAACTCGATAGCCTGTGTAACAGCGATAGGTTCAGGTTGATCTTGATGCACGGGTTCATTAGGCTCCGCCTGCTCTTGAAGTTCCTCCCCTTTGACTTCGAAATCCATCGTCACGTCGTGGGTAACCTCCATACTTGCTTCCGTTTCAGCAGGCTCATGCTCTTGAACGACCCCGACAGCGACGACTTTTCGCTTTTCCGCCGTTTCGATTGTGGCCATCTCAGCAGAGTTCTCCGTTACGGTCGTCATAACAGACGATGCGTCTTTCTCTGTCTCCCGCTCAAAGTTAATTTCCGAATCGAGCTGCTCCTTGTGATCGTCTTCGCGTTCTGGGCTATGCTCAATGCTTAGATCGACAATTCGTTGTCTGTCAACACTCGTACGCAGACCACGTCCTCCATCATTTATTTTTGGACTTCCACTAGGACTGGCGTTCCCGAAGCTTCGTGGACGCAAGAATCGTCTATGCACGTCATCGCGGTTTGATCGGGGACGAGCACCAACGGGACTGGCGAATGGGCTTACGCTTCCACGAGGAGAAAGCGGGGAGGAAGAGCGCATGGCGGGAGAAGAAATCCGATGCGGGACTGAGCTTGGGATGGGTGGAAGAGGAGAGCGACGGACGGGAGCTGAGGCCGGACTATCAGCTTGAGTGAATGAAGCTTCGCGAGCTAAGTCAATGGGTGAGGCTTCCATTGACGTATTAATGAGACGCTATGATCAGAATATCAGAGTGATTAGTGAAATAACCTAACTGCCACTCGAAACCCACCTCATTCCCAAGTTCCTTTTCAAGTGCACTGATATTGACTTCAGAATGTTCAGTGGTAGTTACAGACATTATTGAGTCATCTTGCACGAAGCTTCCGGCGTCAAGTGGAAGTGATTCGTCTTGTAGGTTGGGCATAGCAAAAGGATCGGACCCCGTTGGATAGTCTCTTCGGACCGGAGAGTCTAAAAATCATTAGACAACGCACCAATCGAATTGAACAGTTTGCTTACAACCGGGAAGCTCGAACTTGGGAACAAGGCCGTCCATACTGGCTTCATCTACGTGAGTTTTACTGCTGGGTTTCATAGGTGAAGGGGAGTCTGGAAGCATTTTCACATCTCGGTCGATGTCTTCCTCCTCTATCCTCGCAGATTGCAAACGCTCGAAGTGAGTTGAACGACCTAGAGGAGGCGAAGAGAATCGATTGCGATGCGATGGAGTAGAAGGAGGCGGGGAAGCGGCCGTTGCGTGAATGGGAAAGGTGGGAGTGTGAACGATGGTATGCGGAGCGGGTTCGACAAAAAGATGAGATTCGTGCTCCTGATGATATTTTATAACCCGGTCTGCGTGGTGAGTCCGACCAAGAGGTACGCCGTCCTCGGTTTCAAGATCAGGAGGGAGTTCATTAGGGTGGTGTCGCGGGGGGGTGCTAGTTTGACGAGAGCCAGCGAAGATTTCGTCTACCAAACCGGTGATACTGGTGTCTGCGTCGAGCTCTAACTGCTCTTCCGGTTCTTGGTCGGAAAGCTCGATGTCCTCGTACGAGTCATGCGGAGTCTCCTCATTCTTACCCTCGCCGAAAAAGTCTACATCATCCTCGGCAGCATTTCCATAGTTATCATCCTCGTCACTCTCAAACACTTCGCCACTTTCATCCTCATCTCGAGAAAATTCTACCACTTCGCAGTTTTCGTGGAAAGTGACAGTCTTACGCCGTTCCCGTTTGGCGCCGCTAAGTCTGGGACCGTGCATTCTCTTGGTAACAAGAGATGGCCGAACAGGAGAAGCACCAGAGTGAGTAGGAATGCGAGAAGAAGGTGGAGGAACAGCTGGAGGCGATGCCTTTCTCTGTTTGAGATCACCATCGTTGGAAGAGCTCACAGCCTGACGAAAAGGGCTCTTTGTAACCGGCTCCTTTTGTATAAGTCCCTGAAACGTTCTCGACTGCTTCCTCTCTCTTTTCAACGCAAAAGGCCTATCGTTCTCGTTCTCGGCTTCGTCATGCATCGACGGTGGTCGCGGCCGTTTTTCTCCAGACACACGTCGGGTTGGAAATGACACAGGAAGAGCTGTGTGGCGAGAAGGAGTGGAAGGAGTGGGTATCTGGGATTTAAAAGGAGATTTAGATACGAGGTTGTTGTTTCGCATGTGTTTATAGCTCGAAGACGACCTCCTAGCGAGATCGGCTTGTGTTGGGCGAAGATTCGGCGAGGATTCCCGTTTCGATATCCTGAGTGGAGACGTCGCAGAGCTGGCGGCGGTGTTGTCCGATGAAGTTGGAGGGGAATTCCAGCCCATGTTCGATTCCCGCAAAATGGAAGATTTAATGAAATCAGGAGAATTTGACAGTAGCCGGTCACGGAGCTGTGTCGAGGATGGTCTGTGTGCCGCCATTCGGCGTCTTGCTTGCCGTCGTAGATAATGAGCAACGAGGTCCGGGTACGAAATGAAAGTTGAAAGTAGTCAACAATGAAGCGTGGGAGCCGTCAGATGACAGGCGCGCTTGAAACTCAACCATGTGATCGTTTAACGGTAGTCTTTCGATCTCAGCGTCTAGGGACCATTGCTTTCGGTGTAAAAACCGAATGCGCCGTGTAATCTTCTTATTCTTATTCTTGTTCTCAATCACACTTACCAGCTTTCAGCTCTGATGCAAATTAGAATGTTTCAATACACCCTGGTGGAATGTCCTCAGTAACCGCGCGCAATTTAGCTTGAGTGACAATGAGGAGGTCCTTGCTTCCTGGCCTCTCTTTACTATCTTCTCGCCAGTTGATAACAGATTGGTACAGACCGTCGTCGCAGAAAGCATACGATAATATCTTGGGATAACACTTCCTGCGTTTGTACTCATGAGGCTCTCTCCACTGTCACAATTTTTGTCCCCCATCAATGAATTCACCAATAACTATATTGGTGACTTCATTTGTACACATTCAAGCATACATCAATATTCTGTGTATATTGGTGGAACCTCGTCGAGAGGAGGAAGCCTGACACCACTATCGGTCTGCGGTATCGCCTCACCACGACGATCTACCCCTCTTTGTACTCCTGAGCTCTGCGCTCTCTTTGTCGTGTACAGAGCATCCGGTGAAAATGTGCTCAGACTGGGATACTGGGTCACAGCACCGAAATCTGGCACTGTCCCACTGTTAGAATAGTGTTGAAAATGCCTTCTCCGTATGCAGAAGAAATATAATGCCAGCAAGAGTGCAGCAAGCCCAACGACACCTCCGATGACACCACCAACAATTGCACTAACTCGGGTAGACGCGCCACCACTCTTGGTTGAGGGGTTGGTTCGGATAATGAAATAGTCAATGATAAGAAATTGTGGGTTAAGAGTACCGTTGGGAGAGGGAGCAATTTCCATGTTGTTTTGGGATGCAGGAAGCCCGGTAGCAGTGAAAAGAGGCCAATTGAGAATATTTGAGAAATTTCCACCACTGTTGACCGTCTGCATGCTTCCAGGAAGATCGAAACTGGTTGAATTTCCATCCAGGGAATAGAAGGCAGGGCTAGCATTCCTCACAAAAGGATTGCCAGTATTCACTGAAAACAAAGATACAGACGTGCCTATATACCGTATTTAATGCCCAACAAGATGTTAAGTTCGCATCCACGTACCATTGAAGATAAAATTCACACTTGTTGCTGCGTTATCTGTCGCATTCGCACCGAAAGACTCGGACCATCCACCGGAAACATCGTTGTAGATGATTGAAGTGTCGCTTCCATCAATTCGGAGAGTCGCAGCATCTAGGGGATTGGATGGCAGTGGTTGATATTGTATACTATCAAGCCAAAGAGAAGAATTTGACGGTGAGGTCGGGAAGAAAAAAAAGTTGACTCCTAAGGTATGCTCGCTCGTAGAACCCTCTAATAGCCCTGCGGAATCACATGCAATGTAATTCGTGACCTGAGGTGTGTCCACATCGAAACTCGCGATGACATGGTCATCTACACTGCAATTCCCACCATATAGCCCTTCGGCAGCCACTATAGTGCGGACAAATGTGCCTATTATCAATCGAAAAATCAGCGTCAACAGAGGAGGTGCACGAAACTTGAATGCCTCTGGCATTTTACCGTTAAAATTATAGGTGAACGACCCGTTGGTTGAGGTTCCTGTGAGGGTCCGATTGAACACTGGTCCACCGTATCCCTGGCCATCTAGCTTGCCTTCCGAATCGAGGGAAAACGCGCTAGAAGGTGAGTATTGAATCAACGGGTCCGTGTCATCCACAACGATCAGTCGCGGGACAGCAGTATCTGGAGTACTGCCCATTGTAAATAATACAGAGTGTCAGAGCGAGGGATCCTCTTACCAGTGAGTATCGATACTTATGTTATCCTGTAGCTGTTGATTTGCTGATATCAATGATATCTGAAAGATCGACAATTACGATATACGCATCCCCAGTGTGAAATCCGAACTATAACGGGTGACTATAAAACTGGATACTGGGGTGATAATCTGCCGATGAAGAACCGGCGCAGATGGACATGAATTATACCATTGGGTAGAATCTTCACCTGTAGTATCCATAGGACAATGATGTACATTTGCCATTTGGTACTATACGTGGATCTTATTCAAATCGATTGAGAACTATGCTCGGCGAGAGTTGTGTCTCTGTAATCGTCTAGGGTTGCCACACACTTCCGAGCGAATTCCCGGTAACTGAGCATCACCAAGGACTGCCACCAAAACTTATCACAGTGAAAATCATGGGTTCTGGAGATGATCCGGGATTCGCATCCTGAAAACCTGCTCCGCGGGATCAGATACCCAAGGAATAAACGAACCGTATCGGAAAAAAGGCCTGTATAATTCATACTCTTGGAACTCAGAGCTTGTCTCCCGCTCCCTCAGTGTTACCCTTCTGTAACAAAATCAAAAGGCTTGATAGACATCGAAATAACCCATCCGAAATATCAATGCCTATAAATTCTACCAGATCAGCCTTGATGATCACTGCCGTCGTATAATACCTCACCAATTCCCTTCCCAAGGCTGTTCCTACTACCCCTACTACCTTCCATTCCTTTCCGGCACGCGAAATTCAATCGAGTGGTAGGAGTATCACTTTGTCACGGAAACCAGGGCCTTTATATTGAAGTGTATGAGTAAAAGTACACTGCATGTCATCTACGTTTTAATCCAGCCAATGAACCATTGATTCCTAGGAGAGAAAGAACAAACGCGCCAGAAAAAAGGTTGGACTCCATCACGATCCACCTAAGCATCTTTCACATTTGAAGCCACGACGAACTCAACTTCCTCCGGATTTAATGACGATACTAACCAATTTCCCTGCCGATGAATTGAGTTGAGCATGCAGTGAAAAGGAGGGCGCGAATGTCAATGGATATCCAGGTTTATACAACACGGAAGAGAGAAAAACGAAATGGGATACGAAAGATTTAACAGCACTCACCCTGTACAGCACCCCACCAACTGCGATTGTTCGTAGAATCGAATCCTCTGTACGAAGCATGAGTGATCTAGCGTCAGCAGCAGTAAATTTGTCGCTCGATCCGGAAGGAATTTCCATGTCAGAAAGGTTCCTTTTCATCTTCACGGTCGGGTGATACACGCGGCGATGTCCAGAAGTATTATTCTTCGAGCCATGCAATAGATCAATATGTGAATTGTCCTTGCGGATAGCCCAAGAATTTCCGTTGGGCGATATCACCTCTTCTGAGTTAGAATCCGCGTCTGGGGAAGCGCCATAATTCCGAGATGCAACCCGAACGTAATGCGAGGAACGTGATTCAGCGGAGGCAGATGAGGGAAACCATTGGATATGTAGCTTGAGTGTGGTTAAGTTGTGCGCTGAGCGTATAGCGTAGTATATCGAGTTCTGTACAGACAAAATCCATTGAGACTTCCCTCAAATCGTTACCAACACGTACTCACCACGTCTTCAAGCCCAACTGCACAATCTAGTACCTCTAATCGCGGGAAACTGACACAAAGACACTCGACATCACCCATCATCATGACCCCCGCTTCCGCTGTCTCCCATCTTTTGAGCGACGCAGAGTGTGATCTCGCGAGGTCAAGAATAAAGCCACGTGGAATAAGAGTCTGTCCAAGATCACGAAATGAGAATGTGTTGTATGAGCTAGCATCTGGTAGGAAAAAGTGTGATTTGGGAAAAGACGAAGAAGAAAAGGAAGGCGAGTTAGGCGGTAAAGAGAGTGAGAATGCATGTAATTTGAAGGCTTCTAGACCTTCCTTGCTCGCTAACAGACGGACCCAATCGTACATTTTGAGAGGATCAAATGCGTCTATTCGTGAATTGCTCCGAACTGTGAGCGTCTTCAGCGAAGGCAACATGATCAATCTCGCTTGGTCCCTAGCAGAAAGCCGAGTTTGAGAGGGTAGATATTCGACATCGAGGCTGTCCAGTATTGGAAGATATGTGAGGAGATTTAGAATTGCGTTGCTCGCTACGCCTTTGAGTCGTAAACTTCGTAATAAAGGTAGTTGGGAAATGACGGTGATCAGTATAGTTGGCGGAACACCCGCACATCGACCCAGCTCCAGTTCCTCTAGAGTCGGCCCGAGAACGATGGACCAACCGCCTTGAAGGACACGAGGAGGACCGTCCATGGACCAGACGGAGACTCGGGTAAGACCGGAAAGAGTGTTAAGCGAATCCCAGACGGAGGTCCCGAGGTCGGAATGTGTACGAATGGTGAGGGAGCGTAGTGGTAGTCCATTACTATTACTCCCTCCTTCTGTGGCGTTCCCCCGTACAAGCCCTACGAATTTCGTCAAGAACGCTCCCGGAGACTTCGTCATATTGCTCCCACGTCCACCTGGACCCAATGCGCCCATAGTTGGACCATACATCGTATCATCCATCCAGGTGAACGAGTGCAAATTCGTACACAGCGCCAAAGCCTTTAGCGCATCGTCAGTTATTGTCGCATATCTCGGTAAATGAGCACGATGTACAGCGCCTGTTTCTGTAAGATGACGGACGTGTAGGGCCAGAGATGGTTTCGAGAGAAGAGTGGTAGCTGGGTGATATAGGATTGTGTTCAAGTCATTCGTATTACTATTCGAGTTGTGGTGGTTTTTTGACTGAATAATACGAGAATCTAGTGTTTGATAGAGGAGAGGAGTAGCAACTTTATTGAATGATTTGGAAACAAGACAACACGATTTCCAGTCCGTGCGATCTGTCAAGTATTCGATGATAGGATGGATTAGGTCGAAAGGGAGATCTAGCAGTGGACTGGCCATCTAGATTCTACAGGCTGAGGGCCAAAAAATTCTCACGACTTCCGGGTAAAATAATTCTTGGAATTGAATAAAAGGCTTTGGTGAACCCATTTCAATGGAACCGCAAAAAATCTTTTCAGTAAAATACATGGTCATCTTACTAGATCATACTACCACTGCGTTCTTCGCTCATCCAAATGTCCCATGGTCCCACTTACCTCGGTGGACTTGGTGGACTTCTCTTCCTCCTCGAGGGTGGACTTCTCTTCAACCTCGTTATTTGCATGGTCCTCCTGCAACCCTCTAATTTGCGCATCCTTGTGCTCCAAACTCAATTTGTAGAGCTGCTTCTCGGCAAGGCGTGTCTCGTGGTGAGCAGTAACCACGGCGGCAATAGCAGCATCGGAATGGGCTCAGGATTCTACCTGGTGACATCCAGTGTTTTAGCCATTCCATTTGCTGTTCAAATTACCCAGTGCCTTCGCCAGTGAACATCCAGGACCCGTCACATTCTCAAGGTCAGAACAGAGGTGATGCGTATATTCAGCGCAAGTCGAACAATGATTGCCTTGAGTAGGATTGTTCTTTGCTGACGTCGGACATAGTACTGGTCGAGTTACCAATATTGACTGGGATCTGTGTCGTGGTAACTTGATGAGCGGTGCTAGATTAGCTAGCTTGGCTACTCTCCGGAGCGTCGCCGCCAACTTGACAATGGAGTTCCCCTCTCTGGTCGGTTTGAGCCTGCCCATTTCTTGCAGTTTCGCAGAGTCAGTTCCTTCGCCAAGAAGAACAACTGAATTGAAATTCACCGAAAACGATGCAAATCCGATCAGAGATTTTGGTAAAGTAAACATAAGTTTTTTTTTTCAAAATATTGAATGAGACTGACATTATGTACAGAGAAAGGTGAGCAAACAAAGATGAGAAGGGTACAATAATAATATAAGATAGCAGAGACTGTTAAGGTTGTGGTCGACGTCGTTGAATGGAGTTTTGGATGCTTCCCGGACCGTTCTTATTTTTACACCTTCAACAACTTCTTGAAGCCTTTTCACCTGCTTCTTCATCAAAAGTACCCTGGTAACGACATCCTGCCCAATTGAAAGAATGCTCTCTACGCTCGAAGAATCGTAAGTCCCACACGAGTTCATTTGCCTCTGAAGTCGAACTCTCCAGCTGACAATTCCATTTTGCCAAATATTCAATGTGCCGATTTTCCGAATACACTCAGCCCGTCCCTGCTACTGCATTTCTTTTCCCTCGATGAAAAGGTCTTTAATTACTCTTGCTCTGGGTCATGGACAAAGCTTCAAGTTTTAACCAAACATCTCAATATGAATCCTCGATCCAGAAGCGTCCGAATTTTGTACACACCGGCCAGAATCTATGTATCGAATAGTGTCATTCTATGAACTCGTTATAATTCGATCATGAACATTCAGAAACCCCCCCGGTGGCCGCAATATCGTAGAAGAGGCAGATGAAGTATAGACGATCGTTACACTCCTGCAGTCCCGTATGCAATTGAAGCCTATGAAAGGATTACAATCTAACGAGATGATACTTCATCCGACTTAACACACCCTCTTCCTCAATCTCGCCTTCGATCCGGGGAGAATTAGCAGGCTCGGTGATCATGTATGGATAGTGCTTGATATAACGAACGTTGACGTTCATTCGTCTAGCAGGGAGAGGGGTAATTGGAGAGGGAGGTGCAGGGGACTTTAAGGAAGCAGGAGTTAATTGGACCGGATCGGAGGCGCGAACCTGATTTTTGACAGGCTCTACAGCAGGGGAGCAAGAGGCGAGGGGTACACAGGAAATTGAGCAAGTACGAATGGGCGACGGTCGAGGAACTTGTGTTGCCCAGGTCGTTGACGAGGTGGCACTCTCGTCATCGTTCTTTACTAAAACTGATGACAATCTTTCTTCTTTCATCTCTTCCGGTCCATCCGAGCCAAGAGAAGGCCTAGTTCCTTGAGGATTCTCCTTTTCCTTCGCCGTTGAAGGTTTCGACGTGGCGATCGTGTACCTCCTCCTCTTCGCCATCGCCGGAGGTTTTGCGACGTCGAACAACCGACCTGTAGGTGAAGTTGGGCTTCTCGCCGAATCGATCGAAACACACGCTTTGTTGCTGGGGTTTTGTACATCTGTCGTATGGGGAGCGGGAGCAGGGGAAAATGACGGAAGATGGCATAGTGGAATCGGAAGCTCTCCATAAGCGCTGAGGGTATGTAGGTCATCGTAATAAGCCGACTTAGTTCGAAGAGTTGTGAGCATCGGAAGATCGCACTGAAGCGCGTCAATCGCGTCGAGTTTTGATTCTTTATTCGTGTCATTCGATTTGTCCATGAACAATGGTCTACTAATCATGGATCCAACAGTTGTGGACGATCTAGGACGCGTTTTGACTGGTTTCGGTGTGGTGGTGCAGATGGTGGAAGATGAACATTCCTGGCTTCTTGTATGCTTGTAGGGGGATGAGGCCTATGAGCGATAAATGAACGATATGAGAGAGAAAATTGAGAATGAGCGGGAGATATGCTCACCGGGAGCACAGACGAAGCGATGTCATCGATTCCCCATCCAAGACCTTTCTTCTTGATCCGTCTCTTGGACGATCTGGAACTTGTTGGGAGTAGGCCCACAGTTTGAAATGGCATTTGAGGTATGGGGAGAATGAATGAGGCACTGAATAGTCGATTAGAAGGGGTGATATAGAGTACAGGCCCGAAAATTCTTCTTGATTCTTCGTCCTGATAATGTTGTTGGTTGATTACAGAGTGTAGTGTGGGCTTCCTTCGGACCTTTTATACCCTATCCCGAAGACGAAGCCCATACATGTGATGCGCAACGAATATCCAACCATAGTTCTATAAAGTGCGAACAATGGACAGCGTGAAGGCCTGAAAGGTAATTCGAATCACATAAACGCCTACGTAGCACGGAAGTTGCCGATCCTGTCACGTCTGCGCTAAGCGCTGGATACTTTATCATGAGCGCCTGACTTCACATTCCTTTCCGCGCCCCTGCCGTTAACTATCGCTGCCCAAAACTCAACTACATAGTCCGTATATACTGTGCATCAACTCATCGGGCATGAAGCAGATTGAACACTTTGCGTTGTTTCGCCATTGTCTGCACACTTTTTGCTCTACTTAAAAAGACACCAACAGCGTTTAAGCGAAGAGATCTTCCAGTACAACGACACAGTTTTTCCCCCATCCAAGCAACTCAGATGAGAGAGTAATGCGCGAAGTGTGGCCCAAAAACCAGCCTCTTCACAATTTTAGAAGGATCAATCACCAACTAGTGACAACCAACAAGCATTCAATTACAAGTTTCGAAGGCAAGGAAAAAGCGCACCTTCTTTATGCAGGCGTGTAAGGAAAAGGAACCCGAATGGTTTTGGTATTCAATGCTTCTTCTGCGATCATTTTTTCGCGTACATCCTTCGTGACGTCCAGCGGCCCCTTATAAGTCTTAATACGGATGGAGGTCAATTTACCCGTGACGAACAGTTTTCCTGTCTCTCTCAAAATACTGACCGTCCCTTTGCAGGGCAACGAAGACCCGTTGTAGATGAATCGACATCGGATATGACTTCAAATGGAATTTCTTGATCCATCGTTTTCAGGCCTGCAAAATCATTGAGTGCTTCGAGTTCAAACGTGACTCCAAAGCCTTCGAGTGCTTTTTCGACTGCCGCATTGATTTTTGGGTTGGCCGGCTCTTGGCCGTCTTTTCTATTCTTGCTGTTCGCTGTATATATGTACTGAGCGTGTTGCTTGGCATAGAACCCAGGGGCACGGGTTACAACCGACGCAGGTCTGGAAATAGGATTTAACGACACCTAGGGGGGAACATCGTTCAGAAATTGGTTCAGAAATTCGAGGATGCTGCCGCAGAAAGAACGACGAGGGATACAGATGACTGCGGAGATCATCACTCACGTCGTTCGTTACAGGGGCTGCATATGCAGCAGAAGTAACACCAAACATCAAATAGGCAATGTTGAAATGCATGATGTTCGTCGTTAGCTAGCGGATGACCAGTGAGGTAGCTTTGAAGACTACTTCCTTCCGGTAAGTTTAGTGATTGAAATATCGATGGATAGACAACTGACAGTGAAGAACGAACAACAGATGGACAGGAATAAAGACAGTAAAACAAGGGGATAACTGTGGTGATTCTCGTTGACCAGAAAGGACGACCGACCAGCAGTACGTATTTCAAGGCAGAACAGAGGATGAAGTCGACGAAGAGGGAAATCCCTCGACCAGTCGCACTTTTATATGTCGGCTGTGCAAATTTATGCGAGAGTCTGATCACAAGAGCTTGTTTCAGAAAATAAAGATACACTTCAGGGTTGATTGAAGGATACGCTCTGAGCGCTGCAGCCCTAAGCTGTGGCCGGTTTTCACATCGCCATCAGCCACAGATTCACAGAAAACGCACATTTGGAAAGACCTCTGTTATATTGTAAATACTAAATCAAACTTGACTGTCCTTTACCACTTCATAATGGGTAGGATCATAGAAGGCAGGCTGCATATCCAGGAGGGCCCATGACGTGGATGCTGGTCCATGTGTTGGCAATCAATTATAGCGCATGCCCGGATACTGGATACACATTTTTGATGTGCAGGCCACTCTTTGAACTGAAGGTTCCACAGCAACTCACCACCTAGCATATGGAGGCCCTGTACCTACTCGCTGCGCGCGGCGTCTCAAATCTACAATGTACCAAGCAAGGTGTGGTCCATGACAGTGGAGCCTAGTAGAATACAGCAACCCTACTTATTGAAGAGATACAATATCCAGTCCGGTTGGCGCTCACAACATACGCCAGAACACGGATACTGTTCAACATCATACACCGTGCAAAGTAAAGATTCTCAGTCAAGTTCAGGGCATCTATGATTCAACCTTCCAATTCCATTCTCCGGATTCTTACTGAAATATAGTCAGCGAGGTTCGATATGGCCAGGAAAGGACATACCTTGCGCCTGCAGGTACAAACTCTAAACAAATGGTTTTGGTCTTCTGTATCCTCTCCTTCTTGATCCTCTCTTTTCGTTCTTTTTGTGCTTCGTCGCCCTCGACGGCGGGAAAACGACGTTCATAGGAAATAAGCGTCCCTATGATAGTCTGGCTCTTGAAAAGTATTGTTGCCGTCCCCACACACGGGCAATAAATTCCCCCAGGCTCTAGTAGAATGACCGAGGTGACATTGAAATCAATCGTGCGAGGGTCCTGGTTCTCCTCCATATCCACACCCACGAAATCATTGAGTGCGGATCCCGTGGTTCCAAAGCCTGCAAGTACTGTTTCAACCGCGGCATTGGCTAATGAAGGTTGATGAGAGGGAAACTTGAATTTAGGAAGGTTTTTCTCCAGTTTGATCTTTCTGGGTTGGCCTTCTCTTGTAAATTCGTATTCGACATGGGGAAAATTCCCATTGCGTGCTGTAATGCTAGAGTAGCTTAGACCGACCTAAAGCAGAGTATCGTTATTAAAACCCCGTACATATGGTACAGGGAGAGGAACCACATATACATTGATAATCTTTCGATAACACTCACATTAATTGCGACAGGGACCGCATATGCGGTGGAGATAAGACCCAAGGCCAAGCAGGGAATGTTGAAGCGCATAGTATCCGTCGTTCGTCAGTTATAACAGTGAGACGGCTGTTTATGAAGAAGGTCGAAGCGAGCTCGTGTCCAGAATCAGTAGGACGTACGGGCACAATAAAACCGGAAAAGAGAAGTTGTAGCAGAGACTTCCTTGACTAGCAAAAACGACTGGCCAGCAGTGGTAATTGGACGTAGGGGTAAAATAGCACGAATTTTGCGAGATCCGCCTACATGATAGGTTTTATACAGATAAGCCCGTCGGTTGACCGTCGCAAATAACCACCGGTCATATATCAAAGTTATCATTTGAACCAAACAAAGTATGTACACTCGTTCCAGTAGAGAAAAGTCTGTTCAATGGACTGAAGTCGGAATGTAGTGATGAAAAATGTCATAGAATGAATGGCCAACACCTCTGTTCCTTCATTGGCCTTGTCGAAGACTCAATTGAATAGTTCATTGAACTTTCATTCTAAGCATACGGCCCGAACAGCGCGCGCAGCTTCGCTTTCTCTACACTTCTCGAACGCAATCCCGGTATCTGACTATCGTTTGACTACCCGTTTCGACAGAGGGAAGACAGCCTGACAGAATTTCGAGACACTACTTCCAAAGCTCCCGCTCCTTAGAGGAAGTTTTATTTTACAACGGCCTTCTCCGTTGACAGTGGTCCTGGATCCAGCAACCGGAATGGGAAAAAAGCCGACTGATTCCTGAGGATTTGCTACTCCATATGAATATAGATTCGAATATAGGAGTGCATCTGTATGGGGAACGGAATGAGTTATTAGAGTTGGGAGAAAGTGAGGCTGTGAGAGAAGAACATCATCATCGTCCTGGATAGAAATGCATGGTCCCACGTCAGCGTTGGATTCTTCTTCGTCATGAAAATCCATTCTGGAGCTTTCATTATCGCTGTAATCACCGCAATGGCGAGGAATGTCGAGCCGATCACTGGCGGCTGCATTATCGAGCTCGTGATAGTACGTGGAAGCGACATGAATCTAGAGTGAGGAAAATTCTGGGATGAGTGGGACGCAGCAACTTCGGGTGCAAACAATAAAACAGGAAGGAAAACAGGGATGAACGGAGTTTGTATGGACATATTGCATAGGGGTGCATTAATGAAAAAGCGAAAGGGATTGAAGGGAAAAATCAATCTTCACTCACGATTGAGTCCGAAGGTACGACAACAATCCTAGGACTAGATTTCTTTTCAAACAACTTCACACCATCATGATTCTCTAAAACATTTAAACGCCCGGTGACCACCATCACAGAAGATTCTTCAATAGAACCATACCAGGTGTTGGAAGGTGAACGGTCCGATTCTGAGCTAGAGTGGCATTCCGACTGACCGCCTTCGTCTGTGGCGAAGAAACCTTCTGATACCTTAAAATTCAAGGGGAAGCGTGAAGAGTGCGAAGGTGAGCGCCAGTTGAGCGCGGAGCACGGTTGGCAACATTTAGAAGGGGGACTCTGCGCTGAAGATTGGCTATGTCTGGTCGTCCGAGGTATGTTTTGTACTGCAGTCGACCAGCACATTTCCGCGAACGCGCTCCTTGGTCGAAGGATAAGCTCTTCATCGAGGTCTTCAAGACACGCATAGTCAAATCTGACTATTGGGCGCAGACAGGCTGGATCTATCGCATGCACTTCGCTAAGATTCGAGTGCTCTGCATGAACCTCGCTGCTTGTCCTCGAGTTTTCTTTTTGGCGTGGGTCATCTTGTCCCAGATTAACCTCGGCTCCTTTTTCGTCATTCAAGCACGATGGCATGTTACAGACATCGCTCGGGATACTCTGTCGCGGACGGTATCCTGGGTGGGACATTCCTGAATTCCGATCCGTACTCGTGCGATGAACATGAGGTGTACATATGTTGTAGGAGTACGGGTGAGTGGACGGCTCAATACGATCCGGTTCGTACCCAGGAGATGTCAACGTGTCCGAATGTCGAGTACACGCATTTCTAGATATCATATCCTCGTACTCGCGCTTACATTGGCAGTTGCGAGATCGGTGTGCGTAATCTATCTGGTAGTTCATGGATGAGATCTGGAAAGAAATCAAATCAGCGCGAACAAGAATATGAACAGAAGTGGGCCATAGCCACCTCACTGCCTGAAAGCTAAACCAGTGAAGTAGGAATATTACACGGATTTTAGTCCCCTCTCAGTCGGCCAATGAAGGTATCGAAAAATGAGGACGCAGATGAAGAGGGATGAAGATCAGGACAAGCTATTTATGCGTATAAGTATCAGAACTTGAGGCTTAGGTTGTGCATGTCTTGAAAGGCACTCGAGCAAGACAAAATGGAACCCTTGATGTAAATGTGCGAAGAAGCACAAAGAGAAGAGGTAATGAATGTGGAAGCAGAAATGAAGCTTACCCGATTCGGTAAACTAATGGACAACCGGCTCAATTCGAGAGGCAGAAAGGAGATTATTTTATGTACTCTCAAATGATGAAGACTATTTGGAGAAGCCGAGAAACGTAAATCATTGATGAAAGAAGAAACCAGGATGACTTGCCTTGCCCATCTATGCATAAGAAAGAATTTGTACAGGTTCATTTTCTTCATTTTCGTACTTCAATGGAGTTGTCCATGGTGTTGATACCGAAAGTAAAGACCATCGATTCTCCGTCCAATCATCTCGGTATTTGTTGCCGCAGAACGAACTATCACTGAAACTCAAAGCTTCAAGATCACGATTAACTTGTTGGTGCGATATTGTGATGATTTCCAATGAATGTAGTAATGTATTCTGTATGCGTAGTGGATGGCAAGAGGAATGAATAGCAGCAATGTGTAGATTTACGACGACGAGAACCCAAAGCAACGACGACTCAGGCGAGCGAGCAGGTAATGAGCAAAGCGAAGAGAAACACGAAGAGAATGTACAAGAAGATCGAAATGCAAGCGGTTATAAGCCTGGAGTTGTGAATCTCAAGTAGTTGATTGCGTAAGAGGCTGCCCACTTTTTCGACGTAATTTCTTTGTGAAATCCTTGGCTTTGGCAACCCAGGTATTGTTGGAGGCCCAATTACTGTTGGACGAGGTGCTTTTGAGGCTGGACATGGATTCTTTGGAGTGGAGCTTGGGGGCCAGAGAGGCGCCAACCGTGACCGTTGTAGACGGAAGATGTGACTCAGCTGGGGAGGATTCTTCTACAGTCGCAGTTGCAGCCTGCACAGAGACACCAATAACCAAGGTCCCGTCACTGTCCTCGATTACGGGTCGAGACCGCGCGCGCGACAAGCGACGAGGGAGAAAAGATCCAACTGCACGGGACAGAGTCTGGCGAGCAGCGATTCTGTGCACCTGGGTGACGTGATTGTCATCCTCCGCATGGAACCCCTCGTTGTCAGAAGCATGCGAGCCTATAGACTCATGGCTATTGTTCTATGCACATCGTTGAACAAGCATGATTTACGTGATGAATGGACGGTAACAAGAACTTACCAAAATTTGAGATTGGTAAAAAGGAGACTGCGCAGCCAAAGCGGTTATGATGGTCGTAGGGGTTGTAGGGGGAGAATTCGCGGGAGGGTCTTTTGGAGAAGTGTCATCTGCCAACTGGTTGTGTTGTGAGAATTACAGTGGAGAGCAGGATAAATAAGCTTACCTGACCAAAGCGCGTGATAGACACGCTTCCGCGCCGTCGTGACTTCAGCGAGGAAAGTCTTTGCACGTCTATGGGTAGAGGTTTGGCTATTTCTTCCGCGATATTTTTGTCCTCTGAGACTGCCAGCACGCCATTTTCAACCTCGGCTCTCCTTTGGCTTTCCTCCTCTACACGTTGGAAGATCTACGTGTCAAATGCCCAGGGTGAGTGCAACAGCTATAAGATATACAGAAGACACATACTTTCTCGAGGGAATCTGGAGGGTCCATCCTTTAAGTCAAGGAAGGTTTGGACCAGATTATGTGAGGGTAAAAAACAGGAAAAAAAGAGAGGATAAGGAGAGGCAGAAAAATTGTGACCGTCTAAAGGATTTGCATGTTGTTTGTAGGCCAACAAGGTCTTCCAACAGACAAGCGACATCGGGCATTCGGTAAAGCAGAAAACATTCAACCACTTTCTGATCAGTCCCACGTAGGGCACAGCCACTTTATATATTTCAATCAGAACTCTTTAGAACTCCGCTGTACTGGTAGACCAAAGTTCATGAGGCGCAATACTCACTTCCAACTCTTGATCTTCCACGAAGTTCCTCTACAACCTGCACACATCTTCAAACATACATCACTAAACATATAGCAACTACTTTCGATTTCTGTCGAGATCCCGATCAAAGAGACTTCGGAAAAACAATGTAGTAGATCGATCTTTGCGTACTAGCAATCCGATGTTTCCTTGGTTTCGCTCTCTTCTGTAGCGGAGTAACCTTTAACAGGAGCGTATTCAGGTGTGTAACGCAGCCCAGAGCCACCTCACGCAAATTCCCGTCTCGATAACTGGAAAAGTCGTTTTATCACATCTTTGGGATCTTCCCGAATTCCACTATGGAATAACTGATTTGTGATATATTGCTCCGTGTTGTGGATCTTGCCTGCTGTTTCTTGCGAAAGCTCAAATGGAACATACCTGATTTTCAATTTGTTATATTTCACTGAAACCTTCTAATGGATCATCGACATTACTCACATATCTTCGAAATATCTGACACAGTGGATCTAAAGTTCAATTGTTGCAGAACCACGGGATGTGACACTGGTACTCACGTAGCGGCTGAAACCTTAACTTCATTATTTGCTAGTTGCTGCAAGTCATATAGAGGTCCCCAAGACACATCCTGAGCTAGAAGTTCAGCAGCGCCTTTCAGAGGGCGTAGGTTGGCGTAGTCATCAAACATTTGCGGGAAAATCTACAACATGAGGGTCTTCCAAATTTCAAACCAAGGGAAAGCAGAGAATTCACTTACCATTTCTCCGGTAAAATAAATAGGCTCATTCGCAGAAAGTTTTTTGACATGCGCCCATGAGAATTGAGGATTTTTTTGTACAATGCGGTCCGCAGACCATCGGGACGCTTTGCTATAACATGTCCATTAATACTTATCAGACATACACGCACACGGAAAGACGCTACTCGCCCTTGACAATAGATAGGCTCATGCAAGATGGCGTATATAGGATTTCCATCAAATGACTGATTATGTTCGATGTTTTGCAATGTCTTGTACGAAAACTTCCCAAAAAGCTCTAGATCATTCGCTGCTCGGAAGACGGTTTCTTGTAGAAAAAGGGAATGAGCATGAATTCGAAAAAAACATACGAATACTCACGATGCACTCGGTCGATGCCACCTGAAGACGGTATGATTCGAAAGGGTCAGTACGGTGGCAAATGGACGCTTGATAGCTTCGACTGGGTCTCACCTGACATTCCAAAGTCTATTCCAAGCTGTTGAAAGCGACGCACTGTTAAATTCCCGCTACTAGGCAGAACAACTTTGTTCTCTTCGAGGTAATTGGCGATCTCCCTGACCTACCAGTAAAGATATGATGCATGAAAGGATGACACGTAGGAAATTTTCGCATAATTCACATACTCGACCGATATCCTGAGGATATTTTTCATAGTAGATCTTGTTTCGACTGATGACCTTTCCTGCAAAATGACGCATGAGTTCTGAACACATCCGCGTCTTCAATGGCCAACTCACGGACAGTCCACTCATAGTTCGGATCCGGATGGTCGATAAGTGGAGCCAGACCTCCGGTAATGAAAACCTCCTTCAGACCTTTACTATAGAAAGACAGGTACGTGATGGCACAGAATCCACCGAAACTCTGTCCCATGATAGTCCATTTCCTGTCTTCCTCCTCGGGCTTGTTGCCTATGAGAATTTCGCGAATGGATTCACAATCTTTAACTATGATAGAGATATCAAAGGGACTAGGATGATCGCGAGGAGCATTGTTGCGTACCAATACTATCAGCTCGGAAATGCTTCAAATAGTCTGCAATGTCTTGGTCTGATTTGAGGCGAGCAGGTAGGGTATCTGCTGATATTGGCGTGCTCAATCCGGTTCCGCGAGGGTCGAGCCAGAGTGTCTGCAGGAAATCTTCGACTGTTGAAGACGTCGGACGAGATGGAGTAACACGTACCTGATATCCCTCTGCGTGGATCTAGAAGCCATTCATTGCAGTCTTCGAACAGATACAGGCTGAGCGGACAAACCTCACCCGCAAACCCTGAGCTCCCCATGAGACCTACTTCAAATCCAGGCCCGCCTGATATGTGATAGACTGTGTGAGCACAAAGAAACTCGCGTTAGACAATAGTGAGTTGACCAACCTTGTAGGTAAACCACTTGAGGTGAGAGACAAAGAATCAACCCCAACTAATTCAAGAAGCGATACGTTGCGCACAATATGGCAGATCTTTTTCCTCCTTCTCTGTTTTGGCTTTGTTTTTTGGAATTAGATTTCTGGCAAACACACGAATCTTCTCTCCAGTCGGGGTATTATAATCCAAAGGTAGATCGAAGAAGCGCTCAACAACTTTGATTTGATCTGTATTTGGGCACTCAGCGGTTAACGTACATACTAACGATGGCTAACGACTGATTTTCCTGACTCTAACCTTTATTGTGATAGGTCTCGAGGTCCATTGCGGAGTGCGATGACAACGATTTGTTCAAGTTTGTTCTTAGACCTGTGGTGAAGAAGCGACCTCCACGCAGGGTTTTGAACGTGGTATTACTCTGTAACGGAGGGCCAAGAGGGATTGAGTTTGTGCGAGAACGAAACGGTTTTGCTGGGAAAGATTGAAGATAAGATAGTCTGGAAGCCAGCTTCCTCATGATCATGACCATATCGTACTAATGACCCAGATGGCGGTCCGACAGCAAAAGCGACCTGGTGGTAATAGAAATATCATGTCAAACGTCCGTTACCAACTCACTTCATTTTCTCGGCGGGGTCTCCTCATGACTCAAAATAAGTTAAGTGGTTATCAAGGGTTACTCATTAGTGAGAGACCACTGCGTACATTACTTATGATACATGATAAATATGGACAAAAACGAGAATCACTGTAGTAAATTCATACTTGGTCAACGCCCACCCTTGATCAAATTGGCACCCGTCACTTCATCCTTACTGGGATCAGCCTCAAGGTCCATGGGGTCGACTTCGTTAGTTGCGACACCATTTATTGGCGCATCACCGCATCCACAATCATACTCGTCGTCTAGATGCGCGCAGTCAAACTCAGGCTTATGAAGCCGGTGATTTACTTCATTATGGACAGCACATAACCTATGATTGAAAATTCCAAAGTCAGTTGGGAAATTCGTTGCACATGGATGACATACCATAGTGAAGCGGCTCGACGAGAGGATGTCTAATCAAATAAGATAGCATGAATCTCAACCAGCTCTTGAGAGTAGGACGATGGACGCACCTGAGGCGGGAACTTCTTGAGAAGGGCTTGGAATTCTGTTGCACATTCGCCGCAGGGGTACAGTCGAGAAAGTAAGTGAAAGTACGAGTTTAACGCGTCCCGCTCATCATTCGTGGGGGCCTGTATGTCTTCGAGTAAAGATCAAGAACAACAGAAGGTAGAGAAATACCTCTGGATAACGCAAGGTCATGGTATGCCTTTATTGAAATTTATCATTAGAAAGGTGACCAATAGGTATACGAAGGTTGGACGTGCAAGAGTTTCCATGTCGCCCGACCGAGTGCAGCCCTGACTTATTCATGAGTATGAAGTTTCCGACCATTGCAATGTAGCAACAAGAATGAAACGTACTTCGCTGTTTCATTTCCCAACTTTTCCATGATCACCCCTCCTTCGATTGCGCTACTTGGAATGTTCAGCGCAGTCTTCAGGCCTTGAGGCACATTGTAAGAATCTGTTCCTGGTTGTACTTCGCCGAAGAGTTGGTCGGTCCAAGGATCCACATAAGATCGCGTAGGCGCATGGAAAAAGCCCAACATTGCCAGGGCAAACTGGGAGAATTTGCTTCAGTCACACAGGATGAAGATTGTATTGTATCTTACAAGGACAATGACGAGGATGACAAAAGTTCGCGCGAATTTGGAAATCATGTTGCTAGTAGCCGGCACAAGGTGAGAGGATGAGAAGGAGAACTGCCAGCAGCCAGATTGTTCGAAGTCCGGACTCTGTATTCCCCTAGTACTGCGAAGGAGCTCAAATATGCCACGTGCGGACGAGGCCCGGAGGTCAACCGGATGCCGCGTTCACTGTTATGCACGTCGAGCTGGGATAGGGATTTGTATATCTAATCGATACTCATCGTTCAACTTAGTAACGCTTTCTTACTCTTTTTGGCTTTCTCTTCAATCACCGCGCCTCACGAAAGAGACTTCATGGCTTCAAATGTCTGCTGCCCACAGAGTGCTCACCTCGTTTGGACCTGAAATTGAAAACTTGGAACTATAAAGTTTCTAGTTACTAAAAGGAACAGCAACACCCAACGCTACGGTCAAGATGAACTTTATTGTCTCCATGGTTGTGACGACTATCGCGGAAATTCTTTACCTGGACCTTATATGTTGAAGGTCATCGCATTTAGCCCGGAACAAATCTTTGGCAAAGGTGGTCGCGGTTTTGAGAAGGATGTAGATGCTGATTGAAAATATCTACGCATAGTGAGTACTATAACAAGATACTCAGGTATGAGCGGTTTTTTCCAAATTTTCTTGTCGATTGAGCTGTCTGTTTAGATGAATTATGCAAAGAACCCGCATCCCCTGTGAAGCTTCAGTGTTGTGGGTCGCTAGAGGCTCTGCGTGTAGCAACCGCTATCAGGTTGTTAGAGTCAGCGCTGATTCCGATTGTCGACCTTCAGGGGGTGGTCCTCATGATAGTGCACTTTCATATAGACGCTCTACAGTTCAAGTGCAAGCTATACTCAAATCTTACTCCTAAGGTCGTAGTCCGCATTAATTCATAGCGGAAGGGATGAACCTTACACAACCTCCTATAGAATGGATCGCAAATGGATAGATTGCTTCATCACTGGCACCAGCGCCACCATGTAGGCAGCGGAGAACTAGGTTGGATCACACTACATTCTTATGACGTGATGTATAGAATCACCTTTGGCCACAGTTTCAGTATTTCTAAGACTCAACATCGAGAATTCGAGGGGGCGGTGAGGAAGTATATTCGTTTCCCGACAGGTATCGAAAGTTTCGAAACGACATATCAGATTGTTCAAAACCGGGAAGGAAATAAAAAGCTCAAAAACTATAAAACCTTCACCGATGCTTTGCATTTTTCTCCAAGAGCTGGTCTCTCCAATTATATTCGACACAATCGCGCTCACCCCAAACCTTATCCCATTCCTCCATTCAACCAATAATCATGCTTTCCACTTCCATAAAACTTGCGCTTCTTGCCGTCCTTGCTCTTCGTCTCTCTGTAGGTTCTGCATATGCGGCCCCGCATGGAGTCAGGCGAAGTGATCATGACGAATCGATGAATGTGCGCAGCACTTTGTCTACTCACGAGTCGACCCTCGATACAAGACAGATGTAAGGTTTATTCGTTTAATCGTATGCATACACTGAGTCCTTAATTGGATATGCAGAACTGGGATTATCGACGCCATAACGGGTGCTGGTGAGGCCGGTAGTGATGCTGCGAAAGTAGCGAAAGGAGGATCAGGTGCTTCAAAGGCCAGCAAAAGCACCAAAGCCGAAGCCAAAGACCAAAACAAGGGCAACAGCACATCTCAACAGCACGAAGTAGTCAATATAGGCATGGATATTCGCGGAATCAGTGATACAGCCTATGATGAACGTTCATAATTCTTCAGAAAACCACAAAAGTATGTATGTGTGTGACTTCGAGTAATCTATTCTCGATATTGATAGTTGTTTCCTATCTCACAGCGACATGAGCGAAACCTGCATCAGAGTTCGAATGAGGCGGTGTTCATAGGTGGCCGAGTTCGATAAATCTTAGAATGTGACGTTTTCGCTCCAAATCAACCTCACAACAAACAAAATGAATTTTATATGCTGAGTTAGGCACTCGGGTGACACATAAGTGAAAGTGAAATCAATGTCGTTGCGACCAGTGGTTCCTTCAGTCACTTCGACCATGGAGAGGTTATATCTTCTCTGATACCATACGTACTCCTTCATTTCCTCCTGATGCTTGCGAAGCTCTTTGCTCATGATTCCAAATAAATTCAGACCATGTCATTCAAAAAAGTAATACCCCACAGATGCAAAACATAATCGCTTTCATTTACTACAAAGGCAAACTAATACACCCAAATACAGATAAAATCTCTTGAACAGTACACTTCAGTAATTACAGCGGAATATGGTACAAAATGCGGAGAAACCTGGGAACTATATGGAAGACTCACACCCTGTTTTCCCATCGATTAAAAACTTTTCCGATCGTCTCTTTGTTGTATTCACGTTTCTTGGTTTTTCTCTTCTTCTTCATATCCTTTGGTGGAGTCCATTTATCCAGAGCGGCCATCTCTCCGGGATCCTGCTCAATTGCCAATGCCGGCTCAGCTGGCCAATTCACCCAGTGTCGTGTGCTGAGTATACACCTGAGCCATTTTGTGTTCCAAAAAACCCAAGCTTCGGTCATTTTCTTCTCCTCCACTGTCAAAGGGCGAGAGGAGAAGGATTCCATAAAGTCAAACAGGATGCTGCAGTCGTGGGGACATTCATTAATCAACTCCTGCTCGACAAAGCGATGCAATTTTTTGTTACGCAACACAGACACACGACCAGTCTCAGTGTGGAGGGTAGGTGCGTTTCGCGCCATCGAGCGATTCCGGAAATAGCAAGGGGAAGGTGGTGCCGGTACCATATTTGCATCTGGATGGATGTAAGGCTCTGCAGAGATTATTGTGCAGTAGTTAAATGTGAACAACCCGAAGTCCAAGACGAGCTCTTCGCCCTTCAGAGTCGTGAAGTATATCCAATAATGATCCTTTGGATCCTGACCGAGCCAAAACTGATCAGTGAGTGTGTCCCAGAACGCGAACATGTCCTGAGGTGTGACACTCGCTCTGCCTCTCGCGATACCGAAATCCGCAATAGGAGAGCTTTTGTAGTTGAGCCTGCTTCGTCGCAGGGACGAGTTTCCGTCGGGAGAAGTGTACATTTCGCCCAAGAGGGCGACGAGGACAGCGGAAATGAGAGGAAGAATATGTCCTTCGCGCAAGAAACGGCGCACAAGTTTGCCGCGAACTTGATCAGACAAAGCAGTGGGCCACCATTCATTGTTCAACACAGGGTGCACAGTTGACCCTATTTCTTTGCCTAGTGGAAGATGGAATATAGAGTGATATGTCATAAGAAAACAAGAGCACCACTAACCCAATACAACAAGCTTCGCGCTGGTTCCATCCGGAAAGGTCATTTCAGGAACATATGGATTGGGTGTGTTCATTATTTGGCGAGTGATAGCGGGATGCATGGGTCTAGCAGGTAAAAGACGATTGGATTCAGCTAGCACTGCTAGAATGGGATGGAATTGATCCAGTGAGATCCTGTCAGTCTGTTTCTTGCCTAAATATCCCAATGAATAACATATGAGAATAGAGAAAAGTTCTCATTTACCGCATATTCTTTTGTGCTTCACCCAGTCTCCTGTCTGACATTCCGTTGAACAATAAGTTACCTATGCTTTGAGATCAAACGTCTGAAGAGAGTAGGTCGGGAGCATGTGCTTACTTCCCCGCAGAATGAGCATAGCTTGAGTTCTGATAATTTCTTGCAGCAGACAGCACATTGTTCCAGGGATTTCAGGGGAAGCTGGACTTGACGAATGGGCATCAGGGGTAGAAGTGCGCCACGATTAAGGTTAGGTTTTATATAGTCGGCAATGTGCGGGCCGGAGCTATTTCTGCTTTCCTCTGTACCGCGAGTCGGTGACCAATTCCGTAGAGGACATTTTATTTCTGATTCTCATTTCCCACTGAATTACTGCGGGGACACGTATCCAGCGCGTATCCCACACAGGCCTGCTTTCATCCTTTAAACTATGTCTCGACGTTACAAGACTATCCTCGTTCCTGTACTCGTCTTTACCACCTTTACCTTCTACTACATCTCCCAGAACCATTATCAGCTCAAGAACACCCTGTCATATGCCACCCGACCTCTTTGGGATAAAGATGATGGCCCTTCGAATATCATTCCCCATTACTTTGCAGACGGGATGGTTGCGGACGAGAATATGTGCAAGCTACATAACTGGAAACTCAGGGACAACATAAAGAACACGAAAGTTCTCGATGCGATACTCATGAGCAGTGAGCTGGATCTATTGGAAATTAGGCTGAACGAACTGGATCCAGTTGTCGACCGTTTTTTCATAATCGAGAGTAATTCGACGTTCACTGGTCTACCCAAAGAAACCTACTTTCAGAACAACAGACAAAGGTTCGAAAAATTCGCAAAGAAGATATCGTACCGATTGTGAGTGATGCTCGGCCTTCTTCACGTACATGTTTATATACAAGGCGCTGTCCAGCCTCCCCGGTCCATCGGAGCATGACGAAACTAGAGCATGGGATGTCGAACGAGACACTCGCGTCGCAATGAACACTTTTCTGCGATCACATATTACCGAGTTCCCACCTGATACTCAAACTCTTGTCATGATGTCGGACCTCGACGAGATACCCTTCGCTCATTCCGTGATGCTCCTGAAAGGATGCGATTTCGGCGAGTCTATCCACCTTCAGATGCGTAATTACTTGTACAGGTGCGTCTGAATGTCATCTTTCGAATGATTGGAATTAAATCTGTTCTTTAGTTTCGAATGGTTATTAGGTCTCAATTCATGGCGAGCGTCTTTACAAGTATGGAATCCCAAGTCTTATTACCGACACTCCAAGTCATCGGAAAACGTTCTTGCTGACTCTGGTTGGCATTGCTCGTTCTGTTTCCGCGATCTATCAGAGTTCGTTCAGAAAATGAGAGGCTACTCGCATTCTGATCGTCTTGGTGGGCGCACGGAGTATCTGGAAGTAGAAAGAATACAGCAGACCATATGTCGAGGCAAGGATCTATTTGGGATGCTACCTGAAGCTTATAGTGTGCGTGTACTTTTTTGCACGACGACTCATTCCCCTCACTAATTCACTTGTGACATCAGTACACCGATCTCCTCTCCCAGATGTCCCTTACACCAATGACATCCGGTATCGGACTCCCTCAGTTTGTACTCCTCAACCCAGACAAATTCCGTTTTCTCCTCCCCGGTGGATGTATGAGAGAAACACCAACAGCTTTGGAGGGGACTGACGCAAACTCGGGTACAAAAACTGAAGAATTCGATGATTTGGAGCGGTGACAAAGGCTTGAATCACAGTGATTACACTGACCGCTGAGACCAGGAAATCGGAGTAGTGCCTGTCCTTCGTTCCCTTCCGCTTTTTTTCCATCATTGGTTGGACTTTGATGGAGTCGCAGAGCTCGGGTATAAGACAAGGTTTGATAAATTTGGTTCGATTAAGATTCTCGCATGCATGACCTTTCCCCCGCTCTGTTTGAGGATACTACTTCCATATGTAGATCTCTTTACCTGGTCCATATACGATCTACGACATGTACATATTCATTCCTCTATTTATTTCTTCAAATTATCATGATTCCGTCTGCCCAAACTGTTCAAATAAACTAGCTCAGTGTCAAGAATGCATTTACAAGAAGCCGATTGTACATATGATACAAAATTTCAAGGAAAGTACAATAAATGCATATGGTATAACGAATATACACGCAGTCCCCATCAATCAAAAGCACCAAGAAACATTATATGTTACACATTTAGCTCAAAGCATAATGGTACTCTACTGACACGCACTAATCACCAACGTCGATGACAATTTCTTGCCCTCCTTACCAGTGGTCGTAGTCGGTGGTTTTGGAACTACCCGAAGGGTGACCTATTAAGAAAAAAACCTCAACAAACGGAACATAGTATCACTCGGAGGTATACAAGAATACGTACCCCGATGAAATTCAAGAAGTGATTGATCTTCTCTTCACGAGTAATGACAGGCTGTTTGTCCGTTGATTGGCTACGAAGAGGAGGCATCGCAATGTTATATGCTTGCAGGAGGGTCTCGATCTCATCATTTGATTTATCAGCGAGAGCCCGAACGGTGAGTGGAAATCGAGGGTGTGGTTTGCTGTCGGACGGTAACCACAGTGGGTGAAGAGAATCGCTCGCACCACGTATGGAAATATTTCGTGCACGAGATTCTCTGCGAATCAAAGGAGAAGTAAGCAATGAATGTTGGGGGGGAAGAGGGCTGGTGCTTACGAGTTGTAAACGCTGGTGTTGACTTCAAGCATTTGTGACGTATGCATTTCATTTTGAGTAAGCAGTTGAGGAGGAATCTGGAGGCGCAACTAGAGGATCAAAGTCAGATGTATTACGATTGGATTTCAAAAGCCATGATCACCTCCTCAGAGACAGAGTTGGAAATTCCCTCCCGTACTCGTTTCTTCACCAACGAAAGGGCCTGATCACGCAGAACCCCCTTGATGGCGTCCTCCAGCTGGCCGGATAGCCTTCCTTCCAAAAGCTGGAATTGAGCTTCGTATTGTGCCTTTTGTTCTTGCAGATCATGTCGAAGTTTCTTCAACTGAGAGAAATGTCAGAAAGGTAAGTGAATTGGTGAGACGCTTGCCTCTTCAGCGGCCTTGATAGCTGGTCCTGCTGCAACAACGAATTTCGTGGACTTCTCCAAAAAATCACATGTAGAATGAAGAGCTCCAATCACTTGCCCCATTCGACTGAGTAGTTGGGTAAATGCTTGTGATTCGGAAAAGACAGCGGTGTCTGTGTGCTGGAGACGGGTGAAAATGCCTTCTGGTTTGGCACCAGGCGATCGTTGTGTGGCGCCCGACGGGATAGAAGTTTGGGTCGACGTTGTTGTATCAAGACTTGTCATTGGAAACGACGACGTAGAAGACGCGGAAGCCCCAGTGGAGCTAGGCGTTGTGCCAGTTACCGAGCTGGTTTTGGGAGGGAGAGGATTTGACGTTGGGGGAGTTGTGGGATCAATCTTCAATGGAGGAGGATTTCGAGAAGTGTTTCGTCCAGTCATTTCGCTTGTGTGTTGATTTTTCTGATTTTTTATAATCTTCATACAGAGGGAATCCACTGTGGTTTGGGGGAAGCGATGAGGATTGATCTAAGAGGGATACAGCTTATCTAGGACAAGGTTCTTGACCCCATTGTGTAAGATTTATGTACTAGTGATTGGATTTGATATCGATAGACGTGCGCAGTGCATTAGTGAGTCAATCCAACATAGCTACACTAAGCTGAGTGGGAATCGAAGAATGAAGAATCACTACGCAAGACAACGGGGTCTCAACGTGTTGGCTTGAGCTTTTTTAGAAGGTCATGAGGTTGAGAGAAAGTTCTGCCGCGATGGCGGAGGTCCGGAGGAGAAGCAGAGAAATGCCATTTTGGGAATCGAGGTCCGAGGATTCTTACGGAAGCAAAAAAAGCTTGGGCGCCAAATCTTCTTCGGACCGGTCGTTTAATTCTCGTATCATTGCGCACAGACCAAGCATTTCTTTTCACTTGATTTCCTCCATTAAGCGGCAGTCAAAATACCTATGGATGACGCTGAAATCTTGGATAATGCTAATGATGCACCTGTAACACAAATTAATACAGCTCCTACTCCAGCTAGCGCTGAGCCCGATGCAGAAAATACCAAAATTTCCGATCCGGCTCCGCCTGTCCCAAGCCCAAGCATTCAGACTGATGAACTTCCTCAAAAAGTTCCTGTGACAACGGCTGAAGGAGCTTTGGAAGCGCCGAAATCTTCTACAAATAGTCAGGAGGTGGAGATGGCCGATGAGCCTGCTGTGGTCTCTGTGTCCTCTATTGTCCTTTCTGTCAATGACCACGAGGAAGACAACGCCATGCAGGTCGACCGACCTCTCAATGTCACAGATGCCTTAAGCTATCTCGATGCCGTCAAGAACAAGTTCTCCACTCGACCAGACGTTTACAATCATTTTCTGGACATTATGAAGGAGTTCAAAAGTCAACAGTGAGTTTCGGTTTCAAGTCAATGATGAGCGTTCTGCTTAGCTTGCCAATTAAGGATCGACACCCCTGGAGTCATAAAACGGGTCTCTGCATTATTCCAAGGGCACCACTCACTCATTCAAGGATTCAACACCTTCCTTCCTGTCGGTTATCGTATCGAATGTTCTTCTGACGCAAATCATATAACCGTGACAACTCCACGAGGGACGAAGATGGAAACGACTGGTAGCGGTGGAGGTAAACCGTTTCACTGGTCTGATGAACCAGAGCCACATTCACCAATACCTCACCCTCGTACGTATCATATAATATATTTTAGCATTCATACTCACCTCTTTGTTCGCTTGTCTCTTGTAGCTAAGCATTCCGAACATCGTGAGCGGCGCATTCTCCCCCCTAGCCGCCGGGGCACTCCGGACATATCACTGTTACAAGCACCACAAGCTATGGAACCGGCCGTGGCTTACGTTCAAAAAATCAAGCAACGCTGCGATCCGGAGACTTACAGGCAATTCTTGGATATCTTGTCCCGTTATCATCATTCGCCTGAATCGATCAATGAGGTCCGATTCCATGTACACGTTTTCTTAATGTGTCCCATTAACATGTTTTTTCTCTTCGTTTTCTAGGAAGAAGTGTCGAAACAAATTAGCCAACTATTTAAAGATGCTCCCGATTTGAGGTCTGACTTTAGAATATTCATGCCAGACGGATCCCAGTCTCTCTTGGACGATAATGCAGCGGCTGAGGAAGGTAGACATCACCATCATCACCGTGAGAGAGACCATCACGATTCGAAAAGTAGACGCAAAGCCGATGTCGCTGATAGTGCGAGCGCTTCTGTATTGCCTCAAAAAAGAAAAAGGAAAGCTGGCGAAAGAGAAAGTATAAGAGTGGAACGGGAGAAAATCCCAGTCAAACCCATCACATCGAGCAAGGTATATATTCGTATATATCCACGCATTTAATGTCACTAATCTTGTGGCTAGAGCAAGAAGGCTAAAACTGAAAGCGCTCGTTCTGCGTTGAGCTCGGCACCTACTAGTCAAACCGCTATCACCGCTGGTCCATCATCTGCACGGATCCCTACATCCGCTTCACTTCCTCACCCCTCATCTCAACTGACGATCGATCCTTCGCAATTTTTCGACCGCGTGAAAAGAGCGCTCGACTCCAGAGATACCTATAACGAATTCCTCAAGGTCGTCAATCTCTTTACACAGGGATACATTGACACAGCTCGACTAGTCAAAGAATCGAGAAACTTTCTAGTTGGGGATGGAGAACTGATGAGAGGGTGGATGGAGATTCTTGGGTGGGACGGTAGGAAAGAAGAGTCCGAAGGCTGGGAAGACGCAGATGGATGGAGCCGACCCGTTGTGGTTGACGAGGTCATCGAAAGACCCATACCAATACCAGGCAGGGTAGACTTGAGTGCTCAGTATGGAAGTTATAGAAGGCTACCCGAGAGTGTATGTCGTCAGAATTCTCACTCGTGTGATATGCTCACTCTAGGGTTCTATACCAATAGGAAATCAATGTTACATGCTCCGGCAGAGATTCCATGTGCCGCGACGTGCTGAACGACGAATGGGTCTCTCATCCTACATGGGCCCTCAATTCATCTTCCTATGGCTCTGCCTCGACCAGCAACAACTCTTCCGGCAACATCACATACCCGGATCCCTTCGATGACCCAACGTTCTTCTGGGCTGTATCACGGAAAAACGTCTATGAAGAAGCTCTTCATCGGTCGGAAGAGGAGAGACACGAGTATGATTTCCATATCGAAGCCATCTCCCGTACCATCGCAATCCTTGAACCTATCAATAACAAGATTTCCCAGCTCTCACCCGAAGAGCGTGGTGGATTCAGGCTCAAACCCAATCTTGGCGGCTCCGCAAAAGCAATACACCAGCGCGTTGTGCGGAAGATTTACGGGCGCGAGGTCGGCACAGAGGTGCTTGCTTGCATGCAAGAAAGTCCGGCACATGCTGTTCCTGTGGTTCTCAATCGGCTGAAGCAAAAAGAGGAAGAGTGGAAGCGTGCGCAGAGGGAGTGGAACAAGGTGTGGCGAGAAGTGGATGCCCGAAATTATGCCAAGTCACTGGATCATCAGAGTGTCAACTTTAAAGCCGCAGACAAGAAGTTGCTCACAGCTAAGGCCTTTGTCAATGAGATTGAAGCAGCAAGGGAGGAGCAGATGGCCTCTCGAGCGTCTCTCGTTGATCCGCTGTTCTCGAGAACCCGTCCGCGTCATCAACTAGAGATCGACTTCGAGGACCTAAACGTTCTCCAGGATTCACTCAAACTTGTACTCTCTTTCTTGGATCGGACTCAAGGCCAAATCCATTGGACCGAACGAAGAAGAATAGAGGCATTTTTACGCGGTCTGGTGCCATTAGTTTTCATGCTCGATGCAGGTGCCTTCAATGCCGCTTTCGCTGTCGTTCTGGAGTTGGGTGGAGCAGATGGAGAAATAGATTTGGAGGGATTAGGCTTACCAGATGTCGAAGCGCCACTCACGACAGGCTCACGTTCTGGGGGTGGTAGAAGCAAAAAGGGCGGTGGCGGTAACGGCGTATCTGGTGGTGATCTGCGGAAGAAGCTTCTGAAAAGCGAACAAGCCAAATCGGGAAGGAAAACTCGGGGAGGCGTCACCCTCCAGGCTTCTCCGTCAGTCTCAAGATTTGCTTCGCCAGCCCCTCATACTACTCTGGAAGGTACACCCAAGATAGTTCCAACAACGAGCAGGAAGAGGGGGGTTTTCTTCACGAACACAACGTTTTATGTACTATTGAGACTTCTTGGGGTACGTATTGCTATCTATTTGTCCTCTTCCCACCATCTCATGTGTTGAAGGTTCTATACACTCGCCTTTATCTCTTCAAATCCATCAGTGCCCAGTTACATGAAGAAGTCAGACAATCTTCATCTGGTTCCTATTCTCCTGTTCACTACCAACCAATATCTACGTATGATACCACTTCGTCGATTATATCCAACCTTCGTGGGCACGAAGATTCCACAGTATCTGAACAACCTGGAGATATAGACGTCCACACGGAGGTTGTGCCCTCCTTGTCGTTTGTACCAGCAGGACAGACAAACGAAGAGTCGGAAAGTTTCCAGATGGAGCGCGAACGTCTTGATCCTACTGCCGCACAATCCTACGATATCCTCCTCCAGAATTGCGAGAGGTTGTTCGACAATGAGATTGAACAGAGTGCATTCGAGGATCAAATGCGCTCTATGTTCGGCGTTAAGGTAAAGGCTCCCTTAATTTCCAATTCCAAAACGATGGTCAATATTGCTTCCCTCTCTAGGATGCTTACAAGATCTTCACAATCGACAAGCTCATCGGAGCCATCATCAAACAGGTTAGCCAGAACTGAAATAACTAGATCAACATGATCTGTGAGCTGATACGTTTTTTAGGTTCAATTGGTCTTCGCAGATCCCAAATCTCAGGACTTGCTCGAAATCTTAAAACGGGACAGAGCGATGACTTCCACCACCTCACAGGATCAGGTCAACAACAGACGGAATGCCGAAAAAGTTTTGGGTCCAGATGAGAATTTGTTCAGAATCGATTGGGTACGTTTGTCAATTTTCTGGGACCTTCTTATTCTCATACAAGTTGTGATTATAGCTTACTGAGAACAAATGCCTGACAATACAGTTGATTGGAAAGGATGATTCAAGTTATGAGGACTCGGAGGTACTGACTGGCCGTTGGCAGACTTACATTGATTCATATGTTGCGGTTAGTTGCATGGTATCTGAACCACTCGTCGTAGCTGATCAGTGTTTGTATTCCTAATCCTAGGGCGAATCAACAGAGGGCATATCACCCCAAAGAGTCAAAAGCCCCTTTCTTAAAAGGTGAACCATTTTCCAACACGCTCCTCTATTCCCATCCCTCATTGTCTTGGTTCAGAAATCTACCGGGCCCAGAACATATACTAGAGCCCAATATTGTTGGGAGTGACGCTCTGGAGATCAAGGTGTGCGTGCGGACATATCGTCTGTTCTATGTCTCGGACACGGAGGATTATCTCTTTGGCATGAGGAAAAAGGACGATTACGCGGCAATTCTCCCCTCCTTACACAGACGGACGCAGGCCAGAATGGCATGGATTGAGCGGAATCGAGTAGAGCAACCCCAAGCGACTGATGAGGTTGAGGGTATGAACCCGTTTACCCCTGCGGTTACCGAAACCAGGCCAATCACACGAACACAAGAGGAAGTCGAAGCCAATGGCCAAGGAGAAAAGGATTTGGCATCAACGAGTGTTTCCGTACCCACAAGCGTTGTTTGAGTGGAATGATTATATGTATTGTATCCATGCTGGGACAGTCGCGTCTTGACTCTTTCTTATGTTATTAGTGTATGTAATGTAGTCATCATTTTGGTTGATGTTCTGAGGCTCAGTGATTTATCTTACCCTTTGTAATGTCACTGCGGAAAGAGGGGTCGACTCAAACTCTTGAATGTTGATCACGGACAACCCAAGGGACAACCGGGCTCGAATGACCGGAAGCATGTGTTTCTGAGAATTTACCGCACTTCCGATGGTCACGATGAAACCGCTGAATGATGTGTAAAACCAGTTGCAAAACCACTACAAAAATGACCAAGAAGAGGAGTATAATAGCGGCCAGAGTCGAATCAAGCTACCCTCATCGAGTCCACATATTTTCCTTCAGCCTGATCGCTATTTTATCGGTGTATCATGAGAAATACTGATGCTTCATTCACTCCTTTTGAAATCAGTCGTGGAGGACATACTTTTCTCATTCGCGAAGCTCGTTCCGACTCAAAAGAACTAGACGACATTGCTTGGGGGGCAGCAGGAGCGTTTCTGGACGATATAGTGATGAATTGGTTTTCAGGTGCTGCGGAGGTGAGTAGCCCGCAGTTCGTAAATAAAGTGATAATCTCATCCCAAATATCCCAAATTCTATACAGATTCCGACTTCCGTCTCTTCTAAGGCTGGCTTCGAGCTGTATCAATTCTACCGCACTGTCTTCAACGCATGCATACTTTCTCGGGGAAGGTTGATTGTTGCGGAGAATCTTTCTGAACGCTTAGAGAAGAATGAAGTCGAGAACAAAAATAATATAGCCGCTGCAGCGGCTTGGTACGGACCGAAAGAGGATGTCCAAATTATAGCAACTCTACGAGCGGGTATACTGATAACGTTGCGGAACTACGGACTACGAACTTTGAAAGTTCGTGCGCGTTTTTATTCTTTTGCGGAAGAATCCACACTAATGAGTTATTTGTGAATCTGCCTGTCTCTTTGGCCTTCTTCTCTCGGCTTCAGCGTATAAGGGAGTACACCAAAGTTTCACATGCTGCTTTTCGAAAAGAATTGAAGCGACGAACACTTACATACGACGATGCGTGGTATCTCCAATGTATCTTCACTGCGAAGCCATACGAAGGGCAAGGTGAATAAACAGTCTACCTTTGAAGAAGTACCCCTTCACATTGCATATTTCCCTTCGAAGGATTAATGTCTGCTCTAGTCCGAGAGGGATTTCGTTACGCCTTGAAATGTTCGCCATCCGGAACAGTACCCCCAGTTGTACTTGAATCGAGTTCTAATAAATCGAGGCCTCGATATCAGCATTTGGGTTTTGAGGTATTCATGTTTGTCTCTCTGCAACTTCGATGCTACATGTGCCCGTCAATATAGATCATTGAACCGTGGTGTCACATTGGAATAGGTAAAGTTGACTCCAGAGGATGTGGTCCTACCAACAAAAAAGGGAAGGCAGACTCAAAGAAATTGGACGGTTTTAAATACACTTGTATGGTTCATGTGAGTCGCATTCTAAAAAATGAAGGAAATTTTTGTGATGCTCTTTTTCGGCGCAGTGGGATTGCAGAAAGGCTGTAGAGAACAACGAATGATGAGGAATGATGACAGCGCGCATATGAATTACAGCTACCTACTCCCAAAATATGATTCAAACGCATGTAAACTCCAGCAGATATTTTATCATTCCACTCTCTTCCAATACCACATTTCCTGCATAAGTGGATAGAACTCTTTTTTTTGCAAAGACGCAACAGAAGGAACAAGAATGGACGTGCTCGACGCGAGTCGACGCGTCGTCTAAATTAAAATTGTAATTCAAATTGTAATCACCTGAGTTTCACACGACCTGGACTTGGACCTGACAATGACTCATTCCAGTCCATGTTCATTCGCACTTTGGCATGGAATGTCAAAATTGCCAACTCCAGCAACGAGCGTTCTTTTGCGATGACTGCGTAAAGAAGTAGTCAGTAGAAGTATCACAAAATCTACTTTAAATTGAGACTAATCGATTCAAGCAGCTTGCGCGACTATCGACAACAAACAAGTCATTTTAGCTCGGAACGAAATGCTGCAGTGGCTAAAGCAACCTCTGCCCTTACCGGCTCAGATAAATCTGGATCAACTGGGATGGAGACTGCGAGAATTCGTCGGGCGAACGTCTCGTCGCTAGAACGACGGGTATTAGAGTTGATGGACGGTTTGACTGCGTTGAGGAAGGACAATGAACGAAGTGAGTTGGCATTGTACATGACATTCGTCTTCTCATATATCTTGCACAGAACGGGAAAGGCTACAAATGTTGCGTGCCAAAATAGCTGAACGAAGACAAACATTGACCGCAGCCAAAACAATTTCGGTCTCTCCTACAGCATCAGTATCATCCGTAGTAATTTCCGCTCATGCTTCTCTGGCTTCTCTCTCATCCTCAATTGCTCATGCCCGTACTGGTCTCGTACAAGAACTCGTTGAGGTCTTTGGCATCTCTCATGATGATACTCACTGGATCATTTCCAATCTCATCTTACCCGTCCCCGGCGACATGCGCAGGTATCCACCAGATCACCTCAATGCTGTAATGACGTCTACAATTCATTTCGTCAATTTACTCGCTTTTTATCTCGGTGTGAAATTGCCCTTCCATGTTACCTGGACGAAAGGAAAGTTAGGTGTTGGCGTGCCTCATATCGGTGCCGTCAAAGGGATTGGAGGCGATACTGGTGGTTGGGCTAGGTATAATTTTTTCGCATGTTTTTTGACTGGTCTGCAGTTTACACTGTCCCTAGGTGGCACCAAAAGCACCCATTACATGTTTCCGCGTCTTCCTCGGCTTCACCTCCTGCGCCGACATCGTCGTCCCCGTTTACATCCATTGCATTGCCCGAGTCGACCTCTTCTTCGAGCTCAGACACTGGTTCTCCTTCTGCATCGACCGCTGACTCTATAGTTTTTGACTCGCAGTCTGGGATAGATCCTGCGATAATGCAAAACCAACTTATCACTTCATCGTTCACAACAGGCATCGCGATGCTTCTCTACAACGTCGCGTATCTCGCTTACACGCAACACGGGGTGAACATTCCGCTAAATCAGGTCGCCTCTGGAGAACTTTTAGGCAATTTGTGGGGCATTTGTTTTGGCTTTAGTAATGGAAGTGGTATTTTGGGTAGGTACGTTCTGAGTTTCGTTAGTACTAATATTATTCTACACCCTCTCATAACGCCATGCCAGATACTCTCACGAAACTGCCTCTTCCCTCATCCCTAACCCGTGTACGTTCCCTCTTAATCGTCTTCCACCACCGACTCCTCCCTCATTTACACTTGAGTTTGGACAACTACTACAAGCTATGAGTAGGCCAACGCCCAAAAGTACACTGGCACAAGCTCAAGGGATCAATCCTGTTTCTGTTCCCATTTCAGCTTCCTCCCATTCCACCTTCAACTCAAATACCACGTCCGAATTTGACTCCTTATCCCTCACTCGTCCTCGAAGAAAGGAAAAAGCTAGGCGTCGGGCATCGGAGGTATCATTAACCAAGAACATTGTGAAAAGTGTGAAAAATATGGAGATGAGTCCTTTTAGAGAAGGTGATCATGAAGAAGGGGAAGGAGGAAGACATGACGAGGAAGAGTGGGATCTAGTGTAGAGCGCCAGAGCGCCATGAGACCATATGAATGTTGTATACCTAAATTACCGTTAAGAAGCAATACCGTTGTTGAATATGTATCTCATTCAAAGGATATGTATGTGCATAAGCTATTTATTGTAATTATAAGTACGCCTGCATTTGAAATATGTATGTAGTACCGAAGAACTACTTTATCCATGAGTAGACACAATCCTTGTGTTCTTGCTCCTTTCGATGGTATACAGAAGCACTCATTAGGTCGTCCGCCCAATTATCGTGATGCTGCATTGGGAAACTAAGATCGTCCCAGTCAGGAGGGGGTTTTTGTTTAGAAAAGAACCATGACGCGGAGGACTGATATTCAGGTATAGACCCATTCCCGTCACCTTGGGGTTCTTCGTTAAAAAGACGCCAAGCTAACGAAAGCACGAGAGTCCGATAACGAGGTCCACTGACACTGTTGTCGCTAGAATAATCACTGCCATCTGTAACATTGACATCCAAGCTCAACGCTCCGAGTTCGGACAAACGTGAAAATGTCGAATCCAGGAGTCTGACGATATCACCTTCAATGAGCCACTGGCGAAGGATGTGGTTTTTTCTTGAAGCTCTCGAAAGGCGGTGAACGAAGTGTATAACAGCGTCTAGTTCAAGTGGGCAACCCTTTGCCTGGCACCTTTCATGACAAGGGTCGAAAAATGCATCGGACTCTGGAACTCGAGCTCTGTCAATGTTTGTTAAAGATCGTCATTGATTTTTGGTATCTAGTGCAACCTACGAAAGTAGATGGAGTTGACGAATGAACCGAATGAAGATATCTCGAGCGTAGTCGTGAGGAGTTTCCTCAATGTACTTCTCCAGTCCCCAATTAGCCTCTGTTGTAAGGATACGGGTCCAAAGTCGATGTAACGACCTGAGGGCTCGAAAGGATATCTCATCGTCCAGTTGAGGTGACCTTTTACAACGAAAATTAGTAGCAGTGTGTGTGTTTCCACGCAAAAATACACGGTCACCTACCCAGAAAACTCTAATAAATCAATAAGTAGGTCAAACAGGGAAGGCTCGTTGAGTGTGACGCGAAGTTTTGTCAGTGACGAACTATCCCATTCCAACACCAATGTATCAAAGATAGAGCTTATTCGCCATCGGATTTCGGTCATTCCCATAGTTGCCCATACCTGACGACGCTGGGAGCATCGGGTTTGGTCAGGTGTTTTGAGTGCAAGCATAGGCCATAGAGCCCACAAGCTACAAAGGGCATGCGACTGAAACGCTCTGTATGCAGACTCATTCGCCATTGCTGCTAACAGAAAGGAAGTGCAGGTAGCGGAGACGCTAGATTTGTTGAAAGACCTTGCTAGGTCTTTGAAATCGGACAGGTATAGATGAAGCAGAAAATCCAGGCAGCCACAGTCACATATAATAGACCATCCTTGTTCGTTGGCAGAGGCAAAATCTTGGAGAAAATCAACAATGGGAGCCAGAGAATGATCTTCCCACTGCGACAAGTGTTGTTGATAAGAAGAGACGAGGGCGTGTGGAAGATTGTTCTCGACGAGATTGAAAATGCTATGTATAAATTCAAGGAATTAGCGGGGGTTACAGCGTAGATGCCGTGTAATTAAGACTAAACAACCTTAGAGGATCGAAGCACTGAAGCAGTTCTGAAATTAGTAGCTTGACCTCAACTACTGGCCAAATTAACAACGCTTTCATCAGGTGTGCTGTAGAGCGAGAGGCAATTTGTCCGAGTAACAGCTGCAGAGCGCGGGTCCGAGTAGAATCAGGATACAACTGAATTCTATGTACGCTCAGTCCCTACTAGCAATCTCCAATATGTTGGAAGACTCACCTCGACAACTCTAAAAGATCTGCATACATTGCAGCTAATCCTACAATTCTATCTGCGTTATGGTGGGGGAAATGTGCTCCGATAGCCAAAAGTCGTCGAGAAATAATGAGTTGCTCGAAGCCTTTGAGCGTAAATTTCCCAAAGTTGAAGAGGGCTTTGCCTGTAAGAGAGCCCGGTCCTGTGAAAGTACTCGCGACAGACTCTAGCGTAGAAGTATAGCCTTGAGAAGACAGCGTTTCGAGCGACGAGGAGGAAACCGAAGCCAATCGACGTGAACGCTGCATGGGAAATAGTTCGGTGTCATGCGAGTACAGCAAGTAGATCATGTTATATCAACGAGTCCGCTGATGAATCAGAGCATCAGAATGAACGACGTACGAATCGATCAGTGATTCTCCTTGGGCATCGCAATCTTCAGCATGAATGTTTGAAGTTTCTGCACCGCACAAACAGCGCATTTTACTGCAGGAGTTGTGGGCTGTAGTAGAGGCGTAGAAGCATCAACATAAAAGTGCACTAACAAAAGCGTCCATCCGCATGAAGAAGAAACCAAGGTTTCTTTGGCTGCGGGGTGATGTACTACAACTTGAAAAAAAATAGATGATGCCCAAGTTTCAATATATTGATAAGAAGTCCTTCCCGAGGTGTCGATCGTTCAGATTCCAGTAAACAAGTGACCAAGACATTGGATAATTGGGTCCCAAATTGAAGTATGTCGACTTTACCACAAGATACACAAAACACCAGAAATTTTTCAAAGGGGGAAGATAGCTAGGATAAAAACATATGGTCACGATGTCGTAAAGTCAGATACTGTGTCGGAAGAAAAAGGGAAAGCTGCATATGGAATCTCCGTTCCTAGTTTGAATTGAGCTGTTGTTGAAGCTATGCGACATCTATTCTCAAACGTCAGGGACATCGAACAAAAAAACAACAGAAGCAGGCAGGCTTTCTCACTTTAACTCATATCCATCCTATCCCTGTCTCTCCCCCTTCCGCCACCGCCACCTCTTCTACCACCTCGTCCTCGCCCTCTACCGCCCCTTCCCCTGGCAGGTGCCTGAATATAGTCCTTCGGATCCGCTCCAGGGGGTGCAACCAAGACTTGTGCTCTTGGATCAGATGTCAATGCGTCTGAGCGCATTTTTCTGAATGAAGAAAGGTCAGATCTCCCGTTGAGCTTGAAGAGGACTTGAAACGTACGATCCTGAAAGCGTATCATCTGAGTCCATCAGAACGTCAACACTACCTTCCTGTCTCACTAAGCCAAGCCCATCCTTGCCAAACCGACCAAGGAGAGAGGTACCCGCACTAGTTGCACCAACAACAGCCACAGATAGTGTCTTCCCGTCGGCCGGCACACCATTGAAAACTTTTACTGCCTCCGCTGCCGATGCCGCAAGTTTAAAGGTGATCCGAATGCGCACCTTTAGTCGAATTTTTCAGTCGGTAACCATGTTGTGATAGAAAGTGGACAACGCACTTCTTCGTTGCGCCTTGAAATCAGCTTGCTCTGTAAAATATCTCCACACCGCTTGAATATTGCCGAGACATCATCCGCTGTCGTGCCATCTACTAATCCAGACACTTCTACCACATTCCCCGAGCTTCCCGCACCTTTGATGTTGAGTTCCTCGCCACCACGAGCACCCCGAGATGTAGAAGGTGAGGAGAAAGATAAGGCGTCTCTGAAGGCTTTCTGGGCTAAGGATTTGGATGCATGGGTTGCGTCGGGTGGCAGTGTTGGCTTTGAAGCTGGGAGATTTAAGCGGGCAGAAAGAGAATTGTGCTGGGCATAAAGATCATGAGACCATGCAGAATCAACGTCGCCTCTAGCAGAACGGGCCTGCAAATAGATTCGATGAGAAATAATCTCAAAAAATGAGAATAAATTAACGCACATAAGGTGCATTCAACCTTGAGGAGTTCCCCATTTTGGTTGACCTTACAGGGCCACTCCCGGAATTGGAGACATTCATGCGTTCCAATAGAGATGCCATTTCCTCTGATTAGTGTGATAATTTCGGCTTTCTGTTGTGGAAAAAGGTTGTCGATAACAGTTCAATCATCAACGTCAGGTTTCAAGTAGAACAAAGCATATACTAACTGATTTTTGGGTCACCTCGTATTGAACGGTCAAGGTAGGTATAAGTCGTAGAAGTGTAGGAAGACGTTGACAATGAAGAGCAAAAAGCGAGATCACTGTGACCGCTCTGTCACAAAAAGCATGTGATTTCGTACAGGTAACAAAGGCGCGCTCATGGGCGCGCGCTGCCCCGCACCGGGTTTCGGAATATGCAAAATGAACATGGGACCAGGACTAGTACTCAGGCTAGTAAGGATCTCCAATCTCAAATTCGGAATTACACCTCCTTTGCAATATGTACAGTCGTGGGATCGAAATTGGGCTTAAAGCATACTATCTTGTTTGCCAAATTAGCTCAAAGTGTGAAATTTTCCCCTTCTCCCCACGACGCGAACAATGGCTCCCAAAATCTTTAGGTCTGCCTTACCTGATAAAGCTATCGTTCAACGGTCAATTTTCACGCATCAATTCCCTGAACCACCGTTATACCCTCCTGAATATCCTGCCTACGTCGATGCGCAGACTGGCGTCACACTCAATCGCGGCCACATCAAGGATCTTGCCTTAACATTTGCCTGTGCCCTTCGTAACAAGAAGCATGCGAAGAGAGGTGACACCATAATGATGTTCTCTCCAAATTCAATTTGTTGGCCAGTGGTTGTATTCGGTGGTATGTTGTCTCAATTGACTGGTTCTCTTATGATCAACGATCCGATTTTACAGCCGTCGCTGCTGGACTACGATGCACATTCGCCAACACTGCCTACACTGCTGACGAACTAGCATACCAGTACACGGATTCACATGCCTATTTCATCTGCACCACTCGCGCCAATCTCAAAACAGTGCAGCGCATGCTTACTTCCGAGACTGTTGGCGTCCGTTTGAAGGAGGATGCAGAACGCAGAATTATCCTGCTTCCAGATGACTTTAATTGGGTTCCTGGAGTGAAGAAGACTGATGGGAAGAAGCATATACCCGGGTTGACGGCATTCGAGGATCTTTTGAAATTGGGGAGGCTTGATCGGGAAGAGCAATTCCAGGGTGTTGATGCAGAACAAGAGACTGTCTTTCTTTGCTATAGCTCTGGGACCACTGGTAAACCCAAAGGCGTCGAAACCACACATCAGAATTTGACAACTGTCCTGGACATAGTTCAATCTGGCTTCCCCATCCTTAGTCCAACCGGCGACCGAATGCTCGCCGTTCTACCATTCTATCATATTTACGGACTCGTCAAGCTACTCCTGTTTCCCTTCATCTGTGGGGTATCAACAATCGTGATGCCACACTTTGATCCGTTGGCATTCTGCGAATCAATACAGCGGTACAAAGTGACGATCACCCTCATTGTTCCACCGGTATTGGTGGTAATAGCCCGTCATGACTGCGTCGAGCAGTACGATATGTCTAGTCTCAGGATCATGTTCTCGGGCGCAGCGCCACTCGGTGGAGAGCTTGTAAAGGCTGTCAAGTCTCGCCTCCGTCCCACGAATCAACCTCCATTACATATAGTTCAAGGTTATGGTCTCACCGAGACGTCTCCTACTACACATCTTCTCCCAATCCTCCCTGCTCAACAATGGGGAAACATCACAGAGGAAAGCAAGTATGGCTCAATTGGCTTCCTACTGCCTAACTTGGAAGCGAGATTGGTTGTCGATGATAAAGATGGGCATGCGCAAACGGATGATGAGGTGATAGATGCTGCGGAGGGCGAGCGTGGCGAGCTATGGATTCGTGGAAGGAGTATCATGAAGGTACATAGGCGTTCAATCTTCCGTCTTCTGTCCTCCTCTGTCCATTCCTAACCCACTTACCATTTTTATCTTAGGGATATCTCAATAACCCCGCAGCAAACACCAACGCGTTCTTCCCATACTCATCCTTGCCTCCCTCTGATCCGACCCCGGGCTCTCGATGGTTTAAGACAGGTGACATCGGCATCATAGACAAGGACGGATTCTTCTGGATTGTAGACCGCAAGAAAGAGCTTATCAAATACAAAGGTTTTCAGGTCCCGCCCGCGGAGCTTGAGAGCGTTCTGCTCACTCATCCGAAAGTCGCTGATGCGGGGGTCATTGGTGTCGAAAGTGCGAAAGAAAGCACAGAGCTCCCCAGAGCATATATTGTCCCAGCAGACTCGTCTATCGTCTCTTCCGATAGAGCCGCAGAGCTTAGTAGAGAGGTACAAGACTGGGTGAAGACCAAAGTCTCGAGACACAAGTTTTTGAGGGGAGGAGTGGTAGTAGTGCCAGTGATCCCAAAGAGTGCGTCGGGGAAGATTTTGAGGCGATACTTGAAGGAACAAGCGATGAAGGAGTTGGCTGGGAGGGACCCAGCGGATATCCATGCAGTTGAAAAGGTTCGGACGAAGTTATAGAAGAGAAGCGAGCATAAGTGGAAACGTTGGGTGATGTCAATAATTTCATAATAGCCTCTAATACGTGTTGCTCAATGACCTTCCAAGTATCTCGAAGCTCGTATTCCATTTGTATGCAAGTTACGAATAAAATACTGAAAAAGGCTCTTAAACGCCGTCAAGACGCGATAAATGACCAATCTTTGGCAATTCGGCCTCCTTGATCCTCGAAGCTCACAGTCTGAGATATGTCTCGTGATTCTAGCGGGTCATAGGATAAATGTCTTTCTCCTTTCAGTAAGTATTGAAGTGTTTTCTGTATATTTATGTATATACTACACATAGCTTGTTTCGGTGCTTGCCATTGACGAGCATATACAACTTATACAGATCACAGGATCTAGAATTGGTTGCGAACACGGACCCAGGTTGTTAGTTCCTGTTGTGATCGCTTCGTTCTTCGCTTCGTTCTTCTGCTACGAGAATGGCTCCTCGAATTTATTACTCTTCGTACCCTTCCGTTCCCCTGCATACTCGTTCCATCTTCACACATCTTCTCTCTGTGGATCCAAATAATGGAAAAATTGGGGGTTTTCCAGCTCAAGAAAAGGTATTTGTAGATGCTGCCACGGGAATTTCTATTAGTCGCCAGGATTTGAGAACCTTGTCTTTGAAATTCGGGTATGGACTGAGGCATGATCCAAGAGTAAAAGCTCAACGTGGGGACGTGGTGTTGGTGTTTTCTCCGAATTCTTTGCAATATCCTGTATACATACTCGGAGGTGAGTTGCTGCCGTGTTTCTTCCACCCTAATCTTTCTTGAACCTTGTAGCTATCGCGGCCGGTATGCGTTGTACGTTGACGAATAATGCTTATACTGCACGGGAGCTGCAACATCAATACATCGACAGCGGAGCTACCATGATCATAACTACTTCCGAGAATCTGAGTGTTGCCTTGGAAATGCTCATCGTAGGACTCGGATTATCCCAGACTGACGCTGAAAACCGAATCATTATTTCACAAAATAGTCTTGCATGGGCTAGTGGTCTAGTATCGTCACGGTCAGAAGGCGAGGCAACTCGCGATCTTATAACGTTCGATCAGCTTCTTGGGATCGGTGAACTGCAAAACGAGGAAGAATTTGACGGTGAAAGTGCCCAGGAAACAGCACTGTTGTGTTACAGTTCTGGTACAACCGGTCAACCAAAGGTTTGGCTCCCACATCCGGCAGCTCCGAATGTACTGAGATTGACAACAACACTGTTCTTATAAACAGGGAGTGGAGGTCCGTATGCTATACTATATATTCTCCGATTTGTCAGAACCATCCTTCCCTAGACCACTCATCAAAATCTGACTACGGCCACGGAGACTATTGATCTTGTCCTGGGCTATAAAGCGGGAGATCGGCTTTTGATTTTCCTTCCCTTTTACCACATCTATGGTTCGTAATCTTTGGAATTAGGTATCTGTGTAACGAAGCTCTTGGACAGGGGCCGTATCAGGTCTTCTCTTCCCAATATTCTGCGGGACCACGACCGTCATTATGGCTCGATTTGACTTAATCGATTTTTGCGTCGCAGTAGAGAGGTACCGCATCACCGCCGTGTTGGTTGTTCCTCCAGTGATGCTGGCCATAGCTCGGCATCCAGGTAAATTTGGTCTTAACCCCTCGCTGCATTCATAAATCAATCCTCCCAGCGATCGATAAATTCGACCTCTCTTCGATATGGCTATTGTTTTCTAGCGCTGCGCCTGTCTCACCGACACTTATCAAGGAGGTTTGTTTGTTCCATTATCTGTAGGATACATTTAATTCCTGATCGTAAATCATGTACAGGCGAAGAAACGTTTGTTAGCGAAGCGAAAGCCTGAAGAAACTTTGTATATCACCGAGGGTCAGTCAGATTCTTGAGTATATGTGTGGTATTATTCCATTCATGCCCTATCATGCATACAGGGTATGGTATGACCGAGTGTTCTCCTGCATCGCATATACTCCCTCTGGACAGTTCTGTATTAAAAATGGGCAGTGTTGGTGTATTACTGCCAAATTATCAAGCACGTCTAGTGGCGGACGATTCTGGCGAGACAGAAGTTGACGCAGAGGAGGGAATTCCGGGTGAATTGTGGCTGAAGGGGCCTTCTGTGATGAAGGTCAGTGACTGATGATGATAACGGCTATACCTCTAGTTAAACGGCTGTCTGGAGGGATATCTTAACAACCTGACCGCAAACAAGGACTCCTTCACCACTGATAGATGGTATAAGACAGGTGATATATGTGTAAGGGATAAAGAGGGATTTTATTTCATCGTCGACAGGAAGAAAGAGCTCATAAAGTACAAGGTTCGTCTCCGATATGAAATGCTGACACAGTCATTGACTTGGACTATCGCAGGGCTTCCAAGGCAGGTAGGGCATTGAAGATCCAAGATCAGACTGATTAACTTGTCCTCCCTAGTTCCACCAGCTGAGCTCGAGAGCGTGCTCATAACTCATCCTGAGGTCGCTGATGCAGCGGTGATTGGAGTACACAATGAGAACGATATGACAGAACTTCCGCGGTACGCGCAGCTCGATTTGTTCAGCACAAGCACTGACAAAGGATCGGCATTTATGCTTTTCAGAGCATACGTGGTCCACACACAACCGGCGAAGATATCCACGTCCGAGTCTAAGAAATCCTTTGAGAAATCCGTGGCAAAGTGGATGGAGTCTAAGGTCGCAAGGCATAAGTACCTCAGAGGAGGTGAGTTTGTCCGAATACTCTCCAGCAATTTGGTTTCTGATCAGTTATGAAGGCGTGATGGCCATTGGAGAAATTCCTAGGAGGTAAGTGAGGTTCGCGAGCAGTCGTTTCAATTGCCGGCCGTGACTTTTTTTCCCCGACCTTCTCAGTGCCGCGGGGAAGATCCTTCGACGAGAGCTTCGTGCAATGGCAAAGAGGGAGCCGGTTCAGAGCAAATTATAATGTGAAATAAGTTATATACCCCATGTACTTTGATACTTTGGCCAAATAATCAGTGTCAGAACTGGTGCTGAGACTCTGAGGTCGGAGAGGGACTGAAGAGGGAAGGTGTGACCCGGTGTACTGCATACGTGACCTTTCCACGTGGGGTTTGGACCTGCGTCACCTAACTCCAGGCGGCAGCGTTCCGTATCTCTTTCCTAGTATTCTTGAGATTTCTCTCCTTAGCTTTCCTTGCTTTGTTTTCCTGGTAAGACTCACTTTTTGCAGCGAGCTATGCTCTTGTTCTAATAGTCTGCTTGTCTATTTTCGTAGTAAGAGGAATATCTTTCCGTGCGCGAATACGTGTGATACAACTCCGAATCAACAGTGTAATTAAAGATGGGCGGCGCTGGTGAGTTGCGGGTTTGAAAGTTATGCGAATACCTACTGATCTACTGTCCTTCCTTCCTGGACTTTCTTGGGATTTGTTTTGCTTTTGCTCACTCCCCACCGACTTTTACTGGAACGTTTTTGTACGTTTTAAACGCGTGCTTGAAATGACTTGGTTTCTTGTTCGACAACTTATCGCTAATTTCTGCTGAACTTGACTGGCGATGACGGAATGGGTGTCGTTCAACAGGATGGTTGTTCCTGTTCGCAGTCCTCATGGCTGCGGCTCTGCTTTTCTGCATGGTTTTCTTCGTGAGTACTCTCAAACAATTTTGAATGAATGTCGACTGACTTTGACTAGATTATTATGTTCTCGGACTTGGAATGCGACTATATCAACCCCATAGACCTCTGCAACAAGCTCAACCAAGTATGGCGTCTATTATATTTTGAAGTGCAATATCTGAACTCGTCGAATAGTTTGTCCTGCCCGAAAACATCGCACACGCCTTTTTAACCATCCTGTTCCTCATATCTGGACAATGGATAGCATTTCTGCTCAATGCCCCGTTGTTAGTGTTCAATGCCAACAAGTGCGTGTAATTCTACCCACTTTTCATCTCTCTTCATCTTCTATCTACTTGTGACCACCAGCGATTGCCCTTTGCACTTCTGCCCGTTCACTTTTTTCCACTTGCATACTGCCGCAGTTCCTTGATTCATCATTCATTTGACCTCTCACGTTGGACTACGCTGATTGATATTCATTGTTCCGCTCATTTTCCATCAACCAACGTATAGAATACGAAACAAGAACCACATGTACGACGCGACGGAAATATTTAGGACATTACCGGGGCACAAAAAGGAGAGCTTCATCAAGCTTGGGTTTTATCTTTTGTCGTTCTTCTATTACCTATACCGGTGAGTTACGTATACTGGATACAGACGTTTTTTGACTAATGGTACGATTGTGCAGAATGATTGTTGCTCTCATTGCGGAGAGCGAGTAATGATTTGTAGCCGTCGAGAATGGCGCCGAATAACGCATGCATGCTATCGACCCTATCACTGTTGTGTCGAGTAGGAACTCTACCTCTACTAGTCAGTGGGAGTTGGATAGGTGCATAATTTGATGATTCTTAGAAATTAATGCTTTGTCGATGATTCGCGTTTGTACGTGCAACTATCTTTTTTTGATTCTCCTCGTCACACCAGCGTCCCCTGCTGCTTAAAGCTTTAACTGTACGCGTAACAATACTAACATCGCGACAAGAAAATGTGAATGAATGCCTGACATTACTGAGGTACTACGAAAGATACTATGTAGTCTATTACATAGGTTGGTTATGTAGGAAGACTGTACGGAACCACCGACCCGACGAGTTTCCAACAGTACAGAAAACACGACAATGGGTACTAAGACGTCCGATTTGTTCAGAACACGGCCTGACACTCGAACGACCGCCTAAGAGACCTTCGAAAAGCCTGAGCAGTCATGAGCAACATGGGGAAGATTATGGCCGGGCTGCCGCACGAAATTTTTGCAATCGAAAAAGCGCAAAAATTTATACTCCTGCTAGCCCTAACCCCAAAACTGTGAGAAAGTGAGGCAGTTGAGGGTAGGCCTCTATCTGCACTGACACAATGTTGGCTCTGGTCGTTCCGGTTTCCTTACTCCGCCAAAGTCGCACTACTGTGCCAGTGTGAAACCAATCCGGAATCCTCTGGACAGTACGAGAAAACACCGCATTGCCACATGGTACACTGTAGAAAATCAAGATAACGAGGCTGGCATTTGATATCTGTGTCATGCTCCGAGGAAAGTACTTGAAGTCTGGCTCTAGCACTTGCCTTGAAACCACGATCACCACCAATAAAGATGTCTCTTTACCTCTGTGTCGACTGTGGTGGCTCTAAAACTTCCGCCGTTGTATCCGATATTTCTGGCAATATCGTCGGCAGAGCCTCAGGTGGACCATCCAACATCGCGTATCTGACCATCGATTCGTTCATCGAAACAATTCGAGCAACAGTTGGAGATGCACTGAAAACTTGCACATCCCCTGCGTCAGTTGATACAGTTGCCCTGCCTCCCCCAGCAGGACTCGAGTTTGTTGCAGTTTGGTTTGGCATCTCAGGCGCAGATTCACCCTCAATCATCGAGTCTGTGGTGAACCCACTCTCTACGCTACTTGGCGTTCCAAAAGGACCCAGACTTTCAGTAGCCAACGATGCTCATCTGCTCGCTGCTCCTATACGAATGCACGAAGATGTTATCTCTGCCGTTACTGTTATAGGAGGTACTGGATCCATTGTGGTTTCATTCAAGGAGAAGGAAGATGGAGAACTAGAGGAGCTAGGTCGTGTAGGCGGGTGGGGATGGATTTTAGGCGATGAAGGTGGTGGGTACAGTATCGGAAGGGAAGCTGTTCGTCAGGTTCTGATAGAGCAAGACAAACATTCCGTCATGAAATCGCCCCCTCCTGAAGGACCGCTCAGGACTTTGCTGAAAAATTACTTTGGGATCAAAGACGTTATGGAGGTGTTGACTGAGGTCTATGTACCCGACCCGATACCTTCCACCGTCGTAAACTCAGATCGCGGTGCACATAAGTACATGTCTCGTGAGAAGCGTCTGTCCTCGCTCTCTCCGTCAGTTTTCGCCGCTGCATTCGAGGACAAAGACCCGCTGGCATTGAAGGTCTTGTGTATCTGTGCAAAGGATCTCGCGGAACAGATTAGCATTGTCGTAGGAGATGCTAGTGAAGAGGCTCCGCGACTGGTGAAGGCTTCCGAGAGTGTTATTTGTTTTGGTGGATCAGTGGTGGGGCTAGAAGTATACCGCAATATGGTATTGGACGAGCTGGTAGCGAAAGGACATGTATTCAAACACGTTGAGTTCGTGGATGATTGTGCGGCTGTTGGGGCTGCTGGGCTCCGATTGAAGTTTAAGGACTAGGGGACTCGAGCACGTATTTTTATGAATAAATTTCCTGTATCATCGAAAATGTTGCACGATACATACAGTATATCTTGAATCCGCAAATTCGACAAATTCAATTGGTGGATATGTTTCCACGTGTTCAACGCGAACTACGGCATGCAGTTCTCCGGACTCGAATTCGGTGACTGGATCTACATAACAAGCAGCCATAATGGCTCATTCTATAACACCCAAGGACCGTCACCGGCCGTCTAATCTGAGGACTATTTCTGCTGCTAGTTCGATAATGGGTGCAGAAGGCATTATGACTCCTCACAGCGAGCAATCCGAACGCGAACAACTCTTGGAGACTGATATTGAACGCCTCGGAGGTATCAGTAGAGACTCGCAGTATGGCTCTACCTCTGCTCGTGCTATAGGTGAGCTCATGTCTTCTCGAAATGGCTGATGGTAAAAGATTTAATTATATGTAGATGCAGGGCACAAACCCCCACAAGGCAGAAAAAAGTTGAGGAAAAGAGTTAAATATTATATTCCCTCGCTTTCATGGATACCCAATTACTCTGCCTCATTGTGAGCTCCTCTGATACCGCTTGAAGAGTGGTGCATCTCAACAACTTCTCTCGACAGAATAGGCGGTGATTTGCTGGCCGGACTCACTGTAGCGAGCATGTTAATTCCACAGTCTGTCAGTTACGCTTCATCACTAGCTAAGCTCAGCCCAGTGACTGGTCTGGTGCGTGATATGTCTCCGAAGCTCATCATCATTCCACGCTCATTCTCAAGTCTTTACGCCTGCGTAGTTCTCAGCTTCAATACCAGGGATAGTTTACGCGTTCCTCGGCACATCGCGGCATCTGAACGTTGCTCCTGAAGCAGCTCTGAGCTTATTATTGGGTCAAGCTGTAGACGACATTCGGCATGACCTAGATGACCCGCATTCTGATAAAGGAGATGCAATAGGTCTGGCTGTCGCGACCATCATTACCCTTCAAGTTGGATTGCTTTCTTTCATATTTGGTTTCTTTAGATTAGGGTTCCTTGACGTGATTCTCAGTAGAGCGCTCCTTCGTGGTTTCATCGCCGCTATGGCTGTCATTATCCTGATGTGAGTGACATTCGTCGTCGCGTTTTGCTGAATGGAAATATCGAGCGACTTTTAGTGAACAATTGATACCGATGTTTGGACTTGTCCCCATGGAACGATTGCTACATCCTGCCACCACTATCGAGAAACTCTTGTTCCTTGTCGAAAATATGTTTACGCATGGAAACCCTATGACAGCGATTATCAGTTTTGTCGCTCTCGGGACATTGATTCTTCTAAAATTCCTCAAAGGGTGCTTCAAAAAGTATTGGTTCATTTATAGGATACCTGAAGTTCTTGTGGTAGTAGTGGTTTCAACAAGTGGGTTACACACCTCTTGTTTTCTAACTTTAACGCTTATATTCTCATCATCATGTCATCTCTTAGTCCTATCTCGCGAATTTCGATGGGACGAGAAAGGTGTTGATATCCTAGGCAGTGTGAAGGTCGTCACTTCTGGCAGCTTCTTCCAATTCCCCATCCGCTCGTCCAACATGAAGTATCTTCGAAGAACTACTTCTACCGCAGTGTGAGGTCATTGGTTCATGACTCTTTCAAAACTCGTACTTATTTTATTTTATTCATAGCGTCAGCGCCGTTGTGGGGTATCTGGACAGTATGGTTGCAGCTAAACAGGCCGGGTCGCGCTTTGGCTACGGCATCAGTCCGAATCGTGAGCTCGTTGCGCTAGGTGCTGCAAACATTGGTGGTTCGCTCATTCCTGGAACCTTACCTGCTTTTGGGTCAATCACAAGGTAAGGTATTGCTGCCCGTCATGTTCCACCTTTTCTCTCTGCTATCCATGATTTGTAACTATGGAACCGATTCTGATATTCCAACCCTGTTTTAGGACACGAATCAATGGAGATGTGGGAGGAAGTACGCAAATGGCCTCCCTGGTGTGCTCTGCTGTTATTTTGTTGGCAACGTTTTACTTGCTACCCTTGCTTTATTACCTCCCGAAATGTGTTCTGGCGTCAATGTCGGTTGATTCTCCTGGTCATCTTCTCTTTAACGTTTGGGGAATTTGAATGACATGGTTTACAGAATTACACTGGTGGTGTTCTCTTTGATACAAGAAACTCCTCACGATTTGATATACTATTGGAGGTGAGCTGCTCACACTTCTTTCGACTGCACGACGTATTTTTGAGGTGGTTGCGTACATACTAAAACAGGATGAGCGCATGGATGGATCTCCTTCTAGTTACTCTAACCTTCGTACTATCAATAGTATGGAACGTTGAAGTCGGAATTGTAGTCAGCTTGGTCATCTCGCTTTTGCTTGTCGTCAGACGTTCTTCGAAAACCCGAATGACGATTCTAGTTTGTTCCATTCGTCATCGCAATCCTACCCCGTTGTTGACTTGATTGTGTTGTAGGGTCGCATACCGGGAACAGATCGTTGGAAGCCTATCAATGAGAATCCAGAGGCAGAGGAGGATGTTTCTGGTGCTTTGATTGTGCGAATCCGGGAGAATTTGGATTTTGGTAAGTTTCTTTTCTCCAACCGTGTGTTCTTCGATAAAAATGCTTGTTTTCTCCCCAAGCCAATACTGCCCAGTTGAAAGGTGTGTCTACCGTTTGCATATCTGAAAAAATGTGTCTGATTTCTCTTGGTCTCGTAGAACGACTGAGACGTCTAGAGCTATATGGTGTAGATAAATCTCATCCCTCAGAAGATCCACGTCGAACTCAAGCTACCGTGCTCGTGTTCCATATGGCAGACATGGATGATTGTGATGCTATGTCAGTTTCGAGAAAAACTCTGGTGGTATGTGACTGATGTTGTTTGCCTGTACAGTGCCTGTCAGATATTCTATGAACTCATAGAAGAATATCGGGTACGCCTTGCCTGCATTTTCCTCCAGATCTACTCTTCTCTGAATGTCCTCGATTTCAGAATCGTGGTGTTGGCATTTTCATCACACATCTTCGGGCTGAACCATTGAAAGCCTTCGAGAAGGCAGGCATAGTCAAGCTGTTGGGCGCGGATGCGTTTGAGGACAATGTCGCTGATGCAATGGGGAAGATACGGCCAAACCGGTGGTAGGAAAAGCTTTGTAGCACTTTTTACGACCGTTCACGACATCTACTACATGGTATTGTATATCTTTGTTGCATTGCACATTTTGGAAGTAATATATACATCGGCTTGTTGATTATACTACGTGTTAAATCGAGCTACGGCGCTTCCATCCAAATGCACGTACCGGTGATCCATCGCACTTGGGAAGGCTGAGCGGGATGATACTAACCGATAACTCTGAATCGGTCCCACCTTCTGCTTCCAGTTCCACCAACGCCTTCAAGTTGGTCATATTCTCGACAATCAGTCCTCCAGCGCCTAGTATTGCCAGATGTACACCGTATCCCTCAGGACCATCAATTTCGTCTGGACTGAGCGTGTCTGATCCTATGATTTTCAGTCCCGTTGAAATGATTCTCTCTGCGGCATCTCGATCTAAGTATGGATACTTCATATAAGCAGGGGTCGCCCAGTGCGCCGACCAGCCTGTGTAGAGCAGAAGCATGGTTCCTTCCTTCATCTTGGACTCGTATTTTGCTAAATCATCATCCCAGAGTATCTTTGTTCCTGCCTTTTTATACGTCAAGTCCACCACAATGGCTGGGCGAGATATTAACGCGTCCAAGGGGATCTGGTCGATGGTCGCGCCGTTTAAGATAAAGTGAGAGGGTGCATCGATGTGTGTGCCGGTGTGTGTACCGAGAGAAAGAGAATGAACGCTGTATCCGTCTCGAGCGACGGTGGAAGTAGGGCAGCAGCTAAAATTATGATCACCAGGATAGATAGTGATTTTGTCAGGGTCGAGAGGGTGCGTCAGGTCAATAATGGAAGACTTGCTTGAGGAAGACATTATGATCGAAGCAACAAAGAGAAATCGCACGGTCAGTCGAGGCCTGTTGATCACAAGGCGGCTCAACTACAGCTTGAGCTTCAACCTTTTTCACCGCCAAGACTCAAAGTTTTTCCATCATCCGTCAAGGATTTATGAATTCAGTGCAGATCGTAAGTGCACATAGTAAACTTTCTCTGAACTGACTTTACTCCAAGTAAACCTCTCTGACGTTGAGGATGGGGGTTCATGGTACAGAAAAATTCTCCGCCCTCAGAAGTTTTTTTGACCTATCCGAACTGATTTTCATCTTGTCAGGCCTCACAACGTTTCTGCGGGAAAACAGAAAATTGTCAGAAACGATTTCATTACCGTCGAAGGGCTCGAAACCGGTGTATTTTGTAGTAGACGGATGGTCGTGAGCCTACCCTCTGTTTTCACCTTCAGGAAATATTTCTCATTTTCTGCAGACTTATATATGAATTAATATTTTCACTGCCTTGGGTTTATGGAGGAGAGTATCCTCATTTCGTACGGCTTATTACTACCGTAGTTCATGCATGGCTGGCTGTCGGAGTGAAATTGGCATTCGTATTCGATGGTGCGTTACCTTCTATCAGTCAAAGAGATCTGAATAACGGCAAGTTTCGCAGGTCCAGCACCAGAAATTAAATTTCGTACCCTAATGACCCGAATGGCCAAGTCCCACGTCGAGCCAAGCCTCTTATTTTTTCGGACCTCCCCAGTCTCTCGTTCTACACCTCGGTTTCTCAATGAATCTCGTATCATCCCTCCGCTGTCCTATGCCGTAGCCATTCATACCCTGTTGGAGTTGAAGACTTCACATCCAGAGCACATTGACATACATTTCGCAGATGAAGAAGGTGACCCGTATGCTGTGGAACTGGCCGGGAGGCTAGGGGCTTACGTTGTCGCCAACGACTCAGACTTTGCTATCCTCAATACGGAAGGTTATCGCGGGTTCATTCCGCTGCAGGCCATGGTCTGGCATGCGATAGACGAGGAAACAGATAATGAAGAATTTGATGAGTGGATCCAAGCTAGCAAAAAAAAACGACCTTCTAGGAACCCCAATCTCGGTCGGGGAATCATTCCTCCTCCAAATGCCGCCTCCTCTGATCTTACGCTCTCATTCACTGTACACAGTCCGGAAGCCCTTTCCTCGTTTCTCGACATCCCTATAACGCTCCTTCCCCTCCTCGGCGCTTTAGCCGGGAACGATTTTTCAAACCAGTCAGCAGGTGCTGGGAAGCAAGTCCAACAACTTTTTTTCGAACAACGCATGACACCCAGCGCACGTATCAATCGCGTCGCAACTACACTACGATCAATTTTATCTCTCGCCCAAAAACATACTCAAAAGCAGGCAAAATATCATGTGGATAGTGTGATGGATTTAATTAGCAAGACCGTCAAGGCTTTGCTTATCCGGTCATTGGATTCACTAGGGTCTGGCGAAGTAGAGGAAATTGTCGAACGCATCGTGAATTCCACGTTACAGTATGCGATTCCAAAATATCATGCTCCGACTGAGTTGGAGAACGGCTTGTGGCCTTCACCATTATGCGCTCTTCACGAACCCGATCTTTGTTCGATGTTACCGCTGTTCTCAAGGAACATTGCGGCGACGGAGTGGACTGAAGAGGAGCACCTAGAAAATCCGATTTCTTCAGATAAATTTTCCCAGCTGGTCGAAGTTCGAAGTAAGTTGATGAAAGCCTACAGATCGGGGAAGCTTTCTCCCAACATCATCAATTGTCTCAACTCGAGCTCACTCTGGACGAGGTTGTTCCTTGAGAATCCAGACATGGAAACGACAGCGACAATTACCCGCCCGATCAGGATATGGTACTGTGCCATTTTGGACGATGCGGTGGGGTTGCCCGGAAAAGAGGACGAGGAAGAGGAGGCAGGAGTTGATGGATCAGCCGCAGTGGACGATGACGATGAAGATGAACTAGTTGATGTTGTTGAAGTTGATTCAGATGACGAAGGGCGAGATATACTTGCCCCATTAAAAGGCGCTCTTCGCCGACTACACGAGCCCAACAGTGATTCAGGTGACTCATCACCCGATTATAGCCTCACAATGTCTCCCGTCAAGCACTGCAGTATCACAGAATATTACCGCCGTGGTACACGCGTTGTCGACGAAGCTGTTGAGATTCCTTCTCTATCGGAACTGCTTTCCGAAACGACAAATTCAAAGTCGGAGTCATACACTCCCTCACATAATCATACCAATCATACTGTCAAGCTACCTATCCGACCTCTCCTCACCCAACCTCCCGACGAGCGTTTGGCTGTGCTCCTCCGCGCTCTCAACGAGTCCGATGATATCTTGCGGAAAATTCATTCTCTATCACCTGAACAGCTGTTAACTGCACTAGCGTTTCGATGGCTACTTCGTTTTCTATGTGAGAAGGTGGCGGAGAACCCTATTAGTAAAGAAAGGCAGCAAGCGAGATGGACGGAGAAGGAGCTGAGGTGCGCCCTAGCAGCTTTTACTTGGGATGCTAGGAACCAGGCGAGGGATGCACTCTATGAATCATATCCACCTATCACTGATCGCCACGTCCAACTTACATCACAAATTCTTCAATGTTTAGACGGCGTCCACCAACTAGCAGAGGTCCTCCTTCTCAGTGATCTCGTGTCAACTTCTGCGCATCTATTTTCCGGAAGACGATTTCACGCCTACCTCACTGGTGATCTCAGTCCTGTTCCAGTAAATGCTTTCTCCGGTGAACTCTGGGATGCCTGCGTCCATAAATTGGGTGATGCTTTCGCCGAAGAGCGGATGAGCAGGAAGGAGAAGAAATCAAAGAAGAGCCAGAATCAGAATGTGCCGCATGTGGCTGATACACCGAAGAAAGCCAACGCTAATAACAAAACTGATGGCCGAAGGGGTGGAATATACGATATGTTGGGTGATGTCGAACTTTGATGCATGGTCAGTGTTCTACCATTCACCTATTACAGTAATCGCCATTGTACCTTTTCTGTATCCTCATCAGACCTCCATGGTTTTATCTTCGAGTGCGCCTTGCTTTCTATTTGCTATCTATTTCTATTATGTACATTATATTTATCTATCTATTCAAGCTATTGTAGCTGTAGAACGGAAAAGCTATATGTACATCTCTTGACTTGGTGGTTTACAAGGGTCCTGATTTTCAGCATAGGTTAGCCCGATGCAGCAATGGAGATACAAAGCACAAAGACAGGATCAAGATCAACAGCTATCCTGAAATAACGGTGTCATATTACACCCTCACCGCTCATCGGAAGTCTATTTGTTGGAAGAGTTTAACAGAATTGAATAACTTCAGTGAACAACACCGCATTCAAGTATACAAGGCAATACAGCAATACCGTGAGTCTTATCTGCAGCGTCTCAATGAATTCGCCTGTGTCGGCCAGGCTATGCTCAGCGTCTCATAGTCTCACACAGGAAATATTTCCGAGCGACGACTCTTGAGCACTGCATCCTTCTTAAACTTTTGACTAGTCGACAGCACTGCCGCTGGACGCCCTTGGGCTAAGTAGTGTATTGTTAAAAAGGGATCGCCTTCAGGTGCGTTTCTTCGCCATAGACCACATTTCAAGGTTTTTCTTGAATTCTTGCATTCTACTACCAATATCTACACGCTCGAAGCAATGGCTACATACAACCGCACCAGTCTTCCACCTCCTCCAGAGGTTATCATTTATCGGTATGGTGATAAGTTAGTATATGTCAAGCCTGCTATGGAGTACGAAGTTAGTAAATCCTCATTCGTGTAACAGGCTTTTCTGTTACTAATCTATACCCTCGAATTTCTTTACAGGAAGCCATAGAACTCGCACTTCAAGAATTTCCCGTCTTGAAAAGTATTGCCGCAGAAAAACAGTCACGAGAGCATATAGCCTTCTACATAACAAATGCTATGCACGGGAAACGAGAGAGCATCTGCATATCTAAAAGTGCTTGGAAACCTTGCGTGTCTAGGATGTTGAGGGGGGAAATAGTCACTATCTTCGTGGTAGACCCTAGCAAAGAGGTGACGATACAAATCGAGCCTCCGCCGCAGTATCTCGAAGTCCCGGAGTCTTCTTCTGGGAGACACACCCGCAAATCACGATCAACACCGCCACATTCGAGTCGGGGGAATTCCTGTTCGCGACCGCACTCGCCTGCTGGAAGTGTAAAGAGTCCAGATTCTTTGTTGACACGGCGTCGGTCTTGGTTCCGGAGGTGAAGGTTGTAGGTTGAACAGTTGACTACAAAGTACAAATAGCATCGATGGCAATTATGTATAGCCACACCATGACAGACCGGTATACCTACTACATACCCTTGGCACTCGAATATCTATACCTGAATTGAATTTACCACATCAACATTCAATCATATTCGTTATCTGACGCTCAAGTTCTCGCTTGTCTGCCTTGGTCCTAACTTGCGATTGTGTAAATTCCATTGAGCCCCTATGAAATCATAATCTTCAAGAACAGTGTATTATGTATGTATGGACTCAAGCAATAAGAAGCCCTCATATCATCATCAGTGTATGTACAGTACATACTTCCATTGGGGCAACACATTATAAATGAATACTGCTGGGAGTGCTTTCAGTGCTGAGTATCCTTGCTCTGGTGAACATCCAGGTTTTGCAGAATGCAGATTAGTAGAACTTATTGACAGATAGGACCTGATAGGACCAAAGACTGTGACAGACGGGGACTTGGTGATAACTTAGTAGTTGACAACAATGGAAGTTTGAGTTGTCAACGATGATGTATCAGAAATTGAACACAGAGCCTGAGGAACATAAAGGAAACACAGGTCTGAGGCAGAGATGCAAACCCAGTGAAGACAGTCGCCGCAGGAGGAGATGAGCCTGAACCATAAGGTAAATATCAACAGACATGGCATCGGCGGCGACTGGAAGCCGCTGGGCTTCTTGGCCGTGGTTGCCGGTGGAACCGTGTTTGGCAAATGCACATGGAAGGAAGAGTCCGCGGAGGCTTTCAGCATACCAAAAACTGCTATGAAACCTTATGAGGTTGAAAGTCGAAACAACGAGAAGACGGTTAATATTTTCGTGGGACGCTCTATGTATGGTACGGCAAGATTATGCCAGTGCTGGCGATCAAAATTCGGCTTTTTTCAGAGGTAGCCGGCACTTGGCAAGTTCCATTCTATACATGTTTTGCTGATGGTCCATATGTACATTGGAGTTCAATTGCTTCGTATGCAAAAAGAAAGGTTTGCACAGACTGAACATGCACAGATTTTCGCAATACACTGTCGTTTAATAACGACAAGCAGAAATAAAATGTGCATTAGTTACTTAATTGAAGATCACTATTACTCGGGTACTTACGCTTCTTATTCTTCATTACCCCCTGTTTCCAGTTGTTACCCCTTGCTGGGTCTCTTGACACTTGATGGCTACTAGATTTATCGCTCCTTGACAATCAGTGTCACCACTACTGGGACGACAGGATTCGACCATAGCATTAATAACAAGCAGCCCCGGTTTCCCATGTTGACTTCGGATCAAGGGCCGACCGAGGAGGTTGCGAATACCATAGTATATAAGTATATGGTCGTTTTATCAACAAGCTAGCAAGCCATAACACATTTCCCTTCCTTTCAAGCCTCCTTGAGTTGACTAACAACACCAGACATCACTGACATCCTCATGTTATCCCTTTTTTTAATTAGCACTATATTGCTTGCAGAAAGTTTCGGTAAGTTGAGTCTCCAGAATGTTCACAGAGTCCAACCCGAGGATGAACACTGAGTTTGGATGCATCTATTGATGTAGGACAAACTTCTTCTCAAAATACCAGTGTAACACTATGGGAGTTCGGGGCGGGTCGTTTGGATAGTGGACAGTCTACTGCGCCATTACAACCTATTGGTACACCAGCCGATGGGCTTTCAACCACATACCTCTATAGAGTTATGACCTCTATCCCATCAACATCGGAATTGAATGACGACGGTTCACCTGTATTCACAACCTTTGTATCTACAGGTTAGTGAACTGTGACCAGTCTTTTTTGCTAGTGCCCAAGAGATTATGTACTGATAAATGACCATTTCTCCCTTTTGATACCATTCCACCTGCAGCTACACGAACAATTGTAGCTTCCGCTTCTGGATGGATTGAGAAATTTGGTACAACCAACACAATCCAGTGTAATTTTCTCAACTCGGAGGGAGGTGAATGTTTTGATGCAACAAGGTCAAATACCGGGGTTCCTACTCCGATTGTGCTCGGAGTAGAGCCATCTATCACAAGCACACCAGCTAATGTACCAGCATTTTCAACCACCCTTCCATTGACTCAGATCTCAAGTCCCATTGTCTCCCCAACAAGCACCTCTTCCTCTATCACACCAACGGTTCCCCCAAAATCGTCAACGACCCGGGAAATAATCATTGGCGTGACAATTGCAGGATCATTTGTTTTATGTGCGCTTGTAATTTTAATGATCTGGCTACTTAGACGGCAACGGCGTTCCCTCCCTGTATCAAATACTAAGAAGGTCGATGGATTGCTTGAGTAAGTGTAGCGGGACTAAGTGATAAAACAGCTAATAACCCAACCAAAATATCTCATCTAGACCTTTCCCATATACTGCCAATGCTGCTGTGACAAGAGGGATTTTCCGCCTATACCCCCAGGTGGGCCCATCTGCTAGTGATCAAACAGGCTCTGTGATCCCCCCATCGAAGGTGTGTTTATTATTATTATTTCAGAAATGCTGCACAGCTCAGAAATTAATAAAGGGTGCACAGGAATGGCTTCATTCCTTGCAACAGCAGTCACCCTCGGACACTTTGAGCACGGGCATGATAGCAGTCACAGGGAAGTTGCGGCTATAACAGCGCCATCGTCGGAGGTTGAGACGAGCAAGGTGTTGGAGCGACTAATGCGAGAAGAAAAGTTACTTTATTCAGAACGCAAAGGAATGATGATGATTTCTGTGGAGGATGCTGAACGCTGACTTCGTAATCAAAGCGTTTGTCCATCCATGAAATAATTTCTACACATTGATTGTTTTATGAAACCCTCCCGGTACTACACCGTCTGAGCACAAGCCTGCACCTTCGCACACGTATCACTACTCTCAAAAGGAAAACCGTCCAGTCATTTGAAGAACGGATAAGATGCAGGGGTTTGAGGGTGAGTAACGATCACACGCAGATCCGTGAAATCATTAATAGAAAAACGGCCGTAGCCAGAACTTCCTCTGCGCGACACACGATAACTTCTTTAGTGACGAATCCGTTCACGATGATTTTATTTTTTTGGCTTACCCTAGTCCAAAAAGTCCATATGCAGACTCGCTGTAGATAGTACTTCCGTTGATATTGACATATCCTGGAGGTAAGATCTAGATTTAGTGATACCTCCTCAATATTCACTGTGTTCCTACCTGAGTGTATACGAGATGCAACATCTTTTGCAGCATACAAATTAGATGTCCAAAGGGCCGCAGTGAGCGAATAACTCGAGGCATTGGCTAATTCTACTGCTTCATTGACACTGTCGGCAGCTTTGAGTATGATGACTAGGTAGCGAGACACGTTTGAGTTGGAATGATGTCGGAGTCCTGAATAGTAGTAAAAGAATGGCGCACCAGGTCCAAACGTCTCCTGATCCCATATCCTCGACCCGGGTTTCACATCTGTCAAAACATGAGGTTGTATAACGGTCCTCTCCCGTGTCAAATCCCCAAGCAGTACACTTGCACCCGTCTCCTTTGCCTCATGTAACATATCGAGGACATTTTGAGCGGAGCTTTCCGAAAAAAGTGGACCTAACTTGATGTCAGAATCCACCCCAGTTTGACTATGACTTGGTGTGCTTCCAGCCTTAATAGATCGTACGAGCTCGCAAATTTTGTCGTGAAGAACGTGAAATATCTCTCTTTGAGCAATAACCCGCTCAGTTGACATACATATTTGTCCGGAATGGAGCAAGGCCCCATGCACGATTCCTTTAGCGGCTTCGGTGACATTTGCGTCGTTTAGAACCTAAATGGACAGACCTCGACATCAAAACTTCAAAAACGATGGACTGGTGTTGAACGTACTACAACAGGTGCCTTCCCTCCAAGTTCCAAAACGCAAGGCTTCAAATATTTTGCAGCCTCCATAGCGATTGCTCTTCCGACGCGATCGCTGCCGGTGAACTATGGAAGGAGAGTCGTAAATAGTGTGAACGTGCTTTATGAAAGGATGTCGAATTTTTATAAAAACATGGGGAACCCAGAAAGTGATTATGGCAAGGGTACTACTTACATTGATCTTTCTTACTAACGGATTCGCAATAATTTCCGCTGTTAGCCTCGGTGCATTCTCTCTGGACGTCGAAATGAAATTGAAAACTCCGGCAGGTAGCCCAGCTTCTTCAAATAGATCACAGATGATAGCTTGACTTCTAGGACTTTGCTCGGAGGAACGAAAGACGACAGTATTTCCGCATAAGATGGGGATCAAGACTGCTCTCAGAGTCAGATTCACAGGCGAATTCCAAGGGGCGATTGCGAATCTGATGGGACGCAGTCGCATCGATATCAGCAAACTTGAAATTTGAGGAAGTGCTTACATTACGCCCATAGCCCTGCGCTCAACAACAACGCTTCCTCCTTGGGTCTTTTCTGAAGGGAAATTCATCCCTCCTAGTTCACCCACATTCCCTAAGCTCGCCAGATCCTTCAACAGCCCGATTGACGCGACCCAATTGAAGTTCGTCATTGCTGGTGCTGCACCTGTTTCTTCTTCCACCGCCCTCTTGATCTCATCTTTATACATTTTACCCCTTTGACTCTTATCCTCCGACTGCAGCAGTTCGGCAGCTCGAAGAAATATACCGCGTCTTTCGCTTATCAAGGTGTGTTCCCAAGTTTTGAAAGCGTTCGAGGCTGCAAGTATAGCATTTTGACAATCTTCACTGGATGCAGATGCGGATATACCGACAACTTGGTCCGTTGACGGACTGATGATTTCGAACGTTTCGCCATTGCTGGAGGGGAGGCGAAGTCCATTAATGTAGAGGGAGGTGAAAGGCATCTGAGATGAGAAAATACTTGTGGGAAGAGAAATCTCCTTCTATTTAAGTTTGCCATTGAGAGATGATACTGTACACGGGATAAGTGTACAGTAAGCCAGAATTATTTAATGTCTGTAAGAAACGCGAGAAGAGGTGGTGGGAGAGTTTTGTGAAACATTTCAAGAGCCATGAGCCAGCATTCGAAGTCAGCTGCGTTCAATAAACATTGCTCGTTCGAGCTGCAGGTCCATGGGAGAAAGCATATTTCCGTTTAGCACGCGTAGCTAGACGGAGAATGTGTTGCAGATTGAGAAAAATATGTTCCCGCTACCTCTTTAGAGGTTGAAGGGTTTAGTAGACCCTAATTTTTCCAAATTATCCATCCTAGTCATCATTTTTAGTAATATATCCCCTTTTAGCAATCTTTTTACTGTCAGTTGATTAGTCACTTCTTGTGCTCGCTCTCGACAACCATCATCTTCTGGTGACAAAAATTGGGTGTTTCTCTCTTGACAACCTTTGTCTTACAGTAAAAACTATCACTTCCAGTGAATAATTCCCACTACCTCTTTAGAGGTTGAAGGGTTTAGTAGACCCAGTTTTTTTGGTCATTCACTTTTCAAGTTGACTATACTACTGCAGTACTACTGCTGGAGACAGCTGGAGACTCTGGGTTGGGCAGATGCATCTACATGCGGCGCGCCCGATGCGCGCCGCTTTTTCTATCTACAATACAAGTACATTAGCCATCACCAATCAAGGTGTGGTCCCATTGTAGTACAGACCTCTACAAACACTACCTCTTACTACTCATCCCTGCATCTGCGTTCAGTCCATCTTGTACTTAGTGCTCACACAGACACACATTGACTGGTAGCGGGCCCTGCCGTTCACCGGCGCTACTTCGTTATATTATGTAAGGTTACATAATGGATACTCATATGTGGCAGTGCTGAGCGCTCAGTCAGCATCAAGTTCAACCGAATCAACGTACGCGTTCAACTATAGTATCGTCACCACGACATTTTATAATTGGCTCTTTACAGCCTACATGGGAACAACAGGAAATAAATATCCTCACTGGACGCCGTGAGGAGAGCTATCGGGATCCTACAACTTCTGAAGAAAAGGCGTAGCATAAGGAAAGCGGTAAGGGGCTTGTTGAGTACTCATGAATGCGACCGAGACATGTCACTTTGGAGAAAGAAATGAACTGTCACGGATAATCGATCGAGTGAGTGCTATACGTGAAAATACTCGAATATTCTTTATTCCAAATATTCTACAGAGTCGACCATATTATTATTACCTACAACTACCTGAGAACTCATGACATTATGTTTGACATAGCGCGCAGCTCCATTTCCATGATCTTGTTGATGCTTTACGCACTTTGGGAAGTTTGACGGAACACATTCGCTCTTGAATTTCCTTCGGATTCCAGTTCAGTAATCAAACTTGTGTTACTGCTGTCAGAGCTTCTTCTACAATTTTTGGGGCCTCTGCGAATCGAGGTTTGAAGATATAGTCATAGTGATTCGGACGCCTAGAGGATTTGAATGAGGTGAGATGCACTACATTATCGGTGTAAGACCATACTGACACAACAAGACCTTCATTTATCGTATCTTCGGTCAACTTCACAGGTGAACCATCATCATTGACCGGGGGATGGATGGCAAACAACCACAAAATGCTAGCCATATTGAGAAATAAAGAGTTGTTCGCGAGATATCTGCCAACGCAGATCCTTACACAATCCGAGGAGTATGAGAGCTCAGAATCCGACGATTTTCTCGAGTTCACTCACCTGCGACCAAACCCAAAGGTATTGTGTCCTTCGTTCTTCGTACGTGGAAACGCTTGACATAGATTCCCCTCCTTGTCAAGATGTCGTTCAGGCTTGAATAGGTGGGCATCTGGGCCATATACATCGACATCTCTATTCATTGCCCTAGAGTACAGTCACAAGTTGGAACTTCACAGCACCTTCGACTGTGGACGCACCATACGTTTGCGATGCAGATGGTGCCTTTTGGAATGAAGTAACCTTTGTAGATATCATCCTAAGAAAACGACAAGTCTCGTGAGTGGCGCATCTAGTTGGTATTTGGAATCCTACTTCTATAGAACGATGTTGAAGTCCTGTGAGTATCATATTCAATTTGGGTGTTCGAAAACGTGATCAGAAAGCATTGTCAGAAACGTTCACTCACCTAATGGATCCACGGGGTTTAGGCGAAGCGCCTCCTTTATGATTGCACGAATATAGGGTAGATGCTGCATATCATCAAAGTTTGGCAGCCTGTCTCGTCCGACAACTCGGTCCAATTCAGCTTGTGCTTTGACTTGCACTTCAGGATACATGACCATTGCCAAGAAAAACCACGCAAGAACCCCTGACATCTAGAACACTAAGGTCACTTCAATCCCAATACGGGTGCTTGAAAATGGCAACTGACTGTTTCGGATGCAGCAGCTCTTTGGTTTTTTGAAAAATATACATCAGAAATCAAGAAAATGACCAGAAGAATAAACGCCTAACATGGCTGCAACCATCCACGCCACTTCTTTATCTGTAAGTCCAAATTTTGCTTGTTGCTCGACAACTACTCCAGTAAGGCTTGGTCGTGCAAGACCGTTTCCCTGAAAATGTGTAACCCTTGCTTTGTGACGGGGTTGGGATCGTATATCCGAAAAACACTCACCCAATCAGTCTTGACTTTCTGGAACATCGACAGAAAAATCGGAATGGACTCTTGTGACCAACGAAGTGCTCGAGCTTTCCAAGACATCATCCATGCCGGAAAGTGGCGTATCCACGGGAAAAATTCGACGACAAAGCTGTCAACGTATGCAGTATTGACTAGATGGATTGTAAAGTCATATATGAGTCGTAATTCTGTGTCATTCACAGATGGTAGCGTTGGGATATCATATGTCACTCCAAGAACTGTAGACCCCCCAGCTCTAAAGAGAGATTCAATCAGCTCGGACTACTGTTCCGACGAAGAGTAAAGGGTAACTACCTTCGCACATGTTCTACCCAGTTACCAGAGTCTTGAAGGAGGTCATTCAGCAAAAGTGTTGCTTCCTTTGTCTGAATTGGTTTGTATTTTTCAACTGCGTTCTGATGGAGGCCCTGATGTGCGGCACGGCGCATGCGTCTCCAACTGTACTTATCAGAGTGAGTATCTACCCCAGGGAAAAAGTGCTGGAGCGGCTTCTCACGTTTCTCCGTAGCGCACGAAAGGCATGAATAGACCCTCTGTGAGCATCTGGCAAGCTACGATCCAGTTAGGGCGGTCTGAATAAATGGCCGCACGATCATCCAAGAGGTCGGAAGCAACCTCTAAGGTGTTTAGCACGATAACATTCTGTCCGGCTAGATTCAGGTAAACAATAGGACCTGTTGATATCCGAAAGTTCATGAGTTTCCCGTGATATTCACGTTTTGAAAGTCGTACCGTATTCATCTTTCCAGGCAGTGAAGGTCGTCCATGCATCGATAGATAGCTGGTGCACATTACCGATGATGGGAAGACGAGGTGGCCCTGGCGGTAGCTTGAAACCTTTTGTCTTGCGAGAGCGGGCTCGCAGCACTTCGATCACCAACACGGTGAAAGCGATAGGAAGAAGATTTGTTAATAGTGTTGATCCCATAGTTGTAAGTAGCTATTCGCAAAGACCTATACACCGGTACCCTTATATACAATCAGTCATGGCCAGCTGTAAGTCGGTGGTCTGAGCTTGAGTATGCCTGAGTGTTCGTATCAAAAAAGAAGCACAATTTGATGGTTTACGTAGACTTTATGTACTGGAATTATTAGAAAACAGAACACTTATTATCATGGGCAATGGAAAGGCATCCCAGGAGGGTAAATGCTTCCCTGTTGAACTGTCTTGTCCTTGAATAACGGGCTTCAGAGTTTTACTCTAATCATTAAGCTCAGGACCATCGAAATCATCACATACTATCTCAGATTATCATACCCATTCACAGGATAACTGTGCATACATCAAGGGAGCCTCATTCAAGTTCATCATATGAGACATTTATCTGCCAATAGTCCGAAGCTCTTGATACGACCTGTAGCTATGCCCAAGCCTCAGAAGCACTACGAAGAATGATTATCAAGGGCCTGAGAGTTGATACATGATGTTCGTTGGGAAGCCCAGGATTAGCAATATTACTTGCGAGGGGCAGAGTTTGGCAGAGCTGGGCCTTGTCATCGAAATCGAGTCTCCGTCATGATACAGGTTGCACCTTGTGAACAAGTATCCCAAACGGTCACCACCGCGCCAGTATCGCGCCATATCCATCATAAAGCTATTGCACATGCGAGAGCCAAATTGTACCTGAGTGAAGTTCTCTAAATTCACAATACCAATGACAGATAATCATAGAGCGCATATGTGCTCCCTAAATTGTATTCAGATAAATCAAGTCCCATATTCAACCGCTATTCCTTCAATTGCGGTTTGGCCCGGTACATTTAGCTGTAAAACTAATTGCCGAATGCAGTATATTTGCGTTCGCGATCTTAAGGGCGCTCAGAAAAAGACGGTTAGAATAGTATAAAGATATCAGATTCACCCAATGGCCGTAGCTACCGCGATACAAGGGCCTAGCGCACTTGAAATAACACCGGTTAGACTCTCCTTCACTCATCGAAGAATGGGTGCCCCTCAACTCGAAGTCTTCAGTCTTCCAGATACGCTATGTCGCTGGGCATGGAGCCGGAAGCTGAATCCAAACTACAAGAAGGTCAAAGAAGAATCCAAGGCGTGGCTGGAAAGCTTTCACGCCTTCCCGCCCAAAGCACAGAACGCCTTCAATCGTTGCGATTTCAGTGAGTTACCTCCCATAGCTGTAGTGACCGTAAGTTCGGATTGAACGATCACACGAAGATTTGCTAGCCTCGCTCGCATACCCAGATGCGTCTGCTGGTGTGTTATTCACTTAGGGGATATGCACCTGGGCTTGACTTTTTCTCCAGAGCATTTGAGGACCGGTTGCGACCTTATGAACCTTTTCTTTGTGTTTGATGAGTACACCGATGTCTGCGATGCCGTAGAAGCAAGAAAGCTAGCGGACATTGTTATGGATGCACTCAGAAACCCGGACCTCCCTCGCCCGCAGAATGAATCTATAGTGGGAGAGATTACCAGGCAGTGAGGCATTATTATTATTTTGACATAGCAAGTACACCCATACTGATTAGTATGTCAGATTCTGGCTGTTGGCAAGAAAAACTTCAGTCAAAAGTGCACAGGAAGTGTTCATTGAGACCTTTGATACTTACACAACCTCTGTGGTCGAACAAGCTGAGGATCGAGTAACGCATCATATTCGCGATGTTGAGTCGTATCTGAAAGTTCGACGCGATACAATCGGTGCCAAGCCTTCGTTCGCTCTACTTCACTTGGGCTCGGACCTACCAGAAGGTTTCTTGTTAAATCCTCTCGTGGAATGCATCTCTACTCTTACGATAGATCTCCTTATCATCGGAAATGTAAGTCAACTGTATAATGTGTTACTATGTGTTTTATCCGATTAATCGGACTCACAGGATATATGTTCTTATAACGTGGAGCAGGCCCGTGGCGACGACGCCCACAACATGGTCACGATAGTCATGAATAGCATGTCTCTCAATCTCGACGACGCATTGTTGTGGATATCCAATCTTCATGACATTTTGGTAGATTGGTTCGTCGAAACGTATGACACCATACGAGCAGAGCTGCCTATGTTGAAAGAAAGCGATGCGGCGGTTGCGTATATCAACGGCTTGGGAAACTGGGTTAGAGCAAATGACTGTTGGAGTTTTGAAAGTGAGCGATATTTTGGACAGAAAGGTGTTGGGATCCAAAACACACGTATAGTAGAACTTTTACCTCGAATTTGTTGAATACTTTCTAGGGAGCACCTGCTCGTTATTTTTTCGTCTTTTTGGCAGCTAACAGAGCAACGTAGGGAAGCGCTCATTTAGACGCGCGGGGTTACAATAACAGGCAATCAATTATCTTTGTAATACCGAAAATATAACCTATCTACCCGTCCGAAAATTTCGAAGCAAATAAAACCGTAGGTACTAGAAGCATACAATGATTACATCGGATTCTCGACTTGCCACTGGTGAGCTATGTAGCATAATTCTCGTCAAGCCAATGCCTCCCTCACTAGCTGAAGTTCATTGACTGTTGCATATCAGACAGAATCAGACTCAGCCTCCGCAGCCTTCCTCTCCTTCTCCTTCAAAGCCCAGTCCTGATCCACCTTTTTGTGCATTGCAACCTCTTTCATGAACACCGACGAAAGTAAACCGATTCCTGCAATCCCAATCATTGTCTGCCAAACTCGAATGATACTATCCGCGAACGCATCCCGGACTTGGGTCCGTAAGGGTTCTTCGAGTTGTTGTATGATAGGAATCAGGGAGTACGCAATATCTGCACTGCCGCCGTTGAGGGCGGACTGGGCGAATGAGGCAGGAAGGCGTTTTGAGAGTTCGTTTTGGAGAATAGTGCCTCCGATGGTCACACCCCAGACCTGTAGTCAAGAAGACGGATGGGGGTCAGTCAGTACGGACAAAACGGGAAATCAAAATATGTGGACACTTACCCCGGCAAAGGAGCGACAGAATGCAAAGAAAGCAAGGGCATAGCTAGAAAGTAAAGCTGTAAATTCAGATTGTTTCTGGCTCCAAAAGTCAAAGTAACTAACGCGTTTTGAGAAACTTGCAAGGGAGCCAGAACTGGAAAGTAAGTTATTGCATAAACCGTTCCGCCACCAATACTGATAAGAGCCGAGTATCCAATGGAATGGGCCAACGAAGTTTCTGCATCAACGGTCGAGAGCAGCCCAGTTCCGATGATCAATACAACCCAGCCAAACCACGCTTGAGGACGGTACTTGGCAAGCTTAGTCACTGACCATCCACAGAGAATGACGACGGGACCAAGGGTCATACTCAACCCGAAAGTTTCAACACCGGAACGTAGCGGTGATGCGCCTTTGCAGGCTTGAAAGTATGCAGGGAGGTAATCTAGATTGAAGCAAAAATAGCGAGTAATTGGTATCTTGGCTGGTACCACGGGATAATAAAAATCGACGCACAGATCACGGAAAGCATTACGACGGGATTGATGAATGTTTGAACATATCTTCAATCAGAACGTGAGTTGGACTCGTTGAATTGAGGAGTAATTGAACTTACCCGCTCAGACTTGTTCGGTTGGTTAACAAGGAAAACGGCATCTGAAGCATATTACGCGTTAGTGTTAGTTCTACACCCGATCATGATAATATGACGTACGATAGGCTCTTTTGCTACTAGTGCTTCGTAGAAACCAAAGCCGACGATACCCGCAAGACCGACTATGAGAGGAACAAGGACACGGAAGGAAGACCATGGAAATGTTGCGCCTCCCCAAGTAAGGGCAATTACAACAGCAGTCGAACTTGCGATGACGATCCCATTGCCGCTATAGCAAATTAGACATTTGAGCAATCAAAGAAATGCAAGATCTGGCACAAGAGGACCCACATCCAGTCCATGCGCTTCAGCTTATCTGTAAGATTTCCAGGAGGAGTAGGAAGCTTGAGGAGAAGGAGAACCAGGGCGAAAGCAACACCACATATCGGAAGGTTCATGTAGAATAGCCAGCGCCATTGCCCACCCTTAGTGAATGCACCGCCGATAAGAGGACCAAGCGCCGCAGCAAGAGCCCACACGCTGGATCGATTGAACTGATTAGCAGGTGCACAGAAAAATTTTAACCATTCACTTACAGACCAAGAACACCACTTATCGCTCCGCGTTCCTTGAGAGGAACAAGGTCGCTGATTATTATGTTGGAGATGGAAAGGATTCCGCCACCTCCCATTCCCTGTACAGCTTAAATGATACATGGTTGAATTTAAGGATGGATCTCGTGTTAGTGAGAAAAGGCTGAGTACATACTTCGGGCACCGATGAGCCAAGGAATACTTTTTGCCGAGCCGCATAGTGCGCTTCCTAACGAAAATAAACCCAGTGCAAGCAGCATAGCAGGACGACGACCAAAAATCTACCATAAAATCGATACAAAACAGTTGTTCAAATGTGATGTATATGATGACAAGAAACAAACATACCTGTGCGATTCCCCCACTCATAGGAAGAATTGCCGTTGAAGCCAATGTGTACGAGGATGTGATCCATATGAAATTATCCCCACCCAAGTCGCGTACAATTGAAGGAAGCGCAGTTGATACCGAGGTCTGTACGATACCGATGGAGAGTATTAGCATTTATTTGAGAACACTCACATATCTCTTACAAGTTCCAAAGGCGACAGAAAAAGCGCACAACCAACAGCTAGGAAGATGAGCCAAAAGCGAAGACCGCGTTTAGGCGACGAGTTAGAAGCATCTGTGGGCTGAGGCCCAGGCTGGGCAGAAGGCATAGTTTCTTGGACGGGTTGTGGTTCAAGTTTTGTAGAATCCGCGTCAGAGGTTGAAGAAACTTGGCCAGTGCTCGTTGGGACGGCCATTGTTGGGGATATTAGAGGGCACGATGGCGGTTCGTTCTTAGAACTTACACGAGGTTGACTCGTCGGAATGGATCAAGTTTAGTCATGAGTGTTTGAGTTTGATGCATAAAGAGGTTGATCGAAAGATGGAAGCAAGAAAACGCATCGCAGTACATACATACATACTTTTTCTGGGTATGATAATTATAATAATTACATTCCGTGGACATCGATGCTGTGCATTGAATTTGCGTAGAAAGCTAGAAGCGGGGGCAATATGAGTTGCGCAGGACAGCCGGGAGAACACCTTAGGGTGTTCACCACAAGTTAGGAAGAACCAGTAACCCGTCCCCGCGTTCATCGCTTCTGCACGGCGAATCCCCGCCCAATCTCCGGCAATAAATCCGGGAACCGAAGCCAGCCGAAGCCCGAGGAGTACCTAATTTGGACCCGCGGCAACTTCCGATTTGTAATTGATTTTGGTTAACGACTAAATACATATTCCCATGCTCCTACATCGTTCAACGATCTTGATTACACGCTGCTCTCTACTGCACACGTCCACCATGGCGTCCGGTATCCAAGTACTGAATCCTTCAAGTCCTGACCTTGCTTCACCTACAGAACCTCGGTGGTATCTTGCATACGGTAGTAATCTCTCTGCCACTGGCTTCGTTGTTAAGCGTAACATCACACCCATCGACACAAAGGTTGTCATTGTGGACGGTCTTGCCCTCACATTTGACAATCCAGGTGTACCCTACATCGAACCTCGCTTTGCAAACTGTCGCTTGGTTGAACAAACCGAGCAGTGGTCACCAGGAAGTGCCTGGACAGGCGGTCATGGCAGCCTCATGGGTGTCGCGTATCTCCTCTCTCCCGCCGACTTCCTCACTATTCTACGCTCTGAGGGTGGTGGGACCTCATACCAACCTCTGATTACTCCTGCTGTGGCTCTTTCTGCGGATGGGGCAAGAACTCAACAAGTCATTAATGCTTATACTTTGCTTACGCCAACGACAAGACGTGGTACTGGTTACGCGTCATTGCGATACATGAATCTTCTTCGGAATGGCGCTAGAGGTAAACCGTTATTATTTACAAATTTCTATTTTTTCTAATGAGCTCCACTTTTACTGTAGAACAACACATGCCCGAGCCGTATATTGCATATCTCGATTCAATTCCCTCTTATCGTATCAAGTCATTCCGCCAGAAGCTTGGTCGTCTCGTGCACATTGTCGTATGGATGCCGGGGCTACTTGTATTCTTCCGTATCGTCGCTCGAGTGTCTGGTAAAACGGGCACAGCACCAAAACCCATCCTTTGGACCCGAAGGGCATTATTTGGGACCATGTGGGGACTTTACGATTTGCTGAGCAAGTGGATATTCGGTGATGGAGAAGCGTCGTCCTAATTTCTTTGAAAACTGGTTTCTGGGACTTGATTCGGACTAGGAATTTGCAGGCTTGCTGTACTATCCGTGAAAAAGACTGTCATGATATGATCATCCCAATTCATATCTGTATACTTCTTTAACCAATTAGGAAAAGCTTTGGGTGATGTGTTGACATGCATCCCAGAGCCATCGTCAATTCATGCAGTAAAGTATATCTATGGCATCATGATGGAACTACAAAGCTTCTTGCAAGTTTGGTGGTGCCTGAATGGAATTATCTACGCTGGGAAATCAAGAGGGAATCGAGAGGGAATACTGAGTTGTTGGTAATTTCTGGTGGCAGATTTACAGAACGGTGTTGGGGAGATAGATTAATGATAGGCTGGTACATCACAAAGTCAAAATTGGATGCACCCTAATTATAGTGGCCTATTTGCTGTCGCTCTGCAAATAGCTGCAAACAACTCCCTTGGCATGTCACTCCTTGCCACATATCGCCATGATGCATTTTCTTGAAATCTCTTCATCATTCTGCCATATTATTACAGATGCCATCTATCGTAAGTAAGTATGCGCATATGCTCAGGTACTGACTGGCGCTGAATGTACTGCCTCGGTGCTGCCTTATCCCTGTCAATCTGTGTTTCGCTTCAATCAAAGATGGTGGGGATCTCTTGGGATCTGCCCACCTGATTCCGAATTCATCCTTTAGCCCTAGGCTCGGTCTTAAACCGGTCTTCAAGTCCCGACCTCGTTCCTTTTTGCCTTTTCGTAATTATAAGTACGTTCTAGTCATTTCCTTCCGACTGCCAGGTTCCTTTGCACCTTGACTTGAACCCCCCACTGGTCTCCACTCCTAACCACCACTGGTATAATCATCATGGCTACTATCGTCACCCCCTTCGACAAGATGTTCTTGACCAGTATCTGGATTGAAACCCTGTTATACGGTACGTGCCTCCGTATCTTGCATCGATTTATGCTTCACATTTTTCTACAGGTCTGAAGTGCGCCAAATTCGAATTCCCACCATCTCAAAACTGCTGACAATATTCTCCCATTTTTTTGCAGTTGTGCCGTGTTCGGTACGGCCATGTATGTTTTGATTCGAAAGCAAAGCAGGAACTCGAAGTGAGTCCTGCGGTAACTTTCTTTTGTCTCTTACGAATGCTCATAATATTGTTTTAAACAATCGGATAGTTGGTTCCTCATCCCCGTCAGCATCTTCCTCTTCAGCCTTTCCACAGGTTACGTTGCTGTATCGTTCCGCCAGCTCTTGAATGCATTCATATTCGCACCTCCGGGCGGTGCATCCGCGTACTTCAAAATTCAGACAAACCCGTTGGCGGTAACAAAGCTTGTTTTGTATTCTACGAACGTAGGTTCTTTTTACGTTGCCAGGGTTTTCATCGATATCCCGATGATATACTTACCCGGGTTTTTTATGATCTAGGTCACAGCTCAAAACTTGTTCTTGGTGCGTATGCTTCTTTCTTGCCGCGTCTTATGATTTTGATTTTGATTATTTTTTTTTTGCAAAGATCTGGCGTCTCTGGGGTGTTTGGAACAGAAGATGGTGGGTCGTTGTTCTACCGGTGAGTGACTTTGTATTCTTCGGTATCCGAGGTGCTCTATATCTGATTTTTAATTTTTCATCATTGAAAAAGCTCGCCATGGAGATCGTGCATACAGGTAAGCTGACCGCCCCACATAATCCCTCGTAATCGCGCCACATTCCCATGTCCGAGTCCCCTTTAGGCTTTACTAGTAATGCTCCCCGACTTGTACTAACCCCGTTTTCCCTATTAATTTACAGTGTCCGAATTTATCGCAATCGGAGAAGGCGCAGTCCCACGTCCGAATCAACGAGTCAAAGGCGATTTCATCCTTATCATCCGACAACTCAGTATAGTTAATTGGTGTATGGATCTCGCAATCAACATCTGTGTTACTGCTGCGATCGCTTTCAGGCTGTGGCAGATGGCGAGGACGGTTGGACCAAGCATGCCTGGACATAGACAATTCTTGGGTATCATGAGGTAAGTCACCTTCACAACCGAGTTGACGTTGCATTTTCAACGGTGCCTCCGTGTTTTTGTAGAATGATATTGGAATCCGGTCTGCTTTTCGCCACTGCCACGCTTATCACGGTTTCTATCTATCTTTCTGGTTCCTTGGACACGGTGAACGCCATCGATGGGATTGTTCAACTCGCAGTAAGTTTTCGACTTTCGCGTCAGATACAACAGAAATAGCTGACAGCTTTTTTTGTTTAGACAATTACCCCCCTTCTTATCATGTAAGTATCACAGAAAGATTTGAACATCCCCGACTGATGAACTAACGCTCTTGCAGAGTACGTGTCGGGCTTGGACTAACTGCGGGACAGCAATCTCGCGACACCGAGGTTGATGTACCGTCCAAACTCGAGTTCATCACTCGTTCCCGCCTTGGAGCAAGCACGAATGACGATTCTGAGATTACGGATTCAACCCATGTTCGTACCAGACCTGGTGCAGGAATGAGCGATTTCGATCTTCACAAGGTTGAGGAGAGTTCTGTTTGAGTTTCCAGGATCTTACGAGATACTTGCAAAATTTCTCCACGTTCGCTCTCTTGGAGGACGAGGTTTTTGGTATGAGGTTTCGATGTTCAGGTTTGTGGTTTTGAGAGTCAATAATTAATTTCTTGTTCTCCGTCTTTCAGTCCCTCCTGTCATGTAATTAAAGAACAAGTATACAGTAGTATCATTTATGTAGTGTGTACGCTTATTTATCAGTTGTTTTTATAAAATACGAAGAGGAGGAGGTAGATTGGAAGCAGCATGGTCTCTTTAAGAAATTGTTCCTTGCAAAAGTCTGAAATACTACTTTATTTAACCCATAGCAGTCCCTGGGGCTGATTGGAGGGTATACGTTGTTCAGACACTAATCCTGACAATAAACACTGTCAATCGCAGCCTTCAATTGGTGGCAGAGAATCATATTGGTGCGAACTGGTGGGGAGATAAATTTGGCAGACTGCCTAGAAAATGTATGGTGAGAATGATAATGGCATCTTTGCTCAAGTTAGGACGGATTCGGAGTGGGCAGTTTCCGGTCTAGATTTACCTCCTCCCCCTCCGAGTCATACTGGTCAAAAGATTCAATTTTAAATTTTGAGTTTGTCAAGTTGAGCAACACCTCGCACAAACTAATAAAAAATTCAAGCGCTGATACAATAAGTAGAATTCTACAGCAATTAACTACAGTTACAATTATAATATGCCTCCTCAACAATACACCCTGTACTGCCAATCTGACCAGTACGGAGACTCAACAAAAATTTGAGAGTACAAGGCAGTCAGTAATAGCTACTGTCATTCCATGGATTCAATGACATATTCAACATGAATTTTGGGTACTGGCGGTAGTGGTTCTTCCCTCCGGAAAGGCCAGACAAGGTTAAGGAGATCCTGAAGACAGATTATAAATTAATTTTTGTATGAGATTATTTTCACCAACCTTGTGTGTCCCGAAAACAAGAACTGCGGCAACAGGTACTGAAAATAATGCCATATATATTATATGAGTTATCATCACATCACAGACCAAATATGATTCTTACTAATTGCTAGAATAATATTCATCCCAACTCGGACCTTCCTCGAATTTGTATCAATTTGGTTGAGGAAAAAGAAGATTAAGCCAACTCTATAAACAAAAACCTTCGTAAAAATTGAGATTTTGACAGCTTTGAAAGGACGTACATTGCGCTGACAAGGCCAAAAAGGGTGAAGATTGAAACACGGACAAACATTGACATGTAATTTCTCTCCAGGAGAAATGAAGAGTGCTTGCGGAATGACAAGTATATTAGCACTACAAAAATCATGAGCTGTAGCAGTAATTTAATCAATTTTGAGGCTTTTGAACTGCTTACAGTTTACCACAAGAATAGGAACCACAAGAACAACTACCAATGCTGCAGTAATCTTCCCACTGATAAAAAAGGGGTCAGGCATGATGCATGCAATCAAGTCAAATACGTAAACATACGGAACAGGATTCTCTAAGCTACAATATGAGATTGAGGAAAATTTGGCATTTGTGGCAAGGGTTAACTTGAAGTGCAAAGGGCTTGTTATTTCTTCTCTGTTAATTATTAGTAAAAGCAAGACCTTACACTCAGGGATTCTATCATCAAGACAACAAATATCACATAGGGAGTGATTAGAAGCTGGATAACTAGTCAGTGAAAGGTAGCAGTATACACTATCCATTCCCAGTACTTGCCACTATGTGCCAATAGTAGTGTGTTCCTCTTGTAGACTTCCTAGTAAGTGTTGCCTGAATATTCAGATAAAGCTGAAACAAATTGTGTCATCAGAATAGACATGACCAAAGGGTAGACACACTTGGATAACCAATGCCAATGCACAAGCAGCAGAACTGAAGAAGTATTATGATTATTGCCCCTGATACTAGAGGGCCGGATTCCTCACAACGGTGAAGCAGCATGATTGAGTGATGACTGTGCCAAACACAAAGAAAGACTTGGATTTCCATCATAGGCATGCCCAGCAAAGAAAATAAGGAGGTAGGATGTGCAATATACTATCCAACTGACGAAAAAGTTATACCAAGTGGCTTGACGAGGTACTGAAGAGAATAGAGCGGTAACCAAACTAATCATGGAACCAATTAGACCCATGAGCTGTAAAGCATTGAAGAGCTTTGTTTCAGAGTCGAAGTGGATTGCAACTGGAAGTTGTGTCAGTGTCATGCTAGTTGTAATGGAAAACTGATCTGCTTACCTTCACTCGATGGATCAACACTGGCGGATGTTTGGACCATATCAAGGATACGCAGTTGGTCAAACAAGCAATGGGAAGGAAAGAGATATCGAAGGTTGTGTCGTTGCGTCTTTATGCTATATCAGTGTAGTAAGAAGACTATAATAAATCGTGATGAATCACTCATCTCTGTTTCAATCAATCAACGATCGCTCCTCCAAAGAGCTATGAATTTGGTAGTAAAGCCACCGGGAACGGATTGAATTCTATTATATATACCGCTTTGGAGCACCGAGGATGCATTTCAGGGAAACTGAGAGAAGAAAGCAACGAAGTCAAAGTCGGAACTGAGACGGTTCAGAGCACTGATCCTGAACTTTACAATTATGATGCTGAACATGTACCTTGTTTTTGTGCTTCGACAGTTGAAGAGATCTTCCAAGAAGCAAGGCAACCTGAGATGACCATGTATCACATTTCACATAGGCAGGCTTTCCAAGAGCTTAATGAAGATGATCATAATCAATGTCATTGTCGAGGAGAGCTCAACTACGTTCTCATCGATACTCGCGGCCTTCAATCTTTAAATTCCAGGTGGTGATCGAGCCTGAGCTACGTGATGTAACAATTCCAGATTGTTTCGAAGACCTGGACTGTTGATGCTCTTATATAGGTTTAACTGGAGCGATAAACTTACATGGAAACAATGAAGAATGCTGAATGGAAACGTAGGAGCTCCAAAAATCCCGATCATGCCCCCGAGACAATGAGCAAATAGCACCAGTGCCCGAAGCCGGATGACTCTGAAGAGGCTTTGAGAAGTGCAAAGAAGGTGGGACCAATCGAAAAAGAAAGAGATGCGCATGTTCAATGCAAGTGGCCTCCGACTCTCGACCCAAACCTCTCCTGGACCAACAATGACACGAATGAACGCGAGTATGGAAAAGAGGTCCGCGGGCGATAGAGATATGTAGATGATATAGATATGGGTTCGATGTAAGGCTTTTGACATTGGGAAATTTAGACTAGGCGGTTTTGCGACTCGTTCATTCACTCGTCTTTTCGTCCTAGGGTGAACGCGCCTTCATACGCAGGTAGTCGCGGGTCTTCATGTGCCATACGCCACGTCCCAACGAGATTTCGTCCGCCAAGAAGAGTGCCATAGAAGAAATATTTTCCGCTGTTACCTGGGCGGGATCCAGTAGGCTGAAGGAAATGAACACAAAAAGGTAATGTAGTCAGTAAACATAAATTTTCAAGGATCGACAAAGGGTTCAAAAAAAGTAGGCAAAAGACATCGTAAGACAAAAATACTGTAACTCACCCCGCTATCGACACTCCCTACTAACCCTACTAACCCATCCCACTTTCTCACTCTTCCTCTCCATACCCAATTACCCCATGCAGCAGCATGTCGCGGATCCGTACCCCCAGTGATGAGCACGTCTAAGACGCCATTGCAGGGCGGGATGGTTTTGTCGGAGGGGACGTACGGAGGAAGGTCCTCAATAAGTTCTTCGGAACCATCTGCATAATGTTCAATGTTCTTATCTTGAGTCCTCGCAGCTGACAACGCTCTCTCCCGTGATATACACCCTGGACATCTCTCCTGATCATGAAATGTTCCAGGCTTGCGTTTACTTCGAGCTTCAACCTCGCTGCCCATTCCTCGTGATAGAGTAGGAGTTGAAAACGAAGCGACCGATGAAGTGACATCATCTGCATTGATATCATTATTTTGAATCGCGACATACTCGTACTCCTCCACATTGTTCGTAACAAAGGAAGGGACAGTAGCAATGACACGATCGCCTTTAGTAGACAGCGTCGTGTTGGGAGGAAACCAGCTATCCTTGATACCCTGATCAAAAGCGTCGTCGAGGTTCATACCTGCGGCACCAGTACCACGATGGCCAGCATTATATGTGTGAGTTATAGAGTGCATTCCATCGTCGCTGTCGAAGTCGACCTTCGTGTCATTAGCACATGGAATGGGCTGCCCACCAAAATACACCACGTATTCCGATAGACGGAGGTATAAGGGCACCGCAGCTAACCCGAGAGTGTCTTCAGTGAAGGGAACAGGTCGATGCCCGGCTTCTTGATGAGGGTGGGGAGCAGGATTTGCATTGTTAGCATGAGGCCCGCCTTCGTTGTTCCCGTTGTTCTGTAGAGGATATGGATGATCATGGGGAGGCGCAGCGGCGGCGGGAGGTTCGTTAGCATGCAGCAAAAGTTCCTCTTGATTTGTCGTTTGGTCAGGAGGGAGCAGTAGAGCACGGAGGTTTGTTTCTGAAGGGATCTGAGCAAAGAATTAGCATTCGTGCAAAACATTGAAGTGATTAATCGAACTTACGATCATACGCCCGGTCCATAAGCCGTTAAGCGAACCGGGTGTGTATACGGTGCCTTGCTGAGGATATCCATTAAACATTGTGCGATTTCGTTGCATGTCGTCGTCGGCTTGATCAACTTGTCCTTGACATTCTGTCTCCTCGCCTACTTCCATATCTACGTCCTGCAGCAGTTCGTCGTTGAACTCACTGGTCGTCTCCTCGTCAGATTCGCCATCAGAGTTAAAGTCTTCAGTTCCATATGCATTGGAAGCAACGATGCTATCCTCAGATTCGGGTCCTCCTTGACTAACCCAGGCCGAGCGACAGAGACGTAACCGCCACCAATCAGCATCCCAACGACGACTGGAGCATGCACTTTCGTCGATCTCGCCACCAAAATTTTGATCAGCCAGATTATCATCAGAGAAATCTCCAATGTTTGATCTAGCGTCAAGAATGTTGGACATTGTCTTGCGTATATCGTCCCAAGGGTCGTGCGTGCGAGGCAAAAGGGTTCCTCCACCTTTAGGAAAAGATGAGGAAGAGAACATGTCTCCGCCGAGAAGACCGGCATTGAGCTCTTCGAAGTCTTCCTGCGTGGGCCGAGGAAGTTCACTCCGAAAGACGGTCTCGACTTGGTCCTCATCCACTTCACCATTACCCTGAGATGCAAGTCGTGCACGAACTCTGTCTCGGTGCTCTTCCCTGTTCCGTGGCAATATGTTGAGTATACCGAATGGTATTGTCTCTCGACGAGAAAAGTACACTAATTTAGCAGCATCGGCGGCAAGCGGCGTGCATAAGGGAGTCCAGCGCTCGAAATGAGGTATCACCCAGGTGTAGCGAGACGGTTGAAGATATATTGGATAAGGGCCATGAGGAGTTGGGATACTAAATGATGTCGAAGACGAAGATGGTGCGGAAGACCGGAGCGGAAGACGGAAGTGATTGGCTGGAGCAAGGGAGGATGGATAGCGGAAAGGAACGGTAAGGAACGGAAGTATGAGGTTAATGAGAGATTCCCGTTGTTCTGTAGATTCATCCATTAGACGAGCTGTATGGGATCATTAGGTCAGGTAAATTGAGAACAACAATGAGTTACGGACCTTTACTGGTGAGATGCCAAAAGACCCACATGGCGCAGCTGTTACCTGCATTAGCAATTGGCCATCCTTTCTCGACATTCTTGTACATCTCCGTCCGAATATAACCTTCAACCCACTCATAGACTCCAGCGAGCTGCATCTGGGCCCGGTTGCACCCGTCATCCTCAAGACACATAATCCACAGCACATACATCGTCCCCTGCACGTCAAAGTCTACGTCGTCCACATAAGCTTCGGATCCCGGTCTCTTCCGTCTGTTCCATACGTCTCTCAGTACTTGGGTATAGCGACGCAGCTGCCACGCCCATTCTCCGGTTCTCGGCTCGAATCCCCGTCGTTGAATCGCGCTGAAGGAGAACTTGTATTTGAATACACGCGCATACAGGTGCCGTGCTGCAATCAACTTGCGCGAGACGGCCTTGCAGAGTAATAAGATTACAGTGAGCGGTACTGGGGGACCTAAAACCCTTGGACAAACGTAGTAAAACGCAATGTTTTCCAGAATTTCGATAGGCAGTGTATAGAACGTTGCAGTGGTCATAGAGAGGTAATGAGTTTCTGAATTGATCGCCGTTGATGAACAGTATGTACTCGTCATATCCCGTGTAATCCTTTTTTGAAAGCGAAAATAACACCAGAGTTATGGGAAGAGGAAGTTGTCCTGCCGCACGAGGAAGGACAAGTTATCTGCAGAATTACATACTCACCGTGCGTATAATAGGGTAACGCAAGTCGCCGCTATACTTTTCGAATTGTGATTATGCAATCCAAATGCAATCCAACTGTCAGAATCTGGGCTTAAATGACATTGAAATTTGACAAGAAAGAGAAGCGTTGACCGAGTATTGTAATACAGCGTTATTTATTTAGGGAGCGAGAGTGAGGATTCCCTGCCTCCTATGTCGAGGTTGGATTGAGTCTGTTGAGGTACCTATCGAGACATTGTATTGGGCTACTGGAGGCGCGGACCCAGGTAGCTTGTGAGTTTCTCACCTTTTCTTAAGCGCAAATCTTGAGCTATTAGCGATGCCCTTGTCTCAGTGTAAACATTGGACAACATTGTGGGAGAGAAGAAAAAACCATCGCTTGCCTCCCGGCCCGCCCCAGGCTAGCCCAGGCTTGAACGAGGTAGCTGCGTTCATGGGAACTTTGTCTTCCATCTCGTGGATTCTGGCCCACGAGACTATCTTCGAGCCACCCCTCGAGTCTCGATTATCTGATAAATAACTCGTTGAACGTCGAGCACTAATCAAAATTGATCATCTTACACTGCAAACACAATACCGTCAAGCAGAAAGTTGAACACAGTTACCGTGACATAACGGTCAGTTCTCTCCAAGCTTCAAATCCAAGGTGGATGATATTCCTGATTTCTCCGGATGGGTTATCAACGTATCTTTCTGATTCTTGACGGACTGTTGCTTAATTCATTGACAAGTGTTCAGATGGGACACCGGTATAGGCTGCGAGATTATCAAGGTACTTATCTGTAGCTCAAGAAACAAGGTTGTACTCATCCTCTATGAAGGCAATTCTCCCGAAAAATGTAATGGTGTATAAGGTCGCTCGATCAAGAGAAAAGGCGATTTCAGTTATAGCCAGGCTCAAGGTCGAAACGGAAGGCAAAGAGGCTATCCTCCTCGAACTTGATTTATTCGATCTGTCATATGCTAATGAGTAGGAAGGAATCAACATTGCATGTGCTCTTCAACAACTGGTTTGCTCATATGAAAGACGAAGACCGTGTCCTCACCATTTTTTCCAATGGCATCATGAATACTTCGATTGGGTAGTTGACTGCTGATGGCTAAAATCTTCAGTTCGAGAAGAATGTTATTGGGCATTATGTTCTATTTCAAACAGCTCTTGACACCCCTTCATGCTAATGTACAAAGTTCCTTGGACAGAAAAGCGCATTTCGCCAATATGTCGTCTTCAGCCTTCTTCAGCTTGAAATCGGATGCCCCGGAAGCAATCAGCAAAACTCTATATGCAGAGTGAATTGGTCGGTCTTCCAACTTCTCTCTTTCCCTCATTAGAGTTCATTGATATGGTGCAATCATGGGCAAACATTGTTGTTTCAAGTGAACGGCTTAGAGGGAATAGTATCTACAAGTCTCAAGCCGGAAAATATTAAGACAGACCTTCAATGAAGCATGCCTGCTACATTCGAGTCTCTCTGGAGCCTTAACGCCGCTCTACGCCTACTGCTTCAAGTGATCCGAATAGCAATATGTGCGTATTGGTTGATACAGTCCTTGACCGGAAAAGGAGATCATGGACTACATTCTCCATCGTGGTTCTATACCTTACGATCGTCTTTCATCAATTAAAGCTTGTTCATATTCACATAACGTGTATCCAACACGTATTCCGTAGGACTAACTGGACAAGAAAATTGAATCCAATTGAATCGTACCTAATGCTAGTCAGAGTCGAGATGGAGAGATACCTCCTCAGACTCGAAAGCGGCACAGTGTAACTTTGGTGTATCTACAATGCGTATACGAGAAAGGGGTTAAGCTAAAAGCTTCAGTGTATACTCATCTTACTCTTTATCGACATCACTGTCGGAAATCACTCAATTCCCGTCTTGAACATTTTCAATTGAGGTGTGGGTCCGGGTAACTTGAAGGAGCCTTCCTAGTCAGCACAGATATTTTAATCTTGACCACGAACTGCGACGCCTTTCATTCTTGAAGTTATCTTGGAACGGAACACACGAGGCACAACTTAAAGCTTCAAGAAAAACCACTGTTCCATCCCGGCCCGCCCAAATTCCCGAATTTCCAAATTTCAAACCTCGATGTCCCGTTCCCATTCCGCTCTCGACCGGACCATCACCACGAAATCCTCCAAATGGATCAAACTCGTTTCACAGAATCCTACCCGGACTGTTGCTGCTCTTTATATAGGCCCCACTGGAGCGACGAACTCACATGGAGACAACGGACAGGATTTTATATTCGCCATGGACGCTGTGAGGAGAGTCGCTGAAGAGCTTTCCAGAGTGACAGTGCAGCCGTTGAGCTCTGGCGAAGGTTCTGGAGGAAGTCTAGGAGAAGGAAAAGACCTCAGAAAAGACTTGGAAGGTCTCGTGAATGCTGGCGTTGTTGAGGCTCTATGTCGAAATGTCATCGATCTGAAGGGTGATACCATGGCCGATGATGTGAGTGCCCAACCGGACGAGATACTCAGGTATTCTATACTGATCATTAATGAATGGTGCCCCTTCCAGGCAATGTCGTCCTTCTACCCTCCATTCGTCATCCTCTACTTCGTGGTCATCGGTATGAACAATGGCGACCGCGACGAACGTTCTGGAAACCAACGAAGCACTGTGGACAAACGCGCCATGAATGCCATCATGGATAATTGGGAAGAAATGGTCGATCGAGTGAGTTGCTGTAATTAGAATGTTTATTCTTCCCTACACATCCTCCGATGTCCCGTTCTTCACCACACTTATCCATATGGATTTTGAAACGCTGACCGGTGTGCTTCTCACCAGTGGTGGAAAGAACCTCAGAACACGCTCAAGCAAGACGCCACACATGAGCCTGAACGTCTACTTGTGTCGAGGTTAATGGGCTATTTGCTGCTTGAAGACTCGTCTATGTATCTGTATGTCGTCTAAGTTTCGTCGTCTTGATCATACAGATTTTGTAACCTCCTTGTTCTTCAAATAGAAAAATTTTCCATCCATCATCGCATACCCTTTCTCTTATATCCCGCCACTGGGTTCACTGCACGTCTGCCAATATTGCTCGTCTCAACCTCTCCATCCTACGGTCTATCATATTCTTCAAATTCTCGCAAAATGTCGAGGAATACCTGAAAGAGCACGAAAAACCCCCTCTCGGTTCGTTGTTGGACAAGATTTACACGGGTATCCGGGCTCCCAGTAGTTCCAGCCAATCTGGCGAACTCCAAACCTCAGCTCAATACCTCCTCCAAACGATGTCCAATCGTCTAGCCCTCGGAGATCCTTCGTACGCCGTCGAAGACTTGGGATTTTGTCATGATGTGTATGTCGGTCTGCGGGAGTTCGCTGCTTCTTCCTCAAATACCTCCGAGTTGGATGATTTTGCTGATGCTCTTCGAAACTCGGAAGCATATTGGCGGAATGCGTTCACTCTGATGCATATAAAAAATTCCGACAAGTCGACGCATACCGAGAAAGAAGTATCAGTAGCTGTGTTGAACCTTGCTCTCAAACTTATCCTTCAACGGCCTGTACCCGAAGTAGCGCAACTCATGCGGACCTGGATCCAAACGGGCTTATTTAGTGTCCTAGATGAGACGATGGAAGAGTTGATCAGGGTTCCTGGCGCGACTAGTAAGTCTGGCGTTTCAAAAGCTCGACGTTCACTTTTTGCAAATTCGAATTTGACAAAGACTTTCTTTCTTTACGCAGGATTGTTGACATTCTTCTATACAACAATCAAAGAATCCTGTTTGTCCCCATCGTTCCCTGTCGATGTTCTTGAAGCGCTCAAGGACGAGTTTCCGAGACAGCGAGCGGTAGGCGCGGTTATGCGGTACGAGACTGAACAAAAAGGAAATCAACAGAACAACACTCCAGAGAAGAACGCCCATGAAGATGATATTCCCGATGCGGAAGATCCAATATGGATCAATGGTCTTTGGCAGGCGATGGGTTGGTTGGAGGGGGTATGCCACCGTGACCATCCTGAGCACGAGGGCGCGCAAGGTATTGAAAATAGACTAGTGGTTACAACAGGTTCAACCCTGTGTGCACGAAGAAGTTGTGGAAAGAAGGCTGTCTCGAAATGTTCCTCGTGTAAGCAGTTTTGGTATTGTGGAGTTGAATGTCAGAGACTGTGAGTGTCCATTTCTTTGTTCATTTCCTCTCCCCTCGACTCTTCAGTCATCGTTGCGTTCTTGGTGTCTCCATCTCAACCCTTACTAATTCACCTCTTTCACTTATCCTTATGCACACAGAGATTGGAAAGAACATAAATCAATCTGCAAAAACAACTTTGCTGCACCGTATATGCAAACGGTTCGGGCAGGTACAAAGAGGTTGACAGGAGGAAATGCAGCAAAACTAGGATTGATGGGGTTAGGTCCCAATGATTCGGAATTCGACAGTGACACAAGTAACGCCAAAACGGTGACGGTGGTAGATAGATTGAAGGGCCTGTAAGCTTATTTTTTTCTTCCATCCCGTTTATTTACTTTTATGATTGACCTAGAACACTTCAAACAGGTCGGATTATATGACGCCAATAGCGTTCCTTATCCTTGTCGTTGCGGCACAGGCTTTTGGGATCTGGGATGACTTGGGGAGGTGGATCGGTGTGGTTTAAAATGCCTCCATGAATGTTCATCCAACTCTATATATTACATCGAATGAGGTACTTTGTGTGATTAGGCCGGCCGCTACGGAACTTCGTGTGCGCTAACAACTATATCTCGCCCATTGCTCCTTACTGAGCGACGTGCGCTGTCTCGTGAAAGAGATTTCCGCATATCTGAAAGCAGAGAATCCTTAGCTTTTCGATCTATGTACCTGTTAGTAAACCACATACCGAATGCATCCTCTTCGTCTCTTCCACCTTTCCCTACACCCAAATTCCCATAATATTCTCTCACTCGTCTATACACGCCATACCCCATTCCTTCGTACATCTGGATTGCGACCGCATTGTTACACCGCACATATAGATCGACGAAAAAACCTCGGTAACTTTCATCCGAGACGAGCTCGAGGAGGGACATCATTTTTCGGGCAAGAGAAAGACGACGATATTCAGGAGCGACGGTGATAGCTGTAACGTGTCCATGCCATTCAGTGCTTTGGCCTTCGGCTTTTCCGATGACTGTCGATTATAATGATGGATGAAAATACGATGGATAGAGTAAATCTAAAATAGAGAATCACCATAACCCATCATACGACCACTGGGTGCTTCCTGAACATAGCAAAGGTCAGGCCAGCGGGAAAGGTAATGCAGATAGAAGCCAATGCTGTACTACTCGTACCAAGTCAGAGATCAGTAGAAAAGGTTCATACCTACCACTCACCGTTTCCGTCCAGATATCCAAGTTCCTAAAGCAGCAATGTCAGTGAGGTAACGCTGCAGTTTTCTTCAAAAACATCGACGGACACGTTGTTGAACTTGAACATAGCTGTAGCTTTGAACGGACGAAGAATACTCATTTGGTTGTGGACAGTAGTTTAGATACAACAGATCACGTTGGTACAGTCACGGCAAACAGTGCTATGAATATGATGCAGAATTTACATTGACTACCACAAAAAAGGCTGTATACATGATGTATGCCCCGTCCAGAAAACGACTGGAATATTCTGTAAGAGAATTAAATCAAAAACAGAAGGAAAGAGGACGTCCATATGGTTCTATGATCAATATAGGCTACACATTGACCTCGACACATCGTGGAAGCAGTATCAATATGCGAGGCTTCGAAAGAGCCGGAGAGGAGCATTGAACGGAACGAGAACGAGGGGGGAAGAGATGAAGCGGGAAAGACATATGACGATGTAGCGAGGAAGACTAGCCCATGTTCATGAAGGAACAATACACGCAGAACACTTCAAGCTAAACTGTGTCGGTCGAACGATAGAATTTTTTTTCAAAAATGGCTTCTATCAAGGTCGTACATTGGTAACAAGACAGGAAAAATACACCCACAGTCCCTATTGAAATGGTCAGTCGGAATTGAGAGGAAAAGGCAAAGGCACGAGGAAGGCGAAGGGAAGGGATACGTGGAAAGAAAAGGGAGCAAGGGCAAAAATAAAATAAAATCAGAGGTGTCAAATTTGGAGCACACCCAACACACGCCCGTAGGCGAGGTGGTATTACACCATGAAGAAATTCAATTGCGTTTGCAGATTGAAGCATCATTCAAATTCTAGATGTTGAAAAAAGATACCAGGACATAACACGTACCTCGACACCCAGTAACCGTCCCTTTCAAAATTCCTAGGCGCGACACATAGATCGAACGACGAACGTCCGTAGATAAAATCCAAAAAATGGATTGCTCGCCGAAAGAGAGTGAGCCCCATTGAGTTGAAGATCCACAAGTGAATCAACAATCGTATAACTATCACTATGAGCAACATCCACCCAATTTCACCCTCCTTGACCTCGAAGGACATGCAAGAACGCCGCTCATATCTTCGCGACATTTTCCAGCAGAGAATGAAAAGTTGAAGTGGGACAGAGCTGGCTTGGAGGAGCAAACCCACTAGTTCGAATTACTCGAGCCAGAGGAAAGCAAAGAAATTCCAGCCATTCCTCGAACCTTTACCGTCTTGCTTAACGGTCGGTTGCTTTCCATTAGTAGGAACGAGGAATCCGAGAAGGAAACTCTGTATCTCCGGGGACTTTCCCCACAGCGTAATATGAGTGAAGCACCACACAAGGTGAACTCTCTGTACGTGCAGCTGCGAAAACGATTCTTCGAACGGCGAGGGTATGTAACAACAAAAAAAAATGTGCCGGCTTTATAGGAAAGAATTGGGGTTAGGGCTAGGACTGGAGTTAGTAAGCGGAATCTTCGCGGCTCCGTACATAATTTCGTTTACCCTATCTCTTCCATCTACATAGTTCCTTGGCCATCTACCACGATTGTCCTCTGCTATACCAGCACCTGGCCTGATACCACTCACTCTTCCACAACGACAAGAACTAATTTTTAATTTAAGAAAGTATCTCAACATTGCTGACATACCGTGTATAATTGTCAATGGCCTCTTCTTCATCCCAATCGCCACCAAATCAACAACAAGTCCAACCTCGAGGACCAGCTTTTGCAAAATGGCCCACAGTGAAAATATTTATGCCTCCTAAAGGTGAGTAAGGGGCGTATTTCTTGAATTTCTCTTATATTGCGAGCCTTTATCATTATATGTATTGTATTTTCTCGGAATCCCGGCGTTTTACTTAACGAATCTTTTGAATCACCTCCCCAGGTCGTTTCTCTCCTAAACGGGATGAATGGTGCCTCACATACTGCACACAATCTATTACTGGCCGTATACACGCGGCTCAGCCGTCTTGCACGACCTTATGCATCCGGAAGGTGTTCGAGCATGAGGTGAGGAACGTAGCTGGATTCAAGAGGCATGATATGAGTGTGATGAGAAACGACGATACTGCAATTGAGGTGATAGAAGGGAAAGGCAAAGACAAAGGTTTACACGAAGCCAGTAAAGTCGTACGAAAGACGGCCGTATATCCACTTCCAGCTGAGGGTCAACCCGAGAATGTTCCGAGGGTCCTTGGAGGCGCGGAGTCGTCCAAATCACATTCTTTGTCGTCAACCACGTCATCATCATCCACAACCCTGATACCTACAACGACAACTTCGACCCCCACAGTCACAACTCGTTCATGGTCTCCTGGATACTATCTATTCACCTCTACAACCATTTACGGAACATTTGAACACCTCGCATCTATGTCCCGCGATTTACCAAGGCAAGTTGCGAGGCAGAAGATGATGGAGAGTATGAAGAGGGAGTGGGTTGAGTATCAGGAGTGGGCAGAAAGGATACAGAGAGGTGAAATTCAAGGAGTTGAGGGCAGTTTCAGAACACAACGAGAAGAGAATGCGGTAACAGCTAGTGAAACAGAAACTCAACCGGAAGAAGCTAGCGAGATAATGTCCACAGGACGTAAACGTCCTCCCCAACCTCTGCCAGATTATCTGTATGTGTTTCTTTGCATTCACTAATTCGTTCTAATTCTGATGACCTTCTTCTGTGAATTCTGTTCTGTTCGTTGTCGTTCTGTGGTGTACATCCCTTTTGTAGATCATCCACACTCCTTGTCCCTGTTCCTCCAGCATCAATTTCACAGTTGTCATCTCACATCCTGACTCCGATATCGAAATTCCTCAAGCCGTCCGGAAGAGCATTAGAATTATTGGGGAATGACTTGCAGGGCGGGATATTTCAACAGTGAGTTGCATTTGGGTCTTTTTTTCGAGGGAACATGCATTTCGGAGCCGTTATTGGCTTCACGAACTGAACAATTTTATGTTCGTTTCGTTGTTCATTTCTCCCGTGTCGCGTGCCGCTGAAATTACCCGAACGTACTCAAAACGTTCCCTCTGTGTTCTATCCGGGCTTTTACGCCCCTTTTCGTTGCTATCACATCACCAGCGCACTCGCTTTGATACCATGCACACACGCACTTTCTATCTACCTTACTGATACCTCTTGGTTTCACAGATTTGCCTCTCGTGTATACACGAAAGCACAAACTGACGAACCAGCAAAACTAGCAAGGAGAAGCTGGGAGAGATTACTAGAGGCTTGGAAAGGCGATGGAGGTGATGGAAAGGATGGCGGAATCAAAGGATAGATATGATGCAGACCTTTAGAGTTAACACATTGGAATATTAGCGTCAGATTCTGCAATATTCTCGTGTTTTCTTCGATATATTTGATACCGAATTGTTACACAGCATAGAAGAGGGGCTGCAGTAGCCTGGTCTGTTTCCCCGTAATTTACATAATTCGCGCCTGTGGCGTTGCTTTCTGAAACGGACACGTGCTTTCTTTTGCCATGACTCGGAGGAGGAGCTTTCCTTTCATATACAAAGACGATGGATGAACCCCTCGCGATCATCAACTCTTTTGCGTTCTGTGGTGCTCATGGCTGCGAATACTGTCATGAATGCTACACCGACCATCGACTCACCAATAACCACCAGATTATGGATCAACTATGCGCCGCTTTCCCCGCTCTGACTGAAGATCATTTCCTGGTATAGTTTCAAATATATATCGCTTCTACGACTTTCATGACTTACTAGTATGTATACAGGACCGACAACCAATCTCATATGTTTTCGACAAAGCAGTGGCCCGAACTTCAGGAAAAGAGCCTGAATACGAATGCAAAGAACACCATATATTGGACTGCTCGACTTGTTTTGACTGGGCAGCACTCGCCGTGGAAGATATGAAACGTCAAGCTCAATCCAAGAGTACCAAAGTCATAGCAGTCGACATTACGAGAAAGGAAAAGCTGCAATACCTCTATAGCATGGGCATAGACCTGCCACTTACCACTCGTCTTCCGGATGATGCCATAGAGAAAAAGTTCCGTAGCGCAATAGATGCTTCTCAGTCATTTGCCACTCTCATTGCGAAGTCACCCTTTGATCCTTCGACTCTCCCTCTATGGTCAAAGAAAACATCCAAGACCACTTTGCTAAAGACTGTGTCACGAGGTAATTTCGAGGAAGCGTTTGCCAATATTCGCGCGAGAAGGGAAGGGAAAGAGAGTGCCTGGCCTCTCTTTGAAAATACCTTCATGGATGCTCGCCAAACTATTATGGGGCTTGCTGATGGTATTGACAAAGGTGTGAAGACAGCCCTGATCCAGGACAAGGATACCAAGTATGCTATATGTCTTCGCGTGCGCTACACTTCTACGCTGCCACTTTGTCATTCATCGCATTTACTTACTTCATCTTCTAGGTTGTCGAAGTTCGTATGTTGAATGAGGAAACTCCTGTCATGGTTGTCCTATGTCGCCGTGGAACCCGTGATGCCCCTGCTCTCGAAACGATTCGTTGGGCCCAAGAGATCATATCGAACAAGAAATTGTCCTTGCTCAAGGTCACAGCCACTCCTGAAGAACAGAAGCTTCTTCTCACTGTCCTCAACATGAATGCTCGACGACTTCCTCCAGCTTACTCCGTCAAAAGAAATTCAAGCGGATCGGAGGCCACTTTTGCCTTATCGTTCCTACTTCCTCTCGGACCGATCAATCAAAAGGATATTGGGAAATTGACTCATCATACGGGTTGTGTGGTTTGCGGGAAAAAGACAGTAAGCAAGTGTTCTCGGTGTCTTTCTATGGAGTATTGTGGAGTTGGTAAGCCACTAGTTCAAATTGGTGTACTTCAAGCTCAACAAATTTCCTTTCTTGTTGAACGTATCAGAATGTCAACGGATACATTGGAAGGAACATAAACCGACTTGCAATTCTTTACGGGGTGGAGAGTGGGTTCAATTTACTTTCAGCGTGCAACCTCCCGAAATGCGCCTTGCTGCAGCGAGGGGCGAGAAGATCTCTATGGTGACTTGGAACAACATGTCTCGGGCGACCATGGATAACATGAAAATCGACCATTGCGACGATGAACCAGCTCTTCCACCGAATATGCATTCGCAGAACCCATTCCTGATCAAAATGCAAAGAGGACTTTTGGGGTTTATGCCTCCGATCATGATATACGATCGCACAAGGAGCATTCAGGTGTATCTGTGTCATGATGTCGATCTGGAGGGACATGAAAAGACTATGGCGCAGATGCATACTGGGCAGAAGGGACAAAAAATCTATCGATGGGCAAAGAGGACGGGTGATGATAAGTTGAGTGTTTGTCTCAACAAGGCTCCTCCTCAAGATCCTCAATGGTGACTGGTTCGGATAGTCCATCCCAATTGATTCATTGTTAATGTAATATATCAAGCACTCGGCCAATATGTAGCATCTTTTTCACCTTGATTTTCAAAATGAGGCCAGGAGAAGGCGACGGATTGAAATAACTCCGCGTAGCCATCTAAGAGTAGCAGTATGACTGGTAAAATCATCGCGATTTTTGACAGTTTGAAATCCCTCAGCCATACATCTGGACGCTCGAACAAGGCGAATTGTCAACTTCAGTTTTGCAGTCTTCAAAGTTAGTACTTCAGGATCATCGACCAAACGATTAGAATAACCAGATGCATTTGCTGTACCATATAGGGCCGAAGGTTCCACCTGACGGACGAATGCGTGGAAAGATGGGAGGATGTGAAGAGTTCAGAGTTGTGCCAAAGAGGGCAAATATCGGTCGGCAATGTCGGTATATCTCGCTGGTAGCAGCTACATAGTACCAACAGAAGATTTAGGGCCAAGAAGCTTCACGTCATCCATGAGGGTGCCAAACTCTAAACTGCAGCAACGACAACTTCGATGACCGGGCCTGCTCGAGCGAAAAAAGAATTTCGGATGAAATAGTATAAGCCGAAGACTTTCACGAGCATTCACAAAGTGAGGTTACTATTCGTAAAGTGGCACCAGATTTACAGTGTAACCACTGGAAATAACGAGAAAGTCAATTCCATGCATGTTGAGCGTACAATCCCAGCACGGCATTTGATAAAACATCCGTGTAGCTCGCTACATCAGAATCTGTGTACGTCGTTGCATTTTGCACCTCATTAAGAATTTCCAAAAGCTGCTCTTGGATGAAGTCCACGAAGACTAGATCAACGAGGCTATCGTTTGATAAAGATGGCGTATCGGAGCCAATGAAATCTGGGATGTCGAACGATGCGAGTGGAGCATGAATAGTGTCGTCGCCTACGCCAGGACAAGACTTGAAGTCGAGAATGAGGCCATTGTTTTAAACGAAGAGAAGACAAGACACTTACGTCGCTCGTAACATATCCGAGTGTCAGATTCTGCGAAGCTCTCTTGACAGCACCATTATGCCTCCGATCCATCTCATCTAACCATTCCATATACCTCATATTCACATACCCTCTCTTCCACATCTCGCTCTCTCTCTCTTGCAACACTGACCCCAAATCCCGCTTCCGTCTCTCATCAGCGCCAGCTGCATTCAACGCAGGCAACACCTCCTGCGCCACTCCGAGCGGTAGGTCCTTGATAAACATGAACGCGTCGGTGAATGGACTAGCCGAAATTTGGTCATTTTTGTCGAATGTACCAGAGTATATATCGAAACGTTGTGAACCGGAGTTAGTTATCATAATGTTGGAGATATTGGCGCGGGTGTTGTTCAGAGTTAAAGAATAAGGGGCGGCTTCATTGATGAAGAGGGTGAGGGAGGAGCCATTGGATGGATAGGGATCACTGGTAGAGATGTATGATGTTCAGAGGAAGCTTAAAAAGGAGAAGAAGAACAAACCGAGAGATAGTGAAATCCTGTGGAGCAATTCCAAATAACATTGAAAGATCATATTTTACCCCAAGGTCTAGAAGACCTTGAGTGATGTTTTGGCCTTCCCTTGTATCAAAAGAGTTGTTACTCTGCTGGGAATGATACTATATATCAAACAAGTCAGAAACCAAAATGAATAAATTAGGTATCCAGTGCAAGGATTCGCGTACTGACTTCGTAAGTAACGCGATTTTGATCTAAATACCTCCTGCTGAACGAAATATTGTTCTTCGCATTCACGTCCGAGCTGCTACCAAGGTTCGCGCTGAGCCAACCGATAGTTTCCATGTATCGTCCGCTCTCCAGAGCCATCGAGCGACCGTCAGGCTGGTCTACAAAAAAAAGATAGTATTGAGACAAGGAAATAAACGACCTAATGGACGTACTGCAATCCCGAATATGGCTGTGTCCACCTAGAATAATAATGGGTGTCTCTGCATGCACGGCACGTACAGCATTGAAGACGGCGGGCCAATTGTCGCGTGAGACAGGCATATGTCTATTTCAGCATTAGATACGGAGCATGCTAACGAAAGACGCCGACACGAGATCAACATACCCAACTAATAAAAATACATCTGGTTCTTCGGCAATAGCTTCTGCGAACTGAAGGAGCCTGTCAGCTCTATCGATGATATCGGCTTCATGTTACTAACCCACTGCTCCTTCACCATATCGGCCACACTTTGAACCGTTGTATTCACGTCATTGCCCGTGAAATCATACAGCACTCCCAAAGAGGTGATCTTCCTTCCCTTCCTTGTGGTAAATTTACGGAATCGATTGCCAACGGGAACGTCAATGGTGTTGTTATTAGCGTCAAAAACAGTAATGTTGACATTAGAAGAGAGGTATTTCCCATCTAACGCGGGCACGAAATTAGTGTACATGTCCCAAGTATTGATATAGTCGTAGAGTTCGTGGCTGGGGTAGAAAGCAGTAAGATATGGAGGATCCAAGTTTGTTGGTTACACATACTTTCCAATAGCCATGATGTCGTATGGAAGTTGTTTAATGAATTGATTAGCCTACAAGAGTTACAACATACAGGTCAGAAATGTGTGGTAAAAAATCACGAAAGGGACGAACATCATGGGCGTCGATTCCTCCTGCTGGAAATCCATCAGATAGGCCTGTTCCATCATGAAGGTCACCCGAGTCGACAAGAAGCAAATCAACGTCTTTCTCCTGCAGTTTTGTTGATTTAATAAACCCTAGGTTTAGTGTAAATTTTTGACATTACTCACAATAGCAAGCTGCTTCATGTGCTGCACGAAGCTAGCAAAGTCGCCGAGATCTCCACTGTAATTGGGTTCCGGGAATGAAGCATGTTGGTGTCCAAGAAGCCAGCCTTCATTGATGGAAGCATGAATACACCGCCTACCCACTGAAAAACGAAGCCTGGGCCTACCATGCGTATCTGTGGTATGGATGATATTCAACTCTCCCCACTCCAAAGGCCTTGTAGGTTTCGTCAACTGTGTTTGAGGAAACAGCCTTTTCTGGTGTGCATGGTTATGGTCGTGAGCGTGTTCGTCACTGCAGGCGTTGACTGTAACTCGAAGTGCAAGTGGAAGCGCCACTGACAGCAAAGCGGCGGAGAGGTGCATCGTCAGGATGCTGCGACCGAGTAAACAGAGAGACCAGATGGACCGAATGCTAAGCTGAGAATTGACATCCTTTATATAGGCGATGATGAGCTATTCTTAAACTAAGATTAATTCTAATCAGTCGAAGCCAAACAGTATACGGTGATCATGGAACTGAAGATTGTGATTCATATGATCGAGCCCCGAAGTCTAACCGGCACCGGTCAATAAGTAATTTATTTGATCAGTTCCTTTATATCCAATGTGGTGTAGTGGCTAACATTGCTGTCTTTCATGTTTGGTCTTGATCACAGCAGCCCGGGGTTCGATTCCCCGCATTGGAAATTAAGTTACTGTGGGTATGTTTTCTTTTTTGACCTACCCTACAACATAAAGCAAGTTCATAGCAAGAAAACTGATTCTCATTGGCAGAATCACTTTTCGACGTGAATTGGTTTGTTGTGGCCTGTCTGGAAATAAGCTCTAAGGCAGCGTTGGTTATTCTTGAATAGTATGTTTTTCCTCCATACGATATGTAATAGGACAGTGATCCAAAGTAATCCCACGACAAAAATGTGACCATTACACCAACGAGTTAAGCTACTACATGATCTGTCCGTACTACTTATAATAAATACCCCGAAAGAGAAATTGATGCAAGAAACCTTCAGACAAATCATTACTGAATGAATTTTCCGACTTGGCTGATCGGAAATATCCAGTGCGAAGAGGCCCGCTTAGGAGCTGCTGGCAGCACTAATGGCGGCGTTGAAAGCATTACCAACCGAAGCAGGGGAAGTCGCGCTATTCCAATTACTTCCACTGGGAACCACCACGCTCTTGCCAACATCACTTCCAGAGAAGCCAAGATCATACTGGTAGAATGAACCGTCAGATGATTTCAATGTAAGTTGGTATAGAAAGCTCACAGTGGAGAGAGATCCGTCAGCATTGTAGAGGTCTCCGTAGTGACTGACAATGGAAGAGTCATACCCGACTTCATGGCCTGAAGTGCGATGCAAATCGGAGGTGAAGTGGCTGCAGGAGGAAAGGAATTGTTGAAAGACTGAAAAAAAACAGCGTCAGTCTATGATGATCAAGGCGAAAGTAATACGTTACACTCACCAACAGTCTGGGTCTCAACTTCGCAGACCTGCTCAGAGATGATCCTGTTTTGTGATCATTATTACGACGAGCGGTCTTAGAAATTGCAAGTAGATACACTTACTGTTTGGCCATCTCTTGAAGTACAAGAAGCTTTTGCTGAACAACCTCGATGCTCACAGCCTGACAGACAACCTCCTCTTGTTGTTCAACTACGACCTGGTCGCTGACTTCTCCAGAGAAGTTATCAACGCCATAAAAGTTATCAAAGCCCGAGAAGGACGAAAGACCTCCCCAGTTATCAAAAGAGGTGTAACGACGAGCTGAACGAAGAATCAGGTAAGTACTTTCTAGTTGTGTGAATACGAATCGAATTTACATACCCAGGCTCTGAGTCTTGGGGTTGAAGGGGGCAGCGAGAGCATTGCCAACCAAAGCGGAAAGGGTGAGCAGAGGAAGGGCGATCTTGGCAAACATGACTGTCAAAGTAAGGCTCGTAGTAAAGAGTAGGTTGCGAGATAGTATCTGCTCCAGTGGGCGAAATCAGCAAAAGAGTTAGTGTATGCGTTGAAAAAATGCACATACCTAGTAGTCGACGTGAAGTAGAAAAAACTCCGTAAAGGACTGTGAATGAATGAACGAAAGAGGCTTGTAGGGCAACCTGGCCTAAACTTGAAAGAAGCTGAAGATAGAACGAAGAACGAATTGATGCTTTTCAACACGGATTTCGCTAGCTTTTATAGTTTCTTCGAAGCCTCGCGAACATCCAATCCCTTCGTTCGGTTCTGACTACCAATTGCTTGAACTTCGGGTGTGTCTACGGGAAAAGTCGTCCCCGATGTAGAGACATCTGTTCGACGTGACATTGAATGATCGTGGCAGCAGCACAAGTTTGTGCTGGAATATGGCGCCGAGGAGACAGTGCAGTGAGCACTCCTGATTCTAGAGGTGAGAGACAGTGTATATTCATTTTTTGCCAAGAAACAGCGAGCGCACGATACTGACAGGTGAAGGATTAGCCAATAGAAGTAATTATATGTTCCGAGTCTTTGAGAAAGTCCTCGACCGTTGAGGGTTTCACAGTTGTACTTCGGAATAACGCTGAATGTTGTCCGTCAATCAAAGTCTGCTCGTGATAACAACGATGCTAGATGATAGGTGTAACCATAATGAGCGCAATGACTACGACAGGAATTTATTGGAAACATGGGGAATGCAAAAGCGTAGTTTCAGCATGATCAGTGGCACGTCGTGGTCTTTTACCGCTACAGTCCATTTATGTTCTAGATAAATAAGCATTCGATAAGGATAATTGCACAAAGCGACGTAGTTTCAATCACGTAGAAGGACTAGTTCCACGCATGTTGAGCGTACAAGCCCAATACCTGATTTGACAACACGTCAGTATAGCTTTCCACATCCGAATCCGTGTACGTCGTGGTATTTTGGACGTCGTTCAAGATTTCTAGGAGCTGGTCCTGAATGAAATCCACAAACACAAAGTCGATGAGAGTATCGTTGGACGTTGATGGGGCGTCGGAACCGATGAAGTCTGGGATATCGTATGACGCGAGGGGAGCATGAAGGGTGTCATCTCCTACACCAGGGCAGGACTAGAAGAGATAATCTCGCTCAAAACAACACCGAGAGAGAGTTCAGACAGAATACGCACATCGCTAGTAACATATCCCAACGTCAAATTTTGTGAGGCCCTCTTCACAGCCCCATCGTGTCTTCGGTCCATCTCATCCAACCAATTCATATACCTCCGGTCAACATAACCCCTCTTCCACAATTCATCCTCCCTCTGCTGCAATACCGACCCCAAATCTCGCTTGCGCCTTTCATCTGCCCCAGCAGCGTTCAACGCGGACAGGACCTGCTGAGCAGTACCTAATTGCACATTGGGGATGTACATAAACGCATCGAGGAACGGACTAGCGGCAATCTGGTCGTTTTTGTCAAAGGTCCCGGCGTAGAGGTCGAAACGCTGTGAACCGGAGTTGGTTATCATGAGGTTGGTGGTGTTTTTACGGGTGTTGTTGAAGGTCAGAGAGTAGGGGGCGGCTTCCTTGATGAATAAGGAAAGGGATGAGCCGTTCGAGGGATATGGGTTTCTGGAGATGAAGTTTCAAAATATGTACGACGAGTGACGGGAAAATGATATGTACCGAGAGATGGTATAATCTTGGGGAGCAATACCGAACAAGGTCGACAGTTCGTATTTGTCTGAGAGCGCCTGTAAGCCCTGAGTGATGTTTTGGCCTTCAGCAGTGTCGAATGAATGGTTACGTTGCTGGGTGTGATACTACGAAATAAACCCGGTCACTGAATATCATCATACCGCGAAGCGCATAAGTGAACTGACCTCGTAGGTAACGCGATTCTGGTCCAAGTACCGCCTACTGAAAGTGATGTTGTTCGAATTTGAAGAATCACCGAGCTTCGCACTCAGCCATCCGATGGTCTCCATGTATCGTCCACTTTCGAGAGCCATTGAGCGTCCGTCAGGTTGGTCTAGGTATTGAGAAGTCAGCATCATATGGAGATCTTCTCTGGGTATGCCGACGTACTGCAATCTCGGATGTGTGTATGCCCTCCCAAGATAATGATAGGCGTCTCACTATGTACAGCACGAATAGCGTTGAAAACAGTTGGCCAATTGTCGTAAGAGACAGGCATATGGCTGTGAACACATCGATTGGTTAAATAGATGGAGAAAACATATGACGACGAACCCTGCGAGCACGAAAACATCTGGTTCCTCCGCAATGGCTTCAGTAAACTGTGACACACCATTCAGGATTCATCATTATCACAGTATAATACAACTCACCCACTGCTCTTTCACCATGTCTGCTACAACTTGGACCGTAGTATTCACGTCATTCCCAGTAAAATCAAACAAAACGCCCAAAGACGTGATTTTCCTGCCTTTGCGAGTCGTGAACTTGCGGTAACGGTTTCCAACAGGAACGCTAACGGTGTTGTTATTTTCGTCGAAAATTGTGATGTTAGCATTGGAAGAAAGATAACGGCCGTTTAATGCAGGAGCGAAATTAGTGTGCATGTCCCATGTGTTGATATAGTCGTAGAGTTCGTGACTGTGATGATTCGAGTCATTAGAGTTTTGAAATATTCGAGTAGCGGGAATGTTTCGTACTTCCCAATAGCCATAATGTCATATGGAAGCTGTTTGAGGAATTGGTTTGTTTCGTGAGCATCGATTCCACCAGCAGGGAATCCGTCAGATAGACCGGTTCCATCGTGAAGATCGCCAGAGTCAATGAGGAGTAGGTCGACGTCTTTTTCCTATGAATAACGTTTAGACAAGGAGGCCTAGTTCCCCTACAGTGACACTTACAATGGCAATCTGCTTCATGTGTTTCACGAAACTCGCAAAATCACCCAAATCTCCGCTATAGTTAGGCTCCGGGAACGAAAGATGCTGGTGTCCAAGAAGCCAACCTACGAGTGCAGGGGTCAGTAATCAAGGAAATAACGCGTCAGTTTGTAAGACACTTGCCATGAGTGTCCGTAGTATGAATGATATTCAGATCTCCCCATTCCAGAGGCCTTGTAGGCTTCGTCAACTGGGCCTGGGGGAACAGCCTTTTACGAAGAACGCCGGGAGAATCGTGAACATGGTCGTGGGCGTCACCGCAAGCACTGGCGGCTGTCACAAGAGCCAGTGTCGAGAGGGCCACGAAGAATTTCATCCTTTCCGCCTTTTGCGATGGTTGATAGAAGGGAATAAATGCCTGAGGATCAGCGCTGACCACCTCGGCTCTTTATAATTCAAACACTCGGAGATAAAGGTATCGATAGGTGTTTCGCATTGTGTAGGAGACGCATGGTCCAGCTATGGCTGCAATGTGGTCCGATGGGATATGATTGGGTGTAAAAGCGCAAGATGCGCAACAGGCGCCCGAACACCTCCCAAAGGATGAGCACAATTCGCTTTATACCGTCCAATGGTCATTCACGCGCACGTTCCATCGTGCAAGATACAAGATAAGAGGTTTTTACAAATGATAAAATGTGATGAAAATAATAATTAATAATTACTGCGACCTTTTTGGTCCTTGGAAATGGCAATGCCTTCTCTCGCCTTCTAACGCCTTACGTCGATCTTGAGAAATTTCATACTCAGCTAGCCTCTTTCTCTTCGTTCTGTACGCCGGTTTTCCTTTCCTGCCAGTAGAACTGTATCTTCCTTGAATCAAAACACCAACATGCGATCCGGGAATCCACATGTATCTCGTAGTGGCCTCGATACTGGGTCTGCGCATGCCTCTTCATCAAGTCCTTCAGAAGTTTCAGAATTTGGACGGATGAGGATTGAGATTGAGATATTGAAGAACGCACTGAGTGAACAGAAGAAGAATAATACGAAACAAGCAAAGGTAGCGTCTTTCCATAATCACTGTACTCTTGTTGATCTGTCAACTTTAGAAAATTGAAGATCTCGAAGCTGAAATCGTCATTGGTAAAGCGGTAAGGTGGTGTCCATCTATGATCGTTGTACCCTTGTCAATCTCTCAACTCTAGAAAATTAATGTCCTGAACGCTAAGATCCTCGTAAGGTTTCCACTGCCGCGATGTTTGACAGGTTCAAAGAGCCCATTTTCAGACAATGGATGAACGGGAAGTCCGACTTCGTCACTTGTATGAATCGGAACATACGTCGAACGAAGAACTAATGAACGAGTTCGAAACATTGCTTACATGTAATATATGTATGGAAGTATTCAACAATCCCTTCTCGTAAGCCGTCGTTTTTGTATATCTCACAGTTCATGATATATCTTATATTCTTCGATAGATTATCCCCTTGCGGTCACACGTTCTGCCTACAGGACCTCCAAGAATGGTTCAGGAAAGCTCCTTCAATGGAATATGCTATGGACGATGACATATATGATCCCGAATACATTATGAATTGCCAGAAGTCATGCCCTACCTGTCGTGCTATTGTCATAGGTCGACCTCTGCCTGTTTACTCGGTCAAGGATATTATCAATGCTCTGCAAAAGGCTAAACCTAATGGGGGTTCTGCTGCTGATCATAGCACTATATTATCCTGTTCAAAAGACCCCTGGGAAGGCCTCTTCCCTCTTACTGTCTCTTCCAGTTGGAGCAGTAGCCCATATACTTCAGAGGACCCGTGGGAAGGCCCTTTGCCTGATGACCTCTTTCCCAATTATGATGAGGTGGAGGGTCAATCTGAATCTGGGTTTGCTGATGAAGAAACAGATGGTAATCCTGCTGGTCCTGCCTATGAAGAAGGATATGACAGTGCGATTGATGAAGAGGAATGCAATAGTCTTGCTTATTATGAAAACATGTATGGGATTCCCTCTGATGAAGAGAAGGAAGAGTGGTATAACCACTTTGAAGAGATGTATGGTCATCTTGTTGATGAAGAGGAGGATGATTGTATTGGTGATGAGGAGGAGTATGAGAGTCCTGCTGATGGGGATGACAATAGTCCTGCTGATGGGGGATATGATAGTCCTGCTGATGGGGGGTATGATAGTCCTGCTGACAATGGGGGGTATGATAGTCCTGCTGATGGGGGATATGCTGAGGAGCAGGAGGATGATATGTTCTGGTAGTACTGCTGATGCAAGGGGGTATGATAGTCCTGAAAAGGGGAGGGTGGAGGATATATGGGTGTAATGCTGGAGGACAAATCAGGATTCAAAAGGTTCCAGCACACACAGTACAAAGATATACAGCCTGGAAAACAAAATTAGCCTTAGCATTTTCATCCATCAAGACAATGTTTGTTTTAGGCAGAGAATCTTGACCTTTTTAATTGATTTCAGTTTTTGTAACAAAACATTCAGGCATAGTCCTGTATATACATATGTATGCAGGAGAATGCATGTATTTATCTTATATTTAACTAGTAAGTACCTCCAACAATTGGAGCATTCTTGACAGTTGAACCAGTACCACCCGTAGCATCAAGACCAGCCCAGTTCCAGGTCCTAGATTACAGCATGATGTCAGAATTATTACATTAAGAAATATAATGTGTATTCAGACCCAGTGCAGCTGCTTGTGCTTCCACAGTTGACCTCAACACGATGCGCAGAGCTACCAACAGCAACAGTGTTTGTGCCGTCAAAGCTCACATTCTAAGTTGCAGGTGAGTGTGAGTGGATGGGATAAATGCACTGTGTACTCACCTCGATGATGACACCTGTACCAGGTGTACCAAGGGTACTGGGGTAGCTCTGGTCAATGAGGACACCAAACTCGGTAATTCCAGAAAGCTTGTTATTTTCGTAAATGACATTTTCAACTATTGAGCCTGTAGCTGTAGCATCGGTCTTGATTCGGAGACCATTGACCCTGGCAATAAGCAACGATAATTTTATGGTTGAACAGAGATACAAAAAAGTTGAACTGACGTTCCGGTGACGGTGTTCCCGGAGATAGTGACGCCGGAAACGGTGACATCGCTGGTGATGGAGCCCTGGAAGGAAAGAGTGTATAAGAGATGATTCTGAGGTCATGTAGTTCATACAAACAATGGAGATACCATGTCCTATTCCTTCGCAAATGTTGTTTGAGAAGGTGATGGAAGTCCCTTTGTTCTACATATGAGAAGTCAAAAAAATGTTCAGGCTGTAGTTAAGTGGCCACACTCACGATAGCAAGACAATCATCTTGGTTGTTGACAGTGCAGCCGGTGACTAGATGTATTCACAGTTCAGACGAGAAGAAAGAAAGAAACCAGAAGGGCTAAACGGACTGGTAACATCATTAGCAGACACGTCGAATCCATCTGTATTTGCGCCTGCAGGATTACCGCCTGAGAGACTGTTGGCAGCGGTACCAGCAGCTATATAAATACAGGGAAAGCACGAATCAGTATTGTTTGTCGCAACTGTATATAGCTCCTACCGTTGTTGACGATAACGCCGCTAACAGTGAGAGAGCTTCCGCCGATAGCTACAGCTCTTCCAGGAGAATTGACGACTTGAACATCACTGAATGTTCCGCCCATGTTGATACGGAGCAATGGGTCAGGTTTCGTGACACCGCCGCTTATTCCTTCTCCATCCTGAAATATAAGTGAGTCAAAGTCCACGAAATACCGGGGAGGGTGACGGACCCAATACAGCGTACCCTGGCCATTTAGGTCGTGTCCGCCTAGAGAATTTTGATATCAATATCCGAAACGAGTCGAACTACAAAATCTCATCTCACCTCCGTTGACTGCATAGAATGGGAATTAGCTTAGAGGTCAAGCTTGGGTAGCGAAGTAATACTAAACGCACATGTGATGTCGTTTCCGGTAATCTCCATAAGAGGCCCCGCCCAGTTCTATTGGTGAAGATCAACATGGCGAAATTTTGAGGTGTTGACCCGAAGAAAGGAAGCCAGGTACCGACCTCGAAGCCAAAGGTGAGTTCTCCGGTTAACGATACTTGTGCACCATCAGGAGGATTCAGTGTGAATGTTTCTATTTCCAAAATCCTGATTAAGTAGAGGTCCTCAAATGAGCATAATTTTGCGTTACTTACGACCAGCAGGAACGGTGAAGCCGCCAATCTATGTGAACGAGAGTCAAAAAAGTCCTCCACTTTCGCCACGAAGTTGGAATGTAATACTGACAACAATAGTCGTACATTCCTCGGCAGCCGCGACATCGTCAAGGGATGTAATTTCACCAGTGCAGCGTTTTCCGATTTTCCGAGGAGCATTCAAGGTGCTGTTTTTGTGTAAAGTAGGCGTGGCTGCGACCTGAGAAAGTAGCAGGGAAAGAGCAAGGACGGCAGAGGTAAACGACATATTGGGTTAACGCGACACTTCTACGTTAGCTGGTATATTTTTGCGGATTTTATATGTGGATGAGGATGAGGACACTGGGGAGCGCTCGGCCCTTGGGATTGCACGGATTCCGGCGGTCCAGCAAATCCATCGGTACGGTCCTCAACTCTTGACAGTGAAAGCAGCATGGATAGTCAATTTCACCTGCATATTATCATTATATCTAGAGTGTGATTGGCAAGAGAAGAGTTGAACTCACGGTCTGGATAACGTGCTTTGAACAAGACCGATGTTTAACCCGACTCCTTGATGAACATATGCTGTCCAGGCACCGACAGTGAGAACAGAGTTGAAAAGCTCCGATAGTAAAGAAACGTCTAAGAATAGGACGAATGCTAGGGCCCAGGGAGGTGCATTATTGGGTTTATCGAAAGAGGGAAGAGATCACTTGATTAGGAACCTAGCTCATAGGCAAACCCTTAATATCGATATCATCCAATTTGGTCTCCCAAAATATTATTAGCATTCGTTCCTCTCAACCACAACGGAGAAATCCACCAAGCCTTCATCATCGCTTATACCTCGCAGGAGCATTCACGGAGAGTATAGTATATATGTGCACCGTCATATGAGTCCTTGGAAAAGTCCCTAAAAGTACCTCAGGGCTCCTCCGACTTGTGACGGAGGAAGAATGATCATTACTGGGTCAGGATGGCGAACACATTGATGACCGAGGCATTCCGTATAACGAAGGAGAAGAGAATGAAAACCTTCAATACGAGCCATGAACAACGGTATAATTAGTTGGTTGTAGGATGACACGCGAACAGACGCGAACATTCAGAATTGACGCCCACGCCCAAACCCTCCTCTCTCTCTATTCCGTCTTCATCGAAGATCTTCGGCGAATATTATTATCATTGGGATCTTTTGTCAAAGACTCGAAGTATTGCGTAGCGCCCTATAGAGCTAGCTCTCTATACCAATAAAGATTACCAGCCCAAATGGGGACAGGATACAAGTTGAAAGGAAAAGCCATAAACTTGTTTTCCAAATTGAAGCCAAACGATGATGTGCGTGGCTTAACGTGTATGAAACGAAATCAAGAACTCACTTGAACTCTTTAGTCCCGTAATAATGGCCCGGATGTCAATTCGCGCGTCTCTCCATCCAGCCCTAGCTCAAGATCGCCATCTCCAACTAAGATACCAGCTTCCGGTGCACCTCCTCGAGGTCCTCGAGCTCCTGGGCAAACGCGCTCAGCTGATGTGAACCAGAATCAGCTCTCAGAATCCTTGGACGCGCTCAATTTAAATGAACATCCTGTTACACGGCAGCCTCAGCAGCGCTCTGGAGATCCATACTCAAATGATCATGAACGATATCCAAGTGATGGTCAAGTATATGCGCCACAGCATCGACATAGCAATTCTGCACCCGGTGGGCCTTTCATCGGTGGATTTGCAGCACGCCCGCCTCCTCCAGCATTGACACAGCAATACGATGGCCCTCCTCCACTTCCTCGACCTCCTGCAATGCAGTTTCCCAATCCAGCCGTGGATAATTCTACACCATCACTTACAATGCAATACGCTCAACAACAACCGCCACCTCCGCAACAACTTCTAAATCCGTATGGTGGAGGTCACACAGGATACGGAACGCCTCCTGCGAGACCATATTCTGCTCCTGCGCCTCCGGGATTCCCACATCCTGCCTCATCTCCATATCCATCTCCCTATCCATCACCGTATCCAATACCAGGATCTTCTCCTGCTTATACACCACAATACCCAATGCAGCCACCTCCATCTACATCTGCACCCAACTTCTTTCCGACGCCTCATCAACCTCCTCAGCACGCGGGAAGACCACTTCCTAGCTCTCCGTCTGGTGCTCCACCTCTACCATCCAGTCCCACACGCCCGGTACTCAACACGCAATTCAACAGTCCCAGCGCTGGACTGAAGCAGCACGGAGCACCCGGCAGACGTCGAGCTTCGTCTACGCCACCAACTCCTACAGCAGGAGCTACAGGGGTCAGCGGGCAGATTCAGTGTAGTGGTGTTACGAAGGCCGGAAAACGATGTACGAGGCTGGTCAAAGGTGGTCCGGCACTGGTTAATGTCTGGGGCACAAATTCGCCTACTTCTGGGGACGTCGAACGTTTCTGTCATCAACATGCGAAGGAGCTGTTGGGTCCCAGTGGATTTTATGCTAGGAAACAGCACCGGGATGGACGGCAGGGACAGGGCTTGCAGGAATGGATCGACTTTAATGGTAGGGTGCAATTCATGTCTGTCAAGTACACGATCTTATGTGGTCATAGACTATATACCTCCCTACTTACATCCGGACACTCAAGTCGCCCTCCGAGTGGAAATGGAGAAGCCGCGAAGCCAGAGCGATGTAGAGGGATACATATATACGTTCGAGATTCGAGGTGAGGCCCACTCCTCTGTATCTTTATTTTTGGCACAAGGCTGACGATCCCAGATCCGAATGACCCTTCCCCACCTACGATCTCACTTAAAGTCGGCCGCGCCGTTAACGTCGTAAAGAGGTTGAACCAATGGGGAAAACAATGCGGGAGTAAGGAACAAGTTCTTCGAGGCTGGTATCCTGGTGAAGTAGATAACGACTCGGAAGAAGCCAATGATACCGTGGGCCAAAGTCTCATGAAAGGTCGTGTCAAAGCCGGCGGCAGGGGCGTTTGGTGTCATCGCCTTGAACGACTTATACATCTCGAACTGGCGGACCTTGCTGTACATGGGCCGTACCTCCAACCTGGTTGGGAAGCGTTCACGAAAGGTTCTGGAAGGGGTAAGCTGTATGCTGATGCTCATCCAGATTATGCGTCTAGCGTAAACACGGCTGCTACTGGCACTCACTCCTCTGCCTCCGCTTCAGTTATTTCACTATCCTCCTCTTCCTCCTCATCCAGCTCATCACCCTCGACTCCTGTCAAGGGCAAAACAGGCAAAACCAAATCCGGGACGCCAGCTAAATCCAAATCGCCACCCAAAAGCAAAAAAGACAGATTCCTTGCAAATGGACTGGGTAACGGGGGCGGAGGTGCGCCTTGTAAGGATTGTGGACAGATACATAAAGAAATATTCGAGTATATGCGAGTTCCGAAACGACCTAAAGGACCGAAGGGAAAGAAAGGTAGTTCGAAGAATGTAGACTATTATGGAATGGAATGGGAAGGTATTGTGAAAAAAGTGATAGATGAGTGGGGGTCATTCGTTGAGAACTATGTGTAGCCCGGAGGGATGGCAAGGTTTGTAGTGGGTGTGTTTGAAATTGGGGAACGCTGGACGTTGCACGTTCTATTTGGATTGATTTGTTGTATAAGGACTTTGCAACCCAGTTGCAACCTGAACTTGCTATGTCGCTATCGCTGTCTGTACAACATCTGGACTGTACATAGGTACAAACTTGCTTTCTATTCTGTCTACATAATCCAGGTCTAAATTCTCTAATAGTAGAGTTGTTCCGGGTGCCAAATGGAGCGTTCAATCTCCCCACCTGCGATCATGATGTCCACTTCCACGCTCCACCGTCTATACTCAGAGAGAAGTTGAACCACACACTTCAACTTGAACGACCAGCATTTTTGGATCCTTGTACAGTTTATTCCAGTGTCGGAGCAATTTGTCATTTGACAATTCTCGCAGTATACTCGGGTCATTTTCATGGGAGGAACAAATTACCAGCAGATTATTCGACCACAGGACGTTCCTTAAGTGTTCCTTAATGGAAACAGGATCTATATATGAGTCCCTTGGGTGCTGCGACATCTCCCAGTGTTGTTTGAATCTTTTTCCCTTCTGCTGGCATCATGATGAAGCGTAGTAAGTGATGTTCTTCCACTCAGAGGAATATAATCCTATCAATTTAACCAGCTCCGAGTCCTACTTCCCAAATATTCACTTTAGCTCTGGTGTTAATGCTTATCATTGTTGGCTTTATCTCTTACACGGTATGTTTCTCCTTGCCAGAAGCCTTGACAATCAACTTAGGAGATTTCTCTTAGCAGTCTATTTGGTATCCGGAGCGATTGAAAGCGGGATTGTTTGGTATGCCCTTGCCGCCTCGTTCGTTCGTACCATATCTCATGATCATATCAGAAGATTTCTCATCCGAGGTGCTCCCGTATGATTACCGTTACTTTTCCGGATCTTCCGTTGAAATGGGAGCGGACGACGAGAAAATGGAAGCAATCGTTGCTGCATTTAGGGTATACATTTATTCACTCCGTCCGCACTTGTATTTATTGAGTTCAAGCAATCTCACAGCACGCTTGGAATGCTTATGGTGATGACTGTTCACATGTTCGTACTGTACATTCAACCTTACTATGCGCATATCTGTCTGTAGTTCGGGATGCCATGGGGTGTGATGAATATCATCCCATATCCAGAACTGGCGAAAATCTTACTTCAAGTGGTGGGATCGGGTACACGATCGTAGACGCGATAGATACGATTTACTTGATGGGCTTACGGTCAGAATACGAAGTCGCTCGTCGGTGGATAGAGACCGAACTTTCATTCAACCATTCTTATCCGGAGGTCTCAACTTTCGAGGTGCATTCCAATGCTTGTCTTCGAGAAAAAGTCTTACACGAATTTATTTGCAGACAACCATCCGGGTTTTGGGAGGGCTGCTCAGTGCACATTATCTTACTTCAGATATGTTATATTTGAACCACGCTGAAGACTTGGGACGCCGTATCGTAGTAGCATTCAACACATTGTCAGGCCTTCCTCATCGGACTGTTAATCTGGGAAAACCTCATTCTCCTCAGTATTCTTACATCACCAGTCTCGCCGAAGCAGGCTCTTTGCAACTAGAGTTCAAGTACCTCGCGGAACTCACTCAGAACGATACTTTCTGGTATAAAGCAGAACACGCCATGTCTGTGATTCGAGATGGTCTTTTGCCTAATGGATTAGCTCCTACGAGAATAAGGTATAGAGACTATGCATTGCTAGTATGTAGTCCAACGTAAGCTGATCACATAGGTATTTCTAGGATACAGCAAGGAACTTTCCAAAGCTCAGTCGTGCGCCTTGGCTCCTTGGCAGACTCGTATTATGAATATCTCTTGTGAGCAAGTCTGATTTCTCCATGTAACTTGGGCCTCTGGCACCGATGCCATCTACAGGAAGCAGTTTTTGCAGACCGTCAGTCGTCTTAATTTTTATTCTCCTGACCAAGACTCATACCACATACACAAATATCCAGAAATCGACGGAGCGTTTATACCAGATGGTTCGCTATACCTTTGCTTAATCAGCGATCTCACTGATTTCCTGATTCAGATGTATAACAATGCTACAGACGGGATCGCTGAGAACCTTATACAACAAACACCGGAAGAGCATATCACATACATGGCAGAACTCGATCCTCAAGGGCGCTTCCTCAATAGCACACCCAGGTGCGCTACGTTGGAAGCCTTGCATCGTTTCGCGACATTGACATTTCTATAGTTCGTGGAACCTTGGGCACAGGCAAGAGCATCTCGCCTGTTTCCTTGCAGGATCCCTCATGCTCGGCGCTGTGACTTCTGGCTCGCGAAATGGGCATCGGATGGTTTCAGTGCCTCCCAAGCCGCATGAACTAACTCCTCGAGGATTGAGAGATTGGAAAATGGGTATAGACTTTCTGGAAGGGTGCATGAGTACACACGACACTAAGACGTGAGTAGTGTCACTCTACATCGTCGGTGCTTTCTAAGTGAGATCAGTGGGTTAGCTCCCGAGGTTGCAGAATTCAGGGCCGTCAACGACGCTAACTACGCATACGACAAGGATTGGTTTATTCCAAGAACGTAAGCTTTTTTTAGTTCATCAGCAACCGTCTTCCCCTAACACATCTATAGATTCTCAGGTGTTGATCGGTCGCCATACGAGGCACGATATATGCTACGGTCAGTAGGATACGTATCATGACACGATACACATTGGTTGAATTTTGGTACAGGCCAGAGATAGTCGAATCTATATTCATTGCTTGGCGCTTGACTGGTGATCCTCGATATCGCGAGTGGGCCTGGAATATTTTTTCCTCCATTCAACAACATGCACGAATACCTACAGGAGGTTATGGAACCGTATCGGATGTAAATCAAGTCCCGGCCAGACTGTTGGATAAGCAGGAGACATTTTTCCTGGTATTCCGTCTTTTTGTTGGTCCTTGAATAATGCTCTCATTCAATCTTAGAGTGAAACGCTCAAATACCTGTACCTCACTTTCTGTCATTCTGATGTTCTTCCGCTACAAGGTAAAATTCGCGTTAGGGAATTCCAGGCATGCTAACGTTACATGTATGCAGGCATTGTTTTTAACACTGAGGTAAGAATTGAAGTCTTTCTTTGTTCAAATACGTTTCATGTCAGGACGTTAGGCCCATCCACTTCCGATATTTTACCCCACAGTTGTCAGTTCAAATCCCAGTCATTTATGAATACTTTGTATCCAGTTCAAAATTCATCGCATACATAGATGTCATATGCTCCTTACTTGATGCCCAACCGAGCTTCACCGAAGGGTGTCTTAGTATGTTATTCTCGAACAAGACCAGTACCATATATTCGACTACATCATTACGACAGGTGTTGTAGATACAAGCAGGTCCACAAAAGAGAGAAAATATGATGAATAAGTCGGAGAACTCTAGGAGGGGGATTTATGATAGAAAATACAGTGTGTGGATGACTGAAAAGTGGCAGTACGGCTACTACAATACAATAATGGGTCAAAACAGAATAATAGGGACGTGAATGAACAGCGTAGATACGCTATGTCGAAAGCATGCCCGGATCATCTTCCTCGCCGAAAATTTCGTCAAAAATCTCCTTGCCCTCAGTAGGAAGCGCAGGCAATTTTTTGACACCGCAATCTGGATTCTCACGAAGAAGCTTGAACCTCAGCTTCCTCTCGTCGTTCCACATCTGTTCAAGGGCCAGCGTCAGGTTCTTCAAGCCCCATATGAAGCCCATGTCAGCGTCTTCGGGATAATGAGGGGGAAAACGAGCGTATATGAGTCCAGTTTCCGGATCAATATCAGCATTATATCCTTGAGAGCTTGTTGTTACTTCATGCGGCAGGTGTTTGTCAAAGTCCTCCGGATATGGCAACCAGTCTCGGCCGGTGGTGGTATGAGCAAAGTCAACAAGGCGAACGTCAACGGCTCCTCTCTTGCGCCTGTCCTTGTCAACGGAACCTTTCTGCATCGGACCCAACAAGAGTTCTTCGCTGTGTGATCTCCGAAGCATACGAGAGGAAGACGTATCAGATGAAGAGGCGGTGGCACCTCGCTCGAGAGACTCGCCACGCTTGCTGCGCGAGGTCGGTGTTTCGAGGACCAGGTCTTTATATGCTTGTTGAGTCTCATGATCTCCATCATATATAAACAGAAGACTGCATCCGTAGAACCGATATCCTTTCAAACGAGAGATGATACGAGCAAGTCCATATAGCTTCTGCAGTAGCGTAGGGATCTGATAGGCAAGAAGGCGATCTCCATTATGTAGAAAAGATGCGAGCTTTGCAGGAAAATCTTCCGGACGGATTTCGCGACCAATGTATTTATCTTGAGTGATGTAAGTCGCGCTCTTGATGTTCCAAACCTACCAAAAAAAAAGAGATCCGTTTAACAAGAGGTGAACGACTGGTTGACGATACGTACCTGCATACCACACATCCTTACACCCAAGGTCCTACTCGTCGTACGATCACATTTCTTTCGCTGACTTTTCTTCTTCACAGGCGTTGCATCCATGCCGTACTGGCGGGTTCCCATCTTCAAATCCATCACACACGGATGCTTTAACCGTCCAGTTAAATCTTCCATGAGGATAAAATGATTTTGTCGAGAGAACTCTGAATCCAAATCGTGCTTAGGCTCTGCTTCTCCATCATCATGTTGTTTTGGATGCACGTCGTCAGTGGTGAGTTCTGGCTCTTTGAGCGGAGGCATCCTAATGGGAGAAGTTAACGTCATTCGATGAGGGCGCTCATCTAATGATCTAGACCGGCTACGCTTCCGGAGAGAGGGTGGTAATTCAGTCGTATCTAAGTCAGAACTAGTTAAATTTGGCCACTTGTGACTTCTCAGTGGCGGCGGACTACCTTCGACGTCCATGTCGAACAGACCCACCACATCGTGGTCAAATTGTTCCTGTCCCCGATGATCTTGATTCTGTTGCTCATAAGCTATAGCATGAAGCTTAGAAGGCGACGCTATCATGGCCTCGCTTTGCACCCTCCGCAATTGGCTATGATCAGAATCTCGCAGACGACCCAATGAATCGCCAGCGATTTTTCGACCACGTCGCCTTCGGACTTTACTGGAAGAGTTGTCAAAATCAGAAGGATCATCACCCTCCGCATCAGCGACCTCTCCGTCGTCATCTACTATACGCGTGCCTCCTAACCAGCGGCCTCCAGGACGGCGCTTCAGACGACGAAGCACAGTGCTGAAAACGTGATCCTTTAACTTGGTGTTAACCATAGTAGACCCACGGCCTCCGAACAACGGTGAGTGCATATGCTCTGAATGAAACGAGGGTAGTTCTGGTCTACATCCAAACCCATCATCCTCGTCTGAAGCAGATTTGACCAAAAAAATCCTCCTCTTTTCCCCCTCAGGAAATCCTGGACGCAACCCATTCGTTAGAATTTTGGGCGAATTCGCTGGAGTCGGTGCGGTCATTTCGCTAGAAACAAAGGGAGGATAGCGCGCTAGGGGACTAGGCTTAAGAATACCTGACCCAGAATCGGGGCTGGCAAGATCGGGGCTGGAAGCTGTACCTCGGTGAAGGGTCTGACGTTGGAATCTTCGGATAGCGGATGGCACGCCTGCAGCAGTGTATTGAGAAGCAGAGCGGCTACGTGAGCCACGAAGCATCCATTCAGGGACGATATGTCGGTTGCGGTCCAACACGACCTCTGGCATCTCAGATTCGTCTGTGTCCGTATACTCTTCATTGTGTTTACCCCCAGCTGAAGGTCGGTCTGTCGCTGCTTTTTGCAAGGGAGGTCTAGGTGTCTTGGCCTCTCCATGACCATCCGCGGAAGGCTTGAGCTGCAATGTAGCACTTTTCAAAACACGACGGTACGAGACAAGCATTACACCAAGGTATCGCGGAATATATGCAAGAAGGGGTGGAGCCTCTCGTTCAACCATTTCGTAGAAAAGATTTTCTCGAGAGACGAGAGGCTAGAAGAGCATTGGAGAAAGGAGTAATAAGGCCACTTAAAGAAACAGAGATGAGTATATGAAGAAAGCGAACCTTGCATACAGCGCGTTTCGTAAATTTGTAGATGGCGCTGTGACCACCGACTTGATTACGAAAGGGCCGTAGTGGAATGTGAGGAAGAGTATCCTGGGAGATGTTGAGGCCCATGTCCAGGAGATAGGTGTTTTCATCACCATCGTCGGCATCTGTATAATGGTGATAAGGTGTATCTGGAGAAGGGAAAGAGATTGTGGGCGAGCTGGCATCATCCAGGGGTGGGATGGAGGAAGAAAGGTTTTGGTGATGAGTAAATGCGGTAGAGTGGGATGTGGTAGACGTAGTTCCTGAGGCAGAATCCCAACCGGACTCGTCGTCGGTAGACCAGGGCGAAAGTGTGGAAGAATCATAATGGGGTACAGCTGATAAATATGGATGCGGTGATTGGACTCCTGTTGATGGTTGAGAGCGTGAAGATGAGCGGCGGATGACATCTGGTGGTTCCAGTTGTTCTAACAATCTCGGCGAAGGTAATGGGGAAATTATTTCGTCCTCCGCACGTTCCCGTCGTCGTCCGCGGTCAATGCCATCATCCCATTTGCCAACGTCTTTCCGCCACTGATTTAAGTCAGTGACAGACAGCTTTCTTTCCTGAGCTTTCTTATCTTCTTGCTGTTTGTGATCAGAGCTGGCTAAGCTTTCTCTCGTCCTGACTCTGTGTAGCGTAACTGTACTTTTCTCTCTCCTGAGCACGACCGCCTCACGGTCAGGCCATTCTGAGCGCTTCACAAATTCGAATTTAGCCTCTGCAACGTCACCGCCATTTCCGAGGGAAGCTGATCGTTCGTGATGGTCTGTTGAAGGCTGAACATCATTGGTCTGTGAATCGTCTTCGGTCTCTTTGAAGAGTTGTAGAGTGGCAGCGACTTTTCGGCCAATCCCGGAAGTTGATGGATGAGTGGGAAGAGGAACAGCGGGTGCCGAAGTTGATGAGGAGGACGACGACGAAGACCCGGTAGACGGAGAACGAGTCCTTCGGAAGATCGGGCGAGAAGGCGAAAGCTTAATCTGGCCAGCAGTTGGCGGTAGAGTTAGAGCGCGAGATTTGCCTGCTACAGAATGCTTTCGGCGATGAGAAGAGGACTTTTCTGTCAGATATCCGTCCGAGTCTGTTCCATCTCCATTCAGACGTTGGCGTGAAGAACTCAGATGAGAGCCTGGAGAGGTTCTAGGCCATTTTCCGGAAATTTCGGACAGAAAAGAGGCAGAGCGAGGGGAGGAAATAGGCTGGCTGGATGTGGATGAAGGGTAGCGGAATTGGGATTGCTTCGACTGCCTGAAATCAGCAGCAGCAGAACCCATAGACAAGCCAAGAATACACAATAGTTTATCCGAGTACAGGAGCAAGAATTTTCGCGAGAGAATCAGCAAGTCAAACAGGAATTGTAAGAACTGTACAGTGTTCTCTATATAACTTTTTTTCTTCTCGCCAGGAGTGTGTAAAGAGCAAAAATGATATCACAGGCAGCCAACCGCTGCAGCCCACGTGCGAAGGAAGCTAACGTAACCAACGTTGGTCCGATGAAAGTCCCTGGTATCTCGTTCACTGCAGGGGTGGAGCATAAACCTTCCAGGACTGGTTACCGTTTCTTCTGCGATGTAGGTGGAGAACGCCGAAAGTACCTCAAAAGTCAGACGTTCAGTGAAATCCTTTGCACCGGAATTTGCCGCTAGCTGACAAATCACATGTGGCAATTACGCCATCATTTGCTTGTCGGCCTTTCTGATGCTTCATTCATTGCGCCGCACACTTTTGACGACAAAATGTCTTCAAACATCTACACGGCTCTTCTCCAATAAGCCTGTTCAACCAGTGTTTGTTTTCTTTTCTTATATGCCTTTCTGTCTAAATCGCTCAAGTGCATCGAAGACAGATGGCAGGCATTACACCAGTCCCCGAAAAACATCCTCATCGTAAACAAAATGCGCACGCAGCCTGTGATACTTGCTATTGACGCGTTCCTCGAGTTAGCATTGAACATTCAACTGCATGCTTGAATTCAATTCCTAAAAATTTCGGCGTAGGCACGTTCATTCTACGTATCCCGGTGTCCGAGTTTTTCATGAAGATAGACCTGATATTCCTCATGGAGCCGAAGTATGGCATCCTGGTGTGTGTCAACGATAAACTTGGGCCCAACGTTCTTTACTAAACCTAGGCTATGTCGCTTTAGGCAAACCTGAAAAAATCGACTTGGTTGTAACTTTAGGTGGAGACGGAACAATTCTTCATGCATCGTCTCTTTTTAGCTCAGGCGCTGTTCCACCTGTGCTTAGTTTCTCGTTGGGCACTCTAGGTTTCTTGCTTCCTTTCCGTACGTCTTTCCGGCGCTCTTTCTTGACTGAGGCCTACAAGTACGCCTCGTAGATATCGACGACTTTGCCAAAGCCCTCAAAAGTGTTTTTGACGGAAAAGCTACTATCCTTAATCGGATGCGGTTAGCATGCACTTTCTATAACGAGGACGAATCCAAGAAACCTGATCAAGCCGATGGTGCGTGTTTCACTCTAAAATACACATTCCACATCCTGTACCCCAAACTTATACCTGTGTCAACATTTATTGTCTGATCCATTCGATCATACGAACGTTCCTCTTAACCTAATCATTTTCAGCCATTCCATTCCCGCTGAATCACATCCACAGATTGGCAAGTAATGAACGAAGTTGCATTGCACCGAGGATCGAGCCCGCACTTAAACACGATCGATATTTTCGTCGACGGGCAGCATCTGACGGAGGCTGTGGTACGTGCGTTCTACTTTCGCTTCCAATGGTTGAGGCTTCATGCTCTTGCTAACATATTTTCGTTTCCTTATCTCATACTACCTATACTGGATAACAACAGTCTGATGGCCTTATCGTCTCGACGCCCACAGGCTCCACAGCCTACTCGCTTTCGGCCGGAGGACCTATCGTCCATCCATCTTTGAGCGCACTTGTGTTGACCCCAATTTGTCCGAGGAGCTTGTCTTTCAGACCCTTGGTTTTCCCCTCGTCGTCATCTATCACGTTGAGGGTGAGTCAAACTGTCCGTTCTTTTCGTGCTCTTCTTTTTGGCGGCTTGTTCGTTATTCATACGCTTGTTCCTCGCCTGGTCCCTGGGTTCCTCTTCCTCCTTTCTCCTTGATTCAATGATGTCCAAAGTTTCTCCGCTTCCTTTTCCTATTTTGGTCATGACTGTTCTATTCTTCGGATATATGACGGGAATCTACAAATACTACCATCTGCAAATCACTATCTAGACGTTGTCTGGATACATATGGACAATCTCACTCATCCCGTTCATTTCATGGGTTTATCATTTTGTTCTTGCTCGGTTATTGCTATTCGTTCGGTTTCCAATCTGTCTATTTAACTCATTTACATTGGTTCCTTCGTTCTTACCGTCGTTCTGTTCACCCACCATCTAATCCCTTTCTGAAATCCCAGATTGGTAACCGCAGCCGCGCCCATGCCGGTGTGTCCATGGATGGACGAACCTCGCACGTTCTTCATCCCGGTGAATCAGTCACTATACAAGCATCGCCTTACCCTGTTCCGTGTATCAATCGATCCTCAATCGTACCCGAAGATGGAAGCGAGAGAGAGGAATTAGAGAAAGGGGAAGGAGCAAGGCCGGGGAAGGAGGATGATTGGGTGAGGGATATCAATAACTTGTTGCAGTATAATGCAACGTTTAGGAGTAAGGCGCTATTGAGGCATAGTCGGACGTGAAACGGAGCTTCCCGAATTTTTGCTGAGATCAGTGCAAGTGGGTAGATTCCATGGGTTGTCTTTGACAGAGATGTACGCGTCGTACCTGCTCGATTGAAGGTCTGCGTTGTATTCTTCAAGGACAAGTCTACCATTGAAACAGATTCGAGAAAAAAAAAGATTTCGTGGCCCAGCCGATCCTCTGTGCTGGACTATGGTAGTAATTACAGGGCTTCTACAGTGATAGAGGGTATATACGCATGATGTACACGGGGTGATGGAAATCTGAAATAAATATCCTTTAATGTAAGTTATATACTGCTATTTGTCCTGGTCAGTCGTTCAAGGAAACGAGTATTGTAATAGTAGACTGATGAACGTATTGAAAAGTTCGATACTTTGCTTTGCACTTCAGCAGAACAATCGAAAGTAAACCAAGTGCTCGAAACTCAATGCCGAAGAATGTCTGTAGCGCCAAGGAATTATTGGAGCGGGGGACGTCAAAAAGGAGAGCATAAGGCATATTCTATGTTTTTTTATTTATCGAATTTTGTTTGTAAGTCCTAAGTGCAATTGTTCAACAAACCCGAAGGGTCGGATCCTGTAAAGGGAATATGAGTAAGTAAATGTGATAATCAAACGAACGAATAACGACGTCAAGAAACCAAAAGATGCCCAGAGCAGAAGACAATGGGCGGAAAGGAATGGGACAGAAGAACTACATGTTTGGACTTACCAGGATAGTACCAGAACGTTACGCAAAGGATTATATATAGACCTATTTGACAATTCACAGAAAGTGAGTTATGAACTAATGGCGGAGAAATCCAAATGACTCACACATCAAGATCATACCCTCCAGCCAGTTCGACTTGCCATCTTGCACGGAATAGTTAACCGTCAGGACTAACAAGGAGTGAGCATCAGAAATACAGGAAAAAAGATCAGCGGATAGAGGAAAATGAGGCAAGGATGGGAGATCGTAGCAGGGTATATCATGATAAGAAAACACCCACCGGCAAGGAACAGCGTTATCGACTCGTAAGGATCGAACAACAATGTAAGCGGCTTGCCCATCATCCAGCCCAGCGTTACAATGAAACTAAAAGACAAGCGAAGGTGTTAGATAAAATGAGGGAGGAACGGATACTAGGACTACGCACGGTATAACGAATAGCGCAATTTGCTGTACGAGGCAGAAAAAAAAGTATTGATCAGGACTCAACTGACATACATACAAATATTCACTTGGCACTGACCAACGTACTCCCAACGGCAACACCTAGACTCAGCGTCAGCTTGTCTTTCACAGACACTGTAACAGCGGTGACATGTTCCGCTGCATTGCCTACAATAGGCAGCAAAATGATTCCAACAAATTCCTGTGATATAGCGCCAGTATCTGTAAGCCCATCGATGGAGTCAACGAGCCATTCGGCTGTCACAGAGACGAGCTGTGTAAACGAAAGAGAAGAAAGACGATCAGTCGAGTCTTGAAACACGAGAATACGAAGAAAGCTTGAAAATTGACTCACAGCAGTAACAACAGCTAACAGCACAATCGTCGTCGTGAGGTTCATCTGTGGCTTTTCCTCCTCTTCCTCGACCTCTACAACTACTTCACCTTCAGCGGTAGACGTGGCCGGAGCCAACCCCTTCTCTACATCCTTCGACTTGTGCCTCCCACCAGCCAGAGAAGCCGCGGATGAAGCTACAGAGGTAAATGTTGCGGCGGTGGTACTAGCCGTATCCCAGGCCTTTGTTGTAAGACGACCTATGAGGGGCTTTGAGGACGTCGGAGTCGCACTTGGACCTTCGCCTTCTCCGTGTCCATGCTCTAGATCGGGATGTTGGTCGTGCGCGAGGTCGAAGGAAGAATATGGTGGCATGACGTGCATTTCCAAGCGTTCCGCGGAGGCATTTAAGTGAGCATGGTCGACGGAAGACTTGTTTGATTTGGTCTTTTTAGGTCTCGGAGCATACTTTGTAGACTTAATGATGTCGTTTTTGTCGTTGTAGAGGGAGGCATGAGAGTAGAGTTGGAATACGAGGTAGGCTGCATAGACTGTTTTACGAAGGGACAAATTTCAGTTCTGTTGTACATAAAAATCATATCCAACCTAGACTGGAAACAAAACCACGAAGCAGAAATTAAGATGTCACACTTACTGAATAATAAGATTATGGCAACTCCATGTGAAACCTTCAACAGATCCTGCCCTTCGTCTGAATCAGTTTGGGTTGTGACGTTGTAATAAAACGCGGCAGGAAGAAGAATGGCGATGACAGCGATGGTGAGAAGGGAGGAGTTGAGCTGGGAGGCAACTGCGTTAGAAGTAGGAACATATGTCAATGGAGATCGATCCAGTAGATTGCGGAATCTATACCTAATCCAAACCCTTGTTCCGAAAACCGAACGCCTCCAGCGAAGAAACACATCCCCAGAACAAGCACTGCAAGGCTCAATTCGAGACAAATTCCCCTTTGGACTTTTCAAGAATACGTACGAAGGTTACTGAGCATAGAGCCAATTACTGAACATACGATATGAGATTAACAAGTTGAATTGAAGAGAGAAGAACTTACGAGACGATTGAACGATGTGCAATTTACACTGAGTTAGCGCGATAATCTACCACAGATAGAAGTCATTACTTGCGGATTTAGGAAGCAGAAGAAGGAAGGCCCAGGGAAAAATGTATGTGTGGGTAGAAAGAAAATAGAACAAAGGATACCATCGCTGAGGTCGCAGAACATCGAGTTGGGAAGTATGACGATAACTTACAGCAACAATAAGCTCCACGGCATTCCCCTATACGATACATCTTTTAAGTTGTAGAGAGTGCCACATGCAAATAAACTCGACCGTACAAGAGTAGCGTTTAGCAGGCCCGCCAAGGTCTGTCCCACTCGCATTGATAGTTCGTCCGTTGCAAAAGCTAGGAGCTACAAAACAAGACATTTGAGCTCGAGTGCCGCTGTGATGGATAACAAAGATGATCAAACAAACCTTAGCTAGAGGGATTATTGCGAGAAACGAGACTGCGATGAATGAACAATTGAAGGAAAACGTCGCGTTAGTGACAAGTCGCAAAAACAAAAAGGGGAGTAGGATATGTTGATATTCGAGAATGGCGGAACGCACAGACAAAGATCAGAGTATCATTATCTGAGGCAAAATTGAGGGCCCACTGGAAATGAACATGAATCATTATTGGTATAATGTATGGAGAATTCAGGTCGTTCTGGACATACAGAAACGGGTATGCAGAGTAACAAAAGGTTGATCCCTAGAAGAGCATCAGTGAAGTGATGGGGGACTGAGTCGGACGTGCAACTTACAGGAACTGCATATTACAGACCTGAAGCTCTGGAACATGGTCGGCGAAGGCCCAACTTTCTTGCTTGGTGTCAATAAACTCGAGAACGTTCCTGCCCGTACAACCTCTCTTGGTGAATGCGGTCCAAGTCCCTCGACCTGTTCATGCCTCTGCTTTCGCGAATCAGTAGTTGACCTTCGAAATATGCTTTTGAAGTTGGGTTTCATATGATCCACGGTGATAAGAGGTGGTAGCGCAGGTGCAGCAGTAGAGGTGATGGTAGGAGATAGATTATTTGTAGGTGCTTGTGTGAACGTCGTTTGGGTTGGAGGAGCAGATTCATCAGTCAATAAAGCAATATCGGATCCATACTCGTGCTCGTGGCGAAGGCTAGCAGCCGGTTCTATGAAACACAAAGACATTAATGGGGTGGCAGAAAACACGCAAATGAGAGATGGAAACACGCACCCATGTAAATCTATGGAATATAAATGAAAGGCAGGTGGAAACGAGCGAACAAAGGTTGTTGTATACAGCCTGATTTAAGACGAAGATAAAGAACCCTTTTTGAGCGGCGTTGTGATAAAAGATAAAAGCTGTAGCAATACCACAAAAACGGAAGTGCGGAAATAGTTAAAGTAGAGCTGTTGTCTATATTCACTGCGGATCTCCCAGTGCGGAAAGGTGCGAAACCGGCACTTCGGCGGGTTGTCTACAAGCTCCGCACCCCTCCGTCCCATCTGCCCCTTCAGGCCACTCTCAGGCCCCTCCGCTCTTGTTTTATGCCACAATTTCGCCACAACGCCCAACACCCAATGTCCTCTTTCAGTTCAAAGCAGTGGGCTCCGTGGGCTTGTTCAGATTACTTGTACTGCAGCTGCATGGGATGCTGTGCCATTGACTTCAAATGAAGTCAGCATGCTATATTTTACATGTATGCTATTACTTATACATACCGTGAAAATCATCCGAAATACAGCCCACGTAGTTTTAGAATCTTATGCGATAATCGGTGTCAGTGGACATTACCATATCAAAGATGAAGATAAGAATCATTTTACACCTGTGTACACCGTATACACACACACACCTTGCAAGCTTAAGCTGTACATAATTTTACTCGTCCTCGTCAAGTGAGTATTCAGTCAGTCAAAAAAGTTCAAAGGAAGTACCCACTCAAGTTGCTCAAGTTATCCTGGCTTGCGATATTCTTGGTCAACTCACACCACACGATTGTTTGGCCAGACGGAAACATCATTGGAACCCCAGCCACCTACGGCGCAGTTAAATATGCAAGAGCCTGCCTTTGAGGTTCTCAAGCCGGTGCCGAGGCTATCGAGTCCATCACCACTGAGGGCGAGAGGGAACTGACCCTGTACCGGTCTTACCCGTTAAATCTGTGCGTCCGTTCCTGCTGGGTGACGCCGGCCGCGAAGGCTCTAGCGCACCAAAGAGAGGTTGGGTATACTGCTGGGGATCAAACGCTCGAACGTGGGCCCGGGAAGATGTTGCCAGAATTCGTCTGCTAGGATAACTGAGCAACTCGAGGGGTATAGGCTGAGCCTACCTGTCAAAGGCAAAGGTCAGTAATACTTACCTCAACAGCTGCCTGGCCAAGCGCTGTTGCACGTCTCTTGCAGTCTCTTGCTTAGACACCAGATAATAGTATGTCTTGCCTACTGGTTATTGCAATTTTGATTGAGAATCTCGCACCAGAGGCTTCCCAGTCAAGCAGAGATGAACAATGTCTGAGACATCCAGCTTTCAGACCAACTCCCTTATTATGTTCGAGCCATGAACGTGGGTCAGTCTGTATCCTAGCATTGCTGGAGGCCATATAGCTGTAGAGACTCAGCGAGGTTATATGGGTACGATTGAAAGCAGAAATTCCACCGATCCAGTTACCCATTCTGAGTTGGAACGAATTCATAACGTCATGATTCTTGAAGTCTTTCGTGCAAGTAAAATCTGAAACTGATTATCGTGCGCTATCGAGGTCGCAGTACTATAATATAGAGAAGTGAATACAATATAACACTCTGAATGAATGACACAAGTTAGGTACCGAAGATCAACAAAGTAAGAAGGAAAAGAAACAGTCGCCCGTCTTCAAAGAGATTAAACAAACGTCTCTCGAATTGGACTCCTTTTACCATCTGCTTCTTTTCCCCTCCCATTCCGCGGAGGAAACACGAAGCCAGCGGACATCGGACTTCTCCATCCTTCGTCGCCTCCATCAATGGACCCTCTGGCATCAGGCCCACGTATGAGTCGAGCAATTGAGGCGGTATGTCTATGTCCATTCGCACCTCCCGCCACAATTTCGGACTTGTTCTTCCCATTAGGCTTGTTGCCGGCGGCCTTCTGCATAGTTGGCCGATAAGTGATATCTTCTTCGTCGCCTGGATGTCGCTCACCGTCCCCCGTTTCGCTCGCAAAGTCATCTTCAGATTCAGCGAGGTCAAATTCAGCGGCCGCCTCTGCCATTATTCCCCGTCCTCCAACAGCAGCTCCTGCTCGACCATTCCCATTACGCGGAGCTTCTAGATCATAAATATCATATTTTGATCGCTGTGAGCCCATTCTATACGCTGGAAGATTTCCATTCGCTTTAACTGTACCCGTTGAAGCAAGGAGACCCAGGTTCGTGCCTGGAGGCGAGGTTGCCGCGACGGTGCTCTTCAGTTCGTCCGGAATGAAAAAGTAGAAGCACATCGTAGCAAGACATGCTCCTCCTACAACATCTATCAGATAATGATGTGTCATGTACATCGTCGCCCAGTACAGCACACCGGCATAAGCCCAAACCCACACTTTTGTCTGAGGAAAGAAGTGCGCGACCGCAAGAGCTTCGAGAGTAGCAGCGCCGGAATGTAACGATGGAAAAGCCCCAAACACGAGCGGTGAATTTCCGAAGGCTGAAGTATAACCGTGTGCATGGAATAGCGAATCAATTCGAATTAGTCCCCCGGGCGAGCCCTTTACACCGTAGTTGGCCGGGGTAAGTCCGTAGATGAGTTCGTACCACGGTGCTGCGCAAGGGAAAAGAATTTGGACTATCACGCCTATTAGAAACATGTATCCAAAGGCAGTACTCCAAAAACGTAACGCTTCTTTCGGACGGAAGAGCCACAAGAATGCAGCGACAACGAAAGGAAGGGCATAATGGCCGACGCCATAAGGAATCCAAGCGATGATGTCGAGAATAGGATGCGTAAAGCGAGTGAGAAGATCGGAAATGTTTGCACCGTACAGAACGGTTTCGAGAGTAGGGAGTAATGACACACTGGGATTGGGACGATACTGCAGCGGAATGAATCCATTTGAGTAAAACATTATAAGCCAAGAAAAGACAGGTGTTGCTGGAAGGAAGAATTGCGAGGTTAAAGGAATCAACATGGCAATAGTGTACAGAATTGGGATGAGAAGTTTATAGGGAAATGGCGGGACGGTCATTATCGTGAGCCAGAATGAGGCCGAGAGGAAATGGAAAATGTAGACGCTATCTGATGCTTTCCATTTGTGCTTTCGGAGTTTGGCTAAGGTATCACTCGGAGAGAGAGATTTGTCGAGACGACCGACGGCTGCTATAAATGCATTGATGACTGTAAGGGCTGTCCGTCTAAGCATTGACATTTTGGTAAGGTTAAGCTGATAAAACAGAATCGAAGCAAGGGTTTTATCGGTTTTCAATGATACTTTGTATACTGTCTCCGCTTTACACACCTTTAAAAGTAGCTTCTGTACACCAGGTCACACTATTATATGAAGTCTACCGCGACACAGAAACTTGACTTTCCGTTGAGATTCCAATGACCAGACGGAGAGAAACAATTGAGATATGGCGGAAGGGAAAGAACAGGAAGAAACACGCCAAGAACAACAAATTTGGGCGCTTAGTCTCTACCCTTATGTCGACCACAATCTTTTCTAATGACTACGACTATATCCTTTCGATCCAGTCTAAAGAGCCCTTGCTTGAGCTCTTATCTACTGTGAACTACCGTTAGTGCTCTCCCTGTAGGGACGCGCTACATTTTAGGAAGAACTTATAGAATACCCTCTCAGCAACCTATACATCCACCGAAGCTGATATTGTTGTACTATCTTCGGTATCCTTTTTCCAGCTCTGTGGACCGGAAGGACACTCCATTGAAAGTGCTCACTCAGCACTTCTAGAACTTGGACTTCGAGTAGGTGACGACAATCTATCGCATACCGACATCCGCCTATATAAAGCTCTTGCACACTCCACGTTCAAAGGTGCTGAATATCTTTCTACAAATCCTTCATTCCTCGTCTCTGTAGCCTTATCTCCTACGCTCGAGGCCGAGACGGATTTCAATGCCTGGTACGAAGAAGAGCATATCAGCCTTCTCAGTAAAGTACCGGGATGGCAAGCGTGTAGGCGTTTTTCTCTGGTTGATTTTGAATCAACCGTAAATAGCGTCTCTCCTCCACGATACCTTGCCCTTCATGCTTATAAGGACTTGGATGGATTCACCACCTCTCAGTTCAAGGCTGCAACGAATACATCCTGGAGAACGAAGGTCATGAAGGAAATTGTTGCTAGTGAAAGACACGTCTATCGTTTACAGGAGTGAGATAACGAGGCCTGGCGGGTCAAAGAATTTTCTACATGTATAAGGGTGTTAGTTTACCCACCTTCGTATTTTTCTTTCATGAACAATTCACAAGAATTCATCCAACTCCTGCCGAATTAAGATGCACTCTTGCTCTTCCTTATTATAAGCATGAGTGCTTTGTCCCAGTGATTACATATGCCCATTTACAGTATGCTTTCAAGTTCTGGATTGCAACATACCTTTCTATAATGTTCTCGAATATGTCCAGAAAATATGACTCGGGTACACAGAAGCCTGGCTAGGCGCAACGCGAGTTATACCATTTTAGGAAAATATACCCGTGACAGTGACCGGACTGCCTTGCGCCGATATTTAGCGGCCCCCACATGTCTTTCTCCCATCTCACCACACCCCAATTCCTTTGTTAAGCTTTTCTTTTCTTTTCACTGTCGTTAACAGGGCTACTGCCGTTCTCGTCGTTCTCGTTGATTGCTCATCGGATATTCAGAGCATCCGAAGAACGGCTGCCCGTGGATAAAGCATTCATTCCTGTACGCCATTAATCCCCACTCCTCTCTACTCCAAATTAACTTGTGGTCGGCCTTTCCTTCAACAGAGGCAGTCGAGGTCTTCATAGGCGTCTCTCAGCATAAACACCCCATGTTGGATTCCGCCGCGAGGAACGTTGACGACGACGAGTGGCAAGTCGTACTAGCAGACTGGCCGCGGATTCATTTTGAGGCAATCTCCTGGACACACAATCCTCCAGGCTCTCATGGGGCCCCATGCAAAGCTATCTGTAGACCTCCAACGAAGTCACATTACCTTGTAAAGCAGACTGATGGCAACTCTGCGGACTTGGAACAAGAGCTAAACGCCGAACTGGTTGGTGTTTCAATTGCATTTGATGTTCTCACTGCATATGAAGCTACATCCGGATTCCATTACAACTCGTGTTTGGACGTACGAGGCGTTGAATCCACTAGCGCAAACGTCGCAGATATTTCTTGCCAGATTGACGAAAAGGACGTTGCTGCCTGCAAGAAGAACTGGAACGAAATAGTGCAGAGTTTGACTGGTGACTTCGCGGAGGACAGGGATACTAGTAGCAGCAGTGGCAGTGACTCGGGCTCGTTAGCGAGTTCCTTGATGTTTGACTCTAGCGACTGCCTGTATCCGAATTATGTATCAATGCCTTCAACTCCAAAACCACATGCACCTTCTTCTTATGGTGCTGCTAGAAGCAGTCCGTCGGTTTCTCCGCACTCGAAATTAAATGCGTTTGCCTCTTCATTCACGCCATCTGGATCATCAGTTCCATCGCTCACCTTCTCAAACAATGCTTCTCCTCTTACTACTAGAAGCTCCCCTTCCCCCACGCTACACGATTTTGTCTTTCCTTCTCTCAACTCTACCAAAGTTTCTTCGTATCCCAAACTCAAGATCGAGAAAGATGATCAGGGATTTTATACAAATATGGAGGCGGAAACGGAGTTAGTCACCCCGAAATCCCACATGCATCCATCTACCCTTTTACCTGCTTTTCTACAAGATGACCATATTCGGCGGAAGGGTTTATCATCGAAGACGCGCGCGCTTGTAGACCGATTGCGGTCGAGACAGTCCACTACGACTCACGAAGAATCTGGATACAATTTGAGCCCTAGCCCTGTTGATTCCGAATTACACGACTCTCAAGGAACGACATTTGATGTTGATGACAGTGCCAGCTCCTCGTTTTCTGAATCGCGCTCGATTTCCGGAGTTCCTTCTCTGACTTCGACAAATTTATCGAGCGACACAGATGGCTGGATTGGCCTTGAAGAACTTCACAGATCTTCACCTCCAAAGTCTCGAAAGAGAAATGGTCCCAATCTGTCTCTTTCCACCACCCCAATGCATCGTCGAACGGGATCTGGGCCTGCGGCATTAGAGACGGAGCCGCAAGTTCGGAGCCCCTCCTCTTCGTCTTCGCAGGGACCCGCGTTATCTTCGTCGTCATCATCCTCTTCTTCGAGCATTTTGTCACCACCCACACCGCCTGTCATCACGAACAACGATGGATGGATCGAGGTTTCCGAGATTTCGCGCAAAAAATCCATCTCGTTCGTACCAACGAAGAAGCCATCTAGGGTTTCAAATAGGAAAATGGAAACTGAGCCTCTCACGTTCCCAACGTTGAATGCAACCCCACAAACCAATTCCCGCTCGCATACTCGCAATGCAAGTTCGGCTGGTTCGTCTAAATCAACGAAAGCGTACAAGTCGGCCCCTGCAGGTGTTCTCCCTCTTTCACCTCCTGCGCCAGCTTCCAATTACGGTTACTATGTCCCGCCTGCTCTTCCTGTCGCTCCAACCGTGTCTTATGCGCCGTATGCAGTGAATCCTATGACGCCATATGCGACTATGATGCCACAGTATTACCCTCACCAATATGCATATCAGCAACAACATACGCATCCTCAGCAGTATCCTTATCATCACCGCGGACATAGCGTTGCGGTACCGTCGATTGGGACGATGCCTGCTAGTTACGTGATACCTAATGCAACGGCCTCACCGATGACTATCAGGCTCGGAATGTGGTAATCTGCAAAGGAAAAGTTGACCTTTCCGCTCATGCATTGAGTGATTTTCTGTTTCTTCTGTTGTACTTTTTTTAACTCATACTGTTCACCATACAAACCTACATGTTTTCCTGATTTTTTCCAATTCCATACATAATCGCATCCATTGAGCATAAATCATCGGTCGTCTTCCTTCACCTTTCTTGTTGTAAGTCAAACTTTTTTGGCCTCTTACTCGAATATTCTTGTTGCCGGTTTTACATTATTATAATGTACATACGTTCTTATGCTTGTCTTTCTTATTGCTGTAACATTGGAACCACACGTATGCCTCCTGGCTTTGACCCGGTAGTTTTGTACTGGGACTTCTGGTAGTAGTGGTCAATACATATGGATCCTTGTGGGTCGAGTAATTCAATTTTCCTGAGTCTACGAAATTACAATTGCCCAATCTGTGGTTATGAGGACTTTCGGATCCTTGATAATCAGCACACTCGATACTCCTTCCTTCTTGTCTGACGCAGCTACACCAGGAACAAATTCCCATTTCAACTCTGCACCTCCTTCGACGTTCACACTGCGCGGCTTCGAATTCAACCCAAGAACGACAATCTTTTCCACCCTCACTTCCTCGATCTCCTTCGCAAACGCATTCTTCGGGTCAAAGGTGGTAAGTGCTATCCCATCAACCGCTTTTCCAGGGTTATGTGAGGCCAAATCTTTGCTCGAGATACGGGTGGTCTTCTTATGAGACTGTTCTGCCACGAATTCGCGCCATACAAAGTCACCTTGTTGGTGCGAGTACGTAACACCGTCGTCGAGGTAAAGATCACCACGTGCAGTACCGGTCTTGCTCAAAGCAACACGGAGAGTAAAGGGGTCAAGCTTCATCAACGGTGAAGAGCGACGCGGGCGTTCACGCGTTGGGATAATAGATCCTCCACGGATGAATACAGGAACTTGATGAAGTTCCGCAGCGACAGTGATGTGTTTTCCTTTGCTAGAGCCACGATACGCATATTGGGTAAAGTAATCATAGTAAACCTGGTACAAAGAAAATCTTGAATGGATGCCGTAGAACGAAAGCATGTACAAATCACCAACCTGATCTTCAGCAATGTAGACGGTGGTCTCGGTTTTGTCCTTTTCAGTAACGGGCTTGACAAGTATTCCAGAAGATCCAACGAAGAATTGGTCGTCGATGGCAAACCCAGCTGTGTCCTGAGGGAACACTACATAATGAGGTCTAGAGTTTCCTGTCAGCGACACATCCTACGCAAAGAAAAAAAGACAAACCTGACGATAGGCATACCGGTGACGGAGTTCTCCCTAAACGCCGTGTACCAGATTGGCAACATGGCGTACCTTAAACGAAGAATGTCGCGAACAATGCTTTTGTAAGGCTCGTCCAGCAAGAACGGTTCACGTCGCTTCGTGTCAATGTGTGCATGTGCACGGAAGAAGGGCGAAAATATGCCGACTTGGTACCATCGAACAAGCATCTCAGGTTCAGGATTGCCAAAGAAACCACCAACATCAGCTAGTGAAGAATATGAGATAATAGCTCCGCCATTATGGAATACTCGACTTACAACCAGCGAAGGCCATTCCAGCAATTCCGTTGGCTAAAACCATCTTCACACCGACAGCCATGTGATCCCAAGTACCAAGGTTGTCGCCGGTCCACATTGCACCGACGCGTTGAGATCCCGCAAAGAAGGAACGGGTAAGAACAAATGGGCGCTTGGGGATATCCGAGCGAAGACGGACAGCTTGCGCTGTGTTATTATGCTAAAATTGACTTCAGTTGCATATTTTCCTAGATAATCGAAGTAGAAACATACGAAAAGCATTCCATTAATGTTATGAACATCTCTGTGTTCCCAGCCGCCATGGTGAATACTGTCCTTGGGCATAGTGATCTCAGGTCCATTGAAGATGGAAGGCTAAGTCATAATGAGAATCTTCGGTGCGAAATAATCTCGAAGATTTTACCTCGTTCATATCATTCCAGATATGGATATCTTCCGTGCTTTCAGTCCAAGAAAAGCCAGTGTCATTCTTGGTTGTTTTGAATTTGGAAATCCACCAGTCCCAACTCGCAGGGTTGAAATGGTCAATCCAGGAGCTGCTACCGGTCCAGCACCAGCCTTCATATTCGCCTTCGCCGCTCTTCGGTTTGACAAGGATATCAAGATCGGAAGCTTCCTGATACACTGGGTAATCGGAAGTTCTTTTCAAATGAGGGTCGACGATGACGACCATCTGTAAAACAGGAATGAGAACATGAAAAAACAAATTTGTTTTGACAATTTACTTTACGCCCTGCAGCAGCGACATCATTGGTCATCTCTACGGGGTCAGGGAAAGTCTTGTGGTCCCAGATGAAGTATTTGTGATCCTGAGCGTATTCAATATCCAGCCAGAACACGTCAACAGGCATATCTTCCTCGTCAAATCTTCTTTGAACGGTTCTAACATCATCCGAACTGACGTAGTTCCACCGACACTGGTGGTAACCTAAACTCCAATGAGCAGGGAGAGCCGTAGTTCCGGTCAAGCGAGCGTATTGGGCAAAGACGTCTTCAGGCGTTGGTCCAGGTAGCAGGAAAACGTCCATGATACCAGATTCGGAAATCCAGTGCGTATGTGTTGACTTCTTTGTGGGATACGAGATATCAATCCAGGTTTCGGAACCTACTGCATTGAATACGCCGACAGTTGTGTCGGCAGAGTGAGCATGCATAACTGGGATGGAGCCATAGAGGGACATGGGTGAAGATGCGAGGTATTCGAAGACGTCTGCATTGTAAAGACGGAATGGATCCGTGTACGAAGGTGAATCGCCTGTTGTACTTGGGAGGGAGAGGTTGGTGGCGTGCTGAGGAATACCATATACAGTGCCGTGATTGGGAAATGTAATGTCAAGAGAAAGCGATTCCGGACCTACGAAATTGCATTAACTGGTGGAAAAATGTCAAACTTAACTAGATGTTACAAACCTTTGGGCTTGGAGTCAGTCCAAGAAGAGAACTTTTCCTCCCAGTAAGCATCTTCGGAATCTCCTTCAAACCAAGCCCGTACATTCTCAACCTGGAGAACTTCCTGTCCTTCCGCGTTTTCGTCTGAAGCCACTTCCTCGATGGTCTCTTTCAACGTTTGAGAGCGGAAATGTTCCATATGTAGCAGGCCACGACCATTTAAGACTATTTGATCCTCTCCGCCACGACGAAGGCGCACACGGAGAGGGTCGTAGTCAACAGCAACCTCGATATCATTCTTCTCTCCAAACACCGCTCGCAACTCCTTCTTCCCAGCTGCCCAGCGTATACCCTTGCTGAGCTTGGGCTCTGAGACTAAAGCCCACGATGCAGCCTCATCGTAGCGCTTTTTGAGGCCGTCTACTTCATCTAAAAGGACACGAACAACACCATCATCATGGATTCTAAGCTCCAAGCCAAACTTGATTTCTGGATAAAGGGAAGATTTTACAGCAGCCTTGACTGTGGAGTCCTCAGGCGAAATAACGATAGAAGAAGGGTCAACTGTGTATGGTGATTTCCATGAAGATTGGGCTTCCTGAGCGCGTGCAGCAAGTGCACGTCCTCTACGACAAAAGCCTGATTGTGAGCAGGTCTTAAAGTCCTGAGATTTGACGGCCAACGCATGTGGCAGAGCTAGGAGAGCATAAAAAGACCCGAAGAGCACGACTGAGCGCATTTCGACGCCGAGCTCTCGAGTTAATGAAAGTTGGACAAGGACCCCGGATAATCACAGTGAAGGTCGTTCCCAAAATTGCCGAATTTCGGCTGAAATGTCCGAACCAAAATCAAGAATTTCTGTCAAAAAATGTCCGAAAGTCGACCAGCCGCCGGCGCTTAAGCAAATTAGCGCTCGCCTAAATGATCTTCGGGGAGGCTTCAAAAAAATTTCCAAAAGTCCCACGGACTCCCACCTGCAGATATAACTCCCCAAGCTGGAAAAAATGTCCGAACCCCTGTGAGCAACCTACCGCCGTCAGAGGCCTTGAAATGTCCGAAAATCGAACAGAATTTTCGAAAAATTTCTCAAAATTTGTCCGAATTCCCGAACGACTGTATCCCCAATTATCCGGGGTCCTGTTGGACACTGTACAGGTTTAAGCGCTCGAGCCACGTCTTAGGAGTCCTTCCTTCCTTCTGGGGAAATCAAATTGCATTTTTATTTGGCGCCGACCCACCTCTCACCATCCTGAACGTGACGCGCGTACACAGGCAGAGTTAATCCTCAAAGGGACTTCTCCAAATCCTTCCCCTATACACTTGCTCTTGGAAGGCGTCGAACCCAGATGTAGAGGGCTCTCAAATTTTCAGCGATGTCTCTTGCCAAGACGCATCATCCTGACACATGCTTCTATCTATCCAAGCAAGCCTACTCTCAGTCAGGCAGATTAGACGGTGCCCATAACAGGTACCAGTGGAATAGGCTCCCGCATTGCGCATTTTCTCTGAATCCGCCATGGTTTCTGCACCCAAAATCATCATTCTGAGCCTGTCCAATCTGTTCGGCCATGACTCATTCACTTTCACCACTCTGCAGTATGCCGAAGTTCATCGATGTCATCCTTTGCCGAGTTTCACCGTCACTTCTTTGTACTATACATTTTGCAGCAAGGCTAGACTCATCGATGAAATAAGAATTTACCGGCTGCCTCGGACAATTTAACTTGATTAATGATTAACGATGGTCAGTCAGCAACACTGGTGGACCCAGTCGCAAGGTATAAAATGTGCTGAGTCCTCATAGAAGCTTCATTCCCACAACAACAATGTCCCTCGACACTCTCAATGTCACCAGTACCTATCACCGCGACACATATCCGGCGATCTCCCCTACCAATCCCTCTCTCAGCCAGGCTGGGAGGGCAATTCTTATTACAGGAGGTGGCGGTGGAATAGGCTTTGAGATTGCTCGGTCTTTTGCTAAAGCGGCCGCCTCTAAGATCATTATTGTGGGACGCAGAAGTGCCGTCTTGGAGGCCGCAGCGGTCAAGCTGCGAGAAGAGTTTAAAGACTCGACCACCGAATTCATTGCTCACCAAGGAGACATTGGAGACGATGCATCTATCTCCTCCCTTTGGGATTTCCTGAACTCTCGGAACATATTCGTGCGTGTTTTAGTCCTCAATGCCGCTCACTTCACCCCGTGGGGACCCGACACGCTGAAAATGGATAAACGAGAACTCATGGAAGGATTCGATATCAACGTCGGTGGTAACTTCCTCATGACAGTCAAGTTTGTGAACCAGCCACTGCGCCCTGCGGGTCAGCAACTAAATCTGATCAATGTATCGACGGCTAGTATCCAAATGATTCCTGCCCCGAATCAGACTCCGTACTCGACTACCAAATCAGCATTTACTGCGCTCATCGGGAGAATTGCTGATGAACACCCTGTCGAGGACATTCAGATCATATCATATCATCCAGGCGCTCTTTATTCGGAAGGTGCTGCAAAACATGTGGACAAAAATCTTCTCAAGTGGGATGAGAGTGAGTGACATTAATCGTGGAAGTGCTCTCTCCGTCATTAACACACCTCAGTGGCACTACCAGCAGATTATGCCGTGTGGGCGGCGTCTCCAGAGGCATCCTGGCTACATGGTCGCTTTGTGTGGGCGCACTGGGACGTCGATGAATTGAAAGCGGACAAGGGCTTCTTGAAGAGACTGCAAGAAGAGAAAGGTTTCTTAAGGGTTGCGGTCCAAGGATTAAAAGAGCTCTCGTTGGAGGCATTCTTAAACAAGTAGGATCAATTTAAATTGTAGCCCCTGAGAGTGCAAAAGCACAGACGAATAAATTCAGATCCACAAGCAGCATCCCGCCTACAAACAATTGCAGGCGAGACAACATAATTCATGAAGAAAACTAAGCGTAGCAAGTTGTAACGGAAAGGGCCGAATAATCGTACGAGCGCTAAAGATGACTTCGCAGGACCATTCCCGCAACGATGTCCTCGTGATCTCAATAGCGCCGGAACCCATGATCGTGGTACATGCCCAACCCTGCCCAACCATCTCCCCGACCAATGCCTCTCTCAGCCACGCTGGTAAAACAATTCTCATCACAAGGATCTGACGCCTCTAAAATCAATTTCAAAGACTAGCAAAGACCCGACCACTGAATTCATCGCTCGCCAAGGACGGAACAACCTGGAACAACTACAACCAAATTGTTGCTTGCGTGAAGTTAGAGATCCAAAACGAAACGATCCGAAGCAAGAAAAAACACAAGTGGAATTCATATCAATTTCCAGGTGTGCGATGGTCCGTTGAAGGAGAAGTCAAGCGTATCGCAGTTAGTGGCGCTGCATTGGCGCCACACTTCATGCTTGGGCGTTAGATAGACTGCCTGCCCCTTCGTTGAATCTATGCTTGATGACGGTAAATTTTTGGAGGCAACCAAATCATCTTCGGTCTTATCTGCTTCCCTCGACTCTTGGACGACTCGTAGGCGGGATGTCAAAGCGTCGACATCGAGTTTCTGAACCTTTTGTCACACGGGTGATAACGGCGAGATCAACGCCGACTCACCGTTCTAGGTTGAACCCCTTCAAGCTTCAAGGATGCTGACGGTTTGTGAAATGGATGCGAGTCTCTTTTCGTGTCTTTTTTCTCGGCCTTCGGTCTCGCAGCTTCAGCGCGAAGTCCTTCAACAAGTACATTTTTGGAAAAGGCTTCTCCGTCACAGTGGTAGATCATATCGCACTGAAGGTGTGCTGGTTCACAATAGGATAAATTCTATGGCATTAGGTCAAAAGTCGGGCTGGGAATGAATGGGATAGCACTAACCAGCATATCGAATTCAAGGGTGCTTGTGTGCAAAAGAGAAATCGGTCGACCTCGGGAGGAAGACAACGGGTATGTGTCTAATCAATGCCAGAGAGGCTGACCGTTAAATAACAAGGTTACAGGACAAAGGGTGAAACATTGCCCTTTGTGTTTTCTTCTTTCGTCAATTGACAAAGCCACAAAGAGGGGTCAATGGTCTAATCCATCAAAATTTCGGCCACCCGATAGCCAAGACGAAACAAAGAAACTTGACACATTCGCTGTGCATTGATGGGATATACGCGTCGAATATACCGATGTGTCTTTGAAATAATCTGGTGAAGAACGTACATGTCTGTCATCGTGGTCGTTTTATTGGATATCTGTTGCTTTCCTGAACATATAGAAGATTGGAATGCAGAAAGCCTTGCAGTCGTGACATTCGTCCAAGCCGAACAAAACAGCAGAACAATCGACTCGGATTAATTTAAGGACAGGAACTATGTATGTACCGGTAGTGCCGGACAGTATCAGAAATGCGAATCAAATCATTGTTCCGCCTGCTTCGACAAGTTTTGGTTATTCTATACTGCGGTGATACTATTACATCCTCAAAGACTTCTCAGATTATGACAGAACAAATCCTTCATAGTTGTGCTCAGCCACCTCTTGGCACTTTTGCATGTACAAAGGCACGCCACCGACAAAACTCAATGGTTCAAAAGGCTTGTTCTCGATGTTGGCTCCGTTATACCAGCTTTTACCAGTCGCAAAAAGGGTCATCGCATTGATGCCGAACACAAGCTGCCGCCAACCTTCCTCTGCCTCTGGACAAGTCTCGATACGTTCGATGTGCTTTGTTTGGGCATATTTCATAAGGTTGGCGAGCCACTCTCCGTGTATCTCCTGTTTTGATGTTACGATCAGCTGGAATCAACGGGGAATTCAAAGCTCACAGCACAGGTGGGCCCGTTGCCTGAACAAAAACAGGTCAGCGCAGGTTATAGCATAACAGGAAATTGGTAACGAACAAAGTCCGCTGGGTGCTTGTGGCCCGTTCGTGAAGAACATGTTGGGGAAATCTGAAGATGCTACGCCGAGGTACGTGTGAGTGCCTTGCGACCATTTCTCCTGAATGGTCACTCCGTTTTTTCCTTTAATGTCGATCGCTGTGATACTCCCAGATATAGAATCGAAACCTGTGGCCATAACCAAGACGTCAATTAAATGCTCTGTACCGTCCTTGGTGATAATTCCATCCTCGCTGATACGCTCAATTGGGTTCTCACTCAAATCCACAAGTTCGACGTTATCTTGGTTGAAGATTTCGTAGAAATTCTGTAATCCCGATTATCTTTTTTTGAGTCGCGCAAGATCATCGAACGTACCTGCTCCAAACTTATTCGCTTAACACCAAATGCATTTTCTGGATGTTCAGGTGCGAGTTTCTCGGCAACCTTGGGATCTTTGATCCGTCTTAACGTCTTTCTTCGCCAGAAAGCATACACTTCGTCGTTGGCCTTTCGATCGGTTAGGGCATCACTGTAACCACAAAGCCATAACCCGACACCGCCTTGTGCATAAAGCTGCTCATAGAACAAATGCCGTTCCTCCGGTGTTACCGAGAATGTCGTTTGCGGTACGCTCGTATACGCTAGTCCACCCGGAGTTTGCAGCATTCGACGAAACATGGCTGGATACAAATCTTCCTTGCGCTTCTTGTTGCTCTCTAGTTCTGCGGTACATGTGTAGATCTTTCGTTGGCGCATTGGGAGGCATGGATTAGCCGTGCGTTGGAAGATAGTAAGCTTGGAAGCGCATGCTGCTGCTTCCTGTGATACCTGTACACCCGACGCTCCCGTCCCGATCACCGCGACCCGTTTGCCAATAAGATCAAGTCCATTGCGAGGCCAACGCGCTGTATGGTGCCAGACACCTTTGAAGGTGTCTAAACCCTCGAACTTGGGAATGAGCGGTTCTGTATTTACCCCCGCGCAAATGAAAAAGAATCGAGTCCGCACAATAGTCCCATCCTCAGTTGTGATGATCCACTTCTTCTCACACTCTTGCCATTCCGCAGACCTGACACGAGTATTTAAACATATGTCTTTTTTCAGATCCAGTTTCTCGTCGACGTGATGGAAGTATTTTTGCATTTCGTTTTGCCCAGGAAACATCTCGGTCCAATTCCAATCCTTCCAGAGTGAGCTCAGAGAAAACTGATAACACTCGCTGCCTGTATCGACCCTGGCACCAGGATAACCTGGATAGCCATGGATAAGACACCAAAAGCCAGGATTGGTGAAATGAGAGGCTTACAATTCCAGTACCATACTCCTCCGATATCAGGCGCGGCCTCGAAGATCTTGACACGAAGTCCAAGAGGACGGAGGGTGTAGAGCTGATATAAGCCGCTGAAGCCTGCCCCTATAATGAGCACATCTAGTTCGGTGAAAGGTGGTTCAGACATGTTGGGGTAATATGCAGAAGGTGGAGTCGAGAAGCTGCTTTTCTATATTTTCGTTTCATCCCAACGGCGAGAGTGCCCAGGCAAACCACCCTGACAGTCCCTGAGCCTTATGAAACGGATGTATGTAAAAGTGTAACCATCTGTAACGGCTTACTTGCCTCAAGGAATTATCGCGACTTCATTCAACATCAGATTAGGCGAATTTCTTCAAAGTCCGGAGGTTCGCGACGTATGTATATGGTAAGTGCAGACCAGCTACGATTTGTGAACCGTGCTTGTAATCATCCGATGTAGCTTTTTGCAGGACCCACATCATCTAACGCTATTCATACGCAGGGTCAGTTAGATTCGCCTAAATTCTATCATGCACCGGGCCTTACTTAGTCCCTCCCCGGTCCTTCCTTTTCATGTGTGTAGGTCATTCTAGAAATTATTAGTTTCAACTTTGCACTGAGTTCTCTCGCATCCTGGTCGTTCTCATCCTGTCCCCATCCTATAGACATATGAAGACAAGACCGAAAAAAACTGTTCAACGATGAATCACCACAACTGCTTATGGGGGCGGTTGTATTAATCTGAGTTGCCTATTTGGAGGTTGCTGTGTCGAACAGGGATCTGAATCAGTAGCCGCTGTTACAGTCCTAAAAAATGATTCTGCGCAACATACCGCATCACCTCTACTTACTTACTATCAGCTTACTACCTGTACTATCGATATATGTTCCCCGTGCACGACGGTATGACTTCTATATAATAAATGATCCCGGTCGGCAGGCGAGGGCGCAGTTACCGTCCAAATTTGGTTAAATAGCTTCCATAATCTTTTGTGGTCTTGAGGCAGCGTGAAGGCTCGTGAAGGATGAATGATTTCTGGGAATCATCCTTTGCTTTCTTGATGATTTTTAAGGATATTGTTGGCACGTTGTACACAGGTTGGGCATGTAAAAATTCGTACTATCATTCCTCCAACTTGAACTAAAACCTACAGTACCAGAAGGCTTTGCTCGATACTGAACAGTAGCTTTCGGGGGAAGATCAAAGATAAAACATTTATTGACGCGAGTTCTTGGGCACGTCCCGGACTCACCGAAAAAAGTGAGCTATTTATCCCCAAGGGACAATAGTTCGCATTCCACGTCAATACCAACCGAGCTTGCCAATATTGCCATTGTATCTCTCGTCGTATGACAGGACAATCGATGAAAAGTCACTCAAGGTTTGCAATTGACATATGTAGCTCAGACATGAGCCCGCAGCACCAGGGCGAGCAAATACAGGCTTCGAGCCTCGACGGAGGTCGCCTTGGGAGACAGCTCGGGACAAACATACTGATTTAATTTCGAGGATCCTCGTTTTACGATATTGGGATATGCGTAAGGGGTTTGAATTAGATAGAATCCACAGAAAGTAGACACTAACTGAGCTGGATTAGGTTGGATTATGGCCATTTATCCGGGTATTCTTATCAACGTGTGCACCGAGGGTACGCATGTCGATGAAGGCCGTCAACTTCATTATTGATACATACAAGCGAAAGTAAAAATTCTCGCCTGGATTTGGACGTACAAACAATTGTCCGATTTTGGTTGTTATCAGGAGAAATTTATACATAGCTATACCTAAGTAGCCCAGGTAAGCAAGTGGGTACCAGCGGCCAGGCGCGGGTGGTTTTACTGGTGGAATATTCTATCATACCACCCCAATGCCACCACAAGCCACCCGTTCAGGTCCAGTCAGGTCCTGAGGCCTGAAGTCTTATATAGTGTTCATTAACATCGCAGCAGAATTAAGCAAAATTGAAGCATACCGTCAGTGATTGATAGGACGACTGAGTACATGCGTCAACAACAATACCCGCCCGTCACCTGCCGTCGCCTGACTCGCATCGATAGTCGATCTGTTGAACGTTGAGTAACAGAAGCAGAAACGAGGAGCTCTGTCTTTCGGATTATGTAGTTGGCATTTATTCTAATGATGTTCTACGGTGCAAGCTTATTATACCAGAAGTCTAAATGTTGCATTAAATCATATTCATATATGCAGAAAACGAGATACATACAATGTGATGAACTGAAGTCCTGAACGAGAGGTGATCCATTTTGCCAAACCCTTGCTCTTCAGCGATTCCGTAAGGTATTGTCGGGAGTCGAACCGTTCTAGAATTATTTCCGAATGGTATGCGCAATCAAAACTGTTCGCGGCTCATTCATGATTCCAGGAAGTCTCGCGGGACAGAAGGTTCCAGTATGAAAAAGTTATCTCGCCCCATTGTAGTCACAGCATGGGGGCTTTCGTGCCTACGTTTGAGGACGATCAGCAATTGGACGAAAACGACAAGCCAAAAGAAATTTTGAGTAGAGGAGGACTAGACAGAAGAGCCCTTGCGGACTTTTCGAAGGTAGGCGCCCTTCAGGCGCATCTCTGGGCTTGAATACTAAGCGTTGGCAATGGATGGAGTCTAAGAGTCGGGCATGGAAGATATGATTTACATGCGACTCGTAAGTTGAACTCGGGTGGAACTTGTGATATATAATGGAACATTTCGACTCAATCCCTTCATTAGAGGCACTGATCCTGCATAGATTTTCATAGGTTACATTTTTAGTGACATTCTGCAGTTGAAGTGCAACGCGTTTTGCAACTTACCTTCAGATAAACATATCAACTCTTCTCATTTATGAATACTCTTTGAATCGTTCATAGTGTTTCTGCAGTCTATTCCAGGGAAACTAAGGCGTGCCCCTCCAGGCTAAGGTTCAGGCTATCAGCGTGTTCACCGCGTAACACGGAATTGACCAAAATTAGTCTTTGGCAAGCTCACGTGAAAGGAGCGCTTATTAGTACGTCTATTTCTTTTTCCTGTACATGTGTGATGTCGATGAAGACTGAAGTTGTGCTTAGTCTATGTCCGACATATTGATCGCTTGTTTGTTCCCTGCCATGTTGCTCTATCTAGGTCTTCGTCTGTCGGTCTTTGACAAAGCTTTTCTGCGTTCAATCTGGTTCGATTTTTTGGCGCTTTTCAAATCTGGTCGTACTCCGAATACCAATTCTGGTAATGGTCCATTTTCCGTCCAAACCTCATCAACGGCTTATTCGAGGTATCGGTCGCTGTCTCTGGACGAGCTCTCTCGCATGCGAGCATCGTATACGCTGATAGGAAGAACTCATAAACACATTGGATACGAACTTGGGTACACAAAGAAATTAAACAGACTGGCAGAGCTCATTCAAGTGAATGCTAAAGCAACCGATGGTATTGTCACGGTCATGAGACGGAGATATGCCCAGGAGCTATCTGTCTCGTCAGCGACATTGTGGTCAGGCTTTCCTTCAACAGTCAGAGAAACATCCATTGACTCACATAGCTTATCTCGCATTCGAGAAGCATTAAAACATTTTGTCCGAGATTGGAGCGATGCCGGGAGCTCAGAACGGTCCGTCATTTTTCAACCTATCCTCTCCGCCCTCTCAACACTACCGGCTCCGTCGCGCTCCCGGAATCGGGTCCTTGTGCCCGGTTCAGGTCTCGGTCGCCTTGCATATGAGATTTCTCAGCTTGGTTACGATGTGACCGCTTGCGAGCTGTCTGCGTATATGAATGGTGCTTTTCGTTTCCTTTTGGATTCCGAAATGACCACGACTATCAATCAGCACGAGATTCATCCGTATGCGCATTGGTGGAGTCATTCTCGAAACACGGCCGATCTATTCAGAGGAATACGCTTCCCAGATGTCATACCTCGCCTTGCGGAGGAAGGAACGGTTGGTTTGCATCTTACGGAAGGAGATTTTCTCGCGTTAAAAGCACCAAAACCATTAGCTGGCTCGGATTTGAGCAGGGCAAACGGCTACGACTTCATCGTCACACTATTCTTCATCGACACCTCCGTCAACATTCTCTCCACTCTGGAACAAATCCACAAATTGTTGAAACCAGGCGGGACATGGGTGAATCTAGGTCCACTCTTGTGGTGCTCTAGTGCACAAGCGCGGTTGGAGCTGACATTGGAGGAATTGTTTGATGCCATGGAGGCTGTAGGCTTTGCCGTTGCTGGAGGAAGAGATGGGAACGACGACGATGAACCGGATTGTATGAAACGACGCACGATTCCATGCGAGTATACGCATGACGACAAAGCTATGATGAGGTGGATCTACGAAGCCGAGTTTTGGGTGGCCAGGAAGGTCTGAAGAAGTTGTTTCGTCCCGATAAGGCGGCTATATAGAGCTCCAGTGTAATATCTTCGTTCTCACAACGATTTTTCCCGGTGCACAGTATGAGCGGCAAGCTGCGCTGGTGGGAACATCAATCGTAACGATTCGTAAGTGCAGCGCTCTTTACTCAATCCCTTCACCCTCATCCTATCTCGTTTCAAGAATGACTACGACTACAGCCGCTCCAAGTGATATTCGCTTCCCTGTAAATTACGGCGATGGGGAGGACGTAGTGAGGGCGCGATTGTGTATATGTATATATACGAAGCCTGAGAATCTGATAACATCAATACAGAGTGAACAGCAGAATCACGTTCAATGATTCCAGCTTGAGAGTTTCCTCTCATCATCCGTTCCCGCGACTGTTTCTTACAACCATTGCTCCACAACGTACGACGTACAACTGCGACGCAGACCCAATTGAACGAAGGTTTATTCCAAATCCATGCGCGCCTCACCCTTTCATGTTTTCCCTCGCCATCCCCGCTACGCTCTCTTCCTTCTCATCGTCCTCATACCCTCATTCTACCTCCTGCTTCCCTTGCGTCTCGATCCCCCTCTCACTCCTCTGCGTTTCCCCCCGAATGAGTCAACGGATTTAGCATATAGGATGGCACAGGCGGAAGTAATATACCAAAAGACACTCAAAGACAGGGATGGACTGATTGCGCGCTATGGTCCCCATCCAAGTGACCTTGACATGTAAGTCTGTTATACATTCCTTCGGAAAGTCGCACAACCTTTCTCAAATAGGTTTCCTCCAAATAAATCTCCTTGGCCGGCCTACACTGTCTGGGACTATTTCCCAGCCGCCTTCAATTGCCCTCACGAAGTCCGTCGAATCGGTCTACTTGGTGACGGTGGAAAATGGGTCTGTGGACTCTCGCGTTTGGTGGACAAAAAGGATTGTGTTGTGTATTCTGTCGGTAAGGACGTTTCTCGTCGTGTTGATAACTACAACTCACCTTTTAAATACTTCATAAAGGCATCAACCGCGAATCTTCTTTTGAGGGTGACTTACTGATCAACACCAACTATTGCAGAGTGTGGGGATATGATTCTTCTGTAAAGGGATTTGCGAAGCAGATACCGGCTTCGGAGAGACATAGAACCACGTTTCACCGCTATACTCTTGCTGGTGTCGATCGTCCGGCCTCGGAATCAGAGCCTGCAATGTACACGTTGAACACCTTGATGCAAATGAATGGTACGTGACGATTCTTATATATGCCGACCATAGCTCATGCCTAATCTCACGCAGAACACCAATACATCGATATCCTGAAAGTTGATGTTGAGGGATGGGAGTTTGATACCTTCACAAACTTAATCAAATCCTTCGCGGAACAAGACCTCCCACTTCCTTTTGGTCAGTTGCAACTGGAGATTCATGTTTGGGATAAGAAATTTGACTATTTTCTGAAATGGTGGGAGGGGCTCGAGGAGGTTGGATTGAGACCTTTTTGGACCGAAGTGAGCAATACAATACCTCTTTGGTCACGTTGTCCATATCCCTCATCGCTGCTATTTACAAAATCTCAGCCGAATCTTGTATATGTTAATTACGCTGGTTCACGAAAACCAGAACTGGCAGAGGTGAATAATTCTATACCACTTTGAAGGTTTTTTGACTAACTGCTTGTGTATTGATTCAGTACTCGTTCTTGAATATCAAAGGCGAAAACGTCTTTATAACTTGAGCAGACTTCCGTTCTCGCAGGGGTCACTCTATACTACTATCCATGCCTTTACTGCATAGTCGATACTGTCAATGACAATGATGAGTAGTAAGAGAACCTCGGGTATCGTCAAAATTGCTCTGTCCTAATATATTCATCAGTAGGACTTTGCTCCTTGGACTTGTTTTCACGGTTGTAGTCTCAGTGCAAACACTCGTTTGAATATAGCTGCTTTGACCCGACGGCGTCATCACCACGGTTACGGGTGTTGGCACCCCCGAACCCTCAAGGCCTCACCCCGTTTGATTTCTGTATATGATTGTATACATAGATTACATGATCGCCTGTGGACAACGGGTATTGTTGGAGCGTTGTTGGAGCATCTAGCGAGGAGCCCTGTGCATTTTGATCAAGGTAAGATAATGCGTGGTTCTTGGATCGTCCTCGATACTGACTTTAGGGAACTTAGAGCCTATTAGTACTGTATCGAAGTATGGACATAAATGTCAATAAACCCTCGATAAAATTGTGGAATACATAGAGGCCAATCCTTGTAATGCTGGCACTGCTATGTAGCGCTGACTGTGGTGAGGGTATCATGTATGTATTGGCAATCAACGATCTCGGGGTCGATTGGAGTGCTTATTCTGCAACATGCCATTTAGTGAAGGGCTGTTCTAGAGTTTCCAAAACTTTCATTTCTTTTTCTTCCATCTTCTCACTAATCTCCCACCCGTCACCGGTTCTTTAATCTTTTCTTCCAGCAAAGTCCTTCAACATGGCCTCAGTCTGGAAGCGTCACCCCCGCTATTCAATTTTCTTAGTCGTCTTTCTACTGGCGACGTGTTTCATACTCGTTCCTCTTGGGCCGTACGAGCCGCCTTTCGAACACATGCCATTCGACGACGCCACGCCCCACGTTGACCAGCGCTTTGCTCTGTCAGAGGCTTTTTATGAGAAAGCACTGAAGGGTCGAGCGGCACTGTTGAAGAAGTTTGGACCGCGCCCAGAGGACGTTGAAACGTGAGTGACAGTTAATGCCTTGAGACGTGTCCATTCGACGTCGGTTGACCTTGTTCTTTGCGGGATGTATAGGTTTCCCGACCATGACAAGCCTTACACTATATGTAACTTCCAGAGCCTCATTTTCACGTCGTTATTGTCTCTCATCTCTTTGTTCACAGGGAACTTCTTCCCAGCTGCTTTCAACTGCCCATACGAGGTACGACACCTTGGTACTCTCGCTGATGGCGGCAAGTGGGTCTGTGGCCTTTCTCGTCTAGAAAGAGAGCCAGATTGTGTTATATACTCTTTCGGTATGCCCCCTTTTACATATACCACTTATCATAGCACTGATTTGCGCCGACCCTACTGGTACCTTTCGCGCCCTTGATATTTTGATGAAAGGTATTAGCGGTGATTCTACATTTGAAGCCGAGCTTTTGCAAAACACCAAACATTGCAAAGTGTGGGGATACGATTTCTCCGTCAAAGGTTTCGCTAGTGACATACCGGAATCCGAGAGATGGCGAACCAACTTCCATGCGTATGGATTAGCTGGCAAAAACAAACCTGCGACCGGTAACGATCCAGCAATGTATTCATTGCAGACTTTGATGGCTATGAATGGTGGGACCAACCTATTTCATTAACTTATGCTAATCTAGGGGGTTCGACATATTTTAGGTCACAATCACATCGATCTTTTGAAAATTGATATTGAGGGTTGGGAGTTTGAGACTCTCGAAGAGCTCATTAAGCCCTACTTACTCTCGGGCGAGCCATTACCTTTCGCGCAGTTGCAACTCGAAATCCATGTATGGGATATGCCGTTTGCGTCATTTTTAAAGTGGTGGGAGATGTTGGAAACCGCTGGGTTAAGGCCGTTCTGGACTGAGGTAAGTGGCTTTTGCTCTGTGATACGTCCGAGGGGATGAAATGATACTTGGTGTCGTTGTATAGCCCAATCTTGTATATGTTGACTATGCTAAAGCCACCCCGAGTCTGACGGAGGTATGTGAATCATTATTTGCAATTGTCCAATCAGCTGAGGGTTCCTCCACTTTACAGTATTCGTTCATTAACATCAAAGGCGACAATGTCTTGACAAAAGCTGCCACGTTGCCCAGGCCTCCTCCTCGCCATCCTCATGGACCATAAAGCGTCACAGATCTACAGTAGAAATCTCTTACATTTGCACCTATGGACTAATTCTAAGTATTTACTTCATAAACTTGTACAGGAATCTTACAGCATTTTCGGACTCGAACCTTGAACTCTAAAATCATCTTTTTCTGAATTCGATTGCTGTACATAGCTTGATCAATTGTCCTCACTTAGCGAGCCTTAGGACTCCTTGAATGTTGAAACTCTCGGCGGGAACCGGTGAAATCAAAAATTCAATACCCGGGCTGTGACTACTTTTGATGTTCTGCGTTTCGCTTCCTTTCTCTTCCATACCATATGAGCAAGCTGTGATAGTCGTTCTTTGGTGACGTGCTTTCATACTCAACGGGCGTAGTAGTGGTACCTATTCGATTTTTGGAGATTCGCCGTTGTGTCAGGAAAACCCGTGTACAATCATTTATATACCACGACCAACATGAATTTTGATTGAGCGAGCAATACTCTTAGCGCCGGCAATCCGAGAAAAGTGTGGGCGCTTGAAACTCATTTCGACCGTCGACCTTGTACCACAATGACTGCCAGAAGGCAGCCATCGACAACCTCGCTTTCTAAATACATCAGAGCTGGCTCACCAGCTAATATCGGTCGTTCAATAGATTTTTGCAATTCATTTTGGGGTGCTGGTGATGGAGGTGTCGATGTTCTTTTTGCCAGAATGCGAGGAGCGATGAGGACCATGGATGAACTGAGGAATTTCTGGAAGGAAAGGTAAGTAGGACTTCTGATCCCTAGCGTCATGCTCAACTGCTGCTGCTCTTGATCTCAGGGCCGCCATCGAAGAAGACTATGCTAAACGACTTGGCAAACTGGCGAAACAGACTTTAGGCAGGGACGAAATTGGGCAAGTCTCAACACGTTGCACCGGTGTGCTTCCTATCTGACCATCTTTCTGATTGACAGTGAACTTCGGAATAGTTTGGACAGTGTCCGTCTGGAAACTGATAAACAGTCGTCTTACCACCTAAATCTTGCTCAACAAATCAAGAATGATCTTGAAAATCAGGCTGCAACTTTCTGCGCTAAACAGAATCACCACAAGAAAGTCTATCAGGCGGCGATAGAGAAGGAGTTCAAGGCTAAGCAGACTCAGGAGTCTTATGTGAAGAAGGCACGAGAAAAATATGAGCAGGATTGCATGCGTATCAATTCGTATACAGCACAGTCAACGCTCGTGCAGGGCAGAGATTTAGAAAAGATTCAATTCAAGCTTGATAAAGCCCAAGCGACTGTTCAGACGAACGAGAGGGATTTCGCTAATTTCGCTAGAACATTCCAGGACACAGCGGCGAAATGGGAACAAGATTGGAAGATGTTTTGTGATACGTGCCAGGATTTAGAAGACGACAGAATGGAGTTTATGAAGGACAGCATGTGGGCTTATGCAAACGCAGTATCTACTGTCTGTGTGTCCGATGATGAGGTATGATTCATTATTTTTTCTCGAGATTCTAATATACAACTCATCTATCATAGTCATGCGAAAAGGTCCGCGTAGCCCTTGAAGGCATGGACTCTGAGAAGGAGATGGAGAACTTCGTTAGAGACTATGGCACTGGTCCCCAAATTCCCGCTCCGCCTGCATTCTTCACTTACAACTCGCCAGAGGCTGCTTCTGCCTCCGTAGCCCGTACGAAACCAGCTAATTTCGTGCGCTCTTCACAACGAACAAGCCCTCTTCGTATGCCTCAACCAATCCCACCTGAGGAAGAGGACGAACCGCCGGTAAACACCGCCGGACGCGGAGCCGGCGGAGGGCATAGTGCGAAGAGCTCAATGGCAGATGCCCGGCCATCGAGTAGAGGTCCTAATGGCGTCAACGGACAAAATGGACAGTTGTCGTCGTCACCATCCCACGTGTCATCTTCGACTGCTGCTCAACCGCTCAGCAGACGGTCTACGCATAGGAATCCTCCACCTCATGATCCTTTAGCTGAACCAATTGATCCAAACGCCGAAACGTATATCAAGGTTGGAGGCAGTGCATATAAAGTCGATTTGAACAATGATCCTCAACGACAAGGCTCGATGGGCTATAACGCCCCTAGATCTGCATCACCTAGCAAACTCAACAGCGCCAACAGTGCTGTTGACGACCCGCTTGCCAAACAGTTGGAAGAACTACAAAATCAAGTTTCTTCGGTTGGATCTGTCAGACGGAACAGTATCTGGAGAGGACAGCAGAATACTGAAGGGTCTTCTTCCGGCACACCTTCGCGTAAAGGAACCGCAGATGCACTCGCTGCACCACGAGCAGGCTCCTCCGCCCCTCGAGATTACCGCAACTCTGCCGAGATGATTGTTGGGCAACACCCATCCCTTTCTCGCCCTGCATCTCCAAACCCGAACCCAAGTGCCCCAACCGCAGCCTTCATGGTCCCCAAGAAGCCCGTTTCCCCCGGAGCCGAGATCCTCGATGGTATACTCACTGATTATCATCAGTCCCTTCCTGGTGAAAGGAAGGCTATTAATCGTTCCGGAAGTCGAAGTCGAAGCCGACCGGGAAGTTACGCTGCATCGAACGGCTTCAACGAACAACAGCAGCAGAGAGGTAGGAACCTTAACCGCCCGCCCAGTGTCGGGCATGCTGGTATAGGAGCTCATGGGTCCAGGAGCAACAGTCCTCAACCCATGTCCCGGTCCACGAGTCCCGCTCCATCCCCCGGACAGTTCATGAGCCCCCCACCAGGATCTACAATCATGCGAGCTGGATCAACAGGATCACAGAGGTCTCCAAGTCCCAATCCCTTGGGGATTTCATTGGATGCAAACAATGCCCGTGTAACAGTAGATGAAATGGCTCAACGATATCAGCAGCAGGCCCAATCACAGTACCGTCAACCTCCTCCTCAGCAGCAGCAGCAACAACAACAACAACCCCAGTACACTGGGCGTTCGCAAGGCTACACCGCTCCTGCCGCGCAGCCACAGTACGCTCCTCCGCCAGCCCCGTATCAAGCACCTCATCACCAGCAACAACCGAGCTACTCACAGGTTCCACCACCACCACAGCCTTCGTACAACGCACCTCCTCCTGTACATTACCAAGTTCCGCCTCCGCCACAGCAGCAACCAATGTACCAGCAGACTGCACCCCCTCCTACTGTCAGCCCGGGGTATGGACAGATGGAACGGGCTCTGACGGGTCCAGGATATTATGGGAACGGGAATGGACAGCTTGTTCAGCAGCAGCAGCCTCAACAGACTATGTCGCAGCAGCAGCAACGAAATATGCATCCTCAGCAACAGAATTCATCCCCCGGATATCAACAACAGATGTCAATGTATGGGGGTCCGATGCGTAGAAGTCCTTCTCCTCAACCTCCTGCAGGAGCCATGGTCGCTGCACCGACGCGGCAGGTTACGGAGGATGGTGCGGGGATTCTGTTTTATGGTACGTTGCTCCAACTGGCATATTTACTCTCAAATTCATCTTTTTGATATTTTTTCTTAGTACAAGCATTATATGACTACCAAGCGACTATCGACGAAGAATTCGATTTTCAGGCAGGAGATGTCATCGCTGTCACCGCTACTCCTGAAGATGGGTGGTGGAGCGGCGTTTTGCTGGACGAGAATAGGAGACAGCATGGGAGACATGTGTTTCCAAGTAATTTCGTGAGGTTGTTCTGAAGATATTTCATTCATATTCGAAGAATACGACGTACATGCTGGACGTGTAGGTGAGTGGTTTCCGAACACTCATGTCTCCCTTTTAACATTTTTTAGGCTTATTCTTTTCCGATTATATCTGATACTCAGCTTTCGAGGGTGTGTACTGCTATACGCGATGCCTCTGAGTGCTCCCATCTACCCTATCTACATGTATGCACCTCTATATCTGTACCACTTCTACCCGTACATACTTAATTCCTCTTCCCTCAAAAGTTCCTTACTTACCACCCCCTATGGGGCAATCGTCCTCCTTTTTCTACTCATTCTACTCATTTATGGACAATGTCTTGTGATGTTTTCACCAGTTCTTGATTTATATAAATGACATTTCCTCAGGCTTTCACAATCATTAATCATGGTTCTACGGATGAGGAGATCCTCTCCCCCGTCGATTCCTTTCTCACTCTCTCAAATCTCTTGACCCTAGGCACGTTGGCGCGTCGTGTTCCTGGTATTCCATTTGACAACTTGGAAGGGGGGCTTCAATGCAGGTTCCTCATATTCATCTCCCTCATTTTAGAAATGGTTTAATTCACCGCAGTCCTATCGCGCACTGATTGTGTATGTAGCTGTGTGTACACATTTCGACCTGCAGCTGAGCCTCGTTGCACCAAATTGCTTCACCCTGGATGGTTATCGATGCAGCATGTCCGTACCGCGCCCACACTGGTATCTAAGACGTACTCAATATGGGAGTCCTTTGTCGGAGTCAGTAGCATAGGCTAGTCATGTATAAAAAACATGGATTTTCGTCGCGCTTTCCTGCATTAGGTTTGTATCATGCGTAGCTATGGTCACTAGGATAAGTCGCTCCGATATGAAGATACCCCTCGTGCATACCGCAGTTTCTCCTTTTACCATGCATCATGGCCCGGAAATGCAAATCTCGGTCTACTTAGCGTTCACAAGGTTCCTTGAAAACCTTGAGGCATTTTTGGAGCCTAAGGGGGTCTAAGCTATAGGAGTTATAGGTAATCGTAGGTACGTACTTACGGAAGGTTTTTTCCGGACATAGATTTTCGAGGTAGAATCCGAGGTAAGGTGTTTTTTGCATGTGATATTTTGGACATAGGAGCTTATCCGGTAATTCACCATCCTACGCGTTTTTCGTTATTCGCCAAAGCAATTTTTTCGAGTCATGGACGGTACCGGTGTCTCTTAGTGTTGAACTCTACAAACTCCAAATTCTCCGTGACCGTTGGGCAAGTGGAGGTCTGTGGCTGTGGATATATATGCCCCGCTGTTTCCGTCGCATGTTGAATTCTGATATTTTTCCGATCACCACGTTCAACATTTAGATTTGTTTTGGCCATATAAAGGGACATCTTATTGTTGCTTTTCCTCCGCTTTTCTTCCATTATCTGTTTTTTTGTTCAATCGTTTCTGGCCCCGCCACCAATCCTCAACAAAAGACCAGGGCCACTTTCGCATCACAGAAACTCAGACAGTTTGGACCATATCACTTTGACACGTCGGTTATATATAAGGTCACCAACCTTTGAAACGAATTTTTCTACCGCCTTATCAACCTTTCATCGCCTTCATCGTCGTTCTTATATCCAGCCATTCTAATTCCCAATGTCCAAGATGCGCGCTACTATACGAATTTACGAAGACCCAAAGGACTTTACGTCTGCGGATGTCTGGGAAGGAACCAGCGAGTCAGCGATGACTAGAGTCAGGATATACGCTGTGATGGGACTTTTCTCGATGGCGACGATCACCGCGTATGCTGCGTGGAAGTTCTCGCCATTGTCGTTCGGGTTTGGGAAATCTGTACCAGGATGTGAGTTGGTCATTTCTTCCTTGATTTCACCACGTATCGACATTGACACTGATTGTTTGCCTGTTCCTCATTCAGCATTGCAATGATGATCTATACGTCGAGTAACATTCCTTTGCCTTACACGCTCCACTTCTGAAATTCAACTACTTTGGTGTTCAATCACGGCATCATATCATTTGGAGACCGCTGTCAACCAGTGCCTCCCATACCGCTCATACTTGTAACACCACTGCCATAATAATACAACAGTCACCTTCCGGTTCGACAGGAACCGACCAACTCCAACATTCCTAGTCAAACATCCTAGGAATAGAACAGAGTTTTACCGGGTTCTTACCAGGTTCCACATACACCTTTCATGAGAGGTATTCACGTACCAAACTCTTGTCGTCGCGTTTTCCTATTCAGGCCCATCTGTACCATATTAACCACCATCGTTAACGTACACCAGCTTTACCCTCGCTGTTTCAAAATCCTTCCCTTCTGCATCGTTCGTTTTTGACGCAATCGCTGTGTTTTCTCCCTGTCCGATTATTTATTTTCGATGTCTGTACCAATGTCTTTGCCCGTTGTACTATGTATATACTGTACTCTACATATTGATTGTATCTACCTTGATCAACGTCAATCCATTCCATCTCACAAACTCTTGACAATAATTGACAATCTGATGATACATGTAACTCTGAGTGTTTTGGCATCTGTAGCTATCAGAAACATGGTACGCGACAACAGCTAAAATATGGTATTTCCGAATGTTCACCGCTGTTAACCTAGTTTGGGAGGCTCCGACGACTCGCGGATCACCAGCAGTTCACAGCTCCCGTATCCTCTGCGCTACCCGGTCTTTCACAGTCTGATACGCATTCATGATCGTCTGCTCGTTAATCGTTATGTCTGTCGTGTCAGGACGTGACCGGCTGACACGAGATGCAATCGCAGCTGCGTCTGTGTCGAGGATGATTCTAGGAAGGGAAGAAAAACGAGAAGTAAGATATGGGCGAACCAGATTGGGACACGTATACGAATAATGAATCTGATTGATGAAAGACAAGAAGGGAAAGCCCAACGAAGGAAGCGACAAAACAAGAATAATTTGCTCACCCATCATCAACGGTCTCATCCAAACATAACAGCACTACATCTAAATTCTCCAGCACCCCTCTCTTTTCCAGCTGATTCCTCAACAGGAGCGACTGTGCGTCTATTAGGGAATTCAATGCAGCGGAGAGCATGAGTTCGTTCTCCCCTGGACTGGCGAGAAAGTAGATGATGATGTCGAGAGAGTGTTTGTATACGGCTAGATAACCGTCATAGAGTATGATATCGCCTGAATCAAACCATGTTCGTTAGTAAGAAGCAAGCAGAGCGCCAGCGATCACACTGGAATGGAAAATGAGGCAGGGCGATTTCAATGCCTTACATACAGAGGCAGAAGATACACGTAACGCAACATCACATACCTCCTGCCTTCTTAGTCTTCCCCCACAACCCTTTCTCAAACGCCTTTTGCTCCTTCAACGTCGCCAACTCCTTCATCTCTCCGTTCAATGCATTCGGATGGCTTTTAGGTCGATAGTATTTCGCTAGGACGCGATGACCTTCGGCGTCAAGAATGAGGAAAGCAGATATGCTGTATAGGGAAAGATTCATTTTGTGGAAGCGAAAAGGTGAAAGAAGGGTGGAAATTTGGTGAGTGGTGAGGGTATGAAATCTAAAGGGTATGAAGAGAATTGTTATTGAGAATTGAAGGCTTCGATATCTTGTCCTCCTTTAGAAAATATTGTGTGAAGAGTATTGGCAATGGGCAATGATGGTGGTGGTCAGGAACAAAGCGTGTATTCGCGACAAACCGCGATCACGATGGTACATAAAGGTCACTTACACTATGAAAATGACTATACATATTTGAATGAATGGCTTCGAACGGAACTGGCAATTCCGAATAGTTTCAGTCTGTCGTGATCAAGTCTTGATGCGGAAATTTTTGTTCACTGCTTACAGAGGAGGTTGTATGTAAGTATGTCCGAAATGCGCGAAGGTTTCGAAGTTATGCGAGCCCGTAGTTGGTTCCTTGCACCAGACTCTCTTTTGACCTTGACCTCGAACAATGTCCACCGTTCAAAAGTATAAACTCGTGTTCTTCTCTCCTGCTCCGAACACCCGAGCTATCCTGGACCATTTATTCAGAAAGTACCCCCAGGTGCTGGGAAAGATAGGACATTATGAGCAGTGCGCGTTCATTTCACGGGGAACTGGTCAGTAGTACCTGCACTAAGTAAAGTAACGCCGCATGTATGTTAGAGCTAACGAGAATATTCACGACGACGTTGTCTTTCTACAGGTCAGTACCACCCAACAGAAGAAGCTCAACCAGCCATCGGAACCCCGGGACAGCTGGTTTGCATAGAAGAAGACCGTGTTGAGCTGATTGTGATTGACCAAGGGGAGAAGGTGCAGCTGAGAAACGCTGTCCAGGAATTGAAGAAGGTGAGCCTAGAGCGATTCATCCTCGTTATCGTCTGTTTTCGATTGTCAACTGAATTTTGCTCGAACGAAAGGTTCATCCATACGAAGAAGTGGAGTACGATATTTACAGACTCGAAGGACTGTAGCACAAATCATGAGGTAGATGGTGATTGACTGACCTATCTGCTGGTCGGTGTCGGTGTCGTTGTGCTGTTGGTCCTGAGTACCCATAACATTATCTAGAGCTCCAGACACAGTTTCCTTTCAGAGTCCACAGCGGGTACGGAATGATTGATCTTTAAAATTTTACGCGTTTGTCGCCTTGATCATCCTAGATTGTCGGAAGTCAGCCTGATGCACCGCAATATAATAAGATGTGGCAGATAGGCAAAATGAGAGTATTGGCAGAGGTAGATAGGCAAAATGGGAAGATGGATGGGTAGATAGATGAATGGGAAGATAGATAGAAAAGTGGGAGCCGTACCCGCATTGATCCTTATGTTTATACCGTCTACCCCGCCGACAGCTTAGGATATTTTGACTTCAATCATCTGAGATGGATCATAACAGTGTTTGTTCATCTGATGAACACAACCTTCACGAAAATCTACCGAGCTCGATAGCCAGCCGACCAGACAGATAACCAGAATAAAAAGGTCTGTAAGTCAGTCCGAGACTGACCAACCAGCCATCGAAACACCAGGATACTTGGTACGCGCCGAGTTGCGAGTGTTTGACCAAAGGAGAGGATGCAGCTGAGAGAAATATGACTAGGAATTGAAGGTGAGCATCTTGGGGTCATCGTCCTTTGAATTGTCAAAAATTTTCTGTTGAGGCAAGCACTGAAATGTTTCCAAAAACGATAGAGATTCATCGTACGACAGAAATGCAATTGATATTTACAGGCTCGAGAGACTGTTGAACATGATGAAAGAGCGCGTAAGTAGAGAGGTAGAGTAGAACTGTGGGCTTGATTGAGTTATGTGATCGAATTATCTGCACTAGTTGGCCAAGGTTGATTGGCTAAGGTTGGTCGAGTGGGTCGGTCGAGTTAGGTGCGGGGTCATCGAAAGCTATCTAAAAATCCAGCAGAGCAGCTTCCTCGTCAGGATCTAGTTCGAAGACGGAATGATTGTTTTTTGCTTTCATGCGTTCATCCTTGAGCATTCTATGGATCACAATACAAATTAGCGTAGATACAAATACAAATAGGACGGAATGAACAGACGCACCTTGCATCTATCCGTGCGTCTTCACCCTCGACACCGACAACTGCGTGCGGTATCTTAGCTTCAATCACCTAGAATGAATCAACGATTTATGAGTCAACGTTCGCGAAATCAAACAGAAGAAGTTTGAACAGAATTACACTCACATAATGATTATCACAGTATGGACAAAACTCATCGCTCTCCTCGTATTTCTCCATATCCTTATAAAAGGCTTTCTTACACTTCTTGCACAGAAATCCCATCTCCATCGTCTTGACCAGCTTGTGTGTTTGCTTTTCAGCGTGGCACTCGGAGCAGTCGTACCATTGCTTGCAACACGGAGCACGGATGGATACCTGAGCGTTGAGAATGTGTTTACTGTATGAAGTAAATGGTTGGTCGGTACAATGTAATTCATCTACATCGGAGGTACGAACGGAAAGATGGAGAGAAGACGAGGGAATGGAAGTCGGTATGTCTGGATGATATTTAGTTTTGGGATGGACTTCCAGGCAGTAGATGATTGAGAGAAGTTAGATTGGGACAAATACTAACCACATTATACGAGCTCTTGTTCAACTGGTTGCATACAAGGTGATGAAAAAGAGATGGAGCTTTGACGCCTTGGCGCCTATTCGTTACTGTTCTTTACATGACCGGCATTGAACGACCGGGCATCCTCGCAAGACCTCGCAAGACAAAAGTAATCTGTCCAACAGCATACATAATAATTTACAGGTGGACGACCCAAATCATCTGCATTTTGTTACACGCTCTCATCCAGAAGCATACCCGGGGTGCCTAATCCATGTATGGTATCGTCCATCTAAAATGACATGTGGATCCCATGTGTGGACTTTACATGGAGGGAAGTACATAGGATTTGACCCATGTAGGTCCCAGTTCCCCAACTCTGCACTCGGTCCTGGTTTCAGTCCATTTCTGCACGTACGAATACGTACGAAAACGTCGGCCAGCGTTAAACAATGTTCCTATAGGTTCCTATCTGGTTTCGATTTACGTGGACCGTTTTGGAAACGTGGGCTTTCATCAGGGTCGGTGGATAGATAAGCGATTTCATACTGTCCAGGCAGAACACATACATAGCGCTCAAGGTGCGATTTGACATCCTCCTTTCCCTTTCCCCCATCCTCTGATAAGTAAAGACAGCTTATATTCTCTGTACGACATGCATACGCAAATTCCAGCAGAGTTATTGCTCCATATCTTTCAATTCGTTCCTCGAACCATGGTCAAGGATCTGATGAGCGTGAACCGGACTTTCTTCTATGCGGCAATGGCGGAACGGTACAAGGAGATAAGCTTCTTTCAGAAGGGTGACAGCATGCTCCGTTTAGTTGAAAGTTTGCAGTGCGTCTTATACCTTGATTAGGACCTTTAGCTGAATTCGACTTCATAGATTTCCACTTATACAAGATTGTGTTCGGGTTTTGCGGGTGCGGCCGTACTTTATCCAAGAACTTCTTTCCGAACAAGGCGACGAAATTCCCGATGATTCTGATGTAATCCCGCACCACTCTCTTTCTTCAGTGAAAGGGTGTTTTAGCTCCTTCGCAAACCTCATCGAATACCACCTCATTTGGTTTGAACTACCAAAACTCGAAAATCTTCCTATTGATATGCTGCGCGCTCCATTACTCGCAAGTTTGCATCTGCGAAAGCTTTTTCTAAAGGCTTCTTTGCAGAAGCTGGAATCACTTCTGTCTTTCGGCGACGTGCTTCCTCAACTCGAAGAACTGAACATTTCGGTCAGACGCGACCATCTGCACACTCAGTCAGCTCCAAATGGATCAAGCGAACAGGCAGGATTCGCTTCATTGACTTCGTTCCTCAATCGGAATAGAAGTTCGATAAGATGTTTTTCATTCTCATCTTCAGACGCGTTGGACTGTACACCGCTGTTCCGGTCTCTTCAGCGATATCCGGTATTACATGAACTCTCCCTTTCCATTCCGACTTCGACTCCCCACCTCGGTGAACCCTCCTGTCTTTCGCAATGGATGTCTCGCCACTGCCCCTCCCTGCGCACGTTGACAATGAACCTTCGTTTCGTGGACAACGGCCTCCCTTGGGAAGAGTCTTTTAAAGATTGGATCCAGTCATTCCTGTCACAAGTCAGCCTTCCCGAACTTCGCTCCCTAAAATTAACACCAGGCTTCCATACTGAAAGCATCTGCCTTCTTGTACGGCACTTTGCCAATACTTTGACCTCACTAGACTTGAGCGGAAACCATATGATATTCAGTGAAGTCGTTGCTGTGATGAAAGAGTTGACATCGTTCGAAAGAGAATACCGAACGGAAAAGACTTCAAAGTTGTCAGTATTGTGTCTAGGTCCAGTGTCGCTTTGCCCAGAACTGGTGGATCTGTTTGCGGAGACGTTGCCTACATTACAGCAGTTAGATCTGAAGGTAAAGGATGCTGTGCCTCACAAGGACGAGATAGCGGAGTATTTGATGTTCAGAGTTACAATGACGAAGAGACAGAGCCCTGCTCAGATCGTACGTGAAATTTTCTGATACATTTCCGGTTAAAATCATGACTGTTCTTTACTGCGTTGAAGAGACGTTTCTTCATCGCGATGCGTTCTCGGACGTATTCTCATTGGACCCTGCCGCATATCACTGTTTGGAAATCCACCATGAAAACGCACTGGCAGTACCGGCGACAGTATATTCAGCTTTAAAAGTACATTCCGAGTCTCGCTTGCAAATCAAGTTAGTACAGGTCGCTGTTGCGGTTATTGAGTATCTCTCTCTGGTCTTTGGACGCGGAATTTCTATTCGGAATTATTGGACACAGACCATTCCTACATTTTATGTTGTATACATATATAATATATACATTTTGAACATCATGGAACCTTCCATCAAAAGGCAGTATCTATGCATGAGTCAACCAATTTGTCTGGCCCAGTGGAGATGAGTTCAAAGCCTGATGGCATGTCCGGGATCGCGTTTGAGAGACGCGTCCGCGCCGGCGCTGAATAGTGCAGAGAGCGGAACACCCGAAATAATGCACAGGATGGGCGTAACTGTTTATGAGAACGATGGTGCGCTTGAATAGGCTTGAATCAGTGAAATTAGAATGAACACAATCTCAAATTACATATAACTCAATCATTTACTATGTCACTATACGCCGACCATAGCTCAGTTGGAAGAGCATAAGACTGTAATTGGGTACAAATCTTGGGGTCGCCTGTTCGAACCAGGCTGGTCGGATGACTTAGTTAATCTATCGATGTATTCTTTTTATAACTTCGCGGTATGCTGCATGTACTTACTTGTACATACTACTTGGACAGTCCCCTCGATTCAGCAGTTACATATCTTTTACCAAAAAACGTACTTGTATTTGAGAAATAACGAACAGACGACATTTATATTGTACAATTGTACTCTTGCGACCGAGAATCAAGAAACGAAAAAGAATTTTATCACATAGGCAGATACATCGAGTCTTCCTCAACCAGCATCCTGATCTGTTCCTTCACCTCATCCTTCAATGTATCAACTAACAATGCACCACCACTAGGAAGCTTTTCACATTCCTCGACACTCAAATCCTCCATCCGTCCAACCAATTCCATGTACGCCGGCAAAAACCACTCCTTGATACCATACTTGTCCGCCAACACAATTTTGTCGACAGGGGGTACAACTTTGGGTCCAAGTTGAGATATTTTGGAGATGGCGAGGGTACGGACTGGAGGGATGTCGATGGTGTGAGCGACGTGGAGTATATCGGACCAGTCGGCGAATGTTTTGGGTTGGGGTTCAAGAAGATCACTGTAAGAAAAAAAAATAAGGTGTGTTACAACAGGTGAATGGTGAAACAATCAGTTGTTGGGTATGGCGTACATTGGATAAAACAGCGAGAGAACAATGTCAAACTGCCGACACTCAATTCCACGTAACTGTATCGTTTGGCTACCCTGGACATCTGCGATAGAAAACACAGATTCAAACCGAGGGTCGACACTCCGAGTATAGCCCTGTTGCATGCTGTGATGGAAAAGCTGTAATTGTGTGAAATGTCGAAAGAAACACTGGTGGATTTTGTACAATGTATTGTGAACCTTTTTAAGAGAGAGATATAACCTCAGCAGGACTCGATGTGACCCATAAATGAAGACTTACTAAGATGAGAACACTCCCATCATAGAAGTAATATCTATGATGATATTTGGGAGACAGAGGTACTACATTGGGTGCCGCTGGTTGATCAGGGATACGAGACACCTGACTGGTTGGGATAAATCCTGGCGGAAACGAGGGCGACACATGAGAAAAGCCAGGCAACGAGGGTGGTACAGATGGAATTGTATGGAACGTAGATGGGAACGGGTGAGTTGGCGCGGGGAAGGAGGGGGGTACAGGCCAGACAGCACCACTGGGGCCATTACCGAAACCACTGTAACCACCAACACCGAAGACCCCGCCGACACTACTGTCACCGACACCACCGCGAGGACCACAGGCCCATCTACTATCGTTAACTTTCGGTGTATCAGGTGGTGGAGGAGGGATAACAGGAGGGATGAACGGCTGCAAAGGTGAATTCCATGAGCCATAAGGAGTGACCTGAGGAAACTGAGAAGATTGATGATGCAGATTGGGTGAACTCGATGCATTCACTACGCCTTGAGTTTGAGCAATTGGTGGGCGAAGAGGGACCCATGGAGAATTATGGTTAGGATCGAAACGGCCCTTCTGACCTGGACCCCAATTCGCGCCTGTCCATGTGTGGTCATGTGGGCGATGCAGAATAGTAGACGTCACAGAGGGGGTAATTGGTGGCGGCGTTGGTGGGACCCAAGGAATGAAATTGGGATCAGAATCAGTATGATCGTTCTTGGTTGTACCGACACCAGTGCCGTCGTGCATGCGGGACACGAGAGAGGGCACGCCGGAGCACAGAGGCGGGATCACACGCGAAGGCTCTCCCAGCAACCTAGGTGTGAGCTCTGGCGCAGATGATGGCGTGAAGACGGCAGGCAAGTTCGAGAAAGGAGCAATCCTTGGGGAATGATACCTCATGAAAGATTGAGACGGAGAAGGAGGAATGGGAGTATAGACAAATGGACGAGGAACATTGTTTCCGAAGGGAGGTTGTGACCAAGCCCGGATAGAAGAAGGAGAGCAGGTACGAGTAGAGGGAATGTTACTGAGGACAGGAATGACAGGTGGAGGAGACTGCGAACGAGCAGAACCAGAAGAACTACGAGTGTAAACTGGTGACGGAGAGCGAACAGCCAAAATAGAGGTAGGAAGACGCGAACTGTGAACCGATGAAGAATGAATGCTAGCTTCATTCGTACGCTCTTCGTTTGGGGGTGGCAACTCTTGCATAGCCGTACTCGGCCTACTCTCGTACAACGATTGTGGCGTCGACAACCGAGAGATAGGACTTGCTCCACGCTGATCAGTGGTAGCTGTTAGACCGGTAAGTCTGTTGTCAAGCGAAGTGTATGACGGTGGTCGAATTAGCACTGGCGACCAAGTATGTTCAGGAGAGGGTAGTACGATAGGTACAGGAGACCTCATCCTACTTGTCACCGGTTGTCCATGAAGTCTTCTCCCGCGTTCAACATCTTCAAGCAATGATTCAGGATTCGAATCTGATGACCCGTGACCAGAAGAGGGTCTGATAGCTGTGAGAGGTTGATAGATGGTGGTGCTACGGTCGATAGGACGTTGAGACTCTGCTGATGGAGAAGGTGTCCGTACACTGATGTGCGAGCGAGCGCTAGACGGTGAGCTCAGCAGAACACAGTCATAGTCTGACAACGGGCTCGACTCCAAAGGAGTCATAGCACCCTTCCTCTGTATGAAACTTGTAAACCAGTCATAATCAGACGATTCTTGTCTGGAAGGAGGAAGCGATGGTCCCTTCAACGTCGAGTGGGATGCAGTAGATTCAGGTTTTGCCTGCGGAATCATCATTGTGGACGAAGGAAGAGCAAATTGTGGCGTTGGCGGGGAGGTTATATGTGAGGTCGGAAATAGATCGTGAGTCAACAGAATCACGTATGATGATGAAAACGTTCTCGACCGAACAACACGTGGGAGGGGCGTGGGCAGCGAACATTTACAGCGGGCCTACGATGTGCGCGTTGAGTTCGCTGGTTACTTACAATTGTTCAATGAATTGATTGGACAAGGATACTGTCAAAGAGTCAAACTTGAGCTTGAATCATTGCCTACCAAGCACTTGCCTGAACTCGGATGAAGCGGCAACCAGCTGGAATTGACAGATAAATCCTTAGAAGACTAGTGCAAGCTATCATGGCTATGCAACAATCAGACAGCTTCAAATCTCAAGTTTCTCAAGAAGAAAGAACTAATATGTTTATTGCAGAAGAGCAAAACACTCGTTCACTCACTAAGGTCATGAGGTGCATATATGTACCTCTAATGCATATAATTACGTCAAACGAAAACCCAGAGAGTCATAGGTTTAATTTTGACTTGGTCGAGCGTCAATAATAAGTAAAGCCTTGAGGACTAGATGGAGAGATCAATGATGGATGACCTGTTGAAGTCTTTCAGACGCGTCAATCTTTCATCTTGATCTAGTGTAGGATGATTTGAACGACAGGCGCTTGAACAAGCACTTGGCAAGATCAGTATGAGAAGTTAGGGCTTTAGGGGTTAGTGGTATAAATGGTGCAGATGGTGATTATTGTTCAAGTTCGCGAAGGGGACCTTCAAGAACTTCGACGCGTTTCAAACTTGTCTGCACCTCGGCCCGAGGAAGACCGGCAGGAGTCACTAATACTCATACAGACCCTCGTCAGTCTCATAATTGTGAGGTTGAGTCTCCCCACACCATAAATTTAGCGATGAGGTGAGCCCAGTTATACTGATGAATACAGGTCGAAAAGGGTGCATACCGCTTTGGGGATAGGATTCGGAAGTCTGTTTGATAAGAAATCTTGTCGATGCGAAGTCACAGTGATGACTGAAAATTTGAAAGGCGAAAGTCCGGCCTGGCGCAGCATGTCTGGAAGTTCGAAAACATCAGGAAAGATGCAAGCCAATTTTTCTTTGTGGCCGCGTTCATCCGAGTCCGTACTTGGGAAGGCAGACTGCTAATCTATATCGGAGGCCAGTTCGATTCTAGTCTAGCTCCGTTGTGGTATGGCAGAGAGCACTGGAGAGCACAAGGACGTTTCGCTCGCTGCACTGCAGCTTAGTGGAAACGGTACATAGACACAGTGAAGCACAGTGAAGTACGAAGGACAGGACAATAGCCGGCCTTTAGCGGACCGCTTCTTCATCTTTCATCGATAAGCGAGTAAGCAAAATCGATAAAGGGTATTACAACACAAACTATGAGCAAGTATATATATGGCGGCGGATGGATGTCGTAGTATTTTAACTAGTCGACGTCAACCTCAGCACTGACTCGTTTGCTCTATTGCGGTCAAATCTACAAGCCTGTCGCCGCTCATCCATGGTTCACCAAAACTGCACATCCTAAACCAGACTTACCTTACCACCTCCGACCAAATGGTTGTTACACCACACTGGATCCTCAGCGCAGCTTATTCTTCATCCAATTGACGGAAGGCTCAATCATCTCAAGCGGCCATGTACGTTTCATGAAAAGTTTATAAAGTTTCTGTCGGAAATGTCCTGATCACACCTTTTAGTTTTCGCCCCGTGTCAGTATCATTATGGTTTTATGTTTTCGAATGAAGATACGGTCATAGTAAGCTTATCCGTCTACTTTCTCCATGCATCGTTGATTAAATCGAGTTTCTTCTGCTCCTTTTCTCCTCCGATCGTTATAAAGGCATAACTTTCAGAGTCTCAATGTTATCCCGGCGATTCTTAAACTCCTCCAGCTTCCTCCACCCGAGGCACTATGTGCCTTGATCGCCTGTATTTCGAGTTCGAAAGAACATTTACAGACTGATACCGCTCTCTCACGTCCTATAAACGTCTTGGATCTCTGGAAGAAGCTATCAAAATTAGCCTTGCTATTTACATGCGAGTCAAGTTCCCCCCCTCACCCATGCTCTATACAATATAAGCGTCGTTTCCTTATTTGAAGATGGAAAGACTGGCCTCGGAGTGTGGGGTCTACCAATTTCCCTTTCTGCAGTGGGAATGAGAATCCGTTTCAAGGTGCTTTGTGTAACGACTCTCAACTAAATCTCTCTCCTGATGTCATGTGCAGATTCTGGATTGGCTCTATACAGAGTCCATGCACACCGTGTCAGACCGTAGCTTCCACTTCGCTGCTATCTAGCTGTTCATTCAGGATCACACCGTGTAAATGACCTCCCTGCTCATCGGACAAGGGTCGAAATATCTCCTCCGCTTGGATATGCGACCGGACTATTCCCTCCTGCTTTTTAATAGCTGTCAGAAGATGATAATGAAGCACCAGGTAAGCACGTTCGGACTGAGGAAAAGTTCTTGAATCCATTCTTCAATTGTTCATGATAAGTAGGACCGCGAATCGTCGTGCCAGCTTTCAAAAAACCAGAGTATATGTATGTAATTGTATTCGTCTGCGCACATGCGTGGTTGTATGATTGTTCATCTTTTGTACTCAGCCGCAAGTGGGGGCTTAATATGAGTCGGTATCCTTGATCCCTAGTCCCAAAACTAGTCAACAGAGGCAGAGCCAATTACGATACTCAAGGCCGTTTCGCGGCCGACGCGTTTTATGAAAACGGCGCGCCTAGATCCAGGATTCTCACCAGTGACTTTTGGGGTTGGTCTATGTACGTAAATACAGAGAAAACATGTCCTTATCCTCGCAGCATCTGAATTGATTTGTAGCCTGGATTTGACGAATCTACTTCCCTTACCGAGACATGAAGCCAAAGAAGCACACAAGAATGAAAAACTCGAGGAGATATGATTACGTTACGATCGACGACGAGCTTGAGTCTCACTATAACGTATCGGGGAGTGTCGGGCACAGGCCCGGTTACTTCAACTTTGCTCCCAGATTCCACGTTCAGGATGGTATTTCAAGAGCGCTTCGCGATGGATATTCTGTGGAAATCTCCCTCCCATATCTTACACGCTATACAGCTACTTTGAACATTATCAACTAATAATTCGGAATGCCCAGCCGGTGAGCCTTCATCATCATTTTTTCTCAAGATAGGGATTAACCGTTATTGGGAATGTTCTACTAGATCTGGCAGTAGAGAAAGGGCTTCGTCTCTCAAGAGCAAGAAAACCGCGAGTATCAAAACTATCCCAATACAAGTCTCCAACAGCGGAGGGGTTGAGAATGCTGCCCGAGGAGAAGGAGATTGCGGCTCCGTATTTCCCGGAGAAGTGGTGCGCGTTCGTTGATTATTTCCGTTACACCCATTTTTAACTCTGTATGAAAGGCGCGTTTATGGCAAGAAGGTGATCCCTACAGATTTTCTCCCAAACGACGTGGAGATCCTTGGGAGGAAAGCATGAAACGCGTGGACCTGTATGACGATGAGATGTGTCGAGGGTGGAAGGAAGACGTCGACACTCTCTTGGTTTTTGTGAGCGGTCTCAATTCCAACGCGCGTTATTGTTCATTTGCTAATGCAACAGTAGGCAGGATTGTTTTCTGCTGCTGTAACAGCTTTCATAATTGAAAGCTATAAGTGGTTACAGCCTAACAACTTAGACTTCAACTTGCAGCTGCTTCAACATATCGCGGCTCAGTTGAATACACAAATCCCTACGAGCGCACAACAAGATTTCAGCGCTGCCTCGGCTGTCCGTATCAATGCGGTCTGGTTTTTGAGCCTTATATTCAGTCTATCTACAGTATTACTCGGAATCCTTTGCAAGCAATGGCTCCGGGAGCACAGACGCGACACTCCTGTGTCTTCTTCGAAGGAAGCATTGGAGCTTCGACAACTCCGTTTCGAGAGTCTAGAAAAATGGGGAATTCCTGCACTTTTAGCTTCTCTCCCCCTATTCCTACAGTTGGCATTGGTCCTTTTCTTCTATGGCTTACTCGACCTTCTGTGGTCGCTTAATGTCGTCGTTGCCGCTATCTGCACTGTTGCCGCTGCCATCAGCGTTTCAATTCCTTTTTTGACCACCATTCTTCCTACTTATTATCTCTTTAAATTCTCATCTTCCATCGACGAAGATGAAGCTCATATATGTCCATACAAGTCTCCCCAAGCTTGGCTCTTCTATAAACTAATGACGTTCCTTTCACTCGGTGGGCACGATCCCTTCCAAAGCTGGGCCTCGAGTGATTTGTTTTTACTCCGCAACCATTCCCCTTTGAGACGCGTACAGCACAGCATTTTCCTCTTACGAGGACTTCGTTGGATGGTCAAGACGTTTTGCGATAGCAGTGTTATGGCAAATCATATGTTTCACTGTTTCCAGAACCTTCCTGTTGATGTAGCGGCCTTTGCCACAGGCTGGATAGGAGCATATTCACGGGATTCGATCTACTACCATTTCTTCAAAAATTCAGCTTGGGATTTGGATCTCGGAAAATTTCTCGCAGAGCTCTTCCTCCGACAGATCAACTCTCCTGCTCACAAAGACCGGACGGTCGGAGATGCGCTCAAATCGTTCTGGCATTTGGCAGTCCTTGATTTTGTTGGAGATGGTATGCACTCATCGCGCCTTTGATCAGGGATAATGCGTCTTACTCGGAACCTGCAGGACAAGCGCCGCAGCTCCATCTGGAATTCTTACAACAGATAATCGCAACCATTAGATGTTACTGCGCTGACGACCGTATCACTCTCTTCGACATGAACCCGCTCATGATCGTATGTAGAGATCTTTGGCGACATCCGGATTCCGCTATACGACAACAAAGTATTTGTATCGTTGATGACTTCGAAGCATGGATCTCTCGCACAAGTGAGGAACTTCAGCGAGAGTTCATTCCCAGCTTCGCATCGTCCATCACGGATATTATCTATTTGGAAGATGAACGTGCGCCGACTTCAGCCCTTATTCTTTCTGAGAAAGGACGGGCTTTTATAAAACTCTTGGATAAACATTTAGCTGTTCAGAATATTGATCTGGATAAATATTCTCTTCAGGAAGTGCCCATGTCATGGCAGGAGGCTAAAGCAAAAGTGCTCAGACTCTCGGGATTGCCGCCTGATTTTTTCGAGGAAGTTAGTTTTGACTCAGATACACCAGCAACCAATAATCCCAGGGGATCTTTGGTTGCTAGCGATTCTCTTACAGTAGGATAACTAGATCTAGGTTTCTATCGCAATACATCGTCATCTCAAAGCGTCTTCATTTAAGCGCCCGGAAATTGGGAGCGGCGACTTTGCGGAGATTCCAATTGTTCCTTGTCACCCATCACCCAACGAGAATTGCTTTCAACATGGTCACCGTTCTTTACCACTGCTCATCCATGAAGTGACCGCAAACAAGTTTTTGCTATCCTTTTGTAAAGTTTATTACAAGCTCTTTGTAAGAGAAGGCAACTAATGATTCTCGAATCTTAGTAGCCGATTCTTTCCTGGTGTTCTATATACGTCTGCAACTCCGCCATGCTCTCCGTGAACGTCCTGCTCGTCTTAGTGGTGGTGTACTGGATGGGTCTATACTTGAACAATCCCGCTTCAGTGCAGGAATCATCACCAAAAGACTGTTTAGCCCGTAACACGTTGAACGACCTTATCGACTGCCTTGACGCGTTTTCTGTGTCCCCAGATTTCTACGATGCCTCTTCCTACGCTGCTGCTCAACCCACGGATGAAGAAAACTCAGCATGGACGTCTGTGATATATTCGATGTTGAATGCAAATGCAAATGATTGCGCTGATATCACCTTGCCCTCGGCGTTGGAGCACATCTACGCTGTCACAACCTTTCCAGATGTTGATATCAACAGGACATTCTGCGTCCTTTCTGAGACTACTGCAAGCGTGTACAGTAATTACACGAAAGGATGGGGGCTGATGGTCGTACCCGCTTCAGCTAAAGACATCTCCCGCCACATTCACCTTTCAGCGCCTCATCCTCAGGCTGATATCAATACGCCACAACAAGCCGGAGCGATTTTCACGCTCTCTGGAGCACATAGTTTGCTCATCTCTGGTCGGTTCCGATCAGCGTACGCGGTGCAAACGGATTGTATAATTCCTGTTGGAGCGAAGAAAGTTTTTTATAAAACTGATCCTGCTCATGATGTGGTATGTTTTGAAGCAATGGAAATCTTCTGATATTCATCTTACCAGGATATTTTCATAGCGCGAACCTTTCAGTGTTGCTAATCTGGTAATCCGAGAATGGCAAAATGCCCATGGCGGATGTCCTTCAGAGACTTGTGCATATGTGCAATTTCACGGAAAAGCTGCCTCGTCTTGTGCAGCGGATACAATGTTCATTTCGAGTGGTCTCGGTAAGTCTCGACTCATTAATATTCAGGTTCGACTCAAGCTTTTTTGACTGTTCATGTTCATTTAATTCCACATCGCCAGGAAATTCCGATTCATCTCTGTCATGGTATGAAGATCATTCACTAAATATCCCTGCTCGCCGACTTCGCGACATAGCAAGAACAATGTTTCCTAATTGGAACGCCTCACTCCCTTCCGACGATCCAACCTGTGTTTTGAGCGCTACGAGCAACGTTTTTGGTCGATTGATTAACGGCGTTCCGGGCGGCAGTGTCTGCACAACCGATGCTGATTCTTCAATAGCTACAGGTGAATTCATTCATATCGAACAAGCGATCGCGTCTAGGCAGAGTGACGTATATGATCAGTGGGGTGAAATTTTAAGACGCGCTTTTCGGACCAGTTGTGCGGAAGGAACGGTGGAGGATAGCAAGATAGGTCTTTGTGTTCTGGCCTGAGAAGCTCCAAGAATTGCAAGAAATACCACAAAGGATGTATATAATTTAGACCAAGACGACTAAACGGTCCCAATAGTACATTGGTCATTCCCTAATCATTCTTCCATTCGCCCTTTCAAAGGTGTGATCCCGAATGTCTCCCAGAACTCTCTCGAATCCAACGCACGCCCAAGAGTCTCGCTGCTTCTAGGAAGTGCCCTTACACCGGTTTCGCGCATGAGTTCACGAACCCAAGCTGCCTGTGGTCCACAATCCTCGGCATCAGGTCCGAGATTTGAATTGTCAGCATCTCCTGGACCAGAGCCCCAGGCAGATGCAAGATCCCACCAGTCGTAGACGCGTCCATCTGTCAGAAGCCAGCGCTGACCAACTGCTTTGGAAAAATCTTTGTGAATTGCGATTATCGCTCGAGCGACGTCGATACCGTGTATCATATGTATGCTTCCCTGTTAATTGATCTTTAATCTTGTAACCGGATTCGAAATTGAATCGATAAACGTACTTTGTTTCTGAGAATCTCTTTCGTCGGCGCCACTTTTCCAACCCATCTTTTCATCGTCCTATTCCCTCCATAAAGACCAGCAAGATCCAACACAGTCGTTGGTGTTTCGAGAGACAAGGCCAACAACTCATCTTCGGCATCCGAACGTTCATTAGAGTTATACGAGCTGTGTCTGTCGTACCATTTGTTTTCCGCTGGGGCAATCACTTTGGGATTTGGCCCATCTTTGTGTCTGCGAAGTCCCTGCTCCTGCAAATCCCATATGATTATTGCAGGCACGAATAGGTCCCAAATGATAGCTAGATGTACTTACACCCCAAATGCTCGTGGCACCGAGTTGGATAAAAGCTGGATTCAAGTCGTCTGCACGAGTAGTCTTATACAGCCGAATAAGTTTTTGAGAACCCCCACGTGCGGTTATTGGGAATGTTATCAGGACAGTTTTCGCGTCCGGAAGGACCTTGAAGGGTTCCGAATCGTCAGAGCTCTGGTCAAAGTGGAATTTAATCGTGGAGTTGTGGCCCGAGCGCGTTGTAGCTGCGAAAGAAAGACGGTGCTGTTGACAAAGCGGAAATAAAAAGGTTGAAGTCCATCCAGCTCCTAGGATCAAAAGTTCTACTGGCATTCTGACAGCGAAGAAATGGAAAAGGATGCGAAAGATGAAAAATATGCAACCTCTGGCCGGAGAACATTCCAATGCGGGGAATCGAACCCCGGGCTGCTGTGTAACAACCAAGAAACGACATGAAAGACAGCAATGTTAGCCACTACACCACATTGGATTCGGAGTACCAATATTTATGCAAAGGATATAAATTCCACAACTCCTTTAAATTCTTGAATGTAATCGTACTGGGCTATTCAATACTCATAAAATCCCTTACCACTCTTCTTCCCTAACCATCCAGCATCGACCATCCGTCCCAACAAGACACTCGGGCGATACTTTGAGTCTCGTGTACCTTCATAAAGTGTTTCTTGAATAGCTAAACAAGTATCGAGGCCAATGCTGAATGAATGAAGAACGCAAAATGAGCAGAACAGAGTAAAGAAGACAAAGCGCTCACAAGTCAGCTGTAATTCATTGTGATGAGAGAGAGAGCATGAGCATCCGTTAGTACCCATTCATCACTCAGTCGTACAAATATGTCACCTAGTTGTAATGGTCCCATGGGATGGCCCATACCTAAACGGAGGGTTTTGTCGATGTCGTCTCGTGTTGCGGTCCCCTAGGATGCGATCATAAGTATGAGCGGAGCGCATCGGAGGCAAGGCATGAGACAGTTGTAATCGTCAAAGAAAATGGACGTACCGATTCTAAACACATAATGGCCTATTCAACTAGTCAGAAACATAAGACTTCGAAAAGGGGAAGATGTCCTCACCTCATTGAGGAATGGCATGAGTAACGCGTTCGAAACGAATCCGGGAACATCCTTCGATGTGGACACCTCTACAACTCGATTTCAGCTTCGAAGAGTTTTAAAATAGAGCAATGCAAGTTCACCCTTGCCACAGGCGACTGCGAACGCCTTTGCCCGCTCAAGTGTTACTTCTGAAGTCTGCAGCCCGGGTATTACTTCGCATAATTTCTACGTTTGTGTCAGAATCATCGACGTTCTCTGAAGTCTACAAGATCATGACGACTCACCATCACCGGTACTGGATTAAAGAAGTGCACACCGACTACACGTCCCGCACAGCTCTTTCCTTCTTCACTTGCCTTGCTGATAGTGCTACCCAAACCCTCCACCGCGGCTCCAGCTAACTTCGTGATAGAGATACTGCTCGTATTACTCGCTAACACCGCGTCCCTGGACAAATTTTTCGCCAAAGTACGGAATATCCCTTCCTTAATTGACAGCCTCTCCGAAGCAGCTTCAACGGCCATATCCGACCCACGCTCGCCCAGCTCCCGCGCCCAGCCGAATTCATCATTGTTGGAAGTTGAAGACGAAGCTGACGATGAGGTGATAGATATAATTCTTCCTCTAGCAGCCTTCGCGTCATCCTCATTGGTTTTACCTTTCGACACGTCTTTGGCAAGGAGTTTGTCCATGAACTCGAGACCCTTAGTGATTTGCGACGGATCCCGGTCGTAAAGGAGGACTGTGGGGATCTTGGCGCGCAAGGAAGCGACAAGGGCAATGCCAATTCCCATTTGGCCTGCACCGATGACCGACAATACGCGTGGAAGAGCCATAGCAGGGAGTGTTCCCGGGTAGTCTGGAGAGAAAGACGGAACTAGAAATTTCGAAATTCACGTGAAATCAATCAGGCTAATTCCGGCCCGATGTCAAAGCATTCCTTATCATTTCCCAAAAAAGCAACTCTAGTTCAGCTCAAGATCCACACATAGTATATACAGAACCGAAATAATCGGTAACAAAGAGTGTCTAAATCCAGATCCTATGGTACGTAGTACATGTACAACGTCATAAAGTTCAAAGGCATAAGTTTAGAAGTACTTCTTACCGCTCAGGACACAGTGGTCTTGAGCTTCTTATTTGCATGGGCACCTATCAGATAGTGTATTACGTCAGTATATAGTGGCAGGGAAATTACATGCAAAAAAGTAGAAGGACCAATGGTAGGAAAATAGAGACCCAAAGGGCGAAAAAAAAACTAAGCTTACGTTCATGCTTCCTCCTCCAAGCTTTCGCCCATTCATTGCCCGCGTCAGCTTGACGGTCCATGACGGTATAAAAAATCGTTCCCTGTAAAAGAGACATCCGAGTCTATGAGAAACCTGATATACGACCTAGATGAATGGGAGAACTTACATCATACAATCCTACGACATCCTCCTTCTTGACATTCCCTCCACTACAAGCCGCCTTGAGTGTGTCAATCACCCATTCCTTCGCATCCTTAGTAGCATCATCAGCCTTGGTTCCAGCTTTTCCATTCGTTCCGAACAAGCCAAAAATTTCATCGAGCACTAGTTTGCTGTTGAACCGGAAAGAAGGATATCCGAAAAGGAGCCAAGTAGCAAACCACTCAAAAATAGCGGCGAACATGCTGTGGAGTTGGCGAGTCAGCAAAGAACGCCACAGGATGATTGGACCTCGCACCCATAAAAATCATACTGAGCCGGCGAGTGAATAATTCACGTTAGCACTCGTAGATAGGCAGAAATTGGGAGTAAATCCTACTTACAGCCAGTCTCCTTTCAGCAACGGCGTGATATAATTGGACGGGAGTGATTTCCTCGTGAGGAGCATCCGTGTGGGAGCTGCGCAGATGTCGTAGCGTAAATGACATTTATGAGCTGGACACAAAGTTTACCTCCAGAACTTATCAAACCTCTTCTCGTCGAACCTGCCGTCCCTCTTGAAACTTCCACTGTCGCTCCCGTGTTTTGCCTTGTGCAATCCATCTACGTAAATCCGGAAGAACGGATCTGGAAGCCAGTGACCAGCAGGCAAAGAAGAATAGGACATGGTGCAAATGACCATGGTAGAAAATAGCGAGATTACGAGTGAGTATCCAAGTGCGCGGAAACCTCGAAAGGTGTCGATGCTATGAGGTTCTCAGTAGACGACCGAAGAAAAAAGAGTAAGTTAAAATTACGGCGAGAAGATTCCATCTCCATCGGCGTCGAAAAACTCGCCATGCCCAATCATTGCTTCACTGTCTTCGACTTTGAACTCATTGACATCTCGCCCGGCATTGTTTGGACTGTCGCCAGCAATATTCTTGATTTGATGATGATTCTCGGCATCATGGTAGGGTTCGATAGACGGATAGGCTTGCATGTCGTCGATATCTTCATGGCCGTCGCTGGCGAGGTACGAGTCATCACCATGGACGCCGTCATAAGAGTCGTGGGTGCCAGTAGCCACAACCCCGTGTATGGGCGACATTGAAAAATTCAAATACTAGATCTGTGATGGTTGTTTAGGTCGAAAATGATACTATTAGCGAGAAGAGCTAGGAAATATTTATACTGGACTGAAACTTGGTAAAGTTCCCGCTACCTTTAGGTAGAGGGTCTTGTTGAACCTCGAAATTTGATCGACAGGATTTTGTCCGATCACGTCAAATGCCACGTTGTTTATTTCATGAGCACGTTGTTGAGTCCAGGCCTCGGAACTTAGGTTTTATATAAGCTGACAGCGGTTTTCGGCCTGCTTTCTTCTTGTCTACATGTCGATAATCATTGGAAACCAAAGCGCCAGTGCAGCATTCGATCCGTCAATCTATTATGCTGCAATTTCTCGAACTTTTCTCCATACACTTTGCGGATATTCCGGCACCTCTCGCACTTTTCAATCCCTCGTTACTATCAGGAGCTCCTACTTTGCGTGTTCTGTATTCGCGGAGTTCTTTGTTTTCGACGATTCTAGAGGATTTCCCATCATACTTGGTCTTCAGTTTTTGCAGAAATGCGAGAAACTTCATTGCACGGAATTTGTACTAGGATTACCTCGTATTCAATCACAATTGTCTCTCCCGTTACCCATGTTTCCTTCCCAGACAGCACTTGGTCAGTCACTGTTCATTGAACGTCGCTTTTACTTATCTTAAAACAGGTTCAAATTTGTCGTCCATTGGTACGTTCCGTGCGTACTCTGTGGAAGGTTGTTGACATAGTATACAGCGCCTGGTCCATCGTCTTCGTCGGGTGGGTTTTACAATTTTGTTCTGTGTGTACTCCGTGGAAGGTTGTTGACATAGTATACAGCACCTGGTCCATCATCTTCGTCGGGTGGGTTTTACATTTTTTCTAGCGTCACAGTGGCTAATGAATATTAGGCTGCACACCTCCTTTTTTCCCGTCTGAGTTGGCCCGCAACACTCGCTCAGATGGGTGTTCCGGTGGTCCAATGTCCCGTAACACATCCGTGGATACTCTGCATTCCGATTCATCAACCGCTGCACCCCGCATAGGGCGTCGTTCTATTGATGGCGATTTCGCTACACATATGTCGTTGGAATTTTCTATGTCACCCTCGTCATCCGCGTTACCGATTGACATCAATACTGCACCTTCGTCTTTGCATTTGCTTCGTGCTTCGTTACTGCGACATTCGGTCACAGGTGTACGTTGTTCAGTATTCGTTGAGGATATCATCCAAATAAATAAGTATGCTGCCTTACATGGCATTGACTTGCATGGAGTTGTCGATCTTCGGTCCTGTCAACAGGCAGTGATGCATCACATACTTACAGGGCAATGTTTTTCTGTGAAAGGAACTGTGTCTACCGACCATAATCATGCTTGTCATCTATTCGTGGCTGACTATGATACGAAAAAATTGTATTTCAAGGCCATTGCCGACCTACTTCAATCTTCCAGGGCTGTTGATCTTACTTTAGAGAAGTTGAAACTCATGTTGGAGTCCATATCTGAACCTAGTAGGTATCAACCTCGGGATACTCGCCGCCAGATGCTGCGTGGTGTTCTTCGTTATTTGTCTCGCGTGCAAGATGTTCCAGTTGGGAGAGAACTTCCTGCATGTGCAACAGATATAATCTCTGGCATTGACCGTTTCCCTCTGTCTATACTGCTTTTGCATTGTCGTCAGCACGGTGTCAACGTATCCGTTGCAACTGCCACTACGTCTCATCTCCGTGACCAGCTAAGTCGACATCTTGTGAAAGGGATGTGTTATCATAATCACAATCTAATCGGCTGTCGTACCATTGTGGATTCCTTTGACTTAAAAGTTGTGCCATCTTCCACAGCTTATAATCAATCTGAGGAATTCAAAAAGTATATACTTGAGCTCATCAGCCGCAAAGTAAACTCCAGCTCACTGAGGTTGGCATTGGATATCTTAGAAGTTGAGCGTTTCAACACTGATACAAAGAGGGACTTGCAACGTCGGCTGAAGGCATACGTTGATGGTATTTCGTCCGCCGGTGGCTCAGCATGTAATGTCGCTAAATCAAAGATGGATCAGATCAGAAAAGAGTGGCCTGCGTTGGTACCCAAGTCGGTCAAGGAACAGTGTATCCGTAATTTCAAAGAGCGGACTTCGACTGAGTCGTTAAAAACTTTTAATTGTGCTTCGTGCTCCGTGGAGGATTTATGTTCGTTATCGCACGAGCTAGATCTTGGCTCGTTCGATGCGGCGTTACTGAATGCGCCAGATGTGAGGTTTTCGCCTAAATATCCGTCCGTCGTTGTCGATGCTAATTGGTTAGATGAAGACTGTGATCGGCCAGATATACCTTGTCCTCTCGAAGAGTATCCAGATGCTATATTAGACCAGTCCGGTATCAAAAATTGTAACGGTCGTAAATCTCTGCTACTTTGTCATTCGTGTCATACAGCGCTCAAGAATAACCGGACGCCCGCTCTTTCATTAGCGAACCATATGTACCTTGGCGATGTCCCTAAGGAATTAAAAGACTTGACGATTGTCGAAGAAGCTATGATCTCCCGTTGTCGTGCCAAAAGCTGGATCATCCAATTGAAAGAGGACAATGGACTTATATCCCCTACCAACCAGCGTGGATTAAAAGGAAACATCATTATATTTCCACAGAAAATATCGGCTATGACGAAGATACTACCGCCGTCAATCGAAGACTTGTCGCAACCTATATGTGTAATTTTTGTTGGATCGTCACGTCCCAGCGACGATTGGCTGAGGACTCAGGCAAAACCATTGACTGTACGGCCTGCCAGAGTGCGGGAGGCTCTCGTATGGCTCAAGGCACATAACAGATGGTATAAAGACGTCATAATAAATGAAGAGGTACTGGGCGCACTTCCCGACGAGTCCTCTTTACCTGTTCATATTGAACACGTAGTCCCGGAGGAGATTAATGAATCTCTTACAAATGGTTATGATCAAAATGAGAAAAGTCAGAGTGACTTACATGAGTCGTGTCTTACATTTGAAAGTGTAGTTGTTGCTGATGTCGATGGTAATGCTACTGTTAATGAGCTTCGCGCAGCCGCTATGCGACATATCAAAAAAGGTGGTTCGTACGTTGAGATATCGCATGAATCGAATCCTGTTAATGAGTTCTTCAATCCATCTATGTTTCCGATGATTTATCCCACTTTGTTTCCTTATGGTATCGGTGGTTTTGAAGACTATCGCCGTTCGTGTCCGGTTTCAATGAAGAGACATGTCAAACAACTATTGTCTTTAAAGGACCACCGTTTCCAGGAGCATTATTCTTTCCCATTCACCGTTTTTAATATATTGCAGCGCAGGGAAATGCTATTGTCCACTGCATTGAAGACGAAGAAATCTTATTTTCCATCTTTGGCAAGAAGTTTCGCTTCAGTGTCAGCGTCTGCTGTGGCAGCCGTCGCACGCCGTCTCGCACAAGGTGATCCAGTTTCATTTAGGAACTCGGAAGAGCAAACAGTATCCAAGTTGATGGAACAAGTCAACCTCGTGACATCTAACGTACCTGGATCTACGTCTTCATTGTTGAACATGAGAAATCAGATAAGAGCACTGATGACAGACCAAGGTCTTCCCAGTTTTTATATTACCATTAACCCTGCGGACGTCTACAATCCAGTGGTGAAACTTATGGCAGGTACAGAGATTGATGTAGATGACATGCTTCAATCCGACGTCCCTCGGTATTGGGACCAAGCTACTCTGATCGCGAAAAATCCAGTCGTTGCGGCTAAATTTTTCAACGTTTATCTTCGATCTTTTTTGTCCGCGTTACTAGGGTACGACCCAAATCAAGAAGATACGACAGGTGGAGTTCTTGGTGTAGTTAAAGCTCACTACGGTTGCATTGAGGCCCAGGGTAGAGGCAGTCTACATTGTCATATGTTGGTTTGGCTTGAGGGAGGATTAAATCCTAACGAGATTAAACGGCGTGCCATTGAGGACCCGTCATCCGAATTTTGCACGAGATTGGTTCAATACCTGGATGATGCAATCTCTAATATTGTTCCTCCTGTGCCCGATGACGAAATATTAGTACCCTCTGATATCAAACATCCTTGTTCGGTTAGGGGTACGACCATGCAGGGGTTCGAACATCCTGCGATGGAAAGTGATCTGGCTACGCAGAAAGACTTACACAATTTGGTACTCAAATGTCAGGTCCATACTCACACCGGGACGTGTTATAAATATTCTCGTAGTGATTCACATCCGAAAGAGTGTCGGTTCGGCTTAGACGCATCTAACAATGAGCCAATTAGCTACTTCAATCCAGAAAATGGAGAGTTGACTCTGAGGTGTTTGGATGGACTGGTGAACAACTTTAATGAGTACATTATACGTGCAATTCGTTGCAACATGGATATTAAGTTCATCGGGTCTGGTGCATCGGCTAAAGCAGTGATGTATTATATCACCAACTATATCACGAAATCGCAATTGAAAGTGCATGTCGCTTATGCTGCCCTCGAGAGAGCAGTTAAGCGTTTAGATGAGCAGGACATTGATGATGATCCATTGATGGTTCGCGCCAAAAGGCTACTACAGAAATGTGCTTATATGATGATTAGTCAACAGGAAATGTCTGCGCAACAAGTATGCACTTACCTGCTTGGTCTTGACGACCATTTTACGTCGCATTCTTACCAAAATCTTTATTGGGCCTCCATGGAAAGATTTGTTGAAGCGCAAGACCCTTCCCCGGAGTGCGCCGTACCTAAGCGGCCCCGATATTTCTTTGAGCACGTCCTTGCGGACGTCGAGGATAAATGCTGTGAGAGTGAGACTGGCAATACGAACGGAGTGGACGACGATACTAATTCGAATGACGACGTCTCCGACGATGAGGACGAAGAAGTGACATTGACACTTGATGACAATGGTTCCCTGGCTGCAAAAGGCACTGTACTTGATGATTACCGGTTCAGACCTTACGAGGTCGAAGGCCTTTCTCTATGGGAATCCGTCTCTCGGTGCAAAAAGGTTCGCAAGCCGAAATTGAAACGTTATACAGGATTAGACGTGGGTCCAGCAGAGAAAATATTTGATGAAGGTACTGCAGATTATGTTCAGGACGAAGCAGGAGAATTACCTGAGGACAATGCAAATGCTATAGTTCCTAAAACTTTAGAGGAAATATTAGAATGTCAAAAACGAATACGGCCCAAATTCTGTTTTACCGATGAACACCCAGAGCAGATGACCCATTTGTATGTCGTAGACGATGTAAAAAGGCGAAAGGTTCCCGTCCCCATTGGTCCGGCCATACCTCGAAGAGATCGCAAAGAACTGCGACCCCGGTATTGTCGTCTGATGTTGATGTTTTTCAAACCGTGGCGCACCGTTAAGGATCTTCGTGTTGAGTTGCAGAGTTGGGAAGACGCTTTCGAGGTATTTATGGACACTTGTCCTACTAGGATAAAAGATATTATGGATAATATGCAGATATTGCATGAATGCAGGGACAGCAGAGATGACCATTTCACGAGCAGGGCTAATGCCAGACGAAATCGGCGGCCCGCTCGGAATTGCGACGTCGATAACAGAGTGAGAGATGATGGAGATGATTTCAGACTGGACAGTAATCAAGATCAAGAAAAGGAAATTATGGATCATCTTTTTTCAATCGATATGTCACACTCGCGTGCTGTGGCAACAGCCAGTAGTGAAGCTCTGGAATGTGTGAGCCATATGGAGGCTTCAGGTGCTTTTGGAATGGATCAAGACGAAAAATCTCCTTCGTCGGGCTGTGACTATAACGAATGTCTCGAACAAGTTACGGATGACCATCCGACTCAAGAGCAAGCCTGGAAGGATGCGTACGAACATAGAAAACAGGATTGGAAGCATAAAGCTACTGTAGACGTTCGTGCTCCGATTGCGGATGATGCGACTGGTTACGAAGGGTCCGTGCGTCATATCGAGGGTGAATTGTCGGTAGTCAACGATGTGGTCGTTCAGCATGGGATATACGAACGAGACACGGTGGATAGTGTCGGCGTCGACAACTTTCTGTCTCAGTATGTCCCAAGGATGAACTCGCAACAAGAGAGGGCATTCAAGATCATTGCGTCGCATTCGCAGAAGACAGGACCTGAACCTCTTCGAATGTTCTTAGGTGGCCCAGGGGGGACAGGCAAATCCCATGTTATCTCGGCTTTGAAGCAGTTTTTCGACGACAATCAACAGTCTAGACGATTCAGGCTCGCTTCGTACACGGGTGTGGCTGCGAAGAATATCTCTGGAATGACTCTTCATGCTGCACTGTCATTAATTTCCAATTCCAATATGAAGAAAAACAGCAAATCTCACAAGGATCTAATCGCAATGTGGTTGGGTGTCGACTACTTGTTCGTTGACGAAGTTTCCATGCTAGGTTGCCGTTTCTTGCTAAAGATTAGCCGAGCTCTGAGTAAAGCAAAACAGAATGAGCTACCTTTCGGGGGTATCAATATCATCTTCGCAGGTGACTTCGCGCAGTTGGGCCCAGTTCGCGACCCCCGTTTGTTCTCGTTCATAGATACGTCCAGGGTTGGTACTGTGAGCGGACAGGAGGCGGTGTTCGGAAAGCTTCTATGGCTTTCTGTAACAACTGTCGTCATGCTCACAGAGGTCATGCGCCAAGGAGGTGAGGATAATAGGCCGTTTGTAGAGCTCCTGGAACGTCTGCGTAGTGGCAGGTGTAACGACGACGACTATAGGGTATTGAATTCCCGTGTCTTGTCGACCGCAAGGCCAGACTGGAACTCCGAGCAATGGCAATTCACGCCAACCATCGTGTCTAATAATCGTATAAAGGACCAGATTAACGAACGCGCGACGGAAGCTTTCGCCCGTAGGACAGGACAAAAACTACACTGGTATTACGCGGCGGATACCCGCCAAGGCCAGCCTGTCGAGAACCCCCTTCTACAAGGATACTTGAGCGGCTTGGACTCCGGTAAAACCAATCAACGACTCGGTCGACTTCCTCTTGTTATTGGGATGCCGGTGATGATAACTCAAAATTTCGACGTCGGGTCGGGTATTGTTAATGGGTGCCAAGGGATTTTGAAGAAGATCAGATTCAGGGTAGACGAACAGGGTTACCGACATGCAATCTCTTGTGTCGTCGAGGCCAAGGATATCAAGTCGAACGAGAATTTGCCTTTCATGACTGATGAAAAGCATGTCGCGGTGATTGAAGACAAGACAAGCATGTCGTTTACTCACACATTCACGAAAAAGCGTTGCAGTTTTCAGCGTACGCAACTCCCTTTAGCACCGGCATTTGCAATGACCGCACATAAAGCACAAGGACAAACTCTTACCACTGCGGTAATAGATTTTGAATCGTGCCGAGGGACCGAAGCCCCTTATGTAATGGCATCTCGAGTCAAATCTTTAGATGGGCTGTTGATTCTCAGGCCATTCCAGATCAAGAAAATTCAATGTCGCCAATCCGAGGATAGTCGCAAAGAGCACACTCGTCTCAATTTTCTGGCTACTCAGACTATCGTCGAACATGGGTCGCCTGAAGAGAGAGCCAGCGCGAATCTGAAGATCAATTCCTGTACATGGATGCCAACCCCGCTTCTTGATGGAGACTTGACTTCAGCTCGACGGTTGGCCGAAATCCAAACCCTGTTATCCAACATCTCAGGGAGTTATTTTGATGAGGAATCTGCTCTCAAGGTTGGTGTCCATCGTCTGAATATGTAAGTTGGTCACTAAATGTTTCTGTACATACAGTTCCATAGACGGGAGAAGCGTAAGCGAGACGAGCCGGATGGCAATGAAACGATTGTCGATGGTGTTCGTAAGCGACGCAAACGACCTGTTTAGACCCCTCTAAAATATATGGTAAGTTGTCTGTCTCATTATTTTTCGTTTGTGTGTTTGTGTTCTGAATTGATTGTACAGTTCGATAGACGGGTAATGTGGGTAAGAGGGTTACGATGGTCTTGAATTACCAGTAGAGTCTGTAGGAGATGAAAATCGTTTAGAACGCCCCGTATACAAAGCTCGAGTTGGTGTCCTAAATCAAGTGTTCGGGACGGTTTGGACCTCGTTCTCTGCAAGACCCTATCGCAGTGATCCTCGGTAATGGTTATGCTGTACCATGCAATCGCTTTCCTTGATTCAGGTACTGACGAGGACACTAATCCGTCATTCGGGGTGTTTGCACACTGCTACTGTTTACTATCTAGCTCTGCCATGCAATCGCTTTCCTTAATTCAGTTACTGACGAGATACTAGTCCGTCATTCGGGGTGTTTGCACACTGCTACTGTTTACTATCTAAGTAATATTAAACTTCTCCACACTCGTAATATCATTCTGGTATTGTCTTGGAAGAATCGAAATGATCTCGAGGCGAATGCTGAGTTTGATTATGTAACTGGTGAAGATCAATAAGCAAAATCCGTGTCGGTTTGTATTCGTTTATGTCTGGAGTGAGTTGTTTCAATCAGGTTTGACACGTCAGAATGTCTAGTCGTAACTCCGCGTTGCTTGTCTCGAATGATCCACTGTGTCTGTTATGCGCTGTCTCATGATTATGACCAGATACTCCATGTTTCTTTTCTTCATATATCTAGAAGGAACGCTACTCTTTTTCGGCATGGCTCCCTTCGATTATCTTCCAGGGTCTGTTTCTACACATACTTTCCTGCGACGGCTTTCATCGGACGGTGTCTACGACCGACTGGCCGAAGCTTTTTCCGGAATGGGTACAGCTGCCATAGCCAACGCAGATGTTAACGATACATTTTTTCAGTATACTCCCAACGAAATGAGACCAGACTGTCATTATTATCGCGACTCTGAGTCCGCCGAATACTCTGGTAATCTGTTCGGAGAAATCCTAGGTCAGGCGCACGGCACTTTCGTTGGTGCCAGAGGTAATCATTATCCCGGGCCCAATGCTGCCAGGGTATGTATGCCGTACTTCTTATTGTATCGGTTTGTTGCTGATTCTGTTGCTAGCCTAACCAAATTACAGATCAGTCGAAAGCAAGGTGCAGTATAGCAATCGGTTGCCCCTCCTTTGCACCAGATAGGTTGAAAACTATATGGCATAATCAACTTTGCACTTTTGTGGGACTCCGTGATTCTGAGATGGATTCGTCGATTAGTGTGAGCCGTCTAATTGATGCATGTCCGACTGTGCATTGAACCCGAATGTGCCAGGTGAAGGAAATCGTCAAGTCGACTACTTCTGGTCGAGGTATTGATGCGATTACTTTGACGGGTGGTTTAATGTATACGGTATGTTTTACAGGCCCCCTTGGGTTTATTCATATATGTTTTATTTGCAGTCTCCGAGGCGTCACCGTGATATGAAAAGTGGTGAATGCTCTGAGTTGTCCACGGTTGTGCCTTTGTACAAGAAACGACCTCTACCTGGACAAGACGTTGATTCTTCTTCTTCCTCCGTGGCCGCCACGGGCGTTGATCAGGATACATTGATTTGGCCGTCCGGTATGCATTGCGTACTTCTAGTTGCTTTATGTGACCATGTTCTAGGCAATGACATCTATGTTGGCGCTGAATACGATCATCGTCTGATGCCAGATTCGGGCGGTCGGCTGTTTGCTTTGAAAAAAGCGAAGTTAGTACAGCCGGATTGGCGCGACATCTCTGGCAGTCTGATCACACCTTGGAGCAATTATGCAAGCCTCCGGCCTGGAACTCTCATCATCGCCAATGTAAGCATAAGGACCTTTATTGTTAGAGGTAAAGCCAGTAGGAAACCAGAGCGCAAGGTATGTCCCTTTCTCCACTGACGATTTCATATTTTGAATATGAGCAGATTTTTCAAGCACTCATTAATCATCTTCAAGTTGTTGCGGAGTCAGATGTTCATGTATCAGTCCCTGAGCCGCTGCGATTGAAATCTGCAGTAGGGTGTGTTTCTGCAGAATATGCTTATGATTCAGGCGAGGCTGCTTTTGTGGATTTGAAGACCACATTTGCGAACTGTTTTTCTGCTATGGATGTTAGCATGCGTGATGGCGAGAATCCGACGGTCGAGAGGGGCAAGAAAGCGAGAACTCAATAATTTTCGCGCGATGTTGGCCATTGACTAGACTTATTACTTCTGCCATATTTTCCGATGTATTATACGTTTGTTAACCGTGGTCAATTTCATGACGGGCTTTTGTGATACGATAAATGTCTGATTTACCAACTGCTCTAATTACTTCGATTGAGTTATGCCACTTCAGGGCATTACCACTATCATTATCGCCAGCCTTCTTCGAGTCATTCTTTTCAAAATAGATTGACGAATATTTCCTTCATTGTCTTGGTCATCTTTTGCTTCATATTAGTCTTATGAGTATGCTGTAATCCCTGCTCTGCAGGTATCTAGTCATGTCTCTGTTTAGTGGTTTTTGTCTCACTTTGTGAATCTACTTACAGACTTCCACAGTTCGCTGATCTCATACAAGGGCTCGGCGGATCCCAAAATAGCTTGAATATCGATTAGACCAGATTACGGGGGGTCAAGAGTTTGTTTCATTACTCATCTGGTTTGTTTCTTCGGAGTTGGCGGATGTCTATCTTCGGTGCTGGTCGTGATTTTTCTTCCCCGAACCGTATATAAGCTCTGGGTCAATAATTATTATCTACATGTCTTCCTACAGCTACCTTCCTAATTCTCTCTCTCACCCTGCTTTCGTGGATAGAACCAAACATAATGGTGTCTACGATCGTCTGTCTAGAAGTTTCATGGACATGGGTCCTGCTGCACTCGCGAACGCGGATGTCAATGAACATTTCTTTCGCCACAACTTTGGCGAATCGTGGTCGGCCAACTACTCCTATCGGGACTGCAACTCTGACGAATTCTCTGCGAATGTATTCGGTGAAATTATGGGACAGGCGTTTGGGACGTACATCGGGGCTCAAGGAAATCATTACGGTGGTCCTGATCCTGGAAATGTGCGTTTTGGTTGTTGTATCCACACTATCTTTCTCTTTGTTGATCAACGACAATCTTAGCCCATCCAGATCACGGATTCGACCAAGGTCAAGTGTACTATTGCCCTCGGGTGTCCGACTAAGGCCCCCGCTTCAATACAGAATCTGTTTTATAACCAAATTTGTACACTAGACGCTGTGCGCGATGCGGATAGAGTAGAAGAAGCCCGCTCAGGAATGGTATGTGTGCCGTTTCTGGTATAGACTTTCTATTGACAGCATCGTGTCCAGCAAGTTGATGTAAAAGAAATTGTGAGGAGTTTACGGGCTGGCGGCGACGCTGAGGCTATTGTTCTGACTGGTGAACCTCTGTATACGGTGGGTATGTCCTCATTCAAGTCGAATTATCTGACACATTACAGGTTTTGAAAAAAGATAAAGTTAGGAAGAACGGTGACAACCACAGTAATCAGTCCCGCAACGCCAAAACGCGGCTCGTAAAACGCTCAGTAGACGGCCTTATGAAAATTGACGATGTTATTGAGCCACTGGACCTACCTGACTCTATCGTCAGTCCTCACGTCAGGCCTACCGTTCCAAATCGTAAGCTTCATTCACGTACTTAATTTTCATAGGTTGACGTTCACAACACATAGAACAAGAAATTTGCTTGGGAGCCGAGTACGATCATAGACTCATGCCTGATTTTGGGGGGCCGGTTTTTGCACTTGATAGAGCCAAGTTGATTCAACCTAATTGGCGAAACATCAACAACGATCTCATTCCGCCTTGGCTGAATTATGACTGTCTGCGTCCGGGGGTCTTGGTCGTAGCGAATATCGGTATACGGGTTTTCGTTCTTACGCCTAAAACAGGAACAGGTGCGACCAAGAAGGTAAATATTCTGACTATTCCATTCACTGTTGCTCATTCTTCGGTTACAGATTTATCACGCCACCATAAATAGCATGAAAGTTATTGCAGAATCGCCACTCCCAATTTCTGCTCCCACTGCCATTAGTGGACAGGGGAAATTGCGAGCAAAGTCGCTAAAGAGTGAGGTTAGCGCAGCCGCGTCTGCGTTGGACTCGATCGATTGGTCCGCTACTTATTCTGTGGAGGGCAATGATGCTGAGACTAGTAAAATCGTCACTGAGAGTGATACTTCGGGGGCTGATGGTAAACGAAAAAAGCTGAGGAAGTAACCCATGGATTTGACTAACTGTGTCGCCCTTGATCTCATTCCCAATGTGTTTGTATCTTTGCCTGTGTATTGTGTGTGTAAATTCCAGTGATGTACTTGATGTTTGTAATTTGTGAATTTGTCTTCATTTACACAGATCGCGTTTCGCTGAAATTTGGTCAACAAATTGTAACCGAAACAAGACAGTGCCCTTAGGGTTCTACCCCTTTGTTTGAGTACTTATATAAGTTGAGTTGTATTTACAATTGGCATGGATATCATTTTTGCAAGTATCGACAATAGTGACTCGGATCTACTTGCGGAGGCCGAGGTGGGTATTACGTTCTGGCTTGGAACACAGCCAGTTTCTTTCTATATCGGCGCTCCAGAACATAACATCCGTTGGACTTTTGAGTCTGGTAGTCCAGGTGTACCTTTGCGCTGTCGCTTGTTTGGCATCGTCGGTCGCTTTGTCGGATCTACATCTGATTTGGGAACGGTAGGCCAAATGTTTTCGTGGCTTGTCTTATTGACTGTATTAAACACAGGGGCCAAACATCTATCCTGTGTTGGAACTAGTTTATCCCAATAAACCAGGTGATAGGCTTTCGGCAACCTTTTTCAATCAGTTGCAGGTCTTGCATGACCAGGTGGAGACTGACATGAGGGGGTGCACAGTAAGTGGCTTTCATAATGAGTACCGCCGGGGAGTCTTACGTTGTGTTGCAGGATGTCCAGGTTAGAACTTGGTCAACAAACGCAGCCGCGTTGTCGACCGATGGATGTGTGATCTACGTTCACATTCATCGTGATGCTACTGTAAGATTTAAATTTGGTGTAACATCCTGTACATTGAGCATACTCTTAGATTTCTGGAGTGGGTGCTCTTGCTGCCCCTAGGTTTCGTTTCCCTGTTGACGATGTATCGTGCATCGTGAAAGAGCGATTTCCTCTACTGCGAGTCGGGGCATTCATCGAAGCAACTGTTTCATTGCATCGGGTGGATAATGTGGAGTCAGGGAACCGTCATTACTCTTTAGTCGCAGACAAGATCGATGTGATCATGCAAAATGTTAGTACGAGATTAGGGGTCCTTGTCTAAAACACGATGGAAATTTTCAGTGAACGGATGACATCTGGCTTAATTTCAACATGAGACTTGATGACATTGCGTAGGCCTTTATGGAAGGACATGGGTCTTTGTCTAAAACATGTTATAAAAGCCAAAAAGTTGCAAGCGAATGATCGTAGTCTCAACTTTCTTTAGGTGTTCTTATGGCATGGTTTGACAGGGTAAACATCTCACTTACGGATTGTCTCTGTTGGTTGACTGAGAGTTTCATAAACATTTCCGCTGCTGATTACAACTTTATCGAGTTTGCGAGTTTGTCTCAATTCTATGAAGAATGTCCTTTTATTGTCGGGGACATTGGTTATGTAAATCGTTGTAATTGCTACTATGCGTTCCCTGATCCTCGGAGTCGATCAAGGCAACAGTACCCTTGTACAGCGGTTGTACCCCGATATCGCAATTCGCAGATGGACCGAAGCGCAGATGATTGCATGCAACAAGTCGTTGCGATCTCTGCACAACGTTGCTTGTGTTGGCGACCGTGTCTCCTCTCTTCTAGTTAAGTCGATTGAGCGATGCTTGGTGAGTATAGTCCTAACTGATATATATACTATTTGCTGAAGTTTAGAGTAGCCAAAGCCGCATGGTTATCGTTCGTCTGATTATGCCAGCGGTCCCCATATCAGAAGTTTGTTGGTTTATCAGAGACAAGAGGTGTCAGGACAATCTTTGCTTGTTGATTGCAACGAACTTTTGGTGTCTTTTCGACTGTTTTCGGAGGAAACCAGCGTCGTGACAGATGTTGCCTACTTGATAGGGAGTCTTGCAGATGGACTTGCCCAGGATCAAGAGCGGCTAGATGTCTCCACTATCTCGTACCACACTGCTGGGGATTCCTGTGTTGGTTACGTGGTGTTTTGCTCTGTTTCGGACGCTTGGTTTAACAGGGCTAAAACGACTCCTATGTTTGAACCTTATGGTTCAAACGAAACATATGTCGCCACATGGCCGCTCCTGGAACAGCGTCTATCAACTGAAGAATTGATTGCGAGGACGATAAATGAGGCAAGGTATGCATATTCTTAGACAATAATTTTGTAGTGATCACAGTTCACACAGGTTTCTTGCCTCCCTATAACTTTGATTTGATACACCTGTGTACCTGGGTGATCGGTTAAGAATGTGTAGTTTTGTATTTGTATTTTATAAGCCTCTGACTGGTGCGAGTACATTATTCAACATATTGTGTATTCAAGTTAGGATGAGTAAAGTGCGTGATGATTTCGGAGTCGGGCTTTACTGAGCTCATCCTTAGGTGGTAACCTGTTTGTTTACCACTGAGGATATGATGGATTTAGTGCCAGTACGCCTGCCTGTTTGCCTGGGTCAAGGCAATATTCCTTCAGGAGCCTGTCTTCGTGATGGAATGTGTGGAACGCCCATATGGCGTAAGTTAGCCACGGCATGGTTCGCAATATCCTGTGTGGTTTATGTCCGTGGTAATGGTGGATCCGGTGTCCTATTCACCATCGGGTACGGAGGACCTAACAACATACTACATGCTTCAAAATGTCAAGGAGCTAATTGCACGCGCACAAAGACCAATGCTATTTTTTGGAGTTGCCCTTTGTTCGTGGTGGCTGTTGACGGCAGTGTAGTGCGGGACGTGGATGCCGAGGATGAGCAAGTATGGCGGGCGATGATGAGATGGTATGGGCTATATGATGTGTTATTTGTGTATCTGATTGTCTTGCAGGAATTCTTGCCCCCACTACCCGTCTGAGCGGATAGAATCCTTGCGTTACGTCCCTTTGTAGAGCGTCCCAAGATGCTGTTCATGTTTAGAAAGTTCCGTGTCTCTGTACACTGTTCGGTTACAAGCACCAATCAAACTGTGTTTATTCTTCAACGACGCAAGGGCTTGAAAATTTAATGAATTGTCTCAGACAAGAACTGCTCTCAGACTATATGGTGACTCGCTATTCGGAAAAATACTATGCTCGGTTGATCGGTGCCAGACCGACTGCATCTGTATGGGCGGGCGAAAATGTCTGAGATGGATGGATGGTTAAACTGGTTTATCTGAAAGTGCATGATCAGTGTTTCATTTGGGGGGGGGGCTCTTACTTGCCCTTAAATTGGACTGGTAGGCCGTTAATTTCAATACAATGTCTAACGCAGAATCCATGTATAGCATGTACGCTGGTTATTGGTTTCATGGACGTATACTGACTTTTTTGTAGGCCTTGTGAACTTTGGTGGCTTATTTTTAAGCTGATGAGCCCTGTAGATCTCGCCTCATTCTCGAGGTGCAGTACTATGTTCCGCGAATTGGGGACTTGCTTCAAGGAGGAGATGTATACCGTGCAACGCGCACTCGGTAAGTTTCTATTGGATGTGGAAATGGGAGATTATCAAGATTTGCAAGTGAGTGAAAGTTTGACTAGCAGTGAATCATTGACTATAGAAACTATATAGGCTGACACTGGGTTGCTCGTTGCCGGGTCAGGTGTATTGGGGTTTTTCAACCACGATGACGATCTGCGTGACTACGATACCTTTTGCGAATTGAGTCAATGCGGGACTGTGGGTAATTGGTACATCGATCGCGGCTTTGAATTTCAGCCATCTGCTGTACAGATGTCTGTCTTTGCAAACGAATTCACACACACACTTGATGTTCAACGTTCTCAAAATCGTGTCGTTGCCATTGCAATTGATGAAGACGTTAGGGATTGTGTATACGACAACGTAGTTGCCGAATGGACCTTCAAACGTGGTTGTGGAATAGTTCGACTACTTGCAACAGATGGGATCCCTTTGAAAGGGTTACTATCCGTCCATTCTAGTTGAGTTCTATGCCCCGAGTCCTCCACTCTCCTAATAGATATTTAGCTTGCTGTATGAACGTCCTGTCGCATCGTGCAGCGTATTGCTGTTTCCCTAAGCTCACGCTCGAGCAACAGGCGACTGTTCTGATTGACTTGTGTGCGCCTTTTACGGAACCGCAGATGAAGACGGTGAAGATGCACCAGATGCAAGGATTCTCAGTGCAGTTCAAACCGTCTGGTCGTGTGGTGTGTAATGCAAAATCTGCGTTGACTTTTTTATACTCCCGGTATCTGGGGGATAAACATTGCTACAAAATCCCCCTGAAATACTTGGGAAAAAGAACACCGATGGACGATTACATCGAAGCGAATACTTGGTCCTTGGCGTACACCAGGAAACTCAATACATGCGATTATTATCCTATCGATGTTCCAGGCACCCGAACTGAATATATAGCTTCTACCTCTTTCGCGTCGAAGCTAGAAACACAATTGATTGTGCTGAGAGGACAAATCCAGTCAGGTTTGATAACGTAAGTGTTGTTTGCTTAGTCGACTCGCATTCTGAGCATATTGACAGGAGCGAAGCTGCTGTCCTTATGGTACAAGAATTGGCTCGTAGAAAGCGGCGAAGGCTTGCTGACGAAGCGTCGTTTGTACAACTGTCTTCTATGCTCACTATTGCCGAGTCAGCAGGGTTCCGCATCGATGCTGCAGTTGCCCAAGATCTATATGAATATTTGGATATGCTCAATGACCAGTTCCCGAACCTCACCATGGTGCGTCTCGTATATTAACACAGCGTCCGTTGAGCTTATCATTACGGGACCAGTCTACACCCGCTGTGAAATACCATTCCCGCACTGGTTCTATACTTCGTGTAACATTCACCTTGCAAAAATGCGTCAAGGACTTCGGGTGGATGACTTTGAAACGTTGGGCGTCCAGATTCGCTTTCGACAATGTAATATTACACTTGCATCGTAAAGTCCGGTGAATTTGGTACTTGTACGTTGGCAGCAGCTGGTATTGACGTAGTTATGCACTTGCATCAAAAGCTCATTGTATTATCTGTATGTACAACAATCGTTTTCTGTTGCAATTTTGTAATGTACGGTGTTTGCGATTGTCACTACTTATTGTTTACCAAAAAGTCGTGCCCCCATCCTCCATTCGGGTCTGTAAGTTACTGGATTCTCTCACCGAGTAAGGGCTTTTTGTTGTTTGTTTCTGTATGTTGTGTCTTGATACTGAAGAAATTGGGCGCTTGTCTCTGTTGATCATACCATGCCGAAGGCGAAGAAGGTTACGAAACGAGGAGGCGGACAGCAAGTACTTAGTGACTACTTGGTAACTCTGTCGCCTAGTCCCATAAAGCGAATCAAAACCCAGGAACTACGGAGGTTGGTGGTCGTTACATCGATATAACTACTGCTGACACCGGTTAGATAGTTACAGATTGAAGAAGAGGAGTGTCGTCCTCGATCATCAGCAACCAAGTGGACAGGGCGTGGATAATGGATGCGATGAATTCGTCGTTGGGCGAGAGGACGAGGAAGTCGGTCGTGCTGCATTAGCTTGCCTCCGAGTTTTTGACCAGTGCGTTCAAGTTTTTGTACTAGGGTTTGAGTTCATGAAAATGAAGTTGCGCGGATTATGGACCTTCGCTTGGCATGACGAGGATCTTTCGCTGGAATCGCGCGAATACTCTGGGATTATCTCCGCCACTAGAGGTAAAGCTATGCTCGATTGATGATCACGTACTCTAACAATATCAGGTTGTGGTCATACTATTACAACTCGAGCGCGATGTCCATCATCCTTGGATTTACTCGGGATTGACTACGTTACTGTGTCCGAAAAATCGAAGTTTGGATTATACACGCTAGTCAGTTTCACTGTATAATACACTTTCTTTTAATTGTCGTCCTACGGGTAGCGGGCTATGCCGCTCGCCGGCGCTACTTCGTTATATACGTAGGGAAGTCCGATCGTGACTGAATCGCGTGTTTTCCGGCCGTGGACGCGTTTGGCATAGATTGCGTGGAGCGCTGCGGTGGCAAATGGATTCTTGTGTGTATAGGTAACAATATAATAGAGGCGCACCACCAGCGCACTCATGGTTTCAAGCATGAGCTGTGGCGCACCGACCTTGTGAGGAAAATCTAATAAAGCTTGATTAGGCGCCGATGTCTTGATTTGGCGCCGAATTCTCAGTAAATAGCGAATGGCCATAAGCATCTCTTCGACAAACGACAACTAGCAAGTGAAGCAGAAGTATCACATCAAGATTATATGACAAAGATTCCGGTAGCTAGATGATGCAGTATATGTGTGTAAATGAATTCATGCGTCTTTCTACATGAGGTCCTTGTAGATTAACGTTCAGTGTCCTTGGTATCCATTTGAGAGTAGAAAAATCGAACGACACAAGATCAAACATCGTTACTTGGAAAAGTTGGCATGAGGCCGTATAGTGCTACTCCGACTAGGTGCAGTAGAAGCTGGTGTCACCATCAACTCAGGACCCTCGAATTCCCCGTGACCGCGCATTCCATGTGGCTCATCCGAGTATAACGACGGTAACTGCACCGGCGCCGAGTGCGGGCTACGATGACTCGGAGGAGGACTATTCAACAAAGGTGACTGTGTTGGCGATCGAGCTTGATAGAATGTTAATCCATTTTTCAAACTCTCGAGTTGTTTGACAACGTCTGAAAATGTTGGTCTTTCCTTGAGTTCATCGTCCCAGCACCGGTCAAGCATGTCCCGTATTCCCAAACGATCCACGATTTTTGATGGGAATGGTGGTCGAGCGTTTTGTTCTAGAGAAACAGGGTCAGCAGAGGAAGATATAATTTCCGACATCACGAAGATGGAATGTTGAAAGGCTACGTACCCAAGACGCGCTTCTTGACCACGTCGTCTGCTATCATCGGCCAAGGAAGACTTCCCATAGTAACGATTTCGACACAGGTTATAGCAAACGCATACACATCGTTCTCCTTTGAGATTAGTGAGCGCTCCGCCATAAGTTCCGGCGATTGCCAACGAAGTCCATCTACATCAAGCATTAGTGTTAAGTGTTTGGGAGCCTTAGTACGGACGGAACATACGGGCATGCTTATCATTTTTGTATGAAATCTCCGACTCGCGTTTGCTATGACCAAAATCGGCCAATACGCATCGCAAATCGTTGTCGAGCAGGACATTTGCTCCCTGATAAATAGTATAGAACGCTGGTAAGGGAGAGGTAAACCATGACAGTAGAGCGAAACATACCTTGAGATCTCCGTGAACAACCTCTGCAGAATGCATATACTCCATGGCGATTGCGATTTCCTCCATAAATCTTAACAAGTCCGGAACAGAGCTATCCCCATACACCTCTGAAACCATAGACGTCCCCATATCCATGCCCCCGTCCCATTCCAATCGCTTCAAGTATTCCGACAAGGTCCCGTTCCTCATATACGGGCTGATGAAGAACCAAGGACCGATACTTTCGGAATGAGAGTCACTTGCACCATACAGTCGTAGAATATTAGGATGGTTGAGAGATTTCCAGACATTAAGCTCCGAAAGGAATGTATCCCGGGAAGTAGTCTGTTCGAGGACCTTGATAGCGATAATCCGGTGTCTCCAGGTTCCTTTATACACGTTAGAGAAAAAACCTCGACCTATTAGGTCTTGGAATACTACATCGGACCTGTTTGGAAGAATATTTTGCCTTAGAAAGATCCCAGGAAATGGATTCATAGACGTACTTGCCAATAGTCCAGCTCGGGAGGTCCGTATCAGTCCGCTGCACCAACCTCGCAATGTCCGACTCGATATGCTCTCCATCCAGCACACTACCTTGCTTTTCGTCCAACGGCCAAGTGAACGCCCTCGTGTGCGGAAGCTTTAAATTCGCGGAGCGCATCGCTGAGCCAGGTGTAGGTTTCCAATGCGGACCTTTCCCTTCCAAAGTCCCTAACAACGTCCGAATGGCTTTCGGCATATCCTTTCCCGCTACTTGTAGCACCTTCTGCATATCAAAGTCATTCTTGGCGTTTAGCGCGGTAGACAGGAGTGCGCGCAGGTCAGTCATATCTGCTGCCTTGTCCAGCTCGTTCTGATGATTTTGGAGATCACGAAGACGGGCGCGGATTCGTTCTGCATCAGTAATTCCTAGGTCGTCTGTTAAGGGAGGGGAGGAACTGAATTTAGGCAGGCGGCCGAGAGAAGGGTCGTCGAGGTCGACTGGGTCCAATTCTGCGTGAGCCGTGTCTCTGGATCCGGACCATAGGACGCCTGGTATGGCTTCGACGGGCTGGTTGGATGAGCTTGATACGTTACTTAGGATACGGGTAAGAATAGACATCTACGAGAGTCGTTAATGATTGTCATAACAGTGACCATCATAGAAAATATGTGGGCTGACATTGAAGAGGACCAGACAATCATGCAGTGACTCGTGGCATCTCTCAATATCCGCCTGAATCTCGTCTCTGTCAAGCCAGCGCTTCCAGAAAGGTTGGTCCTTGAGTTCTACCATGAGATCGAAAATCATGTTGAAAGAACTACGAGAAAAAGGTATGTGAGATTATACGTTTCCGAAGTGTCCATCCGACATACGATTCAAGCTTCTTGAGAGGTTTCGCAAGTTCTGCAGTGACTCTATCTCCCCTCTCGTGGATTTCCTCGTATATTGCGAGAAGAAAGTCGGCACAACGACCAGCTAAACGTAGACATGCAAGCCGATTAGACTGAAAACTGTAATGAGAGCGTGCATAGATGTCGTGGTCAGACAAAGCGACGTACACCGACTTCATCCAACGCGTCCCAAATGCTCGAGAGTAGCTTGGCGACGGTTGCGAGACCAGGCACGGGAATGAGTTCCCCTGTGTCTGCAACAAGTTCAATCCCGGTACGAGCAACCTCACCGATTGATTTGACAGCATAGTGAACGCGCTGACGATACGAATCATCAGTAACAAGGATGTCAGATTAAAGAAGAACCGTACCATTTTCGTTCTCAAATACGCATCGGTCTGCTCTTGAGGAACAGGTGCATGTCTCTTCGACGGTGTGGTCTTCCATGATCTGGGACTAAAATATTTGCGCCAGGATCCGTGCGTATCCGTCGAGTCTTGTGAGCCGACACTGGTATCGCGCGAGGGGGGTGGTGATATCTGTACCGGTGCGTGCAGACTACGACCTCGACCACCGCCAGCGGAACCCAATCGATCGGAATTGAGGCTTCCAGTTGAGAACGAGAAGCTGGAAGCCAAGCTATGATAGACTGTGGGAGGGGTCAAGGAAAGTTTGAAGGCAGGATCCGAGTCTGTGTGTCTATGTTTAGTTGGAGGCGAATCAACAGGAGAGCAAGGTTCTGATGTTGTATGTCTTCCAGAAATTGTGCTAATCCTGGGCGGGCTGGGCATTATGTTCCTGAGCCAATGTTGATCAGTTGTGTGAGAGAGAAAGAGAACTGTTGGTTGCTACGCACTTTGGACTTCTTATAGCATCCTCTTGCCCCCAAGCGCTAAGGGATTGTCCTTCAAGAACCTTCCAGCTGATCACAGCAGGAAATGAAACAACAACAGGACACGGTAGTGAAACTGTAACAGCAGATCCGAAGAGTGTCACTGTATAGCAAAGAACAACCCATACGGCAAATTTACCGTATACAAAGAGCACGAGTACCGTGGGCCATCAGATTTAGTCGAAGCAAAGCTGACAATTGACTGTTCTGATGATGCCTTCCCCATTCACGGAACGCGTTCTACGGCAGTCTACGGGGTACACATGTAGAAAGAGAAAACCGCCGGTTCCCATTTGGCTCACCGTATAACTGCATATAGAGGTATCAAAAATCCTCCCAGTCCATGATCGATGAACTTGCAGAGCCATAAAGCAATAGTCGAAACAGCCGGTTATGAGCCTCTCTGAGTCCTCTCTGGGACTGTTGTCCTCAGCTCTATATAAAATCAATGGTCGATCGGACTTGAGAGAACGACACATACAATAATTCGGAACCGATCCATGTCGGGGAGAAATGGATCCGGAGGCTAGATACACATAATTAAATAATTATTGTTAGTTGGTCCAGATTTTTCAACGCTAATACTTCCTGCTACCTGCGCAAAGCGAACCATAAGCAGTAGCACACAGCTGTGTGGAGGTTATGTTCCGTAAATTCAAGTATCAAATACTAGCATACATCTACAAAGATCTCAGGCGCTGAGCCTGGCTTCGTCCAGCATCCCTTTCGCGCGCTGTAAATCGTCAACTATAATTCTAAATCAATCAAATTCCTAAAGATCGGATCCTTTGAAGTCGGTCGCTTTTTGCCCTCTTTGGCCGATTCAACTGCCTAAAGCCTAGCATAATTCCATTCTCCTAAGGTTAGCGGAGTGAGTACTACAGTCACGGTTATAATTTCGCTTATGGCTGGCGCCAGTGTGCATTGATTTTGGAGTTATTGAACCAAGACGGCCTGGGATGTATGCGTCCTTACCGGAGCTGCCACGGTCAAGTCTGAGCATCCAGTTCCAGTGGCATGAAGTCTGAGTTGATACATTCTATATATCACTGTACTGTAAGTCCCTGTCCCCTTCCCCCAGGCATGGTGCCATGAAGTGACTAGCTTCGACTCAGGCTGAAGATGCTAGTCCCAACATTCGCATAGATATTCAAATCCAGAATGCACCCCACAGTCTCCTCAAAGTCTCCTTTAGCATATGCAAGTGTACATCATCGATGTCTGATAGTATGCGGGCAGGACACAGAACGTGATACTACGGGCGTTCAATCTCAGCTTCCCATCCCGGAAACTGCATATGCAGGTCCGAGTTGAGACATGATTCTTCTGCAGTGAAAGACCCCTACATCATCTTTTAATAACTAGAGACCACTCTCTAAGACTGCGAAAAACCCCTTCACATTTAGGGTTTTTCCCCTGACTGATTGGATACACAATGACATGCTGGATGACGGACAAGCATGACAAAGTTATGAGACCCCAGCGTATCTGTTTAATTTCAACGTGTAAGGTTCTCTACATTTGTAAACATTGCAGAGCGGTGAATGGATACAGATTTTTCTCGTGTGCAGATGAACTTGAATGAGATTCATACGATGGTCAGTGAGGGTCGGTTGTGCAGTGTCCTATGGTCAGACACAAGATATATCTGCTCTATTTATTTCGATTTATTTTTCGACTTAAGTTGGACCTCAGTCCAGATCATATTCACTCTCCAAGTTAGGGGGCGCTTGTAATGCTTCGAGGACACGAGACAGGCTGAGACAAGTCTGAATGCATGAGGTCTGGACCAAGTCTCGCTGAAGTGATGGTAGGAGAGCCCCTATACCTCGATTATAAGAGGGCACCTTCTGAACACTCAAACTTTAATACAATTTGTCCTCGTACACTCACAACCAACCGAACGACTACATAACAAATTCATTGATAGCGTCGTTGATATCCGTCATGACGATTAACACTCAAACCATTTCTCCCTCTATATCCGTCGACGTTGATGAAGACTACTCGCTGAAGACGCTCTCTCCCTCCTCTTACTCCGATGCCCTTTCTTTCACCCTCTTATCCTTAATACCCGAACTTGTTGACCTTCCTTTAATCCGTGTACCCCCTCCTCTCACATTATCCGAAACCCCTCTGAGAGAGCGTCGTGGCTTTGAACAGTTTATCACTATTACCCCTCGATCAGATGTTGTGGGAAAGCAATCTGCGAAGGGACAAATCCAACCAACGGCTGGCAGCCTCCCCAGAAGGAGAAGAAAATCTTCTAGTATGAGGCGTGCTGTAGTCAAAATCGTTGAGTCGGAGGATTCCGACGAGTCGTCAGATTCCGAGGATGATGATTAGACGTTGATAAACACCACTTTTTACCCGCCGATGTTGCTCGCACTCGGTTACATAAATATACCAATTCTTGTCAGAAACGTGCATCATATAATCTCCTTACGATTCGATTTTGAGTTTGAGACTGAACGTCATGTCAATGGTGAAAAAGTGTGAATCAATAATCTTTTTGAATACTCATCCTCGAGCTGTTCGTTTTGAGCCCATACAACGAATAGCACTTGAGCGGAGAAACATTGTTACTAAAGTAGAACATGTCAATAACCCAGATTCAAGGCCAAACATGGTTCATTGGCAGGTTTCAACTTGAGGACCGAACACGGGCCCACAGGGGCCGTTGTTCGGCTGCAAGTGGGTAAGAAAGGGAAAGCGATTACGGGAGGTTAGATACACGTACCACCTTGCAATAACCATCAGTAGCTGCATGTATCGAACGTTTCTTTGAGGGATAATGCGAACACTCGAGGTGAGGTTGCAAAACGAGGAAGATTCTTTCAAACACCAACGAAGAGAGACTGGAGAGGATCAAATTTGACTGTTATGAGTAATAAACATACATTATAGTACAGTATCCCTGAGCGTAAAGCGCTGACTAGAAGTTCAGAGCATCGGAGAAAAAGAATCCAGCGAAATCTGGAGTGTGGACGAGCATGACGGTAGCTCTCAACTCTGGTGGGCAGATGTAGAGAAGACCTAAACCTCGTCTCCACTTTGCTTAGTTCCCAGTACGCCTTCCTCCAATTTCTCCTTCCAAAGGGCACCTCCAAAAAGCGTGATATCCGTCTTGGTCACCTTCCTTTGTATGGTTACTGGAGGGACCACAGTAAAACTTTTGACGCGTTTGTCCCAGATGAGCCACTCAGTTGCGAGGTCGACGGAACGACCATAAGCGAAATGCTCATTGCGGAGATGCATAAGGAGACGAACAGCACCGGCAGGCGAGAGTGCATAAGCATGTAAACAGCGGGGTTGAAAAGAGGGATAAAGAAGGTTCTTTTTGGGAATAATGTACGGATCTTCGACAACAGGGTGAATTGTTTCCTTGGACCAGCAGAAGCCTGGAAATATAGGATTAATGATAAAGGATTGAAGAGAATAATTTATATAACACACCCAAGAAAAACATATCCCAATCATAAGGAAGCATCGGCAACAGCACACTCATCCTCTCCTTAATATCCACCTCCATATCCACGTCATCCTCCAAGATCAAAGCAATATTCTCCTGCATTTTCCCTTCCACTCTACTCAGATCTACCCCAGCGCGAGCATTGTCGTCCACGACGCGTCGTATAGCAGTGAAATGTGAGTGAAATGCGGCAACTCGTTCCGGAGTCAGATACCGCCACTGCGGCATCTCAGCAGAATACTTAGTTAGCCGAAAGTTGTCCTCCGCACAAATCATCGATGTTTTCGGGAGCGGGACGTCTGGTGTAGGCTGTGAAGGCCATAGCTCAGCGCCAGCGAGGGATATCGAATCGGGATCGGAGGATGAATTGGAATCGTATGAGGGGAATTTGTTGTTTGCATCTGCTGGCCAGGAAAACGGTAAGTGTATAGTATCCTGCAAGGAGTAATCTTCGTTCTCCACTCGCTGAGCTTGGACGTTATGAAGTAAATCTTGGACGATAGACGTATTCGCGTACGTTCCATCGTGATACACCCAATTAGATATCTGCAGCCCATCCATGAGACGGACGATATCATTTCGTCTATCTGTCCGGTGCGGAAGAGAAATAACATAAGTTTTGGAAATAAAGCCTAGATCCAAAGAGGGCTTTGGCGGAGTATATGCCGAGGTAAAATTGTAGAAAGTAGAAAGGGTAGAGAAATGTCCAAGTTCTTGCGATGTGTAAAGGTAGAGAACGAATGTGGTCAAAACAAGGACAGGGGTGAGCACCAAAAGCCGGCGGAACGTTGCTGTCATCGTGAAGGTCTGGAAAAAGTGTGCAACGACAAAGTTCCATTCACTCTTACTGAGTACATACTTAGGGATGTACAGTCTATATATAAGAATGGCATAGCAACGATGTATGTATATACATACAACAATTCCACCCGTACCAGCCCGTACACACCTTGAGAACCCTTGTCTGCGATTCCAGGTCCTCCTTAGTCTTTCGCCTTTAGATTCAAGTGAAGCAGCAGATCGTTCAACCGAGTAATCATCGTCTCTGTAATTCGATGATGTCTATAGGCTAACGTCAAAGTACTGAAGTACGCTCTCGAATCACCATTCACAACGGTGCGAGATTCTACCATGTCGACGATGCAGTTTTCACAGCCTTTCGGGATGACTTCGAAATCCACCAGATGCAACGATTCGAGTTTTGAGATTATAGGCTTATGTCCTTCCGAGTCGCAAAGAAGGAGTCCGTGCATCAGCAGTTTCGTGTTGAGATTACAGTCATTGAGCTTCAGGTGTTTGAGAGTCGGCAGAACGACAAGGACAGAAAGGATGTCCTTTGTACACATCAACCGCACGCGGATCAATTCCAGCGTCGATAACGAGGAAGAGGATCTCGTGTTCAGGGCGATGAGATGCTGGGAGAACGAGTCAGAAGGATCATCCCCGCCATAGTCGCTGTGATCGATACGGAGGGTAACAAGAGAAGGGACAGTGATATGTTGGATAAACCGCGCCTCGTTCTCTTCCTGCCACTGTTCCAGACAGAGAACCTTCAGGGCGGGAAAAACCATAGTTCCGGAAATCTTGAGCAATGCGTCACATAGCCATGCAGGACATCGTACGAACCGGCACTCGACTACCGTATGCTGGCAATTACGGAGTAATTCAAAGTAGGAGCGAGCATCAGCCAGAGAGTAGTAGTCGCCAGGGTCACGAAGTTCAAGATGTAAAGAGTGTAGCTGTTTCAAAGGAAGGGGAATCATGAATACGGTTTGAGCCAAGAAAGAGCTATTGCTGTATGCTGAACAAGACAGGTTCAATTTGACGGTGCGTAATTGAAGCGCATTGAGAAACGTTGTAAATCGACGACATTGAGGGAAACTTGGTATAACATCACTGAATTCTGATTTGTTTGCATTCTGAAGAAGAGTCAAGTCGATCTTGTTCAAAACGGTAAAAGCCAGTTGTTTGTCGAGGAATGAAAGAAGACATTGGAGAGGTAGGGCTAAACACAATGACTGCAAGCGATTGCAAAACGGAACCAGTCGATTTAGGAGATTTTGAGGAGCAAGAGAACTGTTTGGATGCCACTGTGCAATCAAGATATGCAAAGGAAGTGATCCACTGCGCCCGAGCCAAGAGTCCACCATCATTGCATCGATATCATCTGAAGAGATCCCACCTTTTGGGCTCAACAAGATCCGGAGTTCGCACCAAAGTCTAGGCGTCCCAAAAGCGACTTGCCTCCATGTCGAACAGATTTGTGATAAGAGCAATTGTGGTTTCAAGCTTTTTCTGGACGGGATAGGTCTAGGCCTCTTGATAGCGAGAGAACAGTATTCGGAAAAAATGTTGGACAAAAGCTCAAAGGGTAATTGGCGAACTGGTGCAAGAATATTATACATAAACGCAAGATTTTGTCTTTTCTTTTTGAGTTGGCGTTTGAGTTGCGAAAGTTGAATCTCTAGACGCGCCAATTCTATCTCGATTGAGGATATTCGTGTTTTGAGGAACGAAGTGTCGTCGGGAGAGAGATAGAGTGGAATTGCTTCGATACGAGGTTGGAGGAGGTACTGGGCCATGGACTGAGTCCGGAGTCCGTATTTGATCAGTCTACCGATTAGCACGAGCTGGTACTGAATAAAGAGACCATTCACCTATGTATGCTCGAAATCCTTTGGACAATGTTTGGAGTAAAGAGTCAAAAATATCGATTCGAATTTTTCTTATGTAAGTACTGTGATACCGAACTTCCTTTTTAGGAATTGGCTGCGACTAGGATTCCTCACAGATAAACTACAAAAAACTCGTCCTAATCGAACACATCCGTGGCAAAACGTCCTTTCAGCACCGATTCTAATTTTTTCACGGCTTGGGATTGGTCCAAATCGGGTCGCAGGGATCGTAAAATCTCTACCGATTGCTTTCTGACTGCTTTCGCTATCTGGTTCGAACCACAAATAAAAGACTGGACCACAAATTGAATGACACTCTTATATAAGATAGGGAAAAGGCTTACATGAGCTTTATCATTGAAGGCGGCCACAACGTCCTCTTTGTCAGCCCATAATCGACTGAAAGCGTTTGAGTTGGCTAACAGTTTTAAGAAAGAAATGTTAATGCCGTACTCTTGAATATACTTGCATCCCTTCGAACGTTCTGGAACCCTCGAAAACGCAGGACGAATATCAACCACGCCGAGCTTTGACCATTCCGCAAGGTCGTCCGTTGAATAAAGATAGTCTCCCTCGGGATCACGGCAGCCAAAGAAAAGCAATATCTTCCCAACTTTTCGACCAGATATTTTTTGCAAGGCTCGCTCCTAATGGGGCATTTGCGTGAGCTTAATAAATAAAGTAAGTTGTACAGCATTATACATACCTGTATGAACCCTCTCAGTGGAGCCAGCCCTGAGCCCGCGCAATACGCGAGGAGCGGTATCTCGAGATCCTCTGGTAGTCTGAAAGCAGCGGCAGAAGCACGCACAGACATCTGCACCCGATCTCCCGGAACGAGCTCTGACAAATAATTAGACGCAACACCAAGGAACGTCTTTCCTTCTCCGGACAACGATTCAGCTTCAAGCACGCTCACAGTAAGCGTGACATGCTCAGCATTCCATAACGGAGAAGAGGAGATTGAGTATTGTCTTATTCGCATGGGTGGAAGCATACGGAGGTAGGTGGCAAGATCGAGACTGATTCCGTTGGGGTGTTTTTCTAAAAGGTCCAAGACACAGATTCTGCGAGAGAGAACAGTCTTTTGATAGGACTCTTGAAGCTCGACTAATTGCGCCCGGACGGCGTCGTCGGTTGTCGCATCGATCAAAGTGCGCAGATCTTGAGCGGTAGCTGGCTGTGAAAGCTCGACGTAGCCACTCAAAACTTCGGTCAGTGAGACAGGTTTGTCCACTGGAAGGAACGTTGGAGAGATGGAAGAAATCGTAACCTTAAGGTTACCGACTCAAGTTGGTACAGAACGTACAATGAGATAAATGACGGACATACACTTTGTTCATTGGAAAGGCCGAAATGCGCAAGAACTCTGCGAACGTTTCGAGGAGGATTCTGAGGCAAACTAAAGACAAAGAGCATAGGGTCAACGTTAGCGGGATACTCACAGAATCACTTACATTGCGAGATAGTCACCCGCTCGATATGTTGAACCTTCAGGCAACTTGAATTCGATATGCCTCTTAACGGGATGACCAGGGGCTGTCAGAACGCGATTTTCGATAACGCAACCCAGGGCCGCATCAGACTGACGCAAAGCAGCCGGTCTGTTAGCACCAGAGTCGATGTCAACTTTGAACCCGGAATCCATAGACTCAGAGTGTACAGTCGAGTAGACCTGACCAATCGAAAAGCCATATAAATGGAATTAAATAAGTAAGCGAGCTTGTCCTCACCTTCGTTAAGGTCGCCCACAGGTTCCTTGTGAACTGGTCGAATATATCGAAGAAATCTCCTTTACTGCTGTCTCCTGCGCCTCGAGGAAGGAGACATTCTCCACCACTTTGTTGTAGCTTTTCGTCGATCAGCGTAGGTACTCGCTGGTATGTCTGGGTCCAATCGCTATTTCCGCAACCGAAAACTGCATAACGGACGCCTCGAAGCTCGCTACCTTGGAGAGTCGATATCCAGTCAACAAAACGGGCAGCATTATCCGCAGGTTGACCTGCGAATCCAAGGACACTATCAATATGAGTAGATTCCGACATTGGTAATGTATATACCTTCATATGAAGCAGTACAAATGATTGTTGGGCCATCGGTAAGGAGGTGGCCAGTTGCCGAATCAAGGCTACCAAGTCTGGGTGCAAACCCTACATTACGACTTCAGTTCTCTCCCCGATGATTCCAGAAGCCTACACACCATAACTCGGAGCATCATTCGCGATTCTTTGTGAGAAAGCTTCCGAGGTTCCAGTATTTGACCCATAGAAAATATACATAGGACGTCTCGCTTCGGTTTTGAATACAGCAGCAACAGAAAGAGCGGTACTATTCTGCGAAACTTGTTTGAGAATAGATGCAGTTGGGTAGAAATGGGGAGCTTGATGACGGAGCTTGGCACGTATAAATAGATCTTTTGGTTTGACAGTAAGCGCTTGCTTCAATTCTAGATTATAAGTTGGGTCCACAAAAGACAGATCGAATTTTTGCAGAATTGAAGCCATTACAAGGCTGACTTCCTGCCATGCAAAAGGCCGACCTATGCATCCTCTCATTCCGAATCCAAACTAACCAAAGATCTTCATTAAATCCACCATTGATGAGAAACTGAAAACGTACTGGTTGCCAGGACTGGGGCTGAACAAAGGTTTAGCTTGACAATAAATATCTCCACGAAACCTAAAAGCTCACCGGAAGTGCTTCGAATTTCCCGTCTAACATTCTTTCAGGGCGAAACTCTTGAGCCTTGAGAAGGATGGAGTCCAAGTAATGACTTCACAGGCAAACAGCTATACACGGGGACTTACATCTTCTCCCCAAACCTTGGGATCCTTCTGATACACCCACGTGTTGACTATCAAAGACGAACCCGCCTTGACAAAATATTTCCCCTTGGCAAGATAAGTGTCTTCTAATGACTTTACCATCCGCATAGGAGCGGTAGGAGCGAGACGAAGCGTTTCTCGGATTACCGCTGCTCGCAGGTTGATTAAACATTGGATATTATCTTAAATCACGACTTACCGGTGAGATAAGGCATCTTGCTCAAGTCCTGGTATTGAACAGGCTGTCCACCAAGGACTTCGTCGACCTCCGCTTGCAATTTGCGCATTGTTTCGGGATTTTTGATGAGGTAGTAAGTCATGAAACTCATAAGGCCTAATACGGGACTGAGAGGGTGGGGGATATCATCGAATGCCCTATCGCGTACCTGAAGAGGTTTCATGACCTGAGGATTGCACATATGTAATCAGCCAAGAAGTCAGTGTAAATCAAACAAAGCCACCAAGTTACCTGCTATCAAAAAAGTGAGGAGCTGGACACAAGCTCATTAAGCATCAAGCTGACAACCCAAATTCTGAAAGTTAATGCTCATACATTCTTCACTATCGCATCATCGCTCAAGCCCTGCCCCGTTTTGGGATCTTTTGAATAAAGCATAGTGTCAAGCAAGTCTTTCTTCTCGATAGGATTTTCTCTTCGATCGTTAAGAACTGTCAAGAGTTGCTGAGTCACATTTGAACAACGTTATGATATAGGATGCTTACTACGAGTCGCAACATCCGTCATAAATTTTGCGTCGCTTTCCCACTTCGCTGTGGTACCCGACATCAAGGCTTGCATAAAACTTGGACGGGTAGAGCGAATATAACATTCTTTCAAGAAATCAGTCATAGCTGCGGCGAAGGCGGGCTGATTCTCCTATAGATTCCTTGTTGAGCATGATGATCGAGCGATAGAAGTATGACGCACAGTGTAAAAGGAATTCAATCTAGAGAACAAAATCAGTTCCATTTTCTGATTTGACGAAGATAATCAATTCACCGATATGACATAGAGCATAGAGCGATAGTATCGAGAGCCACTCTAGTAAGATCGTCTGATGGGTCAATAACATGGTCGGGTCCGAAGCTCATCAAAGAGATTGAGGATACAGAGAAAATGAAATTGTGGTGTCCCGGCGTACCGTTCCCACTGCAAAGAAAGATCAGAACGGGGTCGGAGCAGCAATAAGAGGTCTGACTTTGAGAAGAAGTTGACTACAGATATCGCGCATGTCTTCCATCATATCTCGAATGGCCATGGTATTGAATGCAGGCAACAAAAGTCGATCTATAGAACAGCATAAAAAACGGCAGAGTAATCGATTCACAGTAACACGTACGTGCTATCGCCCAGTTAGGTTCATCTTCATAGGCCTTATATATCAGGGTGAATTCAAATTTTTTACAAACTCAAACATAAGACGCACAGTGAATAGACCATCACCTGAAAGATACCGTACTTCATTCAGCGACCCTACCACGCCTTTCCGAAACGCAGCGTCGTTAGAAACTTCATTCGCAAGTTCTTGCGTGTTCAAGAATATGAGCTTGCGGCCTATGGAACTATTCAGCACAAAGAGAAAAACTGGGAAAAATGACATCGTTCTTTCGTACCAAGAATGTCAATGAGATATATTTCTCCATATTGTTGAGCTAAAAGGGTGAAGCCTTGGATAGGCAACTCTCTGTCAAGATGTGCGACATTGCCAATAAAAGGTAGGGTCGGCGGTTGTGGTATTTTGGATTGGGCAGACATAGTGGTGGCAGAGCGACCGTACTAACTCCAAATCGTCCAATTTATCATGATTCGTTGCTTTGCGAGGCTTCCAATCAGTAAATCCATCGATCTTCTTTGCCACGCCAGAATCAGAAGTAGTGACACTTAGAAGTCAATGGCATGAGCACGTTAAGCGAGTATGCATGAGGAAACCAGCTGGCCATGGTACTGGCCGGTACTCTTGTAGTAGCACAACGCGAGACGACACGGTGGTAAACAGGCGACTTTATTATGAGAATTACAAAAAATTTTGATCGTACTACCAATGACCGACGCAACAACTTATTATCATTGAATAGGACGTACCCCAATTAAAACCACGTTTCCCAATGCCTTAGTGCAAAATACAAGCAAAGACCTGCAAGACGCCCAATCACGTATGTCCTTTTCGAATGGTATCCAGCATCTCTGTTGACCGTCAGAATCAACGATCCAGCCGTCCTGAAAAAATGCATCAGTGCGAGGTATTTCATTGACTTGCTCAAGTCCGCGCTCAATGTCAAAGGCACCGGCAGTGGAGATGATATATTTTTTGTCCTGGGTGAACGACAATAGTAGCGGAGGTCTTCCAACCACAGATATTCGTTGGGTGTGTTTGATGCAAATCGAAGATTCGTTGTAGGCGAGAGTATAGACGGCCAACCGTGTGTTTGTTCGAGAGCTGATGGCGAACAAATATCCTTCCTGTGATAACGATATGGATTGTATATCTTCGTCAGGCGAGTAATCCCGGCTGTCAAGCTCAAACTCTGCCAGAAGTTTCCAGGTAGCCATTTGCCATACTTGCGCGAATGTAGGTCGTGCATCAGCCTTCATAATACACAGGAATAATGAAGAATCCCCAGAAAATACACATTGGGAAAAAGAATAACTATAGGATTCGGGGAGAGATTGAACTGGTAGCCTTTGTGCGAGCTCGTTGCTTCCAAGGTCCGAACCAGTACTTCTGATGTACACTCTCTCCGGTGAGATAGAGGCAACGAATTTCCCATCCAGACTGAAAGCAACAAATTTCACTGCACTAGGATGACGTTCCCTTTTCCAGTATCGCGACACGTTTGTCATGCTGGAGTCCCAGATAGTGACTGTACCATTACTGGATCCTGTAGCTATCTTGCCACTACAGGACATGGCCAATGCAGTTACGGGCATCTGAACCGATATAGGCGCCTCCATGATTCGCATGTCAAACAATGCCGTCCTGGAACCGGGACATATATGAGCACAATGGAGATATTTCCCGTCCTTTGAGAACACAACGGAAGAAACGGTCCGTTTCTGTTCGTTCTGGAGCCTCATTAATGGTTGTTCATCTCCTAATTTCCAAGCCCACAAAAATGACTGTCCGGTGGCAGCAAGATACCGCCCTACTGGGCTGAGTGCTAGGGCGGAAATTTGGTGAGAAACTGGGAGGACGATGGAGGGAGACATTTTTAACGCGGTACCCTCAAGGATATGGGTAAAAAGTGATATCCCAGTATCACTAGCGATAGCAAGTGTGTCGCCGTCGGAAGAGAATGTAGCGCAACGAGGTGATTCAGCAAAATTCAAATCCAGAGTTCTAGTTGAGCCCCCCGCCGGTAACTTCTTCAAATGAAGCCCGACTAGAATGTGATGCGAGGAAAGAGCGAGCAATCTGTTCTGAGGATTTTGATCTCTGCGACATTGTATAATAAGTCTCTCCTTCCATGTTCGAGCTTCCCAGACTTTCACCTTAGACGAAGTCAAGAGTGCGACCAGACTGGGAGTTCCGCGTTCAGAATGAAACACCAATATAGGAAGCATCTTAGACCCAGTTGCTTGGTATTGCTGCAGTAAGGTTTTCTCGATTTTCTTCGATATGACATTCCAAAGGTGAACCTCCACGTAACTGGAACGAGATAACGTTGTGACGAGGATATTATCCTTTCCAACAAACAATGCGTCAATATATGACTGCGAGCCGGAATCATCCAGAAACACCTCAAATGTGTCCTTAGCGTTTTCTCCAATCTCTATACGGTCTTTTTTCACGACCGCGACTCGAGACGCATCTTGCGAAAGCTTGATCTTCAAAGGTTCTTGGACATTATCAATGCTGGGCTCAATCGTGATCAATTGTCTTCGATGGCAAGTCACTTCAGCCACCGTGACGGATGCTTCAACATGACGGTATAGTTCCGCTACTCGCCTGCCAGAGGGCGTCCAAGGAAGAAGAAAACTGTGGTAGACTTGATGTGGCGATGACTCTATGGCCGTACGAAACAACTTGAATGACTTTAACGCATCGGAAACTGTGCCTTCCAAAGATGAATGATCACCCAACCCCGAGTCACAATTATCCTGCCACACCTGATGAGATTCAAATTTGCACTCTTTCAATCGGAAAGAAACACTACCTCAATCCATTTCAACAGGACATTGAGAGCCGAAGCAATACGATCCATTTCACCCAGTGCTGCTAACACTTCAAGCCAATGGAGTAGATGTGCATGGAAGAACTCTTGTAAGATAAAGAAAAGAGATTGTCTCTCCTCCTGCGCCGTCAACATATTTATCATGACCAGATGTTCGGGCCAATAACGACAAGCATAAGATAGATCCGGAGTGATTTTACTGTCTTGCCTTGGAGACTGTCTAGTGGTATTCGCATGAAGTCGGAAACCTCCCGGGCCAGAGATATGCCGATGCAGATATTTATTCATAAGACATAATAGAAGTCGAGTGATATATAAGTGCATGCAATCTTGCAGTGAACCGTCTGGTTGGGCCAATTGGCCGGATTTTAAATGATCCTGGAACGATGAGTGAAGAATGAGCACAGTCTCATCCTTGACACTGAGTATGTTCTCGGGAAAGCCGGAGAAAAAACCTCGCAGCTCGTCAATGGGAATGCCTAACAAGGGTGCTAGTTCGATCAAGCTTAAGGAGTCCTGTCCAAAAGCGACCATGACCAAGGCAGCATACAGACCGCGGCGCTGAATGGGATCACCAGAATCATCATTGGAATCGACGACGGACAACGCCCGCTCTATGACGGACTCATAAATCTTGTTCGTCCCGCGCGAAAGCAGATCCTTGAAACTATCCGCCTGTTTCGAAGAATTTCCGAACGGGCCGATAAGTTCTTGACATGCGGTCAAAGCAACGAAGAACGAGCAGTTGGCATTGTTGATGACATTCTGTAACGAGATTATGTCCTTTTGGCCGAATCCCCTTGTTTTGAGCTCTACAGCAAGCAAAAGACGTAGATCGTGGCGCAATTCAGGCAAGCTGACGTCCTCGTCTAGTGAAAAGCAACGATATCCTGAAGGGTTTTCGGAAACCTTCAAGAAAAGCTGTTCGAAAATTGGAGAATTGGAGCGGGAACTGATGAGGACCTTCAATGCGGTCACTCTACTAACGTTAATGAGCAGAGTATTGAGCACTTCGAAGGCATGGTCCAAGAGACCTTTGCACTCATCCAGTCCGTCAATGACAAGCAACGTAGTCCCGTTGACACTACCCAGAGGACTGATCAAAAGCTTCTCGAACTGTGTCTCCCCGGAGCCACTAGTGGGATCTTGCTGTCCGAGCATAGGCTCCAGAATGGAGTAAATGGTATCATCGCATTGGCAAAGCTGGCCCGCGAGGGTTGGAAATATGTACTTCGGATTACTCGCTTTATCGAATGTGCTCGAGCAGAAAAACCCGGCGAAACGAATATCAGTACCGATTCCTAGTATCTCCTGGAAGACAGTGACAGCTATGGTAGACTTTCCGGAACCAGATTGCCCCGATAGACAGAACACCTGTGGCGATGTATCCGTTTTAAGCCAATCTTCAATGCTCTTGAGCACGCTAGATCTTGTTCCTGAATAGCAGGCTTTCCGACCGAAGCTGTCAGGTAAAGCGTCCTGGGCCTCTATGAGTTTGTCGCGAACCACTATAAAATCATAATAAAATCATTTGTCAATTTCGTGCTGAATCAAAAGCGTCGTGACATACACTGTCGACGGATAGCCTAGGAATCGAGAAGTCAAACTCAGACAAACATGAAATAGAATACAATCTGGTACATGCACTTACATCTACTTGGGGCGTGATTGTCTATAATTTTAGTGAGCGAGCTTCGTTTAGAGACACGGGTACTACGGAATAACTCACGTCCAAGTTGATCTTGCTTTCCTGGGAAGTATATGATTAAGAACCTCCATTGAAGGAATTTTGACGAGGTGACACTTACCATCGTTACCCTCAAAGTCATACGATGAATTTGCATCTATCCAAAGAACGAACATCCCATTAATTATGCTCAAGGAAGTGATACTTCTGTATGCTTACCATGATATCAGCAAACATACTGTTAACCCTCCTTGCCAATTCTGCGATGACTTTCGCATCATGAGCCGCAGAGAGGAATCTCGCCAACACCGAAGGCTTCTTAACTTTATCGATTTCTGCGTTAATATCATCGGTTATAATCGCAATATCTCTGAAAACAGTTGTATGACAAGGCTTGAAAGTTGTTTTCGGGGCTGCGAAGTTCGGTAATGACTCACGGTGCTAGATTGATGGTCAGAAACTCTTTAAAACTTTCCGGTATATCGTCTTTGATAGGTTCAATGTATTTTCTTAGGCGTTCAAGATTTTGATGAAGATCATCGATGTCGGCGTTGTTATCAGTGAGTTTCTAGACCGAAGTTCAACATGTAGGAGGTAAGTTTCCCGAATTTTGAGTGTACCTCATATTGCCCAAATAGAACCTGCAGGCCACCGACCACTGCCCCAAGACCAGTGAAAGGAACATCGCCTGACACACATTGGAGGACATCTAGGAGAAGCTTTGCACTTCCTGAGAGGGTTCTTGGGGTTGATCGAGGCTTCAGGGGCGATTGAGGTTGTTGCGGCAACTGGGTATCAGGATCGTTCACAGCAGTGTCTATGTCAAGCTTGAGAAGTCAGGAAAAAAAGGTGAGAAGGAACATAGCGGCTCGCCTGTGACATCAATAGCAGCAATCTTCTTTCGAGAGCTAAAGCTCCTGATCAGAGTTGTAACTTTTCGGACAAGCCCAGCCATTACAAGTTCAAGATTGACGTTTTGAAGGATATCGATTAAAGACAACCAAGGCAAACCTGGGCCAAGCTTTGTATTGTTGTAAATTGGTCGAAAAAGCATTTGGCACAAAGCGTAATAAGCGCGCTGCGGCGTTACACGTTGAGAGAAGCCCTGTGAAACATCCCCGTCCAAACACTTAATCTGATCTATCCAAATCTTTGAGTCCGACATAGGATGAGGTAGCGAGGAGAATGTGTGCCGCATGTAAGATTTAAAGGCCGACAGTCTAAGACCATCCAAACCTGTGGCATGAGGCAAAACCTGGGCAAAATGGCAGCCTTTCAACGCCACTGGGTACCGCCAGTTGTTTTGCTTCGAGAATTACATCGAAGAACATCCAAAGCGGGTTCGAAACCAGCTCAATGAAATCATTTAACGCTCGCGAAGTGCAAATCCAGTCAAGAATTAGAGGCACAAGATTTAGAGTAGACAGTGGGAGTCGGAAGGCAAGAGGAGGAATATAAGCGCTCGAACTTCCCATTCATGATCATCAACTATCATGCCAGGGGAATTTTGAAAAGTGTTCAAAAAAAACTACGACGGAATGCCTTCATTGTTGTTGGATCATCGGCTTTATACTGACAACATGGCATATCAGGAATCAGGATGCCTTTGGAAACGGAAGAGTTGATGGAAGGACTTTATGATACACCATGCATAATTGACCCTCGCTACAAGGGCACATGGTGTAGTTGGTTATCACATCCGCTTAGCATGCGGGGGGTGCTGGGTTCAATTCCCAGTGTGTCCAGTTGTGGGGTAGTGCCGCGATGTCCTGCATTAGGTATTATTTTTTCCCAATTGTTCCGCATCTATGCATCCCATGGTTTGAGATATACAAATACATCTACCTAGCTAGCACTTTCACTAGCACTAGCGAACCCCTCCGGGGCACGATAAACCTTGCTTGCATTCACAATCAAACAGTTGACTGTATGTCCAAAGGTTGTATGGCTCACCTCTTTCAAGATAATAACAAAGGGTAAACTAGTGCATGAGTGGATGAACAAGGATTAGAAGAAATATGTCTATACAATGGATCGGAGAAGTGCAATTGAGAAACGAAAGGAAAATTCAAAAGTGAGATTAAAGCGCCTAGCGTCACGCGTGTGAAAAAATGCACGGTTGGTAAAGACGGGGTGGCAAAGGACCTAGCAAGCAAGGTGATATCAGCTTGAATACAAGTAAGGGACTAATTACGACAAGCATTAGCAGTCAAGTGTGTAATAATAACGCAAAGATAGTAGAAGGGGGACAGGATGGGGTAGCGGAGGACTATGGATAACTCGATAACCCCTCATGTGATCACGTTGCTTTTACGGATCTACATACCCCGGAATTGGTCAATTTTGTAATCTGTAGGTAGATTTTGAACTTGTACTTGTTTGCGAAAGATATGTATCATACGTAGCTGCTTGCAAGGAGAGAGATTTCTGACAACTTTCTGGTTGATATGCACCGAAATGTTCGCAATGCAACATAATGTAACAAATTTTCGGATCCAGGTACATACAAAACCATATATACTGGGTGGTAGTAAGAGTCGATAGATTCCTGAGAAAAGGGAGAGGAAAGGCAAAAGAAATGGATAAAGGGACTAACACCGGTTTACCAACATTACTATGATATGGATGAAAGGCCGACTGAGAAGACCGGAGACAGAATAAGAATGCAAGAGCAAGGTTAGAAGGTCAATATAGTAACCCGTGCAGGCCAAAGAAAGAAGATAGAGAGAAAGATTGGCGAAGATGGAGAACTATCCAGGCAAGATCAAGTAGGGTGTAGGAATGTGTACATGACAGAGAGAAGGGGTGCTAGAGACGATCTAGGTATGTATATGATATGTCTTATATGTTGCATATGAAAAAGAATCGGGGTCATCGTGCATTCAGACCAGGCAAGGGCAGGTTGAGTATGTATATAGATGCTGCGAGTGGGTCAGGGAGTCATATGATGAGTCGATGTGGAAAGGAATGAGATGTTGTGGTTGACGCAATAGTATATGATTAGATAGAGCAAATAGGGGACAAGACGTGCTGATACAAAAAGACATACGATGTATGTGAGTACAGATTTAGGAGAAGAAAACCCGTACCCGTACCTCGAGAAATTAAGAGTGCCATCACCGGATTAACTTCCCATAATCCAGCCGACTGTCCTTCTCTCTCTCACTAGACTCTTTCTTCGGAAAGGCATTCCAGAACCTTAGCGTCTCGTCACCAGCACCGGTGACAATTGTTTCGCCGTCCGGACTCATGGCTAGATAAAGCACTCGATTAGTGTGCCCGGTTAAAGAAGCAACCATGTTCAGAGTTGGATATTTCCATATACATATCTGATTTTGAGCGGTCGTAGAAGAGAAACCATGAGTAGAGACAAGTTCATGCGAAGTCAATGACCAAATCAGGTTACAAACCTATGAAGAAAGATCATACGTAAGTACGGAGCAACATCCCGAAACTAAGAAACGGACCTGGCTTCCTGTGTCGAGCTCGTTGAGCATGGTTCCTGTCCCAGTATTCCAGAAACGGATATGCTTATCCTGCGTTCCGCCTCCAGTGGCAAGGACGCCTGAAACGTGTGGGTCCCATGCCAGTGCTTTGACTGCTGCGGTATGCTCGTGAAACTTCCATAGCGGTATATCGCCCGCGCCAGCATCATCACCACTTGACGTTCCCGGGACCGGCCTTCCTGCATTTGGTAACCCGGCTGCAGCACGCCTGGACCCTCGCAAGTCCCATATGCACACCTTGTTGTCGTTACCCCCACTGGCAAGATTCGCAGACGATGGGCCTCCATCACCGCTCCACTTGAGACCGCAGACTTCCTGCTTGTGTCCTTGGCATCTTTTGAACGGTCTCGTGTCTGCTTCACGTACATCACGGTGATGAACCATCCGATCACGCGAGCCAGAGGAGAGAATGTGCGCATTCCAGGCTATGGCACCGATACGTTGACCGTGGGCTTGGGGATATGTACGTATAAGTTGCAGGGTGGAGGCATCGTATACATGTAATGTCCCTGAGAGGGTGCCAACAGCAAGAGTTGAGCCCTGTTAAGTTAGTTGGAGCTCATTATTGTCATTATCCAGGTAGACAATAACATACCTTCTGTACCCAGGATACCGAGCTGATGGTGTCCCGCGATTCCGCCAAGTCGCATAGTTTGGAGACGGCGGCATTATGAGCGGTCCAGAGATATACACATGACCCAAGTCCAACGCCGAGAACATTAGTGCTCGACCAGTCCACAAGATTAAGATAGAAATCTTCTGCGAGTTCCGGTGCATCGAGAACACGGTAGGGTGTCTTACAAACACTCCTGAGCTGTCGGCGAGGGCTTTCGAGTAACTGCCGACTCTGAGCTCGTACAGGACTCATCGAATAGGCTTCATCAGTGGGTGTGTCGAGGCGGCGAGAAGGAGTGCTGGGATTAGAACGAGAAGGGGAACTATAAGCGAATAGACGCCGTCGAGTGGGAGTAGAAGGAGGAGCAGCAGAAGTGGAAGCAACAGGTGGTCGAGTGGGAGAAGATGGTCGATGGGGAGATGGGGGAGTGACTTCTGTGTGAAGTATAGAAGAGAATAAAGCATTTGCTTGTTCTGCAAAGCGATTAATAAACTTTTAGTAGATTCGAAATAAAATACAAACCTTTCAGGGCGTCGGACTCTGAGGGAATGATTCTGTTCTTCTTGGACGGTGTAGAGAGTTCTTGTTCCATAAGGTGATAGGATGTACGCATATCTCCTGTATCCCTCGATGGCACAAATCTGTCTCCATAATCTCTGGTAACTCGCGGTGCATCGACTGGCGAATCCGGTCCGCCGCTGCTGTCGCTGCTTGTTGTGGGTCGTGAATCGAGCGAGGGGGTCGCGGAGCCAGCTGGAGAAACGCCAAAAACTGAATTTATTCGTGGCCGATTCCGCCTAGGCGTACTATCATCAGTTTCCTGTTGTGATGCGCGCAAGCGCTTGCCGAAAGGCGAATTTTTCAATCCAGACATGATTTGGCTGTTTGGGATTCGTTGTGGGTAGGAAATGTGATTGTCAAGCGTTGGGGTGGGTTTACAGCAGAATTTAAAGCTAGAGGGAAAGCATAGAGGATCTTAAGGATGTGGATTAAAGTCAAGTCGCGTCGCCGACAAGTCACAACAACCCAAATCACGTGTTTGGTGCATCAATAAAGGACTTGAAAATTCGGAACCTATGCATCATAACAATTGTTTTGAGAAAAAGCAAGGATGAGAGAGGAAGGGCTACGATCTGGAAAACAGCGTTGGAATAACACCGCACCTCCCTGAGAGTATATACTTGATTCAGTGGCGTAGCCGTCCCGTCAATTGGAAATGCGGTCAAGCTGTCGATGAATTGTCGTTCAGTGATGATCATCAACGAAGAACAAAGGTCTCTTTGACCATGTGCAGATGTCCCACTCATAGAACAATGACCCGTATTCTCATTGCCAATTGTTCGACTTATATGGCAACGTCTCATCGCAGGTGCTAGACGTCGGAGCAGCAAGTTCACGCGCCGGAAAGGGTTTTCCAAGAGGTATATGTGCATTATGCAAGATTGACTTCTAGACGGATAACAATATCGCGTCTTCAGCATGTACATAAATTCTTTCAACATACATAGTGCCCTCAATAACTACCCCCTTCTTCGTAGTCTTCCTCCTCCTCGTCTCCTAACACACAAACTTTCAACGTCGATTCAGGACCTATACCTGCCTTGCCTACAGTGTCCTCATTGTCGCAATCATAGTGATGCGACACCATCTCACCAGTGAATTCATCAGGAAGCTCGACTACCAGTTGGAGTTTTGCTCTAAGACAAAACATGGTATATGAATAGAATAAAACACCCAGATGTGAAGAATTCAACTCACTGAATAGGGTCGAGACCAAAGTTCTTGCATGCTCCAGCAAGTACTTTGCGAACAGTGTGTTTCTTCTTGGTCATAAACTCACCATTCTGATCACGAGGACCCCAAATTCTGATTTTGAAACGCGGTTCGGGTTCGGCAGATGTTGAAGTCTGGGTTTGAGTTTGCGATTGGTTTTGACTCTGGGCAGAAGCGTTGGTATCCTGGGTCAATATTATGGGAGGCTGGCTATCTGTTATAGCGTCAATTCTAGCAAGCAATCCTGAGACGGAATTAGGAAACAAATGAGATTATACAACAAAATCCCATACTAGTATCTTTTGCGGGTGCAGTAGAATTTGACGGTTTAGCTAATTTCTCCTTCTTCACAGTAGCAGATATCTCCCCATCAATTTTCGATGCGGCACCTTTGTGACTCAATTTTTGCCCTTTAGAGGCTACGCAGTAATGATTAAGAAGATTATTGGTAGAGCTCAATTAGATACGAACATTCACCCAAAGTGTTTCCCTCTTCCTGTGAACTTTTTGATTGAAGAGCAAGTTCTTCCCATTCGCTAGAGCTACCCTTGGAGTTGGAGTGGGCAGACTTCGATTTCGAACCTGCAGGCTGAGGGGTAGCCGGTACTTCATCTTCATCAGCATCAACATTATGAACATGTCGTAAAATGGTGTTTGGAGTCTCCTGTGGCTTCGTAGTTTTCTTTTTCTTGGGTGAGGCGTACTCAACAGGCATATCATCATTGAAAAGGTCATGAGGATCAGTTCGGGTACTTGGACTAGGAGGCACAGGAATAGATTTTGGTTTCCCAGAGGAAGACGATGTAGATAGTGGCCGTGAGGAGTCTATAGTGGTTGGGGGCCCATTGAATGATGTGGATTTGGGTTTGATAGTTTCGCGACTGGAGGAAGGAGATACTACCGGGGTGTCTTTGGCTTTCATCTTCCCTTTGACATCGCCGCCATGTTCCAGACTTGTCTCTTCTGTATGAAGTTTAGACACGTTTGAAAACGCGGCATGAAAGATGCGCACCTCTAGCTCGAGATACAGCACCTACCTCGATAACGATTTCCAGTTCATCAATGTAGTCTTTCATGTGCTCGTACGCAGAATCGTCAATTTCAAAACGTTCTTCTGAGCGATTGCTGGTCGGTGCGCGCGACCGAAATATCGGCACACAATCATCTGGTATATTGAACTTCCGCCTCACTAGACGCACCAGGTCCTATTGGCTGTACATTGAAGGAGACGAACGGGATATGCTGTAACAACACTTACAGGATAGGCGTTAGGTGTGGCCATGAATTTTCGTTTCGTCCCAAGAGAGAAAATTGTGACAGGAACATCTGCTCCTGGGCCGGCATCATCGATAGCTTTCAGACGCATCTTATACAGACGATATGAGACCGTTGTACGAGAAGACTTTGACAATGTGACAGTGAATGTGACCGTCCGCGCGAAACTCCACGTGATGCACCCTACTTAGAGCCTTGAGCCAAATGTCTCAAGATTTCTAGGACTCTCCTCAAACCATCACGTACTCCGCTATTTCTTGCCCTTATAATGCTCGCGAAGCCTTCTAGCAACTCATCGCTCGCTTTTTCTCTTTGTGAAACCTCCTCTTTCGCTCAATCTATGTCTGAATGCACTCGCAAACGAAAGCGTCAAGCTGAAGACGACGACTTTGATCCCTTGAACCCTCAGAATCAAGACGATAAAAACAAAACTAGGAGGATCAACCCGTTTAGTGAGCTCTGCCTGCCTTCTCGATCTACTGCCGTCCACAATGTCATTCGCAGAGCTTGCTGAACGTCTACCTGATGGCCTTGTCAAGGAGATGGAAACTTTCATTAAACCTGGAGCGATTATGCCCAACTTCGACGTAAGGAAAGAGTTGCAGATTCGATATCAAGTCGATAGGCGGCATCTTTATGACTACTTTCATTCTCGCGGTGTGTGTTCTTCTTTCGGCATTGACACCTACGATGATTGAACATTTTCAGGTCTCCGCGTTGCGAAAGAGGATCGTCACAGCAATCTCACTAGAAGCAGAATCGCGAAGGCGAAAGCTCAAACAAATGGAGACGAAAGTGTCAAGGTATTTTGCGATCCGTGTATTTTTATGTGCTTACCCTCAGGCTTGCTGTATTGCATCTAGGAGAACGTGTCACAGAAATTTTACAAACCCATGAAGCTTCCGCCCGCCAAGCGATCCGCTCCCAAGCCGAAGATAGCTAGGAAAAGTTACAAGAAACCTGTTCTCATGTCTACAGTAGACAATCGTGTCTTTAGTCCCAGTCCTGCCGCATATAACCAAGAACCAGATGTTCAAGTGACTGCCAGCGCCGAGGAAGACCTCTCCCCCGAAAATGAAACCAATATTCTAGAGCCCGGTATCTCCTTCGACAGCGACGTCGATGCAGTCACTAACGCAGCTACACTGGCAGTAATGGAACAACAACCATGCTTTTACTCCGAAGACGCTTATGTTACCTCTGGTCCATCCACACCATCGCTCGTCGACGACTCTTCGTCTTGTAAGTCGCCATCCCCTTCACTCGAGGAAGAATCCTTCTCTGCTGCTGAGTTCGCTGCCGAGTTCCTCAATCTTCCTGAAGATCTTGATTGTCAAGACCAGTCGATGGACACCGTTTTCGACTGCTCTTTTGCTCCCTCTATCATTGGTGATTTAATGCGCCCTTCTGACCGGAAGAACATGTACGAACACATCGACACGAACATCGTTTCTAATGGCACAAGCTTTGCGTTGGACCTATCTGCTCTTGAACATGAAACATCAAGCCTCAATCCTCTCTTCGCAAATACAGCTTTACCATCTTTCTATCCGTCTTTGTCCCTCGCTTCTTACCTGAGTGCCTTACAGAACTTGTCTGCAGGCGCCGTACCTACATTTTCGACTTCTCTACCTGCTCCGATGCCTTCGTCTTCTACCTCGGAAGGATATTGCATCCCTTCTGCAGTACTGTCGAAATCAACGCGCGTCTTCACACCGCGCGATTTCTTAATTCCGGGTTTCCGACAAGTAGAAAGTGTTCCTTGTTCTGTTCCAGCAGTGCCTTTTACTGCGAACGCTTACTACCCTGTGTCATAGAATTAGCTTGAGTTGGTTTGAAACTGTGAAGCATCTAGGTTAGGCTTTCCTGGTCTCTTTTCATAAATTGTGCTAACGAAGATTTTCAAAGAACCTACGCTGAATTTTCTTGCCTTAGTCCATCCTTTCATCTTTTACTTCAGCCTCCCCCCTCGGACACCTCCAACCCCAGCCAGATATTTTGACGAAACCCCTCCTTCTCCATCTTATGAAAATCTCGTTCCCGGCCCGTCTTCTTCAGAATTCTGTATATGTACATAGACAGTTCTCTTGGTTTTTGTCTAGCGCATTTTCTTGATGATTGTTTTTCAGTGTCACCTTGTTCCTCTCGTTCCTCGAATCTCGCCATCCCTTGTCAATCATGAACCCGCGCCCTATCGTGATGTGCAGTAGGGTTTTTTCGTATCGTATGTATATGTACCTAACTTACACAAATCACTGTATACACACCTGAAGGAGAAAAAATTCCGCTCGACGGAATTACCAAAATTCAGTGCAACTGATATATCATGTGACCGGCGATATACCCGATATAGTTTATCCGCGGTCACATGATATATCAGTTACGCTGAATTGTTACGATTCCGTCGAGCGGAATTTTTTCTCTTTCCGGTGTGATAACTTTTACCGTTTGTTCCATGTATGTACAGCATCTGTTACAAGTACGCGTGTCCCTATAGGTATAGCTACATAGGCGGGCCGCGGAACTCGGTTGAATTTGAGTCATCACTCGTTTGTCACCGGATATCCGGCTCGGTCTACGCTGCAGATTCATTCTCGAAAGTTAACGAAGTCTGTTTCTAAACCTGGTGGACTGGCTGTGGACAGTCTCTACAGTATTCTAGCTTCCAAAAATGTTAATATCAAGGCCTATCAAGTGCTCGGCTACAGTAGTTTAGACATGAAAAATGGATTTTCGCGCAATCCGCATTCCGGGCTAAACAGGCTTAGACAAATGGCTCCCGCTTACGCAGGGCTGACAATCTCATCTCGTTTGCATGGGCCTATAAAGCAAATCAATTCCTCGATCGTTCCTTACAGCTTCCTTCCTTCCCGTACTCTAAAGGTCTCTCCTCTTAATCTATTGCAATGGATCCCTCCGCACTTAGGGATATACAAGAAGAAAAGCCTGGACAGACTACTCCCCTAGAACTACAATCTACTACTCACAGTCCACCCATGGCTTCTGCACATTTTTCAAGACCACGACGAGGCTCGTCGACATCTCACGTTTCGGTAGATCACTTTGACCCTCAAGGAGTCCGGGAGTTGCAGCGGACGTTGTCGATGATGTCTCAGCAGCAAGAAGGCAAACCACGATCGAACGCAGAGTCTTCGTCTAGAGATTCAAGCGCTACTCTTTCACCAGTTGAGGCTCCATTTGACTTCGAGAAGGCACTCAAGGACAGCATAAAGAGGTTGGTACTTTTCCGATTCTTCTCTACATTTTTTAATTTAGCATACTAGGAGAGAAGGAGCCAACATTCCATCACGGCATTTAGGTGTTGTTTTTGAAGATCTGACTGTCGTCGGTTTGGGTTCCGGAGCCTCGTATCAGGAAACTCTCGGCTCCACGATCAACCCGTTCAATATTCTCAAACAGATCCAGAGTGCCAGACACCCGCCAACACGGAAAATACTTTCTGGATTTGAGGGTGTCGTCAAACCAGGAGAAATGACCCGTGAGTTGCGCTATCAATCACATCTCATATTCCGTACTCATCAATCTCCCTAGTTGTTTTGGGTCGTCCTGGATCCGGCTGCTCTACCCTTCTCAAAACTCTTGCCAACCAGACCCAGGAATATCAATCTGTCCTTGGTTCTGTCCATTATGATTCTCTTTCACCCAAAGAAATCGAACAAGCTTTCCGTGGTGACGTCCAATACTGTCCAGAGGACGATGTGCATTTTCCCTCGCTGACTGTCGAAGATACATTGAGGTTTGCTGCCAAAACACGGGCGCCACACGCCCGTACTGGCGAGACTCGCACAGAGTACGTGAACGCTATTACCGAAATGTTGATGACAATATTTGGTCTCAAACATGCACGTCGTACTCCCGTTGGAGATGCCTCCATCCGAGGCGTTTCCGGTGGTGAGAAGAAGCGAGTTTCTATCGCTGAGGCTCTTGCTACTAGGATGCGTCTGGGATCATGGGACAAGTAAGTTTATTTGTGCTTGAAAGTGGAGTCTATATTTATCGTAACGCTCAGCTCTACTCGTGGTCTCGATTCGTCCACTGCACTCGAATTCGGCCGCGCTCTTCGTATAGCTACCGACATCGACCGTCTCACTACAATTGTTTCTATTTATCAAGCCGGAGAAACATTGTACAATCTCTTCGACAAGGTCTGCATCATTTACGAAGGTCGTATGGCGTACTTTGGTCCCGCCAATCAAGCAAGACAGTATTTTATCGACCTTGGATATGAACCAGCCAATAGACAAACCACCCCCGATTTTCTTGTCGCTGTCACGGATCCTCTTGGTCGAATTCCAAGACAGGTCGTGGCGAACCGGCCGAGGACCGCAGAAGAATTTGCTATGAGGTTCAAGGAGAGTCATTTAGGAATTGCGAATCGAAAGGAAATTGCGTCTTACAAACAGTCTGCGGTTTTGGGACATAAGTCAGAGAAAGCTGATGCCTACAGGAGTAGTGCCGCAATGGAGAAGGCTAAGCACACGAGGGCTCAGTCGTAAGTGGCGTTGCGAATTACATCTCATTTGTCGCTGCTCACCAATGTATTTCAGGCCATATCTCATCTCTCTGCCAATGCAGGCTCGTGCAGTCATGCAGCGTCGTGTTCAAATCCTCATCGGCAGCTCTCTGGCCACGATATTCAACCTTATGTCCTTCATCATCCAAGGTATCATCGTTGGAACCGTCTTCCTCAAAATTCCCGACTCGACTTCGGCCTATTTCTCTCGAGGAGGTGTTCTTTTCTTGTGGGTATCCAGTTTCAGTTGTTACCTTTGGGACTAATCATTCACTCAGTGCCCTGCTTTTCTGCGCCCTATCGTCAATGGCTGAGATTCCGTCATTATTCGCTCAACGTCCTATTCTCCATCGTCAAAAGCAGGCCGGCATGTATCACCCGTTCATAGAAAGCGTTGCGCTCACTCTGGTCGACATACCCATCACGCTCGTTAATACTATCATATTCGGTGTTTTAATCTATTTCATTGTGGGTCTGCAGCAAACCGCGGCGCAATTTTTGTACGTTCACTTGATACTGCCCTGCTCTCGAATTAATCTGGTTTCAATGTAGTATATTCTATCTGTTCTTGTTCACCATGACACTCACCATGAAGGCTTGGTTTCGCGCAATCGCTGCGATATTCAAGAGTGAAGCTACTGCTCAAGCAGTGGCCGGTCTCATTCTACTGGCATTAGTTATCTACACCGGTTATACGATTCCCAAATCTTCCATGATTGGAGCGTTAAGATGGATTTCGTACATTAACGTACGTCGTAGTGTTCTTTCCCCTCGCCTGATTTTCTTATCTTCTCCATAGCCACTTCGCTATGGTTTTGAAAGCGTCTTAACCAACGAATTCCATACCCTCGATGGCACATGCGCCTCACTCGTTCCTCAGGGGCCTGGTTACGAAAACGTCAGTTTGACCAATCAAGTGTGTACCGCAGTTGGATCTGTACCTGGTCAGGATACAGTCAACGGTAACACGTTTGTAAGCTTGTCCTATTCGTACTCCTTTAGCCATACTTGGATGAATTTCGGTATCCTTATCGCCTTCGGTGTCGCTTTCCTCTGTGCCCTATTCATCGCTTCCGAACTCAACACAACACTCTCCGAAGATACAACCCGTACTCTCTTCCAACGTGGCTCCAAGCCCTCTGCCATTGTCACTGAATCCGGTTCAGACGAGGAGAAAGGTCCCTCTGAGCATGTTACAGAAAATGTTTCGCAAGATGTGCAGGAAGCCTTGCACGATGCACCTGCGATGACCGAAATCTTCTCGTGGCAATCCGTCAACTATACGGTTCCAGTCTCTGATGGTCACAGAAAACTTTTGGATGATGTTTCTGGCTTTGTCGTTCCTGGAAAGCTGACTGCGCTCATGGGAGAATCAGGAGCAGGAAAGACCACATTGCTGAACGTTCTCGCTCAACGGGTCAGCACTGGTGTTGTTACTGGAGATATGTTCGTCAGTGGACAGCCGCTTCCCCGGGATTTCCAAGCGCAAACGTGAGTGTTCCAGCCGTAGAGGATGATAATTACTCAAAATTAATGGTCTTACAGTGGTTACTGTCAACAAATGGATACTCATGTTGGAACTGACACGGTTCGAGAAGCTCTTCTATTTTCTGCCAAACTCCGTCAACCGGCTTCGGTCCCATTAGCCGAGAAGGAGGCTTAGTGAGTTAACGTTTCTTTGATGTTATACATTCTGAACTGTTCGCATTAGCGTTGAAACCTGCTTGAAAATGTGCGGTCTTGAACACATGGCTGATGCTGTCGTTGGTACACTTGGAGTCGAGCATCGCAAACGTACTACTATTGCCGTAGAACTTGCTGCTAAACCGAAACTCTTGCTTTTCCTTGATGAACCGACCTCAGGATTAGACTCTCAGAGTGCTTGGGCTATCATGGACTTTTTGCGCTCGTTAGCCAAGAACGGACAAGCCATTCTGTGCACGTACGTATTCCTATTGAAAATTACCTTATAGTGTACTCACTTGCCCCATCTGCTTTCAGAATTCATCAGCCTTCTGCCGAATTGTTCCAAGTGTTTGACCGTCTGCTTTTGCTTCGCAAGGGAGGTCAAACAGTATACTTCGGTGATCTCGGTCATAATGCGACAACTCTCATCCAATATTTTGAGAGGAATGGCTCGCGTCATTGTCACCCTGAGGAGAATCCGTAAGTCTTCACTTATTTTCCACTCCTCAATTATTAACGCTTTTGCTCCAGTGCTGAATTCATGCTCGATGTGATTGGTGCTGGTGCTACTGCCACTACCGACCGCGACTGGCACGAAATATGGCGGAAAACTCCTGAGGCCAAGGTCGTTCAGGACTCGATTCAACAAATATACGAAGATGGAAAGAATAGACCTCCAGTTGCCGCCACCTATCATTCGGAATTTGCAACGGGATGGCTGAATCAATTTGGCCAGCTTGTTAAAAGAGATATGCTTTTCAGATGGAGAGATCCCACGTACCTTCTCGCGAAACTTGTTCTGAACATCTTCGGTGGTCTTTTCATCGGTTTCACTTTCTTCAAGGCGAAAGACTCTCAACAGGGTACTCAGAACAAGCTTTTCGTAAGTTTTTTTCGCCCTTGCACTCCAACAAAAAAAAAAAACTCATCATCGCTCCGTTCGCAGGCGATTTACATGGGGACTATCATCTCGGTTCCGGTTGCCAACCAGCTTCAAGTTCCTTTCATAAATATGCGCAAGATATATGAAATCAGGGAACGACCCAGTCGAATGTATTCCTGGACTTCATTGGTCACGGCACAGATGGTTGCAGAAATTCCTTGGAACATGCTTGGATCCTCGCTGTTCTTCTTTTGCTGGTATTGGACCGTTGGATTTCCCTCCGCCCGCGCTGGATATACATACCTTCTTCTTGGTGTCATCTTCCCCTTCTACTATGTCTCTTTCGCCGATGCTGTTGCGGCTATGGCACCTAGCGCTGAGATCGCCGCTTTGTTGTTCAGTTTGTTGTTCTCTTTCGTTTTGACCTTGTAAGCCGAGGTCTATTCATTATTGTCACCTCAATCTCACTTAATTTGATATCTCTTCTAGTAACGGTGTTTTGCAGCCTTTCAGTCAGCTCGGGTGGTGGCAGTGGATGTATCATCTTTCGCCGTACACATATGTCATCGAGGGTCTCCTTGGTCAAGCACTCGGACGACAAAGCATCACTTGTTCAGACGTTGAACTCGTTACCCTAAATCCTCCTTCTGGTCAGACTTGCTCACAATACATGTCGAATTATATCAGCGCCGCTGGAGGATATCTTACCAATGGCGATGCCACTTCGGATTGTAAATTCTGCTCCACTGCGACGACTGATCAATTCCTCGGGGCTTCGTTCAATATCTCGTATGCGCACCGTTGGAGAGATATTGGATTCTTGTGTGCTTATATCTTGTTCAACGTGAGTCTCTTCGGATCCCTTCGTATAAGCTGCAACGGCATGGCTAACGTGTTTTTTCTTCTCCTTTCTTTCTAGATTGCTTGTGTATACGCATTTACATGGTTCTTCCGCATTCGCACTGGGAGCCTTGCTGGATCGCTGAAGAAACGATTTGGCAAGAAGCAATAGATCACTTTCTCTTCTCCATCATGTTTTCCAAGAACGTAGATTTATTTCACTTACGACCGTTCCACGTTTAGTCTATCCTTTTAGATACCTCGTTCTTCACATTGGACTCGTTAGATAAACAACTTCCACTCATATTCTTGCACTACATATCCTACTCAATTCTCATTATTCAATTTAACGAAAACTGTATTTCTACGTAGCGTTCTACATAAAGTAGTATTAAACACATACATACTTTGCTTTAAATCAAGAGCATGTTTGCTTGATACTTGCGATGTGTTATTGAGAGAAATGGTTCGCGCACCTACTTGAATCCGGTCAATCTTTGAATCAAGGTCAGGCAAATTTACAGATTACTTCAGATGATCGACCTCGAGCAATCATACGAGAGAAATATGTTGAGTGGTTGCCAATAGCTCGACGTTATTACTCTCTCCTTGCGAACGGTCAAAGCTAGGGATATGAACCTTGAAAAGGTAGTAACGTGCCCCATGCGTTCCCAACCTGCCCTCAAGAATGGTCCGTGCGTCCCGCTAAAATTCTATAAAAGCCTCCCTCCCGCATTTAGGTTCCTTACCACTCTGGCCTTTTGGCTTAGATCAAGTGTAGTATCTGTTCTTAATAGTTTAACCACTATTACGAGGGCACCGCCCTCCGTATTTGGTTATCTAATTTTTGCCGCCCTTGCTCTTCGTGCTCTGCTTGCAACACGGGGACGTGATGACCTTGCTATTGCAGTACCAGCTTGTGTCGTCGGGGGATCTTTTTGGATCTTGCTTTCTATCTCTTTTCTTGCTTGCACCTTTGTGACACTGTCAGTTGACAATTAGCAGGTGAAAGCAATAATGGGATTTGGAGAGTAATATTTTTGGATTCTTTGCACCTTTTGAGGTACATTGTAACTAGAGTTTTTTGTTGTGTTTTGTAACTGGTTTTATGATGAGTGGATGTGATTTTTTCAAGCTGTTTACTTTTTTGAACCATCTGGGGATAATTGTTTGTAGCAATGCATGACTTGGTGTAACTTTGTTCGTATTTCTAAATTTTATTTTTTGGAACAATGTCTATGCTACTGACAAGGTTCGTTGAAAATACTGTGATTCGTAATTGAGGGACATGTTTTTGGATGCCATTATTATATGAGTATGGGCAGCCCTCCACCAAGGTGGCTCGTGGGAACGGGATGCTCGGATAGATAGGGCCGGTGCTACAAGGTCAAAGCCCGGATTTTGTTTCGCGCTGGTTTCGTTTGAGAGAATAAGATACATGACCTCTCAATATATATTGCTCAAATGAATCAATTTTGAATGCAGATAAAAGTTAACAGGAAATATCTTCCAATTTTAAGCAATCAGTTACTGTTCATGCATGAATCATTGTGACAACACTCAAATTTGGAGAATGTTTTCTGTCATTATGAAATATCTATCTGAAGGATCGCAATCCCGACGGTTTTTCGGGCTACATGATGATGGGAAGAACCATTCCGAGCATCCTTATCGGAATGCACTCAATATTACATAATCTTCGATTTTAATTCCCAGTCGCGTTCTTGTCGCGTTCTTGTTGTGTTCTTGTCGCGTTCTCCTGGCCTTGTTTGTGGATTCCTTGCATGCCTAATGCAGCTGACAAACACATAACCTTTGGAAAACACAAACGCACGTCGAAAAAGGACCGACAGGCGCGCACAGCTGCTGCCAGACTTGCGAGAAACCTTTCCCAGACTACCACCAGTCTTAATACAGCTCTACCTGACAATCCCGGATCTGACGCAGATGACAACAAAGAGAATGATGGGATTGATACATCAGGACCCTCTCGCTATGCTCAGAAACAAAATAAACGTGCCAATACTTTGAAGGGACAAGTAGACAGTTTTCGAAAGAAGGCCAAGTATTGGCATACAGAGACACAGGAATCAAGGGAGACCATAGTCAACTTAAGGAATTCATTGAAGCAGAAGGAAACCAAGATAGACGAAAAGGAGAAAGAAATAATGGCGAAGGAGATCGAGATCGAGAGGAGGGAAAAAGAGAAAAGAAACACGGAGAAAAAAGGGAACAGGGATCTGAAAGAAAAGGATGACAAGATTGAAGAGCTACGAGAAGAGGTGGAGCAAAGGAGGGTACAGGTGGAAGAAGTGGAGGAAAGCCTGCAGATGCGTATAAATGGCTATCAACGCCAGATACGTGCATTGAAAGCAAAGATTTCGCGTATACCCAGCCGCCTTGCAACTGCCACGAACCGCATTGCCCGTACATTCAATGATAAAGCTGACGAGGAGCGGACTTTCTTCCTGAAGGACTCCAATGGCATAATTCCCGATGAGACTCGAGACATCTTTCTCGATCTTGTGGCAATGGATGCCGTGCCTGCAAACAAGGTGACACGCGTGTTTAAACGGATTGCATGCGCACTTGGCATCGAAATAGAGGGAGATTTGTCACGTAGAAGTGTTGGTAGAATCGTGAAAGAAGGCGGGAACGCGTCGAAGTTACAGATTATCGAATCCCTTAAGGATGCAAAAGGTATGTTTTACGGGATACATTCTGTGTTTGGTATTCATCATCCATTAAGGTATTACACTCAGCGGAGATGGTACAACTCACAAGAACGAAACGTATGAATCGAAATTTGCTACTGTCATTACACCCAACAAAAAACTCCAATTCTTCCTTGGTTTGAAGATGGCCGTGAATCATACTAGCGAGACGCAGTTAGCTGGGTGGATTGAGACTACGGAGGATCTTTTTCACCTTGCATACGAAAGTGGACTCATTTCTGAGGACGACGCGCGTATTTTCTGGAATCTTGTTACTGGGTTTCACTCCGATCATGCTGCTGATCAAAAGAAACTCTTCGAGCTGTTGAAAAAGTGGAAAACACGTTTAGAGCGTGAAGTTCGAGGGGAGCGTGCTGTTAAGCGGCTCACCGATAACGAATACGCGTGCCTCATCTTCCAAGGCTCGCAGGTGCTTGTACAGAAGGCAGGTGGTCCGGCGGCTTGGGACGCGCTAGGTACCGAAGAACGTACATATAGGATTGACGAGATGAGGAAGCAGATAATCCGGGATATAGGAGAGACGGAATTCGAGAAGTTGTCAGAGGCAGAGAAGGCAGAGGTAGATCTCATCCTTTGGGCAGGCTGCTGCATGCACAAAGAGATGAACGCGTTCAAGGGAGGATGTGTCGGCTTGGATGAGTACTGGAATGGACACCCTGACCTCCCTCCACCAATCCTTCTTCCTAATCGTGACAACGCAGCAGCAATTGAGAAAGCACCAGGTACCGAAGCAGCAGAACGCGCTACAGCACGAAGTGAACGGGGAGCAATCAAAGTAGCGAGTTTGGCTGGTGCAATTTTTCGACACAAAGACAGGAAACGAGGTCAGCAAGACACCTTACGGTTCTTCTTTGACGAGAAGTTGGGTTTCAACCTCGCTTTCCCAGACACGAGTAACACACGCTTTCAGTCCCACGCCGAAGCTTGTGCATTGATAATCACTCACATGGATTTATTCATTGAGTTCTTGACGTACGTGCAACATAACAAGGGCACTGGAAAGTTAAACCATATGGAGCAGAATGTTCTTGCTGGTTTGAATGATCCCCCAACGCGCCAGGAGTTCTGTGTTATCACGCTGTATTGGTTGGCCATAAGTGTCCCATATATGCGAGAGATACGAGGTCCTCATGCCAAAGAGGACAACATTCTGAGGCTTGGGGACTTTCATCGGCGCGTTATCGATCACATTGACACGTTAATAAAAGAACCTGAACGTCTTCTCGGTCCAGACGCGTCGGCTGCCCGAGGATCTCTCGATGGACTAGCTTGGGAACGGCCTGACGCGTTCTATGCTGCTCAAAAACACGCATCGCAATGGCTACCACAGATACGGAACCTTTTAGTACACTTTCTCAAAAGAGCCAAGGATTCTTGGCTTCGTTTCATCTCAGAATTCGAGGAGGGCGGCTCACTTTCACGCGCAACGCCTGAGCAAATTGAACGCGCCTGGATGGAGAAAACAAATGATTTGAATGAAGGAGCTTTCAGAACATACAGACAAACTAGTCGTGCAAATCCTACCTTATCTCTCACCCAATATAATGCTCGACAAATGTTCAAATTTAATCAAACGTCTGCATACCTTCGTACTCTCAATCCAGCAATGCGCCAATGGCTACGAAAAATCACTCGTACTCAGGACGCATCAGGAGATAATCACCGAGAACGTATCCAAATGGCTCAGCATCGTCAGGAAGTAGCGGAGAAGAAGATCGAGAAGGATACCGAACGAAAAGAAAAGCGACAAGCAGCTCGGAATGCTGTTGATGCTGTTAGGCCAATCTTCGCCCTGACAGAAATTGATTATCGTGCTTCGAGAGCACAGGGTACTACAGGCTATTTTTCTGTTCCCGAAATCACGATGCAGCTTAAATGGCACAAACAACATGGTATTAAAGGAGCTGTCCCTCAAGTTGAAAGCTCTTGGGGCAAACGAGATGAGAAAGTTCAGCTCCTCAGAGCGGCAGTTGAGGAGTATAATAGTGCTCATGCATCCGAAAGTACTGAAGAACCTGAAGATCTGGCAGAGGAGACTATTCCAGACATTACTGTAGAGGCCTTGGATGAGTTTGACTCAGATGGCTATGATTCAGAGGAAGAGTATTATAGATAATTTGTATATTCTGTACTGAACACAAAGTATCTCCTGGTACAAGAATATAACGGAGAAGTAAACAATCAGCGCGACAGATTTTACTGTATTTCGCGAGTTAACGCATAGGCGCCCGCTTAGTCAGCGCACGGAAAGTTTGCTGCGGGTGCCCATACTCAATAATCATTATATCCTTGTTGCGCAGCTGTCTAATTTTCAATATAGTTTTTCTTAGCTTATCTGATCTGAGAGAGAGAGGGTGCTGGTGTTCGCCGGGTGCATGCCGCTATCGGCACAGCTTTTCAATCTAAAATATTGGCCAAATCTGGGCCGAGAAACAACAATTTTGATGTGCAGGCACCCTTTGGATTTGTCTATGTAACAACTCATGGGCATGTAACCAGCACCCGCCGTACCCACTCACCGCGCGCCCTATGCAAATCCCATTCTCAAATCTACATTATCCACCATCAAGCACGGTGCAGTCCAGACAGTGACAATAAATGCATGATCAATTACTCCAACGGTAACTCGTTATGCAAAAAGTTGTGTATACTATGGAATCAGGAAGGAAGTGCGACAAGCTTTACTGGGGTATCTAACATCGCCGAAATACTTGGGGGTTGCGGTTAATGATCATTGATCATATGAAAAAAAATAACAAGTGCATGAGTGTGTTGCATGATGTGGAATAATACTTGCAAAATAAGTATCGGGTAGGTAAACGTCTCTGTGTGCAGCAAGCATCATCAGCATAGCGATGACCAATGATTGTAATTTCAGAAACGCACGGTTCCCTCGATCTATACAGAGAGTACCACATCAAACGTTGCATTCAAAATAACATAAATCGTGAGCTAGATCATAGTACTTCGTTGTTGTTGGCGAGGGCGGGGAGAGGAAAAGCTGGGGAAATTGATGGGGTGCCGAATATGTGACTTTGCTTATAAGAGAATGAGGCAGCACGTGCTTTTCTGAGTTTGAAATCAAGACAAGGATAACGGTTCCACCATCGTCGACAGCAGCGGGGAGAGGATGAACGTGAGTGTTTACGGATATTTTGCAGTGCAAAGCTAACGGAAACATCATAGAACCTGCTGAAGACCTTGTCGGACAGCAAGGTTAAAACTTTGCCAGATGTAGACCTCAAATCACTGTTAACGACTGTCAAGGATGGTAGAGGAGTGAGTAGCTCAGCTAATAACCATACGGCTACCTGACAATTCGCCCATGCACAGCGGCGAGATGATAATGCACTTTCTAATGCCTTCTACGAGTCACTTGAAGGAGTTTTGGCAGACCTCAAAACGGTCACCCTGGTAAGTCACGCTTCAGGTGATGTAACTTATTCTTAACCGCGTCTGAAGGATAATCACGATGCGGAGGCCTTCCTTAAGCCAGTGCTCAAGGCGGAGGTCGCGGACTATTATGATGGTAAGTCCAAGTCGTGCCGGACTCTAGATGTTGCCTCATTATTCATCCGTTCTTCCAGTTATCTCGAATCCCATGGACTTTCAAACCATGAGTAAGAAACTTAAAGCAAGACAGTATAAGTCTAAGAAAGAGTTCAAGGATGACCTGGATCTTATTTGGTCGAATTGTTGTACATATAACTCAACAGAGGTATGTCTATCGTCCGTGGCGTCTTGTTCGCATGTTCAAGTCTATCAACACAGGGACACCATCTTCCCAAAGCTGCCCTACGGCTTAAGGCCAAGGCAGATAAACTACTCGTTCACATCACCGACCGCAAGGAACGTGCAGATCCATATATCCCATACGACTTTTCTTCGTCCGGCGCATTGCATCCAAAGATCAATGGCATCAATGGACGTGCACATACTCGTTCACCATCCGTCGCTTCACCATCGTCCTCCAAATTACCCACAATCACTATCAAAGCATCCTCTCTAGCGAAAGATGTCACCAAGGTCCCTCGACGAGATACGTCCTTTGAGGAATCTCCGGCATTGATTAGAACGCCAGAAGGCATGTCCATGTTCCGGGACTTGGATCGAAGTTTACAAGAAGCAGGCCCGTCTTCGTCCACCTCCGATATACGGACTCGAATGCGTGAACTCGTCCCGTCCGAGCATGAAGACGAATACGACGAGTCGGCACAACTAGGCGATAAAAGAAAAGTCATCAATGGGGTCAATGATCACCGAGCTCACAAACGTATTCGATTCGCTACCCCACTTCCTTTATCCGATTCTTCACCTGGCTCCCCTACCACAATTTCCAAGGACGACGAACTCACACAATTATGGTGGAGTACTGTCCAATCCGATGCTTTATTACCCAATGGCCTACCTGAATTTCCATCCTCCGCATCATCATCATCATCGCCACGGCATCCATTCCTGAGACCACCAATACCGAAATCCCCAGCCCAAACAGCGAAGAAGAAGAAATGCAGAAAGAAATTGCCGCATTCGTATCGACCAGAAGATAAACCGAAAGCATTGTTGACCTTGATGAACAATAATGTACGCACCATCAAACGCGTGAGACATACTCATGCGAGGTTTGCTGCGTTGGGGTTGACGAAAGATTCGGGGGTGGGGAATGAAGATGGGGAAGGAGCAGAAGCTGCACCTAGTTTCAATGCTCAGACTTCTTCAGCGGTGGGCCCCGGGCCTGGCCTTGGTACAGGCGGTCTGGGTTCAGATCCAATGGACGTGGATGAAGCGATTGACGACCGAGTCGATGAACGTCCGTGGGAGGTCCCTACAAGGCGGGGACGTAAGATCAGTGGGATCGAGATTGGAAGCGAAAATGCTGATGATTGTTTACGGTGGATGAACGGGAAGGTGTTGGAGCATGCTGGGTTTCAAGGTATGTCCTTTCGTTTCGTCCTGGAGTCCTTCTACCTCGTTTCGTTTCGTTGGATTTTTATTCTCTCTATTATTGATGGCTATCGCACCTTCTTATACTATGTGCTGCGTGTTTTGGAACGCAAACACGTTTTTTTCTCATGGTTCTGTTTAATGTCTTTATTCGTGACTCTTGCATAGCTTTCTCTTTGTATTGGCCCCGCGTATCTATCTCATCATCTTGCTAACCTTTGCCTTCGTTACATCTATCTATGCTATCTAGGGACATCCAGAGCGGCGTTGGACGTACTGTCTGGCGTAGCATCGGAGTATCTCCTCAATGTGGGCCGAACGATCAAGTTCCTTTGCGACAAATTTGCAAACACGATGAGCACAGAGGTGAACAGATTCTTTCTCCTTCCACAAAGATCAAAGAGATTTAATCGATGAATGCAGGAAATCATCCTTCACACGCTCTTTGAATCCGGTATCTCCGAAATCCAGGACCTTGAACGATATGTCGCTGATGACGTTGAGCGATACGGCTCTCGCTTGGCTGATTTGGAGAAGAAGCTTGTGGGAGCTTATCGGGAAGTTGTGAGTAGAAATTTCTTCCGGCGTTAGCCTCACGGTTTCTGGTTCGCTTATATTCTTTCCTCGTAGACGTCCGTGGAAACTCTGGAAGACGAGGGTCTGTTCGATGAGGAGGAAGAGGAAGAAAATAGCGCTTTGGCTCTGTACGTGGTTCTACGTATTGAACTGACCATGATCAGTTCCTGATGCATTGCCTCTTTCTAGTGGTGAATTCGCCGATACCCTCGGAGTGGATTACTTTGGTCTGCGTGAACTGGGTATCGCGGAGGAATTTGGCATGTCGAGTTTGACGATTCCGAAAAGGTTACTCAGAGGGAAGAAGAAAAGAACGAACCTTCTACCCGTGTACGTATCCTTTTTTAGTTGTCTTGTCTCGCTATTGCATTTGATTTACGTTGTTGGACACAGTACGAAGCCAACCGAGCCACCACCACCATTTCCTCCACCTCCAGCATTTATTCCACTTACCGCCGGAAGGATACCAGAACAAATTGGACTTCTGCAGAAGTTTTACCACGACCGATTGCAGGCTGTTGCTGCTCCTCCCGCGCCAGCAATACCGCCTCTCGTACCTCCATTATCACATTTACCAGTCCCTCCACTTGCACCTCCACCGCTGCTTGGACCCTCACTAAGCAACCCTTATCCAAGCATACCATCACTCCCGAAACCATATATTCCTCCTCTACTCGGCCCACCCAAACTTCCTGGTGGTCAACCAGCACCCGCACATACACCCACGCCCATATCAAACAGCCTTCCACCAATGCACAATACCGCCACTCATCTTCCTTCAAATTCCCTTCTGCCTCCTTCGGGCTTACCACAGGAACCATCATTATCATTACAACCGCCAGCCCAGCCATTTTCACCTCCTCCTGAAACTATCATACCGGACGACTCTCCGACACCAGCACAAGCCAAGATGAGTCCTCTTGGTCATATTGTCAAGACTGGATCATCGTATCCAGCTGCCAAGAAAAAGGCCAAAGGTGCTTCTAGTGCTGCTGCTGGTGCAGCGTCGAACTCTAACAACGGCAATAAAGCCAACACAAACGCTTACTCCGCCAATGTCAACACCGACGTCAGTAATCCGCTGTCCGCTACTCCCAATCCGCCCTCAGCAGGAGAAACTTCGAATAACCGGTTGGTGAATGGAATCGTTAAACCCGAATTTGGATCTGGACCCATGAATTTGAATGGTAATGCTACAAGCAAACCGGGGGCGTCCACAATGTCCATGACGATAGCTACGGGAGATCCTGTGATCGGGCCTGCACCTTCGCTAAAGAAGAAGAAAGGTGCAACGGGGGTAGGGAGTGGAAATGGGAGGAAGAAGCGAATGCTTGATGCTGCGCAAGGTCAAACTCAGGCTCAAGCGCAAGCTCAAGCTCATACGCATCCGAGTCAGAACCAGCCAGGGCAAGGGCATGGGCAAGACCCACGGCCTCCGTTTCCGCCTTTTGTCGCTGCTAGTGCTTGACTTGCTTAACTTGCATTTGCGCGCTCGCAATTGTGGATCCATTGTCCATATCCTCTCCCTTCTCATCATACACCTTGCTCTTATCAGCTTGTGTTCCCGTCACTTCAGTACCATGCCGTTTTATAGTATTTATTATCGCATACCATTTTATAGTTTATCGCATTTGTCTTTTCTCGGTTCCTTCCTTCCCATTTGTCTTTCTAGCCCGGAGAGCAAGGTACAGACTCCGCTTTGAACATGAAGGAGAAAACACGGGAACGGGCCCTCGTTACCTGATTCTCTGTATTTTGCATCTGATATTCTTTTCTAATTTGCTCATCTGGATATTCACCACAACTCTGTATCATAGCTATAGCATTAATCCAACAGTAAGTACTTGAGTAGGTAGATGAATTCTACCCTCTTCGTTGTCGTTATTTCGTTGTGGTTCAGAAACAATATTGCAACAAAACACAGCGGCATCATAAGTTTTGACCTCGGCGCACGGCCATGTGCTGTGCGCTCACGCGCTCACGATTCGACCAATCATTCAGCGTTATCTTTGTCTTTCTTCACAACAACAACTTTACTTTTCCAACTCATACAATGTCTTACGGTGGTGTAAGTTCTAAGTTATCTTTTCGCAACTTGAAGGAACTTATACTTACTACTTGCGAACAGTATGGTAGTGGCGGATATGCCCCTCCTCCCGGCGGTCCAGGCGGATATGGACCCCCTCCTCCGGCTTCATATGGTTCTTCTCCCCCAGGTGGTTATGGAAGCTATCCTCCTTCAGGCGGCCCTCCAGGTGGCCTTCCAGGCGGCGGCTTCGCTCCTCGAGGATCCATGGGTCCGCCACCTGGAGCTGATCCTCAGTACGGATTTGCAAACTGATCTGTGGCGATTTAACTGAATATGTGATCTGTAGGTTATGGAGCTGGTTCGCCGCTGTAGATACCGACAATTCTGGCAGCATCAATGCGCAAGAACTTGGTGAGTAATCGACGTCGACGTCGGAGTTGATAATCTTGAGCAGTTTTGTCTGAGATGCTGTTCACAGAAAGAGCTCTAATCAATGGAGATTGGACTCGTACGTTTTTGCTTCCTTCATAATCTTAAAACCGAACTGATCAGTCTATGAAGCTTTTGACTTGGATACTGTCAAGATGCTAATGTCGATCTTTGTGAGCGAATTCGTGTATACACATTAATGGCCGTTGCACCGACCGTTATCTATTTAGGACACGGATCGAAGTGGGACTATTGGCTTCAACGAGGCAAGCCCTTCTACTCTTGTTGGGTACTTTACTCAACGTGTAACTTGCACAGTTCGCTGGCCTATGGAAATACATTAAGGTAAACATCGCCGAACATCTGTCCTTTGCATCCGTTGAGCTATCTATGTATAGGACTGGCAAAACGTATTCCGTCACTTTGACCGGGATCGTTCTGGATCCATCGACGGTGTTGAGTTGAGGGAGGCGCTATCTCAATTCGGGTGCGTCCATCCGCTGACCTATTTTAAATTCCGCTTCTCAAGCATCTACATTCCCCAAACAGTTACCAACTTTCACCCCAACTGCTCGATCTGGTCCAACGTAAATATGGTCAGTCTTTCTATCTACGTTTCTCGCCTACTACACCCGAAAAACTCACTATCTACCCTTGTTTGGGGTAGACGTTAAAGCTTCAAGCGTGTCGGGTGCTCGTGGTATGCCTCCCCCCGGAATCTCCTTCGACCGTTTCGTCCGTGCTTGTGTCGCAATCAAGCAGCTGAGCGAGGCATTCGGTCGACTCGACACTGATCGCGATGGATGGATCCAGATAAACTACGATCAGTTTATGCAGACGGTCTTGACGCTCCCTTGAATCCGTGTGTCCAGGAGAGCCAAGTCTATACATATCAGACGTTGAAATTTGTCGCGGAAGGAAGAAAATTACGAATCTGTACCGGAATTCTTTCAATATTTGCTTACTGTGTATATTTATATGTAGTATCGTATTGTTTTTCTCCTCTCTCGATCACAACCAACGTACATCTTTATTGAAAAAAACTTTGCTGTTCATTTGAATGATGGAGAACGCACTACTACTAATGCATTAATGAACTTTGAGTGAACTGCCATTTGTGTTAAGCCAAATGAACTACTTTTCTGTTCCGTAAAACTCGTTAATTACTTGTGTTTCACTGCTAGAAGGCTTGTGCACGATGACTTGTTCCGTTTCCGTGAAAGCCATGATAAAGTGGTGCTACTGAGTCCTTCATGTCCATGCTCGAGATGTTACGTGACGCTACAAAGGTTGACTGAACTGTTTCAATTGCAAGCAGATCAAGTTTATGAACAAGCCTAGACCATCTCCGGTGGCTAGCTTTTCATAGAGAAAGAACCCTTCGCCAGTTCCAGCTGGGTGGAAGAATGAGCCCCACGGACGAAGAGGTATTTCCTACATACAACTCTCTGGCGTCAATCCCTCGCGGGCATTCTCCTTAGTTCACTTTTTTCTTCACCTTGTCGGCCAAAGTCAACTCGCGTATTCCACTGTTTCTCAATCGTTTCGTCACGGTATGACTGAGTGATTGCTTCTCAAAGATCACGGTCAATTTAGAGATACGATGCAGGTCGACAGGTCTTTGCTCGTCGTGATCTCCAATAAGGTTACGTGACTCGACCATATCGGCAATGTACCGATCGGAACCCTTAGGCTTGAGCTGAGCATTTTTGAAACTGAACGATTGAAGTCGGGGTACAAGGAGAGGTTTGTTTGCACAGTATTCCAGACCCTGCATCAGTGGTGCAGTATCTAGGTCGCACTGATTAAGCCCTAGATTGTGCAACATAGGGAATACGGCGAGGATGGAAAGGAGGTCGTCTACTGGTAACTCATGCATGCCCAGTAATTCAAAAGTCCTCAACGGTGCAGAGGAACGCTCCTGTAAATCGATCATATCGCTTGCAAAGCTTTCATTGACAAAGCCGCCGTGGTAGGTATGATTCGTGCGGAAATAGCGAAGCGAAGGGACGGTAATGGCATTCAGGAAACGTGATTCACATTCGTCATGCCAGTCGACCAGATCGAGTATTTGCAGCAGTGGGAAAGTGATGCCAGGAACAATGATCCCGGACATCCATTGAGGACAGCGGAGCGTGCATTGAACCAAGCTAGCGCAGCTTCCCTCTAAGATTTTGAGGTAGGGTAAAGGATCCATCAGGATGTGGCAGGCCTCAGCGGCCACAAGCAACTGAACAGTGTTCAGCTGAGATACGGGAAGCAGCAGACTGAGAACTTTCGGCACCATCTCCTTGCTCAACTCCCACCCCACAAACTTCAGATCAGTCAGCCTCGGTGAGTTCCGTAGGATCGACAATTGGTGGTACCCTGGCTCTAGTTGCCCTATATCGTTGACACCGATTTTGTTCGGTCCACTTCGGGTTGACTCGTCTCTGATGAGACTAAGGTTTAGGGCCGTCAATAGCGGGAAACCGGGTAGGAGGCTCAGAGGAATGACTGCGTGGAGAGGAATGGCCAAGTGTAAGATTCGCAAACGGTGACAAAAGGATCCCATGCATTCAAGTATATTTGACGGAGGAGAGAAAGTGATGTCCTTCGGTCGAATGGCTATTTCGAGGGGAACTTCTCCGCTACGACCGAGCCACGTAGTCATCGCATCACCATGTACTTCAAACCCATTATCCCCAAGCAAAGCCTGGAAACGAGACCACAATCTTGGTGTTCCATGAGCCACTTGCCTCCAGGTCGAACAGACCTGGGTTAGAACAGACTGAGGGGATGGTTTCTTGTTGGGACTGATCGACATCAAACAATACTCGGTGAAGATCAACGACAACATTTCGCAAGGTAGAGAGTAGATAGGCGAAGGAGAACGAGTAAGAGCAAGCTGTAGTAGTCTGGCTTTTCTTCTGCTGCGAGTTTCAGCAATGGTTATCGCCGGCTTGCATTCGGGTGGTGCGGCTTCGTGTAAAGATAATTGAAGTTCTTCTTCGATGTCAGGTGGGGAGAGATATAACTCCAGTTCCTGGGAGTAATCTACATCGGAGGACTGTTGCATTCAGCAACACTAAGTTGTATGATCTCAAAATGATGAGCTACAACACTCACAGATGAGGCGGACATGACAATTTAGTGACAAGACAAGATCGGAATTTCAGAAAAGCGCTCTTATCTCGATTTGGTAATACTAGTCACATGAGCGCATATCAAAACTTATACAAAGTGTTTGCTAGTAACTTATGTACTACTACATACCCCTGCACTGTCTATCTACGCAGATATTTTCCTAAGTTACTTTCAGAAGTGATATTTCGATGCAAATGGCTTGACTGATGCCCAAGCTTCGTCAACAGCAGTAACAACTTCTTCCGCTGTGAACGTGAATAGCCAGGGGATTTTTTTCAGCAACGAAATTTTCTGAACGTAGATCACAAAATACTCACGCAAAGGTCCTTTCTCCAAATCAATCAAGTTCTGAATTCATGGCGTTGGCATAATCAGGATAAAATTTAACCTGTAGTCGTCTACTCACTTGTTTGATATGTTCGATGTTGGAGGCTCCGATGAGAATAGAATCTCCGTGCTCGCGCTTCAACATGCTATGATGGGACTCCCAACGCAGTGCAATCTCTCCCAGAGTCAAGTTGTGGGCTTCACCAGCCTTTCTGACAGACGTCAAAGCCTCGAAGTAATGCTCGTTCCAGTATCTTCCTCGGTAGCTCTAGTTGCCGATGGAATCAATTACAAAGTCATCTTGTGTTGCCGGACTGGCCCACCTGTCCTTGAAACCCTTGTGGGTCAAAACGAGATCCAGGCTCGACAGAATCTTGAAGAGAACCATATCTGCCGGTGAAGAATCCACCTCCCACTAAACAACCAGAGCTCAGAAGATTCCCGCACGAAGAGTGGAAAATATATGTACATGGATTGAATGCGTAAAAGCTGATTCCAAATTTCCTCAAACAAGGAAAGAGCTCGGGTTCCGCTCCACGATGGATGGCATTGTAGATACCTTGGTACACAGAAGGAAGGACGTACCCATTGGATTTGCAGATGGTCACAATTTCGGCGACCTCAAAACTGGCAAGTGATATGAGTCCAACTAGTGATTACTAACGAGGGGACTTGAAATACTTACGCCATATAGTTGCTGATACCAAACCTTTTGAAATAGCCCTCCTTGTATAGGTCATTGACGGCCTTCATAGTGACCTCGTAAGGGATCCTAGAAATTCGACCAAAAATTTGTATACTTCCAGGAAAGCTCAGAAATTTGCATACGTGCGATCGGGAGCATGCAGATACCACATTTCCAATTGACTGTGGGGCAAACACGGTATGTGAATTTCTTGATCTCAGCTAAATAACAAACGTACTTCGTATTGAGAGCTTTCAAAGAGAGGAGGATGTGTTTTTTCATGTCCTATCAGAGTAGCAAGTCGTCAGCGACAATATCAAGGATTCATTCCATGGATGAAAATTACTTCGTATGTGTGATGAATGTCCTCCGGCGAAAGCTGGTTCATGAAATCTCGTATCGCTTGGGGGAGGTTGGGATTGTCCTGATGATTGTCTGAATCAGTCAAAGTCATTGCCGCAACAAATAGGCAGATACACACATGCTTTGGAACGAGCTTTGTCTCCAATTTCAAGCCCTTGGCTTTCCAATCGAGTTTTCCAAGGAATTCTTCACTGGTTCCACCAGCGTAGGTACGGGAAGTATCAACCTGGCGTTATGTAGGATCAGCACGGTGCGAAGATTGAAAGATCCTCACTTCGGTATGTCCGTGCGCGACGAATACATCAATGATTGCCTCGACGTCCTTCAAGTCGTGGACACGGGCTCCCATTGTACCTTCTTTACCGAAGGTCATGGCACCCTATAGATGTATGGGATGTAAGAGTTGATTAAACATCTCGCTCGTTGTTCTAACGTACCATAACGATATTGAGCTGGCTTTTCTGTACTGGTTGAGTAGACATTGTGAATCCTTATCTGTTATTGATTTCACAGGAGATATTTGTTCGACTCTTTTATAGACTATAACTCGTAAGCTGGGCAGAGTAACTCGGAATGATTTCGGGGCAGTTGAGAGATTTGGGTTCTGAACTTGATCCAACGCACGGTGAGGTGGGGCACGCACGTATGGTAGTGTTCACCACGGTTTGGGTCGTTCAGTAGATTGACGCTATAATGGAGTACGAATTTTTTGTTCCCTCTGGGAGAGTGAGGGCAGAAGGACCTAGTAAGGAATACGAATGAGAGTAAGGGTGCTTGTTAGCGGACAGTTTGAAATTGTAAATGCAACGGTATTGGCCATTGAGGATTAGTTCGGAACAAGATCGGGGTTATTGCTCTACCATGAGTAGAACTGTACAGACAATTAAAATGGGTCTGGTTAGTGGTAGAGTGAGTGTTGAAAACGGCATCTGCGGCTGGAAATATATTTTTATAACAAACTACTAGTACGTTGAATGTTCGTTTACCTTTTCCTCTGTGATTAATTATGAGCGACTCGGATACGAGCCTTCAAGATGGACTCAGAGAAGAGATGAGGAAGCAGGAGCCTGAGAAACTCAATATGTCCTTGAAAGATTAGTTTGTAAATGTAAATGGGCACCGTTTTCAGAAATAAAATATTCATACACGGAATGCCTTCTTTCTTTTCTGCTCAGATATACACCAGATGACAAGGTATGCTGAGATGCCGGAAGGATACATATGTCATTGTAGATTTGTTAGACGTACTACGCAAGTCAGTCTATCTAGGCAGAAGAGGTTCCATGGTACGGTAGGTCTCCTATCTAGGACGCTACCCGTCGGATAGTGCCCGGATAGTGCCCTATAGTGCCGCTGCGTGAAGTCAATGCTGATTAATGAGGGTCAATGTAAGGGGCAAGGTGACGAACTCGGCACAATGGGTGACGGTGATTCTGCAGTTATCGGACTTGTTTAGAACCCGAACTCCCTCGGAAGTCGTTTTGGTCACTTATGAACAGCTGTGAGCTTTCCTCTTGGTTCCTGTTTGTAGGTTCATTCCCCTTTGTTTTGCTTCTTTACCTTTGCATTCTTGTCCAGTCTAGCGCGATCAGCTAGAATGTGGCGCGGTGGGATGTTATACTTTCATCTGGCAACCATTGGTTCAGTACCCAAGATCGGAGCTATTGGTTTGTCATAGAAAGTAACTTTTACGCTTAAACAGGCTGGACGCTGGTATTACTAGAGTGCGTGTTGGATGAAAGTGCGCATGCATCCAGTAAGATCCAGTAGGCTATGCGGCCGAATACACAAGGAAGCTTTCTTGCAGCAATCTGTTCGGTTGAGACGCTCGACTCGACGTCAATCGTGAGTAGAGCGAGTCCTGAGCTATACAGTACCCGAGTTCAAAAGGGAACGAAGACGGAAAGGAGCGGAGCAAGTTCAAGGGCCGTGGTTTTCCCACGAATCAACCGCTGTAATTGTCAGTACAATTTTCTTTGTTCTCTCCCTGCTGCTCCAGGCTGCTCCCTGCATTTTCTCAACTGTTAATTACCGCGGTAGACCGCCAGAAACTCAATTACATATGCAAACTGGAACGTCGCAACTTTTTTTCAGGTTCCAATTTCCAAACTCGATTCATAGTATCGAAAGAGCACAGGGCTGCCGCGAGCATGCTTGCTGTCCGAGTCGTTAAGTGCGATGAATGCTCTACATTATTGGAAGTCCATCCAATAATTATGGAAATTTGGTGCATTTCGGTGTACATATCTCCATTATAAAGGCCTCTTCTCAAAATTGAAATCAAATATACTGTACCCGCAAATACTCGGATTCCATGGTATAGGATCATTCAGTACCGACTCATACACGAAGAACATATCACAAGCAGAAGATAGTCCATTAGGGAACGCGCTCCTCAGCCCCTTTATTAAACGCACTTTCTGTCATGGTCCTACTACCGATACGTATATGCATACCTGATGCCTCCTGATGCATACGGAAGCTACGCGTACGAAAACCCCAGGTACGCCCGTAAGCGATCTTATTATGCATACCTTGTCATTGAAAATAGGTTCGAAAGCAGTTCTCGATAGACGCTTTCAGTACTGAGAGCCTTTCGCCCGAACACAAGTCAAAATTTACGCCTTGTCATTGTCTGGGGTTGTTAGAAATGGTCATGTGTGGAATCTGTTCTTCCCTAATCTTTCCTTGCCTCAATCATTGACGCGATGGGCCGGGGCATGGTCTTCTACGTCTCCGGGAGATTTCACGTCCTCCACTACTATTACGTCGAGGCTTGGAACTCTGCAAAATTATGATTCCTATGTAGATCCCTTCCCTTCAAGCTTCAAGGCTCGAGTTCTTAACGGTTTGGGATGGGTGGAATGTTGAAATCATTCAAGGCGGAGAATGATCATTCTCACATTGTCCACGAGACCCGGTCATTTCAGATATGGCTTTCGCTATGCTCTCTCAGTAATTCGATGATCAACAGTATAACGTTAACCAAGTTCAAACGATAGACTTCAGTCTTGGAGGTGGATCATTGGGTTTGCACCTTCAGAATTTCTACGGTGCATTGATGAAACTTGGCTGAACGCTTTCTCCTGAAACCAGGTAATGTGTACGGCAACAATGTCAATATATGCACGTTGTACTTTGCACCTGATGAGCTTTTTTACAAGGTCGCTATTCCCGCACCTTCCGTATTGGACGAATACAAACGCAGTTCCTAATCTGATGATAAACTAACACCCAAATGTGGCAACATTGCATGCAAGGGTCGACTAACGTAAGCGTCTGATTTCCTTCCTTCCATTCATCTCTTTCCTTATATACTCCCCAAAGAACAATAATCCCATTCCTTTTGTTCTAATCCCGTCAGCTTCTCTTTTGTCGACTGCTTTTGTAGAACAATAAGGATGCCTGCTACTCGCTCATGGGCTCGAAGAAAGTCATCACTCGGACTGGGTTAGTTGTTATCTTTGTTTTTTTCTGTTACTACGCCAACTCCCCATCCAACTTTTGACAGTCTCTGTACCGCCCGCAAAACCTGGAATATATGGTGTACAAACTCCAGAACCAAATCGCTTGACTTTTTGCCCCAACGTCACTCCAACAACATTCAAAACTGAAGCAGACGCAGAAGACATGTACGACGACTCCGCGGATGATTCTTCAGCGACACTTTTCCCTCCATCCTCGACGCCTGCGCCTCCTCCTCGTAGACGACGTGCACCACCTGGTAAACGTCGCTCGCTCGGATACATTCCTCGTCCTCCGAATGCGTTCATGCTGTTCAGAGCCGATTTCGTCAAGCAGAAACATGTTCCAAACAGTATAGAGACGAATCACAGCTCTCTGAGTAAAATCATTGGTTTGTGGCAGTTGTATCTGTTGTGGCTGGGTCTGATCATTCATCGGAAATCAATTAGGATCTTGCTGGCGCTCACTCCCCACTGAAGAGAAAGCTATATGGGAAAAGAGGGCCCGAGCAGAAAAGGCCGAGCACAAACGCAAATATCCTGAATATCGTTTCCGTCCTGTTCACAACAAGAATAAGACTAAATCTGCGGATTCCCCCTCGGCGAATAAGAAGACGAAGACCGATTCGCTTCCCCCTCCACTTGCTTCTATTGAAGCCCTGCGTACGGAACGGGAGGGATTTATCGCACAGTCCCTCTTAGACGGGCTCAAGGGTGATGCTCTCAAGGAAAAGGTCAGCTGGTGGGATGATGCACATGGCTGGGACGAAAGCGCCGAGGGCATGGCAGCACTAGAAGCTCGGGCAATGACACCGCACGTCCAGTCTAACTCCGATGCTTTCCCTGCCCGTTCTGCTGTACCAATAGCCAGATACCCAGCTCGTCGTCCCTCGTCTGTTCCTCTTCCCAATGACTTTCTTCCATTCCAAGGCGGCTATCAGCAAACTCAGCAGTATCTCTCACAGTATTCTGATGCCCCCTTTTCTCATGCTACAGAAACCTCTCACGGGCTTTCTATGGACCTCGCCGGATATAATGGTACCCATGTTGCTCAATCTTCGTTCCACATGCTCCCACCACTAAACGCCCTTCGGCCTCCATCGCCTTCTCCTACAAACTTCAATGTTGGCTCAATTTCACGCCAACAGAGAATGGTCCTGGGCGGAAGACGAGCTTCTAGTGCGCAGGCGTTCGTCAACTACGGCCGTCCAGAAGATTCGTGGGCGATCCCGCATACAAATTGGCCGGACGTCCATGGTCAATGGGTCGGCGCCAATTGGCAAACCGGATACGGAGAAGGGACAGGTTCCTCCCCATCGACGTCTGCATCTTCTCTACCTCTACAGACGGAAACCGATGAGTTGCCGGAAGTTGACACAAGCTTGTTTCAGCCTGGATTTGCATTTGGCGGCAGCACCTTCTCGATTCCATCGTCGCAACAACCGCAGCCTTCGCCTTTTGACGTGCAACAGCAATGCAATCCATTCGAAAACTACAGTATGGAACAGTCGAACGATTTCGAACTCGTGCAGCAGTTCCTTCAGGAACAACAAAATCAGTTCCACAACCCGCATAACCTCTCACTCCCAGCTCTTGACACCCATTCGTATTCCCCTCTCGACACTTCGCCGCTGTCTAGCTCTTCCGTGCAGTCATATTCCCCCGCGTATTCTGGCTCTCCACCCCCTTCCGAGAAAGAGCAGGAGCTTGTACTCCATGCGCCACAACCTGTACATCCCGCTTCTGTGGAGGATGTGGGTTTGACTTACCATGAACACGACCAATCTCCAGCGCAATCGTCTACCGAGGATTTCCAAATGCAGTCCAGCGGATCTCGTTCGGCTTCAGCATCGCTATTAGCTCCCATAGATTCTGCTGCTGCCTTTGACGATCTGTGGAAAGGTTTATCTTCCAGCGGGTCGTTCGCTGCTGTCATGGGTTTCTCTATTGACTCTACTGTTCAGCAAGCGGATGAGTTTGCTTATCAGCAGCCTTCGCCTGTATTAGAGAGTGAGAGTGGTGCGAAGAATAGTCATGAACCAGGTGCTTTTGCGAGACCAGGAAACGACGAGTTTCAGCAGCCGGTGCAAACTCAACACGAACAACTCACGATGTATTAGTTTGTCCAACCCTTTCTAGAGTTCATGATATCTCTGCGCTTCCACATCGCATTCCACTCCCCTCATGATATACACCCTCATGATATACACTATGACTTTTAATATGGATTTTCCATTTCATCTTTTTTGTATCCTTATTGCTCGTTTTAATGTTCAACGACGACAGATTGGACCGAGTCCATATTTACGCGATCTTGCAACCCTTGTTCTGCTATTTGCTGTCTATTTATTTGTAGCCATACACATCACGCACACCCTACACTTCCTCTCGTCCTGCCAACTCTTTCTGAGTAGGTTTGGTGACCTGACTTTGTATCCATCAAAAGTTCTAATTCTACACTGTAGCTATATTGTAACTGTATTAGTCTGACTGGTTGATCGTCCAATATTATTGTTCCTCTGTTAATATAACATAATATTAAGATATGTTGAATCTTGAATTCACCCCGCGTGCCCGCATCATGTGTGGTTATGTTGAAGTAGGTTCTTGTCCTTGTCATTGTCATTGCCACCCACCTGTTCCTCAATGGGGCCGTGACAGTAAACCTGCCTCTGAGCAGGCGCACACCTATCTTTCCAAGAATGCATGGGTGCAGCTATCTCATTTCTAATGGTCAATATACGATACATTAAGAAAAAACCCAAATAGTCGGATATTCCTCACTATCTTAGTTTGAAAGCGATTATTACCCTGCGGTTCATAACGTTCACTGTAGGCCACAAATACAGGCTTGAGAATCATTGCAGAAATGCAACAGCCTTCATACCCATATTGAGTCTAGGAGCCTTTCTGGTAAAAACTTGTTCGATGCTGGGAGTAATATTTAGTTCATGCGTGTACAATGCTTCTATGGAGAGACCTGCCTAGCAAGAGAACGTCCTTTGGTTTCTGGCATATACATCCAAGCAATCGTGGACGTGGTGAATAAACATCCCATGAACAACCAGTAAGCTATCGGTTTTAGTGATTCAAATTAGTAGTGGCATTAAGAAGTAGATAGTAAGAACGTACGTCCAGTAGTCGTGCTATCTAGAAACACGGGAAATGTGAGAGCTACGAGAGTATTGACGCCTTGATTGCACGAGTTTGCGATAGAAGATACTGCAGCACGGTTATGCAACGGCTGGATCTCGGATGCATATACTCTAAAAGTTAAAGGGTGGATAGTATTATTCCAAGGGACTTCAGCGACTTACCTCGTAGTGAGGGCCCATGTGCTTCCGAAGGCGACGAGAAAAAGGTAAAGGCAGACGATAATCACCCATCGACCTCCGCCTGATCCCGCTCCAGCCACATAGATATTAGCTATGATACAAATAATGCACCCCATTGCAATACCACCTATGATTGTAGATATCCGACGACCCATACGGTCCATGAATGGTGTGCAAACGATTGTGACGGCTACATTGAGTAGGCCTGACACTCCGCTAGCCAGAAATTTGGATGAAGAAGCTGAAAGCCCTGCCTGCGCAAATAATACGGGGGCGTAGTATAGAATACCGTCTATCCCAGACAGCTGATTCATTCCTGCAGAATCGTCAGACGATATCATAAGTCACAGAGGTTAAACTTGTTTCTTTACCCACCCATAAAAAAGCAAGCGAGAAGTGTGCGCTTCCTGACGTCTTTTTTGAACATATCACGAATGCGCGATCTCTCCTCTCCATCATCCCCGACTACTTCCCACTCCTCGATATGAGGGTCGTCGTTGTCACCTTGTTTGCGTAACAATTGCATAACTTCCTCAGCTTTAGATCTCTTTCCCTTCATCCATAGCCATCGTGGGCTAAAAGGAAGAATGAAAGGACAACCAATCGCGTACAGAAGAGCTAACAAGGCTTGAATCAAAAAAGGAATGCGCCATGCAAAAGAAGAATCCAGATGAACGGTTCCATAGCAGCAGAAAAAACCTGCTGCAATACCCACAGTGACCGCGATCTGGATAATTGAAGTAACTCGTCCCCGAGAAGTGGCTGGAGATATTTCTACACTTCAAATTATGTGTGAGCTTCCAGAACGCAAAGCAAAAATGGAAGGCAAGCACACCAGTACACGGCAATGATAGGAAGGAAAAACCCCTCTCCTACCCCAGCTACACCTCTACCAACTAGTATACAAACTAAATCAGGTGAAACACACTCAATGACTGACCCGGCACAAAATATGGCTGCCCCAAGAGACATGGTGAAAATTCGGGATATTTTGTCCGCAAGAATTCCTGAACATACACCAGATATCGTGGATGTTATCAAAATCATTCTATTCAAGTTATGGAGTGTCAAGACCTTAGCATTTCCTCTTCCGCGTTAGTCGAGGTATAACTTACGCAACAACAACGCCTTGGAGTGTGGGGGACAACATGAATCCACTTTCAGTGAACTGGGTCATGACTATGATTGAACCAATGCTTCCCGTATCGAAGCTGACAACTGTACTTGAGCAAAAACTTTCGCTGAGAAAGATGTTCTGTAAGATGTTACCCAAACATGAATGCTCCTACATTTATATCAAAATTTTGTACCAATTATCGTTTTACCATGAATAAATTGAGAGATCTTACCTACAGATGCAAACGACGCTGCAAGCCATACCTTGGTGGACGCCATGAGGGTGAAAGCGAAGCAAAGCGGACCGGTGTACTCAGCAAGGTTCAAGCTTCGCCAATTGTACACGTCAGGGGAATGAATTGATACAGCGACCGAACGATTAACTGATTTACGATAGGTCTCTCAAACAAGGGTTCAGAGTACAGAAAAACGCGATTTTATAATAAGACACGAGACAAGGAAATAGATAGAGATAGAGGGTAGAGACAGACGAACAGATATCGTCGTAGCTAATCAGGATAACCCTCAAAAAGTAAGGTGTGTTGAATTGATCCTGACAAAAGTTCGAGGACGAAACGCGAGCATGATTTCGGTTCATGAGGGATGTGCGGGTGTGTTCTTCAATTCATGAAAACGGGTCCGCAGGGACAGATAATTAGATCAAGTGAAGCGGAGTTAGGCGCGACGAACAAAAGCGAAACAAAGTACGAAGTAATCGCCTTCCTCCGTCGACACATTTAGTAAGTACACGGGCTGATGATGAAGAGAAAAAAGAGTAAAGAAATAGTAAAGAAAATAAAAACAAAGAAATTTTATGAAGGATGAATGAGCCGAAGAACACAAGTTGAATAAAAACTACAACCAATAGCCCAACGGACTACTCTTGTAGACTTAGCACGAGGTGTTCGTGCAGTCAACGAGTGGTCCTAACCAATCCCGAACCAAACTTCGTCCAACGTAGAGGCGCGATGTATATGGACAGCAATACACACCTAAGGACAAAGCACATTGTCCTTTCCGAGCGAGATGAATTTTGATGTGGTCCCTTTATGTTTTTATGTATCGCGAAAAACAGAGATGAAGTAGAGGAAGACAGGTTTGCAGATCAGAGAGAGGGATATTCAGATGAGGCAGCGGGACGCGTAGCGAGCAATTAGTGCACAGTGACGGGTATCCAAAAAGAGTGTGGTGCTGATAAGTTACACGAGTTGAGTGAATAACTGAGCGGTGAAAACGGAAGGTTGGGTGATTATTGCGGATTCCAGGTATAGATAGGTCAAACCGACACGCATGAGTGCGCGAAGGATGACGACAGATGGAATTCCCAGCTATCAGGCAGGAGCAGACACCTCTCCACCGTCAACGTGCATTTGCTGCGCTTCATCGGGTGCTGCAATGACAACGCCAGCAGCGACCATAGCTTCCTCGTCAGCTGCTTGCTGCACCATCGCATCCGTCAGTTCAGCATCAAACCCAGCGCCATCAATGGCACTAACTGGCTCTCCTCCGGTAGCTCCTGCTCCTGAAGCAGTCCTTCTACCGCCTGAAGCACCCTGTGGTCCTGAACGAGGCGGATTCGCGCAACGATCCTTTCCATGCGCGATTCTCAAATTACCGTACTCTGGCTTGTTCTTGACACCGTCAATGGCTTTAATGGCGTTGGAAATGTTGGTGAAATTGACAAAGGCACAGTTTCTAAGTGCAAAAGGGGCAGAGCGTGGTCAGTCTTGGTTTTGTCAGGTGTGATCTACACGTACTTTTCCTTCAAAAAGTTGACCAACTCAATGTCTCCATACTCGCCAAAGTCCCTCTTTAACCTTTCCTCGGTGAATGTTTCAAAGTCCTCAATGTTACCGATATACACATTTCTTGTTGCGCCAGCATGAACGGCCAAAGCCAGCGTGGGTGGCAAGGGACCAGAGTTCTTTCCCCAACCAATTTTGAGACGACGATTGTTCAGAGTCATGCCTTGGTAAGACGCAACCTGGAAGAAGGTGAAGGCTGCAGCGGGATCAATAAATGTAACGAACTGTTAAAAAGAGACATGAGAAAGATATATCAATGATTAAGACGAACTCACAGATATATGCTTGTCCTGCATATATCGAATGCTCTGCAACACCCCACCACGAATCGCGTTACACAGGTCCTCAGTTGTGGTCTCAGGGTGAATGTTCCCGAGGTAGACGGTCCTATTGATACCTTGACTCATTCCCATACCACTCATTCCTACAGCCGAAGCAGCAGCCATAGCTTGCTGGAGCGCATCACCAGCACCAAAGGGAGCATACGGATTGAACGGGGACGAGACACCGTTGCCCATATTGTTCGGGTGCGCGGATTGAGGAGAAGAGGCGGCGGCGGCAGCAGCAGCAGCAGCAGCAGCGGATTGGGCTACTAGAGACTGTGCTGCTGCTGCTTGAGCCTGTTGGGCAGCGGCTTGTTGCGACTTCGGAATATAGGCGCACCGGTCTTTGCCATAATTAACTCTTTTGCCTGCCCAAGCGGGTTCAGTAGGCAATGTGTTGACGACCTATATATGGGTTAGAAGATCACAACGAAAATGGACCGACGGAATGCCGTTACCTTGTTTGCGACTGAGATGCTCAGGAAATGCACGAAACCAATGTTCTTGTCACGAACGATTTTTACTTGGTCAATGAGTCCAAAGCGACTAAGATCATCTCTCAACTGCTCCTCCGTCGTGTTCTCCTCGAGTCCACCCAAGTAGACGTTTCTGCTTGCGTTGCTTTGACTAATTGCTAATGCAACCTGAGCAGGCACGGGACTGGGCTTTCCCCAGCCTATCTTAAGCTCCTGTCCGTGAAGGGTCAGCTTCTTGATGGTGGCATCGGCATGAAAAGCTGCCGCGGTGGCACCATCGAGGAATGACAGGAATACACATGATTTCTCTGGTAGAACTCGGATTGATTCGAGAGGACCAAAATGAACGAGATTGAGGAGCTCATCAACAGATGCGGTGGCGGGTAGGTTGCCAACGTATACAGTGCGTCCGGTGGTGTTGTTGGACGCTGACAGGGCCGCAGAAAGAGCAACTGGAGAGTAAGCGCTCTGAGGGCCGTTGGGATTGCCCTGAGGAATAGTCAGAGAAGGTAGTCGTTGCTAAGATTAAAAAAAATGTAACGACAGTCAGAATGGTTGCAAAAAGCCAAAAGATAGCGCCCTCACTTGAGGAAATCCGCCCATTTGGCCGTTATACGCGAACCCGCCCATCATATTCATTCCTGGCATACCCATTCCAAGCATGTTATATGATCCAAAACCATAAGGTGACGAGCCGTTTGGACTCGGCTGCTGTTGCTGGGGAAAGTTGGCGGTGTTCGGGCTCATTTGAGGGTTCATAGAGCCACCAGCTTGGGTATTGATAGACAAGGAAGGTGTAGAGTAAAGAGGACTGGGTGCGATTGGAGAAGAGGCGTATCCCGACTGAGAGATAGAGGCCTGTGGACCATAGCCGTAGTTTGCATATGCATCACGGTTGGAATTAGCGTTGGAAGACGAGTTTTGTTGAGGAAAAGTAGGCGACCAACGAGCCTTTTTCGCATCTGGGCCTCCAACAGGTTCCATGGACCTCTAACAGGACAACACAAAAAAGGAGTTGTTCAGAATGAAAATATGAGAACGTTGGTGAAAAAAAATACCTTCATCATATCGAGATCAAAGCCGTAAGAAGGATACTGAGAAGCAAAAGCTGTCTGGGATTCGTCCATGGTTGCGATAAAGAGAGTAAGAGGACAAGGAGGACAATGTTAAGGGACGGATAAAAGGCAGAAAAAGTCAGAAAAAAAGGTAAGTAATTTTAGTAGGGAGCGTGGAGAGGAGTGCGCAGAGGCAAAAAAAGAGTGTGGAGGGTTGAAAAGACACGCACAAGAAAAGAAGTGCGATAGATAAAATATCCAGAAAAACGAACAAAACGTCTCTGGTAAAGTAAGAATCTGAAATGCCACGGTCCCTTCAATGCGAATTCTTCTCACCATCAACGTGCACGGACCAAGCCGGTCCGTGATGTCGGGCGCGTTGGGCGCATCGGATCACTTAGCGGCAAAAAAGAAATTCAAGTCTCAAGACATGAATTCGACTTTCTACCAGTAAAAGGAACTACAGTACAGGTATATGATCACGAGTAGAACAGACAGGCATTCCACCCCTTCCAAAAAACAAAAAACAGTTTTCAATCCCTTCTTCTTACAGTAGGTTTCCTCCGCGGCAGATTCGAAACATGAGGCTGTAATGGTCCCTTCGTCCCAACTGCCGCAGACGCAGGGGACCAAAACAACGTAGTGGACGCATTGGCCGACGCCGTTGACCCGAAGAGTCCAGAACTCGAGGACGCATATCCTAGTCTCCCAGTACCAGGATTGTACAAGTTGTTGCCGGCAATTGTGGTCGAAGAAGTGTTATTGTTAATGCCTCTCTCAGTGGTATTAAACACTGCTGCTGCCGCAGTAACTGCAACTGTATGAGTCTCGTTCCCGACAGCGTAACCATACCCGAACTGAGCCGGAGCAGGCATTTGCAGCGTCATCCCCAAATCCACGCCTCGTCGTCGATGAAGAGGACCTGGCCGAAGCACTAATGGAGATGGAGTGCTTTCAGAAGGGAATGGGACAGTGTTCAACCTAATGGCAAGCGACATTGCTATAACGTTGTGGATTTGCTTGATAACGATGTTGTTCAAATAATTAGAGATTGTTAGAACTTTGCCTCTAGAAACGTGACAACCCTTACTTTGGTATCAACGAAGGTTAGTGGACGTTTGTAATCTGCTGTAATGCTCGTAAAGATATTCCTGCGAAGGTGAGATGCACGATAGGACCAGCCTAGAAGATGCAACTGAGGAGAACCCCACGTCAGTCATCCCCTTTTTATATAGTCTCGGAAAGCACTGAACACTCGGCAAGTCTTCCGCAACTGATCAAACCAACGATCAGGTCTAAAACGGCATTGAATTGGTGCAATATCCCCCATTATTCCGGGCGCGTTGAATGAATTCTGTGCCATGGAAACTCAGTATACCTACACACATACAGTTCTTACAAATTGTGATGCCTGAGTTAAACTTGTATGCTTATAAGCTAAGCTGGACTTGATCGTGAGCGGAACTGAGAGTCTTAGTTCAGCTTTCTTCGGAGACTCGATTCGACGCCGAGAACTCCTTCAAAGCCGTACAAGGCCTTCAGAGCCGGAGGTCAGTACACGGAAATTCGGGTATACGACCTCTCTTCCGATGGACGTTCCGGATTATTCTCATCGATTGGTGGCCCTATGTAGGGCTGTACTTGCATAGAACAAGTTCGGTAAGAAGATACAGGTATTAATCTGTATTGATGTTTCAGCCAAGCCTGAAGGAGAGGAGAAACGAAAATGATCCTGAATGATTGTCTCTGCGATTGACAATGAGCCAGCGCCAGACCAATCCGCCAACCATCGTCGCAGCGAAGCACATAGCAAGGGCCGCCTTCACGATGTACATGACTCCACAGTAACTCTTAGCTCTGTCGTATACTACTATTTCCGATCTATGTAACACTGCTTCTCGGGAGGGTGATTGCGACGATCAAAGACGTACAACGGAACAACGCAGACTATGTACTAACACAGAGCGTGCAAGATTTCCAAGTTGGGTCATTTTTGTTTCCGGATCCCGAAGCCTCTTGTCCCGGCAAAGGTAGCTACTGGTAGCTAATCAGTCAGGACGATCATGAGGAGAATGAAGCCAAGCACCTCCTTTAGCAGACAGTTGAATATGAAGCTTGAAGTTTGAGCCTCAAGGGCAGCCGCGAGCCGACGAGTTTCAAGGAGTTGAACTGTAGGTACTAGTAGATCACATGCGATTGTAGGCCACTGCACCACCGTGCATGGCAAAAACTCGGCTCCCTCCTTGTGGGTTATTAAATATTAATTGAATATTATGGAATCAAAAAACAGGGGCGCCTTTCAGGCGCCGACATTGATTTTCTGAGAAAAGCAGAATAAAAGTTCATATAATTGCCCGAATTCAAGTCCGGCACTTAAATTCTTGCCGCTCCCTAAATTGGAGAGATCCTGATGCGATCCCTCCGCTTAAAGCAGTGACAGCGCTTGGTCTGCGCTCGAGCTGGTTCATTTCTCATATCTAGTGCGTACCAGTGCGTACCAGGTGCGTACCAATGAGTGTGTGGAGGATTGTATACATTCAGGAGCATTAGGGCAGGAAATTGCAGAAAGTCACGCCACTGGGTGGGGAGGATTTCTGTTTACCTCAAGTGAGGCATCCAATGGGAGGAATGGGCTGTAACCACTACAGCAACTAATTGGAACTAAGTCATAGCTTGTTGGACATGTATACTGTATACTGCAATGGTCGAGCTAGTCAAAAAGGTACTGTGAGAGGATGTGATTTGTCTTCCCTATAGTTTTTTTTTTCCTCTCAGAAATAACAGATAGTAATGTATACAATTCTCTTTTTGCAGAAACATGTTTGTTCGAGAGTGCAAGTGAATTCAAGTTAACGGATGAGGTGAAATTGCTTGTCGTTCAGCTGGTCGGGTCATTTATGCTAACGAGCTAGCACCCGGACTAATTGAATACCAAGCAATTCAATCGTGCAATCATCATGGTTATGGTTCATTGTGACAACCGGAAGAGTTACCAAATGCCGCCTCAGCAAGTCATCCTTAAATTCACCTTAAATTTAACTCAAACATTTGAGTTAAATTTAACGGCTAGCTTAAATTCTCTTAAATTCGAGTTTACTTTCTACTTACGATGACTTAACCTCCTAGAATGCAACTTACTATCTTGACCAGAAAATCCAAGTAGTTATATTGACGATGTTATGCACTCATTCTTCTCACTCATGAGCATGCATCACACTCATTCAATTGATCTAAGCCCACTCAGATGCTAGTTGGCTTTCCGTAAGCTTCAACAGTGAAGGGAAATCCATGATCTAGCTTCAGAATCGCGTCAATATTGCACAGACATTTACGTGACATGATCACATGACCCGTGTCGACGTTTTACTGTAACACCCAACAGTGAATTCAGCTCTGGTCAAATTTCTTTCCTTCCATCTGTATTGCATTGTACTACTTGCTCACACTGAACTGACCACCTCAAAGCTGGTCACGGCCTGAAATAAGGCGCGGCGCATCCGGAACCATTGTGAAAAAGTTATGCATTGCTTACTTCCCATCTTGCTCTTCTCGTCCTTTTGTGAATCTCAAATCATACCAAAGCTATAGAAGCTGTTCTTGTACTGGCATCAGCTATCAGATATTAGAAATGCATTTGGCTATTGTCCATTGTCACCATTATAAAGTGAGCTCTATCATTTTTGTCATAACTTGTGGCACGTCTCATCGTCTTCTTATATTATTGTGATAGATGAGCTGAATCAAGCTATAATGTACTCTCATTGTGGAAACATAAGTTCCTTTGACTATCTCAATACAGTACTACACAATCATATGGCAGTTGGTACTTAGCTCTATGTTCTCGAAGTGAGTCCTCTAATTTATGTACACATTTTCCTTGTTCCTTATTGTGGTTTGCTCTTAACATATGTATTAGGCTCCTTCCAATCTTATCAGTCATGTATATGAGTGCACAAGACTCTGGCAGCAATCAAGTAGTACATTTGGTGTTTTGAGCATCCTCGAGGTGAGGTTTGTATTCTTGATATATTTCACTTTCTAATTGCACATAGTTTTGAATAGGTTCAACTAACTTATCTTAACCCTCTTTACTAGCAAATTCAACCTGACCAAACTCTGGTGATGGTCAATATCTGGGTTCACTGTTCCCTGCACCCTCGAGGTCAGTTTTGAAATTTTTTGCATATATTTTGCGTTTCTCATTGCGTTTTGCTCTAAATAGGCTTGTTGGACTCGTATTCACCCTCGCTACCCGGGTATATAAGCTGCAGAGGGTCCGGTGGCCATACGACTGTTCGCTCACTGTCCCCTGCATCCTCAAAGTAAGTTTTGGAATTTTTTGCATATCTTGTTCGTTTCTCATCGCGTTTTGGTCCCAATAGGCTTACTGGACTCGTATTCACCCTTGCTACACGGGTATATAAGCTACAGAGGGTACGGCTGCCATTTGATGGTGTGCTCACTGTCCCCTGCATCCTCAAAGTGAGTTTTGAATTTTTTGCATATCTTGTTCGTTTCTCATCGCGTTTTGGTCCCAATAGGCTTGCTGGACTCGTATTCACCCTCGCTACATGAGTATATAAGCTACAGAGGGTACGGCTGCCATTTGATGGTGTGCTCACTGTCCCCTGCATCCTCAAAGTGAGTTTTGGAATTTTTTGCATATCTTGTTCGTTTCTCATCGCATCTTGGTCCCAATAGGCTTGCTGGACTCGTATTCACCCTCGCTACACGAGTATATAAGCTACAGAGGGTACGGCTGCCATTTGATGGTGTGCTCACTGTCCCCTGCATCCTCAAAGTGAGTTTTGGAATTTTTTGCATATCTTGTTCGTTTCTCATCGCATCTTGGTCTAAATAGGCTTGTTAGACTCGTATTCACCCTCGATACACGGGTATATAAGCTACAGAGGGTACGGCTGCCATTTGATGGTGTGCTCACTGTCCCCTGTATCCTCAAAGTGAGTTTTGGAATTTTTTGCATATCTTGTTCGTTTCTCATCGCGTTTTGGTCCCAATAGGCTTGTTAGACTCCTGTTTACCCTCGCTACCCGTGTATATAAGCCGCGGAAGCTACGGTGGCCATACAGCTGTTTGCTCACTGTCCCCTGCATCCTCGAAGTAAGTTTTGGAACTTTTTGCATATCTTGTTCATTTCTCATCGCGTTTTGGTCCCAATAGGCTTGCTGGACTCGTATTTACCCTCGCTACCCGGGTATATAAGCTACAGAGGGTACGGCTGCCATTTGATGGTGTGCACACTGTCCCCTGCATCCTCGAAGTAAGTTTTGGAATTTTTTGTTTATCTTGTTTGTTTCTCATCGCATCTTAGTCTAAATAGGCTTGTTAGACTCGTATGCACTCTCGCTACCCGTGCATATAAGCCGCGGGAACTACGGTGGCCATTTGAGTGTGCGCTCACTGTCCCCTGCATCCTCAAAGTAAGTTTCAGAATCCTTTGTATATCTTGCTCGTTTCTCATCGTGGTTTGCTCTGAATAGGCTCATTAGACTCGTGTTTACACTCGCTACCTGCGAATATAAACTGCGGAAAGTACGGTGGCTGTTTTAGTGTGCGCTCACCGACCCCTGCATCCTCAGAGTAAGTTTTGGATTTTTTGATATATCTTATCCGTTTCTTATCGTCTTTTGGTCTAAATAGGCTTATTAGACTCGTATTCACCTTTGCTACCCATGTATATGAACTGCCAAGGCTATGGTGGCCATTAATTTTGGTTCGCTTTGAATATGCCTAGTGGACTCATTTCAACCTTCATCCCGCTTATTTGACAGGACAAGGATATGCAGCTATTGAATACTATGCTCCTATGGTTGTCCATGGCTTGGGGAGTCTTGGCTGGCAGGGCAACTACTTTTGCATGAACTGACTGAGGATAATAAACACTAACAAATAGGTCATCCCCCCAATAGGAGCTACTTTCATTGTAAACTTGTTCTGCGATGAGTGAAGTGGAACTCCTAAAGGTAAGCCCTGATTTTTCATATAGCATCCATCTATGTATCACTGATATCCTGTATAGTTCATAGGCCCACCGCATGACTTCCAATCATTGGCTTCTCTCGCAGATTTGACCATGAATGAAAAGGGTCGACAACTATCCTTGGGCATTGATGCACAGTGAGACCTTTTAGCCACATTCTATCGCTTTTATTCATGTATACATCAGGTACTGGCTGTATCAGGCCTACCAGAATGTCTGTCAATCTGGTGGTCCACCCCGGAATGAGCAAATATTGGAGTTGTCGCTAACTTGGGTTACAGTGTTGCATTCCATGGCTATCGATGCTGTGTTTGTCTTCACTGGACCGTTTGTACTTGATCGCGTTGATGGTTTATATGAGGCTTCCATTGATGCAAAAGTCATCTCGTCGTTTCAATGTGCTATTCTTGAAAAGGGCTTTGAAATACACCATGTGAGTTTTCTCCCTCCGATTTCAATATTATCGAGTTGAATATATTGTAGTCATTGAAAGATACAGGTGTAGAGCTTGGGTACCTTGAGGTGGATGGTATTTTGAGTAATGATGTCCATGTTTTCTTTTCAATGGCCAAGATGATTCTTCGAAAGTAGGTTACTTTGATAAAATGACCCAATCCAATGGCTGACCAGTGAATTTCAGTGTCCTTCCCCTTAATAATCAATGCAACCTCGATGTATACTACCCGGAACATCTTCGAAGACGGGCCAACTATCCCATACGCCCAATTGGTTTGTTCCTAATTGCGATCCTCACAGGTTGCGGATATGCCCCGGTAAGCAATGATATCATCTTGTTGCCATGTTGTTGACTCAATCGAATCAGGGTGTTCCAGGTCTCACTATTGAGAACGCATATCCTCTTTCCAATACAGAGCTTGGGGTACTCCTTTGTCTGGCAGCTGAAGATTTGAAGCAAGAGCGTCTGGAGACATACCTTCGGGAAACCTGGAACCCAAAACTTAGACAAGAGCTGTCGTTGAACCCTCATGAATTCCTACCTTTGCAATTACCTATGATTGCTCAGAACGTAAATGCCTGTTTTCCGAATAGCCTCATTGTTAGATATCTGGCTCCCTATGTAACTTACAAAGGAACATTCTCGTAGTACTCTACAAGAAATGCAATAGTTGAGCACGTCGAACTTGTTTCTGTCAGTGATCGAGATTCAAGATGTGAAATATTGAAATGAAATGTTTTGTTTTTTGGCGATCTCTCCCTTGAGAGCTTAATCTTTCCTACCATACATTTCTTATAATGGCTGCTAATGCTAAACGCTCCACTGGCACAACAAGTCGAAAACAAATCTCGAAAAATTCCCCTATGAAACGCCTCGCTGACCTCCGGCAGGAAACAAAAATCAATACTACAACTAACATACGAGCAGTGAATACTGTAAAGAAGTATGCGGAGGTCGTAAAGCGGGGCCGTACATGGCTAGAGGAGTTCTTGAATGAAGAGGAGAAGGCAAAAGGCTGTTGTGAAGATGGCAAAGAAGACGAGGATCGTGAGGAAGATAACAATGACGAGAATGTGGAAATTGCGGACAACAGTAAAGCTAATCCAAAAATGGCTACTGATCTTCGAGGCTGTCTTGATGGAAAACCGAACCAGAATACCCCAGAAGCCATCGCCTTATTTATGTCGTGGAAATGTTACAATGAAGGCAGGAAGGCTGCAACAGCAAATCAGATTCATGCCGCATTCAAATATCATTATACTCATTTGTATGTCAAAAGTGATTATCTATCTCTGGGGGCGTCTCACTTTGATATTTAATAGAAATGGTGACAAGTATCGTGGTGCATGGCGATATAACGAAGCTCTTCAGGAGTGGGTCGGAAACCCCTGTGATTCTGCCCAAGTCGGAGACCTACACGAAGGGTGTAAACGCAAAGATGGTGAAGCTGAGCGACGTCATTCCACACCTGCCAGTATTATCATCATGCAACGGCTTTATGCGTTCTCGATTTCTACTTGTCCCGATAACTATCTGGTCGTTGATGCGCAATCACTTGCCTTCAAGACTCGTCACTTACGATTTCGTGCCTATTCATCTCTGGGATTCACTATATGGACAAGGTTTGATGCCTTTGGTATATATGTTTCATACATCCTAACGATTCTGAGTTAGAAACAGTGAAACATCTGGTCTTCAAGCAAAACATATTGACCGTAATCCACTTCCACGACCTGGTGCAACTCCAAGTGATCCTCCATTCATTCAAGTCAATTTAAGGGATCGTAAAAATTGGCAGAAAAAGCAAGCAAAGAATGAGACTCAGCTGAATGGTATACTCAGGTACAATGTTTGAAGCAAAGTTCCGGTTTACTGAAATCCCAATGATAGGACATCGCTACAATTTATACCCTCAGAAGATTCGGGCAATATGTGCCTATACTCATGTCTCAGTATGGATGGACTTTAGCGAGAAGCACATTCTCAGGAGAAAGTACGAACCCGAGGATTACATTTTTCCAAACATCAACGCAAATGGTATCACTGTTCAGAATCAACCAGTAACACCTGAAGCTGTTCAGAAAATGATTGATGAGTTCACGTCATCTGCCGGTGTGCCAGGTGCATTCACGACTCACTGCTTTAGGCGTGGAGGTGCACAGTATCGCTTCATGTTTGCACCAATAGGTGAGCGCTGGACCCTTGCTCGAATACGATGGTGGGGCGGCTGGGCACCGAATGAGAAGGTGAGCTTGCAATTCAAATTATCTTATCATAGTTGACAAGTAATGGCTACGTTGCAGTGTGATACCTTGATACGGTATCTATTGGATGAGTTGAATACATATGAAGAGGATCACAGCGACGCTCTTGCCCCAATTGACCGAAGAGCTTCCGAGTCTCATGCTGGCGAGGCCGCTGAGATGAGTCCTGTATCTGCCGCTGAATGTCGAAGCCTTTTCCAAACTCAGTCCTTGTTTATCGAGAACACCATCAAAAAGGAAGTAATCGCAGCACTGACAACTCCTCCATCATATAATCAAACCAATCATGTGTATGAATCTCATTTTCTTGTTATTGGTATATATATCTAACAAGCGGATATAGATATCTGCCCTATGCTACACCTGGACAAACGCAGGGCTACAGATTGCCAGTATCGCCTGTATATCAATCTATCAACAGCACCAATATTCCTCCGAAATTTCCACACTCTTCTTTTCTGCCTATTCGTAACACACAAATCCCTTCGAGTCTGATCTACTCTTCCGCTTCATTTGTCCCAGTTGTGGGAGATCACCAAACAACATATATACAGGCTGCATCATCGTCTACAACACAATCCTCATTCTTACCTGATCTCACCCATGTACCGACTATCCCGAATATACGACCTGGTCCTGATGGATGGAAACAGGTTGTCCGTGACTGGGATCATGCAGACCCCAGTCGTAACCACCACTATGCACTTAGAAATTGGAAGCCGGAATGGGCCAAGGAAATGAAGCTTGCATCCATTTATAACAAGCGCAAGCTTATTGCAACTGAATTCATCGAAGAGTACGTCCATCTGTCATATTCAAGTTTCACGCAATAAGATTCAATAAAAACAAAAATTCAGGTTTGAGCGTGATGAAGAGAGATTCAAGCTTGCATATCCCTCATACAAGAAGGGAATCGAACAGTTGTTACATGAGATTCGTAAGTCTCGTCAAGATCGAGGCCTCATCAAACAGCGTAGAGGCAAGCATTTGCGAAACCTTGATTAAACATACTCATTAGACTCTTAATATATACTGTAGTTTCTATATTCTTTGTTTATACATATACTAATATAGAAGATGAATGTTTTGGACTAGAGTTGAGAGAAAAACAAGACACCCGAAACATCCTCCCTCGCTTCTCAATACCTTGCCCTCTCATTGTCTGTCCTTCCTCCCTGCATTCAAATCTACTCCCACATACCTCGCCTCGCCTCCTTGTTGTTGGTCCTTCCTCCCTACATTCAATCTATTCTGCCTCCTTGCCGCCTCCTCGTTGGTGCCTGTCCTTCCTTCCTCCCTTCATTCAATCCTATTCCCTCACCTCTCTTGCTTTATTCCTAGCCTATTCTTCTTCGCCTGTTGTCGTTCCCTGTATCATGGCGACAGAGAAGAAAAAACAGATAGAAAACGACGATGGGGAAAAAACCGCAAGCGGACAGCTGGCAGTCATGTGTCGAAATCCGTCCCGGGATCCGAACCGCCCCGTAATGAGACCGTGGGGACGAACCGGTAACGTTACCCTGCTCACCCGATCAACTCCGATCAGTGATTTCCACCCATTTTGGATCCGTACCGCGGCCCCGCCCGGCAGGATCAATTTCGCGTGGACCGTGGGCAGAACACGTTAAATTCTCCGGAATAAATTTACTTAAACTATCTTAGTATCTACAGTCATTCCCATGTCCTTTATACATCTGATGTCCTTTATACAGTAGCCCCGGAATGATGAACAGTGTCCCTTTTTGCCTTCGGAGTTGTGATATATCTTTGGAAAAATGCTTGATACATGATATCCGATACTTTGTCAGATGAAATTCCCTAAAGTTTGAGTTATGCTCGCTGTATAATGCCAAAATACACCAAAGTTGAATTTTATACAGCAAAATGCTGAACTAATAGATGACTTATGACTAGAAAAAAACTCCATGGGCAAGGTATGACAGTAAGGAGTACACTAGAACATGCAGATGGAACTACAGATGAATGTCATGTCCAGAAATTCTCGAAAACAGGTTTTGGATGCAAGGACGGAGCTGACCATGTCACATCACGCTTCCTAAAATGGGGCGCATGATCAGACAACTGCATTCAATTACATTGATTATCAATCACCCAGTATGTAAATCACTGTCAATGTGACCACTGTATAAAGGAGCCTGTATGGACTGATAACGAGTTTTTACACTGATAAGCTTGATCGCATGCATTCCTATCCTGCCTCTGCAAATTCTTAGAGCACATATGGTTCAGTATGATTTATACCTACTTTCTATCAAATCAGATTTGAAAACAATGCTTTGCTTGCCCATTCCGAGGTGCAACTAGATTTGACTGTATAAAGGAGGTGGGAATGACTGTATGGAGTAACAGGGAGTAACCGAATGAGACGAGAAAAAGTAATCGTGACAGAGGGTGACAGTCCCGTGATATCCCGTGCCGGTCACATTTAAATGAATGTATTCCAACAGAATGTGACTGAGTACCATATATGGAGAAACTCCTTCCAAGTAAGCAAAGCGAAATAGCATGACGCGACCTACATAAGGACGAGTCTTCCGTAAACTACAGCCTTGTAATTTGGATGATACGAAATTGTGACACTGGGACAGGAGATTGATGAATTACACTCGAATTACACGCCGAAACTTTATAGGGTAACCGGGAAGTGCTTCGTCGAAGATGGAATTGTTTTGAAAGGGGTACCAGCATCTTTCAGTATCCCGGACTGCAGTGGTTCTGGAATCCGAGCATCTATCGAATGAAAGAGTCGTTGGGTAATGATAGATTTTCCTTGAAAATTTTCAAGTTCCAGACAATCCGAGTGAGCGAAAGGTGAAGATTGTTAAAGAGTACGTTTTCATAGAAACAAACTGAGATTTTCGAAGTTGTGGGAGAAGGGAAATATTCTAATATGGAAATGTCAAAGCGCATCACTTGAATGACGTAGTTGGGGAAAAGCTCAATGACTTTCAGTTAAAAACTCCAAACTTTGCTCCTCCCACAAGCATTTGAGATTGTTTTGGAGATCAACCAAGTTCTCATACTCACATAGCTATAGCATAATTCAAGAATCTTGTCAAGATTCTAAATTCAACGCGTCGTATGCGCTTCAACTATTTGTCTGCACTCTAACCACTCTAACATCCTTATCGCTTCACGTCGTCTAGCGACTCACTATTCAATACAGCCTCTAGGCAACTCATCAAGTTCTGTTGGAGACCATGACATCTACCCTTCCACCCCTCGTCCAAGCCGTGGCTGGCGCTGTAGGCAGCGCATCAGCCAATACTCTGACATACCCTTTGGATCTAGTCACAACAAGAGTGCAACTATCTTCTCCCGCGGACAAGGGCCTTAACGCTAACGTGCAGCGATCAGGCAAGGGGAAGCAGAAGGAACGGGAGCAGGAGAATGCGCTTGACTTGAAATCTCCGCACGTATTCACGAAACAACTCGAAACCTCCACTCGATTCCAAGCAGTACGAATCCTACGCTCCATTATCCAATCAGATGGTGTCAGGGCGCTTTACGATGGTTTAATGACTGATACAGCGAGTACGCTCATTTCTAAGTAGGAAACACGGCTCTCAAGAGATGGTTCCAGCTCTAATTCTTCCACTGCTTAGTTTCTTTTATTTTTATATTTATTCATTCCTTCGTAAACTCCTCATCCGGCGTATCGCTGGATCTCAATCGAGCAGTACATCCCCATTGAAGGGGTCATCATCTACGAAACCTCTTCCTTCGATTAAATTAGCCGTATGGCAAGATCTTGCGTTGGGATTCATGTCCGGCGTTGCTTCGCGAGCAGTGTCGATGCCGCTGTCTATAATTACTCTGCGACTACAAACAGGCCGACATGAGGACTCGTATGAGTCTGGTATGGTCAACCAAGAGCCTGAAGCAAGAGGGAATGCAGTAATTCAGACTGTGAAAAAGATTTACGAGGAGCAAGGATTCAGCGGATTCTGGCGCGGTATGTTACTGTCTCGCTTTCGTGGATTGCCGCTCCTGCTAATCTTAGTCCGTCGTGACAGGCTTCAATACATCGATCCTGCTCTCGCTAAATCCATCAATAACACTGGCGTTCTTTCAGCTCCTCCGGCGATTGCTAGCATTGATTCGTCGACGACACTCGAATTCTCAACCAGTTGTGATAATGGATCCTACTCCGGGTGAAGCTTTCTTCGGCGGGGCAATCTCAAATTCAATTGGTAGGTTGAACGTACGCTTTGTTATAAAGATCGTCCAATCTCAAAGATCCCCGGTTATCATGATCTTTGTTTCTTTAGCTGTAACGCTGCTGTACCCTCTCATTCTCTCCAAAACACGCCTCCAGGCCTCGCGTAGTAGGTCAACTAATTCATTTGGATCCGAGTCTCAGTCAACGTCGAGGCCGAAGACGCTGGGTGCTGTTATGCTTGATGCGTACTATGGGCGATATCATCATGGTACGAGTAGTATTAGAAGCACCAGTGACAAGCAGGTTCGCCGGGCTAGTGGCATCAACGGCTTATATCAAGGTCTCGAAATGCAGATACTAAAGGGGTTCTTAAATCAAGGTGTAACATTTCTTGTGAAAGGGCGGTGAGCATTCAATATATAATTTGTTCTGGGTCCTTGCCACACTTTTTGGTTCTTCGGAACTTTGAAGTACATTTCGTCAATCCCACTGTTACTGGCCTCATCCTCTCATTTTTTATGATACTCATTTGATCTGTATTTCATTCCATCTAGGATCGAACAACTTCTTATCGAAGCATACATGAGGCATAAACGTCTGGGAGCTTCGAACCTATCAACAATACCGAATTTACCACTACCCACTATCTCTATGCCTTTCTCTAATGATCCTCATCGTTCCCTCGAAGCGTGGAATATTGTTGAACATGTTGGAAGGAGGTATCTCTGAATATGTATAATGCATATATACATATGTTAGTACTGTCATAAAGTACGCAGCCCCTATCATTTTCCTTTTCTCACCGTCTCGACGCCTTTACTTGTACGATACATCATCCCATCACTGTCAAACCCCCATCGATTACTGATCCACCTGACCCATCTTCTCTTTCTACTGGCTTCCGCCACCTTCCTTGTTCCTAAACTGTACAGTATTACATCGTTGTTTCTCGCAGACCGGATTATGTATATATAGCCAACCCTCCACAGCCTGATCCCTTATCTTGACCTCTCTGTCATTATCTGGGACCAGGTATGTGCTTACTTATTATTACCTATGACTACGATACTCAATATATCTCTGTCATTATCTGGGACCAGTTTGCCTCCGCTCCGCTTAGTTGCTCCGCCTCGCTGACCTGCTTAGTCGCTCCGCCTCACCGTCTTGCTTAGTCACTCCGCCTCTGCCGCTTCGTGACATTAGGTCAAGATCCATTACTGCACTGACAGCCTACCGATAAGGTTGTCCTTGCAGGATCTATAGACACCACGTCTTCCCCAGTTCCACCCGATTCTGAAACACCTGTTGCCAGTATAGACTGCTCCGCACTCCCGCACGCACTTGACCCCAGAGACCAAGCTCACGCCCATAACAACGACGATACTTGGCGCGATTGCCAGTCTCAACCCTGCCCCAACGCCCTTTCGAACTCAATCCGAGAGCCACTCACTGTGAGCAATATAACTTTCCTGCCGATTCCTCAGCCCCGATTGCCTACTCCCATCATGTCGACTCCTGTCCCACCTGCTCCAAATACCTCTGCGGAGGATCTCATGGCTCAGCTCATCAGACAAGTAGCCAACCTTGCTACAGCTATGGAGGAACGCTCATCCTCTAAGTCAAGCATGAACAAACCCGAGGTCTTCAAGGGTAAAGATGGCGCTGAAGCCCGTCGCTTCATGGCTCAGTTCCAGAATTGGGCGTCAGAACAACCTGATCTCGCCAAAAGCCAAGTCAAACTCATCAAGTCTGCCTTGGGCTTCTTCACAGAAAGTGCCGGAGATTGGGCAACCCCCCATCTGCTACATTTCAATGCGGAAAATCCCCCTTTCGGAGGAAATTGGGAGGCGTTTCTGAAGGAATTTAGCCAACGGTTTGAACCAATGGACCCAGGTATGGAAGCCCGTAGCGAGATCAAGAATCTCAGGCAAAGTAAAGGACAGACAGTTGCGGAATTCGCTCAGAAGTTCAAGGACATCGGAGATCGGACTGAAATGTCTGATATTGACTTGCGGGAACGCTTCTTCACTGCATTACTCCCAGAGATCCGACAACACCTTATCACCGTAAACATTGCCCAAGGAATTGCTCCGACTCTGAAGGAGGCAATCAAACGGGCCATATCGGTGGATGTCTACCTGCACGATCCCACCATGACCGGCCGGAATTCTGGATATTCCCCCACACATACCGCTCACACTACTCCTGCTGATCCCCACGCTATGGACATTGATGCAACCCACACCAGTAATGGGAATACTAGGGAGGCATTCCTAGCTCGCATGCGAGGACGATGCTTCGGCTGCGGTGCCCAAGGTCATGTCAAGCAAAACTGCCCACACCGAGAAACCACCTGCCGTTACTGTGGACGCCGAGGACATCTGGAAGCAGTCTGCCAAGACAAATTCATGGGACTCGGACGAGACCGAGGCCGACGCCAGCAACCTCGACGCCAACAGATATCCGCTACGGTACCCGCGCCATTCTCCCTGTTCCCAAATGAATCCGTCCAGATCGCGTCCTCGACCCCAACATCTGCTCCTGCACCCGTAGCTGCTACTCCGAGCCCCCCTAACCAGGACTTTTCCAATCAGATTGGTCAAATAAGGGAATTACTTGATCGTGCTAATGCTATGTCCTCCTCGTCCTCTGGCTTTCAACAGGGTTTTTAAAGAGGGTACCCGCTTCGGCTGCACCGAGAGTACCCCGTAATCAGTTTGTTATGTTCGCTACTTCCTCGTATGACTCGCACCCATCATGTACAATATCGTCGATCCGGGAATTAAACTCTACTTCCCCACATTTCCGAATTCATGCGAGACTAAGAGGAAGGAATCACAGTATAACAACTGCAGCCATGGTAGACTGTGGAGCTACCGCCCTGTTTTTAAACCAAGACTTTGTCACCCGGAACCATGTAAGATGTGCACCCCTCCATAAACCGATCGACGTCTTTAATATCGATGGAACACCTAACCGAGCTGGACGGATAACCCATTTTGCACGTCTAGCACTCACAGTGGATAATCAAGAGCGATGGATGGACTTTCTGATCACCAACCTAGGAGGTGAAGACATCATCCTTGGACTTCCCTGGCTACGGAAGGTAAATCCGGAGATTGATTGGGAGAAAGGACGACTTTCAGTAAAGCCTCCTCGAGTAACGATAGAAGAAGTCCCAGACGAGGAGATCTTGTACTCTCATCTAGCCGCCACTCACACAGAAACCCCGATCCTCGAACTCCCAGAACTGGAACCTCCCGCAGAAAACCCCCACATTGAGGTGCCACTAGAAGCGACCCTTGAACAGAGTGAATCAGTAGCGGTGGAAGAACCACCAATACACCGAATTCGAGCCAATCATAAAACTCGCCGGGCATGGGTAAAAGCAGGAATTCTAGAGGAACAGACGGAGGAAGTCTGGTGCGCCGCAGGATTCACTTACTCCCAGCAGCTAGCAGAGGAAGCCAACCGAGACAAACCCATTAAAACCTTCGAAGAAATGGTCCCTGAGCAGTATCGTGATTTCAAGAAGGTTTTCTCAGAATCCGCCTCCGAACGATTACCTGCCCACCAACCTTGGGACCATGCGATTGATCTCGTACCTGGAGCACCGGCAACCATGCGTACCAAGATTTATCCCATGTCCCTAAACGAGCAGGAGGAGTTGGATCGTTTCCTAGAAGAAAACCTACGGAAAGGCTATATCGTACCCTCAAAATCACCAATCTCATCACCGGTCTTCTTCGTAAAGAAGAAGGATGGGAAACTCCGTTTTGTACAAGACTACCGGAAACTGAACGAGTACACTGTGAAGAACCGATACCCTCTCCCATTAGTTGCTGACATCATTAGCCGACTTCAGGGAGCAAGATACTTCACGAAGTTTGATGTCCGCTGGGGTTACAATAACATACGGATTAAGAAGGGGCATGAATGGAAAGGCGCGTTCGCAACAACCCGAGGCTTGTTCGAGCCTAAGGTCATGTTCTTTGGTCTCACAAATTCCCCTGCCACGTTCCAAGCACTTATGAATGCTATATTTGCTGATCTCATTGCAGCCGGCAAGGTGGCAGTCTACCTAGATGACATCCTTATCTTCAGTAACGATCTCGAGGAACACCGACGAATGGTACGGGAAGTATTAACCCGGTTAGAAAAGCACGACCTCTACCTACGACCAGAAAAATGCGAATTTGAACAACAACAGATTGAATACCTCGGACTCATCATCTCAGAAGGGGAGGTGAGAATGGATCCGGTAAAAGTAGCGGCTGTTCGCGACTGGCCAGTCCCTACTAATCTTCGGGAACTACGAGGGTTCTTGGGATTTGCAAACTTCTACCGACGCTTCATCCGGAATTTTGCCAAAATAGCACGACCTCTGAATGACCTGACGAAGAAAGACACCAGCTTTACCTGGACTGACACTCAACAGAAAGCATTTGACACCCTTCGAGAAGCCTTCATCTCCGCACCGATCCTTGCTCTATGGACACCAGACAGGCCTACTCGAATCGAGGTAGACGCATCAGGCTTTGCCACGGGAGGCGCCCTTATGCAGAAGCAAGACGACGGCCAATGGCATCCAGTAGCCTTCAGATCGGCATCCATGCAGCCAGCGGAACGGAACTACGAAATCTACGATCGAGAGATGCTTGCTATCATTGAAGCACTGAAGGATTGGAGGAACTTTCTAGAAGGACTCCCTCAACCATTCGACATCATTACGGACCATTCGAACCTCGAATTCTGGCGCACTGCACAAGACCTCACCCGCCGACAAGCCCGATGGGCCCTCTATCTGTCACGGTTTGACTTTCATATGATCCACCGCCCTGGCAGAGTAAACACCCAAGCTGATGCTCTCTCTCGCATGGCAGTTCATCATGTATCGGACAGCGATGATAACCGGCAACAGACAGTCCTTAAACCCGGCCACTTCGTAAAAATTGCAGCTTCGATCCTACAGAACCCCTTAGAGGATCGTATCCGGAAAGCCTCAGAACGGGAAGCACAGGTATTGGAGGGTCTCAAAACAGTCAAAGAGCACGGACTACAGCGCTTGGCCAATGGGATAGCCGAATGGGAAGAGGACAATGGGTTGGTCTACTACCGAGGTCGGGTATACGTACCAGCAAACGACGACCTACGCACTGAGGTACTCCGTCAATGCCATGACCATCCAACTGCAGGACACCCCGGACTACACGGGACACTCGACTTGGTCAGCACCCATTTCTGGTGGCCCACGCTGCGCTCTTTCGTGGAAAAATACGTTGAGGGATGCGAGGTTTGTGCCCGTAAGAAGATCCAACGACACCCACGGGCCGTAACACAACCATTAGATGTACCATCTGGTCTATGGGAAGAGGTAGGGGTTGACCTGATAACGCAGCTACCTAACTCCCAAGGCTACGATGCCGTCTTGGTCTGCACAGACCTGTATGGAAAACAAATTCACGCTATTCCTTGCACCAGCTCCATCACAGCCGAAGGCGTTGCCGATATCTACTACCGAGAGATCTTCCGTCTCCACGGTCTTCCTCTTCACTTTAAATCCGACCGCGGACCCCAGTTTGCAGCTAAACTCATGCGATCCCTTCTCGCTAGGCTAGGAATTAAATCAGATCTAACCTCCGGATACCGTCCTCAGTCCAATGGCCAAACCGAACGAGCAAATCAGGAAGTAGAGAAATACATCCGCCTCTATGTGGGACGACGACAAGACGACTGGGCAGAGCACCTTCCCATGGCGGAGTTTGTGATTAACTCACGAACTCATTCTGCTCTAGGCATGTCCCCGTTCGAGCTAACCTATGGCTATCTTCCCTTGTTCAATATCCCAGTGGGCCAACGCAGCGGTATTCCAGCTGTGGATGACCGTATACGGATTCTCCGAGAAGCGCGACAAGATGCTGGGGCTGCCTTACACCTAGGAAAGAAACAACAGAAGGAAGGATACGAACGCGGGAAGCGGAAAGCTCATCAATTTAAAGTTGGAGACCTAGTCTGGCTCAGTGCAGAGGACATTAATCTTCAGCTTTCCAGTGAAAAGTTAGGAGATCGACAGCTTGGCCCTTATCGCATTCTGGATAAAATTGGCCCTTTAGACTACCGCCTTGACCTCCCCCTATCCCTAGATCGCCTCCATCCCGTCTTCCATGTTGACAAACTATACCCCTGGAAAGGTAACTCCATTAACGGTGAAATACTAACACCACCAGAGCCGGTATACTTAGAGGATGAAGATGAACCGGAATACGAAGTAGAGGAGATTTTAGACAGCCGGGTTCGATGGAAGAAGTTGGAATATTTGGTTAAGTGGAAAGGTTACGACGCAGGGCACAACTCCTGGGAACCCGCAGCCAACCTCAGTCGAGCACCAAAAATTGTTCGGGCCTTTCATAAAAAACACCCAACAGCGGCAAAGCCTTGACCATCGAGGACAATGGTCATAAGGAGGGGGGTAATGTCATAAAGTACGCAGCCCCTATCATTTTCCTTTTCTCACCGTCTCGACGCCTTTACTTGTACGATACATCATCCCATCACTGTCAAACCCCCATCGATTACTGATCCATCGATTACTGATCCACCTGACCCATCTTCTCTTTCTACTGGCTTCCGCCACCTTCCTTGTTCCTAAACTGTACAGTATTACATCGTTGTTTCTCGCAGACCGGATTATGTATATATAGCCAACCCTCCACAGCCTGATCCCTTATCTTGACCTCTCTGTCATTATCTGGGACCAGGTATGTGCTTACTTATTATTACCTATGACTACGATACTCAATATATCTCTGTCATTATCTGGGACCAGTTTGCCTCCGCTCCGCTTAGTTGCTCCGCCTCGCTGACCTGCTTAGTCGCTCCGCCTCACCGTCTTGCTTAGTCACTCCGCCTCTGCCGCTTCGTGACAAGTACTGCGTTGTAGTTCTTGTAGTCTATGTATGCATACTGACTGAAAATTAAATGCGGAATGATTCTAAACGATTCCCCTATTTTTCTTCTGGCAAGGAAGGAAACTTACTCGAGGCAGAACTTCTTAGATACTGGCCTCGATTTACACCTAGAAGAAGTCGCGAAGACTGTACTACAACGTATTATGTACCTTGACATGTATTTCACCCCCTCCGCTCTCGCTGCAGTCTAGTCTACCTTCCCTTGTCGGATGAGCATTCGCTGCAGTGGGGGTGGTTGGGTCCGGCTGTTCCTATCTATCTATCTCGATGCTTTCCGCAGTGCGCAATTGATTTATAGATTTGTGTTGGTAAAAAGAAAAACAACACTGCTCCTGACCAGGATTGAACTGGTGACCCTTGCATAAAATGCTTGGGGAAAATAGACACCCATATAAGTACAATGCTCTAACCAGCTGAGCTACAGGAGCTGTATGAAGATTGTGAGTACAGAAAAGCACAACCGGAAAGGAACGGATTCTCGGAACCGGCCCGAATTATTCACTCAGTCGTTCTATGTCGTTCTATGTCGTCACCGTCTTCTTCATTAACAACCAGCTTGAGCTAGCTCTTCAGCGTTGTTCTCTGTGCTTTATAGTTTTTGATTGACCTTGATAACAAACTTTGTGGTGTTGAGATACTCTTGGTCTGGACTGGACCTGCATGTTGTGACAGGTGAGCGCTGTTATTTATTTGGATTCACGATATGCATGCTTATGCATGTGTAACATAAATTCTGGAACTTGTGTCCTTTCTACCACAGTGATCATGTATCTTACTGACAAGATTCGTCCTGCATTTGCCCGGACAACGGGCTTCCTCACAATCCCTGTCACCATTCTTCTAGTCCTTGTTTACCTCGCAGTCGCGCTTTCAACACTCATCACTGATCAATTACCCTCAGTTCCTTCCGCATCTACTTTGCATTCGCACTACGGAGGTTTGAATGTCACAGAAGCCTACAGGGACCTGCAAATTATCGCTGCACGACCACATCCATATCACTCGCACGCTAACGACATAGTACGCGAATACCTTCTGCAACGACTCCGCAACGTTCGGCTCCAATCCGGTTCACGCGACAACTTTATCATTGATGATGACGTGATTACGAATGGTAGCTGGTCCAGCAGCTTTGGTGTTTCCGGCTCTGGGAACTATTTCGAAGGAAACAATATCCTTGTAAAAATACGTGGGACCGCAGAAACCGAGTCTTCAAATCTTCCTCATCCTCCTCTTCCAGCTGTCCTTTTCTCTGCACACTACGACTGTGTATCAACAGCCTCAGGAGCGGTTGACGATGGAATCGGCGTCGTCACATTGCTCCAGCTTATACAATATTTTGCTACACATCCTCCTCGACGGGATGTCCTCTTTAACATCAACAATGGTGAAGAAGATGGCTTGAACGGCGCTCATATTCTTCTTGAACATCCCTGGATCAAGAACACGTCTCATATCGAATACACCAACCTTTTCGGATCCACGTTCCTCAACCTCGAGGGGGCAGGTAGCGGTGGGCGCCCTTTGATGTTCCGTGGTACTGATCATGGGTCTGTTAAGAGCTGGAGAAACGTGGAGACCCCTCATGCGAATATCATATCTGCCGAAGCGTTCAATCTAGGTCTTATTCGCAGCTCAACCGATTATACCGTTTACAATAGTCGGTTTGCCGCACCCGACCCACTGGACGCTGCAAAGTTTGCCCCTTTGAGAGGCTTGGACTTTGCCTTTTACCGGGGTCGATCAAAGTATCATACAAAGTACGACGCGCTTCCTTATATAGAAGGCGGTGAGAAGGCGTTGTGGGCCATGCTACAACCGGCATCTGCAGGTGGGATTGCTCTTGCCAACGATAACAATGTATCACTAGACGTTAATGAGAAGGCAGTGTATTTCGAGTGTACGTCTTCTGTCGATCTTTGGGACACCTTCGTTATTCTGAAATCTAATATTAGTGTTCAATTCCGTTCTCATCCTTCTACGACTCGCCGATCTTCTTACAATCAATATCACCGCACTCATCGTCGGTCCAATTGTTCTTATCCTACTTGCTATATCCGAATCTGCGCTAGCTCGCTCCCGTGCAGCCAAAAGACAGCGAGCGACCTTCTCTCCGAGTGTAGTGCATCCAGCGGAACTTGAAACAGAGTCGGCAGCCTCACAGATGCTTTCTCCAGGTGGTACCGTCGTGGAAGACACACCTTCTGAAAATGAAGAAGACGAGCCACACGAAAGTGAGACCGGATGGACTAAAGCCAAACGTCGATTCAATACGTCCTCTCGTGTTTTGTGGAAGCACGGACGGTACTGGGTTGCTTTGATCATTGCTATTGGAGCGCAAATCGCGTTGGTCGTTGGTTTTGTTAATCTTAATCCCTTCGTAAGTTTTGAACAAGGATGTCTGGAATAGCGACTGATCTATTGCACAGATCGTGCATGGATACCCTTCCATTCCTATACTATCTTCATTCGCCCTGTCAATCCTAGTCCTAGCCCTCGTCTTGTCGCCTCCTCTCATTAATGATCACGCTCGAATTCAGGTTCTCTCTCAGGCTCCTATCACGACTAATGTTCCTGCGTGGGAATCTTTCCGCACGCTTGTTGTCCACAGCTACATCTTGTCTTGGCTCTTAGTTGTGTTGTCCACTATCAGTATCACACAGTTCGGACTAGGCGGTATATTGTATATGGCTAGTGCCTGTAATGGCCTCACATGGCTCGCTGCGGTGATTTGTGGTATCGCAGGTTGTTTTGGTGTGGCAGAAACCGCAGAGCTACGGCTCGTTCACGTCTTCAGGGATGATACCGATGTCGCTGAGCAAGAGCAAGAAGAAACAGAAGTCAATGAGCGCACTCCTCTGGTTGGCCGGAAACATCTCCGCGTCATCAAGAACAAATCTAAATCGGGTGTCGACCCGGTCGAAAACCCTCGACCATATGTTCTGTGGATTCTTGTCCTCCTCATCTATGTTCCATTCCCTCTGATACTTATATCCCATATTGCCATTTTCCTCATCACTTCAGTGAGTCAAACGATGATTGATGGAAGTCCTGCCGTCACAGTCTACGCCGTGATATCTCTCATTTCACTTATTGCTTCTCTTCCTGCCATTCCGTTCATCGGCGCTCGGAGAGTGCATCGGTATCTGTTTTGGATATTGGGTCTCGTATGGGTCGTCTGCATAGCATTGGCGTGGATCCCCTGGTCCGGTCCTTGGGCTGGAAGTGTTGAAGGCTTCAAAGGCGGATTGTTCCCGTTCTCGGAGGATGCGCCGCTGAAGGTGTTCTTCCAACAAAAGGTGGATCTTTCACCCTCAGGCACCGACGTCAATCCAACAGTAAGAATTGTCACTACCCTCACAGGAGCTACACCGTTTGTGCACGATTTGATACTTCCTTTGATTCCATCCTATCTACACTCTTTGACCAACGGAAGGCTAGTTGGGTGCTCAGATAACAATGTTGACGAGAGAAAAATCGGGTTGGCAAACTGCAATTGGGAAACTTATAATTCGAATCTCCCATCGTTTGATGCGTTGAATATGGTACCTGTCGCTGCAGATACACTTGTTGTGCATGCGCAAAAGAATCACTCATCTTGGGACTGGGCGTCTACCACAAACCCTTGGTTCGAGGCTTACGGTAAATCCATGTCTTTCGATGAGACTCCCGGTGCTCGGTTTTCCATCATAGGAAATAACAGCCGAGCATGTAGGATATACTTCGATCAACCTGTTGAAAGGTTCCGTGTTCGGACTGTCGACGTGGAGAGCGATGTCGAGGTGAATAATGAAGTAGATGACGAGGCGAGCTGGGGGGTCCAGCGTGGATTTGAATCTGATCACTACAATATGTTGCGCCTTTGGACTCGGGCGTGGGGCAAGAAGTTTGTCGTGGATGTGCAGTGGTCCAACCAATTTTCTTTCGCGGGGCAGTATACTACCGAAACGAATTCGAGCCAAAAATCCTTCTTCGGAGAAACAACTACGCATACAGGACGCGTAGCATGCGAGTGGGCTGAATACGAAAGTGGAATGGTCGGCATGGGTTTGTCAACTTCGCCTGTACCATCATCATCTGGAGAACGTTTCCCGAGTGCAAAGATACCTGCATTCGAGGAGGTGTTGACCTACCTACCCAAATGGGCAGTGGCCAGCAAGTTAACAGATGGGTTGGTTGAGGTTGAGGAAAAGTTTGTGTTGTGATAAATGCTTTCTTTCTTGATTCTTTGGACTTATCTCTGCACTGTCGGATCCTGGATAACTGTATTATCTGATATCTTTTGCTAATGTATGTATCATACTCATGTTCGTCACGTACAATATGTTGTAATTTCTGCATTTTGTCAGTCTATTAGTGGCTTTGAACGACAACTGGTGAGGAAGATGTCCGTAATGCGCATGTGAAAATAAGGCAAGTTTCGGGCCGCCTTGGAAACTGACCGTGGACCGAATGCGGAACGCTTCCTCATTGGAGCCATGCTGAATATGTATGTAAGTGACGCGTTGAAACCGAACGACTTGTATGAGGGCTGTATCAAATACTGTTTGCTCTTTATCTTCCATTTCAAGGTCTCTACGGACTACTAGACTGGCTCTACTTTCTCAAACAACACTCATCTGGTGAATTTGCTGCTCATTTTTCGGCAAAATCGACCTGATCAATCATTTGGATATTTCTTTTGCCTTTACCACCGCTATAGACGCTATCGAGGTGGTCTTAACTCTTTTACAGCGATACGAAGTCGGAAGGATTGATAGCGAGAAAGAACCTTTGTCGGCGACGCGGCGAAGACTGGGAAAATACCTGGATAATTTTTTGTCTTCAAATTATTATCATCTCTCATTCGAGTGAATACATCGGTAAAGCTTTCTTCCTGTCTCCAATCTTCTCTGATACGCGAAATTCTGACTTCTATAAGTTCTATTCCTCTTATCTCCAGATATACATTTATCATGACAGATTGCGGTCGACCCGACTTCTGCGATTCTGCTTCTGCCACTTCATCCTCACTGGTCATCACGCCCGCTTCAGGCCACGATATTTTCAAGCCACCTACTCAATCTGGTTCTATTGTTCACCGATTTCAGCAACCTAAGAACGTCGACCTGTCAAATTCACCACAACAACTTCGTCTTCAGCAGCTTCCACCATATCTTCAATCTACCATGTATCAGCCTCAGAGTACAGGCAAAGGACCAATTCAGCCCCATGTCAGCAATCTTCCTAGAAGGAAACCAAGGCAGAGATCTGTAGGAACATTCCCCAAAGAATCACCCACGTTGGCGACACCAGATGCCGTTAAAGCGTTATCGTCCGCCTCAATTCGCACGAATGCGGCCAGATCTCCTTCACCCTCCCGTTCTTCCTCTTCTTCGTTATCTATCTCTCAACCTCGAGGCCCTAGAGCATATTTTGTTGACGACGAGCCATCACCCTCGGTCGCACCAATATACATTAAACCCTCTGTTTCTGCCTTCGAATTGGGCCATGTCATTCCTCAGTCTAAAGGACACATTCAACCACATATCACCAATATGCCCCGCCGGCGTCCGAGACGCCCCCATTCACTACTGTCCAGGATAGAGACTTCGGCTAAGCAACGTAAATTACGAGACAGAGAGAGATGGGAGAAAGCCAGATGCCTGCAGGAGGTGATTAAAGGATCCGAAGTATGGGTTGCATTCTGGGACTGGGAGAACGCCTCCGAGGAAAGTGACGATGAAGACCAGTCTGATGATTCACTTGCCGAAGAATTGTTACGCGCCGACCGAGTCATTCAAATTATCTCCCGAGAGCAGGAGGATCAGGGATATACAGAGGATTCGACTGCGTCGAGCGGTGGTGTTGAAGATGCGTTGAAAAACGTTCTTAAATTATTCTTGTCTCCTCAGGTAGTTCGTGTGCGAGATGATGGAGTTCCACATACATCTTTGGAACAGATGTCCCTAGCACGAGCCTTTCTATCCAATATCCATCCTCGCCGCACGGACAACTCGGCTCGAGCGACCTCTACTCTGATTTCCTCTGTTCCGCCTACACCAAGAACTGCATCTACACCATCTTTGTCGCGTAGTTCATCATCTTCGACTTCTCCATCTCCGTCATCGTACACTCTTACACCTTCATCGACTTCCTCGGAATCAAGGAGTAACAAACGTCTGCTCATCACTGTACCAAGTAAGGAGTTTGCTGTTGACGCACTTGCACTTGTCGTCATTGCATTTTCCTTGCTGGGAGATATCACATCATTGGCTACATCTGCAGATGAGACTGAGTCGTCTGTTTCACCTATTCTTGAATTCTTGAACAGCTTAAACGACTTGGAAGGACTTGATCCTCATTGGCGAGGTACATTGTCGTGCGACGGAATAGATTGGTTAGATGGGGTGCTGGGTATGATCAAGTCCAGCGGTGGCTCCAATCTAGAAGTATGAACTGCTCTTTACATCTGTTCCGTTTCTGGATGAACGTTTTTAGATGATTCTCCATCGCTGATGCTTTTTCTGTTGCCTGCTCGTTGGATATTTACACTCGCTGTACCCATGAACATTCAACTATGTATTGTTAGACCTCCTTGTTTGTACTAACATATATCTTGTCCTGTATTGACCATGTCTGGTTTTTGCCTGTGTTTTGTTCACCTTGCTTGCAACGGTCCTTTCTTACTCGATATTATAAGCGCGCGCGAAAATCTTCTCACGGTTTTAAGTGCTGGCCCTTTCACCACCTAAGCCTTCTGCTCTTCACCTTTGCTCATTCACACCTCTTCAAGTACACCAACATCTTTCAGTTCATCGGTTACCTACCTCACCTGTTCCAAAATCTATTTTGGCTCATTTACAGATTTCAGTCTTCCCTTACAACCTACCCTTTTTGTGGTTTTCTTTCCTGTTAGTGCCCTTATTATCATTCAACCTTTGATGGTTTTCTTCCCTGTTACTGCCCTTGTTATTGTACAACCTTTGAATATTGTGTTGCTCTTACAATTTTCTCCTTCAATCTGTCAATTCCATGCTTTGTAATACTTTTGCTTCCATTCACCTCACATTGTGCTTCTGCTGTCCAGTCACCTTACACTCTTCAATGTGCTTTTGTTGAGGCATTGGTAGTTTATGTTGTAGAGCAAACAATATTTGTAGTACAAATGCATTGTCTGTAAATGGTGAAGTTCACACAAATTGCCTGAGCTGTAAAATTTACAGTGTTAATGTATAGAGCACATATTATCATCATACAGTTCAACCAATAATAATGGCTAGTTTGCTTTCCTCAGCCCGGAACCACACAAGCAAGGCGTGTGTCCCCGGGGGGGACAATTTCCTTAGATATCAGCTAGATTTGTACATACACGTGGTGATTGTTCAAGGAAATTGTGCATATTATTCCTCCTTTCATTTGGATAGGATATGGATTATATTGGTAAGGTCCAATTCCCAAACAGTCTACCATGTACATGCGCTTCATACAGGGGAGGGGGGTGATCATGAATATCCATGTCCTGGTTGCAAAGCAGAAAAGAACCCTCCCATGGTACAGTGGTCAGCACATAGTCTCGCGGGCCAGAATTCACGATGAGTGAAGAAAATTTCGTTCACTCATAGTCAGCACAGTCTTCCCTGCCTCAACATGCATGTATAATAGTAGTCTGTAACTTAAACTTTATCCATGGATATCATGAGTATTGAGCTACATCCATAAAGGTATATTCGACCAACCGAGCCGTAGAAGATCGGGAGTTCACAGGAGTTCACAGAGTTCAATTTGTGCAAACTGTGTACCAGAGCAGTAGATACACAGGCTTCTTCAACCTCGCAATCACAGGAAATTACACCCACTGTAGCAATTCGAAGATAGAATTGGGCGTGCGTGCGGCTGCGCTGATAATCGAAGTCGAAAACGGGCTGCTATTATTGGTCAGCCGCACCGCTTTTCTTGATCACCTCCTCTCACGACGTGTCGCGTTTAACATACTTCACACTGACTTCACATTTTCTAACATCACCACGGGAATCAGCACCACGACGCTGAAGATTTAATGTCACATCCGCGCTTTTCATCCTTGGGAAACGGCCAAGGCTACGAACGTAAACGAACAAACTTGACCATAAATGCGGATCCTCCTCATGCTGCATCGTCCAGCGCTTCCGCTTTCTCTAGGCACCCGCAGAATTTCTCCCTACCCGCTGGATTGTCTATGGGAGGTTTCGGTCGAAGCCAGCGCTCTGCTTCGCCTCCAGCATCTGCGTATTTTCCTATGCTCTCAGCCGATCCCAATGCAAGTCTACGTCCTACAGCAGACGCAGATGCCCATTTTGGATACAGTACTACGTTCCGGAGACACCAGGTCGAAAACTCATTAGCTTCACCTCGCCACATCGCAACCGGAGCACAGAGTCTATGGTCCAAAGTACTCACAACAGTGACCGGCCAGCCGTCGGAAGAGGATCGTCTGGAAAATGGTCGTGAAACACCTGCACCTAGACGAACTGAAAGTAGTCATACAGCATCGGAAAAATTTGCACATGCATCGGTGGAAGTGCGCCTTGCTCACCTGTGTTTCTGTTATCTTGTATTGATCCTTTCACAGGACACCATAAATCACTTTCGAACTTCCTCTACAACTGGCTTGCTACTCTCTGATATTTCCCATCTTCTTACGGAATATGGCTACAACGAATTCTCCGTATCTGCGCCTGAGCCTGTGCTCATTAAATTTGCCAAAACTATCTACGAGAGTCCGCTCATTTTGCTATTATGTGGAAGCGCGACTGTCAGTGCAATCATGGGCAACATCGATGATGCAGTCAGTATCACTGTCGCGGTCTTGATTGTCTTAACTGGTGAGTTGCTCCCATGTGTCCTGATTGGGCGCTGACTTTCATATGTCTCGTAGTGGGGTTTGTACAAGAGCGTCGATCAGAGAAGAGTTTGGAGGCATTGAACAAACTCGTTCCGCATCATTGTCATGTCGTCCGGTGCGTTGGTAGACGTATTCCTCCCTCAATAATTACCTCATTCACAAAATTAGCTCGTCCCAAACTCATCACATACTCGCAAACGAACTTGTACCGGGAGACCTTGTTTCATTCAGTACCGGGGACCGAATACCTGCTGACATCCGTATAGTATCTGCTGTAGATTTGGAGATTGACGAAAGCAGTCTGACAGGCGAAACGGAAGCGCGAACTAAGGATCCCAATACCTGCAGTTTTGATAACTCATCACAGGGCTTTGGTGGAATTAACGGAGTCACTGTAGGTGAGCCCGTGGCATTAGCAGACCGGTCTTGTATCGCGTATATGGGTACTTTGGTGCGAAATGGTATGTTCTGAATCAGGTATATCACAAGCTGTTTCTTTCCTTCTTTCCACAGGTCGAGGAACGGGTGTGGTCATTGCCACAGGAACATCCACTGAATTTGGTATCATATTCTCCATGATGCAAGACGTGGAAGAAAAACGGACGCCGCTTCAATTGAGTATGGACGAGCTGGCCCAGAAGCTGTCGATACTTTCATTTGGAGTGATCGGGATGATATGTCTGATTGGTGTGCTACAAAGACGAAGCTGGTTAGATATGTTTACAATTGGTGGTATGTACCCTCGATTTTCTTTAGTAAATTTCGTTCCCGATGTCTCGCAGTATCCCTCGCTGTTGCGGCTATTCCGGAAGGTCTTCCAATTGTCACAACTGTGACATTGGCTCTCGGTGTATTGAGAATGTCGAAAAGGAAGGCAATTGTCAAGAAGTTGCATTCTGTCGAATCACTTGGTTCTGTGTCAGTAATATGCTCGGATAAGACAGGTTTGTGCTCAATCTGCTTAGTTATACGGTCCATTGAAGATGGTTATTCAGGTACTCTAACAAAGAATGAGCAAACAGTAACTGAAGCCTATGCCGTTGATGAAACCATCGTGTTGGATCCGACCTCGAGCAAATTTGTCAATGGGCCTTGGTCCCCTGCGTTGCTCAAGATACTGGATATTGGCGCTCTGTGTAACAATGCTCAAGTTACCCGAAACGATGACAATGCACCCGTGGTTGTTGGGCAATCAACGGATGTCGCGTTACTCAATATCTTGAGTGTGGTCGGTCTGACGGATAAGAGAAATGTGAGTCCTTCTATCCCTGCGTGAGATGTTCCAATTACAACTTCCTTCTTTTTCTACAAAGAATTTCAAACGGATCTCCGAACGCCCATTCAACTCTGAACAGAAATACATGGCCATTAGCGGCGTTCACCTGGATTCGACAACCGGCGCTGGTGGACGCGAAATGTGTTACTTGAAAGGATCTATCGAAGCCCTACTGGAGCGTTGCAAGTACTACTACGTCAATGAAGATTCGACCCCCCCATTGGATGTCAACATGCGGAACGCTATCTTGGGAAAAGCTCAAGCTGTGGCTTCGAGAGGCCTTCGCGTCATCACGATAGCATACGGGTACGGTTCTGTTGAGACTATAGCCCCATCCAAGGATTCATCTCGCTCAGGCTCACCCGCCATGAGTCGTTCTTCATCACCTAGTATGACTGCGTCTAATATGGTGTTCGTGGGTTTCCAAGCTATGTATGATCCTCCTCGGCCTGGCGTCAGAAACTCGATTGCAGATCTTCAGCAAGGTGGCGTCAAAGTCGTGATGATTACTGGAGACGCAGAACAGACAGCTCTGTCGATCGCTGGCAAACTAGGGCTAAATGTTGGACCAAGACATGGTCATGGCGGGAGTGTGGACCGTGTAACTCGAATGGGTGGTCATGGCCGGACTGGTTCCGTTGCAACTGCGCTCAGCCCGAGCACATATTGTTTGACTGGCAAGGCGATTGATCAGCTGAGTGAAGCGCAGTTGAGAGAGAGGATCGGGAATGTTAGTGTGTTCGCCAGGACGACACCCAGGCATAAAATGGCTATCATAAAGGCATTTCAGAGTAGGGGAGAAGTAGTTGCAATGACTGGAGACGGAGGTAAATTACCACTCTTGGGGCGCATGCGGAAGGACTGATATCCTAGGTAGTCAACGATGCGCCGGCGCTTAAAATGGCGGACATTGGAGTTTCTATGGGTAAATCTGGAACAGATGTGGCCAAGGAGGCTGCTGATGCTATTCTCGTCGATGATAATTTCAGCACAATATTATCTGCAGTGAAAGAAGGTGAGTTGACTACTTTCCGTCTTAACATAGATCAACTCATATCTCGATCTAGGGAAATCCATCTTCCATAATATTCAAAATTTTTTGGCTTTTCAACTTAGTACTGCTGCTGCCGCCCTCACACTCATCACATTGAGCACCATGTTGGGCTTCACCAATCCACTAAACGCAATGCAAATCTTATTTATAAATATTCTAATGGATGGTACGTTGAGTATAAGTCTTCAAGGGCTATTTGTGAATGTAATGCGTTATTCTCAGGACCTCCTAGTCAAAGTCTCGGTGTAGATCCTGTAGATCCCTCTATCATGAGCAAACCACCGAGAAAGAAGAACGCCCCGATTATCACAAGAAGACTATTATACCGTGTGCTGTTTTCCGCGTCAATGATCGTGCTTGGAACGTTATTTGTGTACACGTACGCACTTTCGGATGACCGGATGTCGAAACGCGAACAAACTATGGTGAGTAGTTTCCCTCGACTATATTATCTTTGCTCAACCTCAAATGAACCTCTAGACATTTACTTCCTTCGTCTTCCTCGACCTCGTTTCCGCAGTACAGAACCGAGGCATAAACTGTGGGCTCACCCAAAACAAGATGTTGATAACGACAGTCTCTATATCCGCGGTGACTCAACTGGCACTGATTTATGTTCCCTTCATGCAACGAATATTCCAGACGGATGCGTTGAGCTCGAAGGATCTGAGCGTTTTGTTGATGCTAGCAGCAATCAGTGCGACATTACATGAGCTTAGACGAGGCTGGGAGAGACGGACGACTGCTGCTGGAGGGTCGGACGACGAAAGCTGGGCTGGAGTCGTCCAGAATCGGGTCTGAGATATAGATTGGGTGAGTAGTATCAAATAGACCGCGGGCTTCGACAAATCCCATTCGCAGTGGTGAAAATGACTAGATCAGTCTGTAAAGCATAAGGTTCGCATAATTTATCACTACCTCGGAATTGAGGAGAGGACCGAGGATTATTTTATATATCCAGAGGAATTCCAAGAGAGAGAGTAGAGAGTCCATGGCCCGTGGCCTTTCTGTCAGTGGAGTTGGTGGGTAACACAAGCAACACAGCTGATAATGAGATGAGAGTTGATTGTATATAGCTTCTCCATAATTCCACAGTTCTTCTTCGGGACACTCCAGGACAGCGAGTAACATCGGGACCGAATGACCCTAGTTAGTATTGAAGCATACTAGACATCATGGATTGCCCCCTCGACGGTGACCACTGGGATTTCAGGCACAGCCGCGTTCGAACCCAATACAAATAATTATATCGTGGCACTCAGTACTGCGTAATGAACAATACTATTTCTATAATTGCTACAGAGATATTCACACCATCAACGTGCCACCACCAGAGTGGACGATCATGTATTGGTCCAGTAATGGCCAATGGTACTGTCATGCTTGTATCATTAAATCTCCGAGTCTTTATTATAATTTTTCATTTGCATCCCGCGATTACATAATAATTTCGGAAAAACAAGAAGGATCTGCGTCCTACTACCGTATCGATATCTTCATTACAAGGTTCAAATGTGGAGATTTGTTAGCCAAAGTTTTATTGACTTGATAGTACGGTCGACTCTCGACATACGAGGAAGTCTCTTCCCTATATTTCTGAAACTCATACATCTGCCCGCCGGAAGAAAAGACAATAAGGCCCTCAATTTGAGGTATTTAACTAAATATTCCTTACACTTTGAGTTTGAAGCTCTTCTCTCTGGTTTATTTATCTGCCCAAATTTTTGACAGGGGCCGAAACTGTTCAGACGCGTTTCGCGAGGTCTACTGAATTGCTCACCAGGCTGCTCAGATCATTGCTTGATCTCATTTGATCAAAGAAATTGCAGGACTCCCCATACGTCGACAGCTTTCTTGAGCTACACAAAATGTTCATCTTTCCGCTACTGTAATACAAAATCATGGTGTGTTCATGAATCAAAGTGAGTGCAAAATTTAAGACGTACCAGTTGTCCCATTTCAGGCTAACAAAGAGAGTCGAAGTAGGTTGAAGTTCAAACGTCTAAGGCTTGTGCATTTATGTGTATGCGGGCTTCTATACGCTAGTAGAGCATCGTCTAACCCCTATCTTGCTAGTCGAATCGGGGAACGGCCGGAGCTTACCGGGGAAGTGACCCACATGAGCGCCTTATTAGTTCTGAATCTCACTTGGATAATCAATATCCTTCTCTGCTTACGCTCAGTGCTACCAACTTCTCCTGCCAACCAGACTAACTTTTATCTATCTGAAAGGCCTGACGCTTTGTATTGCTCGCTGAACCGTGTCACAATTCGCAGGCCTTAGATCAAAAGGGACACTGGAGAACTGGTTGATTTTGAGAATTACTTGACTGACAGCGTCAATTGAGCCCTATCTATACGTGAGCTCTACACATTAAAACCTCCATTGCTAGTATTTGATTTGGCTGCCATAGACTAACAAAATCTGCCTTGTATTTTTCATATACGTTGCACCCCGGAATTTGAGCTTAAACTACAAGGCCTGCTATAATCACCTGGGTGATTGGGGATTCTCCGGAACTTTTGCCTTTGATTTTATCGAAACTTAACTAATCCGTGCATTCATCCAATGGCATCCGTCGAAGACACTTTCCAGGTCCAGCCTCGTTCACGCCGCGTGGGTACCGTCAGACCACAATCAACGTACGACCCACCTTTTACTTCCTCTTCCCCATCTATTGTAGATTCAGCACTTCTTCGTCCAACAATTCCTACTCGTTCACCTCTCCGACCGCCACCAACGAAATCGGTGATTTCCGCATCATCGACGGAATCTGCCCTAAGCTCCGCTTTCATTAAACTTTCCACGCCAACACCTTCCGAAGACGATTTTGACCCTTCTACGATGCCTTTGTCATTTCAAATTCGAAACAGGAGCTTTCCCTCCCTCAACGGCCTCGTGGATGGGTTTCCAGACGACGCTGAACTATCCAAGGCCTTGCCATTACGACCAGAGTCTCCTTTTGCTTTGTCCCCAATGGAAGATGAAGTTGCTTCTTCTTCTTCCGCATCCTCACATGGTCAACAAACCACTCCCACTTTCACAAAGAGACAGCATGCCCTTCACGAGTTATTAGCGTCGGAACGAGCTTATGCCTCAGATTTAGCTTTGGTGAGAGAGATATACATCCCTCTAGCAATAGGTATGTTCCACCTATCATTCACAACACCGTCTCACTTATGATCATAGGCCATCCAATGTTGAGCAATATCCCCATTAGCCCTCCCCAGTCCTCAGCCTCATCGTCACGCACAATGTCCATCGCATCCGACTCTTCAGCCGGGTCCTTTAACGCCCCAATGTCTACTGAAGATGCTAAAATCATCTTCAATAACATCGCTGAACTAGCATTATTCTCGGATATGTTTTGTGATCGTCTGCAAGATGCCTTAGGCGCGGTCGTGGAGGGTGGCATTGGCGAGGATTGCGTTGGCGATTTATTTAGGCGGATAGTAAGTTTTTCTATGTATGTGTCGAGTTTTCGCTTACATCTTCTTATGAAGATACCTGAGATGGAACGTCCGTACAAACAATACATCACTAAACAAGGAACGGCGGACGAACACTTACAGTCATTACCAAAGACACCTGCACTCGAAGCCTACTTTGCTCAGACCCGGACGTACTCGACATCAGTCTCGCATGCTTGGGATCTTCACTCTCTTCTTATAAAGCCTGTACAGCGGCTTCTTAAATATCCTCTCCTTCTCGGCACTATCCTAGACGAAACGCCTGATTCCCATTCTGACAAAGAAAACCTCAGGGTTGCAAAAGCCGAAATTGAGGAACTCGCACGTAGTGTCAACGAAGAGCGGCGGCGCGCTGAAGTGATCAAGGGTGTTTTGTCAGGCGACCCCAAGAAGAAACTTAGCACGTCCAATATCACGATTGCGGCGTCTGTCAACCTCAGTAAAATGAAAAGCTTACGAAGAGCGCAGCCGTCAGATAGTGGTTCTATAGAGGCAGCAAAGGTGGAGCTGATGGAGGGCGAGCTGAAGAAGGTTGATCTGTTTGCGCAGCAGTTTGCCAAGGACGTTCTTAGTTGGAGCAAATCGATGACTTCGGTCATGCAGAATCTCATGATTTGGGCCGTTAGTTTTGGAAAGGTCATTGGACTTTCAGAAGATCAAGGAAGTGAAGCGTTCGATGCATTCAAAGGGCTATTGGACCAATATCTTGGACCTCTATGCGTCGAATTGGAGAAGGTCATAAACGAACGGCTGTTAAAGGAAATCGTGCTGTTGCTTGCCACAATGCAACAACCCATAAAGCTCCTTGAATCGATGAACGAGCAAGAACCTTTCCATTACCATCTCCTCACCATGAATGTCACCGCAAAGAACCGTCCTCCTCCAGCTCTCCTCGAAGCATCTACAAATTACCTCGCCCTCCGCGGTCAACTCTTCAAAGAGCTCCCTCGATATTTGAACTTACTACACCGCGGGATAGCCCTTTCCGTGCGCAGACTAGCCGATATCCAAACACAGTTTTGGCAGGACGTAAGAGATCGTTGGGCCGAGTTGTGGGAGATGCTTCGAGTGGAGGGTGAGATGAATGCTGGAGCGGATGAGACGATTGCCGTCTGGGTAGCTCGCTGGTCAGACGTCGACGAGGTTGTCAGGTCTCTTGCTATCACCAACGAACGGAAGATATATCAGGAACCGCTTAAACCCATTGTATCCCCACAAACGCCACCAGCGTCAGCGAGTACTTTCTCATTCTCGCCGCATTCTCCGTCGTTGAAGTCATCAAGGAGTAGCGGTGCCAACAGTGTTGCGAACATCATACATTCCTTGGATCCGTCTCATTCTCAAGTATCTCATCCGTTTGCTCTTTCCTCCCCTCCTCCCGCCTACCAAAGTAGAGGACGTGGGTACAGTGATGCTTCCAAACGCAGTCGTGAATCGAATGAAAATCTAAAAGCTGCTGCAAGCATCAAGTTAGGCAAGAAAGAGAAGGAACAAAAAGAAAAGAAATCCAGATCCCTCCAGCCTCATGAGGACTGGAGTGAAATTCTTGGTGGCCTGGATATTGCTGGGGCCGGTGTCCCAACTCTGCCAATACCACGCACAAAGAGCATGCCTTTGACCAAGATTGCGAAGACTACCTCCATGTCCTCTTCTTCTTCTTCTTCAGCCTCCAAGCCTCCTGTAATAGATCTTTCACCCATAGATGACGCATCATTTTTCCCACCTTTAGAGGATGACCGCGGGAGGAATGATCGCAAGCCAAGTTTCAGAAGAAAGATCAGTGAGACGCTTCGATCTAACTCAAAGCCACGAAATGGTAGACCTGTGTCCTCCAAAGGGCTCAGTTCTTCTTTAACATCGCCGCCGACATCGTCATCCAGGGATGATTCCTCGTTTCCGGTACAAATGAGTTTACGTAGAGACAGTTGGTCGTCTGCACAAGCCAAATATGCATGCCGAGTTGTTCACCCATGCAGGCCGCCCGCCGTTGTCTCGTACTTTGGTTTCCCTTTCTTTACTCTAGTCGAGGGTGATGTGTACCAGATCCTGCAGGAAGCCGGACATCCAAGTATTCATCCAAAACTTCCGCTGTACGTCGATGATGGAGAGGACTGTCTACTGCTCTGTAGGAATGAAGTGGGTACTGTGGGATGGGCACTGGCAAGCTTCTTAGAACCGATTGGAGTTTCCATTTCGTAAACTGTTTTCTCTGTCTTGCATATCTAGTCATTTTATAGTTCTGCTACACCATGCCTCTTTATTTGCCTTATATGCCTTGCAGCTGTATTTTGCTCTCTTCTGTCTAATTCGCTGTTGTTGTATGCATTCACCCATGTTGCCCCTATTTTTCTCTTGTATAAACCCCCGCACCATATCGCATCTGTTCCCTAGCATAATAGGATTGGAATTGTAGTTATAAAGCACAACATGAAAACCCTACGACAAAATAATCCATGAACCTGGGAGGAACTCAAACCCTTTATATTCCCAAATAAATTGCAACCAAAAAAACCGGATCAGAGAAAACTCAATTCTTCGACAAGACTTCAAAAGAAGTACCAGCAGCGGAAGGTGTAGCAGGCTCATGCGTGGATGCTTCCACGATGTTCCCTTCGGAGTCCAGAGGCCAGAGTGAGTTTCTAAAGACATTTGTAGGGTCATAGATTTTCTTCAATTCTTTCAAACGATCCCAGTTGCTTCCAAATGCAGAAATGGTACGAGATGGTGCTTCATGTCTTCCGAGGAACTGGAGCTGCACGATCAGTAACGGTGGGAAAGGATTCAGCATATACACTGACACTGGGGAAAGGTCCACCGGTTTGAATTGGCTTCAGCGTTTCAGCAATCCACTGCAAGGTTGCGAGGCGAGTTCTAGCTCGACACTGACAGACAAACATTCAATACTCACATCTTCCGCAGTCGTGATACACCGAGGATCGTTGATACCCATGTCCCACTGATGAAGCGCAGCGACTGTGAACAAGGTCTCCCGTTGGGATTTCGGCACACACGTGTCTTCAAACTCACTGATGGCCCCACCAGCGAGCTCGAAAAGCCAAGCTATGAATTCGTGATTAGAAATTTCTGGCGATTCTGTAAGAAGTATTGTTGCTTACTGCAACCGACTGGAGTATCGTCAAACTTCAAAACGGTTTGGTGAATAATATCGTCCGGAAGCGAATTAATCAGGGCCGAACGAATAAACCACTGTCTACCCGCTACGATAAAAAATGTTATGCCAGGTCTTGATCCAGAAGAGAAGATAACATACCTTTGCCTCGCAAAACCTGCGCAACGCTATCCTGTTGGTGCAAGAAACTCTTCTCGTTAACTTCGTTTAGAAGGGATTTTTCGCCATCCCATGACGCCAACGCTGCAAGGTATTCTTGGCCTTTCTCCCTGGAGCCGACATAACACATTTGTATGACAATGAGGGAATCTTTTCCCTTGGGCCCAGCAGTCAACAGTACGTTGGCATATAGCTCACGCGGAGCGTTCTTGATGCAGTCTCGAAAATGCTTGATCAGAGAAGCAGCTGTAGCTTTGTGAAAGCGACTAAACAAGAGCCATTGGCGTCCCACATTAAGGTTTTTGGTTCGAGCACTTACTAAATCAGATTACCAGCGAATACGACGGGGATTGGATAAGCTTTGGCCTTATACCGAGTAGCTACACCAAACGCGGGCCCAGCACCTCGTAAAGCCCACCAGAGATCTTTGGGAGAGAGTGAGATATATAGGTGTGTATGATAAATGTGCGAACCTGGATGTTCATCTTTGTTCACAATCACGATGCGTCCATCAGCTAAGACCATTTCAACCTCGACTAAATTATCAATACTAAGCCCGTGTAGCCGTCCAAGGAAGCCGAATCCTCCCAAAAGCATAATGGAAGATCCAGCGGGGTGAGCCGCACTAAAGAGAACAGCATCAAATTGATGTACGACAGAATATACCACAGGAAACGCACAAAGGTACGTGATATGGGACAGTATCTTGCCCTCCAGAAATCAACTGAGCTCTCAGAGGGTTATTGGCGGTGAAGGTATCAATTTCTTTTTGCCTCATCCCTGCGCCAAATGTAACGTACGCATGAGTATGAATTGCTTGGGTCTGAGACGGAATAGAATGTAAAACAGCGGGAGCAGTGGTGATAGCGACGCTTGACCCAATTGATCTAGATCCGGATCCCCAAGAGTCATACAACGTACGCGAGGTAGACTGTAAATTTGAACGACCAGGATAACCGCTAGAATTGCGTTCCTCGAGATAGCCGAATGGATCGGCGTCAAAAGGCGCGTTCGAACTATCAGTATTATCATTTGCGTGAGCGCTTCGAGCATTTCGAGCATCGTCTCCGAGTGAAACATCGGGGGCTTCAACATTGGAATCGAGCGTAGGGCTTTGGACAACTCGGATATTTGTATCAGAAATATTGTCATGCGAGCCTTCAGTAGATTTGTTGAGACGTCGCCTGACATTCGGTGGTGGCGAGTCAGAGCGAGAGGGTTCTTGAAGAAATGCGGCAACGGAACCGGAAGCGGCATGATATTTACGAAGCTTGTCGTCCTCTTCTCTTCGCCGTTTTCCTGAATTCACGTCTGAAGGAGTGATTTCAGGTTTTTTTCCTTTGCTGTTAGATGGCGCCATGTCTCGAATACTCGTGTACGAGCTTTTCTCATTGGGAGGCTCGACGTCGACGTCCCCTATTCGACTGAGATCAATAATGACCTCGCCTCCTACTGCCCAGCCAGCGGTTCCAAACCCTCCAGCTTTGACAGATGGAGAGAATGCATGCTTTCTGCAGAAAAGTATGATCCTTCGCGACAGAAGTTAGATTATCATTCACAGGCATTTTTGACTATTATGTTGCCTACTTGCTCACGTCCTCTGCATCCATTGGACATGTTACAACCTGACCATTCGTTTCAACATTTCCGTTGAACATCAAGGTGTATTCAGCGAAACTGGGAGGCCACTTTAGCCAAAAAAAATACGCATGATGCACAGACCTACTTGGATTCCCCTTTTTGATATACTTGCCCTCGTATAGAGTTGCGCAGCTCGAGCAAGAGCTTCTCGGTGAGGATGGAAGGTTCCGTAAGCGAACCCATGGTGGCGGTCAGAAAGCAAGGAGGGTCACAGGATAGTACTAACAGGCAGACCTTATATATGAGTAGTGTTACTTCATCTATCACTTGAAATCCTGTATGGAGGAGCAGAGCATAAAAGTGTAGGATTCAACAGGGAAACTCGTAAGGGCACCAGGGGTACTATTTCAATTTGCCTCCGGCTATCGGGCAATGAATTCTCACGATAGAATGGATCTACAAGGATCCATTTTTGGATCATTGAATGTCCAACTAGCGGCGACGTTCTGGCAATGGTCAAGAATTTGGAGTTGCTTTTTCTTTTTCGAAAGCACATTCGATTTTGATTGTCTACATTCTCAATCTCCGCGGCAAGGAAGCTCGACGGTGAATAAATAGATTTATTATCCGCGGCACAAAAGGCTACAAAAGGTTCGAAGATGATATTCATTCAAGTTATTTGACTGACTCGGAAGACTTCATCCTGACCGAGCAGCCTCATGTCTGACTCCAGCTTCTAGGCTTTGTGAATCATCGACGGAGAATCAATCAGCCAACGACAATATCAAGGTTTCCTGAAATCATACCCCCCCCTAAAAAACTTTCAACTTGAAATACAAGTGGCGTGTCTAATTAACACCATTTGCGTCCCAAATGTATTTCAGTAATTCAAGACCTCACATCCAGGATGCAGCGCATTGCTATGCGCTTGCCTTTTGTACAACTTAATTACAGCCTCCATAGGCTGTGACGTGACTTGACGCGCAACAACACGAGGAGCAGGCGAGGTCGGTGGAGCAGTATTTTCAACTTTATCAACGCAGATAGCGACGAGAATAGCTACCTGTTACGAAATGGGGTACCTAGTCATTGAGGTATGAGGTTGATTTAACAGAATATGAATCATTGAAGATGGAGCAACTATTGGTATCGTAAGTAGGTTCCTTTACTTGTGAGGTCATTCCTGGTCACTATCCAATGTAACCTGGAGTACCAATAGATGGATGCCAATGCGTACTTCCGGCACCGACACTTATCTATCGCAAACCTTCCAAATCGCCTATCTTCACTTAACTCGCTGTTCTGATAGCAGAATTTATCTGGATCTACTACATAAGTAGCGCCACAAATGTAGTTTGATGATTGAATGCAGGAACTGCCAACGGAAATTTGTATGACCGCGTTGCAAAGAGCAAGAGAAAGGGGGGAATCATATATTATTGTATACAGTGCATTGTAATCAATGCGATGAAAAGAAGATAATTCGAAGTTTTTCTATATCTCTATGAGAACCAGCTGAAAACGAGTGAGAACGCCGTCAGTTTTTGCCGCCAAATGTCATAACATATCCGATTTGCCTCTTTGTCCGTCAAAAGAAGGCCGGTATGCCTGAAGTCCCTTGAACGTACCTCTTAACAGCCTTCTGCATTCATGTATGCACAGGAACAAAACCTAGCTCCAGAGTTAATGAACAACTTCTCCATGAATTAGAATCAGAAGTGGAGTACATGTGATGAAATAAACAAGGTCCTCTGAATCCAAAATTTAATTTATCATGATCATGGATTAAATATATAGAGGGTCGACGACCTACAGGCAACTTCATCAGGAAAAACGTCCACTGATAATGTTTGGGAAGTTCATGTAAGATTTCAATAAGATTGCAAAAATTCACATAACGCAACAACTATAAGTATTTAAGATAATGACAGAACATTTTCGAAGTTTTGAATACTCTTAGCTGTCTATAGTCATAATGTAATGCAAATCATACATACCACAGTCAGTTTTAGCTGTTGCTTCTGACAGCATTTCTGATGAAGTTTGCGGCCTGGTGGAAGCTGGGAGCAGTAAACTTCGGACCCGGATCGAACAGAAGGTTGTTGCCGACATGCCGCTTCTTACCTCGTATCAGGCCCATATCGAAAACATCGTAGAGCTCGAGGGGTCTATAGCTAAGCAAAAAATAGGATGTCCATGCGTAGTTCAGCCAAATACAAATAATATTAGCAAGAATCGTGCAGTTCTGAAGATATTTGAGCAATCTACAGGCTTCTACAGGTTGTAGGAACGCTCTCTCGTGTGAATAGAAGAAATCCGGACTGCGTAGTCTAATTCTGATTACTTGTAACTACGACAGGTTGAAGTACATATGTATATCTGTAAATGGGCTCAGATAAAAGGAGGGACACTGGTCAAGTACTGACTCATGTGTCCATTGCGGAGGTGCTGTTCCACCCCACCTAGGATACAAACAAACACTCTGCTTGATCATATCAACCGGAACTACAGAAACTGCTCGTGATCCATCTCTACAAAATTGAGGCTTGACATGGTAAAGAAGAGAGTATGGTTCGGGCCTCTGCGTGAACTTAGTGAACCATTCAACATAAGCAAGGTGGACAGGCGGAGTCACATTTGCGGGAAACAGTCGGTTCAAGTGTTGCTTTGGGAGGGAGAAAATAGCCCGGACACGCCCTATCTGACATCCTGAAATAGAGTGCATGAGCGAACGTGCAGGTACAACAGAACACAACACGTACCTTGCAAAAACTTGCCATTGTCATCATCCTTCTGAACACGGATCAGAGCAGCATCAAATTGGGACGTCTGGCGGACCTGGCCTTGAGCATTGAGGCGACGAGGATGGGCAGATACAACATCAAGAGTCTTCTTGCCATATAAATCTTCGTTTCGGAATTTCATCCTATGCCAAACTGGCACACCACGAAACGGAAGAGAAAGAAATGATGCCATTTCGTTGACCTCAGCAGGAGTAAATTCGGGATTGCGAAATTGGGAAATGAACCGTTTCAAAGCATACTCAAACTGAGTGGCGCCATAACCAAGTAAGCTTCTTTCCTCAAGTTTTGAGATTGATACTGTCTTCACAGTGGGAAATTTGGCGAAATGTTGTGTAAGTGGGCACTGCATGTCATGCAACGTTTTTTGAGATCCTGGAAAATCGTATCGTACACCTGAGATGGTGGTAGGAGAAGGAATGTCAAGTTGTGGCTGTGACTGTTGCCACGCAATGTAACTCGCATGATGATTGACTTTCTCTCGCCTCTCCAACCATTTTGTCATCTGTGAGTACTCGTCCTTGCGATTAGAAGCACGATATGCATCTTTTGCAAAGTCAATGTGAAGACGCTCTGTTGCTTCTGTATTATAGTTGTCCGATGTGCCAAATAGTTTGAAAGCGCGGACATAGTGACATAGAAAATGGATTTTGGGGATGTTAAAGTGCTCTCGGGCACCAAGCTCAATGAAAATATCTTTATTCTCATGAAATAGAGCAAGAGCGGCATCGACAGAGGTAAGAGATTCGTCACTGTGAATGGGAAAGCTAGACATGTAGAGGAAATCCAGTAATGAACGGGTAGCTGTGATCAATCTGCGGGACTTTGCTGGCGCCAGCCTTGGCACGTCAATGACAAGGCTGAGAAGAAACATACACATCTGCTTGTGTTCGGTACCACTGACACGGGAAAGTGTTGTGATTCCCTTGTGGAAATGACGCATGCCATGCTTTGCTGGTAATCGACGTACTCGCGCATCAACTTCTCCCGCTCCAACGATAGCAGTAATCCACTTAATCAAGTGTTTCATAACCCCTTGGTATAGCTGGTGAAGGAGGTCGGGAGTGATGGAACAGAAAATGTCGGTATAGGGAAGATCTTCCCAAAAAGGATGTTGGACAGGTTTCATGTTGGCAGCCGCACAACTTTGAGCCCATTCATCTGTACCAATTAAGTGGGCCACTTCGATAGCTTGAATTGCATCACGGTACTCTGCTGTACAAGGGTATTCTCCCAGCTCATGCTTCGCCACCATGCAGATTGGACTGCGTCCATAGTACCCACATGAAACAAGCATCTGTTCGGGATAATCTCCAATATAAGCAGCGAGGATCGGGTGACACCGCCGCCTGACACCGTCACCACTGGTCATGATAATTCCGTCAATGCCTGCACTTTTCAGAGGTGCGAGGATACTCCCCATGCATGCATGAAAGAGATTCGACACAGCGCGCCTCCGGGCTGCCTTAGTAGGTAGGTGCTGTAGACGGGTGGTAGGAAGATAAGCGAGGAGAATTTGGGCCTGCTGTGAGGGTTTTCGTCGAACTTCCTTAGGGAGATTCCCGATGGTAAGATATACAGGGTACGCAGACTTATTTCGAAAAAGTGTGATTTGAGTTTTGTCACTGGAAATGATGACTGGAACAATAGTAGCACCAGGTTTATCTTGCTCGAGCTGGACCTGTAAGGATGGCAAACATTATCATACGAACAATGATTAAATGGCATGTCATACCTGAGTATTCCACCACCACTTCCCGGTGTGCATGTCATGATAAAGCCTCTGAGTCTTGTTTGCATCGGAGTAATGTCGTTCAGGAGAAACACAGAGATAGCGCGCATGATCTGGGGAGCCATAGAGTGCGCGTATACAGTCCTCAATAGGTCGTTTATATAAGTCAAAGGCTTCTCCACCGATCACAACCTCTTTACGTGTAAATGCAGGCCTCCGAGCAGGGATTTCCGTATCAATAATATGATTAAGCTCTGCACTATTACAGTATGAAAGTCCTAATGCTTTGTATACCTGTAGAATTCAACAACTTAGTCATAGCGAAGGGGAGATGACAATAAAGAACATACACCGTCAACAGCAAGCAAGTCGCTGAAAGCAGTCGATCCAGTTCCCCGTGTTTTCGCCCATTTCGCCACTTCCCAGTCCATCTGTGAGGCAAACGGTGACCAAGGATTTTCACCTTTATGTGGAATATGGGATCTATACTGCAAAAACCCATCTCGAGAACTATAAAGGACTGGATTGCGTGAATTCCTGCCCTTGACAGGTGCTCCCGCCTGACCTCCAAAACTTTCGACATGAATGCCATCGCGGTGTGAAGGCAGGTCTCGGAGAAATGATCTTTCGGTTGATAGAGTGGGAATGGCATCCACATCTACATTATGTTCAGCACTAGAAGCGGGTACCCGAGGAAGCTCCCAAGCATCTTCGAGCTCAGGTGGAAGCTGTTCTTCATCTTCAGAGTCATTATCTATATCTCCTCCCATGCCATTGTAATCTTCATCGAATCCCGGAAAATCTTCGTCGGAATAGTCATGGCCATAGAAATCACTGACAGATTGCGGAGTGGTAACATAGAGATCATGCTCTGTATCTAGAGGAGGAACTGAAGGAGCAGAAGGGCTGATTTTGGATAGTTCAGGAGAACGATACGTAGGAGGGGTCTTCTGAGGCATAAACCGGCTGCGGTGGATAGTTTTCTTCAAGTCCTCATGCGCAGCCATGCACTGAGGCTTTGAAGTCTTCTCAAGATGCTGAATGAAGTATGATGCACGTGAAAATTGACGACTACATCCTGAACATTTGTATGTGGAGGGGTCCAATTCTGCACCAGTAGACATTATATGAAGTAAAGGTGGTAAACAGAGGAAATTTTTCGTTCAGCCGGTGCCCTAAAGTACATGCCGCCGCTTCAAAACCGAGCAGTGCATGTTCAAAATGAATTTGCTTGTTACTCACTTTCTTTCCTTCTTTTCATTCTCCTTTTGTCTTACTTTTCTTTCATATATCCAAATCATTTACAATGTCTAGCCGTAAGGGCAGAGTTTCACAGGCTGACTTACCTCAAAATTATGCGCCAGCGAATTCAGACCCAACGAGAACACCTGGTCAAGGGAATTCCATAACTCCTGTCACCCGGCCTCAAACTCGAGCTCGAACACAGAAAGCTACACCTATGAGCTTACAAAAAAAGGATTCCCAGCCAAGGCAGAGAGTTGACCCACCTAGGAGTGGTGAGTCGTACTGGACTTCCTTTTCGAATAATGATTGATATTCTGTGTAGCAATACTGCGGCAAAGGAAGACCAAAAGGCCTGTTGTAGTTCCAGTACCAAAGCCATCTACAAGAAAATGTTCGTGTTTCTATTTCTGTGAACAACTCGTGTGTCCCTCACCATTCTATAGCCATTAAGCATGGACCAGTTTATATTGACATCAATGCCGATGATACTGGCGTAGAGTCTGCAGAAGGTGGATTATTACTTCGATGATGACACAAGCTTACTCATATTTCTTCAGAGGCGCCTCCTAGAAAAAAAGCAAAGATCGCTCCAGTAACTTTGCATCATGGTAGTCAGTATCAGCAAGAGGACGACGATGAATCTGAATCTAGCTCTGGCAATGATTCCAATGACCCGGCTCTTGGTTCTGATGCTTCCATGGACAATCCTCAAGATGATTTGGGAGCAGGTCAACACTTAGCAGAAGAGGTAATCATACACGGAGCTCTAGATTCTCATTCATGAAACATTTTCAGGGCGCTGTGTTCACAAATGGCACGGAGGAAGAAGGAAACACTGAACGTACGTGCGAATTAGCATTTACAATTGATCATGTGTATCATTCTGATTTTCTGAATGTTCTACAGGCTCTCATTCTAATGCCAGTTATGACGATGACTCTATCTTCTTCGAGGAGAGACAGTTGTCAGATATGGAGATTGATGGCGAGCCTGAACTTATGGAACCCACTCCAAGTCGCAGGTCCCTCTCGCATCCCCATGGCAACTCAGGAAAACAACGGCTGGTTATTTCGAGAGTACGTGAACAAATACTATTGAGATTTCACATCTTGAACTGGTATTGCACTCAGGCTATGGCTAGTCGAAGGTCACAAAAGCTCGAATTTGAGGTACGTGATATTTTGAGTACGCATAATTACTCACTCAATATTTACTTCTAGCTTCCTCGAGTTTCAGAAACGGTGCTTCCTACTTCCCAAGCAGTTCAAGGTCCTAGAACAGCTACTTCTACATCTGTGTCAGATTCCAAATCCGAGCTGAAGTGGAAAGAACGCACCAAAATCAATACTATTTCTCATAATCGTACTTTCACTCTCGGTCCCCTTTCTGGCCAACCAGCAGTTATGTTGAGTGTAATTGAAAAAGCCATTACTCTTGGCAAACGCAACATACTCCTCGATACCACCTTTTCACCGGTTGGTTCAGCATCCTTAAAACAGATTGGCTACGCCGCACTCATTCGAGTAGCAACTGACGAAGGATTTGATGGTGAATATGATGTATGTGACCGTTTGGAACATGGTGAAAACAATGCGTATGCTAAGCCGCTGATATCCTATGTACGTCATTGTTAGCTTGTCATAGTCAATCCTCACACTTTCTTCCAGGTCAGTCACCGTATTGGGACCGAAAGATCGCAACTAAAGGACCACTTCTCCGTCGTACTTGGGGCTTTCAACCTCTCTCACGCTAGTGGCACTGCCCCAGCAATCAATCTGGTGCAGAGGCGCACATATTTCTATCCTCAAACACCCAGTATCTCGGTACGTGGCACGATATCATTTTACTAAAACACCAAAATTCATGTCTTGTCACATTATAGGATGAAAGGTACAAGTATGATTACAGTCGGCCTTTCGAGCACCCAGTATTTGCGGGGTACATGGGTGCCGCTTTTTTCTCTTCTACATACTATAGTGGTATCATCAAGCGATACAGTGACGTGTTTGTTTCGTCAATTCAAGAGAAGCCCAATGAGTTGGAAGTCCCGAAAGCTTTGGTTGCACTTGCAAGCACAGCGGTGCGTTTCTGTTCATAATTTATAATCATATGTCTTACAACCACTCAGATCCACGCCTGTATCCAAGATTTCTCCAGTGGCATCAAGGACAACTTCCCGACTAAGGAACTTGATGGAGTTTGGAAGTTGTCCCTCGAAATTCTCGACGGAATTCAGAAAAGAAATCGCATGAAATACCATCGACTCATGCATAATCTCTATATCGAGTCATCGTGAGCTTTCTTACACCTCATTGCTCATCGTAACTAATTCCGTTTCTCAAGTGGTGCTGTGTCGTCAATGCACAGCATGACCAACCAACAAGTTTATGATACCATTGACTGGTCTGCCATCGAACAGGATGATGATGACTACAACGGAAATGGCAACCATGATGGCAACCCGCCTGCTCAAGCTTCCAATAAGGTCAACAAGCAGCCTGTTACAGCTGCAGACGCTACCAATGAAGGAAGCAGGATTGATTCCACGCTCTAATTTCGCCTGATACATATTTTGTCTTACAAGTCTCTCCTTATCCTATCGTGTCATACCCTTGTTTTTAATTCCTTGCATTTGTCCTACCGTACTATCCTAACTAATATGGTATAATTAACTCAATGCTATTGTTTCGTTAATACATGATTGTCCAAATATCGCAAGAATACAATCAGTATAGATAGATATACTATTTGAATCTTATGATGCTTTGTTTTAGGTTCTACGTTAGGCACTCTGCTTTACTCTACACTTTCCGAAAGAAACCAAACATCGTCTGAAAGGTATTCTAATTTAATCTATCCTTTACAGAAGCCAATAGTAACTGTTGTAAATTACGAGGATTCACAACTAGGGCTGGAAAATTACTGAAATTATGCAAATTAAGCTATGGCCCGAAACTTCAAAAAATATCATGAATATACGCATGTTAATGGGAATTACCAAACATTATCAGTGGACGTTTTTCCTGATGTTCAAATGGCTTGTGCTTATCCCGTGCTTATCAACGTTCGCATTTACCTGGGGATAATTCTGGCGTCAATAGCAACTCTGTATACAAGTGAACGACAATGTATATACTACAATCGAAACATGGGACGCACATCAAATGTTCACCGAACTTGGAAGGGACAAACCTTGTTTTTGAAGCGATGTTTCGGGAAGCTGCAAGGTAGAAAAACCATACGAGTATGAACGTTAATCAGTGGAGTATGTATCTTCATTCGAGTAATCCAGATTTGCTTTATTTTTCTCCTCCTACAAATGTATGGAGAGGCAATAGCATACAATCTACTCATGAGTATATTCAACTTGGATTGGTTCATATACAATATCTACCACTTAATGTCAGGTATCTGAACATGGAAGGAGCATGGTGGAATAGTATATTAGTAACCACAGATTTGTCCTTTTCAGGGACTTTCAACTAGCCTACGAAGCATTTGATCAATCTTGACAGGATCTAGATACCTCTTCACGTTGTGTTGCAGCTCATGCTTCATCCTAGCCAATTTAATCAAACCCTCAACCCCAACTTTTTTACCTTCCGCTTCAGTCAGAGGCTGGGACCGCATACAGAGCTCTTCGAAGGCCGCAACCAGTATTTGAGAATCTATATCATAGTAGCTCGCTAGCATGATACGATCAACAGGGGAAGCATCCTTCAAAATGCGTTTCATTGCTAGAGTGCGGATATCTTCCATTCCTAATGCGGAGGTGACATTGAGAACCGAGATCCACTCTTCGACAGTTTGTATCTCAAGGGACCCAGGCGTCCTAGATCAGGAAAAAGTAGTGAGCAAATGTTACTATGTGCATATTGCATAACGCTAACCTTGGATAGAACATTGTTAACAAGGAACTAAACTCAGATGGACTGAAGCAATAAGCAGTGAGGTCGATGATTGGGGGAATGTAGGGAAAGGCGAAGAAAACTCGGGCTTGGGAGAAAAAATGGAGATGAACTCTGAACAGTATATTGGTAACCTTCGGTGAACATGAGTTATATGTACATACTCATTTTCCTCGAAAGACGATTATGCTTACCCGGAACTCAACATTTCCGTCAATAAGATAGAACCTGTTGTGAGGTTGATCATTTACCGAACGTTGATAAAAAGGTGTTGCGGATGCAGAATTATTGGGCGGTCCCCGCCTATCGTTATTATCACGTGGTTGGTATCGCTCATAGGTAGTTTCCTCAGGTTCGAGGGATTGAGTTCTCCTACGAGGCGCTTCGGGCGTGGGCCTATACATGCTATTATGAGTGCTAGGTGTGGCATTCGCAGGTGTATCGAAACCGGAAGGTGTCTGATGCATCCGGGAAGGTGTGTGGTTCATACTGAAAGCTGTTTCGGTTTCGGGTCCATACGTAGAGCGAGGTGTGAACGCAATAATTGGGTTGGGAGTCATAGGAGGAAGGGTATACGGTGTTACAGGATTCGCAGGCAGAGGATGTGGCGTGTAATACCAAGGCGTTGACTGGTTGGAATAATACAGTGGGGGGTTTGGCAGGGATCGAAGTGGAGGGCCATTTGAGCTCCACAAAGGTGTCATGTTAAATGGATACATGGGCGGAGGAGGTATAGTTGAGGGAGGATTTGTGGTCGGGGGAGGATTTATGCTCGAAGATGTATGTAACGGAGGATGAGGAAGCGGAGTATCCCACCTGCCAGGGAGTGCATTAGATGAAGAATGTGAAGGCAATGAACTACCCCATCTGACTCTGTACGGCGGTCTTTCACTGTGTGACAACGGAGAGCTACTGCTGTCACTAATGCGATCATGATCATGGGAAGGTCGGAATCCAGCCCTTTCTTCAGGTCCGGCGTGATGAGGTGAGGGACGTTCATGATTATCAACTGCATTAGTCGATTGTAGAGGATCAGTAGGTTGTGGTTGCTCGAGTGTTGGGATATATGTCATTGGGATGAAAGAAACTTGGTTGATCTCTGTATCTGGAGATCTCATAGGTACAACAACGCTAGAAGAACGTGGAGTCCGCTCGTCTTCACTTGGTGGTAATGGTATTGTAGATGAATGATTGGCCAATGGATTGGATGGGGGGAAAGTAATCGGAGAGCCATTAACACTGGCCTGAAGATCCGCAACACCCTCTCGCTCATCCCATCTGGATTCCACGTCATGTAGAGAAGGATACTGCTGGATGCTTGGGCTAATAGGCACAGGGGAAGAAAAGCCTAACATGTTATCGTGAATCAAGGGGATTCTGTGGGTCCATGTCCAAGGCAGGGGGTTTTAATACCGTCGTGAGTCACAATCCGTGTATCTCGTGTTACCCCTCCATATATGATATAAAGCTATAAAGCAGAGAATTGAAGTTAACGCCCAACAATGATACCCTATAGAGTTGCAGGCATACTGGTTCGTTAGCGGTTAGCTCACCGCATATTCCACATCCATGAAGACAGGAATCATGTTCAAGAAATCGACGACCCAAAAATTACCAGGCTGAGGCAAATGTTTAGAATCATATTGCTTGCAAAGGCTTGCAACGTGCAACTCAAGTTGCCATCAAATCATTGGGCACTAAATTATTCAGCAAATCTTAGCAGATCTTATCTCACTCAGCTTTGTTTCTTTTATGTACGGCCAGCTTGAGCCAGCTGATCACCAAGTTTCCTTGCCGCAACCTAGCAAAGATGAGGAAAGAGCACAAGAGCTTATGCAAGGTTCAAGGGTGCGGGTACTACTGGGTACCAAAGGACTAGTTAGTTGTAGTTGTTTTGGTTTTCGATGACAATTTAACCAACCACCTTTTTTTGTTCTCCTTGTACACTTTTAGGTTCGGGAGGATGACCCTTATAAATCTCTACCGACTCCGAGTCAAGACTATGTTCGATGGGACATCAAGCTCAAGATCGACTCACCATACTCAGACATACTACTGGATACTCATACTGGGATGCTACGACCATCAACTCTTCTCAGGTTGCCGCTTTTGCACTACTTACTACTACAGCCTAATGAAGTGTCTACTTCAACTACCAACATTAACAGGTCTCACAGCCGACTCTTCCTAATTCATGTTTAACATTTTTCCTGGCTGGGAGGAATACTTTAGTCCAATGCGGATATACAAGTCGCTTACAATGCCATTACTTACTGCATGATAATCTACAGTAGAGATCCGATTTCTGGTTATTACGATCGGTTGGAGTGCTGTTGGAACTGAGATCGCCATGTCAAACTCGACCACGATAATGTAGCAAACTGATCCACAATCTACCTTTGATTGAGTGGACTGATTCATGATCGTCATCCTACGCAGGTTAAATGAATACACTGGATAAATTTTCAGCGGACAGATTGACGCACTGGATTCTCGGTATCTGGAGTCGATATTTGGGTCAGTCCAAATTCGGCCAAAGAATTAGAGTCATTGAGAGCGCTGGCATCTGGGTTCGACGCAAGGACAAAGCTGGTCCCTCTGGCGAAGTCATGCCCGCTCTGCTGGATGATCCGGCCAACTTCCGAGTCCGTGATAGTCCTGTCGAGTCTCCTTCGTAGAGAAGAGCGAGTGTTGAGCCTATCAATGAATGTTAGAATTCATACAAGATTTCGAGTAGACCCTAATACATAGCGGCTGAAAATGAAATAAAAAAAACAAATGAGATTAAAGTGGATACGGAAAATCTAAAACTCACCCATGGTAATAAAATATAGCTTGCTCAAGCACATGTGGAATGCAATCCTTCATTGTTAGTCAGAATAAGTCTCGAACAAAATCATACATACAAGCTACACACCAAGTCAACTTTGTAGGTTGCGCCACATAAAACACCAGGGATAGAATTTGCACGACCGTCAAGAGAACACCCCGTGTGATCGTATAGTTATGCAATTTGTGTAAGATGTTATCAGTCCTAGATAAATAATAAGAATGAAACGCATTCAACCGAATATTTCAGTCTATTTTTAATTCACCTTGGCACGCCTGTCCGCGACGAATGGAGTGACCATGCCAAAGCTGTAGTCGCCACCACTTCGCACATCGTCGTCATGGCATTTTCAAGGGCGACAATGATCTGTAGTGTAATATGATGAGGATCGCGGGTTTAATGAGAAAGCAAGAAACCCACCTCGTTATCTTTGGATGTAAATCCCAGCCTTGTAAAGACAGCTAGGTGAAAGGATATAATAACTGACACTTTGAAACAAAGTTAAAATTAACATATGATATTGTTGGGAGGGATATAAATCCATACGGATGCTTAAAACTTTAAACAATAATCATCAGCCTTAGAAGACTTGGATTTGGAAGCAACCTCACGAAGAGCTATGACATTGGTGCTGACCTGGGGAGCATTTATTAGCAACTACCTATATGTAGCATTAGAATCCTCTCACAATAAATGCCACGACGCTCCAATGGACCTGTTTGACTACATGCGATGAAGATTTGAAGGTAAGTTTTCGTGGACGTGTCCTTTGGAGCACCGACGAATACTCACGTAGATATACACGCGAGGCGAAATACAAATCAACCCTGTATGGGCACGGTCAGCAGGACTGCGAACCTCCGTTGTTATGGGTGTGCTACTTACACAAAGACAATCAGCGCCGTAAATAAAATCTCCATGTCCAAAAGACTGCGAAATCGAGAGCAAGTCAGCAGGGCATGGTTCATCTCTTAAAAAAGAAATATATACTTTGAGTAAGAGGAGAATATACTCAGGTCTCCGAAGTGGGAGATCTGCAGTTGTGCAAAGTCAAGGATCTGTTTACTGATAAACATGGATGGAGTTACTAGGTAGTTATGCAGGAGACCGATGTCGAGGTAAGTCGTAGCCATGTCCATGAAACTGATTGAACGAGTTTCACGTTAAGATCTTGACGCGACTGTTAGCATCCGAGGTTAATGCTTACAACACAGTTATCACCTGAATATAGATATCAGTCTGATTCAAGCGTATATAAGTCGTGCGTCTGCGTACCACTACGCGAAACATCCATCTATCGCGGCTCAGATTGATGTAAGTCCACAACTGAACGATTGAGATCCCGAACAATCTACAAAAACTCAGAAGATGAACGTATAAACTAGTGATCGTTCCCAACACTCACCCAGTAGAGATAATGACGCCTGGAGTGGACTGTCAGTAGAGAATCCTCTGTTATATGTAGGCCAGCTGGCACCTACCGTAAAAGAAAGCATCGAAAATGGATGAAAGGTCGAAGCCCGTTGAAGGGAAGGGCGCCATCGGAGGACTTGTTGTGTTCGACATATCGTTAAGTCAGTCAGGAACAAAGGGAAGAAGGGGGCACGAAGAAAAGAAAAAATCTCTACTTATAAATGACTGGGGACGCGATCGCCCCATGCAAGGCAAATAAGAAGGAAAAGAAGGCAGGAGACATGTATTTGAATGGTTTGAACGAAAATAGTACAATTGAAGGAATTTTTAAGAAGCTCCCATGTGTCACCTTCATTAATTTCTAGGGAAAGTGGTTGCATGTATATCCATTGGTAGTGGGGTTGGAGACAACTACCCAAGGAGATGCCTGCCATGTGGCAGCTTTGCTCCTGTACCGGGTCTGTTAAATTTAGATCGAAGCACGATACTGATAAACGCTGGATAAACGCTGACAATGCATACGAGAGTAATCCCGAGATGCGGGGCTGCCAAGAGAAGCAGCGTCCAATAGAATTACACAACTGGAACTGAAAGGCAGGGAAGCCCCGAGACCGAGGCTATGGCACGGAAAACGTGTTCAAGCCTGTTCGCGACGTTTGTCGGTGGAATTCCCCGTTTTATGAGATCGCGTGAGGGTCAGTACTGTGAGAGAACAGAACGCCCTGAAGAGAGAATTTGGCGCAGCAGACTGAATAACACTCGAGAGCACTCGTACGTTACTGAACATGATTTGACGACCAATCCTATGTGACATGTGAAATGGGGGATTCTTCCTGGAACTTACAGACTCGTAGACTCGTGTTGCGAGAAATGACCGTAGTTCTTACGTGTAGTGAGCGAGGAAACAGTCCAAGTCATATGCACCGAGAATGAAGATTGTTCCTTAGGGACAATTATGCCAACGCCGACAAAACCGAAAACCAAAATCGGGCATTCCTTTCTTCCTCACCAGGTATTCTCTGTCGAGCTTGCAAATGCCTGGATAGGGATGAATGTTTAAAGAGCACTAAAACTGCAAGCTGCAATCATAGGGAGGAGAGTTAGGAGCATACTTTGCTATCGTGAAAGTACATACACTTACATGGTCATTGTTCAGGCATTGAAACACCCTACTTCACACGCCCTTCGTCTAGATTCACTCTATGATAGAACAACCGCGTCCAATCATCGAGCATAGTTGGCAAACACCCTGTGTATTCATTAAAGATCTCAGCAATGCGAACACGCAAGTACTGACGAAGAACCCAGCAAAAAAGAACCAGGAAATTCAAGTAAGAAAAGACAGCGAGAAACTCACAGTGTAAACAATCTTTTCCAGGATCCAGGTGAGCATCTGGCCGTTGCATAGACACGTCCCACACATCAAAATAGTGCCATTTTGCGCCCTTTGAATCCGCGGGTCTCCGTTCATTCATTACCTGTATTGTGCGATTCCACAGCTCGTTATGGGGTTTGAACAAATCCCAGTCCCATCTAGAGCGTTGTTTCTTGTCGTCTGGGGTAGAAACTGTTTCCTTGAGGCGTTGGACTAAGTTTTGTTCTTTTCGCCGGGCGTCGGCCATGTCTTTGTAGGGAGTAGAGTGGTCTTCACATTGTGGGTGACCGGGGGAAGTTGAACGGTAGTAGATGGATGTCCGTTCGATGGGTGAGAGACGGCTGGTGACCAAGTCGATCTACCGGCAATGACTGAGCAGGACTTGTCATGAATGAGGTGGTACAAACGTACCATACGGGGATACGTATCTTCCAAGAGGACCTGTTCTTGTGCATCTGTAGGAGCGCGTAACATTCCAAGTTCATGACGCGACCACTGAGTAAACAACTTGGTTAGCTACCTTATTGTCGACCAAAGATACTGATTGTAAGCGTACATGAGCACCAGCATTTAATATCACCAACGTATCCTCCGTGACAGTCTCTTCTTCGCCTTCTCGTGGCATGGCGAGCCATTTGAGATGATCCTCCCATCCTTCTACTCGTCTGAACTTGTGATACCATTTATAGTTTGGTTTAGCGTTGGTTATGGCTCTGATATCCGATTCACCCAGTCCCATATGATCTTCGAGCAAAGTAAAGAACGGCCGTTCCATACGCGATTTCGGAACACCAGATTTCTCTTGTAGAATCTTAGTCATGGCGGAAGTTTTTGAAAGCACAAATTGTTCAACATTGGCAACTCCGGCTAAAGGCAGATGTTTGGGGTTTGAGTCAAAGGTGATATTCATGTGTCGGAAGGTGTAATACATGGCGTGCCAATGTTGACGGCTAATCGAATCTGTGAGTTCAATGAATCTCAAGCTTCAATCAATCGCATTCGAATAACTCACCACCAACAAGAACTAAACCCCCAGGACTTTTCAGCATACGAACCACAAAGTCAACTGGATCGTAGTCGAGAAGAATTCCTCGACCAGGAGTCCATTCCCAGTTCAGCGTGTCAACCAATCGCTGGCCTTCTAACTTCTTCTTCTCTTCCCCTTCAAGTTTGCCCGAAGGATCCCATACACCACATCCATCCCAGACTGGATGCCAGAGATTTGAATATACTGTCTGGACATCTTGCAGAGATGCAAAAGATTCTTTACGAGGAACCCATTTGCCGACTCCGCATTCATATGATTGGCAGAGCAGTGGCGGCGGTGGCCGTGGAGTTGGGGTTTTAACCGAAGTTATTTTCTGTTCATATACAACAGTCTCAATTTCTTCCTCTTGTGGAAAATCGAAGTACGCCAAAGGTCGCCCGACGGATGCAGGCTTTTCCAACCAGTCGGTAAAATGGTGATGAAAGATGTATAACGCGAAAACGAGCAGTACAAGGAGGTATATTCGTGCCCTGGACCGTGTCATTGAGCACTGTGCGAGGCAATTGGAGCCACAGCTGGCAACAGCGTTGTCAATATGGGAGACGGGCACGAGAAAAGTATGATCGGGTCAGGGTATGATTGCGCGTCAATGGTCATATAAAAATGTGTACACTGTTCAGTGTTTCTTTTAGTGTCCTTACTGGTCAAAAACAAAAATGTGGTTAAGGTATCATGACCGGGCAATGTATTTCATGATCATACAAAAACCTGCTTTGTATTTCATGATTACTTCCATGACTTCACAATCATGAAAACTTATTTATACTTTGAGTCATGTAATGGGATAATCATGAGAGTCACAGAAAATAAGAGGAATACCGTTTCATGATTCCATCCATGCTTGTGAATTATTTTGTGTTTCATGACTGTTCATCCATTTGGTTCATGATCGAGAGTGTAAATTAGATATTCATGATCAAGTAAATCTCTGCCTAGAAGTTGAACTGCAGCGCTCATTTGAGTCTTTCAATTGACTTCATTCATGGAGCTGTATACAGTATTCTGGCTACTGTTGATATTCTGGACCCGCTCTGCCATTGCACCAGTCCCTTCAACCTCAGATGTACTTCAAATACATACCATACGGACAGCATATCAGGAATTGGGGTCTCAAGTTTCGCGAACCCTTCAAATACAACTTGGAGATGTATCTCGTATTCAGAGGCAGCAGACATCTGCTGAGCAGTTTTTGGATTCTGTGGTCAGGGTGTGTGCTTTTCCCATTCTTTCTATTTATTTTGATTTTATCTATATCTCACAGCGACAACACCTGTTTGATGACGAGGAATTTACAACCATCTGTACTGGAATTGCTGACATGCTCTCAGCACTAGCTGAAGCTACTGTCCAATCAGAGGATATTGTTGAGCATGCTGCTTTTGAGCCTGTTCAAACAGTGCGCTCCGGTCGGCGGGGACGGCCTAGAAAGGAGATTGATCCACAGTTGCTGGAAAGCAGTCTTCGTTTACGAGGCGTTACTCATATAGCACCTGTCTTTGGTTGCTCTTCGCGCACTGTTCGTCGTCGTGCACTTGAGTATGGACTGGTTGAGCCATGCCCACCTGTATATATTATCTATGAAGATCCAGACTCCGGAGAGCATGTCCGCTTCTACAGATCATCTACAGCTGCTATGTCAGATCTGACAGACCATGAGCTCGACATGATCCTAAGACACATTCTCGAAATCTTTCCTGCCTTTGGACGTAGGATGATTACAGGACATCTGCGATTCCTTGGTCACCATATTCCACGGGCGCGGATCCGGCAGTCCTATGAACGGGTGACAGGAGCACCAGCATATCTTACATCACGGCCTGTTGAACGTCGAACCTACCATGTTGCTGGTCCAAACTCTCTTTGGCACCATGATGGTCAACACGGTGTGTGCTTATATCTTACATGTAAATTATCCTATTCTACATATATCTTCAGCTTTGATTCGCTGGAGGGTAGTTATCCATGCTTTTGTTGATGGGTTTTCAAGACTTGTCACAGCAATTCAAGCAAATGATAATAACCGTGCCCAAACTGTACTATCGCTGTTTTTGGATGCGATACAAGTTCATGGAACACCAAGCCGAGTCCGAGGAGACCATGGCATTGAGAATCTTGGAGTTGCACAATACATGGAGGAAAACTATGGTGTTGAGCGAGGATCTTACATATGGGGACGGTAGGTTTAATCAAGATAGTCATGCATATTGACTGAACATATTTACACAGAAGTGTTCACAATATTCGGATTGAACGTCTGTGGCGGGACGTAACACAGGGCTTTGGCCTCAAATGGTACAATTTTTCTTCTCGTTAGAAGTTGAATTAGGCCTTCTGCCTGATATCGACGAGCACATCTGGCTTCTCCATTATCTCTTTCTTCCTTCTATCAACCAGGATGCACATGAATGGGCTGGTTCATGGAATTCTCACAACTTACAGCTTCAAAATGAACGTGATCGCTCTCCCCAGGATATGTTTTTCTTCGGCGCCATTCAGGAAGGTCTGCGTGGGCCTACTGGTGCTCCCGCACACCTGGAAGAACATATCGAACATGTTGCTACATATGGAGTTGACTGGCAGGACCTTGGTGATGCCACTTTGCTTCGTCACCACAATGAAAACAACCCACATGAGCTAGAAGATTTAGATCACCGCCGCACACGACAGCCACCTCACCTTTCCCTGGTTGAAGTTCCTGCATTCAATTGCCCTTTTGAATCTGAAGAACAGTTAGAAATATTCAACGATGCGCTGTTGGCAATGCCTGAATATCATTCTCGGGATATGACTCAGCGAAAATCGCTTTGGGTGCAGGCTTTAGACCTTTTGGAACTTCTTTTGCCTCATTCACAGTAGTTTTATAGTTTTGTATTATTTATCTGTGATTCTAATTCAAAGGAACTCACTAAGTTGCCATTGGTGCCACGCTATGATGAGCAAAAAGTGTACGGAGTGAGGGCTGCCTGGTGCCAGAATTTGATCCAGCACTGGCACGTACCCCAGAAGTGACCCACCATCCAGGTGGCCGGAAGTTGAAATGTGCCGTCAGCTTTATAAATGCATGGAATAAGATCCAAAGGTTCTATTCTTGCTGCTTATTGGTCATAAGTTCACACCAAGCTTATATATCAGAATTAATTATACACTGTTCAACATTTAGCATTTAATGGTGCCATACCCGTTCACGAAGCTGATAATTACGTCTAGTTTGCTCATTCCTTTCAGCTCTGGTTTGGTCCCGCCGACGCGTAGTAACATGTGGACCAACACTACCTGCAGTTCCTACCTGTCCAGCTCCTACCTGTCCAGCTCCTCCCCGTAGACGTAATACTGTTCTCTCTGATGGAAGCATTGTGCCATGCAATTTAGATGAATCAAAGCTCCTATAATTGTAGAGTTTAGAAAGTATGTCATTAATGTGCTGAGTACTAACCAGAGGGTATTTTCACGGGTTTCTATATAGTACCCATATTGTGTTGCACAAAATGAAAACTCACTCCACTTCTCTTCAGCATTCAGTAGAATCTGAGCACATAAGGAGCGGACACAATCCTCATCTGCATGCTGGGGAGATGTGTAGTTCCTACAGTCAAAAACATTAACACCTGCTAACCCGACCCGTTCACACATTCTTGAAGCATCTTTCATATTGCGCCACAGCTTTCTGTGAAAGCCTTTAGCAGTTCCCATAAGAATACAAGATGTCTGTGAACCTCATCATTAGCTTGATATAAAAAATAAAGATAAAAAGAAACTACGCAAACCTCGGCATGTTCAAACAACACCATTATCCCTTCCAAAGTTTCAGCCTCTATACCAGCATAAGGAGCATAAGTATCTCCAAGACGACCCCCAGAAGGCTGTCTCCAACCATATGGGTGCATTTGACCACTTGACCATAAATCGAACTTCCCTCCACGTCGCACTGGTTTGACTGCAGTCACCTTATTGCAGTGATGAACAAGTTTTTCAAAATGGCCGCCTGGCTGGCGCCCAAATGCTTCGAACCAAACAAAATCCAGCTATGATTTCCACTATTAGTATTGCTCCTGCATAGTGATTAGAACTTACAGTCTCTCCAGGGCTTGTATCATCAATATCTGGATCAACAAAGAGAATAACCAACTTCCCACACCGCTGTATGATATCATCGTCTGCAGTAATACACTCCAGACCAAGCTCATCTGGGTGGTAAAGCTGGGGCATGATTGATTGCTTTCGATTCTGGAGTTAAAAGTACAAATTAACCATGTGCTATATCATGATATTTGAACATACTTGGCGTGGTTTCATCTGCTCCTTCTCTGGCACTCTCGTAATACCAGCTCCCTTGACCTTTGCATAGAAGCCAGGGTCTTCATTACAATGGACAATTTTCCGCTGAACACACTTTTCATGATCTGGTAAGTTGTGACAAATTTTGCAGTGCTTTTTATCGGCAGAAAATGCATTATCTTCAACCTCCTCACGTAATCTCCAAAAATCCAGGGTCCGATCTACAATGACACGTAACTCTGGAGGCCAATTTGGAGCAGTAGGTTCTTGCTTTAGACGGTTTGAATGTTTTGATAGAGTCGCCGAGGATTTGTTTCATGAATCTAATATGTATGTTAGCACTTGACAATTAGCTTACACTATTGATTGAAACATACTGCATATTTTTCCTCATTCAAAAACCATGCCAACCAGCGGTTCCAGCTAAATATGAAATTTTCTTCGCTACATAGAAAAAGAATACTGGCTGGATTGGATATACGGGGAATTAGGAGTGGATGGTCTTTAAGAGCACGAAAGAAGTGAGCCCCAGTCTTCATGGGCTTTGTATTGCTCTGTTACTGTTATGTATAATCCAATTCATAAAAGTATGTAAGTGCACATACCTCATTCCAAAAGTTGAGATTACTCCCTTTACAAGCATCGGCAGCAGCTTCCATTTGAGCCGTTGGTGTCCACTTATCCAGAATACTACCTAATACCAAACCAAATCCATGACAGCGCAGGAGATGTGCATGATGAGGACCGTGACCATGTTTATAGGCATAGACAGGATTTGATAGCTCTAAAATCACTGATGGAAGATGAGTCATCTAGTATAGATAAATTAGCTGCCAAGTCAAAATATATGGTAATTCTATTCACTGAAAGCGCTGCCTGAAAATCGGGAGTATTGAACAATGAACGTGGTACACGTTTCATTTCCCTAATGTTCAGAGCTACTTTCTTTTGAGCTGATTCCAGTTTTGAATGCACCCCGGAGGTATTCTATGTGTAGGCAAATAATGATAAGCTATAAAGTTGATTCAACTAAGTTGTGAAACATGCCTCAAGTAATTCTTTCTTCAAAACAGTTGCCCAAATCTCACACTGTTGAACTAGAGATGAAGTCGAAATTTCTATATGGATTTGAGCCTCAGTAGTAAATTCTCCATGGTCTTCATCTAGATTGATCAAGTCTTCAATCTGGTCAACCATATCTAGGACCAGGTTGTGTTGGTGCAATGAATACTACGTAGCTAAAGTAAGGACTAAGACAGAAAAGATGGTCAAAAGACAGACATTTTGTGCTAGACAGCGTTGTAGTGCTGTAAGTTCTTCCAATGCAGTTTCGGGAGTGTCTTGATATATGAGAACAACCACACTCAAGAATAGATTCAATATATCATCAATTGAATAATCCACGAGTTCCTGCAAGTGCAGAGCCTTTTGGATCCAGGCAAGTATGAGCTTAGACTGAGAGATAGGATACTTAGTGCTCTATAAGTAGTAAGATACTGGTACTCTCACTGAAATACCATCAGTCAGCCATCTTGAGAACCAAGGACCCCGCCATTCTTGGACCTGGGCACGAGTTAGCCTTGAGCCATTGGCTACCAGTTGTTGATGCTGTGCCATGCATTGGTCCAGCTCTGCTTTGAGTGCATATGGAAAGGGTGGAAGAAATGGGTATGGTAGTAGGATATACATGAAGTAGATACAGGGATGTTAATTCCGCGATGTAATCTTGATGTGGGTGAGTAAACTTATGTAATCTAAACATAGACGCTGGTTGGATCCATCCATAATTGTTGCCCTCTGCTTGCATTACATGAGAACATTCAGAGCCAAGACAGCAGACTGGTAAAGAATGAACGAGTATCCAAGCACAGCGACGCAGTGATATTTGACAGTGCACAGAAAAGAGGACAAAATGTGGACTGGAATTTGGTGAAGATCTCGACATGTAGCACCAACGGACTTGCGCCCTAACAAACACCCGCAGGGAGGTCTGGTGTACATGGTCAAGAAGATAGATCATTCAGAGAGGACCACTGGCTTATATAGTCAGCTATGTTTGTACACTTAGTGACTTCGTTTACAGACACGACAACAAACGCGTCGCGGTAAGAGCATGTGATCAACAATTCGTTTATCATCTTTTTGCCTTCATTTTCAAAAACTACACTGTTATCAATCGTTGATTCTGATTCTTGGCGTGCTCGAGAGTACTCACTGAGTACTTCTAAGACCCTCCATCTGCTTTGGAAACGACTGCTTCGTTCACTCTTGACATCACCTTTTGCACCCAGGTACCAGGAGGCAAGAGTACATAGTGTCAGGTGAGTTTTCATTCGTTCCTTCTGATTCTTAGTGCGTTCGAGAGTACTCACTGAGTAATTCTAGACCCTCCATCTGCTTTGGGAACGATTGCTTCGTTCCCTCTTGACACCACCTTTTGCACCCAGGTACCAGGAGGCAAGAGTACATATAGTCAGGTGAGTTTTCATTCGTTCCTTCTGATTCTTAGCGCGTCTGGGAGTACTCACTGAGTACTTCTAAGACCCTCCATCTGCTTTGGAAACGACTGCTTCGTTCACTCTTGACATCACCTTTTGCACCCAGGTACCAGGAGGCAAGAGTACATAGTGTCAGGTGAGTTTTCATTCGTTCCTTCTGATTCTTAGTGCGTTCGAGAGTACTCACTGAGTACTTCTAGACCCTCCATCTGCTTTGGGAACGATTGCTTCGTTCCCTCTTGACATCACCTTTTGCACCCAGGTACCAGGAGGCAAGAGTACATATAGTCAGGTGAGTTTTAATTCGTTCCTTCTGATTCTTAGTGCGTTCGAGAGTACTCACTGAGTAATTCTAGACCCTCCATCTGCTTTGGGAACGATTGCTTCGTTCCCTCTTGACATCACCTTTTGCACCCAGGTACCAGGAGGCAAGAGTACATAGTGTCAGGTGAGTTTTCATTCGTTTCTTCTGATTCTTAGTGCGTTCGAGAGTACTCACTGAGTACTTCTAGACCCTCCATCTGCTTTGGGAACGATTGCTTCGTTCCCTCTTGACATCACCTTTTGCACCCAGGTACCAGGAGGCAAGAGTACATATAGTCAGGTGAGTTTTCATTCGTTCCTTCTGATTCTTAGCGCCTTCGAGAGTACTCACTGAGTACTTCTAGACCCTCCATCTGCTTTGGGAACGATTGCTTCGTTCCCTCTTGACATCACCTTTTGCACCCAGGTACCAGGAGGCAAGAGTACATATAGTCCGGTGAGTTTTCAATCGTTCATTCTGATTCTTAGTGCGTTCGAGAGTACTCACTGAGTAATTCTAGACCCTCCATCTGCTTTGGGAACGATTGCTTCGTTCCCTCTTGACATCACCTTTTGCACCCAGGTACCAGGAGGCAAGAGTACATATAGTCAGGTGAGTTTTCAATCGTTCATTCTGATTCTTAGTGCGTTCGAGAGTACTCACTGAGTAATTCTAGACCCTCCATCTGCTTTGGGAACGATTGCTTCGTTCCCTCTTGACATCACCTTTTGCACCCAGGTACCAGGAGGCAAGAGTACATATAGTCCGGTGAGTTTTCAATCGTTCATTCTGATTCTTAGTGCGTTCGAGAGTACTCACTGAGTAATTCTAGACCCTCCATCTGCTTTGGGAACGATTGCTTCGTTCCCTCTTGACATCACCTTTTGCACCCAGGTACCAGGAGGCAAGAGTACATATAGTCAGGTGAGTTTTCATTCGTTCCTTCTGATTCTTAGCGCGTCTGGGAGTACTCACTGAGTACTTCTAGACCCTCCATCTACTTTGGGAACGATTGCTTCGTTCCCTCTTGACATCACCTTTTGCACCCAGGTACCAGGAGGCAAGAGTACATATAGTCCGGTGAGTTTTCAATCGTTCATTCTGATTCTTAGTGCGTTCGAGAGTACTCACTGAGTACTTCTAGACCCTCCATCTGCTTTGGAAATGATTACTGTCTTTACTTCTGGAGTTGATAATGAATTATTTTACCAAATCGGCACAATCTATTTTACATAACAGTAGAAAGAAGGTTGCGCAGCTGGTTAACCTTTGTTGAAAATATTGACCATGTCCACTTTAACGATTCTGGGTAATTCTGAGGATCCTTTGACCACCAGTATCTGCAGCTCAATGTATACGGATACCAGTCCTGATGCATTTTCTGCAGAGCCGGGCTAGCATCCCCTGCCAATACCAGCTGCTCGAGCTCTCCTAACAAGTGATATGCAGCTGCGACATCCCTCTTGTTATTTGCGAAAGTCCCTGCTGTTATACCAGCCCAAGCATACACATCCCCCACCTCGAACATAACCCCTTCAAGTGGAGAAAGTCTGATTTTCAACTGGCGGGAATGAATTGGAAAGCCAAGTCCCTCAGCCAATTGATTAAGGATCACAAACTGTCGATAACCTTTGTACGCGGTAACTTGCTTATGTGCCAAAAGAAATTGACGAAGAAAGGGAATTTCGGAATGGATTTCGGGAAATGTGGAGACCAGATACATGGATGCCGAGGGTGCAGTGTGCACATCCTGCCAGGCAAGACAAGTAAGCTGGTGAAAGACAATATTACTACGGTACCGAAATTGGCATGCTTACTTCAGGAATGGGGCAGAACTCATTATCATTACTGATAGATGTCGATGTCAAAGGCAAAACTGTTGGCTCCTTAAGCTTATTAGTAAGACGAGGCTTTGACAACAAAATCAACATACTATTATATGGTGAATATGCTCAACTCTTCTTTGCACGATCCGCTCAATCCTTTCCTGCAGCCACAATGGAATTGCATCGTTGCCATCTCCATTTTCAGAACGGATAGTCTGACTGGCAAAAGAACCTAAAGAAAGTTGTGTGAGTAATGTAAAGGCTCTTCGGAAACCTGAACCACCTAATAGGCGTGAATCAGTGCTACTCTCATTGACCGGAATGATGGTGTTTGATTCGTTGTTGATTATAGTCTCACCGCTGGGAGTTGATTGATTTTCCTCCGAACCATCCACCTGTTTGGCTTCGTTCCTCATAGTGTGAGTGGCAGAAATGACAGTAGAAAATAATAGACACATACCAGTTCCTAGATCACCTTCGACCTCCATTTCTTGGATGTTTTCATTTTGATCTTGATAAGTCGGGTCCCCATGGTACTCCGTATTATTCTCTCCATGAGATTGTTCATTGTGACTGACAACACTCTGGTCATCTTCTATACCAATATCGGATTGACTGGTTAATGGGCTACTGCTGAAGAGTATTCTGTCGTAGTCAATAAATTGTTCTTCCATTTCTTCAATAGCTGAATAGAACTAGTATCAGAACAAAAGGTGAAAATGTCCTGAACATACACACACGACAAAGGTTGGGATGAAATTGCCACTTCAGCCAGGGTATTGTGTAAATCTGGCATGGTTCTTCTTGGGCGTCCTCTTCGGTTGCCTTGGGTGCCTCTGCCACCCCGATGAGCATGATTATCGACAGGAGTGTTGATGACCTCGCGTCTGCGAAGAGAGTATGTCATGATGATAGTACAAAAGAAAGTACGGAGTCATAATTGATAAATAAATAAATAAATTGTTTTTGTGTTTCGATAAATAATTATGGACATGAGAAGGGTTTAAACTAGTATCATAGCGTAATCAGCAGAAAGAGGCCCATTGACAGGCTTTTAAATAGTCTCAAAATCACTAAATCCACTCAGAGCACAAGTGCTGTGAAGCCATACATCAAAAACTGTATCGTCCTCAACATCTCCTGGTGACTGGTCAAGTAGTTGCTCCAACCGTGGGTTGAAATCTATTCGGACGTCACCAAAACAGGCCTGATACTTGGCGGGAGCTCCCTCCTGTATACCTGTAAGAACTACCATCGATCAGAAACTAGTGACACTTACAGTCTCATAAACTGGCAGCTTGTTACTTGTGAATATGAACTGCGAAGATATGCCTCAGTACATATATAGCCCTCAGATGCTGCACCAGAAACTTACCGTGATTTTTGTGGAGTTAGAAAGGATTTCACTTCCAGTAGCACACTGGAGGAATCGCCGTGGACGAAAACTATAGTCATTACCATAAAGCTCAGCTTCGCCGGTAGGAAGTGCTTCCGCAATAGAAGCATGGGTAACATGACCAGGACGGTTTGCCCAGCGGAAGAATTTCATCATGAACTCATCAACACGGCTCTGCTTCTCAGGACAAGCGGATGTATCGTAACTGATATAGGGTCGAAGATCATCACCACTATTAGGGAATTGCTGATCAAGCTCCTTGAGAATAGATTTCGTTTCGGGTCCAAAAAGATCAAGAAGGTTGACACCAGATGCAACGCTGATATTCAGTCCAGATCGGAATGCTTTGACCGCCCAGTGGTCTTCGAAGCATTGTCCAGAGACAGGAAGTCCCACACCATATAGAGCAATAACCTGTTTGTAGACAGAAGCGCGTTCAGCAACTGTGGAACGGACTGGTGTATTGAAATCGGCTACCTATGTGGTAATAGAAGTAAGTATATGAAGTAGATTCAAGCAATTAACGTACTGTGCAGTTAAAAGCTAAGGCAACTTCTGACGTTACGTCGTTATTGGGGATCTCGCGGGAGGGATTGGAATGCCAATGAAGCAGAATACGCTGCAGTGCAGGTAAGAACGAGATAAACTCCTGGTCATCCAGAGAATCGACACTTTCATGGATAAGCGCCAGCATTAATGAAGGTGAAAGGCGGCGAGGGATAACGTGAAGGTGGACAAGTGACATGGCTACAAGGTTACCGAAGGCCTTTAGGGTGGCTTGAGCCTGAGCGCTAAGTAGACGGTTCAACTCAAGAGTGAGATGCTGGTCCCCACATGGTCTCCAAATCTCTGTATGGGACATCATACGCTCCATAGCACATCCCAATAATGTTTTTGGAAGTGACGACCCATAACCATGTCCACTAAAGTATATCAGTGAGCGAAAATCAAATATGAATCAACAATTGGCGTACAGATTGAAAACTTCGATTGGAAATAAAAGTTCAATGTCCTGGGCAGGTAGCGTGATGCTCATTAGCGTAGGCTCTGGAAGGCTATAGCCTGCTCGGTTGATGAGGCTAGTGATCAGGCCATCTGCTACAGCCTCGGTAGTACAATTGGAAGCAGTGATAACTACTCGCTGACTTCTTTGCAAACCGGAAACCAGCAAGTACTGATTGAGCAATCGAAAGAGGTCTGAAGCAGTGTTAGCTAGCTCAATATCCACCTTATGAGACATGTCAGTTGCATCCTGTGATAAGCCAAGTCAGGTATATAAATTGTATGATAGGAAGATAATGAACGTCACCAAAAGCTCTGAGTGGCAAATATAGTCTGCAGCATATTGGTTGCTTGAACTTGAAGGGTAAGTGCTCCTATTGGGCACAGGAGGCAAGGTGGCCTGTATACCAGATGGCCCAGCTTCACTGGAATTTCCAGTCAGTCGCCTCCGTTCTTCAGCCTAAGTGCGCATTTAGATCAAGCGGAATTGCAGAAGTAAACATCATTTACAAACCTGGATGGTTGACATAGAAGCTTTAATAGCTGCAGCCATATCTTCATGCTCCTCATCAGAATTGGTAGCATGATCACGTCGACGCTTCATAGGTAGAACAATCCCCCGCTGAATGTCATCGTCATCATCATCTGACAAAGCGAGCTCTTCGAATGGGCGCCCAGCATTCAAGGGTGAGCTTGAACTCGATGTTGCTATAGTAGAAATTCCGTCAAATAAAGAACGGTCTGGTGGAAGAGCAGCTGCACCAAATGCAATGGGTGCATCGGGAGGAAAATGGAAGTGAAGCGGAATCGTGGGAATTTTCGGAGAATTACGACATTCTTGAAGACAGTCAGTATAGTGAAGGCCAGTATCGTCATCAACACGCTCTGTAATGAAACCATAGTTGAGCTTGGGGCCACAACATACATGTCCTCTCCAAGTAATTGGTCCTGCTACGGGTGCTAAAATAGAATAGATATGTAAGTCAACTAGATAAGTATACATTTCGGTACTATACCTGCAATCAAAGCGGGAGTGGCACATCCAAGAGTTTTTGGGGCTTTGTTGGCCAACGATTGAGTTTCTTTGAATGTCCACCAATCATCGTTGAGGAGTCCAGGCCGATTTGGGACATAGTGCCTCTTTCCCTGTCACATATTTCCCCAGAGGATATAAAAGCTTCTCTTCTCCTGGGGGATCGCTGGATCAGGAGTTGGAATGGTGATTCCTAGCTCTGATAGCCGAACATTGAGGGAGGTTACGATTCTGTCAATGATTGCCTTTGCCGACATGTTGTCGGTTATCGTGACCTCAACAGCCAGGTCATATTCAGCAAGACGCTGGAAAAGGCGTAGGATTTGGTTATCGTTATAAGCTACATCGACAGGAGGATGGTACTGAGTTCCTGGAGAGGTAGTAAATTCCCGAATAATCTGAGTGCGAATAAGTGATTAGTTCTTGACAGAAAAAAATGCAGAAACACACAGGTGCCATTTCTGGTAGGAAGTAGACGATAAACTTGAAGCCATCCTGACTCTTAGCCTTCGCACTACTCTGCACACTGCCCCCACCATATCCCTGGAATCCTTGATTTTGAGGGTATGAATGTCGGGCAGAACGCTTCGCAGCAGCCCCTTTATGATAAAATGGACTAATAGTGGCTCCTGACTGCATATGTAGATTCCGTTGCGCAGCTTCCATCCGTCGTCCATTGACAGTTTGGACAGTATTCACCTTCTGAATATCAGCAGGGTGAACCCATCGAGATGCGCGCTGGGTATTCATGGTGGAAACATCAGGCAACGGTGCAAGACTGTGGAAAATATCATTATCACATCAATATAGGGGAAAAAATAATAGGGATGCATACGGAGTTTCAAGTATGGCATGGCTCATATATGGAGAGTTGCAAATATGTCCCGCTGAGACAACTTGATCACATAATGTACGCGGCCCAAATACAGCAACCTTTGAGAAAGAATTCATAAGCTTTCGAATTTTATCTCGAGGGGCAAAGAAATTAACAAACCGATGAAGAAAATGCAGGGCAGTTAGTTTTGGGATAACCGCCACGAGGGGGAAGTGATAAAGCAGCCATTCGGTGGTCAGAGACTTGGTGACCACAGATACACCGTTCATCCTTTCAGAATGTAATCAGAGGATAAATCAAAGAAGGTCTACAATAACATACTGCTGAGAGGGTATCGCGATAAAATGAGATACACTCAATATTTTCTGTAGCGCAAATTTGGCAGGGCATGATGGATGTCTAATGAGCGTCAAAGGTCAGTAAAAATATGGCCAAGTTCTCATCATAGCCCGCTGCACAGGTTAGGCAATGGAAATCATGAAACACAAAAATTATTCGAGTCATGAAACTATAATATTTAACGCAGATGAGAATGGAACCAAACTTCAAATCACAAAAGAGGTCAGCCATAGAAACAGTCACAAAATAGTGGAATTCCGATTCATTATTCCATTCATGATCAAAGGAAGAGAAAAGCAAACAGTGGTTTGACTGGGTTTGTGTGATCATGGATAAAGGTCAAAGCAGGTTCTATGATCCTGAACAATCACGAAATGTTGTACGCGATCACGCAATCTCAAGCACGTTTTATTTTTGTCCAAGAAGGACACCCATATGTTTCATACTACATACAACGTAATTTTCATGCGCGCTACTCAGAGCTCCATACCAAATCCATGATAATCATAGAAACCAAGTATGTAGTATGTATGTAGCAACATGCAAATGAGAGATTGATTGAATCTGAAATACACACTAGAAACTAATGATTAAAGTGAGGACTTGAGAAATCGGTTAGGATTGACAACATGGGCATACCTCGGGTGCGGAAGAACAATCGTAGAGCAATTGACAGTCAAGCATTCCTTTTGATCTTTTTCACATATAATCCAGGACATATAATCAAGTGGGAAAAGAATGTCTCTTGTTTGCCTTCCCAGTCACAGTGCACACACATCGCCTTTCGACTGTAGACATGCATACTGGCAGTGTGCAGAGCAATAGCCTCTCCTCCTCCCCATATCAAATGACCACAGCTGCAGCGTAGGTATCCCGAAGAAAACTTCGACGACAAAGAATAGATGTGCGAATGATCACAAACCAAATGCTCTCGAACATCTTCGATGTATGGTTCTATCGCTGCAGCGCAATAAGGAACAGGACAGAATAGTTTTCGATTAGGATTGATAATGCGCCGCATCCGTGTTTCTTCTAGTGGGATATCAGGATGATACAGCAAGGACTTCTGTCTCGAAGATTCAATATGGAATAACAATAGTTTCTGTGCCTTATCATGACGACTCAGCACTGGAAGGTCGGCAGGATCGGGAAATACGCGGATTGCAGGAGCGCCTTCGTATCTTGAAGTAAGCTGTGATGACGATTCTTCCCGGAACAAGAGCCTCGTTGGGGGACCGTAACGAGAAGGAAAAACGGTGCGATCCCCAACCTGCAACCTCGCAGGGCACTCGTTGAGCGGGAGTCGACTGGAAATATGGAAAAGGTTGTGCAATGCTACATTTGATACCGTCTTGATCTCCCTGTTGCTCCAAGTGGGAGGGAGGTAGGCCGAGCCGGAATTTGGGAAAACAGAAGCTATGGGAGCGTATTCGTTACGGACGCAATATTCGTCATGCCCTGAAACAATTTGAGTGTTGTATGAATGTGACCGCGGCCGTACATGCTGGACTTGTTCAATCTGTTCAAGTTTTCGCGTTAGGGCAGTCAAGTTGAGAGGGGAGCACTCGCCTAGATTCTCAGTCGCCGGCGAGCTAGGAGAGCAATGCAATGGGGAGCTGCTGTACATGACGTTCAGGTTCTGGAAAGATAGGTGAGTGCGAAAAATGATTATCTGCACATCAGAATACATGAGCTTTTATGCTAGAGATTCAGCAGGTTGAAGGGTCATTGGCATTGGCATCCACTTTGAGCTATGCAGGTCGAACAATGGATGGGTGGTAAATTCTGACTATGAGAACAATCATGCAACCGAAGCATCGTGGGCCTGCAGCTTGAGAATTGAAATTTCCAAGCTGATCAGACGGTCACAAAACAGTGGTCTCAAGCACCATCGTTCCGGGAGACACAAAGCAACGGAGGCTCGGTGCAGGGAGAACCCGGAGAGGCTAACCAACACATGAGCGCTTATGAGCGCCTATGCTAGTCACATGTTAAAAGTGACTGGTCACCGGTCTAATCTGGTCTGGTTGCTTTGTCCTTCAACTTGACCAGAACTTGACCATGGCCAAAAAAACGATCTCTCAGTGGCCAAGGTAGCTGCGTTGCATCAGCGATGCCCAAAACTTTGCAAATACAGGGCTTTATTCAAACATCTCAAAATTGAAGCTTACGTCGGTATGTCAGGCGCTGCCATGCCAGAACTCGATCCTGGACATTGCTCAACGTTGCCCACTTGATACCTGCGTCAGAAAAGCACCATCTGGGTTTGCGGCTTACTGTATTCGAATACACAGATTTTTCTAACGCAGCCGACGAATCATCCAGTGGCTCATCTTAACGCGAAGGTCAAAGCCGACCGAGATGGACGATACGTGGACTCAGGCCCGACATTGGTATGCCATCGAATATCACACCAATTCCTACTAGTGGAAGCTCAATCGTTCAAGATCGTGCATATCTTTGGCTTTCTTAGGTACGATGTCGATTTCAGACAGATAGGAACAAGTTCTATCCAGAAGACCTCGTTTCTCGTATAATATCAAAATCAGTATCAAACCCATGTCTTCAAGATTAAGGGACTGTGATCTTTCTAAGTAGTGCCCAGTCTATGACAGACTTACAGTATACCTACAGTAGCAAATCAGTCCTAAAGACTTAAGTAGTAAATGTTCAAAAATGTTCGTTCTCACTTCACGCACAATAATGGTGGATAAATTGATAATGGCCCACATTGTTGCCTCTTAAGATGAAGTAGGAGGAAATGTGTATCTTCAAGGAAGGAGGCAACTTAGCTTAGCTTAGCTCGCTACCCATGTAAACTTTAACCGACATTCAGGCTGGATAGCGAATTAACCTGAATTAACGCTCAGTCCAGAATGTGGGAGTTCATCGGTTAACGCCGATAGACGCCGACCCGTCGAGCAGAGAGAGGAGCTGTCCCTTCCTGCTACCTTGCTGCTACAATACATATATGTATGTTCCAAATCCTACGTATCGTATCATCGTTACTTGACTGTTCCTCCCATTTTGCCAGCAATGCGCGTTGAGCGGGGCTCACGGTTCTATCATTGACACGGCAATGATTTCCAGTCAATCTGACATTGTATTTAATGCATCCCTGCTCTCGACCTCCACCATCGTGTTTATCCGCTTTTCAACCCCAGTAGACTTAAAGCTGCGATAACATATGGCATACACTGACACTGCCAATAGTGGACGCGTTGGAGATTCTGCTATATCCCCAACAAGGCTATCCCTCAAGAGAACACTCAGCTCGCCTCCGGAATACTCTCATCAGGTGCATTGGGATAACACGCGCCAGACACCTACCCGTAGAAGGCTTGAGGACGTAATACCAAGGAGTCACGACCACAGGACGCTCGTCCTCTGTTTCGATGGTACAGGTGTGTTACACAAGCCTCCAGGGCAGCAAATGGCTGTTAACGATAACCCCTTTAGGAGATCAATTCGATGAGGATGTACGCCGGTACCTTTTGCTCTGTAGAATCAGCTATACTGACTGCAGGATACAAAGAATTCAAACGTAGTCAACTTATTTTCGCTGTTGAAGAAGGACGATCCGTCTCAACAATTGGTCTATTATCAGGTGTGTCTTAACTGGATTGGCTTGTGTATTCTCAGGTCTGATCATCGCTGTTATTTTCCAGTCAGGTATCGGGACATACACTATCCCTCAAATAGCTCAACCATGGATGGCCAAACTCCATAAAGCTGCAGATATGATGGTTGGCATTCATCTCAATGCGCATGTCATGAGTACGGCTTCTTGTTTTGCGGCTTATACATTCCATCTGAAGAATATCTGCAGCTGGCTACGAATTCTTGATGCAAAATTGTACGTTCATGCGATGTCCCAGTACCCGAGAGAATGCTAACTTAAACGAATCTCAAACAGACAAAATAGGAGATAAAATATGTATCTTTGGGTATGTCATGGCGTGAATAAGACCTGTGAACGCTAATGTTCTTTTCATAGATTCTCTCGCGGTGCCTATGTATGTCTTTCTTCCAACAGTGATAGATATGACTGAGGTCCTCCTATCAAACGAGAGTAGACTGCTCGTGCCTTAGCAGGAATGTACGTTCGTTCCTACCATTCAACTCATTCACCTGATAGTGGACACCAAACATTAGGATCCACAAAGTCGGGTTGCTTCCACGACATAACCACCAGCAGGTGCCTTTTGCATACAAAATGTATACAAGGGAAGACGAGACGGGTTGGCGACTCAGCACGGCGTTTAAAAAATCATTCTCCATAGATGTTGACATTGATTTCTTGGGACTCTGGTGAATATCTCTCTCGTGTCTCACTGTCTCACTCTTATGAGCCGTGATGCTTAGGGACACTGTGGGTTCGGTAGGAATTATTCCTAAACGATTGCCCTTCACTAGTTCCAACACCTCCGTAAGATGCTTTCGACACGCGCTTTCCCTCGATGAACATCGCGCGCGATTCGTTCCGAGCCTCTGGGACCATTCCTTGCCTAATCGTCAGTTCAAGAAGCATTTGAGCTTCAGGTTTGGTCTGCCTCGCGGCGTGATGCCAAAGTCCAAGAAACCAGTTAGGAATCTACAGCACCCCAAGCAGAACGGTGTTATCACGGAAGTCGAACCACAATCATATCGTGCACCCAATAATGAATCAGCTCGGTCGACCAATAATGGTCCCGCACACAGGACTCTTAGCCAGCTTGAGCGAGAGTATGATGCTATGATTGGCCTTGACGCGGACCCTGATGTTGTTGATCAGACTCCTACAGATGTACAGGAAGTGTGGTTTGCTGGATGTCATTGTGGTGAATAAGGTCGACTCTGGATTCTTTTTCCTCACAGTTGACGCATGACGTTGCATAGACATTGGTGGAGGCGCAGTCAAGAATGACACACGAAACTCACTAGCGCGTATTCCTCTCCGGTGGATGATACGAGAGTGCTTCAAAGTCGGCACAGGCATCATGTTTCATCAGGAAATACTCAAACAAGTAGGATTGGACCCTGAGGGTCTGTGGCCTCATATTCGAGAACGTCCCCCACATGCCACTGCTGGTCTCTATTATCAAGACCGATATACGTCGGTTGCCGGGACTTCTGCCAATATGCCCTCAAGTTCTGAAGGCCAACGGTCAACTATTCTCGCTGATTTTATCACGGAAGAATACGAAGATGAAATGGATGCACTCAGTCCTATGAACGATGTGCTCAAAACAGACCCGGGATGGTGGATTCTGGAGATGTTGCCTTACAAGGTCAAGTACCAGAGGAAGCAATCAAACGACTCGGATGATGACGACAGTCATAATTCCAGCATGGGACGACGAGAGAGTGGCAGTGGCAGGAGTAGTGTGAAATGGGCTTCGAAGATCTCGTACGTCGGTCTGGTATCAATAATTTCTCTATCTCACTCACCGACTTTTATGTAGATGGGCGAACCTTGGTAGAGCACGACACATACCTCGAAATGTACAGGGAGGTATCAAGGTCCACCGGACTGTGAAGATTCGAATGGATGCAGATGTAGTGGCGTTGGCGGACAGTAAAGGGAAGGTGAAAGGGAAAGGGAAGAAGTACATTCCTCGTCCCAAGTGGGATTTTGATCCAGTGTGGGTGGATTAAGGCTTAAATATTATATAGGAAAACAGCAGGATAATAGACATGTTTTGTGCAAGGTGTATATTTCCCCACCTTCCCGTTTTCCGGTTTCTGGTGCTTGCATGGAAGCGGCGTTTTAAATCATGTATGTACTATGATCGCGACTGTCCGCTTTTTTCCCTCATGTCCAACAGTGGTCTCAAGACTCAGGCTAGCTCAGGCTTTTCCGTCAATAATCAGATGTATTGGGCTGTCGATGATATAAACAAGAGTTTACAAGAGATTTCAGTTGGATCGAGCCATTCGAACTCATTCAGTATTTGCACTTACACGCAATAAGCAGAAACGACACCAAGCAATCGATAGGTGCTGAATGGCATGACAAAAATCAGCAGTATTCGACCAAACGACTGAGTTCCTCTTCGGTATTCCCTTGTTTGATAGGGCATCGCCCAGGGTCTGATAGAAAGCACGAATGAGTTTCTCCCAGAGGTTTGGAGGTTTAGAGGATTTGCCTCAACTTGCTGACATTCAAGAATTGTTCAATGTTCAAGAACCTCGTTCCCGAGAACCCCTCCCAAAGTATCCTTCTCCAAATTTTCTCTCGCCTGGTCGATGCTCAACACGACCCCCTCTTCGTGATACCCAGAGCCTTGGGCTCGGATTCGTTTATCTCAGGGGCATGTTTTTTCCCCTTTACTCGTACAAACATCCCCTAGCATCGCGCCCTGAGCCAAACGACGAACATGTCAGTGTTAACTCGGACTCTGGGGCATTCAACGAATATGAATCCCGGCGCCAGTGGATAGGCCGACGAACATGATGACTACTAGTCAGGTCAAGAAAGCAAACCATGAGGGCATAGAACGACAGAGGAGACGTCTCGCTGGAACCAAACTCAACTAATATATTCAAATGCTTACTACTAAATACCTAAAAATGAAAGAGCTGTGGGATGAGAGATGCTGTATCGATACAGTTCAATGCTAACTACAAATTAATGCCAATGATGAGACCGGTTGAGGAATAGACCAGAGGATTATATGTACAATATATATAATGGGGTGTAAAGAGTGGCAATATTATCAACATTGCGAGCGCTGCTGGCGATATGATAATACTTCTTCATCATTTAGGGCCGCGCGGCAACGGGGGGCTTTGCCTTTCTTCGAGCTGGAATGGAAGAAGGCATGACGGTGCAGAACTATACACAAATTATCATCAGTATCGACACAGCGCAGAAACAAGATGGCAAACCTTCTTTGCCAGAGGGCCGATCTGGAAAATCTTCTGGCCAAAGGGTACTTGAACTTCTGCAGGCCTCTTGACACCAGCGACTGGTGCGAGGGGAGTCAAGTCAACCTCCATCCGAGTCCCCCTGCCCCATCGCTGCTCACGTTGTGCGCGATACTCAACAAAGGAGGTGCACAATCTCATATGCATTGCGAAGTCCTCGGGCCTCCGCACCACTTTACAAGCCCGGCAGATGATATTCTCTTTGCAGAAATGTGCATGATATATATGCCACCCCAACTCCGTATTGGCATTCACACCTTGAAAGAATATACCACATTGGCAGTATAAGGGGTCATTGGCGTGCCTCTTAGCGATATGCTGACAGACAGAAGAAAGGGATATGTCGATAGTCTCCGCACAATTGGCAACACGGCAACGCTCTGGTCCATGTGACTCTGGGGTAAGAGGATCCATGCCCAGCCTGGAAGGTAGTATATCAGGGTAAAGTTGACAGGCTACGAGAAACGAGGCGTCAGTATGCGACTCGGCTGGTAAAGGGTGTTCGGGTTCGGTCACGGATGATCGTCGTACAGAGGGGAAGGCTGATAAGTCAAAAATGGGTTTAGCAGAAGCGAGGGAAGCACCGTGGGGGAGGTGAGGAGGGTAAACAACGGTCTGGGAAGACATCATAAGGCTGAATGGGTCGGGTAGTTGAGACTTCGGGATCGCCGCTTTAGATTGAGACATTCCAGACTCGCTGGGAGTGTTGTCCAGCACAACGTCAGAAAGCAATGGGTTGAAGGCATGATCAGCGAAAATAGGATTTATGTATTGGCTGAAGAATGCCTCGAATTCAGAAACATCCTTGTCAGAGAGTTTGACTTCGCCCGGCGAAGATAACTTTGGGGTAGTCCTGTCGACGATGTTGTAGAACGCGTTACGGGATTCGACGCTAATATAATTTCAGAAAATATTTCAACAAGATTGGAAAACTACCACTCACGAGGTGGAAGACGATTCAAAAGTGAATAGAGAATCCATTGTAATGGGTCGTGATAGACTCAGTGGCACCGACGACAGAAAACAGATTAGGGTAAAGCGATAAAAAATCTAGGTCTACTAGAAGGTGTGAAGTCGTAAAATAGAGATGGATTATCACAGTTGAGCGACATTGAGATATTTATACGGTTTCCCCATAGCGCATTTGAGCTACAATGAGAAATCCAACGAGGTCCAAAAACGGACTGTCATCGTCTCTTCCGAAGATTTGCAAGAGTTAGGACAATGATGGCGGTGTGATTCTGTACGTTCTGCATGGGAACCACGTTCCGGGATGGCCAGAGCGGACAATCATTTTAAGATTGTTCACGATCAAAAAAGGAAATTCGCCCCAGCTTTGATATCTTGACAGAGCCGCGCAGGGTTGGACATACGAGAACCTGCCAAGTATAATCCACGAAGATCTATACAGATCCACGAGTGTGAGTCATTGATGGCGTTCACAATGAACGTCAAACTGAAGAGGACCAAAGAGGACCAAAAACGAGGAGCGCAATCATTACGATCCGATGATACATGGGTGACTAAAAAGAGGCCATACAGGGCAATACTCACAACCTCTACAGCTCAACATCAAAGTCCGAGCAAGTAGTTCGCGGCATTGAAGTTTGAGGTCCAATGTTCTCCGAGTTGAGATTCTTGTGAAAGGGGACGTCTTCGTGGGGCTTTTTCACACGAGTGGCAGTAAGATTCCCAAAGATAGATAGTCACATCGTCCTCCTGTCTTTAACGTGTTGATTATTATCTTTCGAACGCTATGTTATGTTTATGTTTAATATAGTTACAACAGGATTTCGAACCGTAGGTATGAACTAGATGAGGGTATAGAAAGAAGTTATCAAATGAACTGTCAGAAATAATATCCAAGACATTTTTGAGAGGGATGGTAGTGTTGTACATACAGAATAAGTACAAAGTAATGAGAGTCAAACATAAGAGCCGCAGCGAGAACATGAAGACAGAATGATTTAGACGAACTTTTGCTAATATACAATCAAAGCAAGCGACACAGAAAAACCGATAGAACGCAAAGCAAACCAACACAAGAAGCAAAAAAGACACTTATATAAATAACTTTTAGTCATATCGCTCGCGGTAGTGAGGCGTCACATAGATCGATGGGTGAGGTAAAATTCATAGCCTGTGGACAAACTCATCTGTCAATAAGTGCCACGCAATTAAAAACATACTACGCACATAAGGGTGGACAACGTCAGAAGAATGTGATGCAGAAGGCTCTTCCATAACCAAAGGTCGAGTGGGGTCAACGCGAGATATTCGTGGAACGACGATGACGGCGGCGCTGGGATCTTTTCCGGACCCCGGTGGAGTGCTGTACTTGTTTATTTCGGCCCTAATGTTCCCGATGCTTGGTTGTTCTTCAATATCACGTCTACGACCATGCCGGGACTGATGGATGCGCGGTCGGTGGTAAGTTACTGATCCTGTTCTGAAAATTTCATTAGAGTGCATCTCCCAAGTTGTGGCGTCGTCGTTGGTGTCTGCAATCCAGTTTCTCCCTTGTACAGTGGCTGGGTCAATGAAATCGCTCTCTGGATCAGATTCGTATTGTGGCGTAGCTTCACCATCATACTCTGGATTTTGTGACAGATTTTCGACGGCAAGGTCTTCGGGGTTTTCAAAATGGTGAAAGGTGTCAACCGCGGGTGGTGTGGGCTTGGGGTGTGACATATTCTGTTCGCGATGGTAATCCGGTAGTGAAGGTGCGCGAGCTATCTGGTCGACACTTGGTGTAGATGATATTTTGACACGATAACCAATTTCCCGAGTAATTGAACGCGGGAAAAAAATCTGGTATATTTGAATTTATGAACGAGGTTTGAATATGTGTTACTCACAAACAGAGTAATTGCAGACGATACGAAGCAGCCAATCCCACCAAGCATGACGAGCAAATCTGCGAATCGACATTATGGAGACTCCGACCACAGAAAACAAGAGGAGCATACCCGAAGCGGCCCTGTATTTTGGGCAACATGAGGGGTCAAGTCTCGGTAGAAAAGGGTTTTTGAAGACGTACTGTTTGGCAATGATATCGTGGGGTCCTTGAACAGCATCCAACGCGAGAATGAGTAGCGGGAAATGAAACATGAAGCGGAAAATCATTCGTGTGATCTAGAATATGTTAACATTGACTTGAGGTATAATAATAGAATTTCAGGAAGGCCAACGTTTAGTTGATAAAATATGGTCAGCCGCACGACGACTTCGGGTTCCGCGCCCTCGAATTTGACTCGGCGTATAAAACCGGGGAAGCGAACCAAGACATACATGAAACAGAGGGTAGTTGCAAGGCCAGCGGCTGAGCCAGCAAGGAAAATCCATGCAAAGCACTGGGGAAGAGATCAGAAAAACAACTTGGTATAGTGACAAACAACCAACCAAATCCAAGTTAGCTCTCTTGATGATGACTGTCAAAGGCATTCCCAGAATCGCTATGACACTTCCTACGTACAGCATTAGAGCATCAGTTCCAGTCATATTACGAAAAGAGATCACAGCTCACCGAGATACCAGACTCGGAATTCCCAGCTCTTGAACCAATCGCGTTTGTGAGGCCCTTGATGTAATAAAAACAGCCAGAATGTTAGTTCTGCGAATGAGACCAGGGATCAGCTCTGGCACTAAACAACGGGGTGTAGCCTAACCTTCAAGATGGGTCACCCTGTATCCAAAGAAACGACACATGAGAAGCTAGCGTCACGAAGATTCATCAGTATGCTCACAACTCGAGCGCCCACGCTGATGCTAGGACGAAGAAAAGCGGGAGAAGTCGTTTCCTGGCCGTGTGAGTCCAAGAGGAAAATGGAATGGCTAGGACTACATAGGTGTAAGTTGGAGGAAGCGCGAAGGAAGACAACGACGCACCTTTCCCATCAGCTGTTATTAAGAAACCTAAACCAATGGTTGTCGGTTATTGCACTGATTGAAGGAAGACTCACACCAAACCTTGCTGGTAGGACAGTACAGTCATTGTAAGCGAGTATACCATGAGCAATGGCACCGTTGCTAGATACGAATATCTGTGATTGGAAAGGTTAATTTCCAAAAGGGAAAAAGTGAGCACCATCAGGTATAGCGCACGTCATTATTCTTTTGAATGCACCAGGTTGTCTGCCAGAGCCCCATTTAACGCACTGGAACTTGTCATAACTATACAGATGAGCAACCAGGAAACCTTCGAACTTGTCAACGTTTAGATTTGAGTACTGTAATATAGATATCAATTTAAAGACTCACTAGACACGCTAGTATAGACCATAGAAGATACGTCGAAGGAGAGAAACCGCCCATGAATCTGAGAGGGGGAAACGGCGGAAGACAACGAAGCCAATGATGAAGGCCAGTTTGCGCAAGCTTTGAAGCCGAAGTTCAAAGAACTGATCGTTTTTGTACATCTTTATGGCCTCGGCATTTACCGACGGGCCGCGGAAGCAATCGAGCTCGGGCATCGGAAGCAATTTTAAGAAAAAGAGTAGATAAAGTCCCGAACCGATTTTGTCGCTCTATTTCAAGTTCAATATGCCTGCTGTTCTGTTCTGATGCATGGGTTGATGAGGGTAATGGAGGTGGAAGGTGGTGGTACAACTTGGCACGACGCGCTCGAACTCACCAAGTATTCCATTCGATGTCGAGCTCGGATTTGGACAAGTTATCATTGAATGATCTGCAATGTACATAAGTATTATGTCCAAACTATAACGAGGGCAGGCACACTGCAAACCCAACCTCCAGCAACCTCCCTGGAAATCATTGCAACAAAACAGGAACAGTACATAGATAAATACACGCAGTAATGACACGGGACGTAAGTACAGGAAATCAAATCAGATCGAACAACTTCATCCTCCAATCCTTTTCATCCCCGTTGCCATCTACCTGTGGTTTGGCTATTCTTTCCATAGGATTTCTCTTCTGCTGTCTCTGGGCATCGTCCATCCTCACTGCCCAAGTATCTTGTAAAGGTTGCGTAGTTTGGGTTTGACTATCGATGCCCATGGCATCGGTAGGCGTGGACCAAACCTCCTCCACTGTCGCGCTTAGCTCAGCCTCGAACTCAGATAGCTCTCGTTGCATAACCAAGCCGTCTTCGCGATGTTGTGCGGTAAATTTGATGAGGTGGGGAAGAAGCTTTTTGCCTTCACCTGACACAAACAATTAATATATATAATTCGTAGCGAACACACGGACAGCATGTACTTCGGGTACCGTTAAACCTTCCGACCAGCTTGCTGATAGAACGTAATAAATACTCCTCCTCGTCGACCGTGCCTTTACGGCCTGAGCCAACTTTTCGCTCCATCTTCCGTTTGGAACGAGAGCTTCGTCTGCCAAAACCAGTCAACAGTTCAACCAAATAAAAATAAATGAGGGACATACTTGGATGATCTTGAAGCTGCCGAGGGAGCCACAGTATACCGTGTAAAGGCCGTAGGAGCCATTGACACGTCGGTCATTACATCCACGTTGTGGAGCGCTGTGTCTTCAAACCCGTAGAATTCGTCTACGAATATGGTATAGTCATGCACCGAAACACCGGAAATTGAACCTACCTGGCTCTTCAACCTTTTTGACCCGAAGCTCACGTACTCTGTTTAGTTGCTTGTTGAGCTGCTCCTTCATCTCAGTCACATCTTCGACGATTTGAGCCATGCTTTCCAGAGCTCCGGGATGTATGACATCCTCAATAAGTTTGGACTCCCGCTTTAACGTTGTCTACGATGGCAGTTCAATATTAGAATCGTATCCTCTGTGATGGGTGCTTACTATTCTCAGAGCTTCCGAAAATTCGTTTCCTTGGACGAGCGTAATGACTGCTGTCTTGACGTCCGACGTATAATCCAAAATTACCCTGGCAGCTTCAGCAAATCGCTTTTTCGACACCAAATCCTCTGAGGCCGTTAGATGAAACGACAAAAAATGTGAGGGAGGGCGATTCCGAAAGTCATTTCACATACCCGATACACGGTAAGCCATATCCTCAACGCTTTCATCGCTCACAAGCTCTGAATGTCGAAGCGCCAGCTCAAAAAGCTCTTGCCACTCGAGCGCCTTTTCATAAGCCACCATTGCCTTCTGCGGGTGTTTGGCTTCCACGAATACTAGGTTTAACAGACGTCAGCTTTCAACAAGACACATGAATGATGAATGTTGATATAGACCTGCCGCTGCCTGTCGGAAGTCCCTTCGTTCAAAGAGCCAGTCTCCATAAATCGCTAAGACGTCCTGCGGGAATCAAGGGAATTTGAGCGGAGCACCGGAACGAAAATGGAGCTGATTACCTCGTAACGATCTGAATTACTCCATATTGACAAAGCTGCTTGATAGAGGGAATGTCGTTCAATGTATTGGATGGCTTCGTCAAAATAACTTGGACCTGACATAGGCAAAATCCGGATTGGTACGGAGATCTCGGGATATAGGATACACACATACCCGCTCGAGCCAAATTGTTCAATGCACTTTTGTATCTCTTCAAAAGATCATCTATCCTGTACTTTTGATAGTTCTTATCGCCAATCGCTCGTAACTCACGCAGGAATGGGAGATACTCTCGAGGATCCTGAAACCAGCGAAGGCAATGTCAGCAGTGAGTAATGATTTCCCTAACACAATACAAGAACCTTTTGTGAATGCTGAGCAATCATTAACACCAACGAGAAGTCGTACATTCCAAGTGCCGTGTCGAAGAGTTTGTCAGCGTCAACAAGAAATATAATGTATTTGACGGCATCCTCAACCAAGGCAGGCTCTTCACCTGTGTATTATTCGTAACATGAGTCGCTGAGAGTGAAGACAATGCCAACCATAGCGTACCTTTTAGACGTAACAGCAATGACAAAGCAGATTCATGATCAGGAGGGGCCTTAACGACGTGCGCAGTTAAAATAGTATTGACGTATGTTTTCAGATCTGTCTTTTCAAGCTTTTCGCGGAGGGCATCGCTGATCGTAGCTATCGTTGTGGGAGAAAGAGGATGTGTACCTTGCCTACCGAGGGTTTGAGCTAAGAATCGAAGTAAGCTATTCAAAAATTTACTTACCCAAGACTGGTGAGGAACAGATTGAGGTGATCGACTTCATGCACTTGTTCCACAAATGATCCCAAACCTTCTAAGAATGCAATTTCGTTGTGTGCAACAAGGAAATGAAGATCAATGCGATGTTTTCTGCATGAAAAGAAAGCCTTGCGATATTGCCCACTATGGGTTTTCATCAGAACACAACTTCAATGGAATATCAGAAGACGTACACATTTAAATCTTGCCTAACCACTTCTAGGACTAACGGCCTAGGATTTATTGTTTCCAAATTACCCCTCGGCATCTGAAGCACCAAGCTCATTGAGCTCGGAACGCAAACCACTATTCTAGACCCTCTTTCCACACGTCGTTTCTCCCAATCACTAGGAATGCCCTTGAAGTTGTCATCCGACATGAGTAGCGTCGGTAAAGCCTCCATGGGGGCAAAAACTGCTTCATGAGCGCCAGTTGTGAAGATAAGATACCCCGACGCGACAGCGAACGAGGTCACGTTAGTTGCCAACGTCAGGCATGCCAATTCTTCACCACAGACTTGCAATTTCCCGAATCCCGTCAGACCGACACAGATTTCAGTCGTGGAAAGAGGAACGTGTTGCGCTACGAAGCAGAAATTCGAAAACCGGCCGAACGGGGTACTGGTTTGATTGTCAATATTCACTGAGGTATATGGGAAAAATCAGATCCTGGTGATTTGAAAGAAGACGAATTCGAACATCGAAAGAGTTCCCCATCCTCAGCTTCCCATACACATGCATCAGAAGCAGAACAAACAAGGCGGCCATTGCGGGATGTCATTGCAACGGCCCCGGTCTCCGCAATCCGTTCCCCATTGAACTGAGTGATAGCCACGACATCCGAATCCGACAATGATCCCAAAATAAGCATCGTGAATGAAAGGGAATCCGCATAAGAAGTGGATGCCAAGATGACAACTTGTCTGCAGCGAGTATTTGTTTCATTAAGTGAGCATGTCCCGATTTTGGTCGGCTGCATTACTTTCCCTCTCCCGGGACCGAGTCGAGTTTGCAAATGGTATACCTCCACATATCCATGTTCCCATAGAACACCGAGAATATCAGAGGAAGGCGAGAAGCAAGTGTGCACAGGCACGCGTGCTGCGGAACGAGGAAACTGAAATTTGTCTAATGGTTTAGCCAGTAGAGGAAGTTGCATCGAAGACATTGGAGGTGGTACATTTTGTGTTCGGAAAGGCGTCAGAAAAACGTCAGCTAAGGATACAATTGTCAGCGCATGTATACATACAGAACGATCACCGATGCTTACAACCATCGCTTACTGCTACCGATCCCGAGTCTACTGGGGGTTTGCTGAGTGAGGTGATAGTCTCCCAGGCGTAAGTGCGGAGAGAAATTTGAGCTTAATAACACAAATGGGTGAGATCAAGAGAGCTCGAGCATCGTGTAAGACGTACTAGGTGTAGTCAGAATTAGATGAAAGGCCATTTCAGGATGCCATTCCATTGAAGTGAATTCCGAATCAGAGGGAGCTGATATTTCTTGCTTCAGATACCTGTGGTCATCAGAAGCGCGCTCCAGAACGAAACGGCCAGTTTCCTACCAATGATAGTTACTAGTCGTCCACAACTGTACTACTCAAGGACCACAATGAGTTCCAACATCATAGCAAAATGCAGACTCACCAAGATCACTAGCATGATCTCGCCCAATCCAGATAGCCAAAACATTTGAGTCTGAGCTCCATTTGATGTCCTTCACCTTATATCCCCATCTGAGATTGAGGGGTTGACTGGGTAGAGGTACAAGGCCATCAGCAGGGCGCAGTTCGAAATCTCCATGACGTAGACCGTTACGCTCAAAAAACACCACATCATGTCTTCCATCCCGTCCAGCACCACCACCGTCAAACCCAAACCGCTGTGTGCTAGCGATCAGGTTTCCGGAGGGCCGCCACGAGAGGGAATGTTCCAAACCGGGGACGGACTCAGAAGTTGACTGAAGAACCGCTTGGTGGTCGTAAACCCGTAATATACGATGAGGATAGGATCCTGCAGTTGTAATTGAGGACACAGCAAAGCACGCTCCATCTCCACGCCAGCTTATTCGGGGAATGTTGTCTTCATCTGGGCTACATCCGACTAGCATATTTGACGTTGATGCCTGAGCAGCAGTTTTCCCGAGAGAACCATGGAACTGCGTTTGCTTGGATCCCCATCCGACGTTGATGGGTACATCTAGAGGAAATACAGAAAAATTTGGAACGGAAAGCGTCAATAAGGAGGAGGGCGCGCGCGCACCTTGACCAAATTCCGTCGTTTCCAAAGGTGCTTCGGATATCACGTCGAAAGTGAGCGTCATGAGGATCAGCTTATTAGTTCCTACATCACAGTGGTTTCAGCAGAGCGATAAATACGTGTTTAATGTCGTACCAGTGATGAGAGCAAGAAGTGAGTCGTCAGGACTCCAAGCTGCAGCCAGAAAGCGATCATCGACACTTCCTTGTACTTCCATCTAGGAGGTAATTAAATGTACAGCTCAGAACTAGAAGCGAAGGCTTCCGAACGCACTGAAGGAATTTCATCATCCAACGACGTAGTGATAATATCACCGTTCCGCATAATAGCGACCAAGCTTCTGTTATCTTGAATGACTCTCAAGGATATTAACTGAGTTTCCGATCCAGAGATTGTCGCTGAGAACATTGTAATGGACTCAGGTGATGTTCCCTTCTTTTAATGCCTTGAGTATTCAGTGACTAGATCAAAGACAGATCGCACCACAAAATTTTTATCCATGCGGTAAATCTCGATGTTGACCGCGCCGTCTGAAATACGCTTCTCTGAAGCAATGTAGAATACATTTTCATCCAGATCGACGGCTGTACTACAGATACCGCCTTCAGCCAACGAGGTGGCATCAACAGAGCTGAGAGAGAGATTTCGCATATAGGTTGATGGAGAAAAACGAAGGACGTTCCGAACAATTCAATTTCTCGAAACGTGGCTTGCCGCCGGTAATTATGCAAACACATGATTTCAATTCCTTTACCTTCTTCCCTCCGCTCACTCTGGAAACATGGCTCCAGTGCGCACAGAGAAGTCAAGCTCTGGGAAAACTTTCTCACCACAACCCCAAGCCGGCCAATCAATACGAAAAAACAAACGACCATTATCTGATGCTGAACCGTCTGTCTTACCTGGCGTACAAAAGATCAAATCCGCAATTAGACAGACGAAAAGACTGCTGGCAAGGGTGGGTCTAACAGTACATAAATCAATCTACCCTGTAATCCGAATGGGATCCAGGACAAACTAGCGGCAGATGTCCGTGTCACCTCTGAACGAAAACTCAAGTCCTTGGAGGCTGATCTAGCGAAAGCGGAACTGGGTCGCAAAGAACGAGCACTTTCTACACGATATCACAAAATCAAATTTTTCGGTGTGGCCTTTCTGCTTCATCCCAATTAGATACTTTATTGAAACAGGTCATCATTTAGAGCGACAAAAGATCGTTCGCAAAATCAACCAGACCAAACGAAAGCTTTCTGAGGCAGATTCATCAGGTCAGGGAGTTCTACAGACAGAACTTCACGAACATAGAGTAGATCTAAATTACATCAATGTGGGTGGTTGCTTGATCTGATCTTGCTATCCGTCTAAACCCCTACCCATAGCATTATCCCAAAACAAAGAAATACATTTCTCTCTTCCCCCCAGAAGTTCGGAATAACCTGATACCAATGTCCGATTCGCCCTCCATAGAAACTGACCAAGCACGCGACGAAGTTAAAACATGGATACGAGATCAGATGGCAGCTGGAATACTACCCACAACTCCAGAGGACACTCAACACTCGCGGCGCAACGCGAAACAAACAGATTGGGGTGAGAAGTTTCAAACTAAGTTCAAGGAGAAGGAGATCCTTGGGGACATGGATGATGGGAAGGACGATTTCTTCGAAGAGGATGAAGGCGAGGAGGAAGAAGCTTAGTTCCGAGTAAAATTGCAGCGTGAAGTATGAAGTGTGATTATATCCGGTCTGAACTGATAAGTGACCATTCATCCTCCCATTAACGTACCGTTTGTATATTGCAACTTTCCCCACTACCTCACCATATAATTCCATGTCTTATGATGCCCTCAAGGAACAAGTTATGTGTTTGACTGTCGTGTAGGATTCATGTAAAGCTCTCAGGCTCGAAGTGCGAACATTCCTATCTATCTTCTAATTTAGTTTCTTCAAAAGGAGTACTTCAGGGGCTTGCAATCCTTTACAAATGACAGCCAACGGTGAATTCAAGAGGGTCAGTCTTGAATCCTTTTCCATCTCCAAGAAACACTCCAGGTTCTATTTTGCCGATGGAAACGTGGTATTCAGAGTGAGTCCTTGCTCATAATTGCTCTCATGCTCATCTTAATACCGGAGCTATACTAGGTAGAAAACACTCTATATCGGATCCACAGATATTTTTTCCAGCGTGATTCACCGGTTTTTGAAGTTATGTTCTCACTTCCTACGCCGATAGGAGAGCGGCCAGAAGGAGAAGATGAAGATAAGCCAATACAGCTGGGCGGCTTCGAATGTCGGGATTTTGACCGTTTATTGTCACTGATGTACCCCAAGTAAGCCTTATCTCTTCCTCTCAAACTGTGACACCACCGACTTCATATCTTGAGGGATTTTACGAATTCCTACGAGTTCTCAACTCTCGAAGAGTGGATCTCCGTTCTAAAATTGACGACGCATTGGGACTTCAGCTCTATTCGAAATCTTGCTATAAAGCAACTCTCTTCGATTGGTTCCTCCGCAGACCTTGTTATGTTAGGGCATCAATATGGTGTATCACAGTGGCTGCTCCCGGAGTACATGGAATTATGTGTCCGTGATGAACCGTTAACACTGGAGGAGGGACGCAAACTTGGCGTCGATATGGTGGTCACGATAAACCAGATTCGCAACCAAATTCGCTATAGGTCGAACCTGAATCGTCACAAAGAGGCGATTTCTGACCTAGTGAGGAGCGTTTTGACATTTGCCGATTGACGAACTACGATCTGCCTAGTCATATCTACCTTCCTAATGCCTTCCTACTGAATCAATTACAGTACGAGTAAATAATAATAATAATGCCTTTATGCTTGGTGATAACAGTGTACAAATGTTTGACTCGGAAAGTGATGCAGGGATTAATACGAAATAAATACGCCAGAAATTTAAAAGAGGCCGCAAAATGATGTCTTCGGAACGATACTGGCGCGAAGACTACGACATCCGTAATCTTCAAACGGTGCCACCAAGTGTCGGTCCAACGGCGGCGCTGCATCGATTGGGCAAACTGGGCCCTTTGATATACAAGCACATTTTTACATCAGCATCGTTTCAAGGTAATGATAACTTGGCATGCCCACCTCTTTGCTCTCCTCTTCCATATCACTGCTGCTGCACAATGATTCGGAATCATATTCCTCATAATCATACTCGAATTCGATCCCTCTTGGAACATCCGGAAGTGGCTTGAAAGATGCTATTTCTGATACTTTCAAGTATATCGCGACTGGGTTCGCGGGACCGAAGCGATTCTCTTCAAAGATTTCCACCGGAGAAAATCTCAGATCTTGATCATGTTTCTGGTGAAGGCACACTGCGTTTTTCGATTCTTCATCTTCACTCCACTCATCAGAAGCCTGAGACAGAGACTCGCAGAATGATGTCACTGGTTGTTTTTGAAATGATCCATCCTCAGCAAGTGCATCGCAGGAAAATGAAACGTTGGAAGAGGAAGAAGCAAATGGGCGTGCTTTGGGAGGAGGATGGTAGAAAGGACTCGTTGAAGGAATATAGATGCACTGTGTGTCCTCATTCACATCTTCAGTTATATCCTCCTCCGAGTCGTCAAGTTGGGAATTCGTATCTGATTCAGGAGAATCATACAGTGAAGAGGAAAAGTTGAGAGGGAAGGTAGTCCTTATGTCGATTCTTCTGTCGAACATGGAATCGGAATGGAAATTGAGGAATTTGTTCGCAGTAAAAGGTGAACCAAGCTCGACGGAGACCTGGTACTGTATGTGGACATCAGAACGTTCACCACTTTCAGAAGCCATTTGCGATTTACCTTCATAGGATTCTCAGGAACAGAAAGGAAAAGACCAGGATTTTTAGAAGTGATACCTTTGTTACCTGCATTGCATGTTCGGTTCAGGTCCTGCTGGCCCATGTTATACACGGTGGACGGAAATGAGAGTTCAGTTTGTGAAGAAATCATAGTAAAGCGATGAACTTGTAAGGAAGAGGTAAAGGCGAGCACTGCTCTAGTAGCGAAAGAAATATGGGGCGTCTGTGGGTGTATGAACTTTTTCTAGATTCACTTTATAGCGTCCGAAAGTTTCAAGAAATTCTGGATCGCATGGAACTGCGATCCAGGTCCCCATTCAACTGCCAAGATGCTACACTGTTAGTCGAGATGAGTCGGTGGAAGGCCAGAATTTATTCTAGCTGCTTTCCCTCCCGCACATCAAATTCATCCAGCGTACGGTATCCAGGACCGTTGTCTGATCAGCAGGGGGTAGCATCAGTTGGTAACGCTGCAGCAAGGATGGTCCAGGCAGCAGTGTACAAATACATCCCACTTTGAAGACACTAAGAGGTAGGCTGTATGTCATGAGAAAGCAGCAAGATCTATGATACCGAATGCGCAGTACTAGCATTGTACGGCCTCCGAGTAAAACCGTACAGTAACTGTAATGCTTGCTTGTCGTGAAGGAGATAACCAGCTGTGAAATAGGAAGGATATGCCTGGAACCCGGAACCCTGGAATATACTCTGAAATCAGAAATTAGCGGGTTCGTCATTGAGCTTTCGTGAAAGGTGGAGCAGTCCCCGCCAGCTAACATCGGTGCTCTTGATTTTGCACTTGAGACGAATATACTATACATATCTATCACATCGTGATACACCGATAGAGCAATGATAGATGGATAGATAGTATTATTGCGACAATATCTGTGTTGCACAGCTGGCCGTTTGGCACGCACGCGCGCGGTTCTCAGGTTAGAGAACTTGAACTTTGCAGGAGAATGTTGCTGAATGTTGATACCAGCTTTAGGCGCCTGTTGGCTACTTGTAAGCGCTGAAAGGCGCTGGACGGTTAACACAACTCAAACCTACTTCAAACTTGCCAGGTTCAACAAAGTCCAATGAGTTTGCCAGAGAGCAGTTCCCTTGTCCTTGTGAAGGCGCGCCACTCTTACTTTGCCATGCGAACTCATCCGTTGACAATTTCTTCGTAACAGTTTGTCAAAAACTTGAATCCGTTGTAGACGCTGTTCAAGAATTCATCTACACACATTCATTGTGTCCTTTGTTGTACATTTACCAATATTACAGTAATCACTCGGACCGACGTGCTCAATCTCACCCCCTTACTCTGTGTCGTACAGAGTGAAGATTTCATTTGCTTTCTGGAGGTCATGCACGAATTCGCCTCTACACTAGCAACGAATCATAAGTTATGATTAGAACCTCATTCAGAGGCGACGAGCTCGTTGGAGAACCTCTCTACAAACATTTCTGTTCAAGGTGTGCCTCATTTTTGACAGATTTTTTCTTTGACGTCAATCTGGCAGTAATGTAGACAATGGGATAATTGTTTCAGAATAACATGATAGTAACACAACCTAAATGATACGCATGGAATGCGAACGCTGACGACCGTCCTACCGAGGTCGAGTTGACCTATAAACGCGCTTTTACCATCGGGATTCGTCTTCGTTGTGCTTGCAATTCTCTTAGGGACTAATCTCATAATTGAGGCGGAATTGCTATTGTTACAGAACTCCCGACTCCAACATACAGATACACGTAGAATTCGACAAGAAATGCAGCCGGACAAGCAAATCATCACGGTCTGTTTGGGGTCTGTTGACCTCTGTGGTATGGAGGCTTCGAAAAGTAATGTTTAGTTTTGGCTTCCCCAAAACGTTCTGTGCTCACCTGAATCGAGGACACTAATTTTCCGACAGCGGCTTGGAGAGGTACTCGTTGTGCACGGCAAATCATCACGTCAGACTCCTGAAGGTCTTTGGACTTCAACGATGTCGGGGACATTGCTGGATGGAAGTGAGTCGCCTGTTACGAGGTGAATAAGGAAAATTTAAGGGGGGACTCCACAAATGGCGCGACTTACCGTGGTGATTCGAATTTCCGGGCTTGAGGCGGTGGTGAATTGCTGTTGGGATGACATCTTCTTACCCCAATACAAGTGGATCGGATTTGGGTAACAAGATGATAAGGGATGGCTGGTTCATGGTGCGAACGCTCAACTTAATAGGAATTCTGTATGAGCCGCTTTGACGTACCCACCAGGCCGTGCAACTCCAACGCAGCCACACAGAGCTGCTCATTGACCGAGATTGACCAGCGTCAAAGTATGCATTGTCTTTTCCGACTACCGACTGTTGCCTACTGTTGCATCCACACTAGCCACACAGGCGCTGTGACCGGCATGGTTTCGCGGACTTCCTATTCAGGCAACAATAGAGTGTCTGTCCCTTTTGGCCGCGATCTATAACAGATGTGGCATGTAATGGTCCAAGCCATGCGTGGCTAACGGTTCATGCTTCTCTCGTTTAGGAAATTCACGTAGACGCAACGTTGACCTAGCTGCGCCCCTGACGTTCATTGGAATTTGGTATAAGAAGGGACTGCCCTCGTAAAGATTCTGCACTGCTCTCTGCGCTCTCACCAGCATCTCTAAAACCACGCCCTCTTCATTACATCTACGAGATCATTCCACACCTGAAATGTCTTTGAACGAAGCAACCCGATTCGACATCATGAACGCTCAGCGATTTGAGATTTCCAGACGCAGGGTAAGCTGTAACTTTATCCTTAGCTAAACCTGAATGAACGTTTACCTCTCCGTATCATGCTAGTCTTTGCCTGAAACACCTGTGATCAGCCTCACCCAAGATCCGTTGGACCCGGAACCTTCCCATTTCCTTAAAATTGAGACCTCGCGCGATAGCCTCATGGATGCACAGCGTTACCACCATTCCAAACGCACCAGCAAATCTTTCAGCACAAACGGTAGCAAGGTATCTGCCTATTTCATGTCATACTCAGGTCTGGTTTTTGAATCATTCCTGTCGTACAGTCACCCAACTCACAAGCCACTTTGACTTCCGTGATCGACCCAGAGGCAGTTATTGAACGCCTGCTGCTTGAGGCTGAACGTATGAAGATGTTGGATGCTCAGAGGTGCGACCCTCGATCAAGGACTTCTGTACGTTGCGCATCTTCCTATCTATCTCCCGTCCCTTTAATAGTACTGGACCTTTCAGTCACCGGAGCCTTTTGAATCTGAATGCGTCACAACCGGACCGAACCCTGACACTCTCGAGAACCGCGACGATAGCGATTCCGGGTCATCCTACGGCTCTGCTTCGGATTCTCCTTCTGGTTACTCATTTTCTCCTGACCGTTCTGAGGTGGCGGAAAGTATCAGTGACGCCGCGTCATCGATTCGGTTCGCTGAACAAAGGCCGCCCAAGGAGCCTGAGGCTTCAAGACTGGCTTGCAGTTGGAGGACAGGCCACACAGTAACCACTCGAACTATTATCCACCCCGTTGCTCGGAAGACTGGGTCGTCAAAACCGACAACTCCCCTTTTCACGCCTCCGACCTCCCGTGCTGTTTCGCCTAAAAGTTCTCGAGCTATTCTGCGTTCATTAACCTGTGTGTCTGATGAACATATTGATACATTGGGCTCAAGAGGCAAGAGCTCACTCCACCCCCCAGCTGGTGAATCTCTGGCAATTTTTGTAACTCAGCAGGTCGAACGCCCCCTTTCGGACGAAGATCGAGAGAGGGAGCAGTTATGGCGGGAAGCAATGTGCTCCTTGCACTTTGGTGGTGACTGGGAGCAAATGAACAAGCGGTTCCCGCCCGGCCATCCTCGTTGGTGATGCACCTTTTGCAGCCCGTAGTTGAACTTTCTCATTCCCGCCCCTTCTGTAGCATATGTGAGCTTTGTAGCCCTACTAACCCTCTCTCGTTTCATCTATCCTATCAAGCAACTTATTTGCGATGTTCCAACTTCATGACATTCTTTTATATTCTACTCTCAATTTGGAGTTTGCAACCTCTTTGTAAATGTATATATGTATACCTTATTTTATCAATGGGCTCGAGGTCCTTGTTTCTAAACGTGGCGTCATCAATGTGAGAGTCCAAAATTTGCAGGCACCCTTACGCAGCCCTTACCTGTTTCCGAGGAGCGATGCTCGTTGCAAGGGCCCCCCGGCGCACGATCTTTGGCTTGTCCTTTTCCCCCTTTTTATGGAGTGTTTATTTACTTCGGGGAGAACGACCAAGTCGTCACCGTTCAGCTGCTATATAGTATGGAAGTACAAACCATGCAGATGATCTGAGTCCACTGGAGGAAATGCATTCTGCACGAGCGCCTTAACTGTACCGTACGTATGACGGCTTGTGTGAGACTCTTCCCTAACTTTTCCAAAACCTTTTCCGCCCTCTCATAAAACATATAAACTAACATATATAGCTCACCAGAGGTCTCACTATCTTTCCCCTACTTCTCAGTTTCCTTCCTCATCCTTCGCGCGCGGACCAAATCTCTTTATTCTGAAGTACTTCATACCAAGTCCTTTCTACAATCATATCAGAGACACGCGGCAAGGGTTATCATGGATAGTTATCTTGGACTCTTATTCGTGTGGAATACCGATAGATATTGTATCAATTCCTTTATGCTTTATCAATCATACATAAGTAACACCGTTGTGTGTATATACAGTTAAATGTTTAATGGTGCTTGATATAAGAATACAATAACTTCAAATGATCAATACCTCACGAGTAATGAGGTCCAGTAGCAGCAACGTGCCGAAAGTCCGATTCTTCTCCTTTGACCTTCAGTTCAACGAGACAGGAACGACGCTTGTGAATCCTTCCTTCTTAAGATACCAATGATTCGACATTGAAGCCATTTATCGACCATCCTACATCTCCGTGTCAACCCTAATCATCCCCATCCTCTCCGTCCTCTTCGTCCACCTCATCCTCCGACACCTCCGCACCCAACCCAGCTTCCCGCATCTTCCCCTTGTCTCGTTTCCTCTTCGCAGTAACCTCATCAAGGAGAACCAACAAATCCTCCTGTTCCTTCTCCGCTTCTTTCCGTTCTCTCTCCATCTCTTTCTGTTTTTCGTCCGAGGCTTGAAGAGCGAGTTTGAGTGAAGATACTTGGGATTTGAGGGCTGATATCTGTGTAAGAACTTTAGAGAGAGAGAGAGAGGAATGGAGAGGGAGAGGGGGTACCTCATCTTCGTTTGCTACAGGTTTTTGTTGCTGCTGCTGCTGCTGCAATTGTTTCCGAAGATCTTCTATTTCCTGAGATTGACTACGAAGCGTGTCTTGAAGAGAAGCGATGAGCATAGCGGTTTCCGCGCTAGGTCCTGCGCATCAATAGCATGAGATATCCAAACGAGAACGAGTTGTATGGAAAAACATACCCGATGCTGAAGCTAGTTGATTGGGATCCGTAGAAAGCCCTCTTTGGATGGTATCTACAACACCAAGTCGCACGAGGTTGAGTATTACACATCGAAGATATGATCATAACTTACAATAATTCGACTTCCAAAAATCAACAAACGCCCAGTCGAACCATACTTCTCCTTCTGGAACGATAGTTTGCGGCCCAGAACCAGGATAGTGCTGCACAAGCGTTTCCGGGCTAACATTCTTGAACCGGTCGTCTTCACGTAGCCGGGACATACGCCCGAGGAGTGTATCGACGCCTAGACGGTTGAGAATGGGGTTGATTGTTGCTCTGTGGATGGAACAAATTGATACGCGGGGGTTTAGCCACAGTAAGATCTCGTTACGAGTACATAACCATACCGGGTAATCTCCCCAGGTTCACGGTTGTATTCATACAAGATCCCAAGCAGGAATACACAAAGACTTGAGATGAGGAAATCCGTCTCGGAAACTTGATTTATCGGTTCCACGAGCTGTAAAAAACCAATTGTCCAATCATTCCAATGCACAGTGGATGTTTCATGGAGGCTCGGACTCACTATTCCCAACCCACCCGAATTCAAAAAATCCCTAACAGCAGCCGGATCCTCCCATAACCACTGCGATAGCAGAGCGAGATAACCAACGATTAGCCGTTCCCATTCTCTCGATTCCATATCAGATGTGTCTGTTCGGGATCTGGATAGAAAAGCTAGAGATAGATTTTCTGCGAGGATTTGGATGAGGGTTTGTGGGTCGTCGTCATCCTCCTCTGCCCCTGTTGCGGGCTCTGGTTCGGGCGCGGGAGCAGGGCCGTCAGCAGGTACGAAGAACTGACCACCGCCATCAGATGGATGGTGGGCGGAAGTTTGTGGGGTTTGGGGCTTGATAGATCGCGCCAGAGCTTTGCAACGTGGTGACGAGCGGAGTAGATGGGAGAAGAGAAGACTGGAGAAATGAATAGAAGATACCAGGACGTGATCGATTGGAGTGGATGATTCGGGAGACATTGCTAGAGCTTGGAGAAGAGGTGTTGGGGGTAACTTTGATGGATCTGTCGAGAGAGTGAGCATTGAGTAAGTAGGTAAGCGAAGGAGGAACGAACCGTTCCCTTCGGAAGCAAGCATTGCCGATACAATGGCGTATTTTGTTTCCTCCTTTCTTACAAAATTCTGAGTGGAGGTCAACCGTTAGCTAGCCATAGAAAAATGACAATGGAAGCAAACGACGCATACTTCGAAAACACCCACTGCAGCCGTCCTCAACTCCAACCCGATCATAGACCTCCTGGCACTGTCCATCCCGTTATATTCACCATTCAACCCAAGCTCAACCAGGACATCTAGCGCCGATGCCGCTTCTAAGCGATCCCATTCTTCACCGTTGGTTTCTGGTACGGGCATGTACGGTGTGATGATCAGTTCCGGGAGGGGAAAGTTGAGATTCGCGGGAAGGAGATGGAGAGCTTGAGTTTTGAGTGCTGTTGGTGCGTTTGAGGCAAGGGAGAGCTCGATTAGGCAACGGGTGAATAAGGGGGAATCCTGAGTCGAGTTAAGATTATATCACGGATGAATAGAGAGCCATACCCCGTAACCCTTTGATCCAACAAGCAAACCGATAATCGCCACGACTGATTTTGCGTTTTTCAATTTCTGTTCGTCCCAGAATTGCAATGCGAACTCTTGGGGTGCAGATGCGTCTGGCGGTAAATTTGGTGGGAAGAGTAGGAGAGACAGAAGGAGTGGTGGAAGACCGGTTTCTCGAAAGTAGCTCTGTGTTTGGATGTTAGTGTGGATCTGAATTTGAGGTAATATGTTCATGTACTTGATTTGAGGAATTGAAGCGAAGTAGACCATCGACACACAAGAGAGCTTCATGAGCAACAGCGCCTCCCTCAACTCCCCCCTCTCCTTTAATGATATTAAACAGTTTCTCAAAAGCGCCTTCGAAAGCCAGAACTTTTTGGATGTCGGCGCTCTGTGAAACGAGTAATTGGACCATTGAAATAGCCTCTGTTCGAAAGCATTAACGAGGTAAAAAGGCAGATAATCAAAACGCACCATTCCTTACAATCTCCCGTTTATCTTCCAAGGAAGAAATAACACTCGCGGGACCAGTAGGTGCTGTCAGAAAATAACTCTGTACAACTTGCCTGCGATTATGCAGCAATGTTGACAAAAGCTGCAGTGATCCATATCGCGTGTAAAAGTTGTTTTCACCCAAGAGAGCGAATAAGGAATGTACAGGCTGCTCAGTTACCAATACTATATCCGTATGTCTGAATCCAAGTTCCTTCTGGTTGTCTTCGACATCGCAAAGGATATTCAATGTCTCTAAAACAGCTTTCCCAATATCTGGATCCACCTCTGCATCGTTATAGAGGACTTGGATTAACCCTGGAAGTGCCAAACTCCCTATATCTTGTTTACAATCTCGTGAAAGGCCTTTTAGTGCAAGTACAGCTGCTCGTCTGTCAGCGAGAAGGGTGGCAGGTTGAAGTCTATCGCTGAGTCTCCCTATGGTATCCGAGGCAGTTTGTGGTGCTCCGGTTGGGCCTCGAAGAGCAACATAAGTTTGAGAGAGAAAGTCCATGCGAAGACGGAGGTAGGATTTTGGGAAAACGTGTATCGCGTTTGACCACGTGGAGCAGATTCACAGCTTTGCCCGACTTCCCTGATAAATAAACATACTCTCCAATTCTTCCAGGATTTATCTACTCATAGACAGGAGGGAAGGTTCAAATCAAACTTTCTGGATCTTCTGAGTAGGTCGCCTGATGCATTAGTTCCTGAAATCAAAAATCACACTCGGACACAACTCGGACAGTTGCTTCAAATTCCGTATGGAGTACAATGTGTATTTTTTCCATGGTCGGACCGTTTATTTCAGTTCTTCGACTTCCATCACATTGTCCTTAAGTTCCAGTGACTGTTCCCGAATCGATAGAAGTATGTTTTTGGGAAAAGCCCGGAAATCAGGATATATAAACACTAGAACATATCACTAGTTAGTATTCAAGCTCCCATTGAAAATGTTGCTCCCCTACGTACTAACCGCAGCTTTCATGTTTCTATCTTTCCCTGTTACCACAGTCCACTCGGCCACAGTCTCCTCAACCCCTGCCCAAACTTTCCTCGGAATCGGCGGTTCCGGCGCTTGGTGGCCTCACGATCTTTTCAACTTTCCCTCATCCGTCCGACAAAATCTCTCTTCCCTCCTCTTCTCCGACTCCGGTCTTGGTATCTCCAGCTACCGCTACAACCTCGGCGGCGGCGGTGTCGGCGTCTCCAACCCAGTCCGTGCACCACAAACACCTTATGTTTCTCCTGGGGTGTACAATTTCAGTGCAGATCCCCAAGGAACGTTTTTTCTTCAGCAAGCCTCGGATTTCGGTGTGCCGGGGATTACGATGTTCCTCAATACTGCCCCAGCCCCTTTGACTTCGAATGGGGACAGTTGTGGAGGTCAGTTTGTTAGTGGTACGTTTTCCTTTCTTCCTATCGGAAAACTCCGCGAATCGTTGATTGATTGGCGATTAGGTAGTGGAACAGCATACGCCACGTACATCGTTGACGTCGCGGAGCACTGGCGGGATGCAGGAATCAACATTAGTTATATATCCGCTATGAACGAGCCTGATAGTACCTTTGGACCTGTTCCTTGTGGGCAGGAGGGGATGCTTGTTGAACCTAGCCAGTACGTTTCGACTCTGACTCCTGGTCCTATCATATTTTCTCTGATGGTGCTTCTATATCTCCAGGAGATCAGAAGTAGTCAGCAGCCTCTGGAACGAGCTAAACTCCAGAGGACTGAGCAGTGCTATTGGGATTCTCGCTGATGAAACCTCTTCAACTGCTGTTGCTCCTACGGAGTACTCAGCCTGGTTGCCTGAGGTAGTGGATATGGTAAGCACTGCGATTTTGTATATGATCCCTGTGTACGGTTCCGTACAAGTCTTGCACAAGATGGGGTTCTTCCCTGATATTATTTGACCTGTTAACTGAATGAACGTTCAAAATAGGTGGCACATCTTGTACACCACGCATATGACTTCCCCTCGGACGCCAATTATCTCGCATATGTCAACGCAGCGCATGCTGCCTCTAACGGCAAAACTACCTGGATGTCGGAAATATGCTGTTCGCTGGGTACACCTGCTGGAACGGGAAGAGGGTATTCTCAAGGATTCGATCCTACGTGCGTTGTTCAATCACCATGAATTCGAAAGGAGTAACTTGACGATCTTCTATCTACAGTATCAACAACGCATTGATGTTCGCGGGATTGGTTTTCCAGAGTTTTGTGGTAGGAGGGGAAGCCCATTATGATGTACGACCCGCTCCTTCATTTTTCCGTTTACCTACCCTAATCATATCAATTTGATCCTAGTTCTGGACCTTGGTTTCGAATGGTAGGTGGCATACACTAAAATTTTCTTGATCAATATTTTGGCAAAGCATGAACTGAAAATCTACATTTCTTCCTTCTGTGCCTAGAAATCGGGTGTGAACCTCTAACTAGTTCCACCTGTGTCACAACAGCCAATTCAAACGGGTGGACGGTAGGCTCATCGACATACCTTTTGATCAGCTTCGTTTTTTGAACAGAAATATGGCTATCGTAGGACGGGATGATTTACTACGATCCAGATTACGCTACAAATGGAAATTTTGAGCTTTGTACGGAACTTTGTTGATTGCTTTTAGCTTAAACTAACGGTCTTCGACAGACCTCGTCAAGCATTTCTGGACGTATAAACATTTCGGTAATTTTGTCAAACGTGAGAGAACTGTTCCCCGAATATACAATTATTCATTTAATCACCCTCATCCTTCTGCCTTTTCATCTTTATTCCCCTCCAGCCGGAACACAACGCCTCCCCCTCACAGGCTCTGACGCGAACACCCACACCCTCGTCGTCTCTAACTCAACCACATTCAGCGTCATCGCTATGAACCCCAGCACTACCACCTCCACGCTCTCCCTCACTTTCCCCCAAACCGTATGCGGCACGACCGGCTTCCGTACTTCAGCCTCGGAGGACTTTGCTACAATTTCACCGGCGACGGGAAGTGGTGAGAACTGGGAGTTGCCGTTGAGCGCGACGAGTTTGAGTACGTATATCTTTTCTCGGAAGGCATGCTGAGAGGAAGAGGGTGAACAGTTATCTGATATCTTCGAAATGGCATTGTCAATTGACACAAGTTTCGATAATATTGTAACGATACATAAGTATGTCGTATTTTTTTTTGCGAAACAATCCTTCACGTTTCGGAAAAAATCCGGCAAGATTATTGGTCCGCTCTTACGGTCCGTGATCCGGTCCGATGTTTTGACGATATAAGAAAACAACTTATCTTCCAAGACCTTCGTTGCATCCTTTCTTTCTCATCCCATCATGTCTCTCGCACAGAATATTACCCTAAGCACTGGTGCATCTCTCCGCCAGATTGGGCTGGGAACTTGGTTGTCCAAGCCCAAGGAAGTTGAAAATGCTGTGAGTTTTATTTGTTCTAGGATGTACGACGCGACGAAGAACGCGTCGTTAATCGATCGGTTCGATGGATGTATGATATCAAAACGTACTCGAGTATTAAAGATGCATTGTCTAGGTCGAAATTGCTGTCAAGAACGGCTATAGACATCTCGATCTTGCCATGGTCTACGAAAACCAAGACGAAGTCGGTGCTGCGTTGAAGAAAGTCATTCCTTCCGTCGTCAAACGAGAGGAGCTTTTCATGACATCCAAGCTCTGGAACTCCTCTCATCAACCGGCCGAGGCTGAGAAAGAGTTGGATCAGACATTGAGCCAGTTGGGGGTCGATTATCTTGATTTGTACTGTGCGTTGAGACGTTCCCTTTTATACTCTCATCTAGTCAATCTTCAGATCTTGATATCATATCATTACAGTGATCCATTGGCCAGTCGCGTTTGTTCCTGGAAAAGGCTTGTTTCCACCTCATACTTCCAAAGAGAACGAAGTCGAGCTAGACCTCAAGACAACGCTGGTAGACACATGGAAAGCCATGATCGCATTACCCAAGTCAAAAGTATGCACTTTTTTCCCATTTGTTTGGACTGCTTCTCATAAGCATATATGTACTGATAACTTGATTTTTTTCTCGTCACATCTGCGCAGGTTCGCGCCATCGGTGTTTCCAACTTTACCATTCCTCAAATCGAGGCTCTCATCAAGGCCACCGGTGTAGTTCCGGTAAGACTTTTCTTCGCGTTTGCGCGTGGGTGAATCGCGTCATAATTGATGATTGACGTCGTCATTTATCTGAATTCTAGGCTGTAAACCAAATTGAAGCACACCCTCTCCTTCCTCAAGATGACCTCCTTGCTTTCTGCAAAGAGAAGGGCATCCACGTCACGGCTTACAGTCCTCTTGGAAACAACTGTGAGTTATCAGAGCACTAGATTCCATATACAAGTAATCAGTATTCAAACTGACTTATTGTTATTGCATCACAGTGGTGGGAAAACCCAAACTCACAGACTACCCAGCCATTGTCGAGATCGCAAAGGCAAAGAACGCGACTCCTGCTCAGATCCTCATCGCCTGGGGTGCATACCGTGGCTACTCTGTAATCCCCAAGTCCGTCCAGGAAGAGAGGATCAAGTCCAATTTCCAGCAGGTCACTTTGACCAAGGAGGAGTATGAGGCAATCTCTGCTGTTGGTAAGGGAAACCACACGAGGTATGTGCTTCTTGGTTGGTATATCGATTGTCTTTGGTGACCCCTGCATTTGCTAGATTCAACATTCCATATAATTACCAACCGAGATGGGACATCAACATATTTGGAGAGCCGGAGGAAAAGGATGCAAGCAATCCAGTTAACATTGGGGCTTAGCCCACAAAGGCATGTATTCTTAAACCAAGTAACATTAAGCATTAACTGTATACACATACATACGAGGAGCATTGAAGCTCATTTCAGAACATATTTTTTAAGCATAAGGAACTGATACAATTCCAGCTGCTTCGACCGTACATCTGAACATCCAGAGACTCTGCCATGAACTCGTCAAGCGAAAACGATGAATAACAGAAAGCGTCTGTCCACCGATGAAAGCGCTATGAGCACCAAGATTATCGATATTGGAAGGAGTATTACATGCTGAACCAGGAGTTTCTGACTTTGTGGTCCTCCAGGTCAGGTCATTTGTATATTTGGACAACGGTAGGGATGCGTTTCGAATTGACGTTCAATGAGGAAGATAAGTAACCATGGTCTTTGTTACGGACGTCTGCCTATATCTTAGTACAAATCAGAGCGATGAGAAATGGTGAACGAATAACTTACACTGAAATCGAATGTTCCTTGAAGCACAGAGGGTTCATATTCATCGAGTAGGTAATTGAATACATAGATCTGTGGTTCAGACAATGGCCTCGCGATCGCCATTAGGTCACGATTGAGTGACAGCACAGGAATCGTAGACGTGTCTGGAGAAAACTGGATTCTATGGCGAAAAACAAGAAGCAAAGATGGTTCGGGAGCGCTGGGTGGTCCACATGTAACCATAAGAACAATAATCTCTGCATATATCCTGTATCATGTATTGACTCAGCAATTACCACCGAAGACAAGGAAACGAAAGAAACTCACTGACCAGGTTCACGAGGATGACTAGACGGGAATCGTTTCGCTTCCCTGGTTCGACAAAGATTGTTTTAGATAGCTGTAGACACTACAGGCAAGGGCAGGAGTGAGCTCTCGTTGTTAGGGCTACAGGGCTAAGGTCACGGTCAATGAACAAAGTAGTTAACAGCACAGAAGGTTGAGGTGTAGGGGATTTGTCGTATTAAAGGGCGCATGGTAAGCATAGTAATAGGTTCAGAACAGGCAAAAAATACTAATCAACAAAGATCAACTAATTACTACACATATCGAGTTGTACTCTTTCCAATATAATATACAAATAGTAGTACATGTACAAAGTGCTAAAGCGGTAAACGCTAATACTCAAGAAGAGATGAAACACACTCCGCTACCGACTTTATGCTCCAAAACTACCAGTGGTTGAGGGACTCTTCACACTTCTCTTGTTCATTATATGGGTCATCCCATAGGTCCCCCGAGATGGCGGAGTAGGATAGGACAGGGCTCGGAGGCTGCTCTGCAGGCCTTTGCGTCTTCGCAGGGTTTTCCCAAATGTAATTCTCTTTGCGTGGAAGAGCTTTTCCAGTCCATTGCACTGAAGCAAGCAGCGTCATACAATAACCAGGTCACAGTGACACGGCGTGGAATCAAGACTCACCAACTTCTACGATGCACGATAGGGGTATACGATGAACAAAAACATATTCCTCGTCGTCCCTCCAGTGACGGGGAACTTTCCCTAATCCCAATCGCTTGTGCAACGTGCACACATGATGCACCTGATCGCGCTCAACAATGATTTTTGCAATGTACACGGTGCGGCGATGACGAGAAGAGATTACTTTAGCTTTGGCATTGGCTTTCGACCGAGACATAGTAGTAGATATGAGCGGGGAGGGAATGTGTACGTTGTTCCAGTTGAGATGATTGGAGAGAATGTTTGCTGCATCGCCTGGACTAGAGTTGGGATCAAAAGATATTTTGGAACCTCCAGCCACAAATCCTGTCTTTCTCTTGAAGGAGGAGCCGGAACAGTCGGAATATGCTCGGTATAGGACTAGTTGCGACATGGAAGTGTTTTGCTAAGCGACGGGAAGGGCAGGTTCATTGCTTATATTCAGCTTCACTCGGTGGGTTTTGGGTGGGCCCATTACAAAGTTGAAAGCATGAGGTCAGGCGCTTGGGTGTGAAAGGGCTAGAGCGAGCTTGGTGTGCATTGGGTAGGTCTCATGAGTGCATCGTGGGGTGCCCAAAAGACCCTGCCTGGCCAGATCGGATTCGCAACCTAAACCTGTTGAGTTCGACCACACAGCTAGCGAGTATGTCCAGGATCCCCCTCCTGATCTCTTGACATGGATGTATGCGTTTCACCAAGATCCAAATATGGAACTTTACAGGAACATGAAGGTGGTGAGTCGTAGAAGAAGGGCAGAAACAGAAATATTTCTCACGTTGTTCATTGCAACTTGTATATACACCGACGTTGCACAATACTTCATGATTACTGTTGCATCAAAGCACTCCTTCAAGGAGTAGTCTATACACCGGGAGGTAAACTTGCCTGTACTTATAACTCTTGTCTCAGTCGCAACAAACCATCCTGACGCATTAGCCCATTGACGCAATTATCCGACTCGGATACTCTGTATGACCCGCGCTCGCACTGGGTCCGCGATCCTTACAGGTAAACCACAGAGGTATATCTTAGCGGATAGAGTCGCAATGACATCACGAGCAAATGGCGATAAAACCTAGTAAGGTCGAATATTCAATTACCATATTGTCCCCTCTTGAGCTACTAACTATAGGCCATAGTAGACTCGAGCCAGTAGCTTCGGATGTTGACACTTTGGAAACTGGCGCTCAAAGGTGTCAGCGAAGCAGTGATTCCGCATATCGCTTCTCAGCAGCAGACTGGTTCGAGTCTAAGGCCATAGCTACCTTCATATAGAATAGTATTGAATCAATGTTTCCAATGACTTACTCCGAAGTTCAAAAGGGTCCCACTGCTGAGGCTACTGCTGGTCAACCTCTTGCATTCGAAGACTCCATGATACACAGACTATTTTTTTTGCAATTCTCAAAATATAGAAAACATGACTCGACAAAAAAACATTTGTACATGACAAAACTTCATAATTGGGTCAAAATTTGAAAATTTAGATTGATGTTTCACTGTAAAAGTCATTTGCAATAATAAGAGTTGGGTCTAGTACAAAATACCAATGAGAAACACACTACCTTGTGCATCATCAATAAAATCATAGAGTTTTGTGAGTTTGGTAGCTAGGTGCAGACCCCGCCCACCTTCAATATATATATCAGGTCCTAGATATTGATGCGATACTGTGAGTTGACTTACAATGCCGACCAACAGGCAGCCTGCACTGCCGCAGCAGTCCCAGTAACCCCAAGTACAAAATTCACCCTTGGGGATACAAGCCGCGCTGGAGGGCGCATTCTCTGCGCCAGAAACAAGAGAAGAATAGAGGTCCTTGCTAAAGCCTGCAAGGGGGACCTTGACATTGACGGTGCCGTTGGATGCAGTGGGGTCAAGCATCTCGACATCGATGTAAGAGCCAGATACGGCGGCATCAGTGACTTCGATATCGCCGGTGGAAGTCCCGACGCTAGCAGCATACACGGAGGCTGCTAAAGCAGTGAGGGAGACGAGTCTAGCAAAGTTGGTGAGTTGCATGGCTAGTGAGCACTGAGCAAGTGGGGTACCTGTGAAGGATCCTGCTGGAAATGGAGCCTTTTAACTGTTTCCAATGAATATCCAAGTTGTTTGGTATAATTTGTACATCTCATTGGGAGAGAGCGGTTTCTTACCGTAGTACTTACTTCATTATGTCAGAGGAGAACCGGAGAAGTACTATCCTCCGTGAAGTACCAAAACAGGGATCTGGATATATGACGGTGAATGCTGAAGACACCTCGAATGGATTGAGAATTTGTGACCACACTTCATGTACGGAAGTCCTTCCCCTTCAGTGACAGATGCAGTTGACAATCACTTCAACTGTGTTCAGGAGCTCTCGCATGTGAAGGTATCTGGAATCTGAATGGCGTGAGGACGTAGAGAGATTTTGGGGTAGGTATTGCTGTTAATGCACATGATGGAGAGAGATGGATGTCTTCGTATCATGCCACTGGGATGTGAGAGAATGTGGTTTATTTACTTCTTCTGCATCTGCAAAACATGTATTTTCGGCTAACCATCCGAGAGCAGCTGAGAGCGCTTCCCAGCAGCCAAAGCACTGAAAGCAAGTTGAAAATCTTGCTTTCGGTGCTTTCGATGCTGGAGAGCGCTCTCCAGCCAGTACCCTTGCTCTGGCGAACATACAGGTTTTGCAGATGTGTGCTTCGGAGGAAGGAACATCAGATACATTGTTGAAGATAAAACGCAAATTCAATGCCATTTGAAGGGCTCGCATCTGCAAAACATGTATTTTCGGCTAACCATCCGAGAGCAGCTGAGAGCGCTTCCCAGCAGCCAAAGCACTGAAAGCAAGTTGAAAATCTTGCTTTCGGTGCTTTCGATGCTGGAGAGCGCTCTCCAGCCAGTACCCTTGCTCTGGCGAACATACAGGTTTTGCAGATGCTCATGGAAGTTTGCGGACTCGGTATAGTTACATGGCCTTCGGTCTGCAGTCTGAAGATTACCTCCTGTCTGTTGAGGCCACCTTGTCTTCTGCAGTCTCAGTTTGAAAACCATCTCCTGTCGATTAGGGCTGCACTGATATGGGACTTGCCATCGATAGCTGAGGTGAGGAGGAATAAGTATGTTTCATTCAATGCGGTGCAACCCAGCTAGCAGCCTTCAGTATTATACCACTAGTATCCAGATAACCATCGTATTCTTACCTGACGCAACATAACCCGTTCTTACCGCATGATCCACGAAGTAATTTCCTTTACGAGAGAAGGTCCTGCACTGGCGGCCAAAAGTTCAACAAATGTGTGATCCGAGCGAATTTTGGAATATCGAAGAAGTACGCTTGAAAGCTAGATAGTGTGTTATGGCAGGGATCAAGCTTCAGACATCTAGCTTGCAACTCGGAACCGAATACAATGGTAGGTAACAGCAGAGAAAATAATGACATATCTTCGTCGGTTCAACTTTCTTAACCCCTGCTTACGATGTGTTGAGTCGGACCATTGTGGAACGTTGCAGATACGATTCCTCCTGGTTAATTTACATCGATATGAGGCCCCGATGAAGCCTACGAGGTGAGCAGGCAGCGGAGCCTTCATGAAGTTCGTATCGACCAAAGGCAGAAAGTGGAAATTTCTCAGGAAGTTACTTCAGTGAGAACACTTGCTTTTTACTGTCCGGCCCAGTGGATCTGAGGTAGATGAACTTGCAGACCCTACATCTCTTCTTGCCATAATCAGGATGCAATAATGCATGACTCCTGATATTTCAAGTCAGATGATCTACTATTATGATCTACGCACAAGAAGCAGAATCCAAGCTTCACATGAGGGAACGAACTTTGCTTCCCTCTCGTAAATTCTGACCTGCGAGACTAATTCCAGCCCTAGAGCCAGAATGGCATTCGCAGCCCAGTATCCAGGAGATTGTATACTACATAGAGTCAGTGATCACATTGCAGGAACTACCACTTGACAAAGATACTGAAGCCAGTTAAAGACGATAGAATTGATTTCGAGAAACCCTCAGTAGCCGTCAGTCTGACGGTTCAATTGCATCGGTTACTTTGTACCCTCAGGAGCTGGCGGGAGATGTAGTGAAGCTCATTGACTGAAGATCTCGCTGCCATGATAATTGCCATATTTCTTTTTCCAACTCTTGCTACTAGCTAGTATGTACTAATTTCGAATTTCCTTTCACGTCGTCAGTGTAAAATTCACAGGTACTTCTTCTTTGCATGGAAATTCCAAGTTGCACTGCTACCTACTCACTTAGTCTGACCGTAATTCAGAGGTTCTATTTTTTGCGCAGATTATCGAAGATACAAGACTCGAGACAAAATTCGTACATGACTCTTCCAAAATTTACTGGATTTCATATTTCACTGTGTAAAAGCCAAATATAATGATCAACATATGATCCTCTGGTACCATAAAAAAGCAAATTACCTTTTACGTCAATAAGAATGCAGATTCCTGAAAATTTGATGTTGCAGCTAAACGCAGACACCACCAGCCTTTACAACAAAATTATATGTTAAAATTGGCTAAGACATTTGACTCCTGACTCACAATCGAGAGTAAGAGGCAGCCCGAAGTGCCGCAGCAGTCCCAGTAGCCCCATGTACAGAATGAACCCGGGGGGATGCAAGCGGCGCTAGAGAGAGTGCTCTCCGAGCCGGCGACAAGGGAAGAATAGAGTTCCTTGCTAAAGCCAGGAAGAGGGACCTTGACGTTGACGGTGCCGTTGGATGCAGAGGGGTCAAGCAGCTCAACATCGACGTAAGTACTGGACGCGACAGGGCTGGGTGCCATGGCAGTAACGTCGGTAGTAGGGGAAGCATCGACAGGGTCAGCGACCTTGACATTGGCGGCGGACACGGACTGAGCAGTTAGAGCAACAAGGGAAGCGAGTACAGCAAAATTGGTGAGTTTCATGGCTAGTGAGTGAGCAGGTATGAGTTGAATCTTGGTTTGAGTGGGTAAGTGGGGTACTTGTGAAAGATCCTGCTAGTAGAAATAAAGCTTTTTGAATATTTCCAATAATTTCTGTGTAGATAAATTTCATCGGTAGAGGCTGATTTCCTCTTATGGTACTTACTTTATTGGTAGAGGCTGATTTCCTCTTATAGTACTTCATCCAGATCTCGTGTCAGGGGGAAATGTTCTAGGAAGTTACTATCTCCTGGTACTTACAATTGAAAACGGAGATCCGGTCATATGCTGAAGACACCTCGAATGGAATCTTCGACCATAGTTTCTGTTTTTCCTTTAGTGGCGGCAGGGAAATAACAATCCTGTCCAAGGCATTTCGAAAATCTCACCTTTGAATGAGTACCATTTGGAATGAGAACGGTAAAAGAATATGAATACTACGAGGAATGGAATGAAGAACTTATGAATATCCTGTGAATATCCTTGATAAATATATTTGGCCACCGGGGAGTGTGGGTAGGTAGTTTTTTTCCCTTCTTTTATGCTTTAGAGGTAGTGCGAGGTGCAAATGTCAGATGTATACTGTACAAATAGGATCACCTTCGTATACCATTATCGGCGAGACATTTCAGTGGTGCACCCTCTATACTGGGTGTTTGATTCAGGTCTACAGGCTAGTAGAATCTCTTTTTCCCGACGTCCGTTATTCCGAGAATTGACCTTATCGACGGACTCGGAGGCTAAGATATCAACGTTTTTGTCTAGCGCACTCTCCTTACAGTAACCCCATTGATATTCAATTGTGAGTATTCACAGTCCATATGTATATCTCATGCTTACCATACAACAACCCGTTCTCAGCGCATTTTCAAAGTAGTTCCAGTCTTCCAGAAGGATTATTTTCCGTCGCATTGTGAGGACAACTTGCATCCAAAAAGGGAAGAAAGAACTATGCATTTAAGGGTGCGAACGTGAATCTCGGAACGTTGAAGAGGAGGCGATGTTTAAAAGTTAGATACTGCATTTTACTGCATGATGAATCAAGCTTCAAGTATGAATAAATTCCAGATGTCTAGCTTGCCACTCGGAGTAGAATAGAATCGTAGGACAGCGGTGAGGAAACGCAAATGACGTACATTTCTTGGTTCTTTCATGGCCCCTCACCTTCTGATGTTCAAAGAAAGTAGTATGGGGTTGATTTGTAGTAATGGAACGCACCTGTTGAGTGACAATATCGTATACACTATAATGAACTCTACCATGAGCTACAGAGTCTATACTTGCTATCTCCTCGAACTTGAGGTGGTCCGAATGTTGAACATTCCGATATCTTGCCACAGCGCAAAAAATTTACATACCGAACTGTGTGACGGTGACCCGTCCGTGCCCATACACCTGGTCCATAATGCAATTCAGATGCAATTGTTCCTGGCTTGCTCGGTGAAAATATGTTCAAGGCGATGGCATTTTGGTTTTTTTGGGGGAGTGAGAGGGTTTGTCTTGTTCATAACGAGCTATTTCCGAGCCCGCGGTGACGTATTTTTATCCAGACGGAGCTGTAGTTATCATCGAAGGAAAAACAGCGGCTTGATTCTTGAACTCATATGCAGGGGAAGCCTGAGATTGAATATCGCGCACGCAGCATTGCAGATGATTGACATAGCACTACAAGTTACGATTCACATATTCTTTCCTGCTTTCCCTGGGTGAATTTTAAGTTTGCAAAGGACGGATGGAAAAGGACCGGGGCCAGCGAAGGGTTGTCTGCATATAGGAGCAACAGAAGAACATTGAATCAGGACTGACAGGACCATGAATTTCGTAGACCAGACTCGACACTGAATAAGTTGGGAGTTCGATAAGCAATTGCGCACCAAGTTTGCGCACTGGCTTGTACGGGTGGAAATTCCCACGAACCACGAAACAGAACCCTGGACAGAAATTGATCAACTATGAACATATACATGGCCGCCTGGCGAAATGGCATCGCGTCTGACTACGATGAAAAGTATCAGGAGATTGCAGGTTCGACCCCTGCGGTGGTCATATTGAGTGTCCTGGGTACATCGAATTTTTCTTCTTTTTATCATTGTGCTAGATGGAGTGAAACCAGGCCCTACCGTAGTAGACGGTGCAACAGGGTATAACCAAAATTTTTTGAGAAACTCTGTAGTTGCACTTTTCCATAATGAGATAGATAGTGTCTCATTGAGCAGTAAATGACTATATTTCTCTCGATCCATACATAGAGTTTTGGCGTTTCTTTTCTTATTTTTCCTCGTTCTCTCCAACTTCGATAACTCCCCCTTGACTCCTGCTTGAATCTACAAACAACAGCATCTATAAAGGTACATGCAAGATTCTCTATAGTCTCTAACGTTCCGAGACTCCGAGTCCATCGCTTGCCAACAAGCGCGCCAGAAATCAGCGGAAATCCGATTTCAATCGGCTACCAGGGACATCGACGACAGGCGCTTACTTAGTGTGTGTGGGTGGAGATGGTTTACAGTTTACCCTTGTCCACGACTGTCACCAAGCGTCTTTTGAGCAACCCTCCTTTGCTTTGTTCCTCTCTCGGCCTTCTATACGCAGCCTCACCTTGGTCTTAATCCATTCCATTTGCCTCTACACTCCCTACAAATTTATCGCTATCCTTTCCGGCCTTCCAGTCTTGATATCATACCCAAACTCGAGCGCTGTGCACACAAAAGGAACGAAAAAGAATAGAATAAAAAAGAAAAAAAATCGAAGCGAGAAAGAAACGACAACGATAGGGGATGCTCGGTTAGGCCCAACAATTCAAACGAGACGGAACAAACAATTCCTTTGTTTTCGAGTGCAATAGACTGCATAAAAAAGCCAAGCACATAAACACGTCTGTTTCTTCTTGCGCCCACGAGTCAAACAATTTCGTTGGTTTCTGACACTCCGGTATGTCTTTTTGCACACTCCTGAAGTTCAACTCATTCATTTGTTCTATAGTATACGAGTTATTCACTCTCTAGTACACGCTACGTCACAAAAAAACACCGGAATACAGATTCACGATGTCCTCTTCACACAATTCATCGTCTCACCTCATGCGCCGCCTTGTACCCAAAACCCTCCGTGGTTCACGCCAGAACCGTACACAGATTCGTACTGAATCACCAACGACAAATGCCTCTGCAACTCTTCCTTTCGTTTCTCATACTCCGACACTGCCAGCAGCAGCAGCCGCCATGCCTGCGTTATTCCCTTCCGAAGTCCAATCAGATATATTCAAGAACGAGCCTCGAAGCGCACCTCATCCTCCTATCCGACCCCCTCGACCTCCTACTCTTTCCACCGGTGACCCAATCGTCACATATCACACTAACTTTCTAGGGTTGTTCTCCGGAGACGGAGAGACGCCCATTGCCACGACAGTTCCGCCGAAGCTTACAGATCTGGTGCCTCCAATGCAGGTACACCCTGCTGAGCACGATTACGATACTTCGGTTCCAGGCGAAACACCTGCTACATCCAGGGCTAACAGAGCGCCCGGAGTTCCTCGGGCGAAAGTTATCGAAGACTTCGATTACGTCGGGGGCTGGATAGCTGATGCGGGCGGAAAGCAGCAATATGTGTCGAGAGGTCATATCGAAGAGATCGAGGAAGACGCAGAACGCGACGTTGGAATTCCAAGTGGAAGTTACCCAGCCGGCCTTTCTGCTATCGCAGGCCCCTCGTCGCGCTTCCTAGATGCTTTATCCTTACCCGCATCCACCACTCCACCTCCCAGACCAATGCTCAGTACAAAACGAGATCTCCCGCTTTCGCAGTCCGATTCAGGTAGTAACAATCACCCGTTCCATCACCCATTCTTCACCAAACACAAACCCTTGGCGACTACACGTCAGTTTGCCGCATCTCCCCTTTCCCAGAGTGTCTCTAGTCTTGCGCATATGCCCTTGAGAGGGTTCACGAGTTTACACCATACAGGTGGTCAGGGTCCTACAGGTCCCGAACAAAACACGTTCTTTGGTCCTTCTGCTTCCCACGACACTGACGTCGATATGCAATACGAACCACTACCAGTTGGCTCCCCTCCATTTGATCCATTGGCTGACTCCCTATCCAGTCTTCCCGGCTTACGAGGATTTGCTCCATTCACTCCTAATACCGAACGCATTTCTGAAGAAAATATCACCTCCACCCCCGAACCATTTGAGCATTCTACGTATCCTGCGTTCGAATCGTTAGGACACTCTCTTGATAGCATTTCGCCGGCACAGCAGGCTGATCGGAGTGAGAAGGAGCTGCCATTACCACCGTCACCAACATCCCAGATACCGCTTCCGCATCCAGTCCTGGGTACTGAGGCCGAGGGACCTATGAACCCTACACTTCCCACACCCGCTCCTCTTCCTCACATCGGCGACCTCGGCGACCCAATCATCATACTTCCCCTACACGAATCCACACCACCCCGAAATCCAAACCGAAACGGAAGAACGAGTGGTAAAAATAACGCTCAACCTGGAGACGCGAGAAATAGAAATAAGAAAGAGAAGGAAAACAGGAACGATGAGCCAATAGAGGAAACGGAGCAGAGGATTTCGACTTCTATCAAGGAGATAGTTGGGATAGTTAGAGGTGTTCGAGGAGTGAGTAGTGAGACGTATTTCAATCATGATACCCTTCCTTCTTCATTACTCTTTCTTCTCCTCATTGCTCTTCGCTAATCATTCTTCTTGCAGACCCTCTCCTCTTTCTACCCCGTTCGAACTGTCGTCCCACACCTGGAGATGTGTACACATATCGAACACTCGCTATCCCGTGTGGAGAAGACCCTGATCACGAGACGGACGTTGACGGATGAAGAGTGGGGGTTGTTCATGGAGAGAAGAAAGAGATACGTGAAACGGTTAGGGAGCTTACAAAGGTGTGTTTATCGTTCCCCCCTTCCTTTTAACCCCTTTATATCGCGACCGTCCGACTGACGCTGATCATCGCTGCTTATGTAGGTGTCTTCGAAGATTGTCGGATGTGGCAAAACGTCCAGTGGAGCCTACTCATACAAGCATGTTGGATACTTTATTGAGGAAATTAGAGGAGCATAACGACAAACTGACAAATGTTGCCGATAAATTGGACGTGAGTCTCCTTCGTCGCATCCCCAATCATATATCTCTGTCTGCTTTGCTCACTTGCTCAACAGGACACTTTTGAACGTCTAAAACTCCGCCACTTGCATGCCATCGCGTCGAGACTTACCGAGGAAGCTCATCGAGGCAGGGACGTGTACGTTAGTGCGAGGGAGGTGTATCTACGTCGGAAGAGCATGACAAGGAAGAGCACGAGAAATTTAAGAGAAGGTGCCAGGGGTTTAGGTAAAAGCGCTACTAGAAAAACTAGCCGAATTGGTTTAGGAGGTCCAAGGGGATTTGAACATGGTGGATTCGGAGGAACTGGAGGTAAAGGGGGCGATAGGCCTCCTCGAGCAACACGACCGACACGACCAACTGTGCAACCTGGTATGGGTTCACATTAATGACGACAAGTGGATACTGTCGAATCAAAACACTCGCTCCCAATGCACCCGCGTTGGACACGGAAAAGCTATCTATATCAGAACAGGATACCATTCTATTCGGATGCCTAATTTCCACATCTTCTCATTCTCTTTCTTGCATATCTGTTTTTTATTTCTAATTTGGGGGTCTTCGTTCTGTGTTTCTTCGACATCGTAATTGATCTTTTTTTCCAAATGTCAAACCCTGCTTTGCTTTTCTCCTGTTTGTTTTGGTCCTTTGCTTTCACGAGTTATATCTGGCTCATGTTTTCGAAAATCTTCATGACCTTGACGTCCCATGTACATGCAACTTTGTAGCTGGACCTGGAAACCTATCATCTACTCCAACGTTTCGGAATCCATACCCATACCCAGTTCATCCACACCAATGTCAGCACATTTGTATATATTTGTACATACGACTTTATTCTTGATTTCATTTGACCGACTCTTCCTTGTACGACTTGTTCATGATCATACGTAAACAACATTGTCCATATATAAAACCCATTATTCCGACTCGATATTATACGAACTCGTGCGACTCTTTCTCCATCTGACTTGAAACTGAATGTACTCTCTTCGCAAGTATTCTGATTCACAAAAAAAATCACCCGGCAGAGATCAGGCATTGAGGAGGATGTTAATTTGTGGCGAATCAGGATCTACGTTGCTTCTCTTAGCAAAGTACAAGGCTTTTTGTTGTTTGATTACAAGCTCGGGATATCACTCACTACCTTGTTCCTCTTTGGTACTTAAGCCAGGCATCCTTTCGCTATCCTTTGCCAAGAATCAACACGCTTTCCATTAAATCATCAGCAAATGTCTCAGTTTCTCTTACCATCTCGTATCGAAGGTCCGATATGGCTTTCGCCTGTTGAAAAAGCCGTACTTCACAAACAAGTTGCCATGATTAATCAAGAAATTGCAAGCCTCGATTCACAGAAGGACATCCAACTTGCTTTACTCGCTTCCGTTCAGAATATTCTTTCCCCTGCTCGTCGAGTTCCGAACGAGGTACTCGCTCATATTTTCGACGATGTTCTATATCATCCGGAGAATTCCAAGAAATACTATGTCCAACGCAGCATCGGAAAGACTCTTTATACCCTCTCACGAGTCTGTGTTGTGTGGCGATACGTCGCTCATACTACCCCCAGACTGTGGTCGACACTGTGTCTGTCAATCCCAAAGCATATGAGTGCTCTCGTTGGAGATCTTGAGTGGGTTGAGGAATGGCTCATGAGAAGTAAAGGACTTCCTCTCGATGTGTATCTGATACTACCTCAGAACATCAAGCATTGGCCTGGATGCGAATCTTGGTTCAATAAAACTTGTGATTCACTGGTAGATCGCTTACACAAATTCCTGGAGAAAATCATCAATGAGCCTGCTCATCACCGAAATCGTGTTTCTTCACTTATATTAATCGGTCATTCTACATTCTTCTCCCCGCTTCTCAAACTCCCTGCCTCTTCTCTACCGGGGTTGAAGAGGGTGTTCCTGCAAGTTACCAAAGACTTTTCTGCGAGCTTGACCCAGGTCAAGGCTTTTCTAGGTGCACCCAAGCTACGTGAAGTAGAAATCATAGAGCCTTATGAAGAATCCCAACTCAAGACAATCCTGCTCCCTGCGGGACAGCTGATCAACTTGAAGCTCATGCCAGGACCAGGCGTGGTGAATTCAATGTTTGATCCATTGATATACAAGAGTTTCTTGCAACAATGCAGAAACCTCGTCAGCTTGGAGATTCTTCCTCCAATGAACCCTATAGTACCCAGATACAACTTTCCTACAGAAGGTTATATATTTCTACCAGTGTTGAAAAGCTTGATTTTTGCTTGCTCCTCATCAATCTGGTATTCAGGTATAAGCTTTCTGCAATGCTTCATTGTACCATTGTTGGAGGACCTGGATCTGGATTACGGTGACATTGAATTCCATGATTTCTGTGAAATTATCACCAAATTTCGGAGACAATCTGGCTACATCCCAAACTTAAGAAGTCTGACTGTCAAACTGGGTTCAATGGACAATACTGTTCTGATTCCAGTCCTGGATTTCTTTCCAAGAATCAATTCGCTCCAATTAGTTGGAATCAACTTCGACGTGAACTTCCTGTTTGAGGCTATGACATACAATCCCAGCACCGAACAGAATTCTCTCCCGGTACCCAAAATTTCAACCCTCGAGTTGGTATTCAAAATGAACAACTGGGACAATTCTTATCCCTCCAAACTGTTATCTATGATTCTCTCTCGAACATTACCTGATGGTCCCGGCGAGCTCCAGGTAGATACAGGAGCGGCGACTAGGGGAAAGAAAATAAGGCATGAGGTTGGTGTTGGTGTTCATAGGTTGCAAAGAGTGAGTGTATGTGGCTCAGAATTGGAGAAGGCCCCTGAAGATGTGGCACATATTGCTGAAATACCTTCTACTACCATTTACTCTGAATGTTGGGACTGTGTAGGGTGATTGGTCTGGCTACATTATTAATCCCTAAGTTCTACAAGGCAACTTGAATGCTCTTGAATGGATTCGGACCTTCGTACAGTTATTCGGACAAGATCGACTCCGAGTCGGATGAATTATAATGTAATGTTTAGCTACTAAAATGCATCTTGCATTCTGCAATGGATTTTTAAAGGTAGTTCTCAACTGGTCACCTACTCGCAGCAGAAAGGGAAAACTGTTGAAGGTACGTTAAGAGCCGATCGGCCCGTTCGTAACCCATTTTAGGCTTGAACAGTTTCTTTCTTTCCATTGAACCAGGCAGAGAGTCTATTCCTTTCAACCACCCCTCTTATAGCAACACCCACTATGCGTCGTTCCGCAGTCTCCCTTTGCCGCCTCTACGATCTTCAGTCTGGGATTGACCTTCTTCTTGATGAATGTTTTGCTCAAGTTCTGATGACGGATGTCCATGCCGCTGTGGTGATCTCTCAGAAATTCACTAGTCCAAACAGTTCCTTTACTGGAAATATTTCCTGCATGTATACATTTAGTTTGATGCGTGATGCTGCTGTGTGTCAGTTTGAGATGATAGAATCCATCAAAGAGTTCACACTGAGCTCAGACTCCTCAGTCAAACCCTCATCGACATCAACCTCAGTTCCTATCAGCTTATTTAATACTTCTGATGCATTGGACATCAATGCACCTACTCCAGATTCACAGCCTACATGCGATTGTAGGCCACTGCACTATCGTGCATGGCAAAACTCGGCTGGTTTTTTTTGTTGTATTGAATAAAAATAGGTAACTTACTTGATAATAACTAATTGTCAGTCCTGGAATAAATGACTGCAGAAGCTGAACCTGACTGGCACTGGGCCCAATCTAATACACTGTAATCAGAAGATTCTAGAATTGGTACACCATTGTTGAACATCCCATCATAAACATAAACCATATTGTCACTAGCAACAATTCGAGATATAAAATGCTCTCTCATGGGAATGTAATAAATGACACCCTTGAGTACATAATGAACATCTTCATTGTCATGAAGTCTCATGATGCGCCCTTTGATGCGCCATCAGCGCGGTGTGTTCCCATCAATCTGTTTTCACATGTTTATTGTACTTCATCACACGATCATCCCATTAGTTCCATTTGTTTCCGTACGCTTCCATACAACTCATCCTTATTCATCGATTAGTTCATTATGGTTCATTATCGACTCATTATTACTCGTATATATTGATTCCTCACTCTTGTTCTATATCGCATCGTTATTTACAATCGCTTACTCAGTAGACAAGAGTAGTATATAAAGGACAGTAGACAGGCCCTAGTTCCCCATCTCGACCTCTTGGTCATTGGGCAACTAGGCAAGTACTTGTATCCTTTTAGATACTACCTATCTAACTTGGTCATTGGGCAACTAGATTCCCTTTTGATTGCTGGTGTGATTGGCCTTTGACGCTATCCCACTGTTGTTCGAGATCATTATTTCTTTCATCTGTGCTTTGTGCTTGTTTCTGTGCCTCTTCGCTCTGCCACTGTCGCTCCTAGGCATATCTGGACCTCCCGCCTCCCGCTTCCTGCCTCGTCGCGACATTAGGTCGAGATCTTCTACTTGTACCATCAGCTTGGTGAGCTGATCCTACAAGGCACCCACCACGTCTACCTTCGGAGTCAACGTTGATTGCTCCAACCACTTTCACGCGCTTGATACTGTAACTAACACCACTTGCTACTGGGACGCTGAAGAAGAAGAGTGGGAACCCTGCTCCAGACAACCGTGCCCTAATCGATACGAGAACACATTTGACGCAAGTCCGACCGACCGTTACCAACCCATCCACAGACCAGCACCACCTGCCAGGGTAGGACGAATCAGTACTCCTACTACTTCCACTCCTGCACCTCCGCTAGCATCTGCGGAACCATTAGCTCCTGCTGTCACTGAGACCACAGCCGACCCCGATATCGAAATACAATCAATCCCTGAAGAAGACATGTCCTCAGCACAGGACGTTCGAGACGCTATTACAGAGCTTACAAAAAACCAGGCTAAGCTCCAAGACGTGGTCTCTGAGCTAGTAAGTGGCCTCAGCACTACCAAAAGTGTTGGCAAGCCACAGAACTACAATGGAAAGCGAGGAGAAGATGCCCGGCGCTTCCTAGCTGCCTTTGAGCTGTGGGCCAACTCTATCCCTGCTCTCTCCACGGATCGTAAAAAGAAAATCACATCCGCCATTACATACCTTGAGGGGGATGCAGCTATCTGGGCCACTCCTATCTCCGAAACAATTAATAGATCAAGTATAACTGGCTCAGGAGTACCTTTCCCATACGATACATGGGAAGAATTTGTTACAGCTTTCAAAACACGTTTTGAGACCACAGATGCCTCGGCCGATGCCAAGCAGCTCCTTAAACGGCTCTACCAGAATAGGACCACGGTGGGAACCTATGCCTCTACCTTCCAACAGTACGCAGACCGCACTGGCTACTCAGACAAAGACTTGCGAGACCGGTTCTACGATCACCTTGCAGATCGAGTAAAAGATGGTCTTGTATTCACAACCCGCCCCACTGGCTCCCTTCAGGAACTGATTGAAGCAGCCATCGACATAGACAACCGACAAATTACTCGAGCGTGGGAGCAAGGAAAGAAACTGGTCGATGATGGAATCCTGACCAACTTTAGACCCACCACTGTTGCGACCCCATTCACTGCGCCTACTCGAGACCCAAATGCTATGGACATTGATGCCACCACCACTCGATCTCCTGATGCCTTTCGTCGCTTCATGATAGGACGATGCTATGGATGTGGATCTAAGGAACATCGCAAGGCCGATGGCCACCATGAGCGGGACATCTGTCGACACTGTGGCCTCAATGGCCATGTAGAGGCTGTGTGCCGTCGTAAGTTCTTAGGACTCCCTGGGAGGAAGGCTACTACCATTAGTGCCACCAGCATTCTGGATACAACTCAGTCTGCCGCTCCGGGTACCATCATTGCTGCTACACCAGATCTTGCCGTGCTACTAAAGGAACTTGCAGCCAACCAGCAAGTTCTTGCTGGGCAAATTGCCGAATTACACAAGAATTTTTAAATTGGGAACCCGCCACCGCTGCAGCGTCGTTCCCCAAGTCGTACTCAAGATCTCCATCGTCTGTATATGCCTCTATCACCTCCTGTACTATTAGCGCACTAGAATTCAATGATATATCCCATTTCCGTGTGCCCATAGAGCTTAAAGGACGATTCCGGAGTACAACAAGTGCAGCTATGATTGATTCCGGTGCCACTGGTCTCTTTCTACACCAAAAATTTGTTAACAAGCATCATATCTACGTTCGATCCCTACCCCGCCCCATTGAACTCTACAATATTGATGGAACCGCTAATTTAGCAGGGCGGATCACTCATTCTGCTCGACTTCTGGCCAGGGTGGACCAAAATCAACCCCAGATCTTAGAATTCCTAGTTACAAACATTGGATCTGAAGACGTAATTTTAGGGCTCCCTTGGTTACGTAAGGTCAACCCTGACATCAACTGGCGTGATGGGCAGATCCAGATTCCTGCAAAGCCAAAGATTCAGCATCATGTAGCTATCGAGGAGATCCCAGAGCCCAAAGAACCCAATGTCGGAGGAAATACAGAACAAATCCTAGAACCTAATAGAGCAGAATCAAATGGCCTTCCTCACATTGTTCCAAAAACTGAGCTAGGTCCAGAGACAGCTGAAACTGGCACGTCCTTGGAAGATGAGCTAGTCTTTGAGGAATCAGGAAGTCCACTGTATCGCTTGACTGGAAATCGCAAACGACGTCGTGCTTGGCTCCGTGCTGGGTTTATCCAAGAGGTAACAGAAGAGCTATGGTGTGCTGCCGGGTACACCTATTCCCAACAGCTTGCCGAAGCAGCAAATAAAGATAAGCCCCAGAAAACATTCGAAGAGATGGTGCCTGAGCCATATCGGCGTCATGCGAAAGTATTTTCCGAGAAAGAATCCGAACGACTACCTGAACACAAACCCTGGGATCACGCTATTGACCTGAAACCCGACGCCCCCGAAACTCTACGCACCAAAATCTACCCCATGTCAGTAAATGAGCAGAAAGAACTAGATCGATTCCTGGAAGACAATCTCCGGAAAGGATATATCCGACCATCCAAATCACCACTTTCCTCACCTGTCTTCTTTGTAAAGAAAAAGGATGGCAAACTACGATTCATACAGGACTATCGACGTCTGAATGAATACACTGTCAAGAATCGTTATCCTCTCCCTCTGGTCGCTGACATCATCAATTGTCTACGACAAGCCAAATACTTCACCAAGTTTGACGTACGATGGGGTTACAATAACGTCCGGATCAAGGAAGGCCATGAGTGGAAAGCAGCTTTCTCCACTAACCGGGGACTCTTTGAACCACTGGTCATGTTCTTTGGCCTCACCAACTCGCCAGCTACGTTCCAGGCCCTTATGAACTCCATTTTTGCTGATCTTATCGCGGCAGGAAAAGTAGCTGTGTATCTGGATGATATCCTCATCTTTTCCGCATCCCTACAGGAACACCGGAAAATAGTTCATGAAGTTTTGGAACGATTAGCCAAGAATGACCTCTACCTCCGCCCTGAGAAGTGCGAATTTGAACAAACCTCTATTGAATACCTGGGCCTAATCATCAGCGAGGGAGAGGTTCGTATGGATCCTGTCAAAGTTGAGGCGGTTAAGAACTGGCCAGCCCCAACCTGCCTCCGAGATGTCCGAGGATTCCTAGGCTTTGCTAACTTCTACAGACGCTTCATTGATGGATTCGCTAAAAAGGCGCGAGCACTGAATGACCTCACCAAGAAGGGGGTGGGATGGTCTTGGGGTACCAATGAGCAGGTAGCATTTGAGGCGTTAAAAGAAGCTTTTACCACAGCACCCATTCTAGTCCTCTGGGATCCCGACAAACCGACACGTATCGAAGTGGATGCTTCTGGGTTCGCAACTGGAGGGGCGCTATTACAACAGCAAAGAGATGGACTTTGGCATCCCGTGGCATTCCGATCTGCTTCCATGGACCCTGCAGAGCGGAACTATGAAATCTACGACCGAGAGATGTTAGCCATCATCGAAGCCCTGAAAGACTGGCGACACTTCCTAGAAGGACTCCCAAACCCCTTTGAAATTGTGACCGACCATCAAAACCTGGAATACTGGCGAACTGCACAGGATCTAAGCCGGCGACAAGCAAGATGGGCCCTGTGGCTCTCACGGTTTGACTTTACTCTTACACATAGGGCTGGTAAAGCAAATGCACAAGCTGACGCTCTCTCCCGAGTCTCTCAACTCGAGGTTATGGATGCTGATGACAACCAACAACAAATAGTTTTACGGCCAGAACACTTCCTCCGAGCTGCTACAGCCGTCTTGTTCCAAAACCCCCTTGAGGAGCGCATTCGGAAGGCAAGTGAGCGAGAATCGGAGGTTCTTGAAGGACTACGTAAATTGAAGACACATGGACCCCACAAACTTGTGAATGGTCTAGCCGAATGGGAAGAGAAGGAAGGAATTGTCTATTACAAAGGCCGGGTGTATGTCCCACCTGATCCTCAACTACGCCGGGATGTCGTAGCACAGTGTCATGACGCACTCACAGCTGGTCACCCAGGAAAGCACCGCACCCTAGAGTTAGTTAGCCGACAGTTTTGGTGGCCTACGGTTCGATCATTTGTTGATAAGTATGTGGAAGGATGTGACAACTGTCAACGAAGACGTGTAAGGCCGCAGCCACAATCATCTCTAGAGCCTCTGCCTGTACCAGGAGGACCATGGCAGGACATCGGCGTGGACCTCATTGGAGAACTCCCGATGACACAAGATGGACACAATGCGGCAATCACCTTCACAGACCATTACTCCAAAATGATTCACTGCTTCCCCACTACAACCGAACTGACTGCCGAAGGAGTTGCCGACTTCTATTATAAAGAAATCTTCCGACTTCATGGACTGCCCAGACGATTTATCTCTGATCGAGGACCACAATTTGCTGCCGACATCATGAAGGCCTTGCTAAAACGGTTGGGTATTGAATCTGCCCTGACAACGTCATACCACCCTGAAACAAATGGCCAGACTGAACGAGCTAACCAAGAAATCGAAAGATACATCCGGATGTATGTTAGCCGACGTCAGGATGACTGGGACCGTCTTCTTCCTACTGCCGAATTCGTTATTAACTCTCGAGTACATTTTGCCCACGACAAAGCACCATTTGAAGTGCTCTACGGTTATACCCCAGAATTCTCCATCCCCATAGGATCCTGGAAGGAATACCCTTCAATCACAGATCGGCTAGATGCACTCCGCTATGCTCGGGAAGATGCAGAAGCCGCACTACGTATGAGCAAACAACGGATCGCAGATACAATCACGGAACACCCTAACCAACCTAGCTTTGAAGTTGGACAGCCCGTATGGCTCTCAGTCAATAACCTAAAAATTCGACGCAAAAGTGAGAAGCTGGGAAGCCGCCGACTAGGACCTTTCGAAGTTATTGAGAAGACAGGGGCACACACTTACCGGCTTGCACTTCCTACATGGATGAAGATCCATGACAACATTAATGTCAAGCGCTTGGCACCATGGAAAGGAAACGAAGTCAACGGAATACTGCCAGCTCCGCCGGAGCCAGAGGTCATTGATGGTGAAGAATTTTACGATGTGGACAGGATCCTGGACAGCAGAATACATGGACGGTGGAAAAAGCTGCAGTACTTAGTCCGGTGGAAAGGCTACGACGAGGGCCATGACACCTGGGAAAATGAGGAAAATGTGGTAGGATCCAGTGACGAAGCCATTAACGAATTTTATGCAGCACATCCAAATGCACCAAGGAAGATTTCGGCAACGATCTTTCACTCACTACCATGGCAGCCAATGGTCAACTTCACCGAGGTAAACAACTAGTCGCTGGGACATCGACTCTAAGGAAGGGGGTAATGTCATGAAGTCTCATGATGCGCCCTTTGATGCGCCATCAGCGCGGTGTGTTCCCATCAATCTGTTTTCACATGTTTATTGTACTTCATCACACGATCATCCCATTAGTTCCATTTGTTTCCGTACGCTTCCATACAACTCATCCTTATTCATCGATTAGTTCATTATGGTTCATTATCGACTCATTATTACTCATATATATTGATTCCTCACTCTTGTTCTATATCGCATCGTTATTTACAATCGCTTACTCAGTAGACAAGAGTAGTATATAAAGGACAGTAGACAGGCCCTAGTTCCCCATCTCGACCTCTTGGTCATTGGGCAACTAGGCAAGTACTTGTATCCTTTTAGATACTACCTATCTAACTTGGTCATTGGGCAACTAGATTCCCTTTTGATTGCTGGTGTGATTGGCCTTTGACGCTATCCCACTGTTGTTCGAGATCATTATTTCTTTCATCTGTGCTTTGTGCTTGTTTCTGTGCCTCTTCGCTCTGCCACTGTCGCTCCTAGGCATATCTGGACCTCCCGCCTCCCGCTTCCTGCCTCGTCGCGACATTCATTATTACATTGTAAATGAACAGAGTAGTCAATTTTAAGTTGAGGCCTTCCATCACAAGCAAAAGCAAGAATATTAGGAGCACATTTGATATGGAACAATTTTCTCAAAGGTAAATTACATACATTACACATAATGCTTGATGAAGCAGGGCCATTCACACTAATCCATTCATTAGTGGAAGATGGCAAGACCAAACGAGGTTCTTCTAATAAACTCACCTTTACATTATGAGGGCGGTGCCTTGACAGGTGACCCTGTTCACATTGAAGCTTGGTAGTCATGAAAGGACTTTCCATTTTCAACATTTCCTCAAGAATGGCAGTGCTGGAGCAAAAGCCAGTCAAATTGAACTCTCTGGGTCTTCTTGAATTAAGCGATATCCTCAAATCATCACGTACAGTTTCAAGTGTATGTTTACCCTGTTTATATTCAGAGAAAACTTTGATCAATTGTGGTAAATTGCTATATTCATCTCCAGTAATGTTCAGTTCCATCCAGATATACAAAAGAATAAGCAATACAGAATCAAAAGCACAGCTATTATTTGACCATGTTAAACCTGTTGGAAGGATTGCTAATTGTCTTTGATTTCCTGAAGTGATATTATTTTTTCGGGCACGTTTTTGTGAAGCTTGTCTAGCAGCTGATGAGCGACACAATTTATTGCTAAGTGGCACTATATGTTGATTTGTAGTACGTTGTCTGACAGCAGATGGCAGTGGAATATCAGTGGAGCCATACGCATCTGATAGATTTCTTTTCTTGTTTTTGACTTCAAATTTTGATATATCAGGTGGAACAAGTGGAGCAGGAGATGTGGTAGTATTTTCTGAAGTATTAGACTTTTTATTTTGCTTCATAAGTCTTTTCACTGCTTTTTTCTGTACTCTAGACCAAGATAGTGGCTGTTCTGATTGTTGTATATATGGATCTTTAGCAGACCAACTCACAGCAGAATGAATTTGGCTTGGGACATAGCTTGTGCCTTTCCAAACTAGAAAACTTTCAATCAGCAAATTCCTGGTAACCCCTACAACTGAGGGGTCCAATGTACCCTCATATTTGAGATGGGTAATTTCATCCAAAATTTCCAACTCACGATATTCTTTACGTAGGGGACCACTTGCCCCACCAGCAACTGCCCTTGAGTCAAAGCCTTGAAGAATAACAGTTGAAGCAGCAGATCTACTTCTAGACAAAGCAGTATACATTGCATGGTGATCTGACAAGGTATTTAGATCAGTTGCATTAGGAATTAATCCTTGTCCTTGAGAGGCATATGCTGTCATAGAAAAACCGGGCAGGACATCAACCTGGAATCTAGTTACAGATATCTTGACATCATTTTTCAATGTTACAATACCTTTGGTTTTACGCCTAGTTAAGGGAACCACATTTGGAGGCAAATCTGGGACTTGAATTGGTGTTGGAGGGTCATCTAAGAGAACAAACAAAACATCTAGTGTACATTGACCAAAAGCCCCAGTGCTTTCATGCCATGCATATACAGTACCTCTCTGACCCTTTGTAATCGAAAGCTCAGTTGCAATATTATGGCGAATAATAATGGGCAACCCTATGCATAAAGAGAGGACAGGTGGTGCATGGTATTCATGAGCACAGGTTGGTAGTTCCCAAAGGTGTTGTTGAAGGTCTTTGGATATAGAGGACATAGACCGTTTTTTATTTTTAGATTTAGCAGGAGCACCTTGATCTGCATTGCCAGAAACAAGGTCATCACTATAGAAATTAGTTAACTTCTGTTTTGTATCTGCTGCAAAGCGTAAGCATCCTAGCCTGTTTATTTCATCCTTATATTTATTCTCACCTACAATAATGGCTGCATCACGCCAAGGGCTTTTACCTACAAATGGCCTATCTGGCAATTTAGAGGATACTAGTGTATTGAGAAAGAGTATATCCTCTTTAGTACAAAACTTGTACCGCATATTATCTAAAGCCAATCGAAAACTGATATCCATCTTTGATGATCCAGTGTTTCTCATATTTTTTCGTAAAATCACAACATGAGTTACATTATGCCAAAGAGATTTTCCCATTGCAGCACATTGACCGTTGTATTTATTTGCATCAGTTGGCTTTCTATAAGAATACAAGGATACAGATTCACCACCTACAGGTGGAAGTTGAGCAAAATCACCTGCAAAAATCATATTCATACCACCAAATGCAATATCATGTTTATTCTTAGCTTCACATAATTGCACTGATATACGATATAGATCTAGACAACTAAGCATAGATACTTCATCTAATATCATATATTGGATATGTTCCAATCTTGCACAAACCTGAGCCATAGTACCTCTTCCAACTTCTTCAACCTTATTATTTAAGCCTAAAAGAAAATGATAGGTAGAACCACCCAGAAGAGCAGCTGCATTACCAGTGGGAGCAGAGGTCACAATTGCAAAAGAGCTATTCCGTTCTGCAAAAAATTGTAGCAAGGCTTTGATAACTTGAGATTTACCTGTCCCACCCATTCCCCCAATATACATCTGAAGAGGCTCTGATACTAAACAAGCAGAATGCTGTGCTATAATTCTGAAAGCTCTCTCCTGCTCATTATTGAGATTATGGCATTTAACAATATTCAGAGTTAGTTCCTTGATACTTCCATATTCTAATCCCAACTTATCAAAGTAATACTTGTCACAAATTTCTACAATATTTGGCCTATATTTACCTGGCTCATTATTTTTGTTGGTATTATTGTCAGCAGGGGGTAAGCCTCTACTTTTTTCAATGATCTCTCATGCCTTTCAAAATGAGATCCCAATGCTGAGGTTTTTCTTTGGGCAATGGTATGGGGGAGCAGATAGGAATGGGCTTTGGTTGTATATTACTAGTTAATGGTGTAACCCATCCACTATTGAATAAGATATCTTTCATTGCCTTCATTGCTGATTCTCTTTTGAGGAAAAATGAACCTTTTTTATCTTGAGTATATTGATCATAACTGTAATCAGTGTCTTCTATGACAGATGAGTTCACATCCAACTGAGAGCCATCAAGTTTATTTACCAAGTCTTCATGTAATTGGATAGGAATAGAAGAAGGGAGCTTAGTAACATCAAGCTTTCCAGACTTCAACTGAGCACGAAAGTCATCACGAGCATCTAAACATTCAAATCGGATATTCATATTTTTCATATATAATAAACTTTGGTCAGAAAAAACATAAGCTTCAAAGGCCTCATGCCAAGATTGATTTTTGTTCTTCAAGTCTTCACCTGATCGCCAAGGTTTGAACAATGTCAACATAGTACAGCAATAATATTCTCTATCATCTTTGTCAGGGCGAGGGAGAGAGCCCACAAAGTTTGGCACAGCCATAGATGAGTCTTGTCTAGTAGCAATAGCATGAGTGTCAACTAAGGGGTGACCAGGTAAAAATAGGAGTTGTTTATTGCTTTTGGAAGACCTGGAAGATATTAGTTCAGGATCATGTTCAATAACTTCTTTACTTTTGTTTTTTGCAGTTTTATAGAAACAGCAAATCCAGTCATAGAGATTATAATGGGCATGTTGTACTGGACGGTGAGTATAGTCTAATGAGGAGGATAAGCCTATAATTTTACCCCAACGTTTTGTAAGAATTACTTTTGGTTCAGAAGTAGCATCATTCTCCTCAAAGACTGATCTAGCTGTAGAGACATATGTTCTCCAGTAAAAAGGAATAAAATGGTGGCTGGTGTAATGGTCAGGATTGTTCAGCAAATACAAGCTAATTATTGGACTCCCAAGTTCAAGTTTAGTCGATAATAAATTTACTATACGACTGATCAGGCGCCTAGATTTTTCCTTTGTACTGAAAGAACCATCAATAATCTCAGTGCTTTTGTCAAAAATGGTCTTAATGCTGTCAAATACAACATGTGTCTTCAAACCTGTTTTTGTAATATAATCAGCAATATAAATTACAGCAGACTTGATAGCTGTACCAGACAAGATAGATGACACATCTGTATTGCCCCGCACCAAATATGTCAAACCAGGAGATATGTCATTTAACCATTCTTCTAATTTCTTGAGATTGATATGGCCATTTTCAGGATCTACCAAAGTTTGTTGAAAACACTCCCTTGGAAATCTAGCTTTACATTTCTTGTGTACATTATTCAGACATGAAGTCTCAAATTTATCCTGGTTAAGTACAGAGCCATCTGGAGAAATCCCACGAAAACAATCATGAACATTTGATTTTAGAAGTAAATCATCAACAGTTAATTTGAACTGTTCAAACCATTGAATGAAAGTAGAGCATTTATGGCAATCTGCAATTTCACAATCACAATATGGGGGTGGAGGAGTAGGTAAAGTCCTTTCAGGTGATACATAATTTGGATTAGACTCAGTTTGCAAAGCAACAGCTTCTTTCACACAAGTATGTGACCCAGTTAAAAATTCGCCAATTCTGACACTCTCTAAAAAAGATACCAATTGTGATTGAAATGAGGAGGCAGGATCCAAAATTTTGTCACGTATTTCTTGGGGAGATAATGTCTTTCTATTGAATATTAAGCCATGTAGGTGAAGGGCAAGGCGGCCTTGTTGCTCTACAGTGCAGTAGTAACCACTTGTGGGGCCAAACAGCCCCCCATCAGAGCTTTCAATATCTACAATATGTTTCAGAAATAAATTGACAAGTAAATGAAAGAATCATGCACCAGCAACTGGATTGTTGCTAATTAAAAGTCTACATTCAGATGAAGTTCTAAGAGGAACATCAAACTTTTCCTTTGTGTCTGCATAGTAGATACAGATAGGATGCTTGAAATCACAAGGAGATACTGTTATATACCAGCTAGGGCCTCCAATGTGATTAATCAAAGACCAAATCTCAGATTGCATGGTTTTTTTAGAACTAATTGATCCTTGGGTCCTGGCACCAGCATGTGTTAAATCACCCAGTAACTTAAAGCATTGTATTTCAGACTCATTGGCAGGCTTGACATGTTCTCCATTAGCCATACGGGTTGCAATATTTTGCAAAATGGATCTATCCACTGACAGAAACCGGTCACTAATTTCACTGAATTTTTTAGACTCTGCAAGAAGGTAAGATTGTGAACTGTTGGCCTTGATTTGCTGGTGACTAAAAGCAATTAATGGAAAATTAGAGTCAAGTTGAAATCGTTTGTCATGGTATAAAAGTAAAAATTTGAGATGTGAAGACTCAGAGAAAGCTTTAATGTCTGAGGCACCAATACCACCAAGTCCAAAAGGGAAAAGCCATGGAAACATTTTCGGATACAGCTGAGGATTATTCCAAAGGCTCTCAGGATTTTCAGCATGTGATGTCCGCATAAATTTGCCTTCATTGTCAAGATGCATTGCAGCAATACCAATCATTTATTTTTGATTGAAGGACCAACTATCCCATGAACAGTGAAGACACAATCACCTTCCTCTGTACCATCATCATTCAAATCATCATGAACACTGATACCTTCAGCATTTCTATTAGAGCCTTTTTGGAAATATTCTACAGAAACAATTGGTGCATCTTCAGCATAGCTCTCCAGATTAGCAGATGAAAAAACAACATCATTGTAGTCAAAATGATTGAGGATCAAGATCTGAAGTGCTTTAGCAACAACATTTCTCCGGACAAGCAGCAGAGCATGGGCATAATCATCTTGAGTAGGCTTTGTGGAACCTGAAAACATGACAGCTAGTACTTCCTCAATCTCTTCTTTAGGAGGAGGTAAAGTGTCATATATTTTGGGAATTGGATTTTCAAAAGCAATGACATTGGAAACTAATTTAGAATAATTAGTTGAACCTTTCTGTACTCAAACAAAGCATTTAGTATGTCTGACTCTTGCAATTAACATCTTCTCATAAAATTTCAAGCCTTTCAGCTCATCTGGTATAACACCCAACCAAAGTCCTCTGCACAATGCCAATTTGGGCACATTTCCAGCTCTCAGAGAAGAACGACAATTATTGCAAATATTATCACCAGCTGACTTGTCTAAAACTGGACCTTCGATTTCAGAAATTGATTCATCAGGAGATGACCTAAATGCCCGGGTAACAGATTGAGCTTCTAGTACATGCAGATAATTTTTCATATTCTTGAGAGCAGAAAGGTCTGTACATAAGGTAAGTTGACCACATACTGCACACCCAGCTTCTTCAAAATTTACAGGTGAGCTAGATTTACACCATTTATCAATTACTAGAGCCATATGGGATTGAGTAATTGGAGGAGGTGGAAAATTGAAAGTAATATTATCAACAGTATTGGGAGGTACAGTACTTGTCTTTGGAATAGGACATTTAAAGGTAAAAGCCTCAGTAATCAAAGTAGATACTATACCACTTTCAGACTTGTTGTGAGGAGGTCTGCCTCCACCAAAATGTCTTTGCTTGGACAGGGGCCTCAGATACACAATTTTAAGAATACAATACTCAACTTTGAAAGTTACAAAGAAACAAAGAATTATTAATTTCACAGAAAAAAGACAATGGGCCATAAAGACTACAGTTAAGGGACACTGGACCATAAAGGTCACAGTCAAGAAACATTGGACCACAAAGGTCACAGTCAAGAGGAACTGAACCATAAAGGTAACAGTAAAGAAACACTGAGAGATAATTGCCACAATGAAGACAATAACAAAAACACTCATTTTGAGAAGGGTATCAATGTAATAATTAAGCTACAACACATAGAAGTTAGACAGGAACATTGGAAAACATAGATGTCAAAACTTACCAGGAGAAGTGACTGAGTAATCAATATAATAACCTAACATAGTGAAGGAGATTGATTAGACATTGAAAGAGAAGTAGATAAGAACATACTGAAAATTTAGCCCACAAGCTCGAGCATGATACAGAAATTTTGGCAATAATGATGATCATATTGCAATAGATGAAGGGCAAGAGCTTTATGTAGATATATTTCACTGCTGTAAAGTTAGAACCATTTGAAGAACAGCTCAATGAAGAGAGTGGAGTGCTCACTATATAAGCAATTACGCGCAGGTGGAAGACAACGAGAAAGAGTGCGAGTGAAAATTTCAAGAGATTTTGATTCGTAATAATATCACATGATAGATTAAGGGCCGGCAAGGGTACACGTCTAGAAAGTATACATGTACAGCGATGCAATATATTCTTTTTCAACATAAGCAGTCAACCAGTCAGTCTATAGAGACCATATCACGAACGCGTCAAGACAAAGAGACACAAATATCATTTGAGGACAATGGACAGCACAAATTATAAGCAGTTTTATGACAAGCAACGGAAAGTGTAGGAGTACACAAAAATAAAACGAATGATACGGCTAAGCGCGAGGATCGTATTGTTGAAGCGAGGTTATAGGATGAGTACATGCTTTGCTGGAAGGGACAAATCAGAATTAAAAAACATGTTATGTGTTGTGAAAAAAACTGACCTCCGAAACCAATTCCATATGACCCACTGGTCGCCCACTTCAACGTCACGGAGGTGGCCTTCTGAATTGACTGCAATCCCAAAAGCATGCGTAGTCGAATAGCAGGTAGCTGTAGATCGTGTACAGGTGGAAGAGTCACTGCATTGACATATGGTATATGGTGGGCCTTGATACATAGAGAGCATAATGACCTCTGGCTGACGACCAACCTCATCAACGGTAAGGCAGGCAAGAGAAGGCGCAACGACACCCGCGGGTTGATAGGCGCTTTCCTGAATGGCGATGAGGAAGGAAGAAATCCATGGGCGAGGATGATGTGCAACTTGTGGTGACAATGCAAAAGACAGAGATTGGCGGAGTGGAAAGGGAGAGTCAGGGTGCACGTAGAAAAAGTGGATGGTCCTCCGGTTATCCTAGACCATTTTAGCTAAAGAAAGAAAACGAAGAAATGCACGCACTGTGTCAGGAAGGGACGGAACGTTTCGCAGAGTGGACAATGTGTCGAGGGTTGGAAAAGCAGCCATAAATGAAGGAGGAAGTCGACTGCAAAATGACAACGAAAAACTGCGATTATATGAGGAGAATCGTCGGTGCTCGGTCGCAAAATTACTGAGGAATCAGGCGAGGGAAACGAAGAGAAGTTCCAGAAGGGTCTTTCGGGGATCCACAAATTGGCAGGTCGAAGAGGTGCAGAGAAGAAAAACAACAGTGCACCTTGCCGAACAACGCTAGTATGATTGAGACTGAGAACTGCAACGGACGCGCCTGGCCTGTGGAGGGGCTTGGCTTGCATGCGTGCAGAAGAAAGAAGAAGAACGAATAGCTTACGTTATTGACCGAACAATTACGATTTTTCGGGCTGGCGAGATTAGAATAAACAGATTATAAATGTACTACTACCGAATGAGTGCACTTCGTATTCTCAGATGCAGATATTCCAGTACAGTATACTAACTAACCATAGACACAACTAAATCGGGTAGTACTATTTTCGTTTGCTGATCAACTTCGTCTCGATAAGATCTTCATGATATTCATACCCATCCTTGAGACCACCAGAATATAGATAAGGACTATCATCGTCAGAGTCAGCCTGGCTGCGGTGAGTAACACGCAAAGGCCTGGCAGCATCAGGACTGACTCGGGAAGAAGACGCCTGCAGATGCGAATGGGTGCGACGAGGTGGGCCGGGAAAGTCTTTGGTGCAGGTTGGAGTATTGTATAGGGGTTTTGGGAAGGGACGGGAGGAGCCGCTACTAGGAAGAGGAGGGCCGTCGTAACCAGGTGGAAGCGCAAGGACCACAACAAACTGGAGGCCAAGAGAAAGACAAAGAGGAGGGGCCTTGGATGACCCAGATGACTGCCATGTATGAGCAGTGTACCCAACACAAACAATCAAATCGGGAGGGACCTCTTCTTGGGAGTCCAAGTAAAGGGGATAAGCACGGGAAGCGATTTGATTTAGCTGAGCAGCAGAAGCGACGAAAGAACCCCTGCCGTCGAAGATGGGAACTGTCGCAAGGATCAGTATGGAAATGAACGAATCGCATGCGAAGCTCACCTGCATGGCAAAAGGGCAAAGGATCTTTACAGTGGATATTCTTCGGTACATTTGAGACCTCACGTTTTTTGCCAGGAGTCACTAAATGAAGAAAAACGACTTGAGAAGACAAATCAAAGAGGAAGGGAGAAGACAGACCAGGTTCCAGTGGGCTGAGATTGTCGGGATCATCCTTCCATATATCAGAGTCGAAACGCTGGTTAGATCGGAAGTCTATAATGCCTTCGGAGACAGGGCACCCAAATTTAGAAGCACCAATTAAGCTCCCAAAACACGCGAATAGTCGCTGCGACTCCTGCATAAGACCATGGACGCGTAAGCCCCGAATATAGCGAACAGCTTTATCTTTAGCAAGGAAGGATTTTGGATTGAAAATATAGGATTCGTTAACACGGCCGACAGTGAGGAAGACGGCATTGAAAAAATGATCTTCAGCAAGGACGAGATGAATTTTGTTGTTGATCGTTGGGCATGCAATCGCAGACGGAGAAGTAGGGTCAAAACGTGCACCATTGAAGACGTTTGCACAATGGATGAAATTAACGACCTGACGGATACATCTAAATGAATGAAATGTCAAAACCCGAGTAATGACAAATATACAAACTACTTACTTTTCCTAAGTAGGAATCAATCCAGAGACCATATCGCGGTAGAGGAGATAGTCGTCATCTTCGGTAATGCTTTCATCAGCAATAGGCCTAATAATTACAGCGCTATGACCAGGCACTGTAGATCAGCCAAAGATAACATAAAGGTTGACTGACACTAACGGGAGATTGGTAACAGATCTAAAGGACACAGCAAAACGACGGTCAATCCAAGCAGAATTCAGGACCCCAGTATCACCGAGGTTATTGTCAACAAAGGGAGGCACTTCCTGAGGGTCGTGTTCTTGCACTACTGTGGTACCACTTGAGCTCACGTCGTTTGTGAGATCACTCTCACCAAGCGCCTCTCGAATGAGTGCATTGCAAATCTCACGGGTAGATGTAGTTGAAGGAGAAGGTTGACCATCGCAGAGTGCATGACGGATGAGATTGTCGCAAAGCCTCTTCCCTGCAGCAGAAGACTTAGAAGGTGACTTGACAGGTGAAGTCCCCACAATGAGAGAGGAAGGGACGTGATGATTATGCGTCAATTGTTTGAAGGGGTGGAACCGAACACAATCTTTCCCCCTAGATTTTGGAGAACCCTGGGCAGAAGCTTTTGACAGAGACGTATTTGTGGTAGACGTGCCAGAATACGAATGGGACGGTGATGACAATAGGGAGCGAGGAGGTGAAGGTGAAGAACCAGACAACACCTTCAAGGGAGACGTGTCACATCTTAATTTTGAAGGAGAGATATGCGGATTGGTAGATGAATTAGGAAATAAGCCACGACGTGCGAGGGACCCCAAAGTGGATTGAGCACGAGGAGTGGGTGACCAGCCATCCAATGGATTGGAGGGTAAATCAGGCGAAGGAGTCCGCAAAGCACGGATTGACCGAAAATCAGCAGGTAAATTGATGTCCAAGTCATCATACTCATCGACTGAAAGCCCACGGGAGGACGTTTCAACTGGTGTAGAAACTTCAGGGTCTTCTGGTGGATAACACAAGTCGAAAGAATCATCATCCATCTGAAGACCTGCGCCGACATCAGCACTGGCAGATGAAGTCGGGAGTGGATGAGGGCGTATGGGAGAGGACGGGTGTTGGGAAGACGAAGGAGACAAAACTAAATTGGTGAATTCGGGATTGTCTGATGCGTAATACATTCGGCCATTAACAACAATTGATGTAAGGTTTCGGGGAGGGGGAGGATAAGTTGGGGATGTGCTGCTGGATTCAGGAATAGTAGGACTACAGAAAGATTGAGATGACCGCGTTGAAAAGAATCTAAATCGAACCCACCGCAACCGTTCTGAGTGAGTTACAGAAACAGGGCTTTGCAACAAGAAAGGCTTGAGCATTTCCTTAGACTTTTTTGGAGAAGGAGGAAGGACTGGAAAATCGTCGTCGCTCAACTCAATTGGACTAAGATGATCATTCCGTGAGACCCAAGAAGAGAATGAGAGACAGAGACAGACCTATACACTTTTGGGGAGGATGGGTGACTTTGCTCTGGAGTTCCCTGACGAACGCGATTGGAATACAGCTCGTGAGGTATAACAGTGGCCAAATTTCTGAAGAAAACGGTGGACGGAAGGATAAGGAATTAAAATGAGAAGGGCAAGAAAGACGGACTTTGGAGATGGTTCTACGTCCATTTCATCGGCAGATTCACCTTGAAATTCACTTTGAAAAATAATGTAAGGACCAACAGAATTTTAAAACTGCAGCAACACATACAGAGCCTGGCCCCGAGGTGGAGTTGGAGACCATTCAATGGGAGACTGGTCGCGAACTTGTTTGCCAACAATGACCGAATCCGTCTCGCAATCATTGGCATTAGTGTCATATACCCCATCACTGCAGTCAGCATCAGAAGCAGCGGTCTCAACCTCTGCGAAGTGGCCAGCAGATTGGGACATGTCAGGAGAACCAATAACTTGTGGGGTTGATCTTGCAGTACGAGGTAGGGATGGGCTAGGGATGGTAAGAAATGTGCATATCAAAATAATAACCATACTTACAGTAATTCAGAGCCTAGCAGACAGTTGGTGGGTTTGCGGGCGCGGCTCGATTTGCGAGACCTGCAACAGAACTGGAGCTAAGACAATTTGCAAGAAAAAGAAAACACCAAACATTTTTTATAGAGCAGAGTAGAAATCTCGACACAGATACGAAAGCAGAGCGTGCACTTCAAATAGAGCAAAGTGGAGGCAAGGAAAGGCAGCAAGAAAAGTTGATTGCAGATAAAGGAAAGATGTAAGTGATTAGTAAGGGATCAGCGCCAGGATGCGTACGATGAACCATACAGGAAGTGGAGGTCCAGAACATGTAAACGATTTGAAGGGACCAGCGCCAGGATGGATGTAACAAACTACATGGGAAGTAAAAGTCCGGAGCATGTAAATGATTATGAAGGGATCAGTGATAGGACGCGCACGACAAACCATATGGGAAGCGAAAGCCCTGAGCAAAGAAAAAAAAGTCCAGAGCTTGTAAATGATTACGAAAGGATCAGCGATAGGATGCGTACGACGAACCATATGGGAAGGGAAGGTCCTGAGCAAAGAAAAGAAGTACAGAGGTGGGGAGCAGTATAGGAAGCACGGGAAATATTAATGCCGGCCATAACACAATATATACTCGAAAGGTGAAGAGACCGCCAAACGAAGACAACGCCAAACCGGTAGCGAAATACAGGCGAAAGGCGGACGCAATGGAGACACAGATATAGAAGAAAAGGTGCTATAGAATATACCCTCGTTCGCTTGCAAACGAAGTATGAATCGAAAAAAAAATGGACAACAGCTATGACAGCAAAAATGCAGGTGAGTAAAAGCACATAACAAGACACGGACGAAGTCAACTTACTTTGATAAAAAGCTGAAGTGTTGATTAAAATGAGAACGATATGTCTAGGCAATGAAATATGGCCACACATCAGTAACTTCGTCGAGGTAAGTAGAATGAAGATTTACCTGGATATGGATAGTGAGCCTCCTCAACACTCATAGATGAAAGGATGGGAAGACGGCGTAGAGATTCGCAAGTTTGAGGAGCCTAGTTGCTGGCGGATGACCCAGAGCAATGCAAACAGAATTTTCGAAGTGATATTGCACATGCAAGGTGTAATCGAGGACAAAAAGCTTCCACCTATTCGTGGTGAACTGTAAGTGCTAGTCAAGTGGAAGGACAATTCACTAACCATGAAATGGGCAGCACGAAGAAGAGGATGCAACACCTACACCAATCCATCACGGTGAGTGGATTGGGAAGTAAAGACTTTGCAGGAGATGTAGACGCCATGTATGACATGTACGCGCTCTTTTCGCGACACGTACCCGGCCTGAAGATCATGGCAACGAAGGGGACAGTAGAACAGCCGATGCTTGAAATGTCGAATAGGATATTTACGCCGAAGATAGAAGCTCCGAATATGAACCCAACCACAGTGAACCCGGAGATGGATGAGAATGGCCTAATTGCAAGGACGAACGCAACAGATGCGATGTTTATATATGGGGAAGAGAATGTTGTACTATATGGAGAAGAGAGGATGGACAGTAGTGGGCGCAAAAAGTGAGTAATATTAACATGACAGTGAATATAAACTCACCAAGATGTAAGGACCGTCCGTATTCCGCCTCAAAGACTGCATGTGGGTGACATCGTCGATGTGGCATTCAGTATGGTCGCATTCGGAAGAGGGAACGAGTTGAAAGCAAGGCTATTGCTCCGCAATATCACGCTGTTGGATGTGACACACACACAAGTGAGTACATACGTAAGGAGTAAGAACGAAAGGAGCTGACCTTGTGTAGAAATGGCTCAAGGAAAAGGTCAAAAACCAATCCATGAACGTGAAAGTGCCACTAACGCTCAAGCGACATTTGGAGTTCGAAGATGACGAAGAAGAGGCCAATATACGAATGAAACGAATGGATATAGAAGGCGGGGACAACGGAAGAGAAGGAACGTGTGACTAATAATGTGAGGACAGTTGTGTAAGGAGGGAAGGAAATGAAATGTAACGGAAAAAAAGAAAGAGAAGGGACGTAGGATGAACAGTCACATAGTCACTCAGATGATTAATAAGGTCCCGTGCAAGTCACATTAATTGAATGTATTTCAACTCAGTGTTACATTTGGATAAATAAGGTGAAACTCTTACCATATAAGGAAACGAAAATTGTATGGAGTGGCGTATATAAGGACGATACTTCCGTAAACTACAGCCTCGTAACTGGTCCCCCTCCAATACCACCGAAGCCCAACCCAACCCTTCCTCTGACACCTCGTATCCAACAATCTCCACTGCCTAGTCACATTCCTAGTATCTTTCCTGGGACGAGGACACAGGTTTATGTGATTATTCATACACCAAAGGATCACACAGGGGTTAATGCAGTGATAAAGGAGATCAAGGTTCGAGGTGTGGTCACTACCACAGGTGATGTAGTTGAACTCACCGTACCAGTCTTGAGAGTTCTTGACATACCCTTACCTTCATTTGATACAATGTTGACTTCCCTCTTCATCCACACCCTTGCAGCTAAAGCCCTCATCAAAGACTGTGAACAAGGAACCCACTCCTTCCCTACTCCTGTATCTGTTTTATTTGAGGCTACATCAGCTGAATCATTCATCAATGGCCCGAGGGTCAAAGAACTCAAAGACCTAAAGGAAGCTTACCTCAAAAAAGACATTGTGCAACTTGGAATGGAATATTGTGTTGCTAGTCAGTATACCAGTTTTGTTGCTGTTGATAGGAGGAGGAGCAGTGTTAGTAGTAGGGGACAAGAGCAGACCATGACTTTGAATCAGATTGTTCCAGTTGTTTTTGCAGATCCTTTGCAGGCAGAAACTACGGATGGATCTGTTCAAGCTGTAGGAGGTTCCATGCTTGTGTCATAAAGTACGCAGCCCCTATCATTTTCCTTTTCTCACCGTCTCGACGCCTTTACTTGTACGATACATCATCCCATCACTGTCAAACCCCCATCGATTACTGATCCATCGATTACTGATCCACCTGACCCATCTTCTCTTTCTACTGGCTTCCGCCACCTTCCTTGTTCCTAAACTGTACAGTATTACATCGTTGTTTCTCGCAGACCGGATTATGTATATATAGCCAACCCTTCACAGCCTGGTCCCTTATCTTGACCTCTCTGTCATTATCTGGGACCAGGTATGTGCTTACTTATTATTACCTAGGACTACGATACTCAATATATCTCTGTCATTATCTGGGACCAGCCTGCCGCCATTCTGCTTAGTCGCTCCGCCTTGTTGCCTTGTCCAGTTGCTCCGCCTCACCGTTCTGCTTAGTCGCTCCGCTTTCCCGCTCCGTTAGTCACTCCGCCTCTGCCACTTCGTGACAGCTTGGAACCAATGGAAGAGCTGATGGAGGAGGTGAATCACATTTAATGGCAATTGATCTAATTCCAATGGATATTCGTGCCAGAAGAAGAGTCATGCTCAGGGTTGAACCTAGCCTCAAAATGAGAAGAGAAATAATTCTTAGTCAACCTGCAAGAAGTCAAATTCTGTCTTTAGGTTTTACAGGCAATATGTCAGGCTCTACCTCTACCTTTACTACTTCTGCATCTACATCCCAACTGTCTGTAGCCTCTGCTTCTCTGCCTCCTGTGATACTTGAACAACCTTTGACACTGTTACCTGCAGCACAATCTGATCCAGACATATTGGACAGCCTCCTTGAGAAATTAAGGAGTGGTCATCAAGAGCCTCAACTTCAATGTAGGACCAAAGGCGTCGTGCAGTTTGTCACCCTCACCACCACTCAAGACAGCACCCCAGGTAATCTTGAGATCACCAATAAAAACAATTCCCTCAGCTCAATTATCCTTGCTGTTGCTTGACTTCAACAATGGCATGGTGGTTTTCAACTCACTCAAGACCTTTTAAAGCTTCTCGGAAATGCATTGAACATCAATTTATCAAACAATGTAGGTGCTTTTGCGCAGAGGTTTACACTCGAGGCTGGGACTGAAAATTAGAACATGGCTGGAGATGTTGGTGCTACGGTTCTCGCGCTGGTTTGGATGGGAAGATATAGATATAGCAAGGCTTCTGGCACTGCGGGCATAATGGATGATGATGATGATAATGATGAGACAATGGCCATGAGGATAAAGGCAGAAGAATGGGTTAAGGGACAATTTGGAGGTGGTGAACATGCTGAGAAGAGGCTGTAAGACCTGGGTCAGAATTGGTCTTAAGGGTAGGTTTGGTATAAGGGATTTATGTTGTAGCATGCTAGGAGCAAGCTGGAGATTGAAGGGAGCTATGTGTCATGCCTTGCCTGATTTTGCTTCCTTACCTATCATATTCCTCCTTACTACCTCCCTATATCTCCCCACTGTATACCCAGAGCTCCCCTTGTCCGCTTTTACCATTATGTAATATGCCACATGGCTGTCACATGTATAGTATTTAGGCTGGGGACTCCCCTCGGAGCTCCCCAGCGTGTTATTGTCAAATCTTATCTGGAAACTCTTCCAACCTGGCTTGGTCCCTGTTAGTACAGTCTACTTGTACTTGCTAACAGGGCCTGACACGTCTCACCTGTCATACATTTCCTCTTTATCTGTTTCCCTCAACTCTGTTTCCTTCACCTCTGTTTCACTCAACTCTGTTTCTCTTCTCTGTCTCACCTCTCTGAACACCTCTCTCAACTTCCTGAGCCTCTCCTACGACTTACAGTCTACGTCGAGGCTCCACACCTCCAACCACCTCCATCCTCACCAACTACACCTCCTTCCCCCACTCCAGGACCTTTGGCTAGGTCCACCCAAGCTCCGCAACCACCACTGGTCAGGCTCCCCACACCAGTAGCGGCACTTATCCCACCTCCCCTTGTACGGCCTAGGCAGCTGTCCTGCTTGCTTAGGCCCAGTCCAGATAGGACGAGAGCAGGCCTTTTGTGCCAGGCCTCACACTATGGGAACCATGACCAAGGACAGGAATGACCTAAGGATAGTTCAGATTGAAAGGGGTGACCCTTGAAGAGGTTCCTAGTAGGTCCTGGGAGGTCCCTAGGACGTTAACGGGTGGGCTAAAGGTAACCAGAAGCTAGGGAGCATCGGATTGTTACGTAATACAAGTTGTAGTAGATAGGAGCATCAACACAGGATTGTTGTAGATCATAGCTGATGTGAGTTCCAAACGTAAGAGCTCCTGATGGAGTGTAAGCCCGGGAAGGAGGTCCCGGAAGGTGGAGGTAGCGGTGGACGTCCTCAAGTGTTGGAGGTAGTAATGGAGAAGCAACACGTAGTTCGATGTTACCTAGGTCAAGGTCCCAGAGCTCTTGGAGCACTTGGGGAGCTTGGGAAGGTTTGGGGGAGGTTGGCCCACCAAAATGGTAGATGTTGGGGAGCTTTAGTATTGATTGAGGAAGCTCAAAGACTCACTTGGGTTGCTTAGATGTGAAGTAAAAGCGTGTATTGGATCGTATAAACAATCGTAGAGACAAGAGACAAGAGTAGAGAAACAGAGGTGGAGAAACAGAGAGTAAAGAGAATTCCATATGGTTAGCAGGTACAAGGGGACAGGGACTGGACCTATGCAAAAGGGTGTGTGTTCAAAATATACCAAGCTGGGGACGTTTATGTTACAAGGGTACTTATATAGGTGGGATGAATAGGTAAGGAGACATTGTAATAAACAAGCATCTAATGGGGATGGCATGAAGCGTGGAGTCCATGAGGCTAAATTGATAGGGGATTGTCTGATAGCATACGCGAGTCTCGATGCTGTTGCTTCAGATGGAGGTTGGCTAGGGTTCTGTGGTTCATGGGAGGTTCATGGGAGGTTATTTAGGAGGAGCGGAGGAACTGATGTGCCCGTGAAGCAGTTCTGGGATGTCTAGGAGGTCAAAGAAAGGGAGCTTTAGGGACAGGGCATGACAGAGGCTAGGAGAATTAAAGGAAGGTGTTTCGAGGATGGTAGGGCTGATTTGAGGATAGTTGCCTGCAGATTTTGCAAGTGGAAATTTCATGATACTTTGCGTAAAGTTGTATAACATATACAGTCATGTACTGTACTAAAAGATGTTCAGGACAAGTACTACATGCATCACTTGAAGCACTTTGCAAGCAAGGAAAATGCGGATATACTTTCTACTTCTAGAAGACCTCTCAAACACTGATACATGAAAAAAGATAGCCAATTCGCTTCATTAGAATAAATCCCTTTTCCCGCCTGCCAAATCCACAATGAGCTTATTTTTGAAATCTGTGAACTCATATCATATTCTATTTACTATACTACAAGATGTTATAAACAAAGCTCAAGTCTGCCTAGGTGCATTAAGAAGTGGAGTAACATCCCACTTTGTTCCTCCATCCGCTGTATATTTGATAGGATCTGTCATTGCAAGATACACATCATTCCAAGCATTGGGATCCGCATAGTTTGATGTGAACTTGGCTATATCACTTGACTGACTACCAATAGTCCGCATCAAGTGGTCAAGCACCTCGAATTTTGTGGCACCAGTGATTTTATTGATGGCTCGGTATAGTGGTTTCTTCATCCCTGCTTCAATGTGGAGAAACCCCAAAAAATCCCCTTGGCAATAACTCTTCTCAACCTTCTCAAGTCCCCAGACTCCCGAGTCCGGATGGTCCACCTGCTTCGGCTTGAATCCAATAGTGGTTCCTGTTGAACGAATATGGACCTAGAGCCAAAGCAGGCGATACGAGTCCGGTCAGGTACACTTCAAGAACATATATTTCCATTTTCTTCTTATCTTGTGTTTCAACTTTAGTCTACCATCAGTCTATTTTGTTTATATTCTGTAGATTCGAGAATTCCCCACCCTCAGCTTTCTACATAACACTGAGGGTGAGTTCATTAAATATTGACTTATTCCCACTCTGACTTTATTTATTCTCATGTAGATAACTCGTTTGATAGGTATTATTATATAAGATAGAGCTTTCTACATAACGCTGAGGATAACTCGTTTGATAGTTCCAAAGGTGATCATCCAGTCCTCTTCAGCTCCAGAAAGTCGAAATTCAGCACCTGTTTTTGTTAAGAGGTAAATGCTCAGTTGGATAGGAAACAACTGTATTAGGTACCTGTTAAGAGGTAAATGCTATATGTACAGTGAGTATGTATTACACGAATAGAATGCCCTTGGGCTCACCTCAGTTGGATAGGAAACAACTGAGGGAGCCCACGTCCGTCGTCTGCGTGTGGCTGATGAACTGTACAGTGTATATGTAATGCTATGAACGGAAGCAAATATACTGTCCCTATGGGACTGTGCGTACGCCGGGCGGAGACAGAGTCTAACACCCCCCCTGCTCCGCATGATACAGTCCCAGTAGTCCAACCATTTTTGTGTGGAGTGTCCCGCCAAGGGCTTTTGTGAACACATCTGCGACATTCGTGCCAGTCCGAATTTCTGAGACCGCCACATCCCCACTCGCGACCTTCTCCCTGATGTAGTGATCCCGGAGGTCGATGTGCTTCACCAGAGCATGTCGCTTTGAGTTCTCCGTCAAGCTTATTGACCCGAAGTTGTCCCCCAGCAGGGTAACTGGGCCTTGCTGGCGCAAGTCCACCTCCGCCAGGAAGGATTGCAGCCAGACGGCTTGCTGGCAAGCCCGGGACAGGGCTATGTACTTTGCCTCAGTGGACGAGAGTGCAGCTGACGGTTGCCGTTTTGAACTCCAGGAAACGGGTGCTCCAGCCATGAAGAAGACGTAGCCGGAGGTGGACCTGCGGGTGTCCACACATCCAGCATGATCTGAGTCGGAGTACCCTTTAGGTTTCAGGCCTAGACCAGGTGTTAGATCAGCTCCCGCTGCAGGCGCCTCGTACGTGATGGCATAATCGCTCAACCACAGAAGGTAACCAGCCAGCCACTCGACACACTCCCAGTGTGTCCGCCCAGGGTGGAGCTGGTATCTGGCCAGGAGGCCGGCTGCAAAAGAGATCTCTGCTCGGGTACACGTCTGGCACCAGAGAACAGAGCTGACAAATTCTCGGTAGGGCTTGCCGGCCATGAACTGTAGTTCATCGGGTGGGAGGGGAGTGGGAGCTTCACAGAGCTTGACATTAGGGGGGAGGGGAGTGTGACGTCGCCGGATGTGTAGGAGCTGGAAATGCTCGAGCATCCGGAGTATGTATGCCTTCTGAGAGATAGTGATGGACTTTGTGGTCGGATTTTGCTCAATATTCATCCCCAGTAATACGTGCGATAACACTTCGCCGGACTCCCAGCGTTTTGCCAGGTCTTCAACCGCCTGTGCACGTCCCCGCTCTGTGGATGATCCTCCACATATGTCGTCCCCGTAGGTACTAGTCAGGGTGTACTCATCGCCGTCCCGTCGGTATCGGATGCATGGGTCTGCTCACAATGTGATGTATCCATCCTCGCGGTAGCCAGCTGCGAGGGTCTCCTGCCAGTCGTGGCTGCCTTGCATCGTGCCATAAATTGATTTTCTGAGTTTGCATACCTTGTCCTCCTCACCCGGCTGGATGAATCCGTTGGGTTGCCGCATGTATACCTTGTGGGAGATAGGTGAGTTGAGGAAAGCCGCCGTGAAATCCACCTGGAAGAGGGAGAGTCGGAGGGTAGCGATGATAGCTAGGACGATGCGGACGGACTCCATGCGAGCTACGGCTCCGTATGTCTTGTCGTAGTCTTGTCCCTGGATCTGGGTGTACCCCTGTGCTACCCATCATGCCTTCCGTTTGAGGACTTCACCTCCTGGTCCCCACTTGATAGTGTATGTCCATCGGCCCCCAGTGAGATTCACATCTGGTGGTAGGTGCACTAGCTCCCAACAACCCTTCTCAACTAGGGTCTTGTACTCAGCCTTCATTGGTGGCAGCCAAAGCTCCGGCGCCTTCATTGCTTGCTTGAACGTGGATGGGACCCAGGTATCGGAAACGGCAGATGCGAAAGCCCAGGGATTGACCGCGATGAGGGCGAGAGTTTGGTCGGTTGGTGGCGAGTCTGTTGCCCATTCTTCTCTGTTGGCCTGTGCAAGGAGCTCACGCTCTTCCGAAGCCTGGTTCTCAATTGCGATGCGTGAGGGAGTGCGTATGCGGGCGCTCCGTCGTGGGTTTGCTGAGGGTGGTTCGGGGGCAGGTCCAGGGATCCGCATGCTGTTGGTCTGTGGGTCCATCAGTGGGTGCCTCCGGTTCTGGGTTGCCTGCAGGCAGTGTTTCTTCTAATTCGCCGTCGTCGTCGTTGTCAGGTGTACTTTCCTTGGACCGATGTGCTTCCCCTTCTTCGAATCAGACATCTCTTGACTCCATGAAGGTGCGGCTGGGTGGGTGCCACAATCGGTAGCCCCTCCGACCCATATACCCTATCAGCTTGCACTCGACAGCTTGACGTGCGAATTTCCCTTCTCTCCTGCTCTCTGGGAGTGTGGCCCATGCCCTGCATCCAAATGGTCGAAGATGAGACATGTCCTAGCGTTTACATGACCAGTACTCGATTGGGACACGGTCTGGGAACCGTGCAGTTGGCACAAAGTTGTCGACGTAGGTAAATGTTGCGGCCGCCTCTGCCCAGAATGAACGGGGGAGACCTGACTCTTCGAGGAAGGTGCGTACTCCCTCAATTACTGTCCGATTACCTCTCTCAGCCATTCTGTTCGCAGAAGATGAGTATGGCGTTATTTTTTCGATGGTGATTCCACGATCTGCGCAGTACGCCTCCATTAGTCCATTATCGAATTCGCCGCCGCCATCGATATGGACAGTCTTTAGTTTCTTCCCCGTCTGGTTTTCGGCCATGGTTCAGTAGCGGTGGAACTCCTTCAGGGACGTCTCCTTCCGTTTGTCTTTGAGGAATGCCGGGACTCGGACTGACGACGCCCCATCGGAGAAGAGCATCATATATCGTGCCCCCCCTATGCTCTGGGTTGTAGCCGGTCCCCAAAGATCTATATGGACCCTTTCGAGTACTTCTGTCTCGTGGGTAAGTTTTTCGTCAAACGGTCTCCGCGTTGCCTTCCCGTACAGGCAGTCAATGCACATTCCGGCTAACCTTTTCGATTTGATTTGTAGGCCGTCAACAAGTCCCCTGCTCTCCATCCGGAGGATTCTCGGTACCGATACGTGTCCCAGACGGCGGTGCCAGGTGTGTACATCTGCTGGTTTCTCATGGGACCTTGCCGAGCTTGCTAATGTCCGGCCTAGGATCTCAACTTCATACATTTTTGTCTGTCCTTTCCCCACCATCACGACAATCCCTTCTGGCGTCTTAACGCTCAGTACTCCGTCGCCCCACTCACCTCGGGATGTCCTCTGGTCGAGAGTCGATAGCGAGATCAGGTTGTGCCCAAAGTCTGGCGTATGTTTCACGTTGGTGAGGCGTATCCTCCGTATTGTTTCCCCGACTCTTGTCGTGAACTCAACAGTCCCCGTTCCTTCGATTGTAAACTTTCCGGTGTCGCCAGATAGTGCACTGGTCCCGCTCTGTCCCTGCACTTTGTGGTAATCCACGAAATCTGACTTGTTTACCCAGCAGTGTTCGGTGGCGCCGGAGTCAATGAAAGTTTGGACATGGGGAATTCTCGTGGTGGTGTATAGAAGTGTATTGCTTCGGTGTACCTCGCACCGTGGTGGAGTCACTACTACGTTATGCCTAAGTACGTCCGTAACCCCGTTCACCTCCTTCAGCCCCTGATGCTCCCACCCTTTCAGAAAGAAATGATCATTGCTATCGGGAGGTCTGTCAGTCAAGGATGCGGTTTGGTGGGGAGTACTGATGGAAGTACTGGAGGGTATGCTCACGTTGGCCTGGGTCGTGTTGGCTGACAGAACATACGTTTCCAGAGGTGGTGCTGCGATCGTAGTATTAATGGCGGCCGCTACTGCGTTCCCGGGCATGTTCTGGCTTCGGTTCGGTTCATTGCTCTTGTTAAACCTCCATCCATTGGGACCTTTGCCTTCCGCGCCCCCTCCCTTCGCCCAGCACTTTTGGATTGTGTGGCCAACTTTCTTGCAGTTGGGGTTGGTGCACGTCGGTCTGTTCCTTTCTGGGGTCTGCGCGCTTGCTACGTGCATTGCGAGCAGTGCCTTGACCTTCTTCTCCTCTCGCTCCTCTTCTGTTCGCCTCTTTTCCCTCTGCAGCCAGATCCCTTGGAGGTGTATGAAAGCCTCACTGCTTGTCTTACCGGGGAGGTGCCAGATGTCGGCGTCCCAGTCTCTGGGCAATGATGCGAGAACGATTACGCGGAACTGTCCGTCAGTTATCACGGCGCCGGCGTTGGTTGCCTTCCTAAGCAGGTTTCGCATGGTCCTCTTGTGTTCCTCCATTGTCTCTTCAGGGTAGCTGTATCGATGAGCTCTGAGGTTGCTATCGTGGAATAGTAGGAGCTCTTCCGATTTTTGTTCGAATTGTTTGACTAGTTCACCCCAGATTTCCGACGCTACTTCGGTGTAGTCTACTCCTAGTCCAGTTGGATCAACGATGTTCGATACAATGGTGCTTGCTACATAGCGATCGCGTGCGTACCATTCCTCGGGAGATGGGGTTTGGCTGTATGGTGGGGTTGTCGCTGTAGGTGTGGTAGTCATGCCCTCTGGCGAGGTGACGGTGACTGCAGGCTTAGTGCTGCTAGGCTTCGCTATGGTTCCGTGTAGGTACCCCTGCAACCCTTTTGATTCTACAGCGAGGCTAACTTCCCGCTTGTAGGGCCACCAGTTATCCTCCCCTTCGAGGGCTATGCCTGTGGGGAATCGTTGGACGTTCAGCATGTTGGATGACGACGACATCGTGGGGCTGGTCGGTTCAATTGTTGCAGGTGTGTGGTTTTTTTTCACTCCTCTACAGAACGAGTCTCATAATCTGTTAAGAGGTAAATGCTCAGTTGGATAGGAAACAACTGTATTAGGTACCTGTTAAGAGGTAAATGCTATATGTACAGTGAGTATGTATTACACGAATAGAATGCCCTTGGGCTCACCTCAGTTGGATAGGAAACAACTGAGGGAGCCCACGTCCGTCGTCTGCGTGTGGCTGATGAACTGTACAGTGTATATGTAATGCTATGAACGGAAGCAAATATACTGTCCCTATGGGACTGTGCGTACGCCGGGCGGAGACAGAGTCTAACAGTTTTTGCCTTGGCCTTTTTCCCGTTTTTGGAACGGTGGAGGCAGACATTATATATGACTGGGCTGAGAGCTTAAATTTCAAGAAATCTTATTTTAGTCACTGCCAAAAGATGAAGAAGAGACATAGGACGTACGGTCACGTTGCTCCAGCTGCGCTATTGAGGTAGCGTGTCCAGTCAGAGGTGCAGCTATGACTGCAAGTGCAGTAGACAAGAAGAGGAGGAACACAGAAAATGAACGTATCACAAATTGAAATGGAATAGTCATATTGACAGCAAATGTATTAAACTGGGCCAACCGAAGGGTGAAGTGGAAACATGTGTCAAGTTCAGGTGATTCCAACTATAACAGACTACGCAGCAGGGACTTTGTAGAATGTAAATTCAGGTGGTGGAAACACGGCGTCGTTGTGAATAGTTCAATGAGCGAATATTAATCTTGGTGTAGGAAAGTGCGATAACTACAGGGACAGATAATAAAATCTTGTGAGCAAAACAAGGGTCAAACGGAGCGGAATCTTCAACAAAAAACGTACCGGACCGAACTCGGAATCATAAGGATAATGGACTTCTGTTTTATAGGGTTTTCAGTTCTATATTCCAATACAAAAATCCCCAACGGACAGCGTTGGACGCGCCAACGGATCTTTTACTTATATTGCTGTAACCAAGTGAGCCTATAAGGCCTGATATTGGCTGTGAAAACCAGTGAAAACCACCTTGTTAATGTTATTGCATGAGTTGTGGAGAGAGAGGGAGAGAGCGAGGTGACATTGTTTAAGGGTGGAGACTGGTGGAGATGGGTGGCGTACACAGATGAATCGGTGTTAGAACTGGCATTGGTTGGAGCAGGTACCGTGAGATACCTGTCCGTGCTGAACACTCTGCCAGAGATGCCGTGGAGACAAAGTGAAGCTTCTAAACATGTCAGTTGTTGCGAAGGCGAGTCACCGAATGACAACATCCTTGAGGGTGTTCCAACTTCTTCTCCCCAATGGCGGTATAGATGGGGAGGAATGAATAGGTAACATTTGCAAGCACATTCGGTCATGGCTCCTTTCCATCTCCGTCTGGTCCTTGCATCCCGTAGCCACTTATTCCTCCAGGCTTGATTTGGATCTTGACTCGGTGCGGCGTGGTGTAGAGGAGGGGGGATGATTGGCTCGTGGAGCTTGAGATCGCCGAGTTGAACTGCAAGAGTAAGCAGCACAAGAACGAAAGAATCCACAACTGGGGGAAATCCTAGATGCGAAAGATATATAGGAGATGGCCAAGCTGTCGGCGATGGTGAAAGTAAGCTCTTTCTCGGTCCTATCACTCTCGCATGCGGATGACTCGATATCAGCGTTGTGTGGAAGGCGCACATTTTCCGTTCAGGGCCGATATGCTGACCCGGCTCCTGGCCTATACGCATCTCTACGCAAACTCGCGAAAATACTCTCGATAAGAAGCAACGTACTCGTGGCGATGTATTATGTTCAAAAATTGATAGCTCACTCCGTCTCTATTTCTCAAGTCGATTTGCCAATATCACAGAAGTAAGTCTGTGTTTCAAGCTCTTTTCTAGCGGTGCATCATTCGAATTAGACACTTTGATTTCAACGTATAGCGCTAGTAGAAGAATTGTACGAAGTTTTATCCAATCTTTCACCAATAAACTTGCGCGGCATAGTAACACGGCTAATATGCGCCAGGAATTGTCCAATCTGTGTTATGTGGAAGCACTTAAACGCGGAGTATGGAATGATCAATGGGCTGCCACAGGGAGAAAACACCAACTGGTTCACGAAGAATGTTATTTCAAGGAGGACAAGCGTACCCGAAGACTGATTAGGCGAAGTTGGTACTATCATACCACACAGCATCAAATTTAGGCGATGATAGACGGTAGGCTGGTATCCAGCTGGTTGAACCTTTACCATCTTCGGATCGGTGGATGGTCAGAACAAAAAAATACAGCTTAGTATGTTGACGTCGCTATCTATGTGTCTATCTATATCGACCTACCTGCTGAACATCATCATCAGGTAACGATACAAAAGAGTTCCTTGGGTCTACAGCCAGCAAAAATTTGTCAACATCCGCCATAAACGCATTCCAGTCTTCTTCTTCCGGGACAGCGGCGCCGAAGGAGGGTACATTCACCTGCGAGTACTCTGTCAAGTATCCAGAAGCGACGTCCATTTGGTGAGGCACGGCGGCTGTTGCGATTCCATTCCCAATGTCAATAAATCATCCTCATTTTGACGAATTTAACCACGACGTACCGCCTGCAAAGTAGTCTAAAAAATCGGAGGTATAAGTTTGCTCCGCGGTTGTGATTTTTTGGGAGCCTATTGTGGTAGGTGGATGAATACTTGGGTGATAAAGAGGACTTTCCAGGATGGCTCCGAGATTGGAAGAGACTGAAAGGCCTGAGCTGGTCGTAGGACTGTTGATATCGATTGGCGCTTGCAACATATCATCGGGGGTAGACGCAGAGTCGACCGACATGGAACCAGAAGCCGTAGGGCTTGCCTGAATAGCACTTTGCTCCGCGAAGTAAAGCTCGACCATGTATATCATAGAACTCAATGCATCACTTCCAGCCTTGCATCAATGCCGAATGAGAGCAAGCTACACAATCTATGACTTACTTGATCATTCCTGCTATAGGATATCTATTATTCAACAACCCACTGTGAGCATCTACTAGACATTGCAGCATAATTGGCATACTCACTTCTTCTCATAATTGGCAGTGGCCTTCAGGGAGTGGCGTACATCATCCATGTCTTTGCTTGTATCTTGTGGAACGACAGAATATTGATTTCTCCATATGTTCATCAAGAGCACAATCGCCGCGACGTGGACGGGGGCCTGATGTGTCTTTGTTCAGGAACATGAGGGGATAGTTGATGGGAAGTGCTTACTGTAAAATTGGGAAGAACTTCGAAATTGAGCCTTTCAATGACTTCCAGAACTCTGATCACGCTCCGGCTTGCATGGGTACATATTGCGAGCGAGGGGAACTTCAGCATCGAGGGCTCATTGGATCGCGGAATGAATTGTTTGTGAATCTGTTGAGCGTTTAAAAGAATTTTCGCACTCGATCCTTACCAAACGACTCCCACTCACCTGAATTTGCGTCCAATAATAAAAACAATAAAGTATACAGGATTGACGGTGGAATAGCCCATCCTCTCTATTAGGATCCCATTTCACTGTGATTTGTTCAAGATTAGTAGCTAAACGTTGTGGCATGAGAAGTAGACTGACAATGGTCTGGTATACAAGACATCCATTGATTCAAGGCCGAGTTGAGCTCTGTTACGACTTTATAGTCCCAATTAGGACCAAAAGCAATGACCTTCTTCCCGATATGCAGCTTCCTTGCTGAAAACTATGAAATAGTTGACATTAAACACAGTGGGAACAAACAGAACAGTAGAGCCTACTAGCATGCGATGCGCCAAACCCGCGATCTCGAGTAGTTTTGCATAACAAACAAAGAATGATGAGGCGGAAGGAGTATCTGGAGGTTGAATGAAGGCTCGAGCTGGATCATCATTTTCCCAGTATTCATCGTCACAATCAATCGGTAGTTCTAAGTCAAAGCTGGAAAGTATTAACAATTAGATAAATTTAGAAAACTGACCTTATCTCATGAAACTTACTCATCATCTGTTGTTGCCCGAGGTCGACCAAAATCTATACTCACCAACACATCAAGTCCGAGAAGTACCCAGAATGTACGTCTCCAGAGTTCGTTTTGAACAGTCATTGGTTGCCCTTTTTGTTTTCGGTGTACTCCCATTTCTTGTGCAAAACGTATGCCCAGACCTACGACTTCCCATGTGGAATGGAACATGGACGTACCCTTAAGGTATATTGCGGAGAGCTATGATCGGAAAGTATAAGCCATTTGATTCAAAAGCTCCAAACACATACACAGCAATGTTGCAACTTATACAACGTAGGCAGTTCGACATCAATTGCCTCTACCTGAGAGACTTGCTGGTACCAAGGCCAGCCCAGAGAATTCTCAGAGGTTATATTTTCAGGATAGTTTCTCGGATCTTGAGAGAATCGAGACCCAATTGCGCAGACACATAAGACCACCCTCCCAAAGTCATGATCTCGAATGTGTAAATGATCCGATACTGCTCTAATGAACGTTGGGCGATGCAAGATGGGGAAGAATGGATGGACATGTATGAAGTACAGATCAATGAGAGCCCAAAGTAAATCATGTGCTGGAAATCTGAGAGGGTCCTGTTGATCATGTCTCAAGATTTGACGTTGCCACTATGGGTTACCATTGAGCTATAGTTCAAAGGAAAAAAAAGGCAAAAAATTCACAGGATATACAGTCCAGAACTCTGGCCTCCTGTTCACAATCGGTATTGGCTGATCTCCCATTACTTCCTTCTTCATGTCCACTGCCATCCTCATTAGTACCAGGTTACTTGATTTACCGAAATGTCGCCGTGGGGACTCAATTTTGTCATTGAGTGAGAAGCTTTGCACGGATTTGGCAAGACCATCATTCATAGGCCCATCTTCGGATGAGTCGGATTCTTCAGAGTCACTCTGGAACCAAGTTGGGGGATCGGAAGCAGTAATCTCTTGGATGGTGTGTCTCCATCGAGACATTTGCCTCTCTAATCCCCGAATACATTGGGATAGATCCACGAGCATTTTGCGGATGAGGCCAGGATTATCCGGAATTGGATAGGTTTTTGGTTCAGCCAATACAGCTGTGATTAATGCTTGCACGGATTCAGAGGGATGTTTCCGAATGGTTCTGAACATCGGGTTGGTAAACGGAAGACTGCTAGTTACCACGCAAATTTGCAGCTCACCCAGCTCTGGGTCCACGTTTCTTCAAAGACCGTGAGCATTTGGAGAGCATTCAGAGCGGTGAAGAAATACCTTTTGCTCGACATTGTGAGTGCATTCAACCTCTGCATTCTGGCAATTATTGCATGTTTTACCATTTCTTGTTGTACTGTCACCTAGTTGGTTATGCGCATCAGCGAGAACTTGGTAAAACCTTTCATGGACACTTACAGCGAACTTTGCAGAAGAGGATGACACGGGACTGGTGAGGCATTCAATCCTGAACATCGTCAGTCGCCACTTACCTTTCTTCAGAAAACTGGTGCATGAGTTATGAATGTCAGAGGGAAATAATAAAAAAGATACACTTTTTTCTTGCAGTAATCGCAGGCACCTTGAGCACGGCGCTTTATGTCGCTACCAGGGTACGGATACATCGATATGGATAAAGATGAGGGATTGGATGAGTGCATTAAATACAGTAAACCATTTCCGTTCGGCGCTCAATGATTGTGAGTAAATGATTGTTTCCATATGTTCACGTTTTATCTTCGAGTATCCTGTCTCCTCAACTACAATAGTATATCATCTATTTCTGATCCTTCAGCAATACAGCCAACGAGAAGACTACTCCGCGTAATTTCCGTTTTCTGCCCAGGCGCCAGTTACAGGAAAGTAAGCATATCTGCTGTTCCAAAAAAGGAGGATGATTGTTCGATTTCGGAACAACGTGGGGTTCATTCGAGAGTTTGACACAGGTAGGTAGGTAGGTTCACACACCTTCCCTTCTTCGTATATTTCTCGTTTAGCAGTCTAATCCACCACCCATGATGTTGCCAGCTTACTAAATTCTTTGGGGATAGGCGTGACTTTGCATTTGATAGAAAGGTCATGACCATTAGAATTGACAGAGTGAACGAATGAAGTGATTGACAGGCTTTGAACAAGATTCTGACTTCTTTATCATACACATATACAGCCATGGAATTATCCTTCAAAAAATCTCAGAAAGAAGTGTCTTTGCAAGACGCATGTGGGGCGATGTGGAAATGCGTCTCCGTGAACGGATTGAAGTTCATTCGTTTGAGGCTTATAAACAGTGGGAATTGATGGAATGCGATATTTGCGGGTGAGCTAGAAGGGTGGTGGTGCGGCTGGCGGACGCTGAAATTGAGTCGGTTTGTTTTTGGATATATATTTGTGGAATTGGGAAGGAGATAAAGCATGTAGCCGTAGTTGCTACAACTGGTAGTGGCGATAGTGATGGTGATAGTACGTGTGATCAATTTGACGGCGTGTGGGAGGAGATCTAGACTCAATCGATGAGTTGTAATAGTAAGACTGAAATCGAGCTTGGAAAGAACGTACCAGAGTGACAGGACAGAAATCTACAGAAATAGCAACGGGCTTGGGTAAGGCTAACAGGTCTAGAAGACGAAGTCCCCAGGTTTCCCAGCCCACTACGTGATACTCAATCCTTGCTCAACCACCCGTCATCAAGATTATCTGTAACGGCGATAATGTCGCCAGCCTAAGAACTGGATTCTTTGGAGAATGTGGCAGTGTAGTCATACATCGCTTCGACTGGATAGAAATGCATTGATCATTTGAATGAACGGAATTAGTGGTGTGGAAGGCTTAGATTCGGCTCATGTTGTCGATGCGGAGACAATGATGGCGCCGACGCGACTATGTCGGTGGAGATGAAACAGGATCCGGCATTGGTTTTCGAGAAGGGGAAATTTGATCTCCTATTCGCACCAGAAATGACCCTCTTCTATTGCTGTCGAGAAGATCCTGTAAACGAGTCGTTGTCGTCGGTTGTAGGTAGAAAAGGAAGGGTCCCTCCCCTGCTTGCAGTAGACATGTACCCTTGCTGCTGTTGAAAGGTATAGGTGTGACAGAGGACTTGGGGTTCAAGAGGTGGCTGCGGATATGAAAGACGGGGCAGAAGAACTTGCTATTAACGGTCTTGTGTGAATGTGGCTGGAGAGGTGATATCCACGATTGACGCAGGGAACACGTCGAACTCTGGCGGATTCTGGATAAGATTTTCGGTACCGTATTTCGCAGTCTGTTCCGAATTTGTTGAGAAATGTACGACTATACGAAGGATTTAGCACATAGAACGATGAACGAAATGAAATTTTGCTCACCTCATCGTCTGCTACAAAGACCATTGATAACGAATGCGTGTACACCTATGAATTATCCTTCACGTCCTCTTCTAAATCCTGACATTTATCACGAAGTCCGCGTGAGTTGAAGGCGTGGTGTCTGAGCGAGCTTGGTGGTTTCGATTTGGAGTGTTCGGTGAAGGAATTAGTGGTTTACTGATACTCATAACAGCGACCCGTGAGATGCATGATGAGAACCTCACTGTTCGGGGCTTCGTGTTGCTCCGCCCACTCGCTCCCTTCGCCCGTGCACATTGTGCAGTCTGAGTGAGAAACGAGAATTGTTTACATAAGCGCTCAGCCTCAGATGTCGAGTTAATCTTCGCTTGTCGTATCTCATCACACCCACCAACTCCCCCATCCTCAATAACCGCTCTCTCCTTCCGAAACCCCTTGAAGCCCCTCATTGTTGTCAAATCTCCACTTATTGGTGGATGTCAGCGTCGCCGTTATAAAAATGACAAAAGGCAATGAGTTTGGTAGAGGGTGATTTTGCCAAGCGGGCGTGTGATGGAGATATCCTTATTATAAGGATGGTTCAATGCTGAGCGATGAGGTACTCGTATTAAAGCATCTATTCATCGCTCCTGTCCTTCTCGTTTCTGTTTCCGTACACCTGCTTCGCTCATTATCTGTTCCGTTGAGGTTGAACAAGAGTATCGTATCAAAGTGGCGTTCGAGTAAGGATCTCAAGCTACTATATGCGGAATTTAGAAAACATGCTTCCCGTCGCCCAAAATCCTGTTATCTTTGAGTTCTCCATGCATTTGTGGCATAAAAATATGTAGCGCTGTGTGTTGTGCCTCGATGAGATCTACTCTACGATCGCCTCAGACTTGTTAAGTTCCCGATCATCCTGGCTCTCTCCCTCCTCGACTCTCCCACTTCGCTGAAGCCTTCTGGAGCTTTTTCCCTGTGTCTTAAATCTCTCCTCGCTTACCAAAATTATACCATCTAAACAATTTGTTTCCCTACCTTTCATTCATTCTTGTTGCTACTATGAGCCATTTCGATATCTGTTCAAACTGGTAGTCATAGGCCCAGCCCGGTGGCTCCCAGCGGTCGGTGTATAAAGGAAGGGGCCGATTCGAAACTTTGACCTAAACAACACCCAAGGTTGACGAGCAGGCTTGGTATGTCGATTCGCTTGCGTCTCTGCTTTAGTTTTCTGAGTTTCACGTTGATTCTACAGTCAATCAAAGTCATTTCGCGTTCAGAACAGATTTCCTGGTCAACTCCATATACTTTGGTGGTATGATAATAGCTATGCTATAGACTGTGCTCTCCTTGAATATTCCATTAGGATCCATCTTGCTTAGTGTCCTCTCAAAAATTTCTTCGACGTCATCATGTTACCTTTTTCACGTCCAATTTATCCTGTTCTTTTCCTTGTTGTTCTCCTTGCGGGAGCTATAGCTTTCCCATTGGTTCCAAGGACAGGACGATCGAGACAACCGCGTACGTTCTATGATTCTATTCGTACGTCCTTTCACCGTAATTAATATAGTGCGTTACATCCAGGGATACCTGTAGTCCGTTTCGGTTTCGTACGCTATTACCATAGCCCTGTGACCAATCAATGGACCATATTGCACACCCAAGAAGGACGATATGCTCCCTTTGAGCTGCAGCCATGGAGTATGCAACATGTAGAAAACGAACGCTGGTACTTGAACGTCCATGGCCAAGGGTTCACCACTGAAAAACAAGGTGATCAATGGGCGCGTACTTTACGCACCTTCGAGGTCACCGATGGAATTACGTTGTTCGAAGTAGGTGTGGAAGCGGCGAACTACGACACTGTAATCCACCAATTGATGCTTATGGTAGACACCATCGATGTTAATCAACCGCCAGTGCTCTTTATCAAAGACCTGACCGTTCTATACGGGCATCATTTGAACTCTACTGATATGTTCGATGCGTACTGGCCGTATATGGAGAGGATGATTGTTAAGAGGGGCACTGGGTCACTGAGTGTCCTACCTTACCAGGATCCAGAGGTGCAGATATACGAGGAACTTTTACAAAATCAAACTAGTAGGTTTCATGTGATACCTTGATGCTAAAGTCCCCATGGCAGCAAATACCCCAAGTAGATATGGATGATTTTGTGTTGTGTACTTGAACGTGAACGTGACTTGAGGTTTCGGATAAAGGAAAATACACAAGGAATACACAGAGGGAATATGGAAACACATAACGCGCATTCACAGTGACACTGAGAAGACAGCCCAAAATTAAGGAGGAGTTGATAATCAACAGAGTCAGAATACAAGAATACAAGACAGAAGAGGACCCCTGGCTTGTTGATTGATCGGTGTTGATTTTTCCGGTCCCTACTCGCTCCAGTACATACATTGTTGGTCGGAGCGATTCTGTTCGAAGGATACACTCACGTCGGGGCAGGCAGTACGATCGCAAACGCGCTTAATACAGCGAAATATGTCACCGAAGTTTGATTTCATTTCGGGTGATGATTTAAACGATTCAAAGGAGATCCTGGGAGCTGGATTTCATTTTGACAGAGCGCGAGAAACACCAGCGACGAATATAGCTATGAACAAGATATCAGCCACATTTAGCTTAAGCGACAAATAACCTGGAGTTGACGCTTTGAAGAGAAGCCTAGCAAAACCATGGAACAAAGAACCACCGCAAAGATAACAGCAAGCACTGGTACGTGGTTCCTAGCACTGGATTGTAGCAGATTTTCAGTGTCGGAGCGAGACTTTGGTACAGCCTCGAGAGGGAGTGAGGAGGAATAGAAAGTGCCATAGGAATCGAAGGTCGGTTGAATAACATTTGTCCGTGAGTCTGTAACCTATGTATTCCCGAGAATGTTGATGAGGAAGAGACCGGGTCAACGGAAAAAGATATAGAGAATCGCGTGAATCCTGTTAAATTGTTCATGTTGACGAAGGTTAGAGACGCGTTCGAGAGACCGGGTGAACGGAAGATTTGGGGAGCAGCACTGCCTTTGGCGCCAAATATGGGTTTTCAGCGGCAGTTCTAAACACGCATCAAAACAAATCAGAGAAATCAAACGGCCATCGCCTTCCAGCATCGCCCAACTATCTTCAGCCAGTGTAATTTGGCAGCGACTTGGAATATACTTTCTTTACATCAAGCATTCGCCAGTGCTCTCTCTGTGCTCGTTCACTTTCACTTCATCGTCTCGCGCCGGTTATAATCCCCAGGGAAGGATCCAACTAACGTATAAGCCTTAAAGCTTAAGGAAGGACAAATTACCTCCATATCCACAATGTCACTTCAGCCACAACCATCGCACACTTCCCTTTCCTCAGTGACCTCTCTATCCAGATATGCCTCAGCAAAATCTCCCTCTATCGATCCGTACAACGGTAATCCCTCACGAGATTTTTGTAATTCGTTCTGGGGCGGGGACGGAGATGCCGGCGTTAATGTGCTCTTTGCCAGGATGCGCGGAGGAGTGAGGACAATAGAGGGATTGAAAGGATTTTGGAAGGAGAGAGCTGCGATTGAGGAGGACTACGCAAAGAGGATGGGCGAGTTGGCGGGGGTTGATCTTGGGAGAGACGAAATTGGGTGGGTTACGTCGCTTATCTAGGTCTATTACCGTTGAATAACCCGGTATGCAGTGAACTTCGCAACTCGCTTACAACTCTCCAACTCGAAACCACCAAGCTTGCACAGACACACCTCCAACTCGCTAATCAAATTCGCAGTGAGATGGAAGACCCCGCTGCGGCGATGCTTAATAAACTCTCCGACCATAAACGGCTCGTAATGAGTGCAGTGGAGAAGAGACATAAAGCAAAACTACAAGCAGAGGTTTACGTCGCCAAAGCGAGAGAGAAGTATTACGGGGATTGTGTGAGAATCGGGGTCTGTCGACAACAATTACAGCAACTTCAAGAAAATCCAAACTCTGGTGACCTAGATAAGGTTCGCTCAAAACTCAAGCGTTTAGAACAGACCGTAGCTGCGAACGAGAAGGATTACGCGGCGTTTACAAAGTCTTTAGCTGACTCGCTTCCTGCTTGGGAATCAGAATGGCGGAGCTTTTGTGATGGATGTCAGGATTTAGAGGAGGAACGGTTAGATTTTATGAAGGATAACCTATGGGCGTACGCGAATTCCGTTTCGACGGTCTGTGTAGCGGACGATGAGGTGAGCCCAACTTATTTATTCAGTGTTCTTCGCGCTAAATGTCTTACATAGTCTTGTGAAGCCATTCGTACAGTTCTCGACCAATTTGAAACAGACCGCGATATCCTCGCGTTTGTACAGGAATACGGTACAGGAAGCTCAATACCTAACCCGCCAGAATTCGTACCATTCCCCGCGTCGACTATGGATCCATCCTCTAATCCTACTTCCTCACAACTCTCTACGACGATATCTACCCACCCAGCCACGTTCAGCCGAAAATCACGAAAAAGCGGTGTTCCTCCAGCAGCACCCCCATATGTGGCTGCTCAGACTGGCTCTTCTGCCAACCCTTCCTCTCATCCAGCGTCTCACTCAAGTCCTTCCGCATCTTCTATAACTACGGCTCCAACGACAGCACCTCCTGTACCTCCACCTAATGTACCTCCACCATCTATACCTGCTCCAACCATGCCTACCAGTTCAATTCAACAGCGGGGAGGAGGAGCAACACCATCAAGTACATCATCACCCGCCCGAGTTTCGCCGGGTTCTCAACAACCGGCTACGACAAATATGAATAATGCTGTCTCGTCCCCACCAAGGAACACTTCGGCATCTCCACAGCAACAGAGAGATCAACGCGATCAACGCGAGCCTAATCATCAGCAGAGGGACCAGCGAAACGGATATAGTAATCTTAATCCCAACGGACACGGCAACGCAGCTCGTGAACGCGGTGATCAACAGTCTGATTCTCTCTCATCCCGACAACAACAAACGATTCAACCGACAGCGTCGACCCCGGCTACTCTCGAACAACGTCGACTGACGCTCCCGCCACAGCCTACCGATAACGAAGTCGCAGCGCCGATCCCGCCGGTGCCAACGATGGGTACAGGCGGAAGTACAGGAGGAGGGGCCGGAGGAGAGAGGAATAAGATTTTGTTTTATGGTGAGTTTCGTGGTCTATTTCTATCTAACGTCTGTCCTTCCCTCTCCTCCCTTCTTTATCTTCCTTTGCATTCTCTCATCTCCTTCAATTCTTTTCACTCCCAACGCGTTTCGTTATCAAATTCCATGGCGATCCGAATGAAATCATCCTTGCTATTTCTTTCCATTTCTGTTCAATCATTATTATTCATTCATTCCTTTTATATTTGTTTGAGTTATGCTGACTTGTACGTGTTCTTGTCCTACCCAGTGGAAGCAATGTACGACTACACCGCGACAATTCCTGAAGAATTCAATTTCCAAGCCGGCGACATCATCGCCGTTACGGATATTCCTGACGACGGGTGGTGGAGCGGGGAACTGCTTGATGAGGAGAGGAGAGAGGAGGGAAGGTGTGTGTTTCCGAGTAATTTTGTTAGGTTGTTTTAGGGGTTATTATCTGTGTCCATCCATTTTTGTTGCCTATTTATATATTCTGATACATCATTCTTATCGCTTTCTGTTCCCTCGCAAACTCTTGACCTTATGTCCTAATTACCTGTGCAGTCTCTGTGTTGTGCTCTCTTTCAAATCTTTTGAATTTATCTACCTCGATATTGAGTTTTGTGTGAATGAGGTGCAAATTTACTGGTGATTCCCTTGGGCAGTAGACAAAGACCGCCGGGCGAGAAAAACTACTCGCAGCCTACTTGCACGGCGGATGACAATATACGTTATTTTCTGTGTGAATACAACGGGCGTCGGGAGATCCACCTAATGGGACGGTGGAAAGGAAGAATTACCGCGTGGGCGCTTATGTAACTACTTTCTACGCCTTCGATGAGCTCCAGTTGTCTTTTACGTTCTTTAACTTACACCTTTTCCCACTCAAATACCAAATACAAGGCATTGAACCAGGCGACGAACCGTTGATAACATCGGAACTATCAAAAGCTTAGGCATCGATAGCGACTAGTCCACGGACACGAATGAGAAGTTGGATGGAGGATATTTTCTTTCAGTGTGTTCATTCTGGTTCGCCATGGTCTTGTCTTACCTTTGTCTTGTTCACTTTCTCCTTGAACCATTCAGCCCCAGCACTCAGCAGTACAATCTCTCATGACCGTACGCAGGCTTCAGGTTCAGATGAATCTCTTTTATATCTCAAACTGTCTTAACTGTGACCGCCTTCATCACTTTCAGAGCTACTCTACATCTTCGGTCCCAAATGCACCGAAGAAGATTCGCTCGGTACAGTCCAGATTATTCTGGCCTACCTGAGCTTGCTTGGATGCGAATTCAATATCACCTTTGAAGAGGAATTTCACATCAAGTTCGTCTATTTCCCCTCAGTATCTCTTCATCATACTTACTTGCTGCTTTTTTCATTCTAGCGTTATCACCACCACTGCCACCATCACAACTACCACCGTTATAACCATCTGAGGTGTTCAAGTTGGAAGAAGCAATCATGTGTCATACTTGAGTATTTGTAACTATATCTCTGAGCAAAAGTATAATCATTGTTGTTGATCAAGCGTGTGCAATGGAACTTATTTGTATCCAAGTCGAACTAGCGAGCAACATTTGAATGGCAACTGTGAGTGAAGACAACAGATAATTTGAAGGATTTGTACAGAAGTAGAGGTGAATTTTCTTTTGATTGTAGCTCAGGTTATACTAGATGGATTTTCCTAATGATACACCACCATTCGTTCGCGCAATATACATCAGCCGATGCCAATACTCGTCTCACAAATCAAATTCCTGATTTGCGAAGAAACTGCCAAGGGTTTAGCGTGGAGAACTACAAAAAATGTTGCAGTGAAGGAGTCCGCTTTCGTTATCAAGGAAAATTCAATTTAATCTCAACTCGATGATGCGGAGCTGTTTATACACTTCTTTCAACCCGACAAGCTAAAAATGAGATGATTCCCTCCTCTCTTTCTGTTGATCCTCCATACTACCCCCTTTTCATCCTGGATGCTTCAGCCTAAACACCACCCTGAGTCCCAGGTATTATTCTCTTAGGATACCCGGAATTTCGGAAAGCTGATTTCGAGTCAGGACGGGAACAGGTACAGCAATATGGTCACAGGCGCCTCATACGCTAAACTAGCCATATATAATCAACCATGTGAACCTATGTGAACGCCGCATAATTATGGATTACTATCTGAATTCCTAAGGGTATGATAAGCAATGCATTCCAAGATTGGTCCGAAATAAGATCGAGCGTTTTATTTTATATAAGGCAACTAACTGGTCTTGAAACTCTCAAAAAATTCCCCGTGAGTTTGTTGATAGATCATGTTAACAGATGAACAATTCCGTAGTCCCTCTGTCGTTGGAAGCACACATCTTCCTTTCTCTCACCACGCTCGACCGCCCCCCCGCTCTCGTACGACCCCACCTCAGCTTCCGCAGAAACTTGCTGCCTGGCGGCGAGACTTTCTGTTGCCCACCATTCGATCTCAGCTCCATCCTTACAAGATACAGTCTGAGACACTACGAGACCAAGATTATTCCAGGATCAGAGAGGAGTTCAATGAAAGGCGTCAAGACATAGAACGAATCATCGGTACCCTGGTCGACTGTAATATCAAGAGGGAGACAGAGAAATTCATACATTATCCGGGTTTTCCCAAAAATTGGATTCCTCCTGACGAAATTGATGTGGCTTTTGGTGAGCACGATATAATTGGTTTTAATGAAAAATATCAGAACAAGATGCTTGCTTAGACCCGCCTCAGTGGTGTTATGATAGCAACAACTTGTATGAGAATAAAAATGGTAAGCCTACAACTGAACACAAATCTGTTGAACAAGTACAGAAGTACACAAAACAGACTCAGATCAAGTTCATGAAAATAATAACAATACACTCAGTCGGGATCAAATGGATGCATTGGTCAGTGTCTTGTGCATCCAGGATAGATACTCAAGAATTTTCGAGCATGTCATTTGACTGCCAACAGGTAGCGCACTTGGATAAACAAGAAGCGCAACTCAAGGAACAACAAGTACAACTTCAAGCTGAAAAGGAGCTTATTGATACCAGGTACAATAAGCTGCTCCAAAAGAAAGCTGAAGTCGAAGACCTGGAAAGGAAAGTAGAGATGTTACATGATATCCAGCGCGAAGAAAGAATTCTTCTGGATATGAGGAAAAAGGAACTCGAGGCTCAAAAGGATGCGCAGTGGGAAAATGGAAAAGATATCAGGCGCAAGGAGCTCACAGTTCTGGAGCATGAAAAAGAGCTTCAGATCAAAGAGCAAAAGATGATATTCCAGGACACTGCTCTGCAACAGAAGCTCTCGAGACTCCAACAAAGAGAGGAAGCAGTTTGGGAAAGGGAGGGTAGGGTAAAGACAAGAGAAGAGGATGTGAAGCTCAAATATTGTGCAGTTAAGGAGTACCAAGGAGAGCTTGATCACACAGAAAAGGAGAGGCAGAAGCAGGCAGAGAAAATCCTGAGGCAAGCAGAGAGGAAGATGAAACAAGTAGAGGAGGACTCGAAGCTGGTGGAAGAGGAGTCGAATCTGGTAGAAGAGCAGGTTAAGCTAGTAGAAGAGCAGTCTAGAGAAGTGGAAGAGAAGTCAAAGAAAATGGAGGAGAAGATGAAGGAAGCAGAGGAGAAGATGAAACACGCGGAGGCAAGGTCAAAAGAGGTTGATTTGAAGCTCGAAATGTGTTCAGAGTCACTTTCAAAGCACAGTGCAATGCTCACCGGGAAGGAAAACTATCTACAGGGGCAGGAAAAGGGTCTTGCTCAGGAGAAAACACATTTGGAGGAACAGAAACGTATTTTCGAAAAGGAGAAAGCCAATTTTCATCAGGAACAGAAACAACTACAAATCTCCCAGGCGACATTAATGACCTGGAGAAAGGAAACTGCTGCCAGGAGTTTTGCTATTCACATCAAAGAGCAAAATTTTATCAGAAAGGATGAAGCATGGAATAAAAGGGACATTGAACTCAAAATTGGGCAGAAGGAATTGCAAAAACAACTAGATAATATTTTGGAAAAGAACAGGTGGTTGGATGAAGAGCTAAAGAAGATCCATGACTTGCAGGGCCAGCTGCAGATTGATAAAGAGAAGATTGGTTTGTTGGAGTCACAAGTACAAGCAAAGGAAAAGGAGGTCAGGGACTCAGAATCAATACTTCAGACAGTCAAGAAAAATATTGCAAGTGGTTTGGAAAAATTGGGCACCTTTGATGGTTCAAGAGTAACTGCAGTGGTGTGTATACTTTGCACCAGAGCTTCTACAAACTAACAGCTCTGTATAGAATGAGATAAACACGACATCAGCAAAGTAAGAGAATTATGCTCCAAATCCAAATGAAGTTGGTCAAAACTGATAACCATTTACCAGTTCCAACAGATTCATGGAACAATCAAGTAATTTCTCCCTCAATGCGGAGTCAATCGTCATGGTGGGGCAGTTAAAGGATTTGTACTCGAATCTGGTGCATGATTTGAATCAGAAAACCGGGCATAGCAGATCTTGAGCTGTGTATTTCTTCGGTAGGTACTATAATGTGTCCACCTATCGAAGTTTCATCTATTTTACAGTTTTATCATTTATGCAATGGAAATATTTGAATGTACTTTGTGTTTATTATCATCTCCAAGACTGCAATGGCGCGAATTTGAACTAAGATATTGTTTAAGAAAATCCCGATCGCAGCAAAGGGGTTGATGGAGAGATTTCGCAAGAGGGGTCGGTTCTGCTCGTAGTAGATCACGTATGAATCACTTCAATATGTTTGTACTACATATGTTACAGAAATGCAATGTACCCAGTTATCATTTCCACAGGTTTTCGCCACTCCTTTTAATGGAGTCAGGTCGCTCACTAGTCATCTCGAAGTTCAGAGTAAATGACAGAATCTGGAAGCTCGGCAATGCGAGTCAAGTCCTCGTCGGTCTTCTCCATGTAATGTGCTTGCAATATGCTCACACTCTGCAATACGCTAACGAGCCCAGCATCTGCTATAGATGACCGCGAGAGTATCATAGATATGAGCTCGGATGGATAAGCTGTGTCTCTTCGACATTCCAGTTCAAGGTTCACAATCCTTGGCAATAGGACGAAGTTGACGTTCGATTGCGTGGATGTCATGGCTTTAAACAGAGGATTCATATCGAACAGAATTCCGTTTAGTCGAAGCGAGGTGATTGTAGGGAAGAGAGCTAGCGCTGATGTCAAGTCATCCGGGTCGTTGTGCATCCGCCCCATTTCGAGCGTTAGTGACTTTAGGTTTGGGGTGGGCGAGTTGCCCTGGAGTGCAGTCATATCTGTAGCAAGGTCCAGGAGCTCAATGCGTTGCACATCGAGAGTCATCTCTTCCAAGAGAGGTACTGCAAGGATATGTAGAATGCTAACACCCGGGAATTCATCGTCATACGAGGGGTGGAAGATGAAACTGAGAGATTTGAGCATGGGTAGAAATACATTATCAGTTGGTGAGTTAAAAACCGGGCTGCATGCAGGATTTATTTCGAGGCTCACGAGGGAGCTGCACCGGTGCAAGAAATTTGCATACACAGAAGTATCGAAATGTGAATAATTTCGAGTCCTGATCTGCAAATTTATCAACTGGCCTGCAGGCAGCAGGAATGTGCGTAATTGAGATCTGAAGTAAGGTTCCACAATTTCGAGGTGACGCAAGTTGTTGGCGGATGAGAAGGAATTCACCCGTAAATTCTCGTCGAGAGACCTCGTCATCTGCATGGAGATTCGTTCTACACCACGGAATGAAGTTGGTCCAAGCACGAAAACGGGGGTGAAGAAGATAGGATCCCCGATTAATTTGATTGATCGAATCCGGTCCAGTAGGTAGTGGCGATGGTCAAGAATTTGGTCTAGCAAATAGTGTACCTCTTGTACAAGAGACTTGTACTCTGAATACGTTTCCATCTCCTCCTCGGTACTCCAGTTGGAGTTATCTGTGGGAAAGTCCAGATATAACCCTAAAGGAAGTACTCCACTTCGGGAGAGCCATTCATTGACCCACTTTCCCCCTGCATTAAAAAGGTTCATATGCTCAGGTATCGAGAGACACAAGTTCGACCATATCCTCGGAGTATCGTGAGCAACCTGTCTCCAAACGACGCAAACCTGAGACAAAGAAGTGGTTGTGCGGACAACATCGAATTGAGGGTAGAATCTGCCATGATTTGGATAGCAGACAAGTTCGAAGATCTCGGAGAGGATTTCAATAGGAAGACGGTGGGCCGGGGGAAGGATGTCGCTGACGAGAGCAAGTAAGGCAACTTCGTCCTCATTATGCGTCAGCTTCTCAATCTGCGAATCGAGGCTTTCGATTTCCCCTTCTGCTAGGATGAATTTTTCAACTGGTGAAAATCGTAAAGGCTCTTCAGTACGAGATTGAGATAGATAGAGCTCCATGAGCAGATGAAAGCTCGATGGGTCTTGAAGAATTTATAGGTATCGTGAGCTTAAGGAATGTTGAATGTATTATCAGTATATCCGCCATGAAAACAAATCGAGAAGGCGAATCATTGTGAGCACCAGTAATCTGGCACCACGAACAATTACCAGTGAACGAGGTAGTGCAAATTACAAAGGCGCAAAAATGTTTCCCTTACCTGGAAATTTATGCACCGAGTGTAGGATGACCCGACGATGACGAGGAGATGTTATGGATAATAATTACACCGAATTTTCACACGACGATGTTATCTTTCTTTCCCACCCGGCACATATTACGGCAAAATTCACTTTTGGACCTTCTCTCACTCTCTATGTATACTCCATCCCAGTGCCTTTTCCTCTTTGTGATCATACAACGCCAATTCCATGAATACTCAGCCACGCCGAAGGTATCTCCATCAAGGACCGCTAATACCATGTAACGAAACGGTATACGAAGTAGAGAGGACATGTCGGTTTCGAGCCACAACTTTTTTTACTAGCTCTCTGTGTGCACATTAAGAAGGCCCTCTAGCCTGTCAGCTTGACCAAGCTAGAGCCTTTGAAGGATTTCTCCGCTCGGGTGCTCAAATGAGCGTCGTGGACATGGTCGAGAACGGTCTTCACCTCGTCCGCCGCTGACTCATCCAAATATTTCTCCCTCTCCCTTCAAATTCCAGCCACTTATTCCGCCGCCGACATACTTATCCGAGCTCCTCTCCTCCTCAGACTCCAACCAATGCTCCCAAGCTCTGTCATGATTCACCGTCAGCAGTTGGAAATGTTTATCGTGTCAGCATACGCAAGTGCGTGGTACCTGTCTTTGTTCTTCCTTTGCTTACTTATTGTCCACTGCAGACGCTCAGAGGTCACTGAAACGTTGTGAAGCCGTGCAACGGTGAATAGTCAAAAATAATGGCCCATTACGTTCCGTTAGCTTCCTTTACTTCCACCTTCCCTTTACTTCCCATCACCCTTCTCTCCTCCCAATGCCTCCTTCTGATTCTGTTCTAGCTCGCACATTATTTTCCGACATTCTTGTTACAATTATGTCTGCGATAAGATATGTACATTGATCACAAACCATCGCAATCCTGCGTCAACTGCCCCAAGATTCAGTGTAAACAATGGAAACAGGTACTTCCGCAATGCGCGCCCGGTCCTCGTCAGTTTTCTCCAAAAATTTTGCTTGTCGTATACACACCCTCCGCAATCTGGCGACGTCAATGAAACCTGCATCCTGAGGTTGATGTCCATCTACCCGCGATAGCATCATGGATATCAGCTCGGACGGATAGCTTGTTTTCTCTCGATATTCCAGTTCGAGGTTTGAAATCTTCGGCAATAAGACAAAATCGTCATTCAAATTCTTCTTGTATGTCATTGCCTGGAAGAGATGATTCGTATCGAATCCAATGTCAGATAGTCGGAATGAGGTGATTGCAGGGAAGAGAGCTAGCACTAGTGTCAGATCAGCGTTGGCCATGTAACCCATTTCGAGTGTTAATGATTTGAGGTTTGATGTAGGCAAGTTCTTCTGGAGTGCAGTGATACCTGTGACAAACTCCTGGAAGCCAACGTGTCGTAGACTGAAGGTCAGGTCTTCTAAGAGAGGAACTACGAGAAGCCTTAGCAGGCTACTAACACCCTGTAATCCATAGAATGAGGAGAAAAAGGTGAGGCGGAGTGATTTGAGCACAAGTAGAGATATCGGAGCAGGAGGTGACCTGAATTCCAGGCTAGCTGGAGGACTGATCTCAAGGGTCACAAGGGAAATACACCGTCGGAGAAAATCTGTATACACCAATGGCTCAAAATCCGAGCTGTAAATTATCCCCGCAATGTTCAATTTAACCAACTGGTCCGCAGGTAGCATGATCGTTTCCAGTTGAGATTTCGGGTAGAAATCAATAATTTCGACATGACGCAAATTCTTTGCGAGCGAGAAGGTATCCACTGGCCAGTGATTCTCAGCGAAGTTCCTTGTCATCCTGATGGAAATCATTTCCAGACTGCAGAGCGAAAAGGGTTCAAGAACGAATAAGGGGGTGAAGAAACAGGGATACCCGGTCAATTTGAGCAATCGAATTCGCTCCAGGAAGGGAGGACGGCTCAGAACATGGTTAAGCAAGCTGTGTACCTCTTTTATAAGAGGCTCAATTTCCGGGTGTTGTTTTGATACATCTTCCTCGGGCCAATAGGACTCATCATTCTCTGGGAAGTCCAGATAAAACTCTAGAGGAAGTTCCTGGCTTCGAAGGAGCCATTCCACAACCCACTTCCCACCTCCTTTGATAAGGTCCCGATGATAGGGTATCGAGAGAGACAGTCTCGACCATATACTCGGAGTATCGTGAGCAGCCCGTCTCCAAGCGATGCAAACCTGAGAGAGAGATGTGGTCCTACGAACAATACCAAACCCAGCGTGGAATTCGCCCTCATCTGGATAGCAGACAAGTTCAAAGACTTTACTGAGAATCTCATTAGGCATTTGGCGGACAGGGGAAAGGATGTTTTTGACTGAAGCACGTACAGCAAATTGGATGTCCTTGTCGCGCGTCAGCTTCTCGATTTGCGAATCGAGGCTTTCGATTTCCTGTTCCGCTTTGGAGATGTAGCTCTGGAGGATGGTTTTCTCATGTGGTGAAAGCCATACAGGCCCTTCGATGCGTGATTGAGATAGATAACGTGCCATTATTGTGAAAATTCGGTGACTTGATCACACCAGAGAGTAGAGCCCTCGTTTAATCTGGCAGGGTTTATTAAGCAAATTTAATGACTTATATACCCTGTAGGTACCATCTTTAAAAGGGAATTGACTAGCGATGATTCCAGACCAATGACAGCACACTGGTAACAGTATACACCCGGCATACGCGGATGATTGCAAGTAGCGGAACCGAAATTTTGATTTCACGGAAAGTTAGGTAGAAGTTAAGGTAGATAGGTAGATACACAGATAGATAGATAGCACAGCACCACCCGAAGGTGTGGTCCCAAAAACGGAACAGCTAGTCTTGGATATTATTATTCGCCGTGGAAATTAAAACCTGGGCAAAACTATGTAGAACCAGGTTTGAACAGAACATAAGTTTAATTTATGGATCATTCCAGCCACAAATCCACTGCAATACACTCCTCAAGATTATAGTTAGGATGATTTGCCTTTGGCTGAAAAATAAGGTCTAGTCGGTTGACTGGGAATGCCGTTGAGTTTAGGCACATCGCCCAGTCATCTGCATGTCCATTGCCTAGCAAGACTGGGCCATCTGTTGGTGAGTTACCCATTGACTGCTCAGGAGGATACGGATCATCCTGAAAAGAATTGCGTGAAAGTTGTCTCAAGACAAGTACTGAAGTATACTCACGGATGCGCAATATCCAGTATATCCGTTATATCCAACAGGTAGCGTTGACTGAGTCTGGAATATGACACTTTCTCCAGAAATAAGATCCAGGCTGATCATCGGGGCAACTCCGTTAAGGTACGAAGACTCGGGTATTAAGGATCCCCCATTACTTGAACTGAAAGAAAGATCAAGCCAGGTTGTATTACAGGCTTGACATGCCTGCGACATGGAGTATTAGTACATGTTTCTGTGAACAGATACAACGTACTGAGAGAATTGACCAGGTTGTATCTTCTACTGTCAAGACATCTATGATACGCAGAATCGCACCATCCCAACCACTACCCGACGTCGACGGCTCTTTCGGATTCGCGAGAAGAGAAAAATGTGAAGAATTGAGCCAAGTCGGAATTTCCAATATACATTGGTTTGTGTACATTTCTGGAGGAGGGGGGTTGTGGTGATACACGGAAAGTCGATTCGCGTCGCCACACAGATAGTCTCTGTCCGCGTTACAGGTCATCGCGCATTCGGTGTCGGAGACTTGAGCTGCTGTACCTGTGCTGTTGCCACACCCTGCATTTGCATCGGAGATTGACTATCGAAAGTTCCAAGAAGCATGGCCAGAGGACTTACAGCATTCGCCACCGTATTCAGTGCCCATTATGGTATAACCATTGAACGCGCAAGCATCTGCGCAGGTAGCTGGGGTTACACCACCAAAAGTAGACTCTTGTGCACTGAGGGTTCTTTGGCTGGGGCTATCCCTGGAAATGATATCATGTGTATATAAGATAATTTATAAAATATTATGCCTGTCGTTGCCAAACTACGTACTCAAAACAGCCACTGTAGGACCAATAACTGCGGGACAAAGTCGAAGGACTGCTGGGTGTATAGAAATCGCCGTCCCAATATACATCGATACGATTAGGCCCGCCGCAAGTCTGAGTGGGATCGCCGTTACATGGCATGTTGCATTCGCTAGAGTCAGTCCCTTGCCAGCCGTCTTCATGGAATAGCTCGTCGCAATCTGCAGAGGCAGATGAAGCGGGTTTGAGTTTTAGTCTAACTGGAAATCTTCGAAGAAGCCTGAGCACTGTGAGATGAAACTCACAGCATTCACCCCCGTCTTCGACACCTGCATACGTCCAATTGTTTGCAGCGCAGTACTCGATACATACTACTTTCGTCATGGTACTTGAAGGAAGGTCGCTGTTGGTGGTAAGCAGGCGACCAGCCGATGTATTATCGCTGTATGTATGGTAAAGCGAGTCTTAGCAGAACCCACGGGGTAAAATTTGAATGGCAAACAACTCACATGAAACAAGAATAAGGATACCATCCAGTTGGGATATCGGTCTGTCGCACTGAAATGCTGGAACCATATACAACAGCAAAAAACTAGATGATGGAACGATGAGAGCACTGGAGTGGATGTGTACGAACAGTCCGAGCCTACCCAGAATTGCATGAACATTGCAAACAGCAGGCGATGATATACTTGGAGGAGTAAGCTCATTAGATCCTGGTGAACAGACTCGGAGCTCGAGCACCCGACGAGTTTTATACAGGAATTTTCGCTGACCAGGACAGGACCGCCAAGCACTCCCTAGAACTCACTTTACCCCTTGATGCCCCCGAAAGACGCACTGAGAAAGGTAAGGCTTGCTGTCTGGTCTGGTCTATTCAATGGAGCATACCAGGAACTGGACGGCGTTGGAGAGATAGATAGATGCGCCGACATGCCATGCCATGTGAATGCTAGTATGTGATACCAAAACTACTAGTAAACCTTGAGGGGGCATATATGAATCAGACAGGTACTGGTACTTGTCTCTCGAGATGTCCATTGCATGCCAACTTCAAAATTCCAGTTCAATCCGGATGATCATATTATGCACTTGACACGACCGACTGGGCTGGGATTTTGATCCTGGATAGGATAGGATAAGATATCAGTCTAGAGCGCCAAGCTCTTCAAAGTCAACGTGAATGATCAGACGTCGGACAAGGTGAAAGGTACTGACCTTTTGCCTCTCTAAACGCGCCGGACGAAATACCCGAGACGCCTTTGGGCGTCAGGAGATAGGCGGACCTCAGATTCTTTATACACTCTCGGTATCCTAGTACCATCTTGTGGTAGCTTGAAATTGGTTGTTTGAATAAGCAATACTTTGATTAGGCAAAAAAGAAAGAACGAGCTTGTTTGTGCTGAGGTCCGCTCACTAGCCTTACCTACGAAGTCTTCTTGAAATAAATTCTTTACCCTGGTCAATGGGTAGGAAATGATCATGTTATATCCGATATTCAGTAAACATAAACACGTATCCGACAAGAGGATATTCCACAGGCCTTGGATACTTGATGCTAGCCATCAAGAAAACCAAGACCACTCACTCACTGAACCCACACATCAACTAAAATACACTCTTCGACATTATAATCCGCATGGCCCACCTGAGGCTGAGAAACCAAATCCAACCGATCATTCGGGACCGCGGAAGTGTTAGGACACATCGCCCACGCATCGGCGTGGTAATCGCCTTGGAGAACAGGCCCGTCGTCGGTCGGTGAGTAACTGCTGCCTGCTGGATATGGGTTTGCCTGCCAGTGGAAAGATAAATGAAAAAGAAAGCATCGTGATCACAAGCTTAGGGGGAGGGGGGGGTGTAACTCACAGATGTGCAGAAGTTGGGATAATCGATGCTGGTGATGGTTGCCTGGGTTTGGAACCGCACGCTCTCTCCTGCGACGAGGTTGAGGCTGAGCATCGGGGCGGCTCCGTCGCGGTTGGGAGAAGAGGGAATCAAGTACCCAGCTCCCTCCCCGCTGAATGATAAGCCGAGCCAGGTGACGTTGCAGTCTTGGCATGCCTGGTATGTAGGTTAGGTGGGTAGGGAGGTGATATGTATGTAGGTAGTAGGTCAATCCCATAATATTATTATCATAATCTAGAGTTTGGAACAGCAAGTTTCGTACTTACCGAGAGCAGCGAATACGTCGTGTCTCCCTCTACCAAAACATCGATGATATGGAGACTCGAGCCCTCCCATCCACCACTAGCAGTCGGACCCTCTTTAGGGATCGCGAGAACAGTGAAATTGGAGATATCCACCCAGGTTGGGATGTCCAAATCGAGACATTCCCCGGTGTAGGTTTCCTCCGGCGGGGTGTTTTGATACACTGATAAACGATTCGCGTCGCCGCAGAGGTAGTCGCGATCCGCGGTACATGTCATTCCACACTCGGTGTCGGGTACTTGAGATGCGGGACCGGTGCTGTTGCCACACCCTGCAGATATCGAACAGTTGAAGGTCTGAAATGTTGTAAACTAGAGAGAGATGGACGCACAACATTCGCCCCCGAATTCAGTACCCATCACGGTATAACCATAGAACGCGCATGTATCCGCGCAACTCGGTGGACTTACACTACCCGAATAAGGCTGAACCTGTTGACTGAGTGTCCGCTGGCTAGTGTCATCCCTGTGTTTTCCTATAGTAAATACCGCCACACTCGAAAAATAATGATAACGGCGGGAAGGTACATACACAAAGCACCCACTGTACGACCAATAACTCTTGTACAAGGTAGGCGGGCTTGAGGGTATGGTCGAGTCGCCGTCCCAATACACGTCGATGAGGTTTGGACCGCCACATGTTTGAGAAGGATCGCCAGTGCATGGCATGTTACAGTCGGTAGTTGCAGTGACCTGCGAACCGACTTCATGTAGTACTTGATCGCAATCTTCCGAGTCAAAGTAAGATCGAATTGGACGCATAGGGTGTAGAAAAATCTGTTTATGGACATACAACATTCGCTCGCATACTCGACGCCTGCGTAGGCCCAGTTGTTGGAGGAACAATACTCGATACATTGACCCACGGTCATCGTATCGGGTGCAAGTCCACTGTTGACAGTGAGCAGCCGGCCGGCAGAGGTGTTATCGCTGGAAGAATAATGAGGAATGAGGAGGAGGAGGCGGAGGATAGCGATGATATTACTTACATGAAACATGAATTAAACGCCCATCCGCTTGGAATGGATTGTCGAGACATCTTTGGAGAGCTTTTGACTGGAGTAAGCTTTATATTGGATCGATGGTAAGTCCGTGAAATGAAGGTATTAGCAGTTCACGCTCACCCATGATTGAGAAAGGATGAAGAAGATAGTAACAGAACGAGAAATAAGCAGTATCATCCCGGACCATTGCAGTTCTTGGACGTATCCCGAGAGGACTCGTTTATAACGAAATAGTTTGGAGTCCCGATCCATCACCCAGGCGTTTGAAGAATCACTTGACTGTTCTAATCCGTCGAATTTCAGTCGACTAAGTAGCCAGGAACTCATGATAATGGAAGAGTCTTGAATCATCCATCATACGCCGCAGATACACCGCGAATGTCAAACCCAAGGGGATTTACTTGATGGGTCTTTGCGACATTCTGGTGCATATCTCTGATGGATGTAGACTGGATGTAGCAGCTGAGTAGTAAGGAACAATGTAACGGGGTTCCAGGGACGGTTGTATTTCTTGAACAATGGAAAAGTTCAGATATCATGAAAGGTATGTCTGGGCATTAGGATGAATAGAGTCTCGCGGTGCATATGACACCCTTGAAAACCGTTGAATAAGGGAAATGTCGAGAGTCAGTGTCAGATGGAAAGTGGGACGTGATGCATGGTGAACGGTTCAGGTACGATTAGAATTTGAAAGTTTGACGCCTTCTAGATCTTGGGCCATACTAGCATAAGCACTCTCTAGTGTTCGGGTACCAGAACTCATGGATTGGTTGATTTGCGTGTAGATATTCTCCCTTTGGAAAGTGCAAGACGGCGGCTAGACGGAGTCGAAAGAAAGAAAGGAACGGTGATATCACATGACTTTGTACGTGCTTCTATTGGCCGCCTGGCGAAATGGCATCGCGTCTGACTACGATACTCAGAAACTGGTGAAAGGTGTAATCAGGAGATTGCAGGTTCAACCCCTGCGGTGGTCACTAGTCGCGAGTGAACGACTCCACTTCTTTGGGCATAGTTGACTTGTGTTTTCTCTTTTTCCCCCATTTTTGAATCGTTGGCAGTAGCAAGTTACTTGGTAACTATATGTAACACATGTATATCTAGCACAACTAACGCAACTTGTTTAAGACTACTCTGAGCACCGAGTCCTCACGGAAGAAATCAATTGTGGACCTAGATAGCATAGATTATCACATCAGTGAATCCACAGACTCACAACAAAGAAAAGGTGTATCGGTACTCACTACAAGTGAACCCTGCACCACCTTCCCATTCCTATCAATCTTGAACACACACCCCGCGGGTTGACATCTCCCTATCCCCTTCAAACTCACCTCAATCACCCCGTACTGCACAACCCTCCCCCGAGCACCGGCCCCGGCGCCCCCTACATTTTCTTCGAACGAATTTGAAAACGCCAGAACACCCTTACCACCACTACCACTACCACTACGCTCCTCCGCATCCCACCCCGGGACCACCTCCCGCACGGCTTTGCGTACCCGGGTATAGACGTCGCGGGGGATATCCCCCTTCTCGTACGCTGTGGAGATTTTGGGCGACTCGTGGGGGAGGAGGGGGACACCGCTGTGGGTGCCGAGGAAGGTTATGGTGCCGGTGCCGGTGCTCGGGTCTGTGGTGCTGGTGCTTGTGCCTGTGTTGGACGGGATGGTTTGGGTGAGGGATACTGCGCGGGAGATTATACTACCAGGGGGTGGGGTGGATGCCTATATAGGAGGGGATGAAGAAGAGAGAAGGGAAGGGATAGTCAGTTGATATACTATGGAAAGGACATTGAGTAGGGAGTGGAGAGGTTGGACGAACATCGAGAGGTAGATTATACGCAGTGGAAGCAAGACATAAGACGAGGAATATAGTAGTGGTGAATTCGAAACGCATGTTTTCTTTATTCGATTGGGCGATTTGGGGATCTGGTAACGTTAAATTTTCGCTGTGAGTTCCATGAATGAACGTTCAAATGAACGCAATTTCGAAGGTTGACGTTGAGCAGGTAGCGACGAACGCGATAGAATATCATGTTATGATACATACAAATTGTAAAACCTTCGATGTAGAAGTGTTTTTGTTTTCCCTTCTTTTCTTTCTTCTATTTTTTTTTGACCAGCAAGTGGGATAATAGGTGGTAAGGCCTTGAAGTGCCGCGGAGAATGGGAACTGGCCAGCAGTTCGTTTGTCGGGGGATGGAATGGAGATGATGAGTGATTTACTCAGTACTGACAAAGGGATCTCCCTTTTATTTGGGAACGTACATTTTTACGGGACGAAACCAAGCAGCTGTTTCATGTGAACCTGAATCCGTCGGTGAAATTCACGGAAGGACTGGAAAATTAACTAACCCCCCCTCCCCTCCCCTGTGCAAGGACACCCAGCTTTGAATTTGACGCCATTGGGACAAATTGAGACTAGCGAGTTTTTTCCTGTAGGTTCCTGCAGATACAGTTCCTCGAACCAAAGTCTGGGAGTGGTTGAGGGTAGTAGTAATTTTTTGAGAACGAGGACTACAAAGTATGCAACTTGATATATATCAAGTGTATGTAACCAGAGCACTGACTCTGCGGCGGAGGAGGGTGGAGGCCCGTCGGAGTACAAACGAATGAAACGCGTCGCGCAAGGTTGCACATCCGAGTCTATGTATCCGTGTCCGACGAGTGTCCGACGTCGCTGTTGTATAGTCAGGAACCACTGGTGGGTTCCACACACTGGGATGCTCTCCGTCACGGCCGCTCGTTTCATATACGATTGCGATTATTCTCTGGAAGAGATTCATTCAACAGGATTTAGACGTCCTTAGGTCAAGATGACGATCAGTGATTATGAGGAATAACTAATTGGATCATGGGAAATGGGAAATGATTACTTCTACACTCGTATATGTACTCGTTTGTTTATGCCTCGGTCTTGTACTATGTATGTACCTCTGCCTCGGTGGCTCAGCAACAGTCTACCTTCTCAGTTGCAGGTTGAGCGCTTGAGCTCGCTACCGTTGGTCCATCGAGACCGATTGCTCCGGTCTGGGACCACACCTTTGGGTGGCATCGTGTATCTATCTATTATCTATCTATCTACCACCATATCTGTGGAGATTACTTGAACCCCCCTCCGAGTTCTTCTCCTTGCAGTGAAATATGTATCTCTTATTCCATGTATCACAGCTATGTATGATTGTAAGGTGATAAATGATACTCTAATGTACTATTGAAGGCAAAAGCGGTGTACGGTCTACACACTACGCTTGCACAACAAAAAGCTAATCCAATAGACAGTCATTCCGAGCCGGATCCTTCTCAGTCGGAAGGATACTACACAGGTTCGCATTGTTAACCAATAGATACACATTGAGTTACAGAGGGGAGGTTACTCACCTCCATCGAGTCCGCAACTATCTTCCCACTTTTATCAACACTGAACCAACACCCATTAAGACATTGCCCGATCCCAAGTAAGAAAACTCTGAATACATCATCTTCAGGCCCCGAAGCCTTGTAGCGGTTCTTAAAGGCAAGAACTAAATCCCGTTCTTTGTCTTCAGTTGGGACCAGTGATTTAACTGCTTTCCGGAGTCGTTTGTAGACATTTGATGTCTTGATGATCCCATACTGCTTTGCATCCTTGCTCGATGAAAGCACGAATCCGGTTGCAGGCGCGCCGGAAATCGAGGTTCCGTCGTGGGTGCCTACAAAGGTTAGGGTCGCTATGAGCTGTGGTTTGGTATTTGCACGGGCGACTTGGAAATGCGGAGTGGAGTCGGGCTAGAAGAGACATATATATGTGTGATAGATATGAGTGCGGAAGCCCCACGCACCTGATAAGGCATAGCATACACAACTGTGAACACTACACCAACACACAGGACGAGATAAACATGGAAGTTGATGAAGCGCATTTTTTCTTAACCTTGCGAGAAAAAAAAAGTCGGAATTAGATGTTATGAAAGACAGCTTGGTTGTCATACGTAGGTTTCAGATGGAGTGCGCAGTGCAACGGGGAGAATAATGAACGGAGGGATTTTGACCAGAAAACAAGTTGGAATTTTTTTTTTGGACTGACCAGCAGCCTCGATCGAGGGAACGAAGATGGCTGAAAGACCATGTGGATCTTTATATAACCTACTGTTTCAACCCTCAGGGACGGCGTTTAGGGTGATGTCGAAGGATTTGCTGATCATCGGAACTTCCGACGGATTTGCAACGTTCTTCATGCAAACACATGGTTGTGGGCGACGGAGTACCCAAACCGATAGGTAGAATGTTTATATGATTAACGTACCCCGTTGGGGACACACACCTTGCTTGCGTCTGTTCACTGCTACGGTGAGGGAATTTGGTGTGAAACAGCAAGCAGAAAAGCTTAGGGATGATGCATTATGGTGAGCCAGGTGAGGAAATTTGTTGTAAGCTCAGGCTGGTAAAGTGCAGAGGTGGAATTGGAGTCTGCTAGATGAAGGGAAAGTAAAAGGGCTGCATCCAGATCCCTTTTGCCCTATAAGGCGTAGATGTAACCCTGTTCCGCCGTCGGATCGGACAACGACAACTTTAAAAGGAAATTTTGCACGGGCGCTCGAGGTTATGGATGTTCAATGACCATTGCAAGCAAGGTGATAAATTGGTTTTGGTTTTGGTTTTTGTATGGACCCCGGAAGACTCACTATAGATGACTGTGCTCCTGTCGGTAGGCTGGTTCTATACAGGGATGGGCCACTAGCATTTGCAGTGCCACCTGCAGTGGCAGTCACTGCATAGTATCTGCACTCCACTGCAGTGTACCTGCATGCGCCTGCATTACACTCTCGGCATATAAATGCCGGCATTTATATGTATCTTGTCTGATTGTGTCATGCAATTTTGAGTTCATATTTGCCGCATGTTCAACTATTTCAAGATACGCATATGCACATTGAGTTGATATCTTGCTTGGTTTACAAATGAATGTAAGTCATATATGCTTAGTTATGTCACAAGCACTTGGGGTTCAAAACTGCACATAAGAACCAGTAGTAGACATATTCACAATATTCACTTGTGCCTATCATTGTACTCACCCATCTGCAAAACCTAGATGATCATGACAGCAAGGGTACTAGCTGGACATCACTGTCCAGCCAAAAGCACTGAAAGCAATTTCTAGAAACTACTTGAGTGGCAGTCAGTCTCTTAGACAAAAATCCAGGATGTACAGATGTATCAGCATGCTCCTACCTCTTACCTGCATTCACCTGGACTGTAACTGCATGCACTTGCACTGTAACTGCACACACCTGCATTGTGACCTCATGCAACTGCACTGTAACTGCACTGTAACTGCACTGTAACTGCACACACCTGCACCTCACCTGCACTGTGACTGCACACACCTGCACCTCACCTGCATTGTGACTGCACACATCTGCACCTTACCTGCACTGTTACTGCATTCACCTGCATTGTTCTTGGCACTTACTTGCAGTCTCACTGTGGGCAATAGGGCTCTGTACCTTTGCATGGAAATCATTGGAATCATTCTGGGTCATTTGTGAATAGTTAAGATTATGAAGGGAAGGAATTTGCATTGCTGATTTGGGCCAATAGGGCTGGAATATCATAAAAAAGTCATGATGGAAAACATTCTTCCAATCTCATGGTATTGCCAGGTTGAGGTTGAAGAACCTAAATAAGAGACATAGAGCCATGTATAAACACTGGATAAGGACCTACAAAAACAAGTTAAACTGTAGGAGATACTTGATATAATGAATACTTTGATTGGAAAATTCGAGGGGACAGTGTATGTATTGTTATACATTCATTTTTTGCTTTTTGGAGTTCTCCTTGGCCAAATTATCATCATTTATCCACCGCTTTTTGACTTGATTAGGCCGTGCTTTTGGCTGATTGCTGAATGTATTTATTAAGTGTTGTTTCTGGTCATCTATAAAATCTGGGCCATGCTACGTCAAATCAAACAACAATCAGAAAACATGTCTTTATTTGAAATATAATTTACCTACCTGGCACTCAACCTCATCATCTCCTTCACGTTTGTTTGTGCAATGGCTTTCAGGACCATACTCTAGCCAGGGATTCCAGTTTTGCAGATGAGATCCAGCATCAAGACCCCATTGTTGATTTCCTGCAACTCCTGCATCCTCAGAAATATCAAAAACTGATTTTTCGAGTAACTGCAATGCCTCTAGATCCACATCAACTCTTTCATACAACTTGTCCTTCCCATCAACTGTTTTCCCTGTCCAAGCTACAAGTCTATTAAATGCTAGTTCAACTATACTGGCCCCTTCTACTTCATGAATGAATTCTGATTGATGCCGGTGCAAAAGTACCAAGGTGCGAGCATGTGCAATAGGTAGGGCACCGATCCATATATGCTGCTTTTGTGAAGCACCTGGTATCACTGTATAGAACCAGTTATTGATACGAGCACAATCATCTACAGTGAGTCCTCCAGAGTGCTCTATGGCTTTGGTAGCTCTTTTCATGCCAGCTTGCCATTTTTTGGCTGGGCACAAACTATCTATAACACTATCTGGATTATTCATAAGTTGAGTCAGTATTCCTATATTTGGTTGTAAAGCCCTGTCAATCTCAGAACTGAATGGAAGGAACTTTGGATCTTCCCAAGCAGCCTCTGCTTGTTCCTCTGCAATAAATGCTCGTACCCATTTGCCAAGCTGTAAATGGGTCAGCTAACCAATATTATCCATTCATTGACTCTTACCCGAATTCTCCTCCTGGCTGCTCTGTTCTGCCATAACTCATCTTTAATATCTTCAATAGATACCTTGGCAATCTTTCCAGGTTGTTGTGAAGAACCAGGTGCAGGTATATTGTGCCTCCACCATCGGATAGAGCAAAACTTATGGCCTTTCTGAATGAGACGGGCAGGGAAGAAAAATAAACCATCCCGGACCAGAACACCTTTGCCATTGCTGTAGAGAGTTTAGAGAAAATAATCAAAGGATTTGTTCAATGGAACATACAATATACGTCCCGATATTGCCTTGGGAGTATCAGCTGCACTATACAAAATGTTATTATAGATCAATCTGATTGCAAAAATACACATACGGCCGTGTTGATCTTCTCAAATTTTGCATTAACTTCTCTTGTATCCTTTTAAATTGCCATGGGTCATCAACTCCACAAATGGGACATATAAAGTCTT